AAATTTTTAAAAAAGTATTCTTTATTCTAGAATTATATCATCTTTTTATTTATTAATTAATAAGTTTTATTAATTAATAAATATTATTTGTTTTCAGTTTTTTAATTGAATATTATTTCCTTGTCTACTATCTATTTTTAATGCATTTTTTCCTAATTCAAATACAAATCCTAGAGTTAATATAATGAAAAATACCAACATTATTATTAAACCGTAAATACCATTAGTATAAGCACTTACAACATAAGGATATACTAATAATATTTCTAGATCAAATAAACATGGGTGTGGCTTTATTTATTGTATCAGAAGCTTTATTTTTTTTAGCTATTTTTTGAGCTTTTTTTCATAGTGCTCTTTCACCAACAATAGAATTAGGTGCAAAATGACCTCCTATGGGAATTGATTCTATTAATCCTTTTGAATTACCATTATTGAATACAATAATCTTATTATCTTCTGGAGTGACTATTACTTATTCACACCATTCTTTAATTCAAGGTAATAGAAGTGGAGCTTTATACGGGGCTGTTTATACTATTATTTTAGCTGTAATATTTACTGCTTTCCAAGGTATTGAATATACAGTATCATCATTTACAATATCTTATTCTTTATATAATTTAATTTACACCTCTTATTATATGTAGAAAATTTTTACTATCTGCCTTTTTTTTAAGCATTGTTTATTATATAACAAATTAATTATAATGTAAAATTGAATAGGAATATGGAGGATTTGAACCTCATGTCCAGTACTGATAAAGCGGTGGTCCAAGTCCATGAGTTCCACTAGGAGGAGGCTCCATTCTGATTGCTTGAGCTGTCTGAATCCCTTGTCGAACTGTAGGCCACCGGATAGGTTCAAAATGATCAATTCGGCGCATTGTGCCGTGAATTGATTGATGTCCTTGATGATTGATGATATTTTCTGGCCTCGTGCTCCCAGTTTTCCATCGTAGTGGCCGGCCCAGAATTCGCCACTGGAGATGCATGGTCGAATGTCCAAATATCGTGAGCCCATCTCAAGCTGCCCAAGGATCTTCAAGGACTGCGTTTGAGCGAAATGTGCCATGATATCTCTGGGAAGAGCTTCACTGCGAGATAAGATCCCCATTCCAGCTTCATGAGTGCCAGGCATACATATCTTGTGAAGAGGTCTTGAACCAAGTTTTGACAGATTTTGCTGCATCCAATCACGAGGAGGATTGCTGGAAGAATATTGACCCTCAACACCAGAGAGCACAAAGTAAATCGTTCCATCTTGTTGCCATCCGAGGGGCAGGTAGCTACCACCAGGATTGTTCGGCGTGTCAAAATGCTGTAATCGGACTGTGATATTTGCAGGTTGGTCTTCAGCTTCGATATGGATGGCAGAGCTTCGAGTTTTCTTGAACTTGTAAAGGCAGTAACCGTTTGTTTTGGTTTGCGTCCTTCCCGTGGTTTGTTTAAACTCGATGTATACGGATACCATGGAGCCTCAAGGGTGTCAGCTTCACATAGAACATGCCATGGGATGAGCCATACCAGGTTTAACCTTTCGTGGAAAGCGCCAAACGGCCATATGATCGCTGTGGATGAGGTTTCTCCTCCAGGTATATGGCGTTGCATTGATCAGTAGTAGGTGACCACCTTCGCCCTTGATGTGGCGTGTCATGGCAAATAACGATATTGGTAACGGTAGAGCAACTGAAAGCGAAAGTCCCAATTGTAACGATTGGCTCTTTTGTTGATGATCGATGAAGGTAAGATCGAATTGATAAACCGAAAGGCATAATCGCCACAACACCCGCTTAACAGCTCGGTCGTCAAGGAAGGTGCTATATAGCCTCGATACCATAACTCGAAGTAGCAGGTACTACCGTTTGAGCCGTCGCTGTATCATGTGCTCGGTGGAGAGCTCAACACTGACAGCTGCAGTGAGCTTGTTGAGTAATTCATGTCTCGACTGCCCACGTCTCGAAAATGGTGCGGAGCCTTTCTTTTGATTCTGCTACGCAATGGGGACGAAGAAAAGGCTGTGGGCTCGACATGTTCCATTGGACTGCCACTCGGGAAAGCATAGCCTCATCATGCTGCTTGTCAATGATCTCTTACTCCACGCGTGGTATCAGAGGAACTTCAGATCATGAGGCCCATCACTGAATCGGGGAGGCTGACAATTCTTCAGCTTAGCGTGATCGGCTGCCCCAATTCCATGGTGTGTAGGGGTCATCTGGCTGGACATTGAACATCACTAGAATGAAAATTAGCACGTATCCTTGCTTCAGCATTAAAACATCCCCTGGTACAAGGCCAGGAATAATCAAGGGGAGCATACTTTGCCCAAAAGTGCCAAACGCTTCATCTAGTTGGGTGTCAAACTCGATGCCAGCCGTGTGATGCACCCCGCTCAGGTCGAAAGAAAACTGGACATCCCCATCCCCGGTCATATTTGTTGGTAATGAAGATGTGAGCCCTGATGGCATTGGCGTCGAGTATGACTGGTTAGGATACAAGTTGGCTTGTTCATTCAGAGAAGGCCGATTGTCGACCACTTGACCTGACACATCATCGCCATTGAAAGCAGCGGTGGCAGTACTAGACTGTGCCTCCGTGGAAACACTTGCTCCTTGATTCTGCAAAGCATTTTCCATCTCTCGTATCACAGTGATCCGTAGAAGAGCCGTTAGTAGCTGATCAATATGTCGTGCTATCTGGCTACTACTTCCGAGATCTCTACAAGCCAGAATAATGCGCCTAATCCCAGCCTTGGCCTCCTGTGCAAGGGAGCTGAACGGTTGTCTTGCAGGGGGAATGCAAAGAATCACCCCGGCAGTAAAGAAATGCATGAAGGCGAAGGAGAGACTCAGATGATGATTGAATTTAGGCATTGGGACCCGCGAGATTCTTAGGGCAGCATCAACGGCTACCTCCAATGACCTCGAAACGAAATTCTGGCTTGATGCTAACGTACCTCCTGCAGCCATTTTGTGTTCGAGCAACGGTCGGTGAATCAAAATCAGTGTGCTGTCATAGGTCACTTGTAATACCATCGCTTGGAGATAGAAGGTTTTGGCCTGCCCTTCCTCTACGTGATTTAGGTCTTGTAGTTTTGCAGGAAAAGGACCATCGGGATCGACATTCTGCCAGTCATCCCATGAAAGATGTGCCGGGACTTCTTTCTGCCATGCCGCAAGCAATGATTCGATGTGTGCGACCGCACTGATCAGTGCTTGTTGATCCTCTGAGGAAAGTGGATCCCTCAATCGCAGGAGGCGGAACGTGTCCAAGGCTCTTCGAGTAATAGTGTACAGTCGATATTTGAGGATGTGGAAAGGCAGGCGAGACAATGTTGAGGAAAGATTACGCGGCTCGTCCGTAGTGGCACCTGCAAGAGTAACCATGGTATCATCCATTTCACTGAGTGGTTGAGATTGTGCAAATGCTGCGTCCAAACCCGCTGGACGTCCATATATCATGGCAGAGAATGTATCTGCCACGGTAACATGATTCCAAGTCCGATGCCGGACCTGCAAGGCGATTTGTGGATGATCTTCTGTGTCCTCACAGTGCAATGCTAAGGCGTATGCAGTTCTCACTGCCATGCCTAGAATGCTCCATGCCAGACTGGGAGAGCCATGGTAGATATAGTAGGTGCCTAGGAGTATGCATACTTGCACTGTTTCGATCTGTGAATCGTCCAGTAGATCAATGAGATGGTTGCGTATCTCGCCAATAAAATCATTGAGGAGTGATCTTGCGTCCAGAGCGTAAGTCGTCAAGACAGAATGCCCTGTCCATTCTGGGTCATTGAGAACGCATTTAAGCGCCATTGCTGACGCCATGAGCATTGCCATGATGGCAGGCATGTCTTGCCGGGTCCACGAGGGGCTGCTCAGTAAAGCGTCAGCCCGTGTCATGAAGCTGGGTTGGTGGAACAGATAGATAAACCAATGGACACGGTCAAAATATGCCTCCAACAGGATATGCATTACTGTTGGCGGAGGCATGATCATGTTATGGAGAGTCCATCTTGAACCTGAACGCCGGAAGACGCCTGGATCACCTGGAATCGTAGACGTAATACTCGGTGAGGCCAGGTCGTTATGTCTGAAAACATTTTTCGCAAAGCCAATCACGGAGGTATTTGCCCCAAACTGCTGGCTCTCATTAGGACTTTGATCTGGGGCATCTGGGCCTTCCCCACGGGGAGACTGATGCTGGCCATGTGCAGCCTGTGCATTCGGACTGGTACCAGATTGTGGGAACGGCGGTACAGTCGTCGACGTCGATGATAACAATGAACTGGCTTGATGTGTTCCTGTACGGCTAGCTTGGGCTGTGGTCCGTCGCCGACGAGCCGGAGACGCTCGATCACTTCTCGCCTTGGGAGGGATGAGCCGGGCTTCACATTCGACACCAGCGCGCACACACAACAAACAGGGCCTCAACGTATCGCACTTCAGCTTCTGTTTTCTGCACCGCGCGCAGGCTTGAGAGACACGTGCATTTGCATACATGGTAGGTGGAAGAGTGTGGATTTCTGGGCCGACGCCTTTAGTAAAGTTCACACGACATTGCTTGTGCAGTCTGAGAGCCGAGGACTGCAGCCATGGGATTGGCTGGCAACCACGAGCTCGATCCCCAGTTAATGGTTTGAAGTGGCTGCGATGAAGGCGAGATGCATACGGGGATGGAAGAGGAGACACTTCCAATGTTTTTCCAGAAACCGCCCGTCGCTGAGACCTTGGTGCGTTATTGGTTGTCAGATTCGCTTTCGACAAATCTCGGCTTCACATGTGACATGGACATCCGGTGGAGGCTCCGGTGGAAGTCATCACCGCATCCTTCACTTCACACCTCCCTACGAATACATCCCAGCCCACCGAAATTGCTTTCAGAGCGACCCGGAGTCATCTAAACGTCAGGATCAACCTCTGGCAAATTGATGCCTTAAAATTTTCCATGGAAATACTGGGATCCAAACAGCCAAACCCCCGGCATCTCAATGCAGTCCGCCTTACAGCAAGCATGGGGAAAAAACACATCCTTCCCCAGTCCCTGCTTGTGCCGTGTCCGTCTGATGCGAGTATGATAGCCTATGGTCGACTAGCGGCGAGACTACCGCCCCGAATGCCGGTTTCGCTGTGTGCTACGAGATAACCGTGGTGTCGAAGCTGGAAGTATGTCCCGTTGCCCGGGTTGTTTCCTCCTTCACCATGTTCTGCACAAAAGATCTCTCCACGTGTATCAAACGAAGCGAAGGAAATCCCAGACTTTCATGCATTGTGGCATGACCAACTCTAGAGCGCCATTGCTCATAGGACAAATGCCTTGGCTACTCCGCTTTTTTCTTTCGCTATACTTGTATTCCCCATCTCCTCGTGCCTTGAGAGGCCGTGGAGTCACTTGTCTAGCACATCCGGTGGACATATACCGGAACACAGGCAACCAGTGCACTTCTCGCTCGAAGAACATGTTTGCGGGGTTGAATGTACTGTAGTTCCTTTCTCTTCCGTGGTGCCTGTTAGATTTCAGGGTCCTCGACCGTGGTAGCAGCTGCATCATCCTAGAAAGGAGCATTGGTCGGGCTGTGCTAGCACTCGCCAAAACAGCGAGCACTCCCTCGTCCAGGGTGACTATTGTCAAAATAAAGCGGGGGCAACAGCCCTGATCATCGTCTTTAGACTGTGCTGACCCGGACCAAGACTATTGTACCATAGTCTCGGTCTCCCCACAGATCTATGAGAGAATGCTTAGCTTTGACTGGCAGTCCCGGTGGAACAAAGGTACCTGGATCATATATGCTCCGTCTCTTTTCACTCAACACAAATACAACTTCCAACGATCCCAGGTTTCTCTCGACTCAAGTGAACCTTAGAAGTAATCTATCTGACTCTCATTGAAACGGACTCGGGAATCAACCAAATATTCGTACTTGAATAAACACCAAGATGTTGAGTACACGCGACTTCTATCCCCAATCTAATCGGGACCACGCGCCGCTATTCTCTCGAGGCATGATCATGCCTCAAGACTTTGACGATGATTACTCAAGCGACCTTTACTGGCAACCAAACCAATTTGACGATGACCAAACAACTTCGACCGTAAGTTCACCACTGACGCCATCGTCTGACATCTCGACCTTCATTCCCAACTGGAAGTCATGCTCGCCCAGGCTAGAAATGGATCTGAGCAGCTGGGACGCGACACCGGAGTGGATTAAGCAGTCTTCACGTTTATGGCAACGACCCTTGGACTGCTCCGAAAGTGATGCCACAAGCGAGCATATCCGGCACAAAAAGCGTCGGTACAATCATCAAACCCCCGACTACATGCCAGCTCCTGTAAAAATTGAGTCACAAGTACCAAAGAAAGCAACGCTTAAAGAGCCAGATGTGCCGCTCCGATTTGTGACTGTGACAGCAGACAATATTTTGTCTGGTGATATCCACCGTGCGCAAGGGGAGTGGAAGCGAGGACGACCGAGGCTCAATAAACCGAATTCGAAAACGAAGGAAGCGACAGCGATTTCCTCTGAGCGAAAAGATTCAGTTGGAATGGGGATATCTCAAACGCCATCAAGTATTGGGGACCTCCCGCCTTATGCTTCAGAGCAGCCCAACCAAAGTCTCTTTCAACCTGTTTTCGACCATCTTTTAGTTACGGACCAGGAACGCACCTTCTTCTCAGCACTCTTCTCGTAAGTCCTTGGCAATGAAGAGCTGAGGCTGAAGACCGAAGCCAGACTGCCTTATCCGAGGATTGAGACAGAGGGACGGTCGTACATTCTCGTGGCTGGATGATCATGCTTCATTTTCATGAGCAAGGGACAGATTCGATTTGGTCAAGTCAAGATGGTACATCTGCAGTATTCCGCAGTCTGAAGCCAGCGACAATCAAACACTCGGATCACAAGGCAAGCAATTTGAACCGCTCATGAAGAGCCTAATGCATGTACACAAGCCGAGGACGACGATGTTATGACTTGATGACCACTAGTATGAGATCAGCAAGACTCAGAGTCATTGCCTTTCTATGGAAATATGGAAAGGGGAGTGCAGGGCCATGTAACAAACGAAGCAATTGTGACATTGGGATGAGGGTGCGAGGTGCATGAAAGGTCCACGACCTGATCAGATACACACTGAGCAATGACACAACGGGCCGTTCGAGAGAACAGAACGAAGATCGCCGCAGTTGGGAACAAATAATTGAAGATGTGTTCTTTCTATTGAAAGTCATCAGCAGGGCGATGGCCAGGGGTTGAAAATAAGGCATTCAATCCGTCGTCCTCTTGACTGATAATACATTGGGTCTGCGTTCGGACGCTCAGTAAACAAGGTAGCGAAATAGGAAACTATGCCGACATCTTGGCAGAATTTCTCCGACTTACCAAATGTTCAGCTCCAAACGTTACAACCTCGATTTTCTTTTCTACAAATAATTCGATCGCACCCACCGAAAGGTCTGATGCCTTGCTCCTTCTTGTTAGTCTTCTTCTACATGCACATACATCTCGTGTGATGCTATATGGTGCGTATAATTGTTCTCCTCAAGTGTTTTGAATGATGATTTTATACAATCCAACTCCAAGGACTCAATGTTCTGTGAGGAATTTCAACATCTCTAGAATTACGCTGACATCCTTACTATCTCCCCTGTTCTTCACACCCTGCTCAGAGTGGACGCTGACGATGAGAAGATAGTTCTGCATATTCGCTTGCCCCAAAAAACGCCTCTCGAAGATTTTGTTTGAAAAGGTACGATACAAATCCTGACCCCCCACGTCTCTCTTAATGTGATGACCCAACGACACGAAGGCATTCCTCAGACTTAATCACCATGTGGAATCTGTCTATTACAAGTTTCAGCCTTGTCTGATTTCATTTCTTGCACAATACAGTCTTGTGACCGCATTCTCCCGACATTGTGCTAACCTGCGCTTTACAATAGGTACTTCCTCCTCCTCTTATCCAAACCCTCCTTTTTCCATGACGAATACTTGAACGAACGGGCGGACAGACTGCGTGTGCAATTCTGCACATCCGTAAAAGCAAGACGTACAAATCTTGTGGGTGTGTAAAAATCTGTGACACTTGTTGAGATCTCGTCAGCTGATCGGTTGCTTCAAGAAGATAATTTAAGTATGCGACACATACGAGAGAAGCTGCTAACTGTGTATGCTTCCAGGTACATATCTCTCCAAGTCTCTTTTGATTTTTATGTGCATCATATGATGAACATTATTCACACTGTTTGAACCGAGCAAATGCTTGGCCATGAACGTATCTTACACTGAAAATTCTGATTTAATGAGGTAAGAGCTTTGATCCAACTTGATGTTGCTCTGCTGACACCTACTGACAGCCTGATTAGATGCTTTTACCTCACACATTTCTCTGCTGTCTCAAATGTGAGAAGTCCTGACTGACACCCGTGGACTAGGTGAGGATGACACGAACTTCGCTGTCAACATAGGTTGCAACTAGGTATGCACAATTGCCCCTGAATCCCACGACACCTGATGATCACATGTATTTCGCTGTGTTCTTTCCGAATCCTTTATGTTGAACATATACATCACCTTGGAGAACTGATGTTCCTTTTTGTCTCCTTCCTCTTTGAATATATGGGTGGGGACTGCACTGACAACTCAATAGTAGGGCCTTTGCTGTTTATACAGTCCCGCATCTTGAAGTTGACTTGTGGTTGAGATTGCAAAGAGCGTCCTTGTCATGAGTCAATATGGTGTACCTATTCCGCCGAGATCTAGGTATAGTTTGGCTAGATACCCAGCTATGGCGATCAGAAACCCCTGTTATGATAGCAATACCAATTTACAATCTTGAATCACTCTGCATTTCGTCGATAAGACTATCATTCTTGAATCCTCTTGTTGATCAGTCTTCTCGTTACGATCACGTGTGCGTATTTCGTAGTCTACTTCGGAGTGGAAACGCATTTTCTCCAATTCTCAATAGGTCTATCACTCCACTCGAGGCACGCAAGGTCGACCGGCATTTTTAAATCTGTAGCGAGCTACTCAAGCTGACCAAACCTCGTTCAAATTTTCAACAATCATCTTGTTCTGTCTGCGACAGCATTAACGTCCTCCGATGTCAGGTTTTGGATCTCCCGGCGGTGGTGCCGTAAACATCAAGCCCACACCTCCGGAGCGAGGCTCTTTCCCTCTCGACCACGATGCGGAATGCAAGCACCTGATCTCCTCCTACCTACGATGTCTACGACGACAGAATCCTCCCGGAAGAAACAATGAGGAGTGCAGAGTTTTGGCCAAGGGTTATCTCAATTGTCGCATGGAAAAGGGCTTGATGGCCAAGGATGAGTGGTCCAATTTAGGCCTGAATTTCGAAGAGGCGGCGGCAGGCGATGGCAAGCAGCTGAACAAGCTGGACGATCAATCGAAGTCGGCAAACAAGAGCTGATTGCTATTGGAACTATGAAACAAGAGGTTTTCAAGCCAGACCACTACACTTGTGATCTCAGCCCAACTTGCGACAGCGGCCAGATTGAATGCATGTTTTTACTTGCGGGCAGAAACACATCCGAAGGCTCACCCCTCTGCCCTGAGAGTGCTGCACTCAATGCGTTACGGTATAGGAGAGCGTATGAATAGGAGGAGCGGCATCCGCACGGCCTCGTAAAGTCATTGGCTGTGGGTCCGAAAAGTTACAAATGTCTACGATATTGGACCTATTGAGAGGGAGCGCAATCGCCGGTCCAGGAAAAACTTGCTTTGAAGAAACATTCATCCATGTTACCATACTCGGACTGCCGGTCTAGAAGTCTATGAGAACATGCGGAAGCATCCGTCACTGGGAGCACGGAGGCAAGAAAGTGAAGGCAATAGAGTGCCCAACGTCTAGCACATGTCGAGGCAACAGCAGATCTGAGATCATGCACGAAGAATATTCATACTTTGTCCGTTAGGACATATATGAAGACTTACCGGAAAAGGTGATCGTGCAGTCTGTGGAAGACATGTGCATTTGTCTTCCCCAAGTGTGCAATGGCGAACGAACGTGCTGCCGATTTTAGTTCAGAACATCGTTCCCACGAAGACCCCAGGGTCGAAGAAAAACTAACATGTGTCCTGATTGGCTGTCGGGGTATGTTTTAATAGAAAGCGACCAAAGAAGACGTGTTGCTGAGCATGGGAGAAATTGGATTTGGTGGAATTGTAAATGAATACTGTATTGTTGTACAAAACCTGGCCCTGAGGGCTGTGCCGTGTGTTTAAGGTCGAGGCCCGTTCCAGATTGTCGATCATCAGTCCAGTTTATTGGGTTGCCACTTCTGAGGCTTTGTCTGTATTTTATTCGTGTTTTGTTTGGTTTTCAAGCTATCAATACTATTACTCCTACTCCGTATGATGAACGGGAAGCCGCCGTCTCATGGGGATTCTACGTAGTCTTCTCTGTGACACTTTCTCTCAGTATGTTTGCGCGACAGTGTTCATGATACTCTAAATGCTGCAGACATGACCATGGCTATAGCGAAGCCTGATCTCGTATCCGTATTTCTTGAATCTAGAGTGTGAATCAATTCGGCATGGGCCAGAAGCCTTAGTATGAGTATATGAAACGCAAGGCATCAGGAATATCCACTATCATCGCCATCAACAACACCTCAAGCCATCCTTCAGTCACTATCCGCCCAAACTCCGTCCCGCAATGAACAGGATATCGCCACCTTAGATCATCTTGGACAAGATTACTGATACAATACAAAATACTCATCGGCTCAGACATGATTTGGCGCAATGTTAATTGGAGCAATGGCTTCAGGGCTTCAAACTTACGCTTCAAGGCCTCCCAGGGGTGGCGCAAGCTGCGAAACATCTTCTCCTTTCCCATGCTACGACTTGGGCATCATCATGAGGTATGCAAGCGAGCGTACAAGCATTCTGGCAATCTCAACCCCGGTCAAGGACTCCGTAACAAGGGTCTAACTCTACTGTACTTGTCAGCCTAGTCGCGATACAGGTGCAGATGGCCCCCAACTTGATGAAACCTTGACCTGGAAATCTAGAGTCTCTATCACCAAAATGAACGCTACGTGGCAAAGCCCAAAAGCCTGGAGATATTCGTTCGATGCCTCCTACAAAGTTTTCATTTCTGCACATTTTAACGTCAGCTATCAAGACCGAGGAGGTGCGCTTGTAAGTTGACCCTCATGTCTATGTTCAATGGCGACAAATCAACCCCCTGTCTATTCGCCCCTTCCAAGCAATGACGAAGACCACACGCAAAATCATGAGCTAGTTCATATCGACCCCTCGACACCTCCAACCGAAGAACACCAAACATCAGAAGAGAGGACTGAGCCTTTGCTGTCCTCTGCGACGACACCTGAACATGGCTCGCCTCATGAATCTCCTCACGGCTCAGTCCATCGAAACGATAGTGAGGACTCCGTTACCCAGCCGCTTTCCTCAAGACGTAAGAGCTGTTTCTCCTTGTGCGTCAAACACTGATCAGGTCAACAGCAACTGTCGCTGGCACTGTTACTTCTCCGCCGCAGAAATCAAAGTCTGGCCGGCGTCATTCTTCCTTCAGCACACTGAAGGAGCGCATACGTGGTTCCATCACACCGTCGCTCCACAATCTGCTCGAGAAAGACAGCTCAGGGAAAGGCACTTCTCGAGAGTATCGTCGAAAGACACAACGCCATCGCCTGTTGCGTTTAACTATCGGCGAGTGGTTTAACACCGTGGTACTGTGCGTAATGTACTTCGGTATCCTCTACGGTTATTCACGACAAACGGCCATCACTGTCCCTCAAAGAAGAATATTCAATGCGCTGACCACCGGCGTTTCTCTCCTCCTCGGTGTGAATCTGGCAGCTTCGCTGCGAAGTTACGCAAAACTGTTGCGCTGGCGAATATTGGCGGCATGCTATAGACCATTGGAGACTTTCGACCTGGTCATGGGCTGTGACAGCCTACTCAATTGTTTCAAACTTGTTTTCAAAGCAAAGAACCACAGGTACAAATATCTCCCCTCGAGAACGCAAATATTTTGCGTCTTGTGGTTGCTTGTCCATCTGGCCGTCACGGTCTTGGTAGGAATTATCGGCTTGAATTACAACCTCGACACATCACCATACAGGGTGCTGTTTCGAACAGGAGCTGTGAACATTCTGGACCTGGACTCTCTTTGGGGTGGGACTGATGATTCGTCTTATTTGACCGATTTGTACCAGATCCAACTCAAGGGCCTCGCAGGGATAAACGGAGACGAATACGACTTGTCCGACCTTGACAACGACTTCTCTGATGTGACCTGGGAGTTTGATGGCGACCCTCCAAATTATTTTGGCGACAGCGCTGGACGCACCGTATGGTATTTCCAGGATCTCAACGGCGACGACCTTGGAGAAGTGGCGATATCCACACGGCACATAAATACCCAAGCCAACTGTACCGGCTTCAACGTGACCGAGGGTCAGTATGGGAATCTCTCGTACGTCATCTTCAAAGATGGGGACAAGGAGGTCAACCGTTCATTACCGGCGGTGCCTGGCTATGGCAGCTTGATGGCCATCGCTCAGATGAACTCGACCTGCGGCGAGAGATGTACCAACATTGAGGGTTTCCAGGCTCTGTCGGACTTGTGGTCAATCTCTGAGGCCGTCTACTTCACGTGCACAAACACCGTTGGTAGACCCGTCGACCCCAATGTCAAACTGTCGTCCAATTATTCGGTCTCTGACCAAGTGGCGCGGATGCTTGCCGGGGCGATCGGCTGGGACAAGACGGCGCCGACTCGACTGCCAAACGGCACGTTGGAGCAGTATCAGTTGTACCAGAACATCACGACGGTCGGCTTCAACGGGTGGGTCGACCAGCCGGACGCCGACACTATGGGTGACATCATTTCGAGCTTCACGACCGGTCTCATCGCGACGCTAGACGCGGGACAGGATCAAACCTATCGGAAAAACGTCGACGACGGCAGGCAACCGATTCCGGCGCAGATATTGAAGGTGACGTGGAGGTACGCCGGCACCATCCTGGCCGTCATCCCATTCATCCACGGCTGCACGCTGGTGACGGTCATCCTATGGGCGAACAAAGCGATCATCAAGGACGACAGTCATCTCGCCATTGCAAAGGTATACCACACCTTCCTCGGCCAACTGGGCGAACAGGGATGTTTACTCCGCGGCGATCAAATCGTCAAAGTGCTGGCGAACCCTGACGTCGCTTACGGCTGGAGAGAGAGCACCGAACAGGACGGTGCGATGCATGTTGACGTGTTTGAGAAGGGCCGATACCATCCCAGAGTTGAAAAGCCCTTTGTGGAGGGATGGTACGATGGGAACAGCAAAATCTCCATCGTGACCGAATCGGAGAAGGTTGTCAGCCAAAGAAGAAGACGATATAGAGACTTTGATGCGGCGGATTACTTTTGATGGCACTGTTCTACGGAGTCTTGATTCTGGATCGGTTTCCATTGGCCCCGGGGGGGTTGGCATTTGGCCGAGTTTGATTATATTTCAAAAGGTATACTTTTTTTGGGTGTGTACAACAGTCGGAGGGTTACATATCTAGATGTCTATGGAAGGATAGGGATACATATACCTTACAAGATGTATCAAGAATTGTAGCCTCGGATGACCACTTCCCACATCTGTAGCGTGGCCATTTCCGGAGAATGAGGCACGCCTGATGTGCCCAAGGTACCTGGAGAACCCATGACAAGTCGCGCCTAGAACGCCTAATTTGTGCCCCGTAGTTGACGTAGTCGTCCCGCTAAGGACGAAGATCTCGGGCCCTGAGCTTAACTAGACGTGACCCTTGAATCGCCCCATCGACTTGAAAGTCCGATACTATTGTGAAAATAAAAATAAAAAATATAAAATGAATGACGTTCAAGCTTCACCTTGATTGGGAACAACACACACCGGTCTGTCGCTACCATAATCAACGATCCCTCCCGATCACCGAGTGATATGTCACGATGGAAATAGCACCGGCCGTATAAGAAGTACCTGTTCCTTCACCAGGTCCAAGATATAATATCGCAAGGCAAAATCGGTGTGCTGTACAAAGCTTCTACAATTTTGCTTTAGGTCGTTGTCATCAACACCTCGGTTCAATTCAGTTCTCTCGCCGACTTAATATTGAATTGACAACGATCAATAGAAACGGGTCAATGCAATGCGTTTGGCACATTTGCACATCCCTCGTCTGATCTCCTATGGCCATTCATTGGCGTTGCAGAATGCCTTGCTCCAGCGGCAATTCAACTACAAGGATACCATCCGTGCCCACAACCCGGTCAACTCATCATCATCATCATCATCATCATCATCACCGCCTGATCCGACACTGTTGACATTCTCCACCGACCCGACGTACACGGTCGGTCGGCGCCACCTTCTCGCAAACCCCATCTCCCAATCCCAGCAGGACTTTTTGACCGCCGACGGTCTGGCGAACTTCCGTGCCTCTCCGAGAGGTGGACTGTTGACGTATCATGCCCCGGGACAATTGACGGGTTATGTCGTTGCGGATCTCCGCCGGCACGGAATCACGGCCCGATGTTGGGTGAAGATGTTGGAAGAGAGTGTCATGCGAACTTGTGGAACCTGGGAGGTTCAAACGATGAGGACTGATGACCCGGGGGTTTGGATCAAGGATGACGAGAAAGACCAGGATGAGCGGCCGAACTCGAAATTGACCAAAAACTCAAAAGACCGCAAGATATGTGCCATTGGCGTACAAGTCTCGCGAGGCATCACGTCACACGGTGTCGGCCTCAACGTGTTTGACGCACCTTTTCCACCTTCGTTGAAGGATGGCTACAAATTCACGGAAGCCCAAAAACAATCTCAAAGTTACGACCAACGCAGCAAGGGGTATCTCTCATGGGGTTTCAGTAGAATCGTCGCGTGTGGGTTGGAAGGGAAATCGGTGACATGGCTTGCACGTGAAGGTGGTGGTCAAGACGCTTCACAGCCCCCGACGCTTATTGAAGACGTGGCGGATGTTTTCGCACGAGAGGTCATGCTTGGAATCAACAAGATGAAGGGTCAAGAGAAGGAGGCCGTGAAGGAAGTCTATCGGATCGATGAGAGTGACCTTCTTCCTGCTACGGGAGATTGAGTTGAGCGAGGGAGAGAGTGAGAGAAAAAAGTCACCCTGGGGGAAGGGAGATGGGCAACCACCATCACCAACACCACCACCAGCTGGTCATCCTTTCTTTTTCCAATTCCATGCAAGTCAGCAAGCCAGCCAGCAAGCCCACTAGGGCGACTGCATTTCCGACGGCCCATGCAACTGGAGCCGAAGGACTTGCTGCATCATTGGCGAGATTGTTCAATCCGAACGGAGCATGAGTGTGACGAACTTGCGGTCATTTATTTGGTGGCTTTTTTCCTGGCGATTGTGGTCTCGATCACCGCACAGGACGAGAGAAAAAGAACAAACTCGTACGGAAATCCTCAACGGAGCAGTGGTGCGGAGACACACGCTTTTGGGACACCGGCACTAAAAAAGCCCCTGCAATGGCTTGCTCGCTCCCCCTCCAAGGAAGCGAGCTCCTCTTTCTCTCTCTCCTCAGCCCTGTCAATCCGGAAATTGAAAAAAGAGAAGAAAAAAAAGGCTCATGTCCAGCCAGGGCATGTCGCCACCCGACAAGCATTACGTACAGGCGCCAAATTGAAGAGAAGAAGTGAGGCGGACTCGACACCAGAACGACTCCGTACGTGTTGCTTCGTTTGGACAGAGAGAACGAAAAGAGAGACCACAGGGAGCCGGAGTCAGAGTCACCCGACCCCCCGCTTTCAAAAATGCAACATCATCAGACGGGTGGCTTGCGCCGTGGGAAGTGGCTCGCGTCAAACCCTTTTGCTGATGCAGAGGTGCCCTTGATCAGGGAGGGGCGTTCCGAACCAACGGGTCAAACCACCAACACAGGGGGCAAAGGTGGTGCTATTGTAACGATTACTGTACAGTGTCTTGCGGTGACCTCTCTTGAAAGCGTCTCTTTTTCATTGGTTTCGAAGGCGCGTGTGTTGTGGGTAAGGAAGATGTTGCCCGGGGGTAATTGTACAGTACTTTTACGGTGGAAACGACAAGAGCATGCAATAGACCTTTTTGGGGGCACAGCACTGCGCCTGGCAGCCTGGACACATTCAACAATAGGAGCACATGCTCGCGTCCGCGCCCGCGCGCCTCTAGAGAAGGTGGCGAACGCCTTGACGGTGGAAGGAGGGGGGTTGTTGGGTCCTGTTTTCCTTTTTTTTTGCCGCCATTCAGACGGGAGCTAGTAAACGCCTCTGGCGTTATTTGGGCGTCTCGTGATTATTCACCAACGCAGGTGTTTAGCAAGCGTTTTATAAGCGATTCAAAATTTCACCACAGCTTCACAAAGTTGAGAGAACGAGTAAGCCGGTGGTGATGGTGCTACTTTGTGGTTTTGTGGTTGGGAGGAGGAGGAGGAGGAGGAGGAGGAAAGTGGTGGTTGCAAGGATTCTATAAAGTTATAAAAGAAGGAGTACGGAGTTATGGGAGTTGTAGTAATTAGAGAGTATACACTCCAAGGTACTCGTACTTCAGCCAAGGTACTCGTACTTCAGCCAAGGTACTCGTACTTCAGCCAAGGTACTCGTACTTCAGCCAAAGTACTCACTTTCCTACCTACCTACCCAACATAGGTACGGAGTACTTGTATAATCATGTATTCTATACTTCCCACCTAGGTCTCTTTATAAGTACTCGTATCGTCCACGTCGAAAAGCGACGCTTTGTATTGTCACTCTAGCATTTTCTTGGTACGGTCACTAAAGAGCAACGGCGGAGGTACAAGATCCGAAAAACAAGTCGTGGACAAATTCTCATCTCATTCGATGCTTTCCCAGGTTTTAGTAATCAAATCAGACTCTACGGAGTAAACGGCATCACAACCCCCCCTTCTCCCTTCTCCCTCCCCCCTCCCCCCCAAAAGAAACTCTGAACTTCCGTCGTACTCCTGGTAAAGAACGGGTTCGGTTCGGCCCACGCCAAATAGATAGATCCCTTCACTTAGGTTCGTTCCCCTTCCCTTTGCCTTAGTGAAAAGCTTGCTTACCGGAAGCTTGAAATACTCTACTGTAGATACGTAAATAGCAAACTTGGGGATCATACTTTGTACCAAAACCGTATCAGGTACTTCGCACTCGTGCCGAATACTCCTAGTTGAAAAATCATTCGATTAGGGTCGAGTCGTACTCGCTATGAATTGAATTTGGAGTGCAAGTCCACTCCATGTGAGAAGATTTCCTCTTCATCAGGATCTGTCATCCGTGACCCATTGAATGGAAATTTATCCTCCCCCATCGGCGCAACATCTGCCATGGGCTGGGAGGGACCGAGTGCGAGTCAATGGTTCTGAGGTCCTCATGACACGCCCTCGAGTCCCAATTTCTATCTTGTTCGTTAGACAATTTGTCTTTGCGGTAATGACAGACCTGGGCTTTGCTTTTGGTCGAACGTTTGGCCGAACGAGAAAGAAGCCCAGAAAAATATTAGACTTCCACGCTGATATCAGTAATGACCGTTCAAGTTCCCATCGCTTTTTGTTTGAAGGAGAAAAATAAAATAAAGAAATCCTTCATCCCTGCAACCGAGACTACCTTTTCTACGCCACAAGCATCAACACCCAAGTATTCATGTAGAAAAAGACAGGCGCCATGGGTATCCGCACTCGACTGTTTGTTTTTGTAGCATCTCCTCTTCCTTTTCAAGGTGCTGCTCTGTGGCTCTCCATTCACTGTGCAACAAGCACACTTCTCAGGGACCATCGACACTATCTGACTCCGTGACATGATGGTCGATTCATTCTTGCTTGCCATATTGCTCTGCGGCGTTCCAGATGGAAGGTTGGAAGTGAATGTTGGTGAAATGAGCGGTCGATTGAGTGGAACTGCATTCATGAATCAACAATTGCCAAACCCAAGCCAAGAGATGGCTTCAGACATACTTGCCAAACGTCCCGGCATCTAGTGGAAGGCTCTGGTGTTGGATGTCTGGTCGATAGCAATTAGCAGTATAGCGAATGCGAAAGTCTTGAGGCTTGGAGTTGCTGCTCTCTGCTGAAGCCGGTGTCGATGGCGAGGGCGACACTGATCGGTTCCATACAGGAGCTTGTGAGTTTGTTGGAAGCGCAGCAGAGGAAGAGTAGCTGCGTTGCAGAGCCGGCTGTGTTCTGATGGCCAAAGCCGGAGGGCTTTGATTTTGCTGTTGCTGCCCACTGGACATTGTGGCCGTCGGAAAATACGATGTCTGAGCCAGAAGAGCTGGGTCCTCAAATACCATCGGTGGAGCTTGTTGGTACGGGGAAGGGTATGGATTCATCGGAGAAGTTGGTGATACGTTGACCATGTTTTGTGAAGGCATGATATTTGCACCGGGAAACACGAATGAACGCAGATTAACACCATCCATGCCGCCGCGGATGAAATTCTCCCCATAAGCTGGAACATACTGAGGTGTGTGGCTCTGCATGAGAACTTCGATCGGCTTGTCATCCTTGTAGATGATGTCGTAATGGCCACTGTTACACAGTATCAGCAATCTCATCCAACACAACAATGACTTACTCACGGTCTGTAAATCAAGCTGATACTTGGCCAGTTCTGAGAGTCTTCGACAAATCTGTGTGGAGTGACTTCATCCCCTGCGCTTCTGTCCAGATACAGCACCTCCAGCCCGATATATGCTGGGGCAATCACAGCGTCATTCAGAGCTTGTAGACCAATGTGTTCGATTTCTTGATTTGACGGCTCGATTCTAGAGTGGCAGTAGCCCGAGACCGCCATGTCCATGAACGGTGCGTAGCGGTCCGAGTTGACTTGCATGAACGAGCTGGTCATCATCTGTACCGCATCAGAAGCTATCCACGGCAACCAACACGTTTGCACGCACCTTGAAGTGATAAACAATGGAGTTCGAAGGGCCTTGGTCATTGAAGGCTTCCATTAAAACTTTCTCACTCCTGTCTCCGTGTTCGATTGCGGCTTTGATTGCATCAAATAGATCCCATGTATAGTCGAACATGTCAAGAATGATGTCGTAGTCAATACCAACAGCTCGCATGGTTTGCTCGAAGCCTTGAAGGCGTTCCTTTTCTCTTGTGACAAGGCCAATATTTCCGGAACTCAGCAGGATCTCGAAGTACGCGAAGACGGCGCCTGCAGACATCGACAATCAGTATCTCAGTCAACTCTTGAGCAGGAATCTTTGTACCTCGCCAGCCACACTGACCGTCACCTTTGATCGAGCGATAGGAGTTGTGTGTCACGGCCAGAGCCTGGGGTGTCATCAGTATAGGCCTCATTTTCGAGGAAGGACCCAACTTACTGTTGTTTTCACGACGTAGGTCTGATCAGCCTGAGCATACTCTGTAACAAGGTCGGATACAGGTCTTGTCTCGCCGACAAGTGGTCCCTGGCACATGTTAGTGGTGAGCTCGAGCACACATGGAGAATACCGGACTCACAGGCAGGTCGGCCTGGTACTGGTCAGATAAACGCTGGAACTGCTCCATTTCGTCGGCATCCGGGGTAGCCATGGTGGATGCTGTATGTGTGGACGGAGGCGGTGTATAGTAGCCGTGGTTAGCGTAAACGCAAGCAGAGTTCTCGTGGGTGAGATGCTCGTAGGGGTGGGAATAAAAAGGTTGGGCTTGAACGGGCCAACCAGGAGGTGCAGGGTAAGAACCGTAATGACTGTGGTGTTGGACTGGAGACCAGTGTAAGCTAAATGTCATTTCCCGGTCTTGCTCCTGGGTTGGGATTTCTCGGTGTAGGGACTATCGACAGCACGAGACTGGCGATGGAGGGCCGTCGATTCTGTCAAAGAGCTCTTCCTCTGGCCCGAGAGAGTAACTAGTGAACCGCAAGTGAATTACTGTTGACCTGAGGATGGACAGACAAATTCAAGAGTGTTTGGATCGAGACGGCGAGTGAAAGCGTCGACAGTCTCGTGGGCTGTGGGCTGTGGGCTGTGGGTTAGTTAAAGAAGGCTCGTGGCAAGACAGTCGGCTCGTCTCGTCGGAAAAGTGGTTCTAATAGTTCACTGGGATCAACGAGACAGGAGAAGATCCCAGCCTAACAAAGGTTCTTTCCAAGTGACAGGAAAGATGTCGATGGAAGAGTGGCAGATGAACTGGACGGACGGGATTGCGGTCAGAGGCTGCCGCCTCCTAGGTATGCAGGGCTGCAGGATCCCCGTGCGTCTCGTAGTGTGTTTTGAAGATGGTGATGGTGATTCCAGCGGTGGACCAGATGGCGACTGGCAATGGCGGGCAAGGAACAGCTTCATCTGCACCCAATAGCGGTGCAGATCTGGTGGAAGAGCTAACCAGGGATCATGGGTTGTGGGCGGGCTCTCCTCTTTTTGAGATGGCGCAGGGAAGCGATGGCATGGCCGCAAGAGGGATGAGGAACGAGAGAGATGGTGGAGGGATTGGACGCAACAGCGGTGGATTTTGGTTGAGATGGATGTGTGAGGTCAGGTCGGTCAGAGTCAGTGCCATGTCAGTCGGTTGAGATGGAGAAGAGTCGGAGCAAATGTGAGAGGCGAGAGACACCCCGGCCTTTTCGCTGGGGCTACTGACCTCACCAAATGATTAGCCTCACCACTCCCTCGACTAGTCGGCTGCAACAGTGTTCTCTCATTTTTGCTCAATATTTGGCCTCTCTAGGCTAGGCATGCCCTCTCACTGCCCGTAGCGAGGTGCATCCAGGCAAATCCAAGGATAGGCACGATGGGTCGCTCTGCCTGCTTATTCGTTTGGCGGTTGCAATCTCGTCATCCTGGTCGATTTTCTACTCATAGAGGAAGGTTTGTCTATCTCGACCCTTGAAAATGGTCGCTCAGGTTCGCCTAGATGCAACCAGACGAGATGATCCGAAACAGACAGTCTCTCCGCTTCCTTTCCTACCCATGAACGGGCGCCGTCGTGGCCGCCAGTGTCGCTTAAGCCCCGCCTGAGTTGCGGATGAGAACAGTGCAACTTCCGCTACCAATGGCCTCTATCCTGTCCCCGACCCTTGTACTTGCAGACCTTTCCCCCCCTCCAAGTACGGGTACTACGTGGTACAAGTCCTGTCCAACCGCGACTCTAGTCTGTATGGGGATATTGTTCACCACCACGCAGTCTTCGACCTGTCCGCAATGGGCCAGGCTGCCTGTCTACTTTGTGGTTAGCCCGCGAGCCTTGTGCCTTTTCTCGGCCGCACAGCTCGACTTTATCACGAACCGACAGCGATCATGGAGATACAAGTACAAACTTGGTCGAGGCCTGGTGGCCCCGAAGAGTGCTTGGCCCGTTAGGGCAAGGTTTGCCGGGTCGTGGCCAATGCAAGCAAGGGTGAGCAACCATTTGTCACGGCTGATGTGCGCAACACATGCAACCAAACACTGGCGTTGTTGGCGAGAGGCTGGCAAAGAGGCGTCTATTAGGCTAGCTATGACATTCCCAAGCAACCTCCGATAATGCAGGTCGCAGATGGCACCGACAGGTCGAGGCTAATGGCGTCTGGATGATATCAGGACCTCACCTCGCCCGCCCGGGGTTCCCCTACATCACGCCCCATGTTGCATCCTTCCTTGCGTGTCTCCATTGTTCAGGACTGCCCCGGTTTCCCTCGCCTTCCATAAGGCCGGGTAGAACCAAGCTTCCGAATAAAGGCAAGCTCCAGATCGTCACATTTTGAATCACCGTCCAGGCTGACAGCTCATCCTTGTCTCGAATCCTGGTCTTGCGTGATTACATTTCCACTCTCGTCGCCGGGTATTGTTTCCATTCTCTCGACCACAAACCCACACTCTCTGTTTGTGGCTGCCGCAGTAGGTCTTTCGGAGCTCGAAATGCCTTGCAGGCTGCAGCAGGCGACGCCCCCAGATGCACCTCGCACATAGGGGACTCTTGGGTACGAGTAATGTAGTTGCGCTGCGTCCAGGCCTGGTCTTTTCTGTAGTGGGCGTCGAACCCATTGACCAGTCGGGCTCTCGGAACTCCTTTGCGCGAGGAGCTGAATGCAAAACTTCTTCTGCCAGGGTATCAAATTGCTACTGCGCTGTGATCCAATATACAGCCCAACGCATCATCTCAAAAAACGTTGACCGCTGGATAAGCCGGCATTTCCGCTGCCTTTCCCAGGAGACAATGACAGGGGGGAGATGTCTCATCATCGGCAAAAGTTCTGAACATACGGAGTAAAGTTTTACGAGCCACAAGTTTCCGCTGCCCGAAATGCAGGGACCTGGCAACGCAAAAAGCATCCGCCGCGAGTCATGTCAGTTCTTTTTCTTACTTTCCTCGAGGCAGACAGGGACAGAAATTCCACGACGGTACGTCGGTCACTCCACACCCGGGACGTACTGTGGAGTTTACACTACGGACTCGTATCGAAGTACAGGCTTTCATACTTCCCGCACCGAAGGAAATGTAGAGTTTAAACCACTCGATGTCGTTGTCGTATCGTTATCCTCCCCTCGTTTCCACAGGTGGATCACTGCCCTGTCCAACTCAACAATGGGATTTGTGCATGATTACGGTGGAAAATTGAGTCTTTTGTTTTGTGATGTTTTTTGGACATGCAATGTACGAAAAACCGGAGTCAAGAAAGTACCCAAAGCTCGCTTTCCCATTTCCTTTTTGATTTCCTCCGTACCCCGTGACAATAGATATTGACTCTTTTTGCCCGCCAACACAAACGAGGGCGCTAGCGCTACGGAGTACCAGTACAGTAGATAGTGCCATTGCCGAGGGGGAAGAAACTGATATATCAGATATTCTTTTGAGGGGGCCCCTGACCCTACCTGATTGAACAGGGACGGAACGAAACGAAATCGAAAACCAAAAGGATCCACCATACGTATATATTCATTCACCTTAGGTACTCGCAAAGGTGGCCTTTCACTTTTCCAATCTGGAGGAACCCCGAATGGGCTTCACTCACTCAACGGAGGGTTTGTACGACTGCAATAAGATCACAACAGCTCACAGTCTACACGACACACTACTCCACGGCCTGACGTGTCGCGGCACATCTCGAAAGGAAGCGAAGCCTAGATTTTGTGCCGGCTTCGGCTAGGGCCGCTTCTGACGGTCGATCATCGTTCATTCCCTCTGCCTTGGGTATGGAGTACAGCAAAGTCAATTTCTTCTGGACCTACTTTTCACACCCATATGCCGGGCTACAATTATTCTGGCGGTCTTTTCCTAGAATCGTACATACAAACACCGCATATGGGCGGCTGCCAGGCCTCATCGGTCGTCCAATGTCAGTCTCACCCCTTGACCCATATCACTTGACAGCAAACGTCAATGAATCGCCCTTCCCCCTTGAGCACTTGAACCTTTGTGCTGGGTAAAAGGCCCGGCTCGGGTGCAACCAATCTTTCGAGCATGGGTGCTGCAGGTCCCAGACTTCCTGCCTATCACATTGCGCCCGGTTTGACATAAAACGCATCATTTGCCCAACGCCACAAATTTCTGCTTCCCATCACCCGGATTGGCATGTTGTCGGCAAAGGGGGGCGAATATGTCGGTCGACCTTGACAAGGGCCAGTGAAGTGAGTCACCCGACGCTGGCACATCCAAGGCCCAACCGCGGCTTCTACTTCGACATCCGTAGTTCGGTGGCTTCGCTTCTTCCTCGCCGCATTTTCTCTCAAACAGGCGGCACAAGTGCCTTCCCACCTCCTCGCCCTCCGCGAGCTCCGCGAGTTCGGTGACCTGATCCACGGCTAGGAATGGCATTACCAGAATCATTTGCCATGGGGTAATTCATTAGTCCACCGAAAGAGCCTGATCCCTGTGCTTCTTCGCTCCTGAAACCCTCGCCCTCGTTCAGAAGTGCCGAACACATGCCGTCAATCGCTGAAGTCCAGTCGCATAACTTGGCCAAACGTACCGTGTCCTCTGCACTGGTGTCCACTTCAACAGTGCCGTCATCCTGGTTGATCTTCGCTCGCAGCTTCTTGTCGACAATCAGTACGCCCAAGATATCTTGAACTTCACTGACAGGGATCTTGACATGTTTGGAGATGAATTGCAGAGTGAAGCGCGTATATGGGGCAATGAGCTTCAGGACAGCCTTGCTGCGCATGTTACGACTGACCTCATCTATGTTTTCGGCGATGAACGGGTCGGCCAACAGGTCTTGATTATCCTTCAAGATAGATTCATATGTGTGGATATCATCGCGCTCATAGGCATTGACGAGATCGGTCATGGCCGAGATGCGCGGGTCGTTTTTGTAGGGCTTCGTCTCTTGTGAGTCGAACGGGTTGATGTGTGACTGCATCAGCATGGTTGTGAGCACAAGATACTTCAGCACCTGAATTCTCTGCATAGATCCGGCCTCGTCGTAGTTTTTGAATGACTCGAAAAAGTCGCTCTGTGCTTCTTTCCAGTTCTCCTCGCTCATGTGCATCTTGCCTCCGCACTCCCGGATGATGCCCTGTACCTTGGGATGTGGTACGGCCGAACGGACCGTCAGAGCCTTCTGGTACAGCGACTTCAGACGCTTGTTGTTCTTCATCTCGGCGTACATCTGAATCTCCAATGCATAAGCTTCCAACGAATACGTCCCTTTGCCAGGGTCATCTGTTCCATCTTCCCGCTGGCAGGCCTTGTGGATCTCCCTCACTTTATTCGTGAGTGATGTGTAGTCTTGCTTGTCCAGATACAGTTTTGCTAGCTTGACGTTTGTCTTCAGTGCCAATCTCTCGTTGTTCGTGGCCTGGAATGTGTCGAGCGTAAGGGAGTAGAATTCTTCCATGCACCGATACGCGGATTGGTCGGTGCCCGAGGCCACTTTTTCAATATAGTCGAGCATGTTGTTGATGGACTTCTCGGAATAGTTGCGCGTCACAGCGGACTTGACGTACGTGAGGAGTTGCTTGTAATGTTTAATGGCATCTTCGTATCGGCCAAGGGCGAATTCGAGCTTGATGGCTTGCTTGAACCCTTTGAAACCCCAGTCTCCCTTCTCTTCCTCGAGGTCCGGCACGCCTAGGAACTCGGTTACCGCTTCCTCAGGCGAATCGGCTTTGAGCTGTTTAGCATTGTAGTATTTGTTCTCGATGTCGACGTCGCCAGAGCCCGACAGGTCGTCATCATCTTCATATTCGAAGTCATACCTGTATTTTGTTAGCTCTGTCCGACGACGTCCTGGATTGTTGATAGAGGGGTCACTCACTGCTCTGCGTCAGAGTCTTGCATGAAATCATCGTCGTCAGACATGTTGTTGATGAGGGGCTGAAGTTGCGTTTGTCAAGAGATGTGCGGATTCAGGTGTTCCTGTTTCAATTTGCAGCGGTGAAGAATATGGAAAACAGGCCAAAGAAGAGCGAGCAATTCTGAAGGCCTTTGTCAGTAAAAGGCCGGCTCTATGTTTGATAGTTGTCACTCAATTTGTCTGCGCATGTGCTGCGTACTAGACAATTCAGTAGGCATATCCTTGATGATGTGAATGCGGAGAAAGACACACCGGGTAAGCCTAGTGAGCTTAGGTGCAATGGGCGATCGCTGTGTTGCCTACGGACTGCTTGTTAGTGGCCCTTATCGAGCCTTGGCTACCTGAGTTATTAGTGGCCTAAAATCGTCCGGGCTGCTGAATCACCAAACTTCTGCGGCGAAACTGCGCCCACCAAGTATTGTGCCGCTTTTACTCTGTACGCCACACCTTGACTTTTCTTCTACATCCATCAGAATACCGACATCTTGCTGTGTTGACTTCGACAAGCAAATCCAAGATGGGTGGCGATCTCAACCTCAAGAAATCATGGCATCCCTCACTGATGACCAACCAGAAAAAGGTATGGGAGCAGGAACAACGAGCGCTCGACGAGCGCAAAAAGATCGACCAGATCATGAAAGAGCGCGCAGAGGAAAGGGAGATTCAGGAGCTCGAGGAACTTCAAGAGGCAGCTGGTGGAAAGAAGAGACAACAACGTGTTGAGTGGATGTACTCCGGACCTTCAAGTGGACAGTTAGGGACCAGTGAGGAAATGGAAGGGTATCTGCTGGGTAAGAGAAGAATTGATGGTCTTCTGAAAGGCGCAGAGAGTGAGAAGTTGCAGAAGCCTACGACGACAGATTCGTTCATGGCTGTGCAAAATGCGAACAACTTGCGGGACACCGCAGCCAAGATCCGAGAAGACCCAATGCTCGCGATCAAGAAGCAGGAACAAGCAGCATACGAGGCCATGATGAACGATCCAGTCAAGCGGAGGCTGTTGATGAAGGCGGCAGGTGGCGGAGACCAGGACGGCGAAAGAGAACACAAACGAAGGAAACACAGGCATCACCACAGGCATCGCGACGATCGTGACAGACATGAGAAGAGTCGATCACACAGAGACGAGGCCGATGATCGACAAGGACGAAGCAGACATCGCCGTCGAAGGTCATATACACCCTCCGAGTCACGATCACGGTCTCCACCTCGTCGGGTAGAAAGATCTCGCTCACGCTCTCGCTCTCCCTATCAGAAACGTCACTCATATGCAGATGATGAACGACGGCAACGACCCCGCTCACGTTCCCGCTCATATTCTCCGCCTCGGAGAGATGGACATGGGAATGGCGTACGGAAGATGCAGAGTTGGCACGAATCAAGACCAGAACGACGGCGCTCGCCATCACCAGGACGTGGTCGTAAGAGAGACGAGGACGATGCGGATGATAGAGCAGCGAAACTCGCAGCCATGCAACAAGATGCCGATAACCTTGATGTACAGAGAGAACAGCGATTGGCCGGTATTGCAGAACGAGAAAGAACGGAGCGAGAACGCGATGACGCTGCTCGAATGCGAAATGCCAAACATGGAGGGCGCGCTGATTTCGTGGACCGGTTCCATAAAAAGGCTGGCGATTTGACATTAGGACAACGTATGGGAAGGAATGGTGTCTCACAGAGGGATGGAGATGAGTAGGCCATGAGGAAGTAGAATAATGAGAAACATTGATCCCAGACATTCACATGAAGCATCTGGTCTAGAGTCTCGATACATAAATTGATGTGTAAAGTGGCAGCCTCGTGGCAGTACAAGCAACGGTCGCACTGCTCCGAGCTCTCGGCACGCTCACGCAGACGGTGCCGCTTTTAAGACGACCTGCTCTCGACTCACCCTCTTCTCACTTTCCTCTTACCCTCCCCCTCACGCTCTCCTGCACCTATGCAGCGACGGTCTGACTTCTACTGTAAGTCCCCCTGGCAAGCCCGGTCCCAAGATGAGTCTCTAATTGGCGACGACTAGGGCGGCTTCTTTTTTGGGCCCCTACGAAGGGGTCTTAAATTTTATACCTGAGATCGGTTGTGTGACCATTGGCGCGGAAATGCCTGGATTTCAACACCAAATCTGTGCCTAGCATGCCGTCGAGGTGATGTGTAAAGCCTTCAGTAAATGGCACAGTTAGCTAAAGATTCATGGCGGAGTAGGTCGAGACAAGGAGCGCGGCGAGCCTCTCAAGAATTTGACCTGAGAATATGTTTACTCCAACTCTTTCAGTGAACTTGAGATCAATCGAGAAAGGGTTTGTCAAAGTCTTCATCGGCCTGACTATATTAGACAGTATCGGGTTTCGAAGGAGCGCAGAATCATTCGAGTCTATTCCCGTCAACAGATAAACCTAGACTGTTATTTAACTCAGCGATTAGAATCATATTATGTCCCAATGAAACAGATATTGAATAGTCAAATAAGTCTAGAGGTCTCGACAATTCGGCTCTGTTCAACAGTGATTAGAGTCATCCAAAATATAGACGGGGAGAAGAACAACTCGATTGTTACGTCTCGCTCCACCTAAGGATGTCACTGCACGTAGGGTTTCTTGGCAAGTGGGAAGTATAGGAGGGACGAAGTCTCGAAGAGCGTGTAGTATATTGAGCGTACTGATATACTAGAAGCGAAGTGATCACAACCAAAACATATGAGTATGATCGTGAACGAAGTTAACTACGTGGTAAAGCTATGTAATGACCGTGTATATATAGTTCGTCGCGCTCAGTGTTTTTCAGTGTGTCTTAGTGGTAATCAGCGAGGATCAGGCTGATTCTCACTGAGCTCCACTGAGTACCACTGATTCCGCTGATCCTGGTCACGTGGCAGCCAATGCGGTTTATTCGAGGGTTCTGTCCGCATGCAGAGCAAAGGAAGGGGTTTAACAGAGCGCTCTTGGAGAAAAATGCTCCTTCTGGTGGTCTCTTGTCGAAAGAAAGCCTCCGTGGCGTGAGGATTGTGTGCACTTGGTATGTCAGTTTAAGGATGAAAGGTTCTATGTCTCATTAACAAAAGGCCCTGGGTACTGCTCTACTATATAGGCTAGGTACAGTAGGAAGTGCTACACAATAAGGAGGCAGAGGTCGATGTCCCCAGGTTTCCAATATAGGAGAGATTCTCTGCACTGCGACATAGACCAACGCGCCCCAGAATATTTGTCCATTCTCTTAAAGCAGTGCTTTTACATAGTCCGAACAGAAGCGTGAAGAGACACAATAACAGTGGCCAAGCTGTGAGCTAAGCTGTGAAGAACTGTGCTCATACCTCGAGAGAAGCTGACGTGGTGTGGCCGCTTTGAGTCACTCTGAGATGATCAGCGAAAGGACTATGAGGAACACCACCACCCATGCCGATTGGCTTCTCGTCGATGTTGGTGTGGCTGCATTCTCATCTCCGGATGAGCCGCTACCTGGTTTGCTGATCACTGTACCATTGACTACGCCGATGACAGTTCCATTGCTGAAGGCCTCGGTGTCACCAAGATCGAGACTGACTTCCGGGAAGTCCAGATTTGTGTTCTTGAGCATATAATCGGAGCCATTTTTCAGGAGCCAGTCAAAGAAAGTCACAATATAAGTGGTGACGATATGATGTGCCCGGGTGCCATTCATGCTTGTGAGTTCGAGGCTATCCAAAACGGTTTCATTGGTAGGGAAAATTCCAAGCAGATCAAGAACTAGGGGAAGGTCTGAGTCTGCATGTCCGTCAGTGACCATCATAGGCAACTTCGAGGAGGGCATTTGGTACTTACAAGTGTAATGCGCAGCGTCGTTGACGATCAAGTCAAAGCTCGGGCCGCGAAGATTTGACCAGAAAGCTGCCCAGTTTGTCACGTTCGCAAGTTTGCCATCTCGAGTCTGACCTGAGACAGCCATGAGCATGAACGGCCTGTCAAGACCCTGACTGACAACATGGCCGGTAACGGCACCATCCATGTTGACAGCACCAGCGATCCGAGTGTCGTTCAGCAGGAGAGTTGCGCCTGCACTACCACCGATCGAATGACCAAAATAGCCGACATGGGTGGTGTTAAGGCACGAGCTACAACCAGGGATCACTGAAGCTGCAAAGGAATTGTTGTTGAATGAGGTTACAATGAAACTGGCATCTTGTGCGCGAACGTTGACATCAGCAATTAAGAAATGTTCCACTGCCGTTGCATTGGTTGTGTCTAAAGCGGCGGTCACTGTCTCACTCGCAGTTATGTTTTCCCCATTCGGATAGACGACAATATCGGTATCGTAAGGCGTGTCTATAGTAAATCAGCGGTGTGTCAAGCAGCAACGACGCGAACCAACAGACCATATGCAACAACGACATAGCCGGTCGATGCCACCTGGGAGAGGAGAGCGCTGTAGAACAACCGACTTGTCCCTAGCGCACAGCCAAAAACAAGGATCGGCCATCCACCATCGCCTTCAGGTTGAGCAACTTTCGATCCGTTTGCCGCAAGTTGCATTGAGAGCTTCTGAAACGTCCCAGGCTTGGAATCAAGCCCACTCTGTTGAGCTTGGGACAAATCCTCAAAGATGGCGGTATCCGTATCCATATAAGGGCGTTTGACTGTTTCTTCGTCGTGGGTGGGATAGAAAACGGAAAGCATCAGAGCCGGGACTTCCACTTCAGGAGCATATGGTTGTATTGAGTCTGGGTTTTTCAATTCCAAGATGCTCAAAGCAACTGTATAGGTCCCATTTGGTGCCGGGATCACCACTTGTGCCCCTATGAACGGTGACCAAAGTGAAATGGCCACAACGAGCCGGCAGGTGATACTGACCATCTCGACGGATGGGCAAACGACAACTGATTGAGTAGTACCTGTAACTGTAATTGAAATCGAGAGTCGTGGAATGCTCAGCTATAAAAAATCAAACAGACTTTCGTTTCTTCATAGCAACAATCAATCGGCCGTAGTACTAAGAAATATGGAGAAGAAACTTTCAATGGAAAGCCATAGTTCAGCACTCCGACCGTTGTATTGTACCAGGTTAAAACGGTCTGAGCGCGAGTACCAGGTGTCCCGAGCGCCAAATCATGGCCTTGTGAGGTTCTGGAACATCCTTGTAGAAAGTTTTCGAGATACTGTAACGTTGATCGGACAGTAGCGACGCGTGAAGAAGATATAATATTCAAGAATGGAGTAACCTGATCTAACTTGATAGACATCGAGGATAGAGATAGATAGTCGACATTGTTAAGCTCTTTCTTCGCAACGGCCTCTCTCAAGGATCGCGCCTGTTCGAAGATTGAAAGACGTCGTCAAGTCTTAGGCAGGACGGGATTGTAGAAGGATAATTGTGATCGTCGAGTGTTGATGTGGACATGTAGAGAGAGGAGAGAAAGCGACAATCAAAAACCCTCTTTAGACGACAGAGGAGAGTGAAATACAACTACGTAATCAGCTCGAGTATAAAACGACCCGTGAAGGTGCCAGGAACCGACGCTGCTTTGTGACTTTATTCCTTCGCCTGCAGGGCACTTCAACACCCCCATTAGGGAAGCAGATAGGCAGGCACCGTCCCTCGACCGACCGGTCACCCATCGCACCATCGAAGCCACGGGGGCCCTTAGCAACCCGCCAGAATTTCGCCCCCCTGGGGTCAAGGGTGGCCACTCACCCTAGTCGCTCGAGTCGGGGTGAGCAAGGGCGGCATCACCCGATTTCCTTATCCGGGCTGAGCCGCGAGCAGTTCGACCACGCCTTGGCCGCGGCGAATTTCTTTGACTAAAACAGGTACAAGACGGTCAACGCGGCTCTTATCAATGCCAAGGATTCCAGCCTTATCGAACTTTCAGTTACTTTTTCAGATGCGACATGACAATGTGCCTGGGGAATTCGAGTGACATTGACACAACGAACATTTACCTAATAATCTCCCCTTGTTCAGGGACAGACAAAGCTGGTAGGTTTATGCGCTACATCTGAAGACCCGCTGAAGATAATGCGATTCTGTACTTTATAAGATGCAATTCTTCTTACTCCATATCTCGCATTCTCTACTCCGTACCTACATAACCACACGCGCAAGCCATCTCTCAAGATATAAGTCTACTCCCTGTTGTGCACTCGTACCTCTCTCTGTCTAGGCAGTGATATGGCCCAGGAGCCTTCTCCTTTCATCTCGATAGGCACGTCAACGTATCACGTCGCTCTTGAACAAAGGCTCGCCAACCTTTCGCCACAGCTAGTCAAGAGACTTGGCCGGTTCGACGACGACCTCATCCCATGTACTGCTATAGAATGGGCCGGGCCTGAGTTTTCCCCCTCCGATCTCCAAACAACTTGCGAGAAATTCGTCAAGAATGACGATGTCTGGTGCGAGGACTTTTTATCAGGTAAGTTGAACCCTGCGCCACATGCAGGAAACCCTGGTTGACGTTCCATTTCATCTCAGTTGTGATTCTATTGCAGCCAAGTCATTTGCAACATGGTATTAAGAGAAAACGTGTTTTCTCGGTCGACAAATCCAAGCACAAATTGACAGATGGTCCGTTTGTGATCTCGAGACCAACTGGGCACATTTTTCCTGTCTTCAAAATTCTCCCAGACACGCACAAGGCGTTCGTGAGTGGAATCATCCAAGAGACAACTTCAACGTCGATCTCGCATGAGCTTGTAGTACGTTATTCGGCTGGCCTCGCGATAAACTGCAGCTGACAGAACAAAAAGACATCAAATGGAATTGCTGTGCCTTCGAAGTTGTACAGTATTCACGATGAGAGACCACTTGCAGGTCTTCGATTTGCCGTGAAGGACACCATCGCTTTGAAGGGTACCAAGACAGGCTACGGAAACCGAGCCTGGTTTGAAAGCTGCTCTCCTGAGAGGCGGACTGCTCCGGCCACCAGACTACTTCTTGATGCAGGTGCTGTACTGGTGGGCAAGCTGAAGACGACTGAATTCGCCGAAGGCACAGATCCTTGCGAATGGCTTGACGACGAATGTCCTTACAATCCACGAGGCGATGGCCATCAGAAGCCTTCATCATCCAGTTCTGGAAGCGCCGTCGCAGCAGCAGCTTATGACTGGCTCGACTTCACCGTTGGTACCGATACTGGCGGGTCGATTCGACATCCGGCCGGTGTTCAAGGTCTTTACGGCCAGCGGCCTTCTCACGGCCTCGTCAGCCTGGAAGGTGTCCTGGGAGCCACCGACTTGTTCAATACCGTGGGCATCTTCGCTCGAGATGTCGAGATCTTCGCACGCGTAGGCTCTCACTTTGTCGATCCCATAGAGAAACCACTGCCTGTTGTTTCGAGAGGACGCAAATACAACTTGCTCTATCCGACTCGAGCCCCGCAGATAGACAACCCGGACCAACACCACCACGGTCAGCATCGTTGGTTCCCGCACCCGTCTGTAGATTTTTCCTTCTGGACCGAAGCCGAGAAGAGAATTGAGAGCGTCGTACAAGGTCTCGAGGCTCGGCTCAATTGTGAAAGAATAGCGTTCAACATCAATGAGCTCTGGCGCGCGACGCCTCCCCTCGGTCAACCTCGCTCCCTCGACGAGGCCGTGGGCTACGTCTACTCGGCCATAACGACGGCGTCGGCGTACCACGGCGGGCTGGACAAGTTCATACGGGACCACGTCGACGCACACGACGGAGCACCGCCCGGCATGTCCCAAGTCGTCGGTCGCCGTCTCGAGCACGGTCGTTCCCTGCCTCCGCAGAAACTCGCCGAGGCGCTCGAAGCGATGCAGGCGTTTCGGGAATGGACCGATACGACGCTGTTCGGGTCGTACGATCAAGACGCCACGACGCTCTTGGTATTTCCTCAATCGTGCGGTCGTCCCGACTATCGACACGAGGTTCCCGATCGGACCGAGCTCTTCAATGACAGCTTCAGCATCTACTCTTTTGGTTATCTGGTCGGGTGCCCCGATTACACCATTCCCGTGGCCGAAGTCCCCTACCACTCCGCCGTGACCGATCGGCTCGAACACCTCCCGGTCTCAATCAGCCTGGTCGGACGGCCTGGGTCGGACCTCGAGCTTTTCGACGCTCTTCGTCAATTGCACCGCGCCGGCATCGTCCGAGACGTCGCGGCCGGACCTCGATTGTATCCTGGTGATACGCGTAAGCAAAGCAAGTAGACAATGATGTTTATAAGCATGGGGTGAGAACAAATTGGAACTGGAGCGACCTTGTGGAATTGGTGCGGTTATTGAAAGGGTGATCTTATCTCGTAACGAATGAAATGGGCGAATATTCGGTGCTGTGGGTGTTGGGAGCTTTCATGAGAGGATTGCAAAAGATGACCCCCTTGAGTACTTTGATTTCCCGATTACTTGTTTACAATGATGGCTTAGCGATACTTCTGAGCAAGGAGGTTACGGTTGCGCCGTGTACGAGTAGACGATGGACTCTTTTCATTGAGCACAAGATCGGGATCGCTTGCTCGTCTTGCGTAGATGGGTGAGCGAGCTCAACCTGGAGAAGATCTCGAGTTGATCGAAAACTTCACCGGATGGCAGGATCCGTTCCACTCAATCCTAACATGGCGACCTGTGCTCCGTACGGGATTCCTTCCATGCTCAAATCTTCCTTGACACGTGCCATGGACATTTCTCGACTCGTGAACTCTTTCGTTTGAGCCGCTCCATCTCCACCAAGCGCTGTCAGATAACTTTGCTCAGTTGGACGTCAAACAAGTATCACATGGCCCATGGACGGAGGGATGCAAAGAGAGAGCGCGGCATGGGTGGAAAAGGTGGATTTGCCAGACGACGAACGTCATGACCACTCGAGATTACTCCGTCCACATGCATAAGGTACAGGCTAAAGCGAGAGCCCGCCATCGCACTCGGATACGAACTGCTCGAGAGTGAGGATCAAAACCATTTACTTCTACGTCCTAGATAACAGCGAGACACAAGTGATATGGTTGTGGATAGCGCCATCGTTCCTCGTACTAGAGTCTACCTAGGTAGATACCTCTTTTGTAAAACATCATGCCCTGGACTACAAGTACTCGCAGAAACAGGACGTGGGTAGAAGTCGACAAAGCGCCGACCCCCCACAACCACAGTGGATAGAGAGCAAGTGCCTGGTCCACTTTCCATTCAAACGCTGTCTCGTTACAGTCACACACACACGACCATTCTTGTCCCGCTCGCACATGGGCGATACTGATGTACAGAGAATATGACATGCCGATAGCGAAAAGCATAAATCTCGACGTGACACTTTCTTGTACGGTCGTGCCAATTGGGTCAGCCAGTCTCTTTCCGCCCTACAAGGTTCTAATCATGTTGCGTTGTCATCTGTTGTGACCTCCGAGTATACGTATACACGCAAGGACAGTGCTGTGACGGCATTGTATGCGGGAAAATCCAATCTTTCTCTTCTGCCCGTTAAATCACAATGATTGCTTGGCCATTTTGTCTCCTTCTGCTATTTCTGCTCCACGGGAGAGACAGGCCACTCGTATCTTTGGAGACGCGGTTCATCCATAAATCCTTGTTTTTCTGGCAACGGCGGTGAAAGATTTGAGAGTATGGATGAAATAACAAGTCTCAAGGGCTCCCCGAGGGATCATGGTAGAATGTCCGATCATGGCACCTTCAGTGACGCAGAGGCCACGAAATCAAGCCCAATCATAGAAGAGACCAGTCTCCTCGTCGACGAGTCCTGCATCGACACCGCAGAGAGTATCATAGATACTCACGAACAAAAGGCCCGACTCATCGACTATGAACTCGAACGCCAGGGTATGGGACGCTATCAAACCACCATCTTCCTGCTCTGCGGGTTCGGATACCTACTCGATCTCCTGTGGGCTCAGGCGTTCGGCTTGATCATCACGCCCATGCAAACCGAGTTCGGCTTCGACGACACGGCCCTAGGTCATATCTTTACGTCCTTTTCGCTCGGCCTGACGTTCGGTGCTCTGGTCTGGGGCATCCTCGTCGATATCCTAGGAAGGAGCGTGGCGTTCAATTCGACAGTTCTGATCACAGCTGTGTTTGGTACATGGCTGGGTGCCATGGGCAGTTATGATGGTGTTCTTGTCCTGGTTGCCCTGACCGGGATTGGCGTTGGAGGCAACATACCCATCGACACCACAATTTGTTTGGAGTGTCTGCCACAGAGCCGGAGATGGTTGTTGCCGGCGTTGAGTGCCTTTCAGCCTCTTGGTGTGGTGATCTGTTGTGGAATGGCATATATGTTGGTGCCGAGATACAGCTGTCAGGAGGGTCTCCCCAGCTGTACCGTGAGCAGTGTCGATGCTGGAGACATTTCGAAGTGTTGTGTGAAGGGGGACAATCTAGGTTGGCGATATCTTCTGTTCCTGATCGGTATCATCACTGTGGTGGCTTTTGTACTCAGGAGCTTAGTGTTCAAGTTTGAAGAGAGTCCAAAGTACTTGGTGTATCGTGGCCGAGATCAAGATGCTGTACGAGTGTTGGAGTACATGGCAAAATACAACGGCCGGGAATGTGGCCTGACGCTGGATATGCTGGAGGCATTGAACGGCGAGGCTAATATGGACGATATGGACACGCCATTGCCCGGGACTGGGATGGAAGAACAGAAGCGGAGTGTATCACAGAAGATTCTTGCTGAATTTGGGCGGTTCAAGGTATTGTTCTCGACCTTTGCAATGGCAAGGCTCGTTGTGCTTGTCTGGGTGATTTATGCCTTTGATTACTGGGGATTTACTATCGCAGGCGCATTTCTACCAACAATTCTGTCGAGAAAGGGGAGAAGCCTGGGCCTCACTGTGGATGAGACGTATCGGTCGTATTTGTTCATCTATGTTTGCGGCATTCCAGGAGTGCTTGCTGGAACCCTGATATATGGGCAGAGACGACTTGCCCTGCTCGCGTCCTCATTATTGTTCGGCGCGTGTCTGTTCATTTTCACCGTTGTGAAGGATGAAGCATCATACATTGGAATCAGCGGCTTGGAGTATTTCTTCCAGAGTATGTTCAATGCGATTTTGTATGGCTGGACTCCAGAAGTGTTCCCAGCCTCAGTGAGAGGATCGGCGTGTGGATTGGCTAGTTTCTGGGGCCGGTCTTTCTCGATCATTGCACCTATTGCTGGCTCACAGATGCTAGCAAGGAGTCTTGATGGCGTGTTATACTTGGCTGGTGGAAGTGTATGGGTTTGTACAATTGCAATCATGTTGTTACCGAGGGAGTTTATGGGCAGGAACACCCTTTAAGGATTTGGAGAGGCCAAGGATCAGTGTGGTGATTAGTCGATACACACATAGGAATCAGTGCTTTGTGGATTCTCAGCCGATCGTGATATGGTATAGCCCAAAAGCACGTTAGACTGATGTTCTCCCATTCTTCTGACGACCACAGCGTCTTCGTGACTATTCACAGACACGACACTGACAGTTCTGTCGACCGTGAGCTTGGAATCCTAAGTCACGGCAGGATACCCTCGACAGCCACCGGAAGGAGGCGAACAAGTCGATTGTAGTTATCGATGATGCAAATATGAGGAGGCTTGTCGAGAAGTGCACCTGGTTTTGGCTCTACTTGATATCAGCTCCAAGCTGCAGGCAGATGTCCAGGCTCTCGTTCAGCATTGTCAAGGTGGCCTGATACTGTCGCCAAACATTGCGTCTCGTGGCAATCGCATAGTCGGCATTCGATTGCTTCATTCTGGTAAGATAGTCAGCGTACTGCCTATAAGATATTTCTATATTCCGGAGATTGATGTTCAATCACGTACAAATAATGGTTGAGGCCTTTATTTTTCCAGAACTTCACATGCAGTAGATTTTTCAAGATTTTATGCTCAGTACCATTGTATACGCGTGCTTTTTCTAGAAATCCCAATGTGTTGCTGATCCGTCGGGCATTGAAAGCCGCCTCAGGTTGGGAGCGGAAACAGTCTCTCAATATGTCTCGGATTTCCCAACGAGCAGGATACGAATAGTGAACAGCTCGCAGGCCGCTGCGATACAGGTGCCGGTAGGCGTGGAGGATGTCAGTGCGGCCCATGTGCATATGCTGAAGCTGCAGAGAAACCAGCAGTCGCCTACCCAAGGCCAAAACACCAAAAGATGATCTTCACATGCAACTTTGAGGCTGGCGCGGTGCAGGGAAACTAGGCGCGTGAACAAGGCTGCGCCTATGCTCCATTTGCATCAGGCTGAAAGAATCTTGTTCTTTCTTACTCCGTAGCGCCCGCCAAGGCGCCGGGAATCCTCAGTTTCTTACTTCTTCCAGTACAGCCGCCGTTCCTTTCCTTCTTCTTGACATCCTCGTTTTATCACCCCAACATTTCAGGACTATCTGTACGTCGTGCGCCTGTCACTGCAGGCATCTTGCGAGCCTTGTCATCTCAAGGAAGCTAGCCTTCGCATGAAGCTTTGTGGCGAAAAGATACGCAGCTGTCGCGCTGCCAACTTCGCCCCCGCTTAGTACCGTCTGCAGTGATCACTGCCCAAACATCCTGGATAACGACCTGACCTGACCTGACGTGTATGGTCTCATTCTGTTTCGACTGTTTCGCTGGATCCCTACCTATCGCCTGTCCCATTCTCTCACCCCCGATGTCTTTGCCACTGTTACTCGTTTTGTCTGTGTAATTTGCATGAGCCAGAAAGATGGCAAGAGTCAAACAGAAGACGCGTAAGCAGGCCCCTTCAGGAGGAGCTTCTACTCGAGGCGCTCAGGTTGCAAAAGAAAGACATAAACATACGGTTGTCGTCGAAGGAACGTCCAAGGAACAAAATAAGCTACGAAGCGTGGTAAGACTGGCAAGCTGTCTCCCTCGAGGTACTACTTACCTGGACCGCCAGATCACCTTTCGTGCGGACCCTCCGCAAGGGTACACTTTCATTCCAGCTGGCAATCCGGAGCTTACGGCGGCGTTGAAAGAATTTGCTCGTCGTGGGGACCACAAAATATATGCTGTAACTGTAAGTATTTCGACGTTGAGCAAAGGAACAGAACTAATTGTCCAGACCACACCTCATGCCGCAAGACATGAGCTCTCTAGGGAAGTACACCGTATTGGCTTTCATTTTCCAACCAGTGTTGTCGCCCAAGTGTGTTCTCATTATGGTATTCGCCTTACCGCTGGTGGTAAGGTCATCGATGATTCCAAGGATGACAAATTATTGTTTCAGTCAGTCTATCAAAATGGCCAACGTCCCAAAGAAGAACCCAAGGATCAGATTACAATAAACACCGAAGCCAAGCAGACCATCAAAGACTTATTTCCCAAAATGCCAGACAATGATCTATTTCAGATCATTAAGACAGCATTCCAGTTGGGGGATAACAAGGTTGGCACTGCGGACGAGATCCCTCTAATTCGTAGAGCGCAGCTATCTGTTGTGGCTCATATTAGGCACGTATACACAGACTATGACAAGTTGTTGAGGCGATGTCCCTACAACGAGGCTCGACACGCTGTGGAGAAAGACACGCTCGCGAAATTGATCGAATGGCGGGGAGATGACGAAGTAGAGGATGAGGCCACTCAACGTGCTGCTGATGACCTCCTCCGGGAGGTTATCGTCATTTCTGACGAGGAAGACGATGAGACCGATACTGACGATATCCAAATTATTCAAGACAATGTTAAGGTTGAGGAGTTGCCGAGTACCGCATATGGTCCGGCCGTTGGCAGACCTCTTTCGCCTTACCATACCCATTCTGGCGAGATGACAAGCCACAGCTATCAAGCACTGCCAAGGGTAATACATCGTTATAAGCCCAGCGACGATACTATTGCCCAGCGTGACCGCAGCCGTTATGCTGTCTGGGATCAGGCCAGGCGCGAGTATCGTGCCGGCATGAGTCGACAGCCGGTCACTGTTCTTGAGAGAATCTATGAGCCGGCTGACGTCGCACCAAAACGTGTCCTCGTGCCACTCGACTCTCCAGCACATTCTTCTACACAAGTTGTCTATTCCCGACCTCCCCCTGCTCCAATGAACACTTTCGACTACGAGGTAAGAATGGTTCTCAAGAGGTGGCAACTGATACACCTTTCCACAATGACTCTTCCTCCCGGTGGCATTAATCGTCGCTAACTTCTCATAGCCCCGTCACATCAGCCAGCCAAGTCCACGATCTTATATCAGAGATGCCAACGGTGTTTTGTATGAACGACTCGATGATGATCGTCCGCGTGAAAGAGTCCCCGAACCAAGTCGACATGTCGAGAACGTTCCTTGGACTATTCTAGCTCCCGAAAATAGGGTCAGAACGCGACCTCCTTCACCTCAACGGAGGGTTTATCCTACCCACCGTCAAGAAGACGAATTCGACAGCGGCAGAGGCTCTATACTTGAGTCGATTGAAGGCCCGCAGGGACCATATTCACCCGCAGCCATGCGGTCAAAGCAAAGCGGAGGGTACCCAGCACCACATGATCCTGCTCTAACACGAGAAAACGGCCTCAGCTATCGTGGTGTGCCCGCAATAAATCGCCCCGACGATGATGTTCGAGTGGTGAAGCGGATTCGCTTGGAAGATTTCCCGTCGCCATCTGAAGCCCGGTATGTGAGGAGAGGATCGCCTGTCACTTACCGCGAGCGCGTTCATGTGCCGCAAAATTCACGTGCTATTGAATATGATAACCAGCGTTCGACCTCTACACTACGACCAGCTGTATCATTGGAACCAAGAAGATACGCGCAGAGCGTCTCCGAAATTAATCGTGCTGCATATGCTGGTGCAGGAGCTATTCGAAATACAGAGTCTATGTTTGAGCCCAGAGAGCCTCCAAAAACACGGCCACAGCCACCCACATATGCCCAAGAGCACATACGGTACTTGATACCGGAGCCGAGCGTGCATCGCCGAGGTATCGCGGATGAACGTTCGACTGTTGTTAGTCGCGTGTATGAGCCTCTTGACGGTCAGGTCTATGACAGTCAAACCTTGATTGATCGACCAGTTGCCTCTCGTGAGATACATGTGCAACCACCTCGGCGTGTGTATGAATATGATGATAGGGTGCCCGGCAATTCTCGTCCATATATCGACCTGACTAAATGATTACCTATTGCGTCAACATGAGTTGATCAGCCTCCTTCCATTGAGCTTGTGGCTCTTTTCTTATGCTTGAGAAGGCCCATGTTGACTTCGTACCAAGGTAATATTCTTATTACATGCAGCCCCTAGTTCACAATTTGCGACATTGATACTGACTTTTTCCCTTCAGGTCAACACTGTACAGTCACGAAATCGACACCAATAATTCGCCACGAACCTTGTCCGAACATCAACATCGGCATTCTCGTTCAGGATATCCAGCATGTCTTCACGCGCATGAAATTTCTTTCCTTTTCCTTCATTGCCAGCATGGGTGACCCTGAGAGTTTTATTGAGCGGCATAGTTAATGCATTGCGGCGGTGTTCCAGAGATCATGAACCACTTCCGAAAGAGTTCAGCTTGGCATGCTGCCGTTGTTCACGACCTTGAATTGTTTCTATGATACCCTGTTTACGAAGGATGGCGCACGACATCACCATGGTTTCCCGAAGGTCTCAGAACTTGGGTAATTGCATGGCTGATAAGAGAAAGACGGTATGTGCCGAAAACAGGACTGTTTTCCTGCACCGAGCCATGATTGAACCTTGCTACAAGACGAGGAGTTGTGAAGTAGTAAGAACACAATAACAATGACTGTCCTTCCATGTCGATGATTTCAGATTGGAAATGCGCTTGCTATAGTATATGTTGAGATCTTGTGTCCGTCCATGTATTCAGTTCATTGCCATTTACCAACGCCTTGTAACCTGACCTGTAACCTCGATGAATCCACGCTCTTGCGTATGTAGGGTGTATTCTGAACAGTTGTCCTCTACACAGCCATTGTGACACCGTCGGCCTCGCCCGAATTGATCGTCTTGCCAGTCTTCTTGATCTTCTCGAGAACAGTCTCGTAGGATACCGAGTCTGCGGTGGTAATGTCTGCGGTTTGGGTGTCGAGGGAAACGTTATATTCCTTGACGCCTGTTCAAAGGAGATGTCAGCGAAGGTTTTGGGACATTTTGGGACGGAGAAGATCATCTTGCTGGGGTAGCGCAACGCTTACCGTCGAGTTTCTTGAGCACACGCTCAATGGCGCCGGAGCAGCCACCGCACGTCATAGTCACGTTGAACTTGTAATGGTGGTCGGACATGTTGATTGTTGCAAAAAAAGTTCGTACGGGAGCTGTATGTAGACTCGAGTTGCTTGTTGCGTTGTGTAAGAGGGTGGGTTCAGGAGAGGCGTAGACTGTAGTTTTATGAAGATCGGGTGTATTTGTCAACTCAGGTACGAAGTACGGGTCAAAAAGTACAGGCACTCGGTTGGGAAGGGAATGCCGTGGCGCTGGGGTCGAGTAATACGACGCGAGACACTTGTGCGTAATTTAGGTCGAGAGACTGGGAACTACTCGGCGATTGGAATTGATCTTCAATATGAAGCGACGCGAAACACAACAAGTCGGAGATGAAACTTGCTCAAATGTGCTCACGGGAGGGACCTGAAGGACATATAAAACACGGTCTTGTTGTGTCGACGCCGCAAGGGCAATTGGGAATTGGTAAGCTGGCGATGAAACGGCCCAGAGTGAGGTCCTCTAGGCTCTCGTGGGATCTATGTTTAGGTGGTCGAAGGGGCTTGTGCTCATTGTCCTCACCAGGCGCGGCGATTGCGTGATGGGCGTAGCAGCCAGCAAAACAAAGGAGCCTCACGCGGGCAGAGCGAGTTGATATTGTCTGACGACCTGTATCTCTCGAGATATGACATGTAAAGTCCGGTTTTTATGAAACTCAGAATGCCTGTCTGACGTACATTTTCTACTCGACAAGGCTCTGTACTCGTACTGGTCACCCTTGTCAGGCCAGCATTCACCGCTCAGCCTCATCGCTCCTGGTCTTGGACGCTGTAAGCAGAATGATGCTTCGTGTGTCTTCCATGCACCATGAAACGCTAGCAACAGGGTACGCGAAATGCTGTGTGGCCACTGTCGCCGGCTCATCCTACAAGTCGAACGTCTCAACCTTGGAGCACAAGTCACCGACGAGGTCACTGCGGCAGGATTCGAAGATTCCCTGGACCGAAAATGCTACTTGTGCACACGGCTACGCATTCAACTCGGGGATGCGAAGTGGGAACGTTTGTTCTCAGATCTCTCGCAACAGAACTCGATCGCCTTTGACAAGTCCCTGGTCGCTGCTGATGGCTTCGCTCTCGTCAGATTGGGGTGCAAACTGACACCAACCACTGACCGGAACCGTGATGGAACAGCAGTAGGTGGTAAGCCTTATTCTTATGGATATTTGCAGGTTACCATTTCTCCCTGGGCTTCGAGGTAAGTCACTTCATCGCCCTTCTTCGTCCATCAGTCTCTCCATCACATAACGTCTGATGGAGTGCAACTACAAGTCCACAAGAAGTTCCGCTGCAGAGTGCGACTTCTACCTCGGACGCAAGAGTTCTCGACCTCGTACGCCACTGGCTTGATACCTGTCTGTGTTCGTCATTGCACGCAACATGCGCTCGGCGAAGCAGACGGCCCTTGTTCTATCCCACTTGCCTGATCGATATCGGCGACGGAATGGGTGACCATAGTCGTTGGAAATTGGTGAACCCCAGGATCGAAAGGATGTCGGCGCCCTATATCACATTGAGTCACCGATGGGGTCGTGACACACTCAAACTGGACAAAGAAACTCAGGAAAGCATGTTTCGAGGTTTGCCTATATCAGAACTTCCAGGGGCGTATCAGGATGCCATTACGGTCACTCGACATTTGGGGGTTCGCTATCTCTGGATCGACTCAATATGTAATCATGGTGTGGTTGATTCTGGGGAGTATACTGATGCTTTTCACAGGTATACGCCAAGATACTCTTGAGGACATCCAGCACGAAGCAGCGGGTATGGCGGATGTCTTTGGCTACGCCCTATGCAACATCTCGGCACTATCGGGAAGACAAGATGGCCTCTTCTGCGCACGAGATGCTGAAGTGGTCAGCAGTGACAGTGTGGTTTTACGATCCCGAGACTATGCACTTTCCACCTCCTACATCATCAACGACCTGCAGTTGTGGAGGGGAGAATTGGTTCACATGCCCCTGACGACCCGTGGGTGGGTGCTTCAAGAGGAGCTCCTCGCAGCCCGCACTGTGTATTTTGGTGCTCGGCAGGTTCTCTGGGACTGTCCTGGCTTTCGGGCTTGCGAGACATATCCCACAATGCAGCCAAAAAGACCTCTGAGCATGTCCATGGGCCCTGGCAAGCATCGTTACTTCCTCCACGACGAAGAATTGGGACCCATTTCTTCGGTACTCGAAGCTGCACAGTCCAAGATCGACCATTCTGAGGCTAGTTTATCAACTCATGACGACCAATCAATGTTGTTCCAAGTATGGACGAGCCTCGTGGCACACTATTCCCTACGCAATTTGACGTTCCCTGATGACAAACTCTTGGCCATCGCCGGCATCTCGAAGCTCTTTGGGAGAATCATGAGGGACGAATTCGTGGGAGGACTCTGGCACAGACACTTCCTCGAAGGTCTGCTGTGGTACATCAGACCGAAGACCAGAACGCGTGCCCCGCTGGAATACCGAGCTCCTTCCTGGTCCTGGGCGTCCAAGGATGGGTATGTCATGCACGCTGATGCCGCCAACAATTCTTGGTCCGTGGCGAGATTCTCCAAAGTTGAATGCAAAACCACCGATGGCGGCGCATATGGTGTAGTCACGTCTGCCATCCTACGTCTTCGCGCCCCGTCTTTGGAGCTGTCGGTCGATGATGCGTCGGGGAACTGGACCACCCCAAAGGTACCCGGTCTGCTAGTCCGGCTCGATGCGACGGAACGACCTGAGAGTATTTGGAGAGGAATCAATGCCACCGGCGTCATTATCCGCACGAGCGCCTATCGAGTAGTCGGCGATGCAGAAACAGACGTCGCGCGCAAAGTGGTCCTCGCCGTACACGGCATCGTTCTCACCGAGTGTGTGGATAAAGTCACGGGAAAGGCGACCGGCACGTACAGGCGCATCGGATACTTTGCAGTCGAAGACCGTCGACGGAGCACACTCAACCCCAACTGGGTCCCTGGTGGTTGTAACCTCTTTCGCGGTATAGGTGGATCTGGAACGACCACCCCTTCAGGAACGGCGGCAGTGACATTCCCTTTTGACGAACAGAGGCAATTCCTGAGCGAATTTGATATCATATAATCATTCAGGACAGAAGTCCCCGATGACAAGAAGACAAGGGGGCCATGTCAATCTTCCCATCATAGTCGCTTAGTCTTGTATCCGGTCTGGAGTTGCCAACTCTAGATGACAGGCGATGCCGTCTCCCTTGAATATCGATTCAGCTCAATACAACTCATCTGATTCTGAGGGCTACCAATCTTCCATCATTCTGACAAGTACCACGCCTGCAATCAACCGACCAAACTTTTGCTTTGACTATCAAATGACCTGTACCCTACAGGACTTTTGGCCATGTGTTCCGTCCATCCCATCCATCTCCGAAACCCCAGCCAGGTACATCGTTTTTACAACCGGCTGTCCAAAGACGTGTCCTTCACCACCGACCCCTTCTGAGCTTCCCAGACAGTATTGAACACCTGCATGCCTCGTTCCCAAAGTTCGTCCTTGACATTCACCCTGACTTTCCCGTCCGTGTCCAACAGTCGCACTCGATCTTCACCGGTGCAACCCCAGGTCACTGGCTCACCACGCAGAAACTGTGCAAAAGGTTTCAGGAATTCTTTCGTCGCCGCCTTGTCCTTTTCCTCGAAATCCTGCCTCCACGCCGTCGCCCACCACAGTGGCATGTCCCCGCCGTGACAGATGCCGACTTCGGGCTTGAGCCAATTGTCCATGCTCTTGGCGCGCCAGGCGATTCGATACCTGTGGACGCTGGTCTGCGGCAGTGGCCTGACGTTGGGATGAGCAGGCGGGTTGAGTAAGAGGTGGGTGAGGCCCCGGATCGACGCGTGGACTTGACTGTCGGCCACCATCTGGCTGAACACCTCCGCCCAGGCGTCGGCATTCGTGGAGTTTCGCGGAGGCAAGTCGTATACTTTCAGGAGTGCCTCGAGAACCGGTTTCGGGTAGTAGTTGGCCAATTCGACCAGGAGGCCGGGGTAGTCGGAGGGAGGGTTCACGAATTTGTAAAGCTCCTTTTCGTCCCTGACTTCGCCCAGCATGACCGAAATTCTGTTGTCGGCGAGCCGGGTCGTGAAGGACCCGCTGTGCAGCGACGACAAGAAAGTCGGGAGAATAAACGAGTTGTCGGTGCTGGAGCGGAAGGTGTGCATCTTCATTTTAGTATTGGCGACGACGAGGTCGCGGAAGGGGATCCGGCGGAGACGTGCCATCTTCTCGGCCGGGGTCGCCGAGGATGGGATGTCGAAGAGCGAGCACAGCTCGTTGAACTGCGAGGTCAAGACCGGCGACGACGTCGGGTTCGGTTGGATCGCCACGGCGTTGGACCACAGGTAGATCCTCTTGATGAGTCTCTGGGAGGGCGACGGGAGGGCGCTGTCGTAGTTGAGTTGGAAAAAGGTCGAGTTCGCCCCCGCCGAGAGTCCTCCCACGGTGATGTTGTCGGCGTCGCCGCCGAAGAGGTCGACGTATTTGGCCGTCCACTCGAGGGCGCACCGTTGGTCCCAAAGGCCAAAGTTGGACGGGGCGGGTTCTTCGTGCAGCGACGCGAGGTCGGCGCCTCCCAGGAACCCAAACAGGTTGAGTCGGTAGGTGGGTGAGACGATGATCCTGGGAGACACGTCCTTGATCAAGTCAAAGGGGTCGTAGCCGTGGTCCTGCATCGCGTTCCCGACCTGGAGCCACCCACCGTGGATGTAGAACTGGACCGGCCAACCTCCATTTGGCGGTGGGCCCGCGGGCACCCAGATGTTGAGGTACAGGCAGTCCTCGTCCTGGACGTTGTCGACGGGGGGCGCCGCCGCCGGGTTGTCCACGAACGCTCCCCCGTGAGGGTACTGAGGTTGGGGGCACACGGGTCCGAATTGAGTATAGTCGCCTGGTCGTCCGGACTGGTGGTCGTCGAAAGAAAGGGTGGACGAGGGTACTGGTTGCGGGCGACGCCATCTTCGTTCGCCGACGGGAGGGAGGGCGTATGGGACTTTCGCGAATCGATACAGGATCGGTTTTCCCGAAGGGGTGCAGTATTCTATGCCTCTCAAGCTCCCTCGTGCCGTCTTGAAGACGTACGGTCGGCTTGTGTATTCGGCGGGGCGCATTGTGTCTGGTCTGGTCTCGTCGTGTCGAGACGATGGGATGAATACTCGTGTCCGCTACTCGTGCCTGTGTAACCCGAGATTGTTCCTACCTGGTGAGATGGACACTATCAATGGAAGAGATCTCTCCTTTATAGACCCAACAGAACAGAAAAGTAATTAACGTTGAGATTGTCGCCATTCTCCGGTTGTCGGCACATTGAGTTGGGTCGGGAGGACAATTGCAAGGGTCGTTGATGTCCTACGGAATATCGGAAATATATTTTCCCCCGGTGGTTCGAGTGCGACGGAGACGTTCCGCCCAAAGTTTAAGGTCTACCGAGGCGTAACCAACGACTCAGTCCCTTTTTGTTTATGGGATACTTGAGATAGGAATCGGAATTTACGGTATATAACGTATATGTACAGGGTGCGTAGTATACATGAACGATTACTCCTTCATGTAACCGGTTGTCAACATATTCCAACTACATCGCTTCATTGGAATTCTCTTCTATCTCCTCTCTTCTCTCCTCGTCCGTTGGAACGTCATCCTCCTCCTCGTGTGATGCCATCCCGTACAGCCTCTCTTCCTCTGCACCCAATAAGGGGGCTCTTTCCTTTGGGTCGCGGGAGAAGTGGCTCGCTAAACTCATGACCAACGGAGAGAATCCGTGTACCATGATCGAACAGAGGACCACAAACGAGATGACCGGCCAAACCGTGCCCAAAGAATCTTGATGAGGTGAGTCCAACGGAGGATGAGGAAGTGGTTCCGAAGTTCCGGTTTCAAGGCGAGCTCTGGCCTCGACTGCCAGGAAGAGAGCACCTACTCCCATCGGCCCGAAGTGACCGACAAACAATGCTTCGTGCCACGTTCGGACGTCGGGGATCCATCTTTTCAGTGCAAACATGGCTGGTAGCCGCCGAAAGACGAGAATGACCAGCGTACAACAGCCCATGCGCCATGCAGTGAGATTATGTCTGTACAGTTGCCAGGGGATGATTGATCCAAAATAGACAAACATTGTGGAATTGAGCATCAAGTCCAGAATGTCGGGTAGCTTCATCTTGGCAGTTCGAGTTGAGAACCAGCCATCCCAGCAAAAAGTCGCGCCGGCGGAGAAGCACACGAGAAAGTCATCCAGGCCCAATGTGCTTCCCGCTCCGACACATAGTATGGCCATTAGAAAATAAAACACAAACAGCGTCGACTCCTGCACGAAGCCGCGTGCTTCGCTGAAGCGTAGAGCCTTGTTTGCCAGGAAGCCCAGAACCATACCGACAACAACTCCAACAAGGCACTGCCAGAGAAGTAGGTCGGTCACCCAGAGTCGAACTGCTTTGCCGGTAGAATTAGCCACGGTCGCGTACAATGCAGCATACAAGAAGGGAAATGCGGTTCCATCGTTGCATCCGGATTCTGATGCCAATAAATGACGGATTCGCTGAGGTACCCTTTGAGAGAACCTGGCCTCGCCAATGACGCTGGCAGATAAGACAGGGTCAGTAGGTGTCAAACAAGCCGCCGTTATGAAGGCTGTGTTCCAAGTAGTTTGTAGGATGAGACGGATTGCAATTGTGGCAACGACCCAGCCAGCGACCATGTTAGGACCCAGAAGTAGACCGATGCTTTTCCAATGTCGCTTTACATAGCCAGCTGGGAGCTGGACACCGACCGCAAAACATTGGACACCGGTGACAACCCTGGTGAGCTCTTGAGTAATATTGTCCTCCCATCCCCATTCGATGGGACTAAGAATTGTCGCTCCCCTGGGCCCAAATATGATGCCTGTCAGTGTTGCCAGAGGCGGTTCAGAGAGATGGAGGCGGTTGCGAATGAGTTCGGAAAACAAAGCATACAAGATCAGGAAGAAGGACAAGAGCAGATAGGTCAGATGAGATGTGCTGGGCTCAATCTCTGGCCAAGTCATGTTTCAAGTCCTGGGCCGTTGTATCTGTACAAAGACGATAAGTCATGTTTTTTCCACATGCTGACGAGGCGGCGTCGATGAATACGAGATTTTGCGAGTGCTCGGATACCTGATTCCGTCATTCGTGTCTATGATGAAATACATCTTGTCAGTGTCAGAATGGTGGCTTGAAAGAAGACATTTTGGAGTCAACAGGTGTCACCAGCCACAGGTGAACGATCTTTCGATACTCCGTGTGAGGAGTAAGAATAATGACCAGCTGACCGCGATAACACAACCTGACGTCCGGCTCATGCAGTCCAAATACTGATGGAATTCCAAGGTCACTCGCTTTCGCCCGAGCAAGGGAAAATTGGTGGCCCCTGCATCATTTGTGTCGACGGCGAGTCCGTTTAACAGTCTGGAACCTCGGCGAGGGACCAAAGTGCTTCGTGCGGTGCCGGGTGTACCATAGTCTGCTCTGGACCATGACCCTGGCATTGATTATTGAGAGATCAGCACGACTGGGCCTGGAGGACCGGTTGTGTTTTACGACAGTAATGGTCCCTTTGGGCAGTAATTGGCCAGCTGGAACAGATAAATGGATTACTGACACGGATAGCAAGCCGCTTGTCAATCAATTGTGGTTTGAGGAAGATAGCGATCAACACTCGAAGCGAGTCTCCTGATACCCTCCATGGATGCAATTGTTTGCGTCCACATGGTAGGCATCCCAAGATGCTCACAGGTCATTTGCTCGATTGGCAGCTGTAGTCACCACGTACGAGGCCAATTGAATGGCCAGAAAATGCGGCATTTGAGACAAAACAGAAGGCAGAAATGCTGCCCAACGAATGAAGCGGAATAGTTGGGGTAAAGATGCAGTAAGGCGCGCTGTCTCTGGGATGAAAGGGCCTAGGAAAGAACTTCGAGGCTCAATAGATTTACCCAGGTATTGATGATTCAGGTGGTGGCCAAGCCCGGAGCACGCCCGGAGAATGCCAGCCGAGGGCATTCGGAAATTCCAAGATAGGTGCCTTTCTAGGCACTTTAGGCGTTGTGGTACCGATTTCGGGTAATCCCCAGAGTGGTTCGCATAGGCGGCAGAAGAGGCAAACAACTGCTGGGCAGCCAAGATGAGCCACTTCGTAAGAGGCAGTCTTGTTATTGAATCCTACCTTACATAGGGACGTAGCGAAGGGTGAGAGTGGCACCCGGACATTGGGCCCCTTCACCACCTGCGCCCGCGCTAATCCTGCACTGGTGCTGTGTCCTCCTCCTCCTCGCTCCTCCTTCCGCGACCTCTGTCTGAAACCTGACCTTCTCTCTTGTCCCTTCCCTTCTCCCTCACTCTCCTCCTCCCAATCCCTCTATCTGTAAATCTGTCGACTTTTCTCGGTCTCGTTGACCAGCTGAAAAGACTCGTGAGCAGACGACTCACTTGTCATCAGGCCAACGATTTCCAATCGGTTTGACCTCTTCCTGCACCAGGTTAGTCATCTTCCTGTCACGCTGCCGATATCACCTGCGTTTGCCCAGCCCACACCGGTTCGGCCTCAACCTCATCCTTCCCTGCACTTCACGATCAATCATTTTCATCTTCTTTCATCATTCTCACCTTCACTGATATTCCTTTGACTGCCTCACGGTCCACCCGTGATTCTGCTTCACTTTTCACAGAGTGGTTCACCGCCCTTGAAGGCCTGGCTGGCTAACCTTGAAGCCAATGATAACAGGTTGAGATCGACACCACCATCTACCCCCACTCACAACGAAAACATCAAACGCTCGAATATATCTCAACAATCCCTTTCTTACTTCGATAGCCACCTCGAACGATCCTGCAGCCGATTTGCTGCTCTCCTCGATTCAAAATGACGACAATGGTACGTGTTTCGGTGCAGTTTTGGTGGTCACCAAAATTGGAAACATCCAGGAGCTGGTTTCTGTCTTTGCCTTTTGACAAAATACAACCATTGGGGATATCCGCTGATATACTGGTGATAGGATTTGCGTGTCGGTAACAAGTACCGCATTGGACGAAAGATCGGTAGCGGTAGTTTCGGCGATATCTACCTGGGAACAAACATCATTTCGGGTGAAGAGATCGCCATCAAGCTCGAGTCGGTCAAAGCCAAACATCCCCAACTCGAGTACGAAGCCCGTGTCTATAAGTCTCTCGCTGGTGGTGTCGGCATCCCGTTCGTCCGCTGGTTCGGTACAGAATGTGACTACAATGCTATGGTTCTCGACTTGCTTGGACCAAGCTTGGAGGATCTGTTCAACTTCTGCAACCGCAAATTCTCTCTCAAGACCGTCCTCTTACTGGCCGACCAGCTCATCTCTCGAATCGAGTACATTCACGCCAAGTCTTTCATCCATCGTGATATCAAGCCCGACAACTTCTTGATGGGAATTGGTAAGCGTGGAAACCAGGTCAATGTTATTGACTTCGGTCTGGCCAAAAAATACCGCGACCCCAAGACCCATTTCCATATCCCGTACCGTGAGAACAAGAACTTGACTGGTACGGCTCGTTATGCATCCATCAACACTCACTTGGGTGTCGAACAGTCTCGTCGTGATGATATGGAATCTCTGGGCTATGTCATGCTCTACTTTTGCCGTGGCTCTCTCCCATGGCAAGGTCTCAAAGCTGCCACCAAGAAGCAGAAGTACGACCGTATCATGGAGAAGAAGATGACCACCCCCACTGAGGTTCTTTGCCGAGGCTTCCCTAACGAGTTCGCCATCTACCTCAACTACACCCGCTCCCTCCGCTTTGACGACAAGCCTGACTACTCCTACCTCCGAAAGATCTTCCGTGATCTGTTTGTCCGAGAGTCCTTCCAATATGACTACGTCTTTGACTGGACCGTCTACAAGTACCAGAAGAATGCTCAGGCCATTGCTCAGGCAGCCGGAAACCAGCCAGCCCAAGAGGAAGAGGAGAAGCCCCGCCGACACACTGGAACTGCAGCCGCTACCGGTGTCCCGACTCCGCAACACACTTCGACTCAAGGCAAGCCAGCAGCCATTTCCAGCTCCCGCCGCAAGGTCATCGAACGCGGCACCAGCGGCAACGACCAGGGAGGAAGTGACAGGATGTGAGTACTGAATACCTTATGGTTCCGTGTAAGGGATCTCCTCTGCGTTTTGCTTCGGTCGCGTGGAGGTTTGCAATAGCATCTGACTAATGCTCTAGTCTTCGACGTTAGGCTTCGTTCTGGCACAAGGATAACCACTGGTAACGGCGATTATCGTTGAAACAGAATGACGGCTTCGTGTTGTTCACACTGAACCTCTTCTCTCTCTTCTGAAGACTCTCGTCTTCTAGACAAACAACAATTGGGCATGTCGGATCCCGCTCGGGGTTTGCTCTAGCACATGGCAAATCCGTAACGAGTGTATGTGACACGCGGACTTTCTTATCTTGATGGCCTCTCTGCTCAATACGACATGCAAGCACCATGAACGACAATCTATGACTTATGGCATACCATCGAATGCTTCATGAGCAGATTCTTTTGCATGCGATATCAGACATCAACAACGAAGTTTCAGCGACATACGACCGCACAGCACCGCTCGTGCTGAACACCAATGCAGTAAACATGACTCTCGACAGTCTCAATCTGCCACCCCGTCAAGGCCGGATTTGGGTTCTTGACCTTTTTTGTTTCACAATCACCAACGACCAATCCTAACATCTCAGCACGTTTTCCTTGTTTTGTTTTGTTTTTGGCTTCACAACACACGCAAAGAAAAAAAAAGAGTTCTGGTTCATCAACGGAGGAAAGGGGAAGAGGGAAGAAGTGAAGTCCTCTGGCTCGAAACCAACGGCACGATGCTGTGTGAGGGTGAAATTGCATCTCGAAGCACAGCGGTTGGGATGGTAGGCAGAGGAGCCCAATGGGACATGGCGATGGACTTGTTAGGGGCAGCTTCTGGGGAGGTTCTATGACCAGTTAACTCGAGTGCTTTGGCAAGGCTACATAATTAGTGATAAGCAAGGCAGCTTCGGCTCAGTAGCTCTTAGTCCAAAATGATATCAATGTGCTAAAATTCCTGTTTCTGACTTGAGAAGTCGGCTGGTTACCTAGGTAGGTTACGGTACCTAGGGTATGGTACTCGTAGATGGCGGGGTTATTGAGTTACGCCACTTATGCTATTTTGCATACGGAATATGCATCTACTTGTAGGTCCTCGCCTCGGATAGATGGACTCGTAAGAAGTTGACTCGATCAAATGGTTACTCCTGCACTGTACTCACCCAAGTGGCTGGCCGGCTGGCCGGCTACCTGCGCAAAGCTATCGCAAAACAGTACTCGGATCGCCTCGTCTCCAATTACGGAGTACTTGTCCTGCTCCTTTTTTGTACTGTACTCTAGGTAGCTTACCAGTGGGCCGAGACCTTTGCTTTATTGCAGCACGACGATCGGAGGGCCGATTTGGCGTCGAGACTACGGGATGAGTAGTAATAAGGACTTGTTAGTTGTTTAGTGAGTATCAGGCAAAGACGTAAGCCTTATTTATTACTTGTACTAGTACTCCGTACCGTGCTTTGGGCGAGGCCCCGGGTTTTCGCTCTCTTTTCTTCTGACTTGCATCACCTTGGTTGACCACCCAACCTCCCTTCCCCCTCCCCTCTTGGTCTCTGTACGCCATACCTTACCCACCTCGACCGTTTATTGTCTTTCACCTTTGTGAGGTGAATTGCGAGGGAATCTTGGTCGGTCTACAGGTTTCAACACAGCCGTATGTGAGGTTTCTATCCCCATAAACCGAAGTTGTATGCTATTCTCTGGCTCTCCTCGGCTTCGTCCTTGTCGGCGTCCAACGCCCCCCTCCGTCCACCTTACTCAACTGTACTGTACTTTGGCTGACTAAACATCGGAAGTGTGGATTGCCGACGTACGTTCTACGAGACCTCACTCTCAAGGAGCTACCAACACTCATCAACTACCGAACGGTCCAGCTGATATCATCAGACCTAATACATACAGACGGGTTTGCGAGAGAGAGAGAGAGAGAGAGAGAGAGAGTAAAAGCTCACGCGCGGGAGAAGTACATTTCCGGTCTTGGTGTGTAAACGTAAAACACACTGCTACAGAACCAGGTGAGTTGCTGTTCTTTGACTCGTTCGTCGTCATTCGAGTCCGATACTCGGTGTAATGGGGTACAGGGTCTGCTTCCTTGCTTGCTCGCGCACCAGGGCAAGCTCCGTCATGAGTGAAGGGGAATATGAGAAAAGGAGGTTTCCCACCACCTATACGTCCTTTTTGCTTTGTTGTTTATTTTGACAATGACATACTTGTTACGAGTCTAGAGTCTTTGAGAACCAATGTTACTGGTACTAACGTACCTATGATAGATAGCTTTGGGACCAAGACCAGCAGCAGCAGCAGCCCCCATCCTTTCGCAATTCAAAACGACACCACCTGAAAAGTCTCAATTAAGCCGATACCAGAAACAAAAATGCCAGTTGAACTTCGTAAACGTCCTCCACCCAAGGAAACCGCCACTCCTGCTCCAGCTTCGAAGCGAGGCAGTGGAGCTGGCTCCGCGGCAAAGAAGCTCGCGGACAAAGCCAAAGCCGCCGTGACGGGGGCGTCAGCAACGGCGACATCGACGGGAAAAACCACGACGACCAACAACTCCAATGGCAGCGCCGTCGTCAACGGCAAAGCAGCCACCACCGACAAAATCTCGGTCGGTCAGACGTTGAACCTCGACGGCTTCGGAGGCACCATTCAGACCAACGACGGCGCCGACACCACGTTAAAGGATCTACTCGAAAAATCCGGCGCCGGGATCGTCATCTTTACCTATCCCAGGGCCAGTACTCCAGGATGTAAGTTTTCATTCCCCTCTTCTTGGTGTTCTGGTTTGTTTCACTTTGCATCGCATTACATGGTGCGGAGAATGGAGATTTAACGGTGGCGATGGTTCTAAGAAAAGGAGAACATGTCGCTCTCTACCTTCGCGGTTACTATGTTGCTTGCTTTTCTATCCACCCAGCCCTACAGAGGCTTTCATTGCGCTCCTTGCCTTTAGAGATGGAAAACTGACACAGCTATTTCAGGCACCACTCAGGCTTGTCTCTTCAGGGACAACTACGCTCCTATCACCGGTGCTTCACTCTCGATATACGGACTCAGCACGGATAGTCCCAAGGCCAACACCACGTTTGTGACGAAGCAAAAATTGCAATACCCGCTTCTCGTGAGTCTTTTGTGTTCCCATCTCCTAATCAATCTGATGTCAAGGTGCTCATCAAGCTAACGACATACAGTGTGATCCAAATGCAACTTTGACATCCGCTATTGGCATGAAGAAGCCTGGTCCCGGCAAATCCACTACTCGAGGTGTCGTCGTTATTGACAAGCAGGGTGTCGTTCGAGTCTGGGAGCAGGCTGGCCCTGCCAAGACTCTCCAGGTCGTCCTGGAGTATGTGAAGACCCAGGGAATGACTGAAAATGGTGCCCCAGCGGCTGTGGCTGCTCCACCTGCTGCAGATGCCACTGCGACTGAGGCGGCGGCCAAATTGGCGGATCCTGACACGAAAATGGATGAGGTGCCTTTGGTGAAGACACCTACTCCCGAGGAGGCTCAGGCTGCTAGTACAGCCGCTGAAGTTGGTGAGACTGCTGCCAAGTTGGATGGGGGCCCGAGTGGTCTTCTCAAGCCTTGATGGGTTTTCTCAGAGGACGTTGACCGAACAATCTAGCCTGTCATGCAGTCTGATCGCATGGGCCGGGCATTTCTTGTGACCAAGCACGAGATGGACCTTTCTGTGTTCAGGGAATATCTTGTATGATCCAACGACCATGCCTCATATGCTCGTGGTTCCTGGCGCCCAAGCCTTTCCTATTCTTTGCAATTCGTTGATAAACTTCTTGCTCGTGATTTCGGGGCTCGTCCCCCCGTAATTGACAATCTGTAACGGAGTCCGGTCGTCGGGTGCGTAGAAGGGATTGAGCATGAGTTGAATGTAGGCGGTCTGCACGGCCCGGAAAGCGGGCTTCAGGTCGGTGTCCCGGATGCCCACGACGGGTGGGAACCGTCTCTTGTCTTCGTCCGCGGTCGGAGGGCGGCCCATCATGTCGACCACGATGATGAACTTGATGCCGGTGTTGGTCAGCCAACCGTAGGCGGCGAGACGCTCGTCGATGGCCTGGAGAAGGCCCAGATCTTGATCGAGGGTCTTCGTTCTGGACCGGATGTCGAAGATGTCGAGGCAGGAATTCAGCAAGAATTGCATTTCCAGGTCTTCGTGCTCGTGCGGTGGGAACAGGGAGATGTGGAGAGGGTTGTCCTAAACTTCGATTTTAGCAAACGGCGGCAGGGTAAAGTGGGTAGGTAAGAGGTGTGTATATTCACATGTCTGCCTATTATGCCGATGCAAGCTATGGCTGGACTCGAGTTGAGTGCCATGGACCTGAGATCACCAGAGAAGAATGACTTGTGTGTGGTGGTTCTGGAGGAAATACACGTACATACACAGGCACGGATACACAGTTCTGTACTCGTATTGTAGAGCGCAGTCGACGGTCGCAGTCAACTAATTCGGCGGAGTGTTGGAGAAAGGTCGGGCATTGTCCTTGTCCACCAATGAGGGAGCTTCGAATATGGATTTGGTGTGGGTTTCCGGTTCAGACGTGAACATCATAGACAGATTATCTCGTCCTTTGACATATTGCCTCCTCCTACTCCGTACTCTTTACCTCGTCGACGCTTTTCCCTCCTGGCAATCTCCCCTCCTTCTTTATCATCTTCAGGCAAAGATGATGTCCCTTTCGAGAACCGTGGCTCCCAGGGCTTTAAGAGGTGCGTCTTCGCCGCCCGCGATCAATTTTGAGCTTTCCATTGCCACACACACACACACACACACACACACACACACACACACACACACAGACGTCGTTTCCGTTCACTAACATTATGCTGCTAGCTACGACGAGTACCGTTCCCCTGTCTGCCCTTCGCGCGGTCCCTGCTTCTACCGCCAGCATTTCCAGTTCCTCCAAGAAATCCGCGACATCGCTTGCTCCGACACCCGGTGCAAATGATCCGTCACGACTCCCGGTGACCGGCGGCGTTCGTCGCGAAGTCCCCCTCCCGTCGCAGGAAAAGAAGGAAGGTGCGATGCAATACGCCTTGACGACGCTGGATCAAATCGCGAACTGGGCGAGACAAGGATCTTTGTGGCCCATGACTTTCGGTCTGGCTTGCTGCGCAGTCGAAATGATGCACCTCTCGACGCCACGTTACGACCAGGACAGACTGGGTATCATTTTCCGTGCCTCTCCCCGACAGAGCGACGTCATGATTGTCGCCGGTACCCTGACAAACAAGATGGCACCGGCCCTCAGACAAGTTTACGATCAGATGCCCGACCCCAGATGGGTGGTCAGTATGGGAAGCTGCGCCAACGGTGGTGGATATTATCATTACAGTTACTCCGTCGTCAGAGGCTGCGACAGGATCGTCCCCGTGGATATCTACGTGCCCGGATGCCCACCGACCAGCGAGGCGTTGATGTATGGCATTTTCCAGTTGCAAAAGAAGAGTAAGTTTCGACCTTTCCTCCACTACGAACAAAACAAAACAGAACAAGAACGTGGTCACTAACGATGGCTGCACACAGTGAGACATACCAGAATCACGAGACTGTGGTACCGAAAGTAAAAAAAATGGAAAACCACTCATGCGATGTGTGGCTTTTCTCAATTATCATATCCATTATTCGTGGCACAGCGGCGTTTTTTTCCATGTGGCAGGAAGTGAGCTGGCATATCCTGCTTGAGTATTTTCCAAGTCAGCACGAAATATGTACAGAATGATGAAGGGACATTGATTCCTGATAAGACTTCGGTTTTCGCACTTTTGTTTTGCTTGTGTGTAAATGTTACGGCCAGAGTCAAACTTTCGTTAAATCGTACGTTGGAGTCGAGTGCTTGTCTCAACCGGATCCAGCCCAGAAATCATTGGGGAGGTTAAATGAAGTCTGAAGAGTATCAAAGCCGACTTCTGAGGTCAAGTCGCTGAAGACAGTATTGAAGTCATCCGTTACTGAAGGTGATGCTTGAAAGACGTTCTGCCCTAATTGACCAGGAAGAAGCTGGTAATCAGACTCGAAAGGGGTGAAGAGTGGATCATCCTTCACACCCGAGGGGTTGAATTCAGGTTCTGTCTGGATATGTTGACCCTTTCTGATGGTTGATCCATGCTCAAAAAGCCAACTCGTCAGGTTGATCCTGGAGGCGATTGTCTTTGTCTTCTCCCACAGACTTCTGGAGTGGTCAGAGACCTCGGCCAGGTCGCGCAGGAGATTCAGCGCCACCATAGCGGCCTGTCGAGCAGTCGTGCTCGTGTCAGAGGGCAGAGATAGAGATACCTCTGGTGCTTGGTGATTGTCTGGCTCCGCACACGAGCACACAAAGAGGAGCAGATCCAAGGCCGAGATCAAGAAATAATTGAGTTGAGGTCGGTGAAAACGGTACTCCTTGTTGGATGTGTCCAATCGCGACAAGACCTGTACCGTATCGGCGGCGGTTTCGACGGATCGTGTCCATATTTCCTCCGGCGCCGACATGTGGAGCTCGGTGCAGATGAACACTCGAGCAACTAAGATGCGCATGAGGTTTGCCCGCAGTCGAATCAGGGTCTCCATGTACTTGCGGCTCGGCTCTGTCGTGTTGTAGACGGAAGGACGATTCTGAAGCTCCACCGTCGTCGAGCGCGCCCATCGTTCGATTCGGTATTGGAAAGATGTGTAGCTGCTTTGCCAAATGTTGGGATTTCCTCCCCCGGCAGTAGCCTTGTCGTTCAGAAGAGCCGAGCAGGCTTCTCTCCCGATCTGACTGTATTCTATCATGGCACTCAAGAAAGGAGCATTGATCTTTAAACAGGTTAGTCTTGTATGATCTCTGTGGTATCTCCTGGCGGGTGGAGGGGTTTACGTACCGGCCGTGGGAAGCTAGAATCTATATGAAGTCCTTGCTTGAGATTGGGTAACCCGAGAGCATAACTGAGGTGTTGTTCGAGGACGTATACCGTCCAGACGGTATTGATTGCTCTTCCTCGACTTTCCACGTCGGGAAATAACCGTGTGAGTACAATTTCTCGGTTCAGGCCAAGCTCGTAAACGATTCGACTAATATTTCCTAGGAACCTCCAACCCAAACGCCACGAGCCACGATGGAGGTGGTAGAAGACCTGGAACATACCAGATTAAGGTGAGCCAAAAAAAAAGGAGGGGGGGATCGGAATGGAGACTGACCACCAATATCAGTAAACCAAGATCTTTCAGGTCTACCATGGCATCCCAGACTTTCGCTTGCACTTCAGCTTGTGTGCTGTGAAACAATCTCGATGCCAGATCCTTGTGCCTGTGACCTTCACCCAGGAGACTGATGGCCATTACCAACTTGAGCATGGTTGTGTCATTCTCCTCAAGCATATTGGTGACATCCGCATTCTGCGGGTCTTTAGACAGAGGCGGCTGCTGCCTGGCTTGCAAATAGTGACTCATCTTCCGTCTGAGATCTGCTATGTTGTGAATTGGATACGTAGAGGCCGCCATGGATTCGAAATCGTCCAGCATCTGAAGCATCTGACCGTCTTCCAACTCGTCCAGCGGATGGAAGGCAGTAATTGAGGAGTACTGCATGTGATGGTGATCGGCCTGCGACAGATGGTTTGGAGGGTCGGAGAAATCATCTCTACCATCGAGGTCACTGGTCTCACCCTCCACGATTCGTCCTTGGATGATAGAGAGCGACGACCTAGGGGTTTTCCGAAATGATGTGCACAGTGTGGCGTTGTCTGGGTTGTTGGGATAATGGTTGTTAACCTGGGCGCCGATGATGTTGATGCAACAGAATGCACTCGTAGCACTCTGAAATAGCGGCAAGGATTTCTTTGAAGGAAGTAGACGCGACCCAGAATGCACTGGCTCACCAAGCGAGAGGCCACATGCAGCGTCAAGTAGTTCGGTCCGCTTGATCAGAAGGTCAAGTTTGTCATTCTGACGTGCGAGAACGTCAAATATCATCTGCTCAAATTGGCTCTCACTGCTTCTGTTCGGATATCAATTGTTGTCCCCAGACCAGGCACTCTGGATAAACTTACTGTATATCTGATTCGGTCTGGAAAGTTGGTAGAGGAACGGCAGAATAACCGCACGTTTCCGCGTCTCGGGCAGAGCAATACGAACATGGCAATCTTCCATCGCAGCGTACTTTTGCTGCTTTGCACCGGTTGCACGCATGAGGCGTGTAGCGATTTCGCTTTTTCCGTGGCTGAGCTTGTTCAATATCTACCCGACTGTCGCTGATTGATGCTGCCGCCGAGCTTGACCTCTTACGGCTGTTCTGTGTCCGATCTAACCGAGGCATTTTGGCTTGCACTCAAGTGACAAGGGAGGAAATATGAGACCGAATACAAAAACTGCATCAGAAATTGGATCACAGTCAGGTATATATATTCGGATGAGTAAGCACTGCGGACTGAACCACCTCAGGCCAAGCACAAGCGGAATTGAGGTTTGAGCTAGGAAGGTCCATCAATGATCTAAGAATACAATGTCCCATAAGTGGAAGTTACCTGTACGGAGTAGAATTGGCAGTGATTGCATATCTCGGAGTCACCGACGATGTCTGTGGAAATGATACTCTTGGAGCCAAGATGAATGAGGTAAGAATTTTTGTATGGCCAGTAGCAGGCTTGAACTATTCTACTGTTCTATATGATTCTGAAGATAACACATCATTTGTTAAATAGTCTGCAGCTCAACAGCCCCAAATGTCGCCAAAACTTACAGAATTCCTTGTGTATGATTAGAAGGTGGTAAAGACATTCACGAGGCTCCATGGCGAGGCTGCCTCGGTGTTTGTCCAGTATATTCTTCCGAACATGACGTGATTGGTCAGCCTGATCATCATCGGCTTCTGCACTGAAAAGAATCACCCAAAGACCAACTGCGAGGACCTACCACCTCTGCGCCACTTCTGTTTCCTGTCCAAGTTCATCGACACCTTTGACGGCAGCTGGCGTTGGCAACATGGAGGTGTCTAAAACAGCCCTCCGCAGGCTTCCTCGCTGCTACCATAATCTGTCGGTCGCTGCTCGTCATGGCGATGGTCCCGCTGTCGCCGCGGTCGCATGCTCGCCCATGGCTGTATGGAGTCGAAGACAATTCACAACTACCTCTGAAAGATCCTTGCCTGGTCCTTCTAGTCTCAGCTTGGGTGGCTCATCATCACCGCCGACCTACTTTCAACGACACACAAGTCTCCCCGCAAACACCATCATCCGATTTGTCCCTCAACAGACGGCGTGGATCGTGGAGCGCATGGGAAAGTTCAATCGAATACTACAACCAGGCCTAGCAATCTTGATGCCCATCATAGATGTGTGTATCGATTGTCCTGCTTACAGGTTCTCACAGCTAACATACTTGTCAGCGCATCGCCTACGTTCAGTCACTCAAAGAGTCAGCGATCGAGATCCCTAGCCAAAGTGCAATCACCGCAGACAACGTGACTCTGGAATTGGATGGTGTGTTATATACAAGAGTATTCGATGCATATAAAGCGAGGTACGCCGCCATGTGCCAGAGGCATTGGATCGCCAACTAATGATTGTCATAGTTACGGCGTGGAAGACGCTGAATACGCAATTTCACAATTGGCACAGACAACGATGCGTTCTGAAATTGGTCAACTCACACTCGATCACGTCCTCAAGGAACGAGCGAATCTCAACCAGAACATAACTCAAGCCATCAACGAAGCTGCGCAAGAATGGGGCGTAGTATGCTTGAGATACGAAATCAGGGACATTCATGCCCCAGAGGGCGTTGTAGCGGCAATGCACAGACAAGTGACGGCCGAAAGATCAAAGAGAGCAGAAATTCTCGAATCAGAGGGTCAGCGGCAGAGTGCTATCAATATCGCAGAAGGTCGGAAACAATCCGTTATCTTAGCATCTGAAGCCTTGAAGGCCGAGCAGATCAACATGGCATCTGGTGAGGCCGAGGCCATTCTCCTGAAAGCGCAGGCGACAGCTCGTGGAATCGATGCTGTTGCCAATGCCATCAGACAAGGTGAAGACAGCGCCCAGAACGCCGTTAGCTTGAGCGTCGCTGAGAAGTATGTCGATGCTTTTGGGAAGTTGGCCAAAGAGGGCACCGCCGTGGTGGTACCCGGCAATGTTGGTGATATGGGCGGTATGATTGCCAGTGCCATGGCAGTTTATGGCAAGGTAAACGAGAGTCAGTCCAAAAGCAAAGCCGCCAAATCTGTCAACTCAAGTTCCGCGGCAGAGTCCAAAGATGTTGGCCAGAGGGTCATCGAGGCTGCTCAGAACTCGGACGCCAAAGAAGTTGCAGAAACCGTACTGGAAGGATTTGAACAGACAAGGCACAGAAAGTGAGGTGTTGGACCTTTCGAAGGGTTGATTGAAAATTGCTACGCTTTTCATCAGGAGGAAGGAATTTCTACTCATTCACAATGCAGCATGGCGCTTGTGTGTAATACCAGCAAAAGGAATTTTCAAAAGTCGACATCTATGTAAGCCATAATGAAGATGAGGAAATCACCGAGTGACAGCGTTGACAAGGTATTCGTACTCGTGCTCTTAGTATCATCGGCCTCAGGCAGCCTTGCGGCCTCATCAGGCTGGGCGCAGACAGACCTCTAAATCGTAAACTACCCACATGGCCTGCGGTACCATGCCATTCAACACATCGTCTTCACTCCCAAGTTGTCTCCTCACCACACTGCGCAGATCTCTCATTTCAACTGTGATTGCATATTTGCGCAGTATCATCAAATTCATATCCCTCGCAATGCGTACCCGACGACGGCAAAGATAGTTTAACCATGCATATCATCAAGCCGATCTGGCTCACCCATGGAGGTATTCGCGCAACCCCTACACAAGTTTCTAACGCGTCCTGAAGCGCGTCAACTCTGTCGCATGCACTTTCTTGGGGCTCAGGAAGCTGACAATAGTGGAATCTAGGTGAGAAGAAGGATTTCGAGGTTTACAGTTGTCATGTCTCTCCCGATGGCCAGCGTCTCGTTACCGCAGCCGGTGGTACGTTTTAAGATCCTACAAGGCAAGCAAGACTGCTAATGGGGTATAAAAGACGGATATGTTCGTATTTGGTCGACTGAAGCGATCTACAATGCAGCGAATGCCAAATACGACAAGCCTAAACAGCTTGCGTCGATGAGCTATCATTCGGGGACGATTCATGCTGTGCGCTTCTCTCCTGGTGGAAAGTTTCTAGCTTCCGGCGCCGACGACAAGATTGTTTGCATATACACACTTGATCCCAGTCCACCGAGCCACGCCGCATTTGGTCTGTCAGAAACGTGTCGTTGTGAGGAACACTGCGCTGAGATTTTGTCTAGGTTCGAACGAGGCACCTCCGGTCGAGAATTGGCGCATCTTTCGAAGGCTAATTGGCCATGACAACGACGTACAAGATCTGGGCTGGTCATGCGATGGAACAATACTGGTATCTGTTGGACTGGATTCCAAAGTGGTGGTGTGGTCGGGCTTCACCTTCGAGAAGCTCAAGACTCTTCCCAACCACTCGAGTCATGTCAAAGGCATCACCTTCGACCCCGCGAACAAGTATTTTGCGACCGCTAGCGATGATCGAACGATACGAATCTTTCGCTTCACCTCTCCAACTCAGAACTACAGTACTCATGATGCGGTTAACAATTTCATCCTTGAGCACACGATTACTGAACCTTTCGTCAACTCCCCGCTCACAACCTACTTCCGGAGATGCTCTTGGGGACCTGACGGTCAACATATAGCTGCAGCCAATGCGGTCAACGGGCCAGTTAGTGCTATTGCCATTATAAATCGAGGAAGCTGGGACGGAGATACCACACTCATTGGGCACGAAGGACCTGTGGAAGTCTGCGCTTTCTCACCTCGATTGTATGGGAAAGAGCCGGTAAATCGAGCACAGCCTGAGGAACATGTAGCTCCTCACACTACGGTCATCGCGTGTGGAGGGGCCGATAAGTGCCTGAGCATCTGGACAACCAGCAGCCCCCGACCTCTAGTCGTACAACAAGATGTTGCAGGGAAACCGATTTCAGATATCACTTGGAGTCCGGACGGTCACGCGCTATTTGCGACCGCGTTAGACGGCACCATACTTTCTGTAATGTTTGAACCGGGCGAGTTAGGTTACCCAAGGCCAGTCGAAGAGAATGACCGCTCACTTAGTAAGTTCGGCACTTCAAGAAAAGGGCTCGGTTTTCCGGAGACCACGGATGCTTTGTTGCTCGAAGAAATGAGCAAGGCAGGCGAGCTCAAAGGAGTCGAGGGACGTATGGGCGCTCTGATGGGTGACTCACACTCAGCCCAGCCAGCAGCAACGACCACAACGGCTACTACCAACGGCACTTCGACCACAGAAACTACCACAAACGGCGCCGAGCCGACGAGCAACGGCAACGCAGCTGCGAAACAAGATGAACAAAATCAAGCAAAGCTTGAACGACTCAAAAATAGGGTAGAGATAACTAAGGATGGCAAGAAGAGAATCCGTCCGCTGTTGGTGTCCGGTGCTGGTGGTGCGGAGTCATCTCTACCGCAGACCAAGCTTGTCAGTGCAGCTGCGAATGTTCATGGCACAGTCGACACGCCACAATCAATTCTTGATCTTTCGAAACCATTCGATGGCCTCCCCAAAGGTGGCATAGCATCCTTGCTCCTGGGAAACAAGCGAAAATACGCTCAAATCGAGGGCGAGGAAGAAGGGTCCACCGAGAAACGCATTGTTGCCGCAAGTCAGAAAGGAGTTACGCCTATTGTCGTCAACGGTGCCGATGGGCTGCTTCCCGCTCAGTCTCAAACAGTTCTCAGCGGGCAGCAAGTTACTCCTGAGTTCATACGTCCTGCGGTCATCAATCCAGCATTGAGTGTTAGTCAAGTGCGTCTTGCCGTACCAAAAGTCAGAACGCATATTGTCCAAGCCAATGATGCATTAGGGAAGCCTGTTGATGCGACTGGCGAAGCTGGTAAAAAACCAGAGTTCGTTTTCGAAGCTCGGAATCCTTCGGGTCCATCCCTAACTCCAAGGGCTCAAGACCGAGAGCCATGTCGTATTACACTCGTGCGGAAGGATCAGCCATTATGGCAAGATTTTATTCCGCGACCGGTATTGCTAGTGACAGGTAATCAGAACTTCTGGGCGGCAGCGGATGAGGCTGGCGCCGTCTATCTGTGGACGCCGCACGGCCGAAGACTTAACAGTGCCATTGTTATGGAAGCACAGCCTGTGATCCTCACATCGTACGACTCTTGGCTCCTGTGTATCACTGCAGTCGGTCTATGTTATGTCTGGAACGTCAAGACTATGTCCTCGCCGCACCCACCGGTTTCATTGGCACCGGTACTTGATGCAGCTATGCATTCACTAGCGGCTCATCCCACTGGTGCTCCGGGCATCACACAAGCTCGTCTGAATTCGGAGGGGCGCGTTATCGTCAGTCTAACGAATGGGGAAGGCTATGCTTATTCGCCACAAATGTACTGTTGGCAGCGCCTATCAGAAGTCTGGTGGGCAGTCGGCAGTCAGTATTGGAACACCACTGATTCTTCTGTTGGCAATATTCATCCTTCCAAAGCACAGAAAGATAAAGAAAGATCCGTCGATGTTTCCGCCGGCATCATTCCGTGGCTAGAAAAGAACACGACTTCGGAGACATTGCTGCGAGGACGAGCATACTTCTTGCAACGCCTCATCAAGGTCTTGTTATCGCGAGAAGGGTTTGAAAGTTTTGAATCTGGTGTGTCGATAGCTCACCTTGAAAATCGCATCGCCGCGGCTATGATGCTTGGGGCCAAGGATGAGTTCAGAATATATCTGCTAATGTATGCGAAGAGACTGGGTGCCGAAGGCCTCCGACTCAAGGTCGAAGAGCTCCTACGGACTCTTCTTGGTGGTATCGTGGAACAGCCGAGCAGCAGCGGTGAATCCTCGGCCGCGACAGCGAATGTTGTGGAAGGGCGTAATTGGGACGAAGATTCAAAATCGATTTGTGGCTGGCAACGGGAGGACCTTCTCAAAGATGTGGTATTGATTCTTGGGAAGCATAGGGATTTGCAGCGGATCATAGTGCCTTTTGCCAAAATGCTTCAAATTGTCGATGGAGGCGCCGAAGGTCAGGACGAAATGGATATGTGATGACCATGAGGATCTGGCGCACTGGGCGATGGGCATGGGCGATTTACTGCGATGGGTCAACTGCTGCTGGAGATTCTGTCACAATACTGCTTGCATGGAATGGCGAACAACGGGGCTAAATGCATGCAATGATGAGGATTTGATGGTGTCAACTTGGTATCTCGGATGGGGTCGATTGGTTTTTTTAAGACATGCGACTATGTTGCATATCATGACCAGGTCAGAAAAGAGGATGAAGAAATCACACCAAGACTGCATTGCTTTGCACTGCGCAAATCCTTTCTTCATCTTCAATTGCCATGTTTACCTTTTTCAGACCGCGTTTTCTAGAGCGCACCCATCTTCCCTCTCAACAAATCAGTGGCTTGACGGTAATGTCATCAACAGGACATGACATCGTGATGAACTGAACTTCTTTAGACTCGTGCCTCAACCAGTGCCTGTCCACTTGCCTTTGGTGGGCGTCCGCTCAAAAACATGGCAGCTCTTCATCAACGCGAACCCTTACCACACTTTTCCTTTCGGGATCATCGTCTCTGGCGATATATTCTGCTGACCTCGATACTCCTTATTTTTCTTCTCTTCACCGGCTCCTTAAGTCCTCACGACCCCTTATCCGCCGCCACCACAACAAATGCCGACGAACGGCCAAACATCAAGACATCGCACTCGATCCTGCATTCAATTCATGCTCGTGCAGGAGGCGGTGGTGGTGGATGGGGGAAGAGAAAGAAGAACGACGACCCAGTACAATGGTTGAAACAAAATTCCGACCTCGAACCTCACTTGCCTAGATCACGTACCACCAAACGTCCTCGCGCGGCCCTCATCAGCCTCGTGAGGAATGAAGAACTCGACGGCATTCTACAGAGCATGCGTGACCTGGAACTTCGGTGGAACGGACGACACAGGTATCCCTGGATCTTCTTCAACGAGAAGCCGTTTAGTGAAGAGTTCAAGGCGGCTACTTCGAACGCGACAGATTCTCAGACGGAGTACCATGTGGTTCCTCGTGACCATTGGAGGACCCCTTCCTGGATAGATCAGGACCGTTACATGGACGCCCTGGAATATCTTGGTACTATCGGTGTTGGAAAGGGTCACATGTTGAGTTACCACAGTATGATTCGGTAAGTTTTGTTACCACTTGCGACCTTCGCAAAAGGTCTCCGCCCCCCGTGTTTGTCAGGACACACGCCTTTTCTTCCCTTTCTTCTTCTTGGGTACCATCGTTTAGGACACGAAAGAAAAAGAGGGGTTTTCAAGAAGACTTGCTGACCGTTGAACAAAAAAGATGGCAATCCTTGTGGTTCTACCACCACCCTGCGCTCGAGTCATACAATTGGTACTGGCGTGTCGAACCGGACGTGAAATTTTTCTGTGACATCCCTTACGACCCTTTTGGGTTTCTCCAGCAAAACAACCTGGTTTACGGTTTCAACATGGCCATCCTAGACGACGCACGGAGTTTCACCTCCTTGTGGTCCGTCACGCGTGCGTTCATCGAGAACCACCCGCAACTGCTGCACCCGGAAGCGGATCTCGATTGGTTACTCGACCCGGACAACGGAGGCGAGTACAACAACTGTCAATTCTTTAGCAACTTTGAAATCGGTTCGTTGGACTTCTGGAGGTCCAAAGGACCAAGCAAGTACGCAGAGTGGCTCGACCACAGCGGCGGGTTCTTTTACGAACGCTACGGAGACGCACCCGTTCACACCCTCGCCCTGGCCATGTTCGCCGCGAAAAGAGACGTCTGGTTCTTTCGGGACGTCGGGTATCAGCACGACATTGCGCGTCATTGTCCACCTGCGAGTGCGAGACTGTCGCTCCACTCGTCCTCCGAGCATGACGAACATCGCGCCCGACAGCCAGGGTGTGAGTGCGAGCCCACCAGTCTAGACGCGAATTTCTACAAGCTCGTCCCAATGGAGAGCCCGCAGGTCAAACCGGCCGATACGTGCATTCGTTTGTGGTTGGGTGGGGAGTGGCTGGCCAAGAAGGAAGGTTGGAAACAAGACGTCGAGCGCGCTTTCGGCGGAGATGGGTACGGGGGTTACGTGCTGGGTGGACTGTGAGTGGGCTTTGCTTTCTGGGTGAGACTGGTCCTGCGAGTCATGGTATCGAGAATGGTCAAGCACTTGCACATGGTGTCTCGAAGGGTTGAAAGATCAAGTATGTAGCACGTATTGAACACGCACGACACAGACACAATACAAAGTCTGGTTGACACAAGGTTTGATTGATAGTACTCTGCTGTGTGACGGGGAATATAACCGACAACTACAGCGCCCTTGAAACATTATTCGAGTCCCTCGTATTTGCGTGAGCTGCGAAGAAGCTTTCGAGGGAGTCACGCCTAGAGGCATGCTTTAGTGTGATATCTTCCAGCAGTAAGAATACTCTTATGCTTTGGCCGCACCGGCCTTGATCAGGAGGATATCACCGTCTTCGACAACTACATTGCGAATTAGCAATAAATTTCAAACATGAAAAAGTGCTCGTGGCCTTACCATAATCCTTTCCTTTCGTCATAACCTTTCCAGCGGCCTTGACGGCGTTTTCATCCCCATACTCCTTCAATGTGTCGTAGTTGTAGACAATACACTGAATAAAAGTCTTTTCGAAATCCGTGTGAATCACACCAGCGGCTTGAGGAGCTTTGATACCCTTCCGTATCGTCCATTGTCGGACCTCGTCAGTACCGGTTGTGAAGAAGCTGGCCAGGTTGAGTGCTTGACGCATGGTCACGATGACCTTGGGCAGGGCAGATTTCGAGCCGAGGGTCTTGCACTCCTCAGCAGCTTCTTCGTCGGACATGGTCGCAAGACGCTCTTCGAAGGAGACGGAGATTGGCAGGACGGGGTCGCCGGCGGCGTTGGTCTTGATCCACTCCATGACCTTGGGGAGGTATTTGTTCTTTTGTCGCAGGTAGTCCTTTTCTGATAAGTTGATCAGGTAAACGACTGGTTTGGCTGTAAGTAGGAAAAGAGGGTTGATGACTTCGACCTGTATTTGGAATTGTCAGTGTTTGGAGGAGGTGAAGGTTGTGTGTAGATAGATGAATCAGGACAGAGGTATTTCAGGGTTGGACTTTCTCTCATAACAGCCTCTAACGTGAGATTTGTAAATGAGGCTGCTGTCGACGAGCTGGGATTATTCGAGCACATGGCTCTTGTTCATCATGATAAAAACAAGCGGAAAAAGGAAAAAATTGGCTCAAGCTCACCTCTTTAGGACCCCATTCACCCTTTCTGACATCCTTACCATCCTTCAACCATGCCAGAATCTTGTCGACTGTAGCTTCCTCTTCTTTCAGCTTCTTCATCTCAAGACTCTGGCCGCCTCGTCGTGTTTGTTTAGCAAGGTTTTCCTTCGCCTTCTCGACGAACTCAATGTCTTTTAATCTCAACTCTTCGGAAATGATATCGAGGTCGCGAGTAGGGTTGACATCGCCCTCGACGTGAATGATCTCGGCATCGTCGAAGCATCGCACGACTTGGAAGATGGCATCGACGGCTCTGATATGTGATAGAAAGGCATTACCAAGTCCGGCGCCCGTCGACGAACCGCGGGTCAGACCAGCAATATCGTAAACTGTCAAGTTCGCAGGTACTTGAGACTTGGGCTTATAGTGTTGGCACAACCAATCGTATCGAGCGTCTGGAACGATAACTCGAGCCTCTTCAGGATCTATGGTCGCATAAGGAAAATTCGCAGGGTTGCCCAGGGAGCATTTTGTGATGGCTTGGAAGAGCGTCGATTTGCCAACATTAGCCAGGCCGACCTGAAAGGACCAATCGTCAGTCATCCATCTCTTTCCTGAGGTGGACGTTCCCTACATACGATACCACTTTTCAAGCTGTTGCCAGGTCTGCCCAGAAGAATCTTCTCTTCCTTCGCCGCCTTCTTGGGAGGCATCTTTTTCTTAGCGTAATTGCGCTTTTGCGAGGTCGGTGTGAGTGAGAATGCGGTGATTCGCCAAAAAGCTGGCTTCGAGCAAGGCTCAACTGCAGATCCGGCTGCGACGAGTGAAAAGCGGAGGGGAGAAGTGAAAAGTGTGGCCGAGAGGGATCGGGACACCGTGATTAAATAGAAGGTTATCGCAGTCTCGAGCGGATCGTGCTCGAGAAACGTGCGACAAGTTGAAGGATTTTTTGCTTGAGTCGAAGTATGAGGTCTGAATGCAAAGAAGCCAGACTTTTTTCTACAATGCGAAGACGAGTGCCAAGCAAACAGTATGATTATGTAATAATCCGCCAGGTCGGACGTTCAGGCCTAGGGATAACAACCAGAGATCGCACCAAGTCTTTCACTGTTGTGGGCTGAAATACATCCCAAATAAAGACACTAGAGTTATTTCTTTCATCGAGAATAATTTGTAGTCCATTGATCCCGAGGTCGAATGCATATATACACGAGTAAGCGATGAACGAGGCTGAACCCCTGGATCAGCTGTTATTTCATATGTTGCGGGTGAGGTGCATGCTGTACACTTTGAGCCCAGAGATTGTATCGTGATATTTCTCTGCAATATTCCTAACCGTCTGCGAGAAATTGAGGGGTTCCGAAGCTACCTAGGTGACACCAGATGCGAGAGCAATGGTGTAATTCTGCTAGAGTAGGAAAACGACACTGGTCGTGGAGACGTTGGGCCTTTGATCGAAGTGGCCTGTGAGCTTTGTTTTGACAACAATCTTCGAGCAATTGAAGTATAGAGCTTGAGTCCCAACTCCTTTTTTACCACCCCATTGGTTTGTTGTCATAAGTATTTCAAGGTGTGTGTATATCTTGAAAGATTTCCAGCCCTGTGTTCCAACGGTGAGGACACCGCAGGCTTTCGATGCTCCTAAACCTTTTCAGTGCGTTATTGATCTCGGTAAGCTGTGCAATTGGCAGCGAGGCAAAGGCCTTGTCGGTGTGTGCAAAGATCTCAGTCGAACTCTCAAGTGACATCCATCTGCACATCGGAGTCGTCTTCGTCACTGCTTGTCCTCAGCATGCTCCTCCTGTCTTCAAACGTCTTGATCGCGAGATCTCCATCTTGGCCTTTCTTCTTTGCTTCGAAATAAGCCTTTCTCTTCTCCAAATCGACTTCATCCTGCCTTTCCAGTCTGGCGAGATTGCGCTCTTTTCGTTTCTGCTCGACATTGTGTAATACCCTCAGCTGTTCCTTCAGCCGGGAAACTTCATCTTCTAGTCTTTCGACCTTTCCAAGTTCACTACCATCCAGAGAAGTAGTGGATGTCCCATGACTGGCCCCCGTGAGCGACCGCAATGCGTCATCAAACAAGTCTTGTGGAAATCCGTGGCCTAGGATGGCTTCGTCGACAAATCCATCTGCGTGAACAGCCTTATTGGGACCGAGTCTCACGTGAAGATTGTATTTCGCTGGAATGCCGCAAGTACCGTTGTCTTTGGATGCCGCGAAATCAAGATTAGGCTTGACAACATTTGTGATCGTGTAGCTGGGTACATTTCTCCGGAGGAAGCCTTCTGGGTCGAGCATTTGAATGCTAGTAACAGGCTGCGCAAGGTTTGAGACTTCGTTCGTAATTCGACGCTTCCCACAATCCCACCTGATGATAGCTCCATTGCGGTGACCAGAAAGAAGTGAAGTCCCATCGTAAGACAATGTCAGGCAACTTGCCGCACCGAGATCTGATGAAGGCGCTACCCAGCTGTCTTTTGCCAGCAATTGTATAGGTGGGAGATCTGATGCGTTTGATGTCGACGCCTGAATTTGATCTCTGCAATGGTAGATATCGAATGATTGGATCTGTCCATCATCACAACCGAAATAGATCGCCCGATCTGCTGGATCGATGGTGACTGAGATTGCTGAGCTGTGCAGAAGCAAAGTCCGGATAACTTGACATGAATCGATATGCCAGACATAACATGTCCTATCAGAAGATGCAGACACCGCGAAGTTTGTGTTGATTTTCGAGTGGCCACATGTAATAGTATTGACCGTTGCTCTATGCGCTGAGAACGTTTGTACAGGCAAATGGGATGGCTCCTCTGTTCCAAAGGTACTGGCCGGCTGTAGGAACGAGACCAGTTTCAGTAGGGACCAGATATGAACAGTTGTATCAGCAGAGCCTGAAAGGATATACTCATTATTAGGAGTGATGCATATGGATGAGACTGCTTGCAGGTGCGACGCAGAAGAGGTAGTTAATCTTCCTGTTGCAACTTCCCAAAGAATCAATTTCCCGCCCTCTGTTCCAAGTACAAGAATCTCCGCGCCATGGGCATAGGCTAGACTGTGTATCCTCTCGGGAAATGGTACAGTCGCTTCTTGATTTCCTCGTTCTCGACTGTAAACATTCACAACTGCTTTATCGGCCTGAGCAGCGAATATATGAGAGGAACTAATGGCAATGCCTCCAGGTCGGCTTGAGCTCTTCTTGTATCCATGGCGGACACCACTATGTGGCTGAAACTCATGGAGGAAGATGCCTACATCCCTCAGAGCAGCGCTCGCATGGGCAACAGCTTTGTTTGCAGTCAGTGTCGCCGCAACGAAACTCTCTGTAAGCATATTCGTGATTACACAGCTGCCTTACCCGACGTTAGGAGTGGCTGCATCGTGTGGTCAAATTGATCTGTGATGGTCCGCCAAACTTTTTCTAGAAATATTTGGAGATCGTCTGGATTCGCGAAATTCTCCACCAAGGTCACGTGCAGAACTGCCAAGCATCGGAAAGATTAGCTCTTGGCACACAACTGGGCTCGCACTTGCGCTTCGCGATGAATTGACTCCGAATCTTGACTGTTCGACCAACGACTACATCACGACCTCGCCAAACCGCGAACAATTCTTCACTTCGACAACTTTGCAAGGAGGGCAAGATGTCGACATTCGAGCCAGTCGTAAGTGCTGCTTGCCTGAATCTGAAAATTTGCGGCGCCAGCAGGATACTGCGCGAATGACTTAGACGAACTTGATACTGATGGGAATATGTGTCCAGGTTGTTATCGATGGCAAGGGCCACCTGCTCGGTCGTCTCGCCAGTACCGTCGCAAAGCAACTGCTGAACGGCCAAAAGATCGTTGTTGTCCGCGCGGAGGCCCTCAACATCTCTGGCGAATTCTTCCGTGCTAAGCGTACGTTTTTCATATCACCACTGAGATTTTGAGCTCGACTGACACGGACGAATAGTCAAGTACCATGCCTACCTCCGCAAGATCACTCGATACAACCCTACCCGTGGTGGTCCCTTCCACTTCCGAGCCCCAGCCCGTATCTTCTACAAGACCGTCCGAGGCATGATCCCACACAAGACTGCCCGAGGCGCCGCCGCCATGGACAGACTGAAGGTCTTCGAGGGAATTCCACCCCCATACGACAAGAAGCAACGCATGGTTGTTCCTCAGGCCCTGAGAGTCCTCAGATTAAAGCCCGGTCGCAAGTACTGCACGGTCGGCCGATTGGCACACGAAGTTGGTTGGAAATACCAGGATGTTGTTGCTAGGTATGCCTCTCATGCATTTACCCACTCGGCGAAGGCAGAACTACAGGATGTACATGGATGGCTAACTGTAGAACAGACTCGAGGAGAGAAGAAAGGTCAAGGGCAAGGCTTACTACGAGAGAAAGAAGGTTGCTCGACGACAACTCGCCGAAGCACAGAAATCATCAAGCAGCGAGACGAAGCAGAAGTTGGCCGCTCTCGGCTACTAGAAGCGTTTCGCCTCCGGAAAATTCTTTGCGATTACCCTGCGAACTATCTCCGATTGATAGTGTTCATCGGACGGAAACGATCGCAATTGAGGCATCCTATCAATTCGAGAGAAGACGTTACAAGTTTGTGGGTGAGATGGCGGTACGCTGTGTGGTATTGTCCTACACACAGTGGAGAAAGACGGGCTGGGCCAATTTCGAAGTTGATGTCGTGGGCAGTCAAAATCATTTTCAGCTGCTTGGGAATAGAATGCTCCCCAGCAAGGTGGGCTGTTATGCATGCGGAGTGATGTGATGGTCTTTCAGAAAAACAAAACATAAATATGCCCATAACGGTATCCTGACATTTCTGCTTGATATTATATGTGGCTCGAAAGTGCTTCAGCTACTGTCAAAACAAGCATGCAAAAAAGGAGACAAAACGATGAAATCTGTCAAAAAGTGTTCATCACCAGCGTATTGTGGGCTAATTGGATTCCTGTACTGTAGATTCGGACCCCAAGGACCATTAGCAAACCCTCATGCATCCCACTTGCTACGATCTGTCGTCCCCCCAGACACCCCAGGTTGTACTCAGCACGTGAAGGCTCAGGCCCGACGATTTGTTGACCCTATCTCGATCAAGTACAAACATTGCCCCATGACTAATTACCCGTTCGTGTACGTCGTCACTTTCGTGCTCTCCAACAAACAATTTCAACCGTACGTTCTCGCATGACCAGGCACATCCATTCGAACTCAATGCCTGTTGCCAGAACTCTGCGCTACCAAAAATCTATGCGACTGGACGCAGCCAGAGCATATCCGCGCCCCGTCGACCTGGGGAATGTTGGAGCCTCGACGACAAAGCTCGCAACTCGCGTCGTTGCCTCTGGAAGATTTGACCAGCGAAGCACCCTTCGTCAAGGCAGCCTTGACCGTTTCGATCTTCGTCCGTGATGCAGACCTGTTGGAGATCGAATCCGACGGTGTCAAGGTAGGTGCTCTGCTTCTAGCGGCAGAGACACGACTCCCGGGCGAGATGAATTCGACTTTGTGAACGGGCGCCGCCACTGGATCTTTGAAAGAAGCTTTGGAAAGCACTGTAGACTTTGGGAGTGGGATCTGAGATGGTGTCCGTCCCACTTGACCTGCTGCTAATAGCGGTGGAGGGGGCGGCGGGGGAGGTGGCACGGCGGCATGGGTTGACCTAAGACCTGAAGGAGGCGGCGGTGGCGGAGGTGGTCCTGCACCGTGAACTGAGCTGGGAACTCTAGGAGGGGGAGGTGGAGGTTGTGGAGGTGCAACGGCGGCACGAGCTGACCTAGCGAGCGAAGGAGGAGGAGGTGGTGGTGGTGGCGGCGGCGGCGGTGGTGCTGCAACCTCGCGTAGCGATGGTGGAGGACGAGTGACCTTGACGGAGGCTGAAGGGGGTGGAGGTGGAGGCGGAGGAGGAGCACGTCCAGGTGAATGGAGGTCGCTGCTGTGGTTTCGGGCCCAGTTGGCCGTCACGAGTGCTCTCTGGTCGCCCTCGGATAGCCTATTGTAGTCTTCGGGTTTCATGGTCGTCTCGAACGCTCGCGTGTTTGCAATACTTTCGGGGTTGTACATTCTAGACAGGCCATTGTTGCTGTTGACCAGGTTGCATGTGCCCAAATCAAGTGGCCGATAACACGGATGCATGGCGGCAACACAGGCCCCTGGCGGTTTATCATGACCAGTCGCAGGGATGACTTGACAGAGTTCGCGTACACGGTGAGTAGCGTGGTGCGTTGCTTGGGATGGCGCCACTGTTCTGGCACGGGCTTGAAGGTAGTCAGCATAGAATCATAGAAACAAACGCAAACGAGGTCGCTCCAGGATAGAGCGCAGATCTGAATAACGTCAGCCATCCGAGACGTACCTTCGCTTGCCCTATGAGAGCCCATGCTGCTCCTTGGGGCATTTGAACCACCCTCGTGCTTTTCGGAAGGCATTCTATTGATATACCTGGAAGCGCGGAGATATAGGTTGAAAACAGACTCGCGATAGAACTCTGAAATAAAAGTGGCATATTAAAGCAAATTATAGGATCAAGACACGATCAAGGGTGACCTTGGGTGAAGATCAAAAACACCAAACCACGAGACATGCCGTTTGTAGGGGGATTCATCATCAAAAGAAGGTCGGGTACAAACAAAGGTGGTAGCAATCTAGAAAACGAATGTCCTCCGAAAAAACCAGCCGAACTGCCCTAGCTTCACTCTTGTTAAATTCCATATCACGCTTTCTTCTTGAGATCTCCGTTTTGTTCCCCGCCGGTCTGCGGAGAAGTGATGGTATCCGTTTTGCCTTCAACGTAGGGGTGTTTAATAGTCAGACACCAAATGTCCAGGTAGTCACAAATGGTAGTGATGACGTCGTGGACAAAGCTTCCATAGACACCAAGCGCTAGACCGAGAGCGAGGAAGATAAATGCCACTTGGTAGATATCGCTGCCCAGTGCACTTGGCCAGAGACCCAATCTTGGACCCAGACTGTCAACAACGGCCCAGGCAAGTGGGATGACCAGAACATTTTGGTAGGGAAATTTGTCCTTGACCAAGTGTGCAACGATCATCTGCCCGACGGAGTAGGCATTGACCATGCTGGCAAAGAGAGTGAATGGCACGAGGTGATGATGTAGGATGACCGGGTTGAGCCAAAGATAGGCCGTTATCAAAGCCCATGTGACCAGAATGGGAAGCAGCCCCAATAATGGCTTGTAGGGATCCTGGCCCCTTTCTCGTCGTACCTTGATGACGGCCATCGCGCTGCTGACCGTGTTGAAGACAAGAACCACAGCACCATACCACATGTACCACTCGTTCCAAGCCAGCTGGTACATGCTTTCTGGAAGAAGATCATTTTTCGGAAACCCAAGGCTCGGGAGCATTGGCTGTTGCCAATAGCTTGCACCGCCCTTGAGGAAAGTGAGGAAGTACACCACAATCAAGGTAAGTACACCTTCAACAGGGCCCGAGACGATTCCCAGGGTCAATGTATGGGTGTGGTATTCATCCCAGGTCTGGATGTAGAACGTAAAGACGGTTCCAAAGAGTGTGAGAACAGTCTTCCATGACTGGCCGAGGTTCATCGCAGCTGCGAAGAGAAGAACTTCGAGGCCAGTGTTGCAGGCGTCGACTCCTTCGAGAGGTCAGTGTCAATTTCTCCTCTTTACCAAAGTGCGATACTAACCATGATCAAAGAGCTCTCCTAGAGGTCCGCTCTGGTGCGTCCTTCGGGCCTGGGAACCATCGACAGCATCGAAAGTCTGGTAAAGAAAGAGCCCAATAGCCCATGTCAAGTAAACCCAAGGAGGGCAGTCCATGTCGAGGGTTGGGTTGTACCAAAGCATCGTTAGGACATTGATAACCACGAAGCTGAAGCCGGTAAGGGTGATCTAACACTACATCAGCTTTCAAGGAGCAGCAAATCTCGAGTCACTATTACATACAAGATTCGGACTACGAGGCATGTCAGTGTGCGATTTTTGCAAATAGGGGTAACACTACTCACGCCATAGACATCGGAAAACACTTGATGGCGACATGAGTGTAGAATGGTTTCAGGATATATTTCGACACCAGAGATTTATCAACGCCGGCATATTTGTACTCGCGCAGCTTTGGCAGGTTGCGCTGTCGAATGTACACCATCTTGAATGTATTTGAAGGCAAAAGAACGTGTCAAACAGGCAGAACAAAAAGCTGAGTTTTATATGAACCAACCAAAAATTTGGCGTTGAAGAAAACGCGTCGACCGACCAGGTGCAAAAAGGATGAAATGCAGGATCTCGAGAGAACAAATTGTTGTTTCCAGGATTCTTCGGCTTCAAAACGTCATTCTACTTTGTACGTTGCGGGAGGCTTGCTATTCTGGCATGAATGCTTCGTGATAGTGATTGCGGTGGACTACAAAGGTCGATAGTGCGCATCCGCCATCCATTTCCTTTTCGAGAAGAAATAACAGTCGATCGACGACTGGATCGAACCCCTCACCCTCCATGATGCACCATGGACCGCTAACACAGTTACTATTGATAAGCGACGAGGAAGCTTTTGGCTGTCATGAAGGCGCTTGTCGTCCTTTCGCCTAATCGTCGTTGCAATTGGACCGATCACTGGGATCACTGTGTCTAGCAAATAGGTATAAATCGAGCGTGATTTACTCCAGCTCTTATGTGTCGAAATGTTATCTTAGATCCTGACAGCGCTGATTGAACGCCCAAAGACACCCTTCATGATGGGCTCCTATATTCATAAACGCGACCAAGAGGTCCATGTCGTCCACGTACCGGAAGATGTGCGCCGGTCTGGAAAAGCGACTCTGGAGCTCATCGCTGAAGGTGCCGCCTTTTTGCACAAGGACGGCATCATAGTACTTGAGAATGCTATCGATACCGCGCATATCGACACCCTGAACGCAAAGCTTGCCCCCGAAGCGCTCGAAATTGCTGCTGACCCTGATCACCACTTCAATTTTGGGAAACAGACACGAAACATGGATCAGGCTCCGCCACCAACTAAAGAGCTGATGTATAAGGATATCTGGTGCAATCCTTTTGCAGCCGCGATCCTGTCAGCGACGCTGGGTCCACGCCCTGTAATCCATTACGCCAATGGAAACACCGCGCTCAAGGCCTCTCCAGATGGCAGACAACCAGTACATTCAGATTGCGAGTTCGCGCATCCTGCATACTTCCCCTTTGCATACGTTATCAACATCAGTCTTGTCGACGTTACAGCAGAGAATGGAGGGACGGAAGTGTGGATTGGAAGTCACCATGTCAGCGTGCAGGATGCTCACGTTTCAGATTGTGACAACGAACAGTTGTTGAGCATCAGGCCAGAATTGTTAGAAGAACGGAGGAAGCACAGCCCTCCAATCCAGGCGAGTACGAAGAAAGGTTCGCTTGTTATCCGTGATTTGCGACTGTGGCACGCCGGCATGCCGAATCTAACGGACGAACCGAGAGTAATGCTAGCCTTTGTGGCAAGTCCAGAATGGTGGCAGGGCAAGAGCAAGATCCTGTTACCAAAAGACGTGAAGGAAATGGTCGAAAGCTGGAAACATGAACTTCAATACGATGCTGATTATGTCGAAGGGGAAGTGGAATATAAAAAGCTTAGCAGTTCGAATGTGGATTTCGGTTCCAAGAGCAAGATTCTCGAGAAGTTTGAGAGCGAAATGAGTGTTTGGCCGGATTATGTTCCCAGATGGTACTGAATAAACAATCCCATGGGAGCAACGCCAGTTGATAGCATATGTACTGAATACCTGATAATTCGTTGACCTCGATTGAATGAACACAATAAATGCGTCGGGGGCTTGAGATGAGGCTCGCGGCCCATAACCCCTAAAAGCGGCAGCGACTATTTCTCAATCGGAAGTTCCCTAAATTTCCACTCAGTATTCTTTTCAAGACAGCAATTCCAGATTGCGGCATACTCGTTTGTGCCGCGTTTGCTGTAGCTAGACAGAGCGATTACAAAAGTCTAGTAGCCTGCATCCGAACCGTCAGAAAATGCCACCGAGACTGCGGCTGCGCTCCATCGCGCAATTAGCAGAGCTTCAACCTGAGCGAGCTCCATTACGATCTACATACACCTGCAACAGATGCCAATATGCGACGGCCGCCACAGTCCCAGCCCCAACAGATGAACAGATACACGCATCGATACCGGCTTTAAGTCGCTATGCACCGGCCACGCCCCCAAGTTTCCGAAACCCGGCCTACCGAAAATCGCAGCTCCTCAGATCCTATGTCTCCCTACTCCAGACGACACCTCTGATCGTCCTGTTCCAGCACACCAACCTCAAGGCGTCAGAATGGGTTGGCATCAGGAGGGAATTGGCTTCGGCCTTGCGCAAGCTCGACAAGCAGCTCGCGGCGCAGGGTGCGCCCCCGGAGGCGTTGATCGCAGAACACATCAAATTGGAGGTGATCAAGACAAACATTTTCGAGCCCGCCCTACGGATCACGGAGTACTTCAAACCGGGTGACCTACCTCCCGAGACCCTGAGCGGACTGCCCGGGATCTCTTCAGAAAAGGAGGATCCAAGCTTAACACACTCCCTCTCCGAAGCTGCGTACCAGGCGGCAAAGGCGCACAAGGGCGAACACCCACTCACGCCTGTCCTGCAGGGCGCCGTGGCGATCTTGGCCCTCCCTGCTGTTTCGCCGACCCATTTGAAGACGGCGTTTTCCATCCTTTCTCCGCAGGCGCCTGCCTTTCCGGCACCGACGAGGCGAATGGTCCCCTCATACTACGACCCATCCGTGCAGGATGGAGTGAAAAAGTTGCTTCTCCTGGGTGCTCGGATCGACGGGCAAATCTTTGACATGGAAGGCACGAGGTGGGTCGGCAGCATCGACGGTGGTATTGACGGGCTACGGGCGCAACTCGTGGCCATATTACAAGGATTCGGAGCAGGAATCACCACGACTCTGGAAAGCGCTAGCAGGAATTTGTGGTTTACAATGGAAAGTCGGCGGAATATGCTCGAGGAGGAAGGGAAACCTAAAGAACAGTGAACGAGGCGAATGCATACCAAAATAGCACTGGGTTATGTGTTTTCTCCTCTAAGACTGTCGACGTTAATCTCAAACCTCTAGTCAGGGATATTGTGCAGGCTGGCCTTGCCCTTGTATGGGCCTGATTCGGAGTCCTCTCATGTCGTCGCTGTATGGTGGAGTGAAGGTGAATGGCTTGTTGATAGCGGTGAGATTTGGTTCTGAAATCCTGGGCTTGCACCTGTAACATAACTAGATGAAGAGAAGAGCAAAGGCCGCACGCAAGAATACCATTTGTACAAAAGATATAAAAGTCGTCCATGGTTGGGCTGGCGCCATCCCTTCCTCTAGCCGGATTTCTGCCACTCAATCCTTCTTCGGCGCCTGGTAACTGTCCCTCCCTCGCAAACATCCGTATATTGAGACAGCGAAACACGAAATTCGCATTTATTCCAATTAGTGGTGAGATTGTACAGACTAGGATGTGGCTTCGGGACAAGGTTGAACCTGCGTTCAACAATGGTGTATGCTGCATGTTCTTGAGCCACACATGGGGTTAACTGTGATGTGGCCTTGTTGACATGGCCCCTCTACGATGCTTTGGTTGCTTGCTTCCTAACAACGGGTTCAGTGCCGTAGACGGACCGGCATTCCTCGACGTATCGAGCTCTGTCGGCTTCAGCCTTGTCGTTGTATGGCTAGAGCAAAAAGTCAGTCGAGTCCAACATGAACGAGCATAGATATACAAACCTTTTTTTCTGCCGCAGACAAGCTGTTCCACTCCCTACCCAGTAACTTACCTGATTCTCCGACCGACATTCCTGACATATCGCCAGACAAATGTCTGTCAGCGAAGAAGAACGTGTAGGCATTGCGCGGCGCCTTCACAGCTCGATCATCCTGAATCGTTGCATATCTCGTCTTCTTTCCTGCCGCCTTGGCTTTCTTGGTGAGTTGATTTCGAGCATTGTTTGCTTGCTTGATCTGTAGAGGAGTGTAGGTCTGCACCCAGTTCTTATACGAGATGGCGTTTTGTTGTTTGTTCTGGTTTGCTACGTGATTGTATTGCTGCAGTTGTCAGTAAACACCTTCTAGATGAAGCGATATAACAAACCTCGCGCTCTGCGGGACTCAAATTTTTATACCTCGCTGACGCCGCACTCGCAGAGCCGGCAAATGCCTTGGTCTTTTTAGCTTCCTCCACAAGGATCACCGAGAATGCTGTGGAAGGTAACTGCTTGGGTTCTTCTAGCAGAGCGGCTGCCCGCAAATCTGAGGCTGTCTTTCGGGCTTGCTTGACAAGAGCTGTCTTGCTGGGTGCTTTCTTTGCCTTTGGCTTCTTTACTGCCTTCTTCTTAGGCTTCTTGGTTGCCTTTTTCTTGGGGGTAGTCTTCTTGGTGCTGGCTGCTGCACGTCCTGTGTGCGCCTTTGGCCTGCCTGCTGGCTTTTTGGTGGCTGTCGCATAGTTCCTAGCATTCTTATAGAACAATGCAAGGTCTGACCAGTCGCCGCAATGGGTGTTTCCGGATTTGTTGGAGGAGGAATTGCAAGCAACGCGTAGGAGGGGGTTGGCAGGAGAGGGTCGCGTGAATGACCGGCTCGTCCTGGCCAGCAGCCGCGAGGCCAGCGTTCGTGGGACAGGGAAAACGGCCATGGCCAAGGGTTGGAGCAGAAGGGATGAGGACAGTGGGATTCGAGTTCAATGCAATGGAAAGCACATTGAGGTTGGTGGATGATATTAGTTGTTGAACCACTTGGTGGCTGGGTCGTGTCGCATTGACTTGGTACGCGAAGGCAGCGCAGCTGGCTCAAGAAACCCCGTACACGTGATTACAGGCCGTTTCCTTCTAGTGACGCACTATCGCATGTCAAACAAGGCTGAAGTTGCCAAGAACTCTCAATGCGGGACAATGCACCGTGCCGCCTTAAGCGGCCCGTGCAGGCTGAATGCTGTTCTTCATAGGAAAATATTCCAAGATCGAATTGTCGTGAGATACGAGTATCTGCCATCTGCATAGACGTCTGTTGAGCGACCTTTTCCTTGTATATTCGGCCCTATTCGTTCACGGCTGAATGATCGATTTTTGTCGCCAAAGCCCGGAATTTCTCTTTTCGAGCCTGATCCTGGTTGCGATTCTAGCGTAAAGCTCACTTATCTGCAGCCATAGGATGGCTAGGCACGGGGACACTCGCTCACCATCACCTGCAGGCAGTTCATATTCCTCGTCGAAACGAAGCCGGAGAGATGAGGATCGATATGATCGAAATCACCGTCGCAAGCACTCAAGGTCCCGGAGCCCAGAGGTAGGCCCTCCTTCGTGTTCTTGTTTAGGTGCAGTTACTGATCATTACTCACAGCGAAGGCGTCGCGACCGCGAAGGCTATCGTCGAAGGGACCGTTCCGTAGACCGACGCTACGACAGTCGGCGCGATGAAGACTATCACTACTCAAGGCGAGACAGGTCTCGGGACCGCAGGCGCTCACGGGACAGAGATGACCGACGGCGGAGCAGAGAACGAGAGGCACGTCCGCGAAGAAATGACTCTCGTGACAGGGAGCGCCGACTAAGGGATGAATCTACGGAATCAAGGAAACGTAAACGAGAAGACAGTCGAGAGCGGCACTCTCGTAAAGAATCCAAGGATGTGTCAAGAGAGGTATGCATACCCGGATCGCGTTATTCATACAGTACTCATGAATTGATACAGCCATCGAAGCCTTCCACGCCCACAGCACAGACTGACGACGACCGGAAAGCCGCTAGACTCGCCAAATTAGAACAGTGGAAGAAGAAGCAGGCTGAAGAACAAGCCAAGAAGCAAAAGGAGCTTGAGGGGGCAGGTGGTAGAAATCTCCTGAATGAGATTGATAGACGAGCAGGGATTTCTCCCGCAATCAGTTCACCACAATCACCAGCTACACCAGCCTCTCCCTTCACCCCCACCGTTCAGTATGCGGGTAAGTTCGACCCAAAGGCGATAGCGAAGAAAGCACATCACGCCTCCGCAGCAAGCAAAGTCCTTGGCGGCGATATTGCTGCACCTGTCATTGCCAATGGGCACGTACCATCGCCAGATACTGCCCCCAAATCTCCAGCAAATGGTGTTGGTGTCTCGAAGTCCTTGAAGCCGAAAGGTAACATGGGCAAGTTCGGGCTTGGTGTGAAAGCTGGGGTGGAGAATGACATGTCGAAAAAGGCGCTAGATTTTGAGGATGAAGAAGGCACCAAGAAGAAACTAGAAAAGCTGCCTAATATGACTCTGGAAGCGAACTCGGGGGACACCGACCCTCAAGTGGGCGATATCGCAGACGAGGACGACGAGGACGAAGACGCGGACATGCAAGATGAAGGCTCTGAAGAAAGGATGGCTGCTGCCCGCGCGGCTGCTGAACTGCGAAGCCAAGCCGAGCGAGGCGAAGATACAGCAATGGTTGACGCTCCTGCCTCTGCCAGTGCTAATGCTGCTGATGCCCAAGCAGAAGCAGAAGAAGAAGAGGAGATCGATCCCCTCGACGCTTTCATGCAGGACCTGCAGCCTGTTACGACCGCCAGATCATTTGCTCAGAAATCAAAGTCCAAATCGCGGCAGCAAGAGCCCGAAGCCCTTTTCGGAGACGATGAGGTCGACCTTACCGCCGTTGACGAAGACAATCCAGATAGTATTCTTTCACTGGCTTCAACTGCCGCCAAAAAGAAGAAGAAGGAAATCCCAACTGTCAACCATGCCAAAGTCCAGTACCAACCTTTCAGGCGCAACTTCTACTCTGAACCTGTTGATATGGCTGATTGGAGCGAAGAAGAAGTTGCACGTCTCAGAATGGAACTTGACAACATCAAGGTCAGGGGAGTTGACGTACCCAAACCGGTGCAGAAGTGGGCACAATGTGGCCTCGGTGTTCAGGTTCTCGAAGTCATTCAAAAGCTAGGCTACGATGCACCTACGAGTATTCAGTCCCAAGCTATCCCTGCGATCATGTCCGGTCGAGATGTGATCGGTGTTGCAAAGACTGGTTCGGGCAAAACAATCGCCTTTCTTCTGCCGGTGTTCAGACATATCAAGGATCAACGACCTCTGGATGCCCTCGATGGTCCCATCGGTCTCGTTTTGAGTCCAACCAGAGAGCTTGCGACCCAAATTCATAAAGAGTGCAAACCTTTCCTCAAAGCTCTCGGTCTGCGTGCGGTTTGTGCGTATGGTGGTGCCCCAATCAAAGATCAAATTGCCGACTTGAAGCGTGGAGCTGAGATTGTTGTCTGCACTCCTGGTCGGATGATCGATCTCCTGGCTGCAAACAGTGGACGAGTAACAAACCTAAGGAGAGTTACTTATGTCGTGCTTGATGAAGCTGATCGAATGTTCGATATGGGTTTCGAGCCCCAGGTCATGAAGATCTTGGCTAATATACGACCTGATCGCCAGACAGTGTTGTTCTCAGCTACGTTTCCTCGTCAGATGGAAGCACTTGCAAGGAAGACGTTGAGCAAACCAATCGAGATCGTCGTGGGTGGCCGCAGCGTAGTCGCTCCGGAGATCACTCAAGTTGTCGAAGTTCGCGAGGAAAACACAAAGTTTTTCCGACTTCTCGAGTTACTTGGCAAATTGTACGAAGACGACAAGAATGAAGATGACAGAGTTCTCATCTTCGTCGATCGCCAGGAATCCGCAGACGGTCTACTGAGGGATCTGATGAAGAAGGGCTACCCGTGCATGTCTATTCATGGTGGAAAAGATCAGATCGATCGAGACTCAACCATTGATGATTTCAAAGCTGGCGTTGTACCCATTCTTATCGCAACCTCTGTTGCCGCCCGTGGTCTCGACGTCAAGCAATTGAAACTTGTGGTCAACTACGATGCCCCCAACCATCTGGAAGATTATGTCCACCGAGCTGGCCGTACTGGCCGAGCCGGCAATACGGGAACAGCGGTCACTTTCTTGACCGAAGAGCAGGACAGGTATGCTGTGGACATCGCGAAAGCATTGAAACAGAGCGGTCAGCCTGTCCCCGAGCCCGTCCAAAAACTTGTTGATAGTTTCATGGAGAAGGTCAAAGCAGGAAAGGAGAAGGCTGGCGTATCGGGCTTTGGTGGTAAAGGCCTCGAACGCCTCGACCAGGAACGTGACGCTGCCAAAGCTCGCGAACGCAAGACCTTCAAGACCGGCGATGAAGGGGAGGAGCAAGAAGAAAAGGAGGAAGGCAGAGAGGTCAAGGTCGGCGACGACATTTTTGCTAAAGCTGCTTCGGGCGTCAAGGCCCACGATGCTGCTCCTCCTCCTTCGAGCAGCCTGCCCGGCGTGCCCAAGGGGATCGACCTTGATGGGAAAATCACTGTCCACAGGACTGAACGAGAGCCAGCCGCCGGCGCCGCAGGGCCCAAGAACCAGATGGACAGAGTGGCGGCTGCTGTTGCTGGCATCAATGAGAAATTGTCCAAGGCCGGCGTCATGCGCTCAGGTGTGCCTATCGACAACAAGGGTCCGGATGCCGGTGCGTTCCACGCCACATTGGAGATCAACGACTTTCCTCGTAAGTTTTTCTTTCCCTCCCTTTTTCTTTATTTTCAAGACAGATTACTTACTCTTTTGCGTGTTTAGAAAAGGCACGTTGGGCCGTCACGAACCGGACGAACGTGGCCAAAATACTCGAGTCAACCGGAACGTCCATCACGACAAAGGGTTCGTTTTACGCCGCCGGCAAGGAACCTGGGCCCGGCGAGAACCCGAAACTCTACATCTTGGTCGAAGGCGATACGGAGGTTGTCGTGCACGATGCAATGAGGGAACTGATGCGCTTGTTGAAGGAAGGCACCATGAGTGCGGCCGACGCGGCAGAGAGAACTGGTGGTCGATACTCTGTAGTTTAAGAAACTGTGTATTCAATGAGACACCTTTATGTCCTCGAGTAAATCAGATTTCAATTGTTGGACTCGTCCCAGGAAAAAATAAAATAAAAGAAACAAGGTAATGATCATGTAATAGATTGCTGTGTTTTCTTTTGATTCTCTCATTTCCACAGAAGAACTACCAACTTCCTAAACATTCGAGGAGCTATTGCTGAACTCACAGCTCATTGTTCGGGTCGATATCAATTGACAAATGTCATTGATATTTTTCTTCAACCAAAAATTTCAAATGCTTGTCGTGGTCACATTAATGTCGTTTCTAGTTGTTAATATCTTTTGAACCAATTTTTCAAACGCGCATGCTCTTAACGCTCAACTGAAACTTGAATTTGAACTCAACGGGCAAGACTAAATAGAAAAATTTCGACAATTGCACATTGCAAAGCAACAATCTCCACATCATTCCATCCTCGATGTGTATCACACTCTCAAAATCCACAGGGACTCTGAAAAAAAGTACTTGGTTATTCAGCTTGACTCACTCGGGTTAGGTGGTACAGGAGGAATCAATCCATCCATCCTCCGCACCCTGAATAGGCCACATGGGCCACGTCGTAACATGATTCAATATCTTCGGCACATAATACATTGTCGTTGGCACGTAATTTCTTGTTGGCACATGATTCATAGTCGTCGGCACGTAATTCATTGTTAGCACATGATTCATTGTTGTCGGGAAGTCTTTCTTGTTGACTTGTAATTCTTAGAGAAGGGCCGCTTTGGTCAGCATGCAATTCTTGGAAGAGAGAGGATGCTTTTTGGTGGCGGGCGGTGGTGGCTATTGTATGTGGGTTGTTCCGTGTCAGCAGTTGTTGCTTATGGGTTGACCGCTGGTAACAAGGATTGCATCTGGGCTATTGTTGTACCTGTTGTCCTTGAGAAGCCGGTACTTTTCAGTTGCTGTTTGTTGCCCTCTGAGGCGGTAAAAGTCGTGACGGCTTTGCTTTTGCTGTCAGATGTAGGCGTCTATTGACCTTGACAATATCTTTGACCGGGTGCTTCCCCATGTCGATCCTGGCCATCGGTCGTTTGATTCCCGTCCGTTGTAACGTCAACTGTCACATATTGTTGTTGATCCGACAGTTATATTTGTCCGATCAGGACATTGGCCGGCGGGTCGGCACTATACCAACCGAAGGGAGGCGAACATTCAAGTATTGAATGCGAAGTCCATCCCAAAATTCATATACGTCTCATAGGGGACGTACAATTCTGGGTTCGGTGCCAGTGACGGCAACTCGTTCTCAGAGACCAGGAATCCTGCGCCTGGGACGGGGTTGTAGTTGTACTCAACATACCCCTGGAAGTCATTGGCGGCTGCTGGCAGGATCGTGTTGTCAAAACCGGCTTGTGCCGGAAAGATATTGGCAGTGCCAATGTTGCACTGGCCTGCACCGAGGACGTAGTCGTTGTGCCCTGGGAAGGCGACGTTCTCCATACCACCCAGAGTCGACACGGCCGCCCCTGAAGACGACACGGCCATGTCACTGGCGGCGTTGTAGTTGTAAGTAACGTGCCCCTGGAAGTCATTGCCGACTGCTGGCAGGGCCACGTTGTTGTAATCGGCTTGCGCCGGAAAGATGTTGGCAGTGCCAATGTTGCATTGGCCTGCAGGGGGAACGTAGTTGTTATTGTGCCCTGGGAAGGCGACGTTCTCCCTACTCCCTGGAGTTGACACATTTCTCTCTGAAGTTGACAAGGCCAGTCCACTGGCGACGTTGTCATAAGCTTGACACTGGAATTGTGTTCCAGTGGTCTCCAGGAAAGCGTTGTCCAGCGAGGTTTCTGGCGCCTCCTCCACTTGGGCTTGGTAGGCGCCGTTCAAGTCCTGAACCTCGAATTGAGGTACAGGTGCCTCCTGTTGAGCCAGGAGGTCTTCTTCTGCCCCGTTTTCTTCAATGGTGGCAGAGAGCAGGCCGAGTTCAGCCTGCTCCTTCCACTCCTTACTCATTTTGAGAGGAGCTGGTTTGGCATCGTTGCCCTCGGGCTGGAGTTTGCACGTTTTTTGATGCCGTACCACGTTGTCCTTGCGCCCTTCATACCTGCACGAGGGCCATGCACAACTAAAGAGCGTGGCCTTGGCCTTTTCCTCTGGGCTGGCCCGTGGACATTTGGGACCGTGCCTCTTAAGGTTGGAGGGATCCTTTAAATCCCTCCCGCATCTCTGGCAAGGATATCCTTCCTGGTGCACGCCATTGATGTGCGTCTTGAGACTGTTCTTGTTCTTGAAGCTCCTATTGCAACCCAGAGCCTCGCAATAGTGCCTCTCACCCGCTCCGTTGTTGCTTGCCATCTTTGTTATGTTGCTTGTTGGGAAGATAGTTACGAAGGGATCTCAGGAGCTAAGCTAGCTATTAGCATAAGGATGTCTTTCTGAAGTAATGAGACTGTCTTTACCTTGTTATCGAGGGGTCTGCTATAGTCAAGCGTACAGGAATGGACCCCGTTCTGATATCTTATCAATGTGACGGGGGTTATGTTGTGTTGTATAGGGTGGTCGTCTACACTGCAAGTGTCAGAATAATATTAGTGGTTGCCGTGTGTGTAAAGTCGTTAGACACTTGGAGTACAGTCGAAGTTCCCTACAAAAGGGAAAGAGTAGGAGGAATGGGGGGATTGGCTGTATTTAAGGATTTCGAGCTGGGATCTGTTGAATCCATCTCAGAGTCATAGGAAAAGTATACTCATGGTATGCGGACCTTAAGATATATCTTTGAAAGGCTCGCAACATGCTTCTTCAAAAGCATGACGATGGATTCAGATGGTTGAGGTATGGGCTAGGCCAAAAGAGAGAGAGAGAGTGTGTGTGTGAATCTCACATGTCTCCTTGCACACATGAAAGTTTCTTCGACAGGCGTGAACAAGGCTGCATGTCTCAGCGAGTTCATTAAGTGTATGCATGCACTTAATGCTCGTCATTGTATATCCTGGTCCTGCGAGCCTGTAGAGCGTGTACGTACACCTAATGCTCCGCATTTTACGCGACAGTGACACTGGGGGAAGAATCCAGTTATACTGTAGGAAACGCCAGTGAAGAATGAGCCAGCTCTTGAGTATTGGTTCAGTGGAGGTGTATTGAATCTGCGCAGAGAGCCGAGGATGGAATGCAGGGCTCCATACTGCTTGCCGTATCACCTTGACCTTCGGCCGGCTGCGCTTCCGAGTCCGAGTCAGGCTTGCTATGACCTGCCATCCTGAAATTCCTTTTTTCAAGAGGTGTCCTTGTTGTCTAGCCATTTTGACGGACCCTCAGTGGGGGATCCTCAATGATTGTGGTGCCCATACAGCCATGGTCGTTTAGAGGCAAACCTTGAAAGTGTTTTCACTTACTACTGAAGCCGAGGTTTGATGCTCGTGAGCATAGTTCCGTCAAATTGTTGAGGAGCCTGGAAATACACAATCCTTGCAATGACCAGGCATATCTTTGACAGGTTCCTCACAGAGTTGGAAGACCCCCGGTCAAGCGCAATGGATCTCATTGTCCTGTGACGGGGGAGTAGGCCTAATGAGGAAATCCAGACCCTCCCTGCAAGAGAGCGTGTTTCTTCGATCATGATCGACAGATCAAGTCTTTTGAAATGAGTCTTGTATGGCATACTGAAGGATGGAATATGTCGAGTGTTTGTTATGAAAGGGGCGTAGTCTCGAATAGGTTTTGCAAAATTTTGCAAAGCCTGATACGTACTAGCCTTGGTACTGAGATCCGGTGTTTTCTCTACTTCCCCAGGAAGCAACGCAAATATCGAGCCGCATCTCGTGTTGTTGTTAGGGCATCATTGCTGCATACGATCTAAGGATGATCATCCAGGGTCGTCACTATGGGGTTCAGAACATGGGTATGCTGGCATACGCCGTACACAATACAGTGTGTGGTCAGGAAAATCCACTCTTGCGGATCATCTCTCCACTGACGCCTTGTCCTAGTGCGAAGCATTGACACACGATCGGCAACTCTTGCACTGCCACGAATTCGCCAAGCAGCGGCATCGACGTTTATCGCTTCGTCTTCGTAACCTGCACATGAACCTCGCATCTTTCTCTCTCGTGGGGAGCTGACTTCAATCCTGGTGTCGTGGGACTCTAAAGAAACTCTCTCTACTCCCTGCCTGCTGCTGTCGTTGGTCTACCGTTGTTGCCTCAGTAGGAGGGGCCTGGAAAATGGGCAACATCTGCTCCAAGTCTGCCAATCAACCTGACAACTTCTCCACTCCTGGCCACACCCTGGGTTCAAGCGCCGCACCGAAGCCAGCATCAGCGCCGCCCACACAGAGGCTCACGGCGAGTACCCCCGGCCGGACGCTTGGTGGTGGTAGTGATAGTAGAGACGGAGCAAACAGTCCGGACAATGCTCGAAGTGCTGCCGCCAGAGCCGCTGAGGTGAGAATCGCACCACTGTTTGAGCTGCTGCATTTTTCTCTTTGAGATCTTCGACGCCTTGCCAATTCTTTCCGATGTGTCTCGTGAATGCTGGAGTGGAGCGACTGATCTGCGTCACTACAGGAGCGTGCCGCCAAAACCAACAAGCCTGGCGGCAAGCTGTCCGCCCAATTGTCGAGCCAGAAAAAGCAGACGCAGAACCAGCTCTTGAATGCTGGTTCAGATGCGGAGCGGAGAGCTCGAGATGCCGATGAGGGTGCCCAGGCTCGTAATTGGAACTGAGGCGTGTTCGTCGATGGCACACCTGCAATGGGTCGGAAAAGGGGTTCCAGCTTCCTTCCACCCTATGGGCATCTCAGATGGGAGGATTGTGTTGGCAGCGTTGTCCTGTTTTTCACCTGAGCAAGCCTCAGGACCAAAGCTTTCCTGAAAGGAAGATGGAAGTTGAGTTCTTCATCGACCCTTTCGTATTCCCAACATTACCAGTGGCGATTTCCGGGGTTGGGATGCGGATTTGGACCAGGGTCGTCAGTGACTCAAGCATCCCCACAGCACTAGAAGGCGCTTTGGAATTCTTCGTAGAGCGCTAATGCAGTCAGGGATGGGAAGGTTATGAAGGCCTAGAGTATATTTGTTGTCGTGTAGGTACATGTTTCAGATACGAGAGCAGTTGGTGAACGAGACCATGAACACAGAGCACGATCGTTTCCTCTTGACAGTTACTGCCAGCGATGGAAACTCCTCCCCACTAGGCAGATCGTCCCTCACACAAGGCTGAGCAATCCTCGGATTGTTCAAAGGCCGAGTTGACGACAGGTGAACAAGCTTGATCGCGCCTCCATCTGGGTCACCAGGTTGATCTACGGTGAGTTACGAGCCCCCAGCTGACGGTTGAAAAATCGAGGTGCAAGGTAAGGATCCCCGGGAGCATTTCCCAACAGTGACGCGTTCGCCCCCCAAGAGAGGAGGGAACACTGGAGGAGAACGCCTATCGACGAAGAGTAGGTCTCCCGGAAGTCGTCCCTTCAGGCCCCGAGACAACGATTCCTGGGGGCACTTTGGACGCCCGCTCAAGCCCTTTAAGCTGTGCTTTTGACAGTCTGACCCTCCGAGGTTAATCATTCGTTCAAAACATCAATCGATATCAACGACACGATTTCGTTGTCCTTCTATGATCATTCTCACTCTGTATATTCACAGCTTCATATTTGATCAATGAGGATGATGTTCCCTTTACGATCGATCGAATCTTACTGCGACGCAACTGCTATTGTTCCCTTTCCTCAACCTTGACAAACAAAATGCTGTATAACCACGCTTCAGATATTTGTTCTCCCCTTTGAAATGGACTCGCCTACTATTCTTGATGTTGTGGAAGCGTACCCGATGCCGCAACAGCACAAACGTTCAGCTTCTCTGTCTGAGTCCTGCCATCTTGATGACCAGAGGAAGATACACATTTCATAACGCAGAGGGGTTCACATCGGGGATTGGTCTCGGACGAAGCCGCCATGCACATCACATCGCACGGAGGTAGTGTTCAAGATGCCAACGGCCGACGATTAGGATGAACGTGACGTTTGAGTTTCAATGCAATTGCTCAACGGATATGATATCCTCCATTGGAAGCGGCAACAGGACAATGCGATATGGTTGCGAACCGTACTTCGAATACCCTGAGGAGTGGAAAATATAGCGGAACGAAAAGCATTGGGTTGCTTCACTTCGACAACGTCAGGTCTATAGTCCTGTGGAAAGAATCTCACAGAGCGGTTCACAGAGACTTTGTCACTGGTATCGACTACAAAATATTCGAGGAAGCATACAGACTGTATTTTGTTTTACCATGATTCATTTCATTTATTTTTGGTTTTCTCATCTACGACATTGTCTACTGAATATCCTCACCCCTTTCACGTAAAGTACCGGATCTTTCTGTCCCAGAACTTTTGTACGTCCTTAGACGTTGCTTTCCCCCTGAGATCTACAGCCCAGCCTGCCACAATCTCGTACAATATAGACTTATCAATCACAACGCCAAAACGCCTGACGCTATGCCATGCCATGTTAATTCCAGTGTCGCGTTGAGGTCGTTTCACTGTCCAAAAGGCTCGAGACCAACCACGTTTCGTTTCCATCTTTTTTGACAGAATCGTGTAACGACGGTTTACTCTTCTTTACCCTCGTTGGGCAGCAAGTTGCCACGGACAGCAAACATCTTTCCAGTCGTGCCAGCAACAAAACCGTCGACTTGGCGCGCGTACTGTTCGGCTTGTCGGCTGTTCAACATACTCTCCAGGCGACTTGGCTCCGTAGGCAACTTGAACAGTTTCTGGTACTCGTCTTCGGGCAGTGGTGGCTGTTTGGACAGAGCTCGAGCTGCGTTCTCGGCCTTGCGCTTGGCTTGCCATTGCTGGATCTTCGCCTGCTCTCGAGCCATCGCGCGCTGGTAGTAAGAGAAGTTGTTGGCCTCGACGTGGTGAGTCTCAATTGAGTCAAGCAGGTTATCGGCGGTCTGGGACAGGTAGGGGTCGATGGAGATAGAGAGACTCTCGAAGTTTGGCGCAAGGCTGTCATTCTTGAGGATTGGGTTGTTCTCAATTTCAGCCACGGAGGTCGGAGGTCTCATGACACCGGACGACAGCATCTTGGGAATTTGTTGCAGGAACGTGGTGACCAGGTGGGAGTTGTGGACAGTCACAGGAAGTTCAACCAGGATGTCGGTATATTTCAGTCCAGACTTTAAGAGGCTGAGATGCTTGTCAGTATTGAACCAGATGATGTTTGATGTGGGACAGACTCACTTCTCAGTTGTAAACTTATTCTCCTTGTAGGCAGTCATAAACTGAGGAGATATTCTGAAGGCACGAATGCTCATGATACCTTGAGAGCTACGGCTGACATCGTGGACCAGTGCAACAGTCTTTTCATTCAACTCTTTCTGGTAGTGGAACTGATTCTCAATGAAGTTGGTGTTGACAAAATTGCCCAGGTTGGCACTTGTATACCATCCCACGTTGTTCGCGTCTGCATTCACCTCGCGCAGCATCCTGATGTATTCGGCTTGGTATTGCGTGTTTGATTTCGCTCGGGGAGCCGCAGCAGCGCTGTTAAAGTGCTGTTGGTCATACTGCGCCTCGGGCGGTAGATCGACAACGGGGAAAGGGAAGCAGTTGGTGATTTCGAGGTTCCCAGTACTTTCCATACCAGTGAGAAACCCGGTCGCGACGGTCGGGAAGCGAGATGCACAGTGTTTGATCACTTTCATGACAACCTGAAGCCATAGTTAGTGGGGAAGGAGAAGATTTCAGATAGAATCCTACCAGTGCCTCGAGCTGGACTGCCTTGAGAGGCGTCTCTTTTCTGTGCACATGTCAGTATACATTTCCTCCTGCGCCTGAAGAATTAACCACTCACTCCGTAGGGGCAGCCATCTTTGCTGTGTATGTGTTCAAGGTTGGCTCATCGTGCTCATTGCCATGGGCCTTTGTGGGTGCGGACATTTTTGCGGAGGATCAAAAAGTGGAAAGTCTGCCGAAGCTTAGGTAATGAGGAAACTATGGCGAAAGTCTTCCACTTGTTAGGAGGCATACACCGGCCGCATTTTGGAATGGATGGTTATCATAACTAGGGCGGTCACAATGGACCACGAAAGAAAAACTCTGCTTTGATAACATAGATTCACTCGCTCTATATATTGAAAAGGCAATGGCCGGTTGTTGGTTGTCACCGGGTCGCTAGGAGATCTTCTTGTAGACCACCACATGGGCGGTCCCATCTCGACGACAACACCATTCTCATCGCGTTGTAGAACCACATGCTGCCATTTTGAAAGAAGAAGACTACTAGCGAAGACTGCCGGGCCTTGAAATGAGGACTCGAAGGGATTACCACCGTCAATGGATCTGGCTTTGCGGTTAATATTCGGCAGTATCATCCAGTGGTATGACGATTGTCACCATAATTTTTTGTCCGCATCATTGACCTCTGATCGAGTGTCTAACACACATAGTCCCGTACATAGATTTGTTGATTTAACCTCCTTGTCGGGCCATAGAGGCCATCCATGTCGTCCAATACGAATCTCGATATCTGGTTTGTGAGTCGAGTTCGCCCAGAAAGTATCAGCAGAACGAACACTAACGACGGCGTAGGCTGGTGCATTTGCTGCTTTCTCCGTCGACCTACTCGTTTACCCTCTCGACACCCTCAAGACACGCCTTCAGTCACAAGATTATGAGAAACTGTACAAAAATGCCAATGGCACGACAAAACGCTCTTTATTCCGTGGACTCTACCAAGGTGTTGGGTCCATCATCCTCATTACCATTCCTTCTTCCGGCGCCTTCTTTACGACTTATGAAGCCTTGAAATACAGCCTTGACGATGCTGTCCCTCCGAACTCCACCCTTTACCTCCCCAAACCTGCCATACATGCACTCGCAAGTGGTGGCGCTGAGTTGGTCAGCTGCGCAATCCTAACACCGGCCGAAGTCCTGAAGCAAAACGCTCAGATGCTGAGCTCCGGAAAGAAAGGATCTACATCCCTTCAGGTGCTCAAGACCTTCCAAAAGCAACCTGCCAAACTGTGGAGAGGATACACAGCCCTCGCGGCGCGGAACCTGCCATTTACCGGTCTTCAGTTTCCCGCCTTTGAATCATTAAAGAACTATTTCATGGCGCGGCGGAAATCCAAGAAAGGCGCCCCTGTCGACGGCATCATGGAGCGAGCTGGGATCACTGCCATGAGTGCCGGTATTGCCGGGAGTGGTGCTGCGTGGATCACAACTCCTATCGATGTGGTGAAGACAAGGATAATGCTCGCGGCTTCTGGAGATGACCCTCCAGCAAAACAGGAGGCGAAAGGCAAACAATCTAGTTTCCTGATGCATGGTATCCAAAGTTCTAGGAAGAGTGGCTTCACAGTCGCAAAAGAAATCCTCAAGACAGATGGTGTCCGAGGTTTGTTTAGAGGTGCTCTACTTCGAGGATGCTGGACGGCACTCGGTAGTGGATTGTACCTGGGGTGCTACGAGGGCGGACGTTTTTATCTGGAAAGTGCCAGGGAGAAGAAAAAGGAGGGAGACCATCTTATGCAACGAGATTGGTCAAAGGTGAAAGTGGGCATCGGCCCAAGCAGATCTCAGGATTCCGTGAAGAAAAGTGCCTGGCAAGAAGATTGAGACTGGGGGTTCTTATTGACCTCTTATCCCCTTGATGAGGCCTCATCTGCGCGGGACCTCTCATGGATGGCATGAACTCAAGTCTTTGGATCCAGGTTGACATTGATTATGCCGCTTGTCAAACGCCAAGGCTGATATCACCTTGACGTACTGCATCAAGCCAGGTCTGCCCGTATGCTCCGCCCGACGCTACCACAAAGGCAGTCATCAGACCTGGATACTCTTAGATCATGACCTACAACAATATCAACGTCTCTCGTCCAGAAGATTGAGAAACGTATCATCTGGGCAGCTGTCGCAGCATAGCAAAGCAGCATGGCATTCCGGAAATAAATGCAATACGTTCTCAAAGGACGACGACAAAGTCACACATCTGTGTTCATAAAACATATAATAGCGCCGACGATTTTGGTTTACATTACTCGCTCTATAGGCGCGGGTTATGTCATTTCAACATCACGATCTTGATCGCCACTAAGACCATCTTCATCAACCTCAACGTCCGCGTCTTCATCACCCTCATCTTCTTCTTCATCTTCCCAGGCGTCGTCGTCATCCATTTGGTCTTCCACACCTAGCGATTTGTTCAAGCCTTGCACCAATTCGAGGGCATGATCTCGTAATCGGTCATCCTCATATTCTTGAAGACGATATAGTCTCAGGCAATCATCGAGCCATTTCTTCGCTTTCTCCTGACTTTTGGTCTGTTCTTCTGACGTCGTACCGGGCTTTTGAGAGATTAGCACCTGACACCATCCACCCAGATACCAGCATTCGACGCTCTGGTCGTCTTCGCGGGTCAACCCTTCAATGACCGTCATGGCCTCGGGCTCGGCCTCGACTTCCATGAGCAGTCTGCCTAGACTAACGCGAGTGGCAAAGTCGGGCCGCGAGCTGGACTCAGTATCTGTTGGAATGTCCTTCCAAATCTCCATACTCCGCCGGAGTGCCTGCCTCGCATCATCCATGCGCTCTTGGCTGATGCGGACGCTTGCCAATGTCTGTAGAACCCCAGCACTTAGATAGTCGGGACACACTGCCACAGCTTCGGTAACAAACGTCTCGCATTTCTGCTCTGCATCCTCTTCCCAGCTCAGGTCGGTCATGTATACCTCGGCCATTGCACAAAGGGTGTCTGCGAGTTTGGCTCGTTTCTCATCCAGTATGCTTGTGGTTTCATTAAGAGCCTGTGCGTCGTCGTCTTCAAGTACATCGATCTCGTTACGTAGAACCTCGGTCCCTCTCTCAAAATATGAAATGCTCTCTCTTCCGCCTTCTTCGCACAATTGCGCCAGCCATAACCAAGGCTCTGCACTCACGAGTGCACCGTTGCGGTCGATCTGTGCTGCCCTTGAGAAGTTCTTTCTTGCAGAATCTCCTTCGCCGAGGGCTAGTTCAATTTCTGCCTTGACAAGCAATGCCTCCGGTAACGTTGTTTTACCCTGCGCAGCGAGTTGCAAGAGGGTATCAATATCTGCATTTTGTTCGGCATCTCTTTCAGCCTCGAGTTGTCGAAGGGCTTGCTCAGCTAGGGGTAGGGCAAGTTCGGGTTGTGACTGCTCGAGGAGTTGTGCCGCTTCCGTCAAAAGGTCTTCGGTCGATCGCTGGGACTGCTTTGACAATGGGGATTTTACTAGACGGGAGTTTGCAGAACGAAGGATGTCTTTGCCTTTCGGCTGGGATTTGGTCTTGGTTTTGGCCATGTCAACGGGAATAGTGTAGGAACAGATTGTTAGATGAAATAGAGTAGCTCAACGTCCGAACTCATACTCCGTATACCAGGGTCGCTCATATAACATCCCGCCATGAACGTTGCCCAAAAATTTTGGCGGTCTTGCCGGAGTCGGGTTTAGCAGGGCAAGTATAGCGAGCTGTGGCTTGTGGCTGGTTTTGGGGCTGGTGTGGAAGACCAGCATATCACGTGCCAGGTCCACTAATCGAACGAACTCGTGCCACTCGCCATCTTGAACGGGCCGTGGCATTCGGAGCAAATGTCCGCCGCCATGTCGTATTCTTTCTATTCTCGGGTCTGATCCCAGGCGGCTTCTTTCTTGATTCTCCACCAGCACAATGTTGTATCTGTCTCATCATGGCGAATTTCAAGTTCTACCGCCACCTTAATGATCCCTCTGCCATTAATCCTGGCCAGTTGCTGCCCGGAACCTTGTCCTGGACCAACGTGAACGACCACGTCTGAAACAGGCCGCTTCCCAATGAGTTCTCTACGCCGAAACTGCGTCGATAAACCAAGGCACAATGCGTAGATCATTTCATGGCGCATGTTTAGCGAATTCATGAACACCATCTCAATGAATCCAATGACGTAACTTCTCTGTCATTGTTTGTCCATTCTTCTTCCTCTCGAAACTCGCCCAATGGAGCTGCTCTGGATCCCTACAAAGATGACGCCGAGTTGGATTCCCTCGTTGGGTGATCTGCTGCTATAATTTGCTTTTTCGCAATATCCTGATCTGAAGTCTATTGTCTTTCCCTTTATATCGAAGATCTTGCGTGTTTTGCCGCGGTGCCATCCTTCGCACTCATACACCTTCTATAATGGCCGAAGTTAAAAGTATCATCTCGAGCTTACGTGACAAAGTCTCGACCCATAAGCATGGCTTGAGCGAAACGATACGACGCCGTGGCGATAAGGAATACCGAGGAGGTGCTGAGAAGGATGTCGTGAGGATCATTCAGGAGAAAGAACACTGGTCCAGCAGCGAGGAGGACGACTCTGATGTTTCTCATCATGGTCTGCGGGCAAAAGGCTTGGATGAATTTCTCGACAACAGTGACCCTCCTGAAATCAAAGAGCGCTACGGAAAGTTGCCCTTGATGCAATCTCAAGACGAGGCCCCCGAAAACGACCTCTGGAAAAACCAGTGGACATCTCTAAAGAATGTGGGTAGTGACTACATCGGGCAGGAGATCACATTTCGAGCCCGAGTGCATGTGGTCCGACATATGAGTGCAAAACTTGCGTTTGTCATTTTTCGCGAACAGACAACCACAATACAAGGGGTTCTTCGCGCAGTGGATGGTGGTGTCTCTGAGAATATGGTCCGATGGGCTGAACACATTCGGACTGGCACTATTGTCATAGCTAACGTAACGGTTAAGAGACCAGAACAGACCGTCAAAGGCACAAGCATCCACGAGGCTGAACTCGATATCCAGAAAATGCACGTGGTCTCGGCGAGAACAGTTCCTATCCCGTTCAGTGTTTACGAGGTGGATGCTGCGACGGATGGTCATTCAATAACCGACCGAATCAGATTGTCAAACCGAGTGTTGGACCTGCGAACGCCCTCGGCCCAGGCAATATTTAGAATACAGTCGAGTGTATGCAGGACCTTCCGCACCTACCTTGAAGACCATGGATTCTTGGAGATACACACTCCGAAATTGCAAGGTGGCGCAACCGAAGGTGGTGCCGACGTATTCAAGCTCAACTATTTCGGCCGACCAGCCTTCCTCGCCCAGAGCCCACAGCTGGCCAAGCAGATGTGTATATCAGCAGACTTTGCCAAGGTATTCGAAATCGGACCAGTCTTTCGCGCAGAGAATTCCAACACGCCGCGGCATATGACCGAGTATACCGGGTTGGACCTGGAAATGGCAATCGACCGGCATTATCATGAGACGATGTGGTTGATTGACGCAACTTTGAAGGACATCTTCAAAACGTTGTACGAGCGCAACCGAAACGATATCGATACTCTGAAGCACCATTTTCCACATGATGACTTGGTCTGGCTCGAAGAAACCCCGAGGATCACTTTCGCAGAGGGCGCCAAACTGCTGAATGATTCAGGGTGGACCAATGACGATGGATCCCGCCAATCTGAACTTGAAGACCTGTCCACTCGGGCCGAACGACGACTAGGAGAATTAGTGAAAGAAAAGTACCACACTGACTACTATATACTCGACAAGTTCCCTGCTTCTGCCCGGCCCTTTTACACCATGCATGACCCTAAAAACGATCAAGTCACCAATTCTTTCGACTTTATGGTCCGTGGACAAGAGATACTATCGGGTGGGCAGCGAATTCATGACTATGCACTCTTGAAGGAGCGCATGGAAAGTCAGGGCATGGATGCGAAAGATCTCCAGGAGTACCTCGAAGCCTTCGAATGGGTGGCACCTCCTCATGCAGGTGCTGGTATTGGACTGGAACGCTTAGTGTCACTCATTCTAGATCTAGGGAATTTGCGCTATGCGTCATTGTTCCCTCGCGATCCAAAGAGTTTCCCAGCAAAACCGCAGTCTTCTTTGCGACATCCCGAAGACACCACCTTACATAGACCAAAAGGCCATCTCCAACCTCTTGAGAATCTGGTGGCAAACTACGGCGATGCCACCAATACATCCTGGATGGACGAGAGATTTCAAATCTGGCGAGACGACAAGACCGGGGCGGCGATTGCTTATGTTCCTGCACACGACCGAGCAATTTGCCCCGGAAATCCACTGTGCGATCCGCGCCAGCTCGAAGATGTCATCAGTGCTTTTCTGACCTGGCTGCGCCGAGAGACTCATCTTCGACCGTTGTTCATCCTGGTCAACAAAGAAGTTGAAGAGGTACTTGGCAACAAGCTTGGATGGAGGAGCTTCACAAATGTAGCCGAACAACGTGTCAATCTGGCCAATAATGAGCACTTGAACCTTGATGGCGATGTGGAACGAAAAATTCGACACGCAGAAAAGGAGGGCGTAAAGGCCGCAGATTATGGGAGCGAGGTGCCGGGGGACCTACGAGAGAAGGTGGAAGAACGCATCAAAGAGTGGCAAGACAAACGAGAAGGACCGCAAGTTCATCTGAGCGAGATCACTCCATTCAAGGATGCCTCACATCGTCAATATTTCATCGCACAAGACGAAAGTGGGAAGGTGCATTCTTTGGTAGTGCTTGCACAGCTGGCACCCCGGTATGGGGTACAGATCAAGTGGGCCTTGGATTTCCCAGGGGCAGAAAATGGAAGCGTCGAAATGACGGTGCAAACCGCTCTGAAAGCTGCAGCTGACTCCGGGTACAAGTCATGTACCTTTGGCGCCGGTGCGACGACGACGTTGACCAGTGGTCACAATATCGGCGGGGCGAAAGGCGCAACCCTGAACTCACTGTATCAGACATTGGCTGCGAAATTCAACTTGGACAGGAAGACGGGTTTTCGAGCCAAGTTCAATACGTTGGAAGATGCACTATACCTTTGCTATCCTCCCAGGGGTCTAGGGCCAAAGGGAGCACAAGCTATTGTCGAGTTTTTCGAAGAGGGCGAATAGGTGGCCAGCTAGGTATCGCTTTGCAGGACAAATCTTCAGGGAGCATATCGTAATCGGTGTTTTACGGTTGACGTACAAGCGCGGTGTTGGGATGGTTCTGCCAGGAGAGTGATAGGGGTAAAGCGGTTATCCAAAGACACCTTCTTCTTATGAGATCGAAGTCCTCGAACTTCGGGCTTCTCCTCGCTCGAGAAAACTGTACCTCTAGGCAAGGAGTGTCCCGGTTAACAATATACTCTGTATCGATCGCCTAATTCACTTTTAGCAATATAACTTTGATTATTGTCTGGGTAAAATTGAGACGTTAGAAAAGCCATGATTCGACAGATGGTCCCTAGAGGGGTCGGAGCGTCCAAAACCTATATCGACATGACAAGCCTTTGCCAATGGATATAGAAGTGCAACGATTGAGGAGTCCAACCTAGCCACAGGCCGTGGGAGTAAGTAGGTGGTGACGGCTCCCTTTTAGCCGGCTTCCTACGGGAAATTGCAAGACATAGGAGATATAGAGCTGTGGAGCCGACATAAACGCATGTCTAGGCTGTCCGAGAAATTCTTGTCTAGTCGTCGAGAACAGTAGTCGACTATCTCGGAGATATGTGCAAAGGGAACGACATGAGGTCCGCATCTGACCACGGCGCTTCGTGCCAGTGAGACTTCTTGGACGATCCATCTTCTTCTCCCATACCGATGACTGAAGAAAGCCTCGAATAGTGGAATCGTTTTCTGTAGTTTAGTTTTGCGCGCCAATTGCTGCGGTTGGGTTTTATCGGCATTTCTATTCCGTCTGGTCTGAGGAGGCGGCTTCTCGTCATCAGTCGCCTGTTGGGTAAGATTGAAGATGTCAGATATGTGCCCGTTCTGTCCACCTTGGAGGCTGACACTGCTATCACACAACCAGGAAATGACGAGGACGGCACCTGAGAAGATATCATCCATCTTTTGCACTTGAGTACTGCGTTCCTTCGGATCTGATTGATTGATACAGATGGCGTCGATTCATCTTGTTTGCGAGTCGACCGGATGACGAAGTTGCTGCAGCATCAGTTCGGCCGAGCTTGAGATTCTCTTCTTGCGACCATTGACAACGATCTCGGCCGTGGACGGGTCCTTGCCCCAAGTGTAAGAGATGGCATTGTACACAGCAAGTAAATGTGTGACGACATCGGGTCATTTGGTACAGTACATGCTAGTCATTGTTGCCGCTGGAAGTCTTGAAGAGAACCTCAAAAATATTCCAGTCAATATCATTCAAATCAGTGAATTTTCCTTCAACAATCACCAAGATCCCTCAGTGGTGGCTCAGGTTAAAACCACATGGCTTATGTGGTGGACGGCCATTCACTGAGGCGAGCAGGAAATTATGGCCTCGGGTTCGAATCCCACTGTGAACAACAATTCCTCCTTCTTTATCTCTCGGTTCGATTCCTCCTCCTCCTCCTCCTCCTTCGATCGATAATGGCTCAGGATAAAATCACATGGCTATGTGATGGACGGCCAACAAAACAAAAAGAGATGGAACATAACGAGTATAACCTCCCCCCTTCTTCAGCCCCCCCTTGCCCAGGAAAAACATAACATGTCACCTCATTTTCTCTCCTTTAAAAAACCCTTTCTTTTTTTTCGAAAAGTGAGGTTTTCTTTTTGCTGTTTGGTTTTTTATAGCCTTACTAAAGAAGTCTGGACTTCTCTGCAAACTTCAAGCAAATCCTCGTATTTTCTTCTCATGGATATCTGGAGAACATAAGAGAGAGTGTGGGGTCAAACCGGCAGTTCGTGAGATATTGATATCTCATTGGGGTTAAAGCGTCCAACCCCACACAATTCGCCTCGTCTAGACAGGGGGTTGTATCCATCTTACTCCGTGTTGCTCCCACCCACTTTGACTACTTCTCCAACAATCCAGACATCCATCGAACGGGCTTTTGTTATAATACTTTGCTACTTTTCCGTCAACGCTACTTGGAAACGAGAAAATCTCTTCTCTTTGCTTCGACACCTCTCTCCATTTCTTACACACGCTGTTAATTTCCTAGGCAAGAACTTCTCCAAGATGACTCTCAATCGCATTCTGCTCATAGGTGCTTCGGGCAACCTGGGTACTTTGATCCTGAAACACCTTCTCGCGTCACCGTCGAAATTCGAAGTCACGGTCTTGACTCGGGAATCATCGACCGCTCAATTCCCGTCCAAAGTTGCCGTCCGTAAAGTCGCAGATGACTATCCGCCCGCGCAACTCGTCGAGGCCTTCAAGGGCATCGACGCCGTGGTGTCGGCCATCTCCATGACCGGCATGCACGAACAGTACAAGTTCATCGACGCGTGCCTCGCGGCCGGCGTCAAACGATACTTCCCGACCGAATACGGGCTCGACGATCTCCCCACGTGGCTCACCGATTTGAGACCGATGTTCAAGATCAAGCACGACGTCCGAGACTACGCCATGGCCAAGGAGAAGGAAGGTCTGGACTGGACCTGCATCATCTGCAACGTGTTTTTCGAAATGGGTGTCCGATCCGGCTTCTTCCAATTTTTCTGGGACGAGAAAAAGGCCACCATCATCGGCGGAGGCGAGACCAAGTGGGTGGCGACGACGTTGGACAACTGTGCCCTGGCGGTGGTCCGGGCCCTCGAGAAGGACGAACAGACCAAGAACAAGCTGCTGGTGATCCAGGATTTCACCACCAGCCAAAAGGAAATCTTGGACGCCATCGAAGCCAAGACAGGCAAGTGGCAGGTCGAGGAGATCCCCTTTGACAAGTGGCTCGAGGACACCAAGCAACAGGTCCGGAGCGGCGACAACAGTGCCCTGGGGAAGCTGACGATGGGCGTCGTTCTTCCCGGTAGCGACTGGCGAGGGAGACCAGAGTATGCCAACGAGTTGTTGGACTTGCCGCCAAAGACGTTCAAGGAGGCCATGGAGGATGCTCTGCAAGGTGTCTAAGGTAGTTTGTTCTACTGTACATGTATGTAAGCTCTCTCTTACCTTTGGTCTCTGCTATATAAAAATAAAAACAACTCATATATCACACAAACTGTGGTTTTTGAGAGCCACTTACACAGGAAGACTTTTACAGAGTAAACACACTGGGCATGAATTTCCATGCACGTCTCAAAATGTTCAGATCGTTGTCTCTCAAAGAACTATTCATTCTCTCCGTTTCAGTATCATTGACAAACTGGGCGTTCTTCTGCTTCCAACGTACAATGGAAGTTTCATCTCTTGTCAATGAACACACGACAAACCTCCTACCTCGCTTTATTGTTTTCGACTCTTCATCCACATTGTCGTCGCCCGAGCCCAACTCAGCCTTGCGTTGCCTTTGACGATTCAATTCATCTTTCCACTGTCTCGCCTCCTCTCTTGCTTCGCGCGGAGTACTGTGACATTGTTTGGCCCACTTCTGACCATCTATTGAGGTGAGGCACTATTGTCATGATCTTGCGCCTTGTTTTATGCCTCTCTTGTTCTCACCACCCGCCCAAATAGGCGTTGTTCCTTCACTTTCGTGGTGTTTTTCTTCCCATACCTCATGATATGCGTTCAATCCTTTCTCTCAATCTCTCTCTCTTACAATGCAATGAAAGCGGTTTGCTCTATTTTCTCTTGGATTCTTGGTCTGCATGCGCGGTTGCTCTCTGCTCCCTGATCTTGGTCATACGCATACCCACACACACACGCACACTTTTCCTTCTCCTGCCGTGTCTTACATTGACTCTTTCTCTCCTCGCCTCCCATCATGTTTTCCGACGCCCCTGACTACCTGAAGCCTCCTCAAATCGACGCCGGACAAGACTATGTTCAAATCTTCGTTGGAGAGTCGAAAAAACCAACCTACTGTCACAAAGCACTCATCTGCGCGTGTTCCCGGTTCTTTGCCTGCGCCTTTCTCGGCCCTTATGAAGAGGGAAGTCAAAACAAAATGAACCTACCTGAAGAAGAGCCTCGATTGTTCCAAATCTTCCTCGAGTGGCTGTACGAGCGACCTTTGTCTCTTGACGCGTACATGGACTACTTCGAAATCGACGCCGACCAAATGTACCTCGACATCTTCCACATGGCACACCGCCTGGCCGTCGACAAGTTGTGCGCCGTGGCCCTTTACGAACTCCACGACATGTTCGACTCCTTCGGTCCCCCCTTCGCTCCCAGTGGCGGTTTCATCGAACAAATGTACGAGACCGACCTCCTGCCTCGGTTGAGGTGCTACATCATCAAGCACACGGCGTACTGGGACGTCCAGGGGGCCTTTCGGCCTCTCGACCACTCCCGCCTCCGCGACTCCGCCGCCACCAACCCGGTCTTTCGGTCTGGCCTGGAGGCGACCAAGGCCGAAATGAGGGCCGAACGGCGTCGGCGTGTCGACACTCTGAGCAGGTGCACGCTCTGGTCGATCGCGCACCCGCAACAGGAGTGCCGTGCCGCCTCGGGTGAGACGGCGTGTGACGGAAAGTGTTTGTTCTCCAAGGAGACGTTGATCAATCACGAGGTGCTTTACCCCAGGAAATAAAGGGGGTCACATTGAGATCGGGGTGCTTTTTTTTTCCGGCGGGCGGGCTTGGGGTTTTGGAAAGGGCAAGAGACAAGAAGATAGAAAGAGTGTGTGTTTGGATAGAGAATTGATTTTTGCTTTGGGCTTGACATCCTAGTGATATTTGTCGACTGTAGACGATGGTCATGGAAAGTGCGTCGGTTTCATCGTGTGAGGTATTCAGACGCTCGACATTGTACCAACCACTTCCCTTTACAAAGGCAAGCAAGTGTGACATATATCTTGACGTTCGACAATTGATCAATGAGATCCCCCATACAAAAGTTGGGTTAGGATTTTCTGAACGTTTGACGTCGGGATCAATGATTCCTCTAACGACGATGGCGCAGTTTTGTCTGGACGTTCGACCATTCAGTAAAAGGTTGTCATCGGTGAGAATTGAGACTTGAGATAACTGTCATTGTCACACAATCAACTTTTGTCTCTGACTGGGCGACATCATTGAGCCTTTGTGTTTCAGTTGTGCATGGTACCTCAGCTGGGAGGAATGTGTCCCTGAGATTCAATCATTTTGACATGTGTGGAGAGACGGGGACGAGGCTACGCTAAACCCCATCTTGCCAAAAAATGTTCCACATCAATTTATCGCCGGATTTTTTCTCTGCCGTAGATATACGGAGTGCTTTATTGAGAACTCTTGTACTGTACACATTGTCCAACCTCCGTCCTGGTCCTCAAATTTTAAGTGAAGAGGGCAAAACACGAGATAATCGAGTGTGCGAAACAACAACGAATCCCCTACGACACCACAAACTTCTTTCATTCCCTGCAGATTTCTGGGGAACTGTGTCAGTACAGGAGTAATACATACAGACACACACATGGCCACCAAAGATTGAATCAATAGTGCATCAAAACTTTTGGTCACCCAACGGAACGAGATCTCGAATATGGATTACCTCATCCGTTTCGCCCAGACACACGAAAGCTTTCGACGTCCAGAGATCGAAGCACTTTCGAGGTTGGCGGACTTGGAATGCGAAATCATGTCTTATTCGGAGGACTCACCGTTTTGTGTGATTCGGTTTCAAAACATACTACCCAAAACAAATCCGGCCACCTCTTCCGGTTCTGACGACGCGGTCGACATGACCGACTCAAAAGTCCGAGATTTTATTTCCAAATCCATCCTGGCAAAATCCATCTACGAGGTCTGGGGTCAAGGACAAACTTACGAAAATGTACACAAAGACGTCAAACGGCGGAGTCAACATTTGTGGTCCAAATTCCAAAATGTCACGTTCAGATTCTCAATAGACACCTACGGAATGACGCACGACGCCGCAGACCAGAAAAAAATGATTGATTCATTTAGCTATCTCGATTTCAAGGGCAAGATCCGGATGAAGAACCCTCAAGCCGAGTTCGCGTTGATGGAAGAATGGTCGCTACCGTCGTCATTATACACTAGTAACAATGCGCAATCCGGCCCAGCCGCTAATATTCTTGTCGACACAAAACCGAACCAAATCTTCTTGGGTCGCAAAATCGGCGAGTCGAGACGCTGGCTGAGGGAGAAACACGATCTCAAAAAGAGACCGTACATTTCCACAACGTCAATGGACGCGGAGCTGGCTCTGCTGACGGCAAACATGGCCTTGGCTACCCCTGGCAAGATTTTTCTAGATCCCTTTGTCGGGACGGGAGGGTTCATGGTTGCTGCAGCTGAACTGGGAGCCATGACGTTGGGTTCAGACATCGACGGTCGGAGTTTTCGTGGAAAAGGACTTGGACTGGACAAGGGCGTCGGAGCGAATTTCAATAGATACGGCATTTCACACCTGTTTGGCGATTGTATTACGTCGGATCTGACAAACACCCCATTCCGCAGCCCAAGAGGATCACAACAACCGTTTGGCACGCGGTGGCTGGACGGCATCATCTGCGACCCACCTTATGGCGTTCGAGAGGGGTTGAAAGTTCTGGGGACGAGGAAAGCCTCCGCGTTCTCCCCGGCGAACCCAGACGGCGGCGGCGATCAGCATGAAGTGTCGACTTCCTCACCAGTCCCACACATGATCGATGGCGTCTCTGCTCATACAAGACCGGGATACATAGCACCAAAACGGCCCTACTCCTTCAACCGGATGTTGGACGACATTTTAGACTTTGCGGCGAGGACGTTAGTCGATCGTGGTCGGCTGGCGTTCTGGATGCCCAGTGCGAATGAGAATGAGTCGGGTGAGGAGGAATCGACTCTCATACCGACGCATCCACAACTCGAACTGAAGCATGAATGCATTCAACGCTTCAACAAATGGAGTCGACGGCTGCTGGTGTATGAGAGATTGCCCGGAGCATTGGACACGGACGTTGATGTTGAAGCACTTCGTCGTGGGATGGAAGGTATGTCTGGGACCGCCGACGAGTTGAATCCTTTCCGCAAGAGGTACTTTGAATCCTTCGTAGGCACCAATGGCACGTAGATTTTCAAGGCCAAGTACTCTCCTGCAGATCGTAATGCTCGGATGTCTGTGTCGTCGACGGAGTTTCTTGCGGTTGTCGAGTCTCGCGACCAGACTTCAAGCTTCGACCTTGAGCTTTTCGACAGCAGCCACGGCATCATCACCGTCGATGTCATCTTCGTCGCCTTTCCCGACAAGCCCTCTCTCCCAAAGTTGTCTGCCGGTCAATTTCTTCTCATCAGCTTTACCACCTCGTTTCTTTTTATCTTCTGCCTCCTCCTCTTCCTTTTGTCTTCTTTCCTTCTCCTCCATCTCCTTCCGGAACTTCTCTCTCCACTCGAGGAAGCGCTCTCTAGTCACCAATGCACCGTGGAATTTTCTATTCTCCTCCTCTTCCTTCTCTCGTGCCTCGACCTCCTTCGCAGCTTCGACCTGCCTGATTCTGTCCGAGATCAACGTCTCCGCGGCCTCTTTGAGGGTGGTAACCAGTGTAAACACCATGGCCATTCCCATGCTATCTTCGATGGTGGGCTGTAGCGCATCTATTAGTTGAGACTTGTCCGCCTGGATATCTAACTGAGGGTGTTTCGCGGCATTTGGAGGAGCCGTGATGTCGAGGTGCGGTCCAACATCAGGATATGCTTCGGGATAGGTAACATTGAGTAACAATACAGGGGGCTCGGGAGCCTCGCCATGGTCGTCTGGAACGTCTAATGTGATTGATATTCGGTAGGATGTATCTGAAAGGTCTAAAATAGTGTTAGAATGTGCGTCAACTGGGGGTAGTGGGTGTATAGGCTGGTGAACCTGTAATTTCGTCTGGGAAGATGGAGTCGAGAACTTCTCGTTCCTCCTTTTGTTCTTCGATACCCATTTTGGCTTTCCTACAGTGTCTCCGAAGCACACGTAGACAAAACCTGCTGCTGCGGTAGTTGGGCAAAACGAAGTGTAAAGATCGAGTAGTGAAATTTCAATCGTTCATGGTTTACTACTTTGCTTGGGACTGTAGAATATTGCCTTTGCGGGGAATGCTATAGGCGAGCCACCTAAATTACTACCCCTAACCACTTACTTAGAAGGCCCGTGGCTGCTTTAACTGGAGAGGTCATTGTGTGGCTGAGTCATCGTGTCGAGCCCAAGTTGGAGCGGCAAGAGGGCGGGAAGCATCAAGCTTTCGGGGAGTTCGGACCTCAACTTTTAGAAACTGTCTACGGAGTACAGTCCTACTGTTTTGGTGGCAGATATAAGACCTTTGACTCATTTCACGTTGGTAGTAAGCTGAGAGACCCAACACCAGTAGATGTCAATTTTGATACCATTGACCGACTCACACCAGAACATTGATCTATTCTATACGATCAGGCCCCGGGAGGATATTGAGCATTATATCGGTTACCGCGGAGTATAGAAAGCTCTACATGTGTGTGACTGATGAACAAGTTCCATATACCCCAAGCGAACGACCGCCAATCAGTGATAAGTGGTTGTGAGAAGCGAGCTCTTGTGCTTCACCATATCACCAGTAGGTCACCACCTCAGCTCTTGCAAATGGGTGTGTTACCGCCAGAACCACCCTCGGACGTGCAAATCGGTGCATTACAGTGCTGAAGTGCCTCCCAAATGTGCTGTTCATTGCATCTGACCTGCGAAACACATTTTGTTGTGAGGGTTTTTTTCTCTTTTCCCGCCCTGTCAAGACGGCAAAGTGTAGGCTATTTGAAAATTCGCTTACTATGTCGTAGCAATTCGCCGAGCAGGCCGCAGCACCCACGCCGAGCTGGGCACAGCCGGAACCCTCCTTATACCCGGGGGCACCATCACAGGCAATACCATGTTGTATGAGAGCGAGGAGAGCAAGGAGACTGGCGGTCGTCTTCATCATGCTACTTCGATTTGTGGAGATAGAGAAGACGGGGAGAGGTTGTGATCGATCGATAGAAGATTATGTGGACGCTGAGTTGTACAGCGGGACTGTTGAGAATTCTGCAAGGACAGAGAGCAATCCATTGACTATATATATATAAGTACGGCACGAGGCCTGACCTGGGATCTGTTGACCGTTCATTTTTGCTCGTCAGCCTACCAGAGCTCGACGATCACTCTATAGTCCACCTACTCCGTACAGTAGTATGGGATGCTACATGGTGTAGTTGGTGGCGCGTGCTTAGACTGTGGCCGAAGGTCTGAGAATGGTAGTCCTCCCCCAGGTGGCATGAAGGAGAGGCCGCATCTGCGATTTCAGTCTGTATGTACGTTTCACCAGCCGACCGACGTCTTTCCCGACCGAGCATGAACGAGCGTCTTCTCCCGCAATCTCATCCAGTGGTCTTTTCCGTCGTCGATCCAGACATCGAAAGGCTGTCATGACCATCATTCTGTCCAGTCCTGTGTCCTGGATAGTTTAAGCGTGAAACCTGTAACCAGGGTACATGGGTGGACCCTACATAGGTACGATACTTCGAAGACTTGCGTACTCCGTAGGCAGACAATCAGAAGATACTAGCTATTCAACTCAACACAGATCAACTGCTCTAGACACAGCCCAAGAATGTATAATATGATACAGAAGTCTACCAATTACTTGGGCACATGTAGCATGTTGGATTTTGCGGGGGAATGCATCGAGTCTTGACCGAGTCGAACACCTGAACTTACCACCCAACCACATACTCTCAACTGGCGGGATGATTGGAGTCCTCCCGTACTCCTGAACTCGTCATGATTAATGCTTTCGTTCTGTCCTTTCATCGTCCTACGGAAGCCAACAGGAAGATCCCGAATTGAAGGTATAATGAATGCGAACACTTTGTGTATTCTCACAAATACAACGCCGTCGTGACTATTGGTTGAAGTGCCATATGTGCCGTGCCTGCACGACGGAATCCGTCTCCACCTTCACCTTTGTCCCCCCAAAACAACTTGAGAGATGGTTTTTCGTCTCCTCCCTCTACATCATTTCTTCCTCCATCGTTTGGTCCTCCCTGACGTGGCCACACGTCTATGAGATCGACCAGCGTAGGTAAGTGCCCGAACGTCGCTGGTTGTGGCCCCTTCGGCTTCCGCAACCCGAGGTAGGTGGCCAACAGAGAAACTAAAAACAACGACACCGCCAAATAGCAGATCTGCGGTATCCTCATCTCGATGCCTTCCCAATAAGGTCCAAAGCCCATGCTGAAGATCCAGTGTACGGCCGTCTTGAAGATGAACAGGGCCATTGTCTCCCAACTGCCAATAGCAACCTGAAAGGCGCCGTTTTGGCGACTTTCATCCAGACCACTTCGGCTCGCGGTCTGTCTCCAAAGGCTTTCGTCCCGAGAGCACTGTACCAGTAACTCGACGATATGGAGGTCCATGGTGATACCGCCCAAGAAGGCACAGGTCAACAGATATTTACACAGGAACCAAGGTCCGAATGTGTAGAAGCTCTGGCCGAGCGAAGTGGAAATTGCGATGAAAGCGGTGACGTCGACCCAGTCCGGGATCAGACTCCAATCGTTCGTGTATGACCGACTGAAGGTGCCCCAAGAGGGACCTATGGATTGCCCGCCGACCTGGTAGGCCACCGTCACCGCGATGAACCACAGGAAGGCGACTGCTGTGACCGCCCACACAAAGATGAGAGCTCGCCGAACGTTCGAATGAGCCTTCAACAACGATCCCTGCCGTACTTTCGGTAGCGATGGAGAATCGTGCAGTCCGAGGGTTTGTGTGTCGTGGACACTCAACATCGTCCGTCTCGTCAATGGCTTCAACCATCCCAGGTCTCGACAGACTTTTGCGGTGTTGATGGGATTCGTCGACCACGTTGAAAACTTGCAGACCACAAGCGCCCAAGTTGCGATAGAGGCTTGACCCAGCAACCCAAACCCAAGAAATATGAGAGCGTAACCAGACACGATATCGTACGTGTGAAACCCAAGTTCACCTGGATCCGAATACTGTTTTACCGACTCGACGATCACCATCGAGCCACATGCGTACGATGAGATGAGAGACCATCCCCAGATGACGTTGACCGGCCAGGAATGTACAACCGAATTTGGACAGCTGGTGAAAAGGCGCAGATTGGAATTGAAAGTCAATTTGCGACGAGCGAGGAGTGAGAACCGGAGGCTCGTCGAGTGAACCAAGCCGGCGATGTCGGTGAGGAGTGTGATCCAAAAGGCCATGGCCAATTGCACAAACGGTCCGATTGCGCGTTTGTGGGTGAATGAAGGTCCCCAGTGGTCGTGTGTGTCGTTCGTTGATGACTGCACGATTGAGCCGTATATGATCGTGGCCAGTCCAGTGAGCCACATTGCTGCGAGTCCCAGAATACATACTCTGCGAGTCAAGGTCCCAGATTCCGACACTTCTTCCAATGGCGGCACATCATTGCCTTTGTTTGAAAAAGAGGCCGCGTCTTCGATTTCAGTCTGCACGTCTGAGCGCCAACCAACATTTTTCCCGACCAAACTTGAACGAGCTTCTTCTCTCGTCTCTCCAGTCTCGCTTTTTCGTCGATCCAGCCATCGAAAGGCTGCAAATAGCATGATAATCGTGAATTTGCTATTTATTTGATGCTGATGTGGAGTATGTCGTTTTGTTTGTACGGTATTTACGCCCTGCTATGATGCGATTTGTTATGGTAGTAAAGCTTGAATTCAAACATGTACAGAGTAATAGGATGAGAATGAAGTAGCAATGTAGAGGAGATCAAGGACTCTCTTGTGATGTACATGTAGTCTGTACTAGCGTGGCTCAGCAATTCGACACAGCCACCTTAATCCGTAGTGTGCCTTGTCCCCAGGCATACTTAATAATCGTCCAATACGGAGTATGTTAATTAGCTATGGATATCCTAGATACGGAGTAGTTTTGGCGTGAAACCGGTATGTATGGGATGGATGGGTTGCCTAAACTTCAGGTACTTTTCGCCCCCTTGGCATCGCTCGAGATCGCCAGAATCCGAACGTCGCTGTGAATGATACAAGGCTCGAGAATGAATTCTAACGTACTACTCATTCAGACTCCCCCTGAGAGTCGAAGCAATTGAACAATACCGACATGCTTTCTACGTGTAGCATGCCATAGTGGAGTCCGTCCTTTTGAATCTTGATGATTCACGTCGACTCTCCTGGTGTTGAGGAGTGACTTGATAACCTCCTCGCGTCCGTTTCGGGCCGCGGCCAAAAGTGGTGTCCTACCACAATCATCCGCACGGTCGACATCGATTCTGTGATTTTCGAGGAGTAGCAACATGTTGACCACCCCGATCATACCGTACCACGCCGCCCAAAAAAGGGGAGTACGGTTGCCACTATCCTTAGCATCTGGGTCGACTCTTTGTCTCGTGTCCAACAGCAACATCTCAACAATGCGTTCGTGTCCCCCGGCTGCAGCATAGGACAATGGTGACCGGCCGTGATTGCTCTTGGCATCCGCATCAACCTTGTCGGTGTCGAGGAGCATCTTGAGGACGACCTCGTGACCGTGCTCGGCGGCGAACGACAAAGGTGTTCGACGTTGAGAATTCTCCGAGTCTACGTCGATCTTGTTCCTTCTGGCAATCAAGAGTCTAACCACTCCTTCGTGGCCGTACTCGGCCGCCCAAGCCAACGGAGTCCCCTTGTACCTGTCGTCCCTCGAGTTTATTAGCCGGTCAACAATGCCACCCGTGCTTTCAACAGCCAACAACTTGACCACCACACATTCAAGACCACAAAATGAAGCAATTATCAAACTGTTGAGTCCCGTGGGATAAATCATACGCTCGTTCAAACGTCGACGGTTCCAATGACGCTTGAACCAAGACAACGGAGTAGTTGGGTCTTGATCACAAAGTCTGGATGCCATGGAGGCCATCGTACCGTCGTCGTCGTCGTCTATCTGGGCATTGTGGAAATGAGTGACCCAATTCTGGGCCGAATAATCGAGCAAAATATGATCGTCGGTCCCTATCTTCGAGGAGTCCGAGTCTGCGGCAGTAGTAGCCACATGGAAGGAATTATTCTTGACTGCAACATCATCCCATAAAAGGCGCCACATGCAGATTTCTGCCAGAATTCGGTGAGACTCTGTTACCTGGAGAGATTTTTTCCAACGAAGAAGAAAACCTGTTTCTTCGTTGTCGACAACAACACTGTCTGAGTCTGGAGTTGTTTCCTGGACCAAGAATTCCTTGGCTGTTTGGTGAAGCAGGTAAATCTTGGAGTCTATAACGGTCACAAAGAGGCCACAGATTTCTCTGAGAGTACTACGGAAGCGGGTCTCTGGTTCGAGTTCGAGATCGTTGTGTCCCCTATGGTTTTCTTTGATGGCCAGTGCTACGGCCATTTCTTTCAGAACCAAGGGCCTTTCGGCGGCCACGACGATGTGCAAGATTTTCTTTGCTTTTGAAGGGTTGCGAGTCTTGCCCAGAATTTTGTCGTAGACCGCCTCGATGGTTGTGGGAAGATTGCGGATGGTTAAGCGCAAGGACTCTTTCGTAATGTCGACACTGTCCTGGATAATCTCAAATATCAGGTGCACCCAGAGATACGTCCGATGTGGAATCCGGTTCATCTCATCTTTCAGAGTCTGCTGTTCTTCGGGTAGGAGTTGGAGTCGGGAGGTCAGGTCCTTGATTTTGCTTTCAATGACGACGTTGATCTCTTTGGAAATCTTTCCGACCTCAACCTCGCCTTCACCGTCCAAGTGAATGGCAGGTATAACGGTATTGAAAAAGCCAAAGTCTCGCTGAATTTGAGTGTATGGCCTACTTGTCAGGAGGAATTTCAAGGCGATTCTGTTGTTTTGTGCTGTACGCCCGAAATTGCTGTTGCGCAAGGCTTCCGCGAATTGACGTTGACCCCTATCTTCACACTCATCCAAGGCATCCAGGACGCAGATAATCTCACCACCAGCCGGGGAGTGTCCCGTCGTTGAAACACCACCATCATCGACCGACATATCCTGATTCACCGTGTTGATGATATCAATAAGGATATCCCAGAGGCCACGGAAGGAACCTATGAGCTGGTCGCCGTCCTCTTCGAACTTGGTCAGAATCTCTTCCGACAAAAACTTGGGTCTTTGAGTGAAAATCTGTCTCAGGATACAACACATGCAACTCTCCGAGGTTCTCTGATCAACAAAGTCATCCTTGAAGAAAAAGTAACAAGTAGTTCTCCTCTCGTGCGTGCTGCTCCGGAGGACCTCGTCAACCAAGTACTTTGCCAAAACTGATTTCCCACATCCCGGGTCGGCAGATACCCTGAGCAAGCACGACGATTTGTTGTCTTTCCAAGTCTGAAACAGTGGATGATGTGTAAACCATTCACAGGTCCCTTTGACTCGCCTCGGGTTCCTGTCCTTGCGATCTCTGTAAGCCGAAGTGTATAATTTCCTCATCAGTGCTGCCTTTCTTTGTATTTTGATGAGCTGGTCGTTCTTCTTCTCGGCCTGCTCCGAACTTTGTTGTTGTCGAATGTACATCTGGTTGACCTTATTGTAGGTTCGTGCTCCGATGGCGGCGGTGTCGATGATGGCCATACTATTCAAGGCCTGACATCTCCGATGTAGATTCTCCACGGCATCTCGTGTTCTTTTGGCGAGGAATGCCCCCCTAAGTCGTTGCCAGCTCAGCACTCGATGATGACCACTTTGACATCTCTTCTCCAGATCCTCCAACAGAATTTCTAGTTCATATCGACATGTTGAAATGAGCACAGGAGTTCTGTCATTGTGCTTGATGATGCCGAGACCAAAACAGAAGTGTCCGTCTCTTCCGGAGATGCTTCTTCCTCCTTATCTGGGGTACTTGTACTCGCCGTAGTCGTAGTCGTAGGAGAGTGACTGCTGCTACCCTCGAACGCCTCTCTGGACTCTGGATCATCAATCATCTTCTTTTTCATTTCGGAAAGGACGAGACTCAGGACTTCGAGCTCTGCAATGAAACTTTTGGTGTCGGCTGGGGCATCGTTCCAATCCAACCCAAACTGGACACCTAGCTGGATAATCTGGGCCACGACGCCGATGACGCCCATGATCCCTAGTGGATCGGCCATTTGCGTGCGTCTCGTCGGGTTTCTCACCCCCTTTTCAAACAACACTCGACAATAACGGAATAAGCGCAGACAATGATCAATATGGGAGAAATACAGACACCGTTTCTTGGGTTTGAGATAGGGTCCAAGGCGAAGTCTGGCTGGGTTGTGACTACATTAAGCGAGTCGGTTTACTTGGATGGACGAGAGGCTGCCACGTTGGTGTCGCTTGTTCGTGCACTTCAAAAGCCAATCAGAGTATATTGAACTCAACACAAATGAGCTGCTCTACACACAGCCCCAGAATTCAACTATGATACATAAAAATACTACACCACCATCGACCGAGTAGCTGGAACCTTGTGCTTTTTCCAGAAATCGCCGTCAAGTTCAACCTATGGGCTTCACTTTCCACTTTTCAGTCGTACCGAATTCCAGTCGACTCTCCCTGAATCGCCATGGATCAACGTAGAGTCTGATCCCAATCTTATCGCTAAGCAAGTTGTACACCCGAACTATACAGTAGACCCTTTTTCTCTCGCCATTTTCTTGGGTTCCAAGCTCTCTCATCTATGTAAACGGCAGTCAGTCAGTCAGTCCGTAATGTTCTTGTGAAGCGGTAAAGCGCTGGTAACAACAGCATATGTATTGGCTGCAGTATTCCGGGGGGCCTCACTCACCAGGTTATATTGATTCTGGCTCATGTAAAACTCAGTTTCACATGGTCCAAGGGTGGTCTTGACCTCGAAGAGCCATTCCACTCGTGTCTTGAGGCCTGGGTCAGCGTACACGGCATCAAAGGGCACCCACTGAGTAAAATTACCTGCGATGAATTCGGTGACAAAAAGCAGGTCCAAGGCAAAGATTCCTGCAGTTCATCAATCAACATGTTCTGTAAAATTGTTAAGTGGACTTCGAGAGCGGCGTCATGGTCGCAAAACACAATATCGGCCGTTTCTGGTTCACTCCGCCGAGTGACGTGTCGGTAGGATTCATGTGCTTGTACGAGGTATCGAATGTTGCTTTGCCAGTTTTCCAGTCCGAAGTTATCGCCCAGCATGTATTTGAACACTTCATATACCTGTATATCTAGGTTAACAAATGTGGGCTGTGACTGAGGAGGGCATGTTGTTTGGCTCACAAAAAGCTCACCCGCCGCGCCCAATCTGAATTTACTGAGCCACACATCATTCCCAAATAGGTCGGGGTAGTCGTCCGGGTCGAATACGGTGTGGTCAAGCACAAGGCCAGCGAAATCTGCGGCCAAATCGTTCAAGTCTGCAGCCTCGTAACTGCGCCCGTGAAGTCTGTCTCCAATCTTCGATGCTTGTTTGTGGACATGCTCGATCACCTTCCAGTAATCTGGCGCATCGACCTCATGCCTGATATCTACGGGAAGAGCTCGATAGGCTTGCCGATGGTATGTTTGGATTTGAATAGGACTAGTGGGAAGGGTTGTTTCGTCTTCGGCCAAGTCTGGGGGTGGTACAGCTATAACTGGTGGGGTAGGTGCTGGACGCCGTGTTTCTGGCAGCCATGACACTCGCGAGATTCCTTCCTCGAAGAGGATGTCATCTGTGCCAGTCCCAAGCTCGTTGAGGATTCTATATATTTGCTTCTCCGCCCTAGAGTCAAAGATGTCAAGGAGCTCTGTGGCGATATAGCCTGGGAGTTGCGAGCGCATGCACTGCCTGGTTGCTCTTTCTTCAGACGGAAGGGTGATTTCAAGCTTATTGTGTTCATGTTTTGAGATCAGAGAAGGTCTGGAAGTGGGAACCTTGACTGGATGCTCGTCTTGCGTGACGACGAGGTAGGTAAACATCTCGGAGGAGGTGTGAATGGTCGTATTTGCCAGAGCGTCATACAGGAGTCTGCTCTGATTTGAGAATAGCGCACTCCGGTGCGATATGGCGCAACTGAAGCAGCAAGGGTCAGCTTCTATTCCGATCACGAGAGGGGGTCGGATCATTACCATGAAATAGGATAGGCACATTCATGAAACTGAGCAGTGAGGGTATCACTCGGTGTCGAAACGCGGGCCGAGGTTTCCGATTGTACATGTCGTGCGAGATAATGGTCGTCTAGACCAAGCAGTCGAATCAGCTTGTGTATAGAATTCACTTGTTCATAGTTGAAGTCAAGCATGACCAGCTGATCTCCGAACTCATTGGCATAGGCTTCATTGTCAACAATGAAGAACGATTGTGACTTGGAGCGGAATTCGATACCTCCGGTGGTTGATCTACAAGGCAAGTAAGCGCATTCATCGAGTACTTCCATGCTGTGCCTGAATTGTGAACCGTTGCTGCTCATATCCAGCAATTCTGATACAGCCAACATAAGCCTTTTGATATTGTTGGCCGACTTTGTCTTACTTTTAGCAGCTGTGGCGAGCTGTTTCATCATGAACGTTGGAGTAATGGTCTCGATCGCAAGGACTCGTACAAAGAAGTCTTGCAACTCTGAATACGTTGCGGCAACTGGAACAAGGTTGCCGACGTCCATGGTAGAGTGCCAGACGCAAGAGGTCGATTGCAACCAGTCATTGCTACGAAGATCAAGTATGAGTTTCTTCTCCTTGAAATACCGCCTGCAGATTTTAGCACATGCATACTCTTCACAGCCAAGTCGACCAACCTGATATCCTGCCTCTGTTCCACAGTGACAGTCATATTGGCAAGATATTTGTACACTTTCATAACCGTAGTTTGCAGCTCCGCATCAACCCCAGGGCCCCGTGAATCCCTGAGGTACTCAAGCTCCTCGATCAAACATTCGATTGAGACACTTGGGACTTGGAGATGTGTCTCAAATAAGCCTGAAACAACGCTCTTATCATATACCGAAGTTATCACAAATCTCCGATGGAGTTCAATTTGACTTTCCCACACACACTGGTCGATGGTTCGCCAGAGGTTACTACTTGAGTCCCAAATGAGAGGGCTGTTCTTGAAAGAGCCCTGGAGGCTGTCAGCAAGTGCATCAGCCTAGAAAATATCACTAACCTGAATAGCCTTTCGATCCTCCAAAGTCACCAGATCAGCCATATTCTTGTAGAGCCATCCCATTGTCACTGAGTCGATCTTCGGCCGCTGTCTTGTTGCAGAGAGCAGTGAAATCGCTTGGCGATAGAACCACAAATCAAGCCTGTAACATATACCCAAATCTCTTAAGGCTGGCCAGTCGGAGATCAGATGTTCCTGCGCAGCGTCGGGCAATGATAGAATCGGCAGTTGTTTTTCAACGCCATATCTCCGCGCCACAGACAGAATTGTCTCACTTGGAAACCAGCATTTTGAAAGCTGTTCAGTTCCGCCATGTTGGCAGAGCACTTGGCACTTTTGCAGCACTTCGTTCAGCTTAGAGTTAAACCGACACGAACTGCTGTACTCTTTCGCCCAATAAGCTTGGATCACAGACAAGAATAGGATTGAATCCCGGCCATGAACAACCTCGAGTACCCAGTGTAGCTTCTCGCGGTTTGAGACGTCCTGAAGAGGTGGATACCATCGTACACCAGCAACTTCAACCAGCCACTGTTCCCAGGTTTTGCCGCCACGTGATCTGGTTGCGACCTGGGAAGACTGATAGATTTCGTTCAAAAAGTGCCTGCCATAGTCTGGATTCTCATTGAGGCATACCAGACATTCTGCATGATATGGTTGACTTGAACGCATAAACAACAGATTTGAAGTGCTATAAATGCCGCCAGAGGTTGCGGCCTGGACTTTGTCTTTAACATTGAAGTCCTGGTTAGAAAACCAAAAAAGAAGTTCCGACGAACGCAGTATGTCAAACATTTTCCTTGTGCCTGACTTTGTCATTTTCCTGGTGATAGCAGAGCAGATCTCAAAAGAACTGCCATGTCGAACTCCTAGGGTTAGGTATACCTCACGTCGTTTTGGTGCAGTAGCTGCGTCCGGTTGCAGGACCACAAGTTCAATGTCCGTGGGAATCAGGATACGGATACATTCAGAACCAGTGCCTTCGTCAACCGCGTGTGGGAGGAAAATGTCTGATCCAGGCCGGTGCCATTCCAGTGCCCCACCAACCCGGACAGGAATGAGAGGCAAGTCGTAGATCCGTTTCTTGTATCTTATATTGCTAAGGGCCAGCCCATGTTTGATAAATAATGCAAACGTGTCATGCCACGAATCGTCCAGTGATCGGGAATGAAAACTTGAGTGACGACTTTCGACGTCACCTTCAATAAGGTCCAAAGCCTCTTCGAAGTTCAGCCTCGCAATCCCAACCTCAAGCAGCGCTGGATAATATGCTACTTTGTATGTATTTGACAAAAAGCACCAGGGTAGCCCAGTTCCTGGCAGGAGGGGCTCGGACTGATGAGTAAAATCGGGAGTCAATATGCGAAGTTGTTTCGGTTTGCGCAAGGTTTCGAACTCCGAAAAGAACAGCTCGTTCTCCCTCAGTTTCTGCAGTACTAAAGCCAGTAGAGGCTGGAAAAATCCGACCATAGCTTGAAGCGGAATATAAGCAAGCCACTCATAAGAAAGGTTACTTCTTTCAAGAACCAGTCTTTCTGCAAATGTGCAGAATAGGGCCGCAATCTCGTTCCTTAACGCTTTGTTCCAAGCGTTATCCGAAATGGCCTGCCTACTGCCAGTCAGGATGAAGTCTGCATTTATCAAAAAAGGGAGCTCTTTTATCTGCATAATAGGCAGAAACGCAAAGACATATTGACCTGATGATTCGAGGAGTGGGGAGCCATCATTTGGGGACGAGATTGGCAGACCGATTGTGACATTAGAGGTTGTCTGGGAACGCTCAGCGTTGCGAGGCATGTTCGATGCTTTGCTGGCGAGGACTCGGTAAAAGTACTCAGTGGCTTTTGCACCCTCTCGAGAAACGATCGTCATAATACTTTGCTCCGCATCGATAGACTTCTCAAAAGAGATCATCCCGTTCGTAGCTTCAGCATTCTCGAAGCGAACGGATAGCTTCTTTATCTTGCGCAAACCGAAGACGATACTTGGGTGTAAAGATCTCAACTGGGCGCCAAGAGTTTCCAGTCCGTCATTCTCGCTGAACGAAAGTCGAAGTCGAAAGCGGGTGCGAACATTGTCTGGCAATTGCTCCCCAGGTTCCCATAAAGGCTGAATCATGCCGATTCCTTCCTCGTTCCGTTGATGCTTGAAGCGAAAAGACCACACTCCAGAGGTAATGTGCACCTGGTCTGCCACTCCAAAGACAGATTTGAAGCCAAACCCCTTTTCTCCAGTGGAGTTTTGATCAAGTGTCTTGGAGCTTTCACCAGTGCTACAGATTGCCAACACATCCGACAAGGAGAAGCCGTCTTCGTTGAGGTCGACGATGAGCTCTGTTTGAGAGACAGTAAAACTAATGGTGGGTATATCATCATGTCGAGAGTATCGGGCGTCGTCTGCATTCTGGAGGAGCTCATAAAAGAATCTGAAAGGGTAGTCGTAGAGCTGGTTGGAGATCCTGAAAGTGACAATGAGAAAGATGCATCTCTGCCTGAAGAATCACCTACATCTTGGTGAACTGAGCCAAAACCTTGCGTGACTTGGTTGCCATCATAGTGATCTTCTTCCGGAAAAGTTCCGAGCCCGCCTTTCGTAGTTGATCATCATCTTCATCATCGAGATCTCCATGCCCGGCTCTAATGCAAGCGAGGATATTCTTGACATCCTGTTCGTCCTTCGGCTCAGTCAATGGGCTATCGTACAAGTTCTCGTAGAAATCTGAAAGCTCTGGATCAATCATGTTGGTGGCGATGCTAATTCTCCTCTCAAGTGTAAATTGCAGATGTCAAGAAGACAAAGCAACTTGTCAAGGAGGCGGAACGCGAAGGAACCCTAAAGTAGCCATCGCAGGTAGAATGAGCAAAAGGGACGTATGTCCTGTCATGGCGTGTAGCGAGACGCCCTCATCAGGGTTGCAAATGCTACCTACGGTAGATAGTACCCTAGCATTAGGCGCTGCCATGTCTCCTGTCGCTTTCACAAGTGGGCCTTGGTCGTGTTTGAAGTTGGTTCCCTTGTCGTCCGACCTTGATGAGCTAACATCTAGATAGCATGAGAATGCGACTGCGAGAACGAAAATGTCTCGAATCTTGATGCAGGATACGCTGATGCAGGGCATGAGAACAATCAGAAATCAACATCGAGGTGATTTGAACCTATCGGCAACGAGAGTGAAGCTTCGTCTGAGGTCGATTGTATGGAGTAGATGCCGCCGTGACGAAACTCGGTAGAGACAGTTCGTGCATATCGGCTCACTATGCCGAGCGTGTTGGGGTCCGTTTCACGAAGCGCAATGCCTGCAGGGATGTGCATTAGTTGTTTTAGCAGCGCATTAGGCACGGTTCACTGGTCAAACGCCGTATTTCGAAGCTTGGGATGAATGCGTACTTCACACCATAATCACAGGCGACGATACAAGCAGTGTTGGATAGCGTGTCACTGGGAAGCTGCAGGGTAGAGTTTATGCCACCTTTCCTTAGGCTGCTTCACTTCGCTGAGTTGGATATGTTGTACTCCGTCTCGTTCCTGGGTCTTGGGTGCTCGTTCCGTGAGACAGCATGGATGTAGAGAAGACTCCTTACATGAACGAGGTGAGGATGAAGCTCTGGTCATAGTTACATATGGTTTGTCCTCGGACCTCGTCAAGGCCTGCCAGGGTCCGAGACGCCCTCAGGCACAGATTCAAGCCGAGAGGCAAGTATAGCCGATTTACAAGCGGCCAGACTAGGCCCTCGAGTCCTAAGACTTCCTCGCCCATTGCTTGCCACTCCAGAGGTTGCCTGTGGTCCATAACCAATAGTCACGGCCTTTAATGAGCCAAACCATGAAGCTGGGTAATCTGTAACCCATCGCAGCCCCAACACCTTTGCTCTGGCCTATGGGTACCAACTGGGTCTCGCGTTTATCCTCCTCGAACTTCCGATCCTCGCCAACAGTGCTTGTTTGGTTTCCATCAGCATTTAGTAGATCCCGCTCGATATTCGTGGCGAGTACAGGAACAGCGCTGAGGACGTTGTGGACGGCCGGCCTTGCGCTCGAGGATACATCGCCAATAGCATAGATTCGCGGGCCGGCTCTATCAACACGCAATGTTGACGCGTTGGTGTCGACTCTGCCATCTGACCTGAGAAGAGATTTGTCTAGGAAACCGGTGTTTGGAATGGTGCCAATGGCTGGGATGTAAAGGTCTGCTTTCAATATTTCCCCGGCCTCGAGTATTACTGTCGCCTGGGAGGATACATCCTCAGTCCCTGCTTCCTCGGGCTCGACACGCTTGACGCGTGAGTTCCTGATGACTCGTACTCCGACTCTTGCGAGATATTCCTCAGCTTGTTTGGCAATCGCTGGTCGAAGCACTGGCAAGATATCAGACCCGGCCGTCACCACGGTAATCTGGACCTTTGGGTCTGTCAAGGTTGAGTGGAACCATCCAGCACGTCCGTTGAGGTATTGTCCAAGTTCGCCTGCTATTTCAATTCCCGATGGACCACCACCGGCAATTACAACCGTTTTGGCAGCCTTTAATGCTTCGCGGAATGCCGCCCAGCTTTTGCGCAGGAAATCGACGTCTTGGTTGAGTCCTAGAAGCGGTGATCGAGTAGATGCTCCAGTGGCAATGACAAGAGAGTGAAACTGAATTGTCTCCAACTCTCCACTTCGACGTTCAACGGTCGCGTTCCGCGCTGTATGGTCAAGTTTAGCGGCTGTACCATGGACGAAGCGAAAACTGTTCTTGGGGTAATGAGCGAACAATTTGGGAATGTTGACAAAAAGCTTCTCCTGAGGCAATAGATCATCCGATATCATGGCTCGAGGACAAGCAGGTCGACACATGACTTCATCGGAGGTGCTGACCAGAACGATTTGATAAGACGCGGAGTCTGGGAGGTTTGGGAAGACATGCTTTAGGAGATAATGAGCGATGGAAACGCCACCATAGGAGCCACCGAGTATGACTATGTTCTTCTGAACTGTACTTTGGGTCATCTCGTGATTGTGGGAGACTATATTCCAATGTGGTCGAAAGGTGTGACTACTAGAAGGCCCATGGGATAAGGGGCGTTTGGCAAGGATCCAACCACTCGAGACGGTGGGACATAGGACCTATATGCATTACTGCAAGACACATCTTTAATTGAGTTTATATAACTGCACCTATTGATAAAGGAGACACCAACAGAATTTGAACTGAATGTGATGCCATCATGAAATGCTCATGTTTAGACGAGCTTCGGGGAGAGATAGTTATTTACATCTCTCGGCCGTGCAGTTTATCTATCGGCCGATAGACCAAACAACATACAGTTTGACAACATCAAGAGGAATTTTGCCTAGCTTTGACAAGGATCAAGGCACTTTGGTCAAAATGAATGATCAAAAGTCCTCACTAGTCCAAAGCACCAGATTTACGACTTTTGGTAGTTGAACAGGCCCCAGGGCAGATTGACGGGTAATCGCACAGCCTCAGCAAAGACAGCCTTGTCCAGCCTTGTTACTCCTCACTGCAAAAGCAGCAAGTTCCACCACCATCACATTGTGCAACGATGGCTGCTGTTTGCTTTTCCTTCAATCCTTCAAACACATCAACAGCGTTTTGCGAATGGCTCTTTTTCCTTTAATTCTTTATTATTAGACCTCTTTTTCTTTACCATAGACCACGGAGGCTCATACAGTGCCGGGCACCTTCTGACATTACAAGATGGCTGATGAATTCGCCCAACTCGTCCCTGAGACGTCACATCATTCCAGACCTCATGCCGACCATGACTTCTCTCCGCGCTGCCCTTTCTGTGTTATAGCACGCACATACAACCCGACCTCGCCTTCCGCGGCCGAGGGCAATCCAGGACTGAATCCCGAGCAACTCGATCCGCCATCATTTGTGCTCTACTCGTCAGAGCATATCATTGCTTTTCTAGATATCATGCCTCTAACCCGAGGTCATGTACTTGTTGCACCTCGTAAACACCGTATCAAAGTCGGAGATTTGAGCCCGGATGAGGGTGCTGAGGTATGTCTGGGATCTCAGGATTACCGACTCGACATGGGGTCGAGCCTTGGATCATATCTGCCCGCGTCTGTTGAACATTCCATGCTAACAATCTCCAGATTGGACGAGTTCTACCTCTTCTTAGCAGAGCCATCATGAAAGCTGTCATGCCAAACATCCCCCATCAACAGGTCGACTACAACGTTGTGCAAAACAATGGTAGGTCCGAATAGTCCTGGTTCCTCAGGTCAACCGTGGCCCAATCGTAGATCAAGTTTTCTATGTATCGTGGCACGTTCTCATGTCTCCTCACAGGTCCCGGAGCTGCACAGGTTGTCCCACATGTGCACTTCCACATTGTGCCACGGCCACCTTTGAACTACGTTACTCCTAAAAGATCAACGCCGATGGCGAAAACTCAGTACCCTGCGAATGCTCAGCCAACAGGGTTCAATCGCACGAGGGTCTTGTTCGGTCGTGGACCACGAGACGATCTGGATTACGAAGACTCTGCTGTGCTTGTAGAGGATATGAGGCGATGTATCAGAGAGGAGTGGGAAAGAAGTTCTGCTGGGACACGGGAAGCCAGTGTCGACCAAGACCAACGTTCTATGGGGAATTCCGAGTCTAGGAAATGCGTTTGGAAAGTCTAGCTCCAAGAATTCCGGTCAGCCATCGCACCCCGCCATATTGGAACGGTGCATCAACAACCAATGGGCTCTCTCGATCACGATCATTCACAGTATGCTCACTACAGGTTTGTCCTGTTTGTTGAATTACTGAAACTGCATTTTGCAAACAAACATATCTCAATAGAACAACTTCAGGATAAAAGAACAACTCAAGATGGTCTACTTAGGTGTCTACGCAACGCGAGCCAATTCGTGATGTTACATCGCATGCGAAACGGCAGGCTTTATCCGCGACCATATGTCGAACACAGAATTTGCAAGACTGGGCTCATACAATCTACACTAATGCCTTCTCAACATTATGGTTTTCATCACACCATTCTATACTCTAGTGAAGACCCCCCTGCTGCAGCTTACTCTCTGGCAATGTACTCAGTGAACACCTGTTCCACGAGCTTGTTCGCTTAGAAGCATTGAACTCTTGATCCGTCTATTCCGCATCAATCAGGAGACTATCTTGGGGATTTGTGCCTAACTTGCAATGCAAAGATGTTCTTTGGATTCTTGATAGTGAGGCGGGTTGCATAAACCCCTGAAGCATGTGGCCAATGAGAGACGGACACGGAGCGGGTGTTCAGTCGACATCGCAGCACAAGCGAATGCAATCATGAAAAGAACCAAGGACGAGACCAGAATTGTTTTGCTGTCCATGCCACTTGAAATCGCCATGCCGATTGATATCTGGTCGTACTGGAGAGCTACCCATGGGGACTCTCAGTCGATCTAATGCAGACTTTGAGCGACTACTTTGACGATGGAGAGTGTCTTTTTGAGCTCTGACTGGACAAAGGTTTTATCATGTGCTCGTTGAGCAGTTGGAACACCTCCTGGCTATCTTTATGCCGATGCTAATTGACGTGGTACTTGGGGGTATCGTTTCGGCGATTCGTTTAAAGATGCCCAAGTTCAATCTACCATGGACGAATACACGCTCTAAAGGATGAGCCTGGCTAGAAGGTGTGGGTGGTGATTACTCTTGGTCAGAGGATCATATTCTTCTGATGATCAACTTTGCCGCTCGTCACTGCTCGACAGACTAAACTGTCTCTTCGGATTTAGTTGTTCAGTCGTCCGAGCTTTCTCCCATATCTGGAGCACCATCTCCCTCTTCCCTCCCAGGATTCCAGAAGACTGACCATCTTTTCTCTAACGATACTAGAGGCGAAGAGGTCTATCGTCAGTCATATTGACGAAGTGCATCAATCATGTCTGAAACCGCGACTGTTGAGGCAGCTATCGAACCTGAGGCTCATACCACCGAGCAGACCGAGAGTTCCTCGGCGGAACAGAGCCCGGACACAGGCGATGACAATGTCGCTACAAAAGAAAATGAGAAAGAGACAGAGGCAGAACCAGTAGAGGAAAAGTCAGACGATGCTACACTGGCTACGACGGAGAGAGAGGGCACCTTGGTAGCACAGGATGCGCACGTGCTACACACGAGCGCCGATACAACCTTTGAGCAAGCGGCAAAGACATTCCTCAACATTCATCGTGATGAAGTGGCTCAGAGAGATGAAGAAATCTTTAAACTCAGGGCCGAGCTCAAGAGAATCAGAGAAGCCCTAAAAGCGATAGAGTCGGCTGGGGACCTTGCTGAAAGTTCTCGAGACGTTCCCGCCGTACACAATCAAGAACTCACAGAAGATGACCCGGATTTGACGTGGGTGGATGCACGCTCCATCACCAGAAGTCACACATGCTGATATCCAATAGGTTCCAGAAGATCAAAGATATATGGGAGACTTGCTTCAATGCTGTCCACAGTGTGATTGAAGAGGATGACGTGAAAGAGGTAGGTTCTGCCAATACCTGTCGACTCGTATGATTCATGCTGACTAAGAATAGTCACTATCAGACTGGAGTATTGTCAACTGGTCCGAACTGGAAGACAAAATGCCCGGCTTCAGTGCATTCCCGGTTGAATCGTCCAACAAACGATCCCGAACAATGCTCGTCATGGCTCTTCTTGCCAAATCCCTCGAAGAGTATATTCTCACGCCCAACTATCTCTTCGAGGACGACGACGAACTTCGATTCATCCTCCACAAGATGACCGACACGAAGAAGAAGAGTCAAGTGCGGAGTCTCTTCCTGTTCATGTCCGGAAGCGAAGACTTCAAGGACGAAGTCGAAAAGGTCAAGGCCTTTCGCGTCGAGAATGCCGTGAGTGGCGCCGTTCGGCCTATCCAGAGTTTGTTGTCAGAAGCGTTGTGCGAAAAGGTCAAGGCCAGGTTGGCCGACATTCTGTGTGACGTCGTCACGGCCTGGGAACCCCTGCAGCGCTACGAGAGCCATTTCGAGGTCAGTACGGAACCCGGTCGAGCCGGTCGTGAATGGTTGACCTTACACTTGATGGACAACAACACCGTCGTCCTGGAGACTGTCAATTCGAGTGCATTCGAAGTGAACCCCGTCATGGCTGTCGTCTTTCCTCGCGTGTGTGCCATTGATAGGTCGAGGAGGCCTGCTTTCACCACGGCGTTTCCTGGAGTCGTTTTTCAAAAGTCACAGGCCATGATTGAAGAGTCTGATACTGTTTGTGTCGATAGGGTTACTGTGCCAGAGGTGGAATCTTCTACAGTGGCAGCAGCAGCAGCGGTGACGGCAAAAGCATCGGAGGCAGAGGCAGAGGCTACGGCGGAAAATGTGCAACCCCCGACAGCACAAGATGTAGCAACGACCGAACCCGAACAAGTACCTACTGTCGTACAAGCAGTCAAGGGAGAAACCAAACCGATCGAAGGACAACCAGCAGTACCCATCACCGGATCAGAGTCTGAGGATTCTAGTTCTGACGGTGAGAGTGATGATGATGAAGACAGTGGAACCGAATCCAACACGGAAGAGAATTGACCATGTGTGCATGTCGTGCATGTCGTCGAATTGGATCATCGAAAGGCTGCTCGATGGAGTTAAACATATGAAACGACTGCGGACTGTGATGCAGATACGATTTGATTTCATCAGGTGTCAAGGGTTTTTTTCCCACATTCCTCTTCTCCGCAACCAGACGGCCATTTAATTTAGCATGGAGGACGTATAACGGCATATTTTTTCATTTTTCACCTTCTCTTTGGAATGATACCGTTTTCATAATTGCAACGACGATGACAATGACAACATACCTCCCTAGATTCAGGTAGTTTAAACATCTCTTTCTTTTGCTTCTTGATCAAGAACCCCCCACGATCAGTTCACATTGACCTCCTCTTGGCCTCTCCGAGAGCGTCGATAATACCGTGTTGAAGGTATACCACGTCGACCCAATCTGCAGTTTCATCTCTTCTTCTGTTTCTTGGTCAATACACCCACGACGTGAGTCGATATGCTATGCGGGTCGACCTGGGTCATTTCGACCTTGGCGAAACCACCGTCCTTTTCCTTTGCGACTTTTAGGAACGCCTGTACGGTGTCCCTCCTCAGATCGCAGCCTCCCATCAGGGCCTTCCAACCGACCAACATCCAGAACTTCTGCGCCAGGTTCGCCCCCCAGGAGCGATTGTTGACGACGTGTTCGCACAGGACGAACCGTCCGCCGGGTTTGAGCATGCCGTACAGATCCGCCACGCTCGCTTCTTGGTCGGGAACGCCGCAGAGCACACGGACGCAGACAATCTCGTCGAACACGGCCAGATCCTTCGCCGAGGGCCGGTCGTTCTTGACGACGCCGTCCTTGACCAGGGTGGGCAAGATGGAATCCAGGTCGGCCGTCCCTCCGATGACGCGGTACTTGTCGCCCAGACCGACCTTGCCGGCGTTGGCCCGCAACTTGTCGTGCAGCGTGACTCCCGGCTCGACTCCGTAGATGGTTCGAATGTTCTCCGGGTGGGAGAAACGGCGGAGTTGTTCGCCCGACCCCGGGCCGACGTCGAGAATCAGTCCTTTGGACCCGGCGAGCAACTCGTCAACCTCGGTCGGGGTCTGGTCGGAAAAGGCCGCTCCAAACTTGAGCCACAGTCCCGCAAAGGCCTTTTCCTTGAACGAATCAAAGTTGGTCAGGGGCAAAAAGGGGTTCTTGACGAATGCGAGCGTGAAGTCTGATTTGAGACGACGCAAGTAAGTATGGATGTCTTGGTCGGGTTACGCAAAATGGAAAGATGGAACTAGAAAAAGGGGCGGGGAGATGAAAATGTTGAGTACTCACAAAAGATACTAAAGGCAAAAAAGGGGACTGGGAAGAGGTAGTCTATGAGACAGGCGAAGATGTTTGCCATTGCTCTTCACTCCCTTTTTTTTGGTTGTTATTTTCTTGTTTCGGGTTCCGTTTTCCAGGTTCGTTTGGGCGGTGACCAGCATCCAAATTGCCAAGGCCCTGCTCGCACAATGTAGTACTACTGTCCACGTTTTCGTGTGATACAGGTGGTGGTGAGATCGCCGTAACAAGGTGAGAATTAAGATGCGTAATTCAAGATTCCAGGTACTTTGGATTTTCCGCCAACATGTACGGAGTAAAAAAAAGGGAAGCTCAAGGACAATGGCCTGAAATGAAAACCTCTCACTTCAATAGCAAACAATATGAGGGATTAGGAAATGGAGGGAGAAAGAAGAATAAGAAATAGTAAGACAAACAAAATTCCCGCCCCCCAAAGCCTCGTGATTATTGCCCCTCCAAAAGGGCCAACGTCACCCACACCCGTATCCTCGTGTTCGTATTCGTACCGATGCGGGGGGGGGAGGGGGGAGAAAAAGAAATGGGCAAATATGGGGGTGGAATGTGGGATGAAGACACATGGGAGACAAATATGGGGAGGCTGGAGGGTGTTCTCCCTTTTTCAAGACAAAAATCCACACTCTCATTCAAAGCTATTCACTTCTAGCTTATGCTTTGACCTGTACAAAGAAATTGGAGCCCCAAAAAAATAACGACCTGAATCATACTTGACTGTGACCCCTTCCAGGACGACCTTCAATGGCTTGACTTTCCGCAACCTCCAATTCCGCCTGACTCGGCCAGCTGGGCAAATACCGAAACAGGATCGGTGCCACTCCAGCCAGGACGGCAGCGACCCCCGTGAAGCAAGCCGTAGCCGTGAACCCTTTGGAGTACTGAGGCGCATCGGCGCTGGGCCACAATCGACTCCCATAGACCGCAGAAAGATTGCCCACGGCCGACGCGAACGCAATGGCGACGGCACGCTTCTCAGCCGGCAGCGAGATGACCTCGGACGCCCAGGTCAAGATCAAAGGCAGGGTAAAGTACAGGCCGGAAATGAAGAAGGCGAGGAAGACGTAGCGGACCACGTCGACGTGGACCTGGAAACAAATTATGGCGCTGACGAACGACAAGGTGAACCCGGCCGTCAACGTCCACCGCCTGTCCCCAGTCCGGTCGGCGACCTGGGGAACGACGAGCAAAAACACCGTGGCGACGGCCCAGACGGGGACCGTCATCCACTGGACCGCGACGCCCGAGTAGCCCATGCTCTTGAGCAGCGTCGGCACAAAGTAGTTGATGGTCGCCGCGCCGTTGTCAAACATGTACAGGATCGCAAAAACGTAGGTCCTCAGGTCGAACAGCGCAGCGCGCACGGCCTGCAGCGGCGACAGTTTCGTGCTCACCGCTCTCGTGGTCGTGTTGCGATCGTGGATGAGACGGACGACGCCCAGCTCCCGCTGTTCGGCTGTCAACCGTTTGGAATTTTCCGGGTAGTCGAGCAGGACGAAACCGGCCACCAGACCGGTAAATGTGGTGCCGACACCCTCGATGAGGAACAACCATCGCCATCCTTCCATCCCCCGAGCGCCTTCTAGACCCGAAATGACGGCTCCAGAGATGAGACCACTCGCCGCACCGGCAACGCACAAAGCCGTGAAGAAAAGAGAGAATCTCTTGCCTAGACACATTGTCATTCAGTTAAGCCCTGCGACTTCACAGTCGAGACCGTTTCGCATTGAGCTTGGATGGGAAAGGGAATGGAGAAAAGCTTTGATCAAAGACATACCGATCTCGGACTTCTTGTACCACGCTGTTTTGTGCAAGTGTCAGTTTCCAGCAGAGCTCGGGTCAAAAAATAGAAGAGGTTTGGGGTACAGTATCTTACCAGACATGAGAAACATGACACCGGGTAGAAAACCGGCCTCGATGGCACCCAGGAAGAACCGACATGCCAGAATGCCAGAGTAATTCTTCACCTGACTCATGCAGGCGCACACCATCCCCCACAGCGACATGATGATGGCCAGGTACCACGACGGTCTGACTCTAGCGAGCAGAAGGTTGGAAGGGATCTCGAAAATCAGGTAAGCAATAAAAAAGATTGAGATGAGCATCGAGTAGTCTGCAGATGATTGAACCGTGAGCAGTCATTAAGGTAAGCATTTGGGGATGCGTACGCACCCGAATCGTCGATGTTGATGTCCTCACTCATTCCAGCAGCGTTGGCATTGCCCTGTGTTTTGCCAATGTCGAGCGTCAGTTTTGTCTTTTTTATTCCGTGATAGCAGGATCGAGTAAATGGGTAGTACAAGCGTGAAGAAGGAGAGTGTGTGAGATAGAGAGATACTCACAATGTTGTTCCGGTCCAAATAACACAAAATGCACATCCACCACAGCATGGGTACCATGAACAAGTCCACCTTGCGGACGAGTTTCTTTTCGGCATCCGTGTCGGGAATGTAATTTTGCAATGCCAGATCCAAAGCATTCTCCTGGCTCTCATAGCTCTTGGTGGTGGTCATGTCTTGCAACATGGTCTGACCTTGCTTGAGGTCCACCACGGCCTCTTGAGTGATGGACATTATGAATGTAAAGTCGTAGCTTGGTGTGGTTTTCCCTTTTCTTTTCTTGGCCTTTGTTGTTTTGTACTGGGGAACCTATGTGATGCGGGGGTAGAGCAATTTGATAGAGGTCGAAATGTCAGGACAGTGTATGTACATGGCCGACAAGGCGCGCGCGTGAGAGTGCTGTTGGAATCTCTGATACTCTTTATAGTCAAACGTTCTCGCATGTCCGTCCCCTCCCCCCTCCGTTTCCCGTCTCGCAGCAACCTTATCAGTTGGTCATGCTTGAATCTGTCAAGGAGGGTCCTTGGTGTGTGTGTGTCGCGGGGAAAGATGCAAGGCCAAAAAGGTTGGCGTCGGCAAGGGGCGTTGTGTAGGAACGTGCCGGACGCACGCAACCAGAAGACCCTTGTCAAGGTTGGCTTCCTAGGCATGAGCCGAGCATGGCGAAGAGAGATAAGGTGTATAGCGTATATTCACCTTCCTAGGTAAGAGCTCTTGAATGGGTACGGGGACTGGAGCAATCAATCAACGCCTCCCGCCCTCCATCCCAAGAATCCAAGATATCAATTGTGGAGAACTTCTGCCGCTTTTCCTTGGGGTATTATGTTGATCTGGATTACTACGTACGAGGCCGAAGAGCGGCCATGTTCAAGGCCATGGTGGAGTTTGGTGTTGTATCTGGTACTTGATACAATATGTTGAACAAATATGTACCTGGGATACAATTGCTACGAAGTTACTGTGGTGTAGACATGTTCATTTCATTTATGATCTAGAGACACACCCACTACATCTAAGTGGTTTTGACTTCATTTTCCAGTAACTCCTCCTCCGTTCTAGGTCTCTTGATCAATGTGTCTGCTTTTTCTGTGGCAGTTAGAGGTGCAAACGGTTTTCTGACCAAGCCCGCATAAAACCAATTCGCCAAAGTTGTCACATCATACACAGGCAAGCCCGTCACTCTTTGTATAGCGTCGGCGAACGGAGGGAACTGAGTGCATTCCAACAGAATAGCTCCTATGTCGCTGTGATCCGATACAAGGTCCATTGCAACTTTGATCAGTTCTTCTGTCAGAGCATCGACGTTATATGGAAGACCGTCACGCAGACATCCCTTCATTCTGCCTTCTGGTGGTGGACCCGAAATATAAAGACCAGAAATGTCGGTGATACCAACCGCAGCCAAATGCCTATGATTGAGTCTCAGGCGATCGAACGTGAGAATTCCAATTCCCTGTCTGTAGCGAAGTGTTGTTCGTATAAGTGGTATCTGAAGTAAAGATGATGCCGCCACGGGCACCGAAAGTCGTCTGGACAACCTATTGATGTGAAAGTTGTCAGCCTCAAGAAAACAGTATTGTACATTTGCACAGGACCCCTTACTCTTTCTGAGCCATTGCTAGAAAACCACAACTCGTAATGAGCCCAACTGCTCCTCTGTCTATCAATTCCTGGCCAGCAGCCACAAAATTGTCCAGTACCTCCGGTGAGTATTCTCTTTCCGAGACCATGCGAACAAGAAGTGCTCCTTTGGTTCTTGCTTCGATTACCGGAAAGTCGAACGTTCGCATATTATTGGGATCTCCAGGTAGTCGACAGATGTTCATCTCAGATGAGATGACTCCCAAGGGAGGACGGGGGTCTTCGTATTCCACCGCTATTGAGCCCATCTTGTCGATACCGTAGCCAATTTACAACATGAAGAGTTGTTACACAGACGAGCTTTTCAATGAATTTTGCTCGAACGTATGCCTAGCTCCCAGATCGACATGCGATTACCCAAGTGCTTTACCCGAGTATTCTTGATGGGGCTCCACATATCTCTGTGACAAGCCCGATGGAAGTCATTGCTTTGCTCGGCTCAGTCCGGCGTCGTGTTTCAACCATGTGAAGCTGTGGAGATAAGCCACTCCACCTCAAAGGAGAAGAGCACCGAGCATACTGGTTTACGGTAAACTCTTTCAAGGTAGTCTGTATGTTGATACCTCTCACGACTTGATCCTGAACAGTCTACGTGAGGGACACTAGTCGCGTCCTGGATATTGTATCAACCGCTCACCATGGCAGCCCCAAAGAGAAAGGTCATCTCAATCAGCTACCCAGCATGGGCAGGAGAGGAATACATGAAAGATTTCGAGTCAAAGTATGATCTCCATGTAAGTATTGCATCTTGTACATGAGATTTCCTGATCAGGTGCTGATACGAGGGTAACCATAGACAGTTATACCTGGAGATCGACAAACGACGATTGACAGACTCGCAGCCAAAGCGAAATCGGACGGCCCATTTGATGCCATTGTCATCTTGATGGGAATAAAGCTTTATGAACCATTCGATGAAGAGCTTCTCCGCTCTTTGTTGCCTCAATGTAAAATCATGGCATCGGCAAGTGCAGGCTATAACGAATTTGATGTCGACTGGATGTCACGAAACGGGATCATCTTCTGCAACAGTCGCAATGCAGTGAATGAGTCAACGGCAGACCTAGCAATCTTCTTCATGCTAGGAATCATTCGAGATGTCCAGCGTTTGTCGACCAGCATCGCCAATGGTACCTGGAGAGGAAAGTTGCGCCTCGACAATAGCCAGGGAAACCCCCCGGAAGGTATACTGGCACCCACGAGAGATCCAGCAGGAATGAGACTTGGGATTCTAGGAATGGGTTCAATTGGAAAGGTAACGACCCCCCTTTCATGTAATATTTTTCATCTCGTGGTCTCCTGACATTGGAGTCAGCATGTTGCCCGACGAGCCAGGGTGTTCAATATGAAAATCAGCTATTGGCAACGTACGCGACTGTTACCCGATGAAGAAGCGCTCTACGATGCAACATGGTGCTCATCTCTCGATGAACTTCTTTCGACGGCAGACGTCTTGACGCTTCACTGTCCGCTCAACGACAAAACCGAAGGGTTGATTGGCCGTGAGCAATTTGCCAAGATGAAGGACGGTGTCTTCTTGGTCAATACCTCACGAGGTCCTGTCATTCAGGAAGACGCACTCATTGAGGCGCTCGAGAGTGGTAAGGTCGCGCGTGCAGGCCTCGACGTTTTTGACAATGAACCCAAAATCAAGTAAGTTGTTGCCGTTGACAGTACCCGAATGAATCGCTAACAACTTCAAAGCCCATACTTCATCAGGAATGATCGAGTCATGATTCAACCACACATGGGTGGCATTTCGGATATTGCCTGGCAGCGAGCGTACCGAGAAGCTTTGGAAAATGTTAGATCGTTCTTGGAAACAGGCAAAGCCATCTCGCCTGTAAACATGGCTGAAGTCCAACAACATCGGCAAGCCAACGGGACCTTGACAAATGGTACCCACTCATAGCTAGCAAGAATGCTTAGTCTTGGTGTAGTATGTTGGCGTCTGATTGAATCGCTCTATTTGTTAATTATTGTAAAACAAAGCTCGTTGTGTTCGCGATGGTGATGACATGGAGTCGGCAGTTTCCGTGCTGGAGATCTCAGGGGAGAACTCCTCGGTTTCCTCCGAGATTGGTCCCCATGCCTGTGAAGGGGGAAGTCCGAAGGTCGAAAGTCCTTCGACAGTGTCATTTGGTGTACAACTCCGTCCATTTCTCCACGGGACTTTCCGGTAACAGACGAGGGGAGCGAGAGCACCTGAGAGTCTGCTGGAAACATGTGATCTGATCGAAGTTGAGCGCTTCATCCCACTAGTTCCAGATACTGGTCGTGATTACGCTTATGAGGCCAAGAACCACCCCTTGACAAGCCTTCCAGAAGTCGCTCCTTCAGTAGGGAACTTGAGCCTCGCAATGTACGGTATGGCGAACCAGAATGGCAACCGCAGCCATGTCGGCATCGTGGGGAGTGGCATCATTGGCCTGACGACCGCCTTGATCCTGTCACAAGCAGGCTACCGAGTCACCATTGTTGCACGAGAGCTTCCCGGGGACGACTCAACGAAATGGGCGAGTCCATGGTTTGTGACGATGCAGGAGGCTTTTGGAAACGATGACTGACGCAGCTTGGTAGGGCGGGAGCTGTGATATTGCCTGTTGCTACTGATGACGACCGTGACAAGAAAATGCAACTTGCATCATTCCGATTCTACTGGGCATTGGCACATCAAGACCCAACCAGTGGAACCCAGGTAAGTCGACTTGAGAATATTTTACATAGTTAGCCTTTCTTGCAGCTGACAGTAATCCAAAGACTGTCAAAGTCAGCGAGTACTGGGATGATCCCAACCACAAAAGCACCGGCGCTTGGTATGAAAAGGTAATCCCAGGTTGTCGGCCCCTGACGCAGGATGAATTGCCGCCGGGGACTTTCTCAGGAAATAGATTCACTGCTTTGGCTGTCAATCCAGACGTCTACCTTGTTTGGATCAAGGAAAAGCTAGAGGCAGAGTATGCTGTGGCATTCATTCGTGCTGGGGTTGCTTCTCTCGACCAGGCACGAGATATGATCCGATGTGAAGTCGTGGTCAATGCATCAGGCCTTGGAGCTGAGCAATTAGCCTCTGACCCTCAAGTCGTGGGAGTCCGTGGCCAAACCATGCTCGTAGAACCACCTGTGGATATCAGTAGTCCATCCGGTTTGATGGACAAGGAAGTCAAAATCCGCCGTGGTAGAGAGTACACATATGTTCTGCCACGGTTACTGTCTGGCGGTGTCATTATAGGCGGCATTTCCGACGAAGGAAACTTGAACACCGAGGTCAGTCCACCATTGAGGGAAGATATCATTCGCCGCGTCAACATCATGACAAATGGTATGTTTAAAGATGTGAAGATCAAGCGAGATATCGTCGGCATTCGGCCAGATAGAAAAGGGGGCTATCGCTTGGAAAGGACAGGCAAAGTTGTACACGCGTATGGATTTGGAGGGGCCGGGTTCCGATACAGCGTAGGTGCAGCACAAGTCGTAAAAGCTTACATCGACCAGCTGTTGGCCGACCAGGCGCTGTCATCGTTTTCAAAGTTATAGGAGAGCTGAAAGTGGCTCATGTTGAGGGAAAAGCTCTGGACCAAGCGATCATAGCGGAGGAAGTCATAAAATGAACATGTGAAGCTTGTGTTGATACTTGTTGCATTGTCTCACGAACGAGAAAGAGATGTAGCCTTGCAAGAGATCTGTCCTATGATGCTTCGAATATTATGTCTCTTTTATTGGCTGATCATGCGCGTGATGAGATGTTCGGTGGATGCACACATCCCCAAAGAGCCTATGTCGGAGAGATATTGAGGTATACGAGGGTTTTGCCCAGTAGAAATAACCGGAAGGAGTGTTTCAGGCGTTTCTTTTCCGTCATGAGTTGCCAGCATAGATTGTGTAGCTTCGGACAACGCTTTGAATGTGTCTCTGAATGGCTGTGCTGCAGACCACCTTTCGGTCATGATTACGAGTGAGACAGTACAAGCAGTACAAATCGCAGCGACTGTGTCTCTCCGATATGCCAACCGACAACCTTCACTGACCCAGAGACAGTATAAAAAGGTCAAACCTCCAAGGAAAAGGACGTGTAAAGCACCTGTGGTGTAGCCGACGGTAACGCCGAAATATAGTTCTTGATACATCTGACAAAGAGTGGAAGCTGACCTAGCACATTCCAGATATATCGGAGTCATGTCATCAGAAGGTTGAAAATTGTTCCTAGCGTGTGAGACAAGTTGTTGCCGATGGATCAAGATGATTGTGTGATGATACGTCAAGCTGAACCACTGCTTCGATCCAAATGCGAAATTTCCCGTCTGTGGGAGAGGACATTGCGCGTACCAGGAGTTTAATCTGTCCTTGAGATCTTCCGCGACCACATTTTCTGGAGATTGTGGGGGGTCCCCATGCGTCGGGTAAATGACCGTCTGAATGGACACCCAGATACGTCGTAGCCGAATATTATGCAGGCCCGCAGATATAGTTGTAGGATGCTCCGTATGAGATGTTCGAGGGGTGGCTAGAAGGCCAGTTGGAGTGATGTCTTCGTCGTTGACGTCCTCCGGGAGCTTTGTTGCGAATCAGAAAATGAAAATCTATCAAAGTTCTTCATACCTCTACATCAATATCATCTTCAGCAATTCCAAATGGTCGACCTGTCGATACTGCGGCAATACGATCGAGATTGTAAGCTACCCAGAACACTCGACGTTGGATCTGGGTTGCGAGGACGTCCCTTCCACTGGCAGCCCAGGGTATTTTGCGATGGAGCCCAAGTTCCGTGCACTGTCTAAGGGCAAGGCCAGACAAGGTCCTAGTCAATTGTAAGAGGGTAAGTTCGAAGGATACTTGGTAAGACATCAGACCATATTGACACGCCGCTCGACGAGCGCATCGAGTACATGGCACAGCAGAGTATTGCTTGGATAGACTCCAGACCTTCTAAGCCGACCACTTTCTCAAAGTAAAGCTCTCCCGTGGCATATAGGCTCTGCATTGTAGTCATCAGCAATGTTCCCGAGGAAAATGAAAGGAAGCGTGGTACTTCTGCTGAACTCGGGCTCAGGGCGGGAGACACCAAAGCACCAACGGCATAAACCTGTGGAGACTCAGTAAATAAATCCGTAACGCTGCAGCATCAGTGAATACCATATAGACAAAGTACGCATGTGTAGTGTCTGGTGAAGTGTTACTTGCACTGGCTCCATGCACACTACTTTCCCAAAAGTCGAATGTCGGTCGATGGAGGAAAGGGTACTGAGGATGCACATGGGCAAAATAAGCGTCGGCGAGCAAACCACCAAAGATTTGATCAGGAAGAGGTGCCGGTATAGGTCTTGGGAGATTACGCCATGCTTCGTTGCGTATATTGGAGAGAGTCATACCCGGACCTTGAAGGCGGACGCTTCGGAGGACCGAACTGATGGCTGTAGTAAAGGCCAGTACTGAACTTGGTCCGTAGTAACGCAATTCGCCCGTAGCCGAACTCATCGCAAGAGCTTCGATGGCGTTATCAGTAAGTTCCCCTGACACCATCGATTCGCGTCGCCTATTTGCCACACGGTTTGGGTCTTCAGAGGAGAGGAACGGGTTGGCCGCAGAGCTGTTATTGACATTAGTTCATGGTGGCTCGGGAACGATGCATTAAGATTGTACATTGGACGGCCATCGTCCTGCCCATTACCGTCATTGTCGATTGGTGATGTTTCTAGGACAGTGAGAGTTGCATTGTCGGGGCCGTCGAAATGAGATTCGAGATGGTCGTTGGCAACATCCACGTGTGAGTCTCGCAACAACTGTTCCAGGTGTGCAATCCTCGACTCTAGCAGCTCTATGTAGTTTGGTGGTAGCTGCCTCTTCGACGAAGGGTCCTCGATCGTGCAATCTGAACTTCCTTGAGCGACATCAACGAAGAGATGGCTTTATGGGTCTTACCTCTCCCGGCTTTGACACAGTTGCCGCAAGCCGGTTGCGCACCATCGCACTGACATTCAAATTAATAAGAACTTCGGTGTGGCGTCAACCTGGGCAGAAGTTGATCACCTTCTGTTTCTTTTGCTTGCATGCATTGCAGGCTATCCTCGCCCTTTTGGCCGGCCGAGCTGGAGTGGACGAGGGACTCATCATGCGCTTAGTCGTTCTGCTAGAAGTGAGCTGCATTGGCCGCGCATAGCAAAACGGAAACCAAATTCCAGATGATGGAAGGCCGTGAGTTCGGGTCACACGAAGTCACACGAATGATGTGGAGTGGCGATGGAGTCGAAGAGATGGAAAGGTCAGGTTTGATGGACTGCACTGCGGGGGACTCTTCACAATTACCAGCCTCTATTACTCGAGGACGAAAAGCCTAATCGCCACTTACGGTTAAAGCCTAGAGGGTGAGCGAAGGCCGCTTTGTAGATGGGTCACCATTTATGCCACCCCGGCACTGCATTTCGACTCACGGACAAACCCTCATATCTTCAGATACCTTCAGATAGAACGTTCACTTACCCGACTCATCCATTCGACCCGAACCTGTGCAGTGTCATTGCCAAATCCCCCCCAGGCATCATGAATCTTACATTGTCGGGCCAGCTGCATAATCAGATCATAGTGATTCTGAGTCTGACCGTGTTAGATGCGCGGCCTACATCACGAGATTAGCAGGCGAATATCAAGATATGTGAGGATTACTTTTGGCTGGAGTCGATGTCCTTGAGGCTGTCATCCAAAATTGGCTGTCTCAAGCAGACACAGCGTTTGAGTCGAGAATAAAACCCCAGATACTTGCTCCTAAAAGAACGGTTGACGATGAATAGATCATGCTCTTTGTGGCCACTTACATTTCTCCCAGCCTGTTAAGATGCAGACTTAGGGCTGGAGCCAACCTCAGCTTAGGTTGACATTTGGAGTCCTTCGTCCCTCCTGTAGTGATAAATTTTCTAGCACCCTTTGCTATCCAACGCACCATCGTGCCTTAGGTCTCAATGCAGCAGGCCGACCCTTTATGTTGTCTAGCGTCCCTCCTGCAGGGCACTCGCTCATGTCATCTCTCGCGACGAACACAAAGGCTTCATATCGGCAGTAGAGAATTCCATCTTTGGCCTTCTCCTTTCCAATTTTCTCCTCCGCCTCATCCGAAATCTCCACCAACGCGCCCCAGTATCGGTTCTGAAACTGGATGGGATCTTTGAGGAGAATCCCGACGCGCGCGTTGGAACGAGTGATGAGAGAAGGAAGGCTACTGCCTCTGTCAGGCAGAGTGACGTAGTAACGGTGATGCTCGGTGGCGAGGACAAGTGCGTTGGTGACTGATTCCGTTTCTCCTAATCCACTTTGCCTTCCCTCCTCGTTCTGTTGCTGCTCTGCAATTAGCAGCCCCTCGCAATCCACCACCAAACCGTCTTCAGTCGGTACGGCTACTCCTGGTTGAGCAGGCAGCCCGGCCGCACCGCCACCACCCAGGAAACTCATCGGTATCCATCCCTCGCCCCTACGTCGTCGTCGCTGCCGCGGACGATTGGCGAACAAAATACTATCTGGCACTGTGTCAAGGGACATCAGCAGGCGCGCAATCCTTTCTCGGTCGTCATGTAAGGTCACAATGTCGGTCACATCACGGTCAAGAATGCCAGCGAGGCAAATGGCCTCGTCACTGGCGCGGGAGGTGGTTCGGAAGATCAGCGAATTGGCCATGTAGCGGAAGCGCAGCGCCGTCTCGGTAGGGGCGACGACGGTGAACACAGACATGGGGTCTACAAGCACGGTGGCGTTGAAGTATAGTAGTGTTGAGATGTCGCCGATCTCATCTGGTGAGGAAGAGGAAGTCCAGCGGGATTTGATGTCCCGGGTTGTCAGGGCCCTGGAAGCAAACTGGTAATAATGCTGTCGGGTGAGTGCAGCTTCCTGGTAGGTCCACAGCCGTGTCAGCCAAGTGGACGTGGCGAGGGCGAACAGTTGCTCCAATGGGGGAGAATCTATACTGTAGCGTGCAACGGAGGCATCTAATATGAGCAGTTTGGCGGACGACGAATATACTTTCCGCATGGAAATAATGGCAGTCTTCCGGAGATTGGCCTCAAGAGGGACGCACAAGGTGTCGATCCAGAAAGGGATCAGAGCTGGAGGCTCGTTCTCGTGGTGGTAGAGAGCATTGGCGCGACGCTGAATCGTAAGTATCTGGCAGGCTGGAAGCGCATTGCGGTGGGGATTCCCAAGGCCACTTTCGAAACAATATTAGAGCAGTGATGAGGATTGAGGGAAAAGCGACGTACTCTGACCAGACATGTGATATAGCCACGTAGGGCTTCGCGTCTCCGTGTACGGAGCGAGATGAAGCAACACAAACCTTCAGAGGTTGCTTGTTGTTTCCATCCACAGCCGTCAGAATCGGAATCTCGGCCGCTCTCACCACACTGGAGACATCTACGTCGACGAAGGGACATTGTTCCTCCGTACAGGCAGCGACGTGCCTTGTCCTATAAGCCCGCTCATCGATCTGTGCGAGACGACACTGTTCCTCGTGGCAACCCTCATGCCTGCTGGGCCTCTCCACGAAGCCCAGGTAATATCGCGTTGTCTCGCGATACCCCTGAGCGGTCAGTCTTGCGACCTCATTCGCACACCAGCCAGCATCCAGCATACGCTGATCGACCAGCTTGCTCCGTCCACCAAACATCCGATCGTCTGCCTGCAGATGAGAAAAACGGTTCATGAGCTGGATTGCGAAGTGATCTAGATATTCTACCAGTGTGATCACGGAGAGGTATACAAGCGAAGCCGGCGTTTCTTTCCAAGACGCCCGAGGGGAGAACGGATGCATGGCAAGACTGGAGATATGAGTCGTTACTTTGTCAACGGTTGCTATGGCATCGTTGATATCCTGCATGCGAGTGGCCTGCTCGTTCGATTCAAGGCCTTCGAGAGCCAGGGCGACCTCTTTCAGCATTCTCGGCAGCGAGGCTGTAGTGAGGAATTTCTTGCCGAATTCTTCCCTGCAGATGTTGTCTAATGCAAGCGAAACATTTCCGGTACGCAGAATCTCGGCGGTAAATCCCACGAAACACCATGACTGAAAAAATGAGAGCAAGTCGGTCGAGACATGGCTGTTATCTTCCGTCGTGCAGCTATAGAGTCGTGTAAGATCCCATCCTTTCCGCGCTGGGAATGTATGGAAGTCGCCAAAGTCATAAGCCAGATCTGGGTTGTGAATGTAAGGAATCTGAAGCGGCTGGTGAAATGCCACTTGCGGAAGCGGGATGTGATCCATTTCCGTATGATGTGTGTTTTTTTGCTGCCGGAATGGAAGAACGAAAAGGGATTGAAGCATGGAGATACAAACTCATGTTCATAGTTAAGCGAGCAGGTGAAATGGCCCCCATTTGATGACCCGGCTTACGTTTCACCTTGCCTGTGCATGTGCTCAGGAATCTGACCGTCTTGCAGATCTTTCTGTGTCGCCGTGTTCTATTCATATATAGAAGAATAAGACCAGTAGAGCTGGAGTGAAAGGTAACACCGGAAGACCATACTTAGCCCATATGCTCATAGCATCTTCATATTGTCTCTTTGTTCCATTTTCCAGAAACCTGTGGACAGGTGTACTATTAATCGCCGGCTTATCCAACTCCGAACCTCGTTGTTTTGGTCGATCAAAGCAGTCCTTCCGACCTTTCGTCATCGAGCGTAAAAGTAGTATAGCTAAGTGCAGAGGGAAACTTACCGGGGAAGATACGCTTAGGAAGAAGGACAATCAGGAAGAGCCTAAACTAGAAAGACACAGGGTGTGAACGCTGCAGTGACGGCTGCAAATCACGTTTCAACAAGATTTCGTAAGGTTGAGGGGCGTGTCCCAGCTTGCCACTTGCCTTAGCAGTTTAAGTGACTTTCGCGGCTTTCGTTAAGCTCTCCACGCCTAACAATGCCTAGAGCCAGAAGAAATTTAGCTGGTGAAATTAGGTAGGAGGCCCTCAGTTCTAGGCATAAAAGCTGTCATATTCTACACATCAATTGATGATTTCCCTGTGTTCCACTAAGATGACGTGCTTCCTCGAGCTTCCAAAATCTGCTTCACTGACTCTACAAAAATGTCAACAAGATCATCAATTTCCTGCTCACGGATAATATAGGGCGGTGCGAACAGAACCGCGTCCACGGCGGATGAGCACAAATACACCGCAGCTCCGTTCGTCAAGCATGCCGTCGCAACGTCAGCCGCAAGGGGCGAGGTTGAAGTCGTCTTGAACTCCACTGCCCTGAACAATCCAAGGCCTCTCACTTCCTTGAGCATAGGAACGGTCGCCTTAAGCCGCTCTTCCAGGCGATTTCCCATCACTCGGACGTTGGTCAAAAGATCTTTATCTCGAATGGTGCGCTGAGTCGCGAGTGCTGCAGCGCATGCTATCGAATGGTCTTGATAAGTATGGCCACTCAAAAATGGTGTTTTGCTTTGTCCCTGCCGAAACTCTTCCTCGATCTTTCCGCTTACCAAAACCCCAGAAATGGGTTGATACCCTGCGCCTAAGCCTTTCCCGATGGTTTCAATATCAGGAGCCACTCCTCCAAGGGACTGCCATGCATGCAAGGTGCCGATCCTGCCCATCCCACACATGACTTCGTCAAAGATGAGTAGCGAGCCATGCTTGTCGCACAATTGTCTCAGCCGCCTGAGATAGCCTGCCGCCGCAGGGACGCCACCCAAGGTCGCGCCTGACACTGGTTCTACCATGACGGCTGCCACAGTATCAGACCCAAGCTTCTCAAACATGGCTTCATATTCTGCAACCAGGCGCTCCACGTAAGCTTCTTCAACCTCGCCCTCCCGACCGTCTCTGGAGAAGAAGCAAGGCGAAACATGATGGAACGCAGATGACAGCAAAGGGACAAATGCTTCGCGTCGTTGAGGATGATGCCCAGCCGACAAGGCTCCTATGCTATTGCCATGATACGAGAACTCCCGGGAGATATAATTAACACGCTGCTTGTCGCCACGAGCGAAGTGGTATTGCCGGGCAATTTTAATGGCTGACTCGACCGCTTCGGACCCTGTTTAAGGACTCGTCAGCAGCTGATAGTCACCAGCCCTTAGAGCCTCAAGCTCGCATTACCTGAGCTTAAAACAAGGAGTTTGGTAAAAGCTCCGTTGCTAAGAGAACACAATAAATGTGCCAGCTCCTCAGCTGGCGAACTCGTGAAAAAGGAGCTGTGGGCATACGCCATGGTTCTAGCCTGCTGTATAATCGCCTCAATTATGACCGGATGTCCATGACCCAAGCATGAGACCGCTGCACCGCTACTACCATCTAACGTCTTTCTTCCATCGGGTCCAATGATGTAGACACCCTTCCCGCCAACAGCAGTATCATAGTTCTTGGTGAAAGACCGGTGAAATATAGCCGTAGGACCTGTGGACGCGACCATACCTGTCGCAGTGAGAAACAAATGTTTGTTTGGGGATGTGAACTTGGTGAAGACAACCTTCTTAACAAGACGTGTCGACAACGATCAGTATAACAGGGCAACTTCTCTGCTATGTGAGGGCATTTATCCAACTAATTTTCATATCACAAAGTCTCCAAGCATCTCGTTTGGCTTGGATGGCAGATCATGCATGTGTATCCCTGACGCTGGAGTCGGCAGTATGAGAACGAGAAGGCTGCGGAATGGGCCGACAGTGTCTGCAATGGCCGGTTTGTGCCGTTGGTTTGAAGGCTCCATTGTCGGATCAAACCACAAACACATCACGGTCACGAAGTCACAAGGTCGACTGTAACCATCCGCCTACCATTCATGGCTATGCATTCAGTCTCTGCAACGGCTACGCGGCCGACTTTTTGCGAAATATAAGATCTACCCTCAGCCAACGTGACCCCACTGCTTCGTCACTGGAGGGATTGAACAGAACATATCGGCACTATCCCGGATCAGCACTGAAATGGACTTGACAGAACAGGCTCCGGCGGAGACCAGAGCTGGGAGCCCCATCGAGACACTTCAAGGTGCTAACACCAATGATTTTTGGCCCGGTCTTTCGCCAGTGGAAGTGGAACCTGGAGAAGGCCGTTTTCGAGACTCGATTCGATGAATCTTCTAGATCATAGGTGATTTGTTGCATCAATCGCCTCATGTCCGGCGAGATAAATGAGATGAAGGAAGGTGGGAATCGACAGGTATTTTCCTGTCCTGGTCTAAACCACGTGGATCGTCAGAACTATACCGAATTGTTTAACTTCAGCTTTTTGATCTGGCGTCTACTTTGGACGGACGAGCTAGATATGACTACATCCAAAGGATTACCAACAGGGCCTGGACTTGATGAAATGTGGAGAAATGGCGACGACAACACATCGGCCCAAATCTCTGGGTATCATTCATTGTCCGAATTGCATCTTTGATTCCAGATACAGCACCCGGTTTCAAGTCTGATGAACGCCAGCCTTTTTCATTTTCAGCCTTATTCGTGAGACGAGTAGACTGGTCTAGACTGCGAGCACGACTTGAATCATTCTTCATCATTGGTGTGCCGAGAATGCGCCTCACACTAAGCGGCACCAGTAGGAAGAAGTCGAAATGGTTGTGCAACCCAAATCGTCAGGCAACCATGGTACCATCGACAGCCTCACTCGATCATGGACAACTGATTTGCACGCCACGTTTTTAACCTCGGACTTCATGAATTCAACATTATCAACTTGAAGGTGGGACTGCTTCAATCCGAAGTCTTGTGCCACAGCATTAGGATACCAAATGCTCCTGGTTAATCATCAGTTCCTTCAGAGTCATGGATGATTCCAGAGATCCAGTGCCTTCAGCCATGGCCGCAAGGACGTTTAGCACTTCGACAGACATAACCTTGGTGGCATCGAATCCAACTGTGGTAAGTAATCCCGGAACTCCACAGTCAGAGGGAGAAGTCTCTGATATGATGGTAAATAGAAGCCGCCAGTACCACAATTAACGGATTACGTTTTACCCCTTGTCATCCGAGACTTGTTCGACAACCCTTCCAACTTCCAAGCAGACTCGAATCTTGACATCTTGCAGGTCTCGAAACACAAACAAGGTATGCAATATCGATATATTTACTCTATATATCATCCTCTAACTCAACAGGTTGGCATGCCGGAGTCTCCGACAAGAAATACAGAGAGATCTGGACAGTAAGAAAGTTCAAAACAACCCCCTGATTTTCTAGTTTTCATGTGCTTTCAGGACACAAAAGAGAACTGTGATGCTTCAGTCCCATCTCTGTTCTTGGTGTAAGTCACTCGTACTCTTTCTAGCCTGATGTCTGCGATATCGAATTGTTCTGGGATAACGAGAAATGCAAAAAGGATGATTGGACTTGAAAGGAATGACCAAGCCATTTGGAAGTGCCGCTCCAATCTATCCAGTTCGGTTTTCCATCACCTCGCTGCCGACCGCCGATTCAATCCGGAGACGCTGCAAGACATTCTTGGAAGACCAGACTACTGGTCTGCCACCAAGAGTGTCCGTGGCAGTAGCAACAACACAGGTATGAATGATTCCAGTAGAGCAGCGCCCAGATTCATGTCATGTTGCTAATGTTTTACAACAGAGGTAGGGTGTCAGTTCGCCCGTTGGCGGATGACATCCAGATGGGACAACAGCAAAGGTCCATTGGCACCGTTCACCATTGCATTCCAGCACGACCCGCAGGCAAGCTTCACGCTCTATGTCGTTGCAGGAGACCCGATCGACAGCTGTATGACCTCGATCAAGCAGTCGATGGGTTTCGTCGAGGGCCTGGGTCCTTGCAAAGCAACCATCACGGCGCAGGCGAGAACGGCACAAAATCCTTTTTTGTTACTTGCCAAAAGTATGCAGACTTCATTTGAGCAGGCGAAATATTATGTGGATATTGTCAAAGATGGTTTGATGGGTCAGGTACGTTTGTAAGAGACTGAGACACGAGACGAAAGACGCATGTTCTTGTTAGTGACTGACGGTGAATTTCCGCATGGGTAGATTGGAAAAGTCAATGATTACAGCGCAGTGAGGCACAAGTACACCGACGATCCCAAGGATCTACAACGATTTTGGAAGGACGAGGGTAGAAAGCGACTCGAAGTCATCACCGAACAGCTCCACTCGGTCTCTCAGACCATCGACTCCGGCATGGCCAACACCGACATGTCGATTCGACTCACCGAGGTTGTCAAGGCGGCGTTCGAGGCAAAATACACCTCCACCGCCCTCCACATGTCGGAGGGTGACAGGGATGTCGGCGACCTTATCGAATACCTCTCCAACTCCTGGCACTGTGAGATGAATTGGCTCAAGACTTACAAGGCTCGAAAGGATACTACCATGAATTTTGTGAGTCATACAAAGCACAAACATATGATATGATATCATATTGGGCCCTGGAAGTCACCTTCCCCTTATTATTATCCTCCTTTTATTATAATACCAGGCTAACCATGGCCAATACTCTCAGGTCTTCAACGCCGTCACCCAACAAGATAGTGCCATCAGCATCGACATGAACCGAAAAATGTCCAGGGACAGTAGTTCAATGAACACAATTACCATCCTGACCATGGTGTTTCTCCCGGCGACTTTTGTCTCGGTGTGTAATTCTGGCCGTAGTTATACCAATTGCAAGCCCCTTTTCTCTTTTTCGAGCAACCTTTCTCCAGCTAACGACGTTATACGTATATCTCCATACACAGGCCGTGTTTGACAGTGGCATCTTGGCCCCCGAGGTTCAACAAGACTACTTCAAATCCCCCCTGTTCTGGCCGTACATTGCCACAGTGGTGCCGTTCACGGTGGGTGTGCTTGTGCTTTGGCTGAATCGAAAGACATTGGAGAAGGTTGCGGACAAAATATCTCAAGGTTTCACAAACCTTTCGACTAGGCTCTGTAAAGCCAGGGTGAAGAGAGCAAGCAAGGAGAAAACGGAGAAACATATGGTGTGAATTTTGAATCGCTGCATTAGATTAAGTCTCCCAAGACAAGTTCGCTGTAATATCAAATAATGTCTATATCCGACGCCTCCCTCCCTCCTTGGGGCAAGATTAATCATTCGTGTGAATGAGGCTCGCAATAGAAACCACGCATTCCATCATACTTCCTCCTTTACGTTTTCTTTCTTCTCTTCGTCTTCCTGTTGTTTCTTCTTCAGGTACAAATTTTTGTACCAAGCCCTTCTCCGAGTCCGGTCCTTCCGCTTCTGCTCTCGGACGATTTCTTGCTCGTACTGCTGCACGCAGGGGGCGAAGAAGATTGTCCCGGCGATGACGCTCTTGAAGGTCACCAACCCCACCACCAACCACAGAAAGACCACGGCCACGGAAAAGATGGTCCCGAGGACCTTGAAGAACAGGCTGGGGATCTCCTTGGCCAGGGTGCACGTCGAGACGGCGAACACGCCGATGGGGAAAGTGAAACCCCACCAGCCCATGTTGAAGGGAAACTTGCTCCGGGTGATGCTGGCCAGGGCGAAGAACAGCCACACGCACCCGTAGCCCCAGATCACCAAGGCACAGACGATGCTGAAGCTGTAGATGACCCGCCCGGCTTCCGGGCCGAAGTTCTGCGTCCTGGGGAACACGTCCGCGCACACCTTGCCCAGCTGCATGAGCCCGAAACTGCCCTGGCCCAGCGGGCCGAGGGGCAAGAAGACCGACACGATGACCTCGCGAGGCGGGAGGCGGTGGATGGTGAGGCGGTGGAAGTACATGACCAGGACGACCATGGCCAGGGGGAACCCGGTGCCCCAGAGGACGTACGAGGTGACGACGGTCCAGACCTGGTGTTGCGGGTCGGGGAGGACCTCGGCGACGATCCCGCCCGAGGCGGCCGCGACGATGGTGGCCACGATGGGCAGGAGCCACGCCGCCGTCATCTTGGACAGCTCGCTCTCGTGGATGTGCATGATGACAAAGGGCAGCCACATGCACGAGGCGACGGAGACGACGACGTCGATCCACCACAGCGTCCAGGCCAAGGTGGCGGCCCAGGCGCCCCACGCCGGCACGCACACAAACACCACCATGTTGACGATGGTGGCGAGGCCCATGGGGAACGTCCCGACGAACAGGGACTGCACGGGGTGCCGGATCATGGCCATGAACAGGCCCGGGAAGAGGGTGTAGCGCAGGATCGAGATGAACAGGAAAACACAAAAGAGGCCGACGTTGAGACAAAAGACGACGACCGACAGCCAGTACAGCCAGTCGCCGTTGTAAGGGAGGTTGTGGAGCAGGATGGACGCGATCCCCGTGCCCATGGTCGCGGCGAACCACGAGGGCGTGAAGTTCAGCACCACCCTCCGCCATCCGTGGCTGTTTTTCGCCGAAAAGCTCGACTCGAGCGAGTCCTTGCCGGTCTGGACGACTCCATCCTGACATTCGTGGTGGAAGGATCTCGAACGCGATATCTGACAGTTTGCATAGGTTCCTGACGGATCCATGATTTAATGGTGTTGGAGAGAATGTGTATCTCTCACTCGACGGGGACGAGTGGTGGTGGTGATGGTGGTGATGATGAGGATGGAGTGTCGTCTGCGCTCTGCTTGGAGGATGGATCTTTGACCAGGTGACGTTCTACTGTATGTTTTGTAGTTTCTCGGAGGTGCGTGGACCAAGCGTCCCAATAAAGTCCGTACGGATAAAGGTTCTGGCCAGTGCACTCGACTCGGTTGGGAAGTCTGCGGGTGGTTGTAGGTTCAAAGGAAAAACGAAGAAAAGGTGAGAAAGGAAGAGACGTATATACTGTACAGTAACAGAGGACGAGATCGTGATCCGTTTTTCATCGAATTGATCTTCTTTTCCTTACTGACCAAAAGAAGATGCAGCCCAGCATCCTGGTACCAACATGCTTATATGTTGCTGAGCAAATACTTTGTAGGCGAAGGACGTGCGTCACCAAAGCGTCGAATGAAAAATGATCTTCAGCCCGCCGCTCTTCCGGAGTCCAGCCGTGGAACCTGGGACGAGGCTGAGAAAAGCGGGTTTTGCCCGACCAATGACAACAAACCTCGTGTCGACGAGGCTGTACGAGACGCAAACTCAATGATGATGTCGATTTGTTCATGTGATCGCGATGTTCACTCCTCACTCTTGGAACATTATGTAGAAGGCTGTCAGACAAGAGAAAGTGGGAAAAGTGGTGGCTTCGGGGTCCTCGATCAACCACCGTCGTACTCCGTAGAATCTTCCAATAACAATCCTTTGGTCTCGTTCGTCAGGGGCCAATTTCGAAAGACGAAAAAAATGGTCCCCGAGACGCCGACAAGGCTGTCGCCGAATTACCCCGCAACCCGTGCTTCCGCTCGACTCTCGCCTCTGGTTACACGGAATGCGTGTCCAAAGGTTCACTGCCCCCTTTCTTAATCTACAAGTGAGTTTGGAGGGTGGGAATGATAATGATACATCCAAGTGTTCTTTCCTGGGGAGACGATAGCAGAAACCCACAAATCATACATACAAAAGTCATCACCGCGAGACTTGTGCCTGCTCCTTCTTCTTTTTGGAGAAAGGTGTCGACGCTGCCTTCGTGTATCCAAACAAATGCCATTGACTGCCTGGAAGAGTTGACAGCCAACGCACAGGGCTGTTTGACTGTTTCAGAAATGGTTGATCTCAGACCCGACATTCGTTAGGTCATCATTATTATTGTCCTTCTTTGCATTTTCTTTGTGTCTCTCTCGGTCCCTTCCCTTCCATCATGTCAAAAACATTCAACCGACTACTACGTGGACCACTGTCGAGGGCTTACTCATCCCCAGTGACGTCGAGTTGCAGTCGGAGAATCTATAGCGCCACCACTGTTCGTACCGCTGCGGCCTCACCGGTCCCATTCCGGCCGCTGACCACAACCACCACCACCAATCGCATCCCGCAGAAGCCACCCACGCGCTGGATCTGGAAAAAGGTCGGCGCCGCCGTGCTCGCAGGTTCGATAGTGGTCGCTGCCGTGTTTGAATGGAAAGACGCACACGCTGAGGCTCACCCTGCAAATCGATACATTCGTCTAAGCGAGGTCGAGCGACACGGTCAAACCTCAGACAGGAAATGGGTTACCAAGGGCAAGCGGGTGTATGACATCACAGAGTGGATTGAAGCCCATCCAGGAGGGCCCGTTATCCTCCAGGCCGTCGGCGGGTGCATCGACAGATACTGGGACATATTCTCCGTGCATAAAAAGCAGGATGTCTATGATATCCTCGAGCAGTACTTCATTGGCGAGGTCGACCCCAGAGACCTGGTGGATGGTAAAGTGCCGGCCGACAAGGTCGAAGACCCGTTTGTGTTAGACCCGAAACGGGACCCGCGCCTGCTGCAACACACACAGCAGCCGTGTAATGCAGAAACACCGTCCCAAAGTTTGGGTTCGTTCATCACACCCAACGGAGTCTTTTTCGTCCGCAACCATTTCTGGGTTCCGAAGATCGACGAGAAAGCGCATGTCTTACACGTCGAGTTGTCCGACGGCACGGCAAAGGCATATTCACTAGCCGACCTCAAGTCAAAGTTCGAACCGTTCAGCATCACAGCCACGCTGCAGTGCACCGGCAACCGTCGAAAACACATGTCGGAAAATGCAAAGCCGGCCAGTGGTCTGCCATGGAATGTTGGAGCTATATCAAACACAATGTGGACCGGCGTCCGCCTGAGAGACGTGCTGGAAGATGCAGGCTACTCTCGCGACGGAGATGTTGATGACAATGTCCGGCACGTCCATCTTGTTGGAGCCGAAGCATACTGTGGCTCTATACCGATATCGAAGGCCGTGGATCCTCATGGTGACGTGATGCTAGCATACGAGATGGGCGGCAAACCCTTGCCGCGCGATCATGGCTATCCATTGAGAGCACTCATCCCAGGTCATACGGCTGCAAGAAGTGTCAAGTGGCTTGAGAGGGTGACTCTTTCTGAAGACGAAAGTCCTTCTCAGTGGCAGCAGAAAGATTATAAGTGTTTTGGCCCAAATAAAGAAGCCAAGGACGTCGATTGGTCAACTGCTCCAGCCATCCAAGAAACCCCGGTCCAAAGCGCGATTACTGAAGTCGGAGTTATCTCAGGAGACAGCCGCAAGGGTCGAGCAGAGTTGAGCAGGTATGGTATGAAGGAGGATGCAATCAGAGTCAAAGGTTATGCATTCAGTGGTGGGGGACGAAGTATCATCAGGGTCGATATAAGTGCTGATGACGGAAAGACTTGGAGCCAGGCTGATCTCCATCAAGATGAGACTAAGGGCCACAGAAGCTGGTCCTGGAAGAAATGGGAATGGGTTGTACCCAAGGCTGAGGCTGGGCGGGTGTTTGTGGTGAAAGCCGTCGATGAGTGCTATAATTCCCAGCCAGAGTCATACGACGCGCAATGGAATTTCCGAGGCAACCTGACCAATGCCTGGCACCGGGCTGAACATTCTGAAGACGATCAGAATGTAGGTGCAAGCCAAGAGCAATCCTGGTTAGGCCGGACCTTGGGGAGGTTGTCCTTGTAAGACTGCAAGCACTTTTGTAGCGAAATAGCGGCGTCGAGCGTACCTAGTTCAAATTTGAATTCGCTTGAATTTTATTCATCCAAAAAACATGGACGCCTGAGTTTGAGCTTGAAGTATCATTTCGACGAGTTTTAGGGCCTTTTCCTCCTCGGTTCTTCGGCACATCAATTGAAGACCTACAGGGCAACCATGAAACGCCTTGGCATCGTCTATGGTAGAATTATCTATCGTCAGTGTTGTTGTGCATGCATAGGTACATAGAACTCACAAGACTGATGCACGCCTTCATCTTCTTTGCCAAGTGAAGCGAATGAATCCTGGCCTGGATCCAATTCCATATCGATATAGCCAACAGGAAATGTTACGGCGGTGAAATCAAGAACGTTCACGATTGCACTGTATCCTATACACCATTAGCATCCAAGAACACGCTCAGGTATCAATGAGCACGAACCAAAATACGTCAAGGTGTTCTCAAAGCATGCTGCGTCAGCGCAGACGGGTAAAATTACCCCGTCGACAGGAAGTTTGCTGATAGTATGTTTCGAGGTCGACTCCCAGTACGCCTGATATTCTGCTTGGTACTTTTCCTGTCCCTCCAGAAGTGCCAAATACTCCGGCAATTGCATCGGTTGTGTAGGTCGACTCTCATACCAATCCTTTAATCGCGGCACAGGAGGTTCTCCGCTTGCCTTGATGTGCTCTCGTGTGGCTTGCGCACCATCAGCCCCAATGATTTTGAAGTAGCTCTCCACCGCTGGCGCATGCACCGGAGGTTTCCAGTCGATAACCTGGTACCCGGCGCTTCTTAGAACATGAATTGTGTTCCTCAACACACGGCGGATTGGTGGTTGGGGTTGTATCTTTTCGTCAAACTCGAGGACAGCAAAGACCGGGCGTCGTGTGCTCAATTCGTAGACCTTGGATTGTCTCCACGGCATATCAAGATAGCAAGGGTCCTTTTGGAGATTAGCGAGACCGAGGGTGAACTTGGCGACTAGTTGAAGCAAGGCAAAATCCCACGAGATAATGGCAATTGTAGAGTTTCGCGCGGGCAAGCTGGTCCGAGCAGCAGCCACGCCATACATTGGCAATCGGCCAGAAGAAACTTTGAGACTGTAAAGGCCATTAAGAACCGCCGGGATACGGGTAGAACCTGCGAATTCGGTTCCCCATCCGATGGGCGACCCCTTGAGGGCAAGGAGAGCACCCTCCCCTACTAACGTGAGCTCCGAGAATGACAAGTTGTTTCGGCACAGAACACCTACCGCCTGCAGCCCCGCCACTTGATAATGTCCGATTGTACGGATTATGCGTGCTACCGTGGATGTTATTTGTTGTTTCCGCCAGCATCATACTCTGAGGAGTATTGGTTTTACAGAATGGGATTGCGCCTAAAGAACGCAAATGACGGACAATCAGGGACTCGGTTCCGGTGGTCTCAGTTGGTCCAAGCCATGAGACATAGCCTGCAGCTGTTTCCCTTCCAGTGATGCGGAAACGATCCATGAAACTTACGGGAAGCCCGTGGAGAGGTCCCTTTAGAGCTCCTGTCTCGCGATAGTACTGGTCCAGTTGCATTGCAGCACTGATGGCGGTATCGAAGAAAGCATCCGTTAGGCAGTTGACAAGCTGATGTGCAATGGCCGCTCGATGACAATAGGCTCGCATCACTTCTTCAGCAGTCCAAATCCCAGCATGGATATGAACAAGCGTGTCCATTGGCGGCGTCTCAGTTATCGTAAGCTCTTCCGGCGAGAGATAGTGACGGGGGATCTCCATAACATTGGGACATTCTGTAGGAGTAGAAATTTGTTCTTTGGGAATACGCCATTGCGACGGTATCGCGCTCAGAACGCTGGCTCTTTTCGCCGCCGCCCGGCTCTCCCAAGAAGCAGGAAGCATGTCCGGGGCACTCGCAATTGGCGAGCACTTGCGCAAAACTCGTGCTGATGATACGGAGTAGTCGCGTTGTATATCCTAAGCAGAGATCCTGGCAACGTTTGATCTGTTCCCAATGCGAGCCATATCACAGTACTCAAATGAACGAATTGATCACTGTCTAGTACTCGTATCACCACAAACCTGGCGACGTTGCCGGAAACAGATCCGATGGAACGTCGTACTGTACGAGGAGCCGGCTCTGAATCAGTCAACAAATAGTACGAGTACAGTACAACCCATTCAAGAACAAGTGGGCGTCAATGCTTTACTAAGGAAATCAAGTGGGCGACGGCTGCGATGACTAACTAGAGTTAGGCAGGGGTGCGTATTTGGGCACAAACCAGAGTAGAAATGATCTCGATCATTCGCATCAGGCCCGACAACAATAGCACATTCCTGATTTTCCAGGCATGACGATAAGTTCATTTCGAACCTCGGATAGAGCACATTGCATTACGACTGATAGAATCTGTCGCAACTCACGCACATCCTCACTCCCAGAGACTCTCCAGACTGACTAGGTATTCCACATGCGCCGTCCGCGCCCCGTCTCCTGAACCACCATCACCGCCGTTCCGAATATGTTCTTCATTGTACCAGATTGTAAAAATCCCAATGGTGGTGACTCCAGCACAGCACCGGGCTCCTCCTCGTCCCCTTCCGAATCACAAAAGCGACAGCGCACCTTGCCTGAAGAAGATGAAGTCGCTGGCTATTACCCGAGGCGCAATCAAAAGGCATGCGACCGTTGTCGACTGAAGAAGGCTCGTTGTTCTGGGGGCAAGATTTGTGAAAAGTGCAAGCGTGACGGGGTGATATGTACCACAAACAGAGAGTCAAAGAGAGATCCTACCACCAAACCACCAAATGCAGAATATGTCCACCTGGTGGAATCGCAGCGCGATGCTTTGTTGAGCGCGTTGCGAACCATTTACGAAAAAGATGCCTCCAAAGACTCGGCGATACTCTCCGACGTATTGAAGGACCTTGGGATTGGAGTGGAAGATCTAAAGAGACTGCCTCGTAAAACAAGCTCTTCAGAGGAACAGGTTGATTTCAACGATATTGACCTCCAACGAAATGCTGCAGAAATCCAAGCGCTGTTGACCGAATGGAACATCCCCATCACACAACCACCAATGTCTACCGAGTTTGCGATATCGACTCCGATTCAATCAACTCAACCGCTACAAATGAATAACGACTGTATGCCACTAGTAATGGATTTCCAAAACTTCGCTCCTGCAGCGTCAACAGGGCCCGCTGTTGGTCAGATGGATGCAATTGCACTTCCAGCTTCAACCAATGAGTTTGATGACTGGCTGGTAACCGATAAATTCGGTGACAATTGGTCATTACCTGGATCTGGTCCTCCCAAGGGGTAAAGACGAATCCACGGTGGGATTTGAAGCCTACATACTCCGTTGTGATGTTGGGATCCCTCCGACATTGACTATTCATCTTAAGCATCGGGAAAGACTGCCCACCATAAATGTTGGTCTACAGTAAGTCCGGAACGTACAAATGGCCTCTCAATGAGCAATGATCACTCTGTCTTTTCAGAGTCCCTCCAAGTCACCATCTACTACAGTCGATCTATTGACGTTGAGATTTGGGACAGCCTGGTACAAGACACCTTTGATTCTTTCCTGGCCAGTTTACCATCTTGAAGTCGAGAAAGCTTGTGACAGTTAGCCTTGACGGTATATACCGAGGCTTAAGAATCAAACTTGGTATTCAAAGGTCCAGAGATATCATGTTGGCCATGGACTGTTTCTTTCATTCGTGACGCCTTGCCGGCTCTCGAGCGTGCAGTATAGGACCGAGGACAACAAGCCGGAAGGGTCTTAGGGACGAAGCATGGGAACGTGCCTCGGCAAGATCTGGCCAATTTATTAAGCATGAGTCAAAGAAGCTCGCGGTCTCTTGAGCCACGAGCAGCCATTTTGGTCTCATGGAGTCGGTGCGGGAGTGTGTTCTGGCCATGACGCCAGGGGAATTTAGAGATTGGGGACACCTAGCGCACGTTCGCCTGATATGAAAAGCGTTCTTTGTCCTTTCATCCCGCCCAAGTAACGCCGTGTATGACAGTTCACAATACTATCTTGGTTCTGCTTCCATCCCCGTTGGGTGCTTCATCGGTGGCATTAACGCTCCACCGTGTATTCCTACGGCGAAGCATATAATTTCAACTTTCCCCGCAGTTCGATATTCAGAAAATAAGTTCAGACGCAGTCAACGAGTACATCAACCTGTCGATTAGCATTTTCGACAGTCCCCTCTTGTTGGTCGATGAAAGACAATAAGATGGGAACCATAGGCCGGTTTGCTTAGATACAGAGCACTCTAGTCGTGACCTCAAGAACTGCGACTTTCACCGTCGTATGGTCAGAGAGTCGCTCCGAGTCGAGAACGAATACCAACCGTCATGTCCTCCTCAAACGCCGCGGGTGGTGCTACTGGTACAGGTACAGGCAACACCGACGAACCCTCCACTATACCCACGAAAGACAGTATGACCCCTATCGATACCGGTTTTGACGTATCCGGCGCACTGGCGGCCCTCAGACACGAGAAGAAGAACCACGACCTGCACAGTCTGCCTCCGGCCTACACCGTCCACCGGCGACCTTTGAACCATGCGCCCGCGACCAACATCCACGCGGGGGCCTCCGTGCCCAAGGTAGTCTACGTGTCTCAGCGCACGCCGCTCATGTCGGCGATCAAGCGCGTCAAGAAGATACTGTCACTCGTCGAGAAGCGGGCGATGCAGTCCGCCGGCGTGACGATGGGGGCCAAGGACCGAAGACACCGGCTCAAGAGCGCCAACGACGTCATTGTCAAAAACAACGAAGAGGTGCTGGTCAAGGCCAGCGGGAGGGCCATGGGCCAGGCGTTGAAGGTTGGCGAGTGGTTTCGGAACAAGGAGCGAGAGTACCTGTGCGACGTCGAGGTGCGGACGGGGAGCGCCAGCGTCGTGGACGACATTGTCCAACTTTCAGCGGACGAGGACGAAGATGACGACGACAACCGTGCCCACGAAGCCGGGAAAGAGGAAGAGCCTAGCACCAAAGACGAAACGACAATGGTCTACGGTGAAACGACGTTGGAGATCATGGGATCCGCCGTCGCGACAAGCTCGGCGGATCGTATCAGATCCAGCGATGATTCTGGGCAGACCCAAAAATCTGACTCGGGTAGCGTCCAAGTTGAGAGCCAGCAAAAGGCCAACAAGCCCGCAAGAAGGAAAAAGAAGAAAAAGAACAAGCGCAAGAGGCCGGTGTACGAGGAAGACGATGTGCCAGAAGCGCGACTGAGATGGATCAAAACGGTCGAGGTTGCCATCAAGCTACAGGGATGACGTTCGATTCCATGAGGAGAATACAGCATGGAATTCCTTTGCTAAGGATGCTTTCGAGTATGAATTGAGACTTTTGTAGAATTTAGCGTGTTGCGCATGATAAATTGGGACGATTGACAGTCGCCCCTCATCGAGGCGATTTGATAGAGGCTGTCGAAATGTATACAACTTCTGCCTTTTCTTTGATAGGTCTACATAACAACAGACCGAACCTTCTTCCAGTCTTGTGACGAACTTTCCGGATTCATAGATCTTCAAGTTCAATCTTTACTACTGTCTCGAATCTTGTTGCCTGCCAGGCTTTGGTGTCACGAGTTGATTCTCGATTTGGAATCTATCAGTCGGGCCGCCGTAGTAATTACCCCCATAATATTGGTCTGGTAGGAGAGCTTATGAGGGCGTGGACGATGAGCGGCGTTACCTTATACATCCGTCGACGCTGGTTTCCGGAAAGACACCTTCTCGACAGCAACATTCTCGTTTCCTTGTTCATCCGTCCGAAGCTGGTAGACGTACAATACGAGGACATCACCTTGAATCTATAAAGTGTCAGCCTTCTTTCAAAGCCCAAGCATCTTTGCTTTGTGCTCGAGTACATACGTCCATCAAACAAAAGCTGGGCGTAGTCTCCTCGTCAATCGCTTGCCAACTTGTGCTGAAAGCTCCAGTCGCGCTGCCCGGGTTGACGAAGAACTTCCCTTCCAACTCATAGGCTTCGAACTTGTGTGTTCCTCCCCATAGCAAGATATCAACGTCCATCTGCCTCGCGGCGATCAACAGCGCATCCGCATCTCCCTGCGGAATGATGGTATGTCCATGGGTAAAGCCTATTCGGAGGCCACCATGCTGTACAACTTTTGACAGGGCCAAATTCGACGCTTCAGTGTCGTAATCACCCTTAACGATGTGTAGATCTGGTGCGATTTGTCGCAGGAAGTCGTATGTTTCTTTGTCGTTGAGGTTGCCTAGGCATATAACCTGCCCGATCTTTCCGGGCGTGAGAAGCTTGCGGAACTATGGTTTTCAACAGTGTCAGACAGTCTTCCGTTGTTATGTACTCGATGGGGACCAACCTTTGCCGGAATTTCCTGTTCTTCTGGTTAGTAGATGCGTCTCTCGCGTTAATAGTTGCAGCAGGGAGGGCTTACCGGTGCTCGATCGGGAATAAACAGGTCACCAATGACCAAGACCAACCGCGAGGCCATGCCTCCTCACAGTGATAATTCAACTAGCACTGAAAACGCATCTTCACGTGCACAAGAGCACGATCATGGACTAGACTAGAGTGTAACGTAGTATGAGAATCTTGTCAACGTTGAACTGGGGGGTTCGACATGCATGCGCAGGTCAATAGATGGATGTCCCCGATAGGCAGGTTCTCCGAAGTTCCGCTCTTGCTATCATTTCCTAGGCACATTGCCCTATGGCTAAGCAAAAAGGAAATCACACAAGAATGGTATCTATACTAGGTACATATACGATATTCCGCAATTAAGATAATCAGGTCAGATGCTAGAACGATATCTCTTCCTGGCCTATTGAACACCTAATGATCCCAGGCTCGTCAATCCTCCGCAACAACGAAATCAGCTTCCAATGATGCGACGGTACGGGGACATTCTATTAATGCCATGCTATGTATCGCGTCCAACCATGGTTTAAAATACCACCGCTCTGGGATTTGCTTGACAATCGAACACCATGTGTCCAAAATCCCCAAGGCTATGGGACAACGCTTTTGGAGACGGTCGATGTAACTCACTGGAATCTTCGATGGCCAAACGGTCAGACTTTTCCAGTTCGGTGGCATTGTAGACAGTGACCAGATCCAGTCGCGCAACGCAGAAATAGTCTCTTCGTATTGAGACACAACTTCGGTTGAAAGAGTACGGGACCCTGCCCATACAGCAAGTCGCCTTCGCAACGAATCAAGGCTTTCAATCGTGTCTTTCTTGACAAGGGTGAAAGCAGGGTTTGTATCCAGGACAGTGTCATCAATGCCGTCCGGGAGCCACTCTCCGAACGCAGGTTCTTGAAAGAGGCAATCCATTGCTGGCACAATCCCATGTGTGGACCGAAGAAGCAGCACGAAATCTGCTGGTCGCAATCTCTCGGTTTCAGACAGCCCTTCGTCACGATTCCCAGAGCAGATGAATGGAGCGCAGAGCGCAATTATAGCAGACAGAACTGCAAAGACGACTGTCTGCCACCCATTCTGTGGAGTGATGTCTGTGACGCACGATCTGAATAACTCAGAGCCGCTAATAGCATACCCGTAAGCCAGGTCGTCATACCCCGGGGTTTGTGTAGGTCCACCAACGAGGCACAGATTGATTGCGGAAACTGACATGACTGCTTGTCGTGCAAATTGGCAAGTATTGATGATTTCCTGGACTTGGGAGAGCCATACATCATGATCGATGCGTATACAGTCGAAAAACAGAGTGAGATACACGTTATTGAAGAAGTGGCTCAACAAGTAATCTCCTGCATCCAAACACAGAACCGGAGCCCTGGACACCGAAGAGGAACGGCTGAATACAGTCTTTCGAGCGAGCTGGACTTGCTCAAGTTCCTCATCGGAAAGCTCGGCGATGCTCCGTGGCACTCTGTTGAACTCGGCGCTGTAACTGCAATTTTCCATTCTTCGTCGACAGTTGGAGCATACGGGGCCCACAAAATTGCACTTTCACATCGAATTCCAAGTCAGCTGGTGTGCATTGGAAATCGCTATGATTGGAGGCGAGGCTCCTCAGAATACCTACCTTGACTTTCCGCTTCTTGCACTGGCGGCAGCCGTTGCGAGACTTGGAATGGTAGCTGACCATGGCGGTGTTTAGCCCGAGCCATATCGGGCGCTTGATCAAAACATGAACAAAGGAAGTTTGACCTGCAGGCACTTGGCAACATTATACCGTTTACGCGTTCTCAAGAGGTGGGAATAGCTTTCCCACCAGTCCCACATGCTCTGTCTACAGTATATTTCTCACAGGCCCACCGACTTCTGTGGCAAAGTTCGAGCCGTGGACTACTGGACGTGCTGGATACTGCCACGAATCTCAAAAAGGATTAGTGTGCGAGGCCCAGTTCAGCCTTCCCCGTGCCCCGTCCTTCAAGAGGTATGTCTTGGGCATACTGACGACAATGCTTTTTTAAATTCACCGCTACAATAAATTGTAATGTGCACAATTGCGAGCATGTAACGAAGAAATTAGTAAGTGCTTTACGCAAGAACGTTCGGCAGGGGGCAAACCGCTTCGTCCCTTCGACATATAAATTCTCCCTGTACCATTGCACCTGAACGGAGGTCTCTTCCTGCTCTCTACATTCGTTCCAACTGTTTCCCTCTCATCCATCATGATGAAATTCCTTACCCCTGTTCTGGCCGCACTGACAATAGGCAGCAAGATGTGCATTGCTTGTTCTCTCCATGAAGGGCCCACTGGTAATCTGCAGCCCTCGATCGACAAAGTCTTAGAGTATGTTCGCTCACAACATTCGGCATCAAATGTCACCACATCAATCAAGAATGTTCGAGTCTTTGATGGACATGATATGACCGAACCTCAGACAATGTTTATCGCCAATGGCAAAGTCACATCTCGTCTACCTCACGAGAAGGCGGATATGGAAGTCGACGGGACGGGGAAGTATTTGATTCCGGGACTCATCGACAGCCATATTCATATCGACACGGTGGACACCCTTGAACTTCTCTCGTCATATGGTGTAACCACTGGGATGAACATGGTGTGCAGAAATTACACGCTCTGCTCCGCTCTTGCAGAAGTTACTGGTCTTGCTCAGTACCTCACTGCAACCGCAGGAGCCACGATCGCTGGTACAGGCTCGCCCATTCTGGGATCAACGGACAACGCGATACATCCAGGCGATAATGTCACAAACTATGTTGATGACCAGTTCTTCTCAGGCTCACCAGCGATGTGGCTGAAAGTTGTTGCTCAACCAGGCGAAGACGGCCTCACCCAAGAGCAAATGAACGAACTGACTATGGCTGCACACAAACTCGGGTATTACTCAGTTACGCACGCCACGTACCTCGAGACATTTGCAAAGGCAGTGAAGTCCAAGACTGACATCTTACAACACATGTCGGGTGACAAGGCTTTGCCAAAATCTCTCATCCAGGAAATAATTAACAATAAGCAAATTGTCACGCCCACTATGGCTATCTTCCGCGTCGGAACCAACCAGCCTCTACTTCAGGAGATTCTTCGTCAGGGTGCCAACGGTACGGCAAATTTCACAACGGTCTCCGAAAACGTGAGAGCATTGTACCAGGCAGGTATTCCTTTGCTGGCGGGCACGGATTCCGCCGCGGTGCCGCAACTCAACATCAGCATGCCATATGGCCTTGCTTTGCACTGCGAGTTGCAATATCTTGTCGAGGCTGGGCTGACCACGTGCGAGGCGCTTCGTGCAGCAACCGTGGTTCCCGCCTCGACTCAGAGACTTTTCGGTAGAGGCAAGATTGCTCCAGGTTTTCGCGCGGACTTAATCTTGCTCAACTCGAATCCACTTTTCAATATTTCGAATACTCGGGACATCGTCAAGGTCTGGACAGCAGGAATCGAGTCAAAGCATGTGACCAGGAATCTCACTCAGCAATGTTCGGCTTTGAACATCGTCCCGCTTGCCTAGAGGACTGTTCAGCCCCTAGAAGAAGTCTTCGCGATGACCATTACTACTGGTTTTTCTTGCGTTCTCGAAGCCATTCGTCACTGACTGATCGAGAGATACACCTCCATCGAGCTAAGCCTTCATTCATTGTATATATGTCAGTGTCAGACCCCGGTCGTTGATCATCATAGCATGTGCCAAGATGTGGGACATGATGGTGACCTTGAATAGCAGCACGTTGCCTCAATGGATTACTCCGTATGACCTACTCTGTACTACTGCACAAATACGGAGCAGCATCCACCTTGACGAGTACTGATGATTTGTCGCTCTATCTCACTTGTATCCAAGTTTGTTGATTCCCCTCCTTTGCCTCGGTCTCCCAACCCTCCGGCTTTCTATCATTCTGCTATCGAGTGTCCCAAGTCATCATGATTCAGAGGCCAGTAGTATGTCATCGTCCTCACTCAGTGGGCTGCTCGTGCTTTCTCCTGACTGCTTATAATTTGATTATTCTTTTCATCTTGGTTTTATGGAGCTCTCATTCTCTTGCTCATTCAAATTGTCAAGCAAGCTGAGTGTTGCCTACTTATTGATCTGATTTCCACATGACACCATATTCTATATCCAATATCTCCTTGGTGGTTTTGGTGAACGCCAGTAACCTTCAAAAAGCTACGACTTCTAAACTCGTCACTCCTTACCGCAGAGATGCCGGCTGCATTATATTTTTGCAATATCGTTGACAGTCTTGCTACCAGACGGGGCTTCCTGTCTATTGCTTCCTGTCACAGGGCAACCACCTTCCATCTACCTTGACTGAGACGTGTCTGGCCCAACTATAAGAGATAACTTATCAATCGCCATGGGTAACATTGGCAAATCTAGCAGTGGTTGTAGCTTGTGCCGCAAGCGAAAGATCAAGGCAAGTAGCTCATTCCTGGCTCCTCCTTTTACTGACATGATCAGTGTGACGAGAGGAGGCCCGGATGCCGACGTTGTGCTCAAATACAGAAGCCATGTCCAGGTTATCGATATCAAGTCCAGTTGCAAGTCCGATCAAATCGTGCATCCTCAGACACAACATTGGTCGACTCAGGACAAGCTTCTAGCTCGACTTCATCACGAACATATGACAACCGTGAAGTATTATACGCCAGGCGCGAGTGGAAAGATGGTCACATCAAGGCAGAGGAAACAACTTCAGGACTGTATCTGCAGACATCGCGTAGTACGCGTACAATTTCACCACCACCACGTTATGACATCCAACATCAGTCGCTATGCTTCTTCCTCAATTTATTCTGTTTCCAAGCAGGGAGGCTCTATTCATTTCCCGTGCTTGATTTCTTGCCAGATTTGATCCAGAAATCGGATCCAGAGTCAGGCATCTATCAAGCAGCAACGGCTGTGTCACGGTTGGCATTGGCGGATCGGTATAGTGGCCACGACATCAGGCTTCAAACAGGGGGTGACTATGGTCGTGCTTTGAGCTTGACCAATGCCACGATCCGGAAAACTGCCGGTGACATTCGAGACGAGACTGTACTTGCGGTCTGGCTTCTCGGGCTCTATGAGGTCAGCTGTCCTAATTGACTTGGTGTGTGACTTACTGACAGCCCTGTAGCATATCAGTGTCCTTCTGTCGCATGGTAAGAGGAGAGATGACGTGAAGGATGCAGAGGAAGAATGGCAGTCGCACCTGTCTCATGTTCGAGGTGCAATGCATCTGTTGCATCTTCGCGGCATGTCACAATTTACGAACCCTCGTTCAGAAAAAATCTTTCGTATCTTCAAAGCTGCCATTGTAAGTTTTTCGCTGCCTCGGAATCACTTCCTATTGACAACATGTAAGCAAATGCGGCTATTTATCTTGACCCCTGTCAGGTACAAAGATTTTGATGAGTTGGAGATTGATATCTTCAAAGAGGAAAATGGTAAGAAACGCTGAGCTCAACGGTTGAGGTCGTAGATCCATATGTGTTTGCCTTAGTATTCGAGACCATGTTTCTAATTTTCCACAGAGTTCGTGCCTTCTGAAACTGCAAATAAATCCACGGCGTACTTTCATCGCGTTGCACGACTCATGGAGAAGATCAGAGCTTTCCTCTCCCAGCAGAACGCCAATCGACCCAACCAGACAGCCACCGGCGAAGAACTTCTGCATTATGGAGAGTCTCTCGACGAAGTCATGACCGGGTGGAGCAAGGACGAACCTGGCTGGGATATCATGCGGGTACGGTCCCGCACAGCAAGCACCATGTGGTCGTTATATCCTTCTCATGCGCAGTTCTATTTCTACAGCCCCTGGGTCTATCTCTACTGGATAAGATTTCTATCTGCCCGTGTCAAGCTATACGAAGGCTTGATTGAAGTGCAGACAATTTTGACTGCTCGAAAAATGCACGCTGAGAAGGTTAACCTGAAGATTTCGAAGTATCAACACATAATCCAGACGACAGCCTCCGAGCTGATAGGGCTCACTGCCTACGCCTTAGGAGATGTAACACATCTTGGGACCCTCAATTCCTCGGTCTCGGGACTAGATACGAGGAGTGGATTTCAAGAAGTCAATGCCGTTGCTGCAATGCAGCTCGTCATACCATTAAAGATGCTACAGCGTTCCGATTATCCAACAGCTGCGCAAAAGGGACGTGTAGATCTCGCCCTTGTTCACATTGGGGACGGCTTCAGGAGGCAACCCAGAACCATGGTTTAGTTGTGCGGCAGGTCATCTACCATCTGTACGAGCCCGAGGGAAGACCTGAACACTTAGCAAACATAAAATCATAGCCAGACAAGCACGCAGTTTTGGTGTTTTGGGAGGGACTGAGACTTCTGGTGCCGTCGAAGACCTTGTTTCGGTGGTAACCCCTATATCGAGCCATATGTGTTCTTCTGCTCCAACCTAGAATAGTACGGTGAAACTCATACCCTTAAGCATCATCCGTGCGTCATGTTTCTTTCTCCGCACTGCAATAACTTCGAGACAATGCGAATCGATCCCCATCCTCAAAGCGTCGCGCCTCATTGTTACCTCCTAACAGCGCCAACATGGCTTCGCTCCAGGGCTCTGGGATACCCAGAGTGAAGCTGGAATCAGTTCCAGATATGAATGTAAAATCAGAACCCATGGAGGACACGCCTTCGCCTTACGTCGACGAGGACGAGGAAATGTACGATGAAGACACCGGCGATCTGGACTTTTCACAGGCGCCGCAACAACTGTGGACTAGTCACATACCCAAGACGTTATGGGAGGCACTTTCAAAATTGCAGGACGAAGATGAGATAGAGATAGGTACGATACGGGTGGAAGGGCCTGAAACAAACCCCTCAAGAGTACGTGTGCAGCCTATGTCTTTACTAGTGCAATAGGCTGACGAGAGATACAGGTCAGTATGCTGCTGAATCCACTACCTCAACTCGCAAATGAGCCTAAAGAATACAACTTAAATCTGCCACCTCCGGAGAAAGTTCGAGTTCGACGACCTGGCCAAGCATTTGTTTTCTCAGAGAAAGACCTTCCAGGCTACAAACCACGAGCATTCGCGTGGGACGAGATTGACGAAGAAGGAAACCCGGGACAGGGAAGATCTTATTTATATGAAAGGCACAAGCGCGAACTGAAGAAGAAGGAGAACAAAGGTCGATTCGTACCATACTCACGAAGACCGATACCAAAGCAGACTTCTGTCACAGGAACTGTGGCCAGAGAGTTCGAGGCGGTCCCGGTAAAGAACGACGAATATTTCGTAATTGAGAACAAGAAGGCGGAACAGATGCTGAGGCCACCTGATCGAGATACCGCCGTTTTTGATCCAAGGAAAGATCCGTCGAAACACCACATACCACTCATGACGATGACTGACAGAGCGAATGCCCTGAAGGTGAGATACCCCTACACTTGCTACGCGTTGAATCCAGCTAACAGAAACAGAATGCGCAGGCTAGGAAACAAGCACAGAAGGACAATCGGGCCGCTCGTGTCGACAAGCACGTGCTTATTGATAAACTCCTCGATTTGTTCAAACAGCATCGTATTTGGGGTCTACGGGATCTCAAAGCGAAGGTCAATCAACCGGAAACTTACCTGAGGCAAACCCTGGACGAAATTGCTTTCATGTGGAAAGCAGGCGACTTCAACGGTAAATGGGAACTCAAGGACGAATACAAAAGCTCCGATCCGAGATTACAAAACCCAACGGGAGTGGTGGCTCCGAAAGCCGAGGATTCTGACATGGATAAATCCGGTCTGGACGATGACGATAGCGACGTCTTTGAAGATGTCAAGGACGTTGGAGATTTCTAGGGAACTTCTTCACAGAGTGAGTATAGGTCGGGCCCGCCGTTATACTGGGATCGGCTGTAGGGTGGGGTCTTGGAAAAGGCGAAAAAGCATAGATATGAACCAAAACCCTGACTACGATACGCAAGAGGTTTGGGCAAGGGATAGAGGGATACCCTGGAGGCCACATTGCTTCTCGAAGGAGATACAGGTCGGACTTGTGCATCTCTTGCAAGGCGAATATGGCGTTTCGAAGTGACATACTGGTTTTTGTCTCCAGGGAGGCTTGATGGGTATGAGAGACGTTACTTTGCATTGCTTTGGAGAACGCTGTCTATCTATGGAACTGGCAGCATTTGGTAGAGTAATTGGTATTCGTAGGATCAAAGATCAGTACACGATACCGGCCTAACGCTTTTGGTTCTACAGACGCTTTTTCCATTCAAGTAATAGTTGACGAGTAGCATTAGGGAGGCAACTCCTACCTAGTCAATGAGGTTCGCAAGGTACCTACAGGTAGACGAAGTATGTAGAAGTCAGGAGGCATCAGGGTACGGCGGAGCATATAGCGGTATCAATTCTTTCCAGGCACCGCGCCAAAAGTTACAGTTATGCCATATTCTGAACGTCGGACATACACAGGCAAGGATAGAATTGATTTGGGTAGCTGAATTACTCCCAAAATACGACAGCAGACCCAGTCGTGTGCGTTTATATTGCTCTTTCGACATCAGCCGGCCCAAGAAGGTTGTTTCCACACACCCAATGAGCCCGACGTCTCGACACCGCGCATTCGGCATGGACACTTTTATCCCTGATCTGACTGAGCTGATCTGATCTGGTCCTATCTGGTCTGACCTGATTTGTTCTTGTAATTATTTTGAAGCCCCCCGGTTCAATTTCAGAGTCTAGATGCACATGCACGTGCATCGACTGGTGGCATGACGACTAAGGAGGTTTACGCCGGGCAGCGCCGGTCCTACGGTGGCGCTCTCTGCACGGTCCGGTGGCAGGGACTGCTCCCGGGGTTGAAAGGGGAATGGCTCGGTGTCGAATGGGACGACCCTACGCGCGGCAAACACGACGGGCAACACGAACGCATCCGGTTGTTTGAATGTCTATCGTCGTCGCCGACGGCGGCCTCGTTCGTTCGATCGTCGAGAAGGCCGGATCCAGAACGAACTGTCCTCGAGGCAATCAAGTCCAAGTACGCGCCGCCGCCTAAGGCGTCCCCGTCGGCTCAGGGTTCTGGTTCTGGCTCTGGGGCCGACACGATTGCGATCTCCGGCAAAGTCGTGGAGGAAGTCGGGTTCGATCGAATTCAAGCGCAACTCTCTGTCCTCGCGGACCTGAAGATTGTGCTCGTCGATGAGCTTGCGGTGTCGGGGGTGGCGAGGCGCGGTGCGTCCAGAGACGAAATCAGAGCCGCGCAAGAGGACCTCGCGAGCACGTGTCCGAATATAATCGAGCTCGACATCGGGTGGAACGCCATCGAAACGTGGGCCGATGTGGGCGACATTGTTGCGCCACTGAAGAAACTAAAGATCCTCAAGGCCAGCGGGTTACGACTACGCACTTTCAAGTCTCAGACCCAGGGTTTTGTCGTTTCCGATGGAGCGGAGAAAGACAACGAAACCCCGTTTAGAAATATCGAAGAGTTGCATCTTGGGGAATGTCTCCTATCACCAGAGCAGATTGTTCAGATGCTCTCGCCGTCGCCGGCATTGTTCCCGAATCTCAAGACTTTGGTGCTCTCGTCGAACAACTTGCACTTTTTCAACAAGGGTGGAAGAACCACAGACGGGAGGTCGTCGTCGTCATCATCATCGTTGCCCGGTGTGACGACCATCGTGCTGGAAAACAATAAGTTTGAGGACCTGAGTTGGCTACCGAATCTAGTTGGATTATTTCCGAACCTGTCGTCGTTGTCTCTGCAGGGTAACTGTGTGTCGGATTTCAACCTGGACGGGCTACGCGGGTCGGACTCGATCAAATTTGAAGGTCTTGAGACGCTCAATCTGGCAAGAAACAAAATCCAAAGTTATGAGTTCATCGACGCCCTTCCAGGGTTATTCCCCAGCTTAACGAGCCTGAGGATCTCGAAAAACCCATTGTACGAGAGTGTAGGGCAAGGAGAGGAAGACCAAAGCCAAGATCTGGCACAGAGACAGCACTCTAGAATGGTGGACTCGACGAATTATTACCTCACGCTTGCGAGGGTGCCAGGACTGAAATCATTGAACTATACGACCATTACGGATCGAGACAGGGAAGAAGGAGAAATTTATTACCTGTCAGTAGCAGAAAAGGAGATCATTCCTCTTCTACGGACAAAAGACAATAAGACATCGTCACTTGCGGAAAATGTGGAACAAATGGCCCAAAAAGCCAGGAAGGCTTATCCTCTATACGCGAGCCTATGCGGAAAGTACGATCGTGAAGATGTCATGGCGCGGTTCGTGGATGAGACGACCCAAGCCGAGAAGCAACAAACAAGAAAAGACGGTGGCGCCACAAAAAAGGCATCAGTCGCAGCAGAACTGGACAATTATGCTCCTGGGACGTTGGGTTCTAGACTGGTCGATGCTCACTTTTATATTCCACCATCATCATCGTTGTTAAAAACCACGTATCAGAGACTCCTACCCACCACGGTCTCGGTTTACAGACTCAAAGCTTTGATTGCGAAACAATTCGACCTCCCGGCATTACAATTCAGACTAGTCTACGAATCTCACGAGTATGATCCGGTCGAACCGATTTCGAAGACCACTCGTCAGGATAATAGTCTGGCGGGGAAACAAAATTGGGACAGTTGGGGGGACTGGGACGTGGATGATGTGCGGAATGATCGGGAAAGGGGCAGCTACGATGAGACTGAGACCGAGGGAAACGAGGACGGCGTGAAGGAATCGTCCTCGTCTCCATCTTCTCCCTTCATCATCGTCCGTCAAGGTCAACAGTTCAAGAAACGTGAGACAGAGATCTTGGATGGCATGAGGTCCTGGGGAGATTTTCTGGATCTGACGGCGGCGGATGGGTCGAGGAGAAGAGACGTGAGGGTAAGAATTGAACCTCTGACAGATACGTTGAAGTAGAGCCAAAACATCCCATAACGCGAATACCACTGTACACGAAGACACGAAGACGCCAAAAAGAAGCACAAGAAAGGATCTTGCACAGTGACAAAGTAGTGGCTTAGCTCATTGGATATTCGCATTATTGTTACAAAAAGGGCGTGAGTGGGCCAGCTACGTGAGGTGTGCGTAGAGTAGGGTATTGAAACAAGAAGATCAATCTGCGTCGTAGCTAATGACAGCCAGATGATGAAGAAGAAACATTCATGCCCCGAAAGAAGACGTAGACACAAAAGCACGCCAGTAATGCGAGCTTGCCTGGCCCCCATCTCGGGAGAAAGCAAAGCATAACTCAACCAGTTCAAACATCGTCAAGCTTGACCTTTTCCTTTCGAAGATCCTGCACGGGGACGGCTCGAGTCGATTCAACGCCACTGCCAATTCGGTTGGCTCTGTCTTCTTCCTCGGCTGATAAATCGAATCTTCTCATGCGGTCGCCGATCCTGCTGTCAATGACAATGTCCTTTGTCCATATCTGTTCCGACTCGTCGCCGTCTTTCCGCGGCTTGCGAATGGATTTGTGCCAATACTTTTCTTCCGAATCAAGAAGGCTTTGCTGCTCCCAAGCTTGACTTGATGTACCAGTGGTGGTGGCAGCAGCGTCAAGTTCAGGTGCTCTTGTCGCCACTGGAACTGCATCAATGTCTTCGGCGGTGTTTGTTGATGACGAGGAAAACGGCGAGCTTTGCTGATACGGTCTGTAGTTGGCCAGCACGATGGCTGCCGTGTCGCGACCGATCTGATCGGCCAAATGTCGTCGGTTGAGGAAATTGTAGATCCGCTGAGGCGTCTTCAGGAAACCCAGCAGATGCTGTTGGTGGATGGGCTGGGACGGTTCAAAGGCGCTGGGTGTGTTTGGAGACGGAGAAGCTTGTGAATATTGATCGGTCGAGATGTATGCAAGAGGCGGTGATGGTTTCTTCTTCTCTTTCTCCTTCTCCTTCTCTTCCTCGACTTTCTTCTCGGATTCTGAGTTCTCGGCTGTGGTTGTGGATGGTGTTGACGAATCGTCGCTTGGAGCTCCGGTGGAAACATGAATGGGCGATAAATCTGGTTCTGCCTGTGGCGGAGGAACAGGTTCTTCGACAGGACCTAGCCAGCCTTCATGCAGACCTCTTATGTATTCCTTCCACGTATGTCGACCAAGGACCAGATCACCACGGGTCACAGGCTCGGGGATGACGCCCATCTTCTCTCGGATCAACCTAATGGCTGTCTCGGTGTCCATTTCTTCCTCTTCCTTCGCTGCAGGTCCCTTTTCGCCATTCTTCCGCCGTAGCCTCCTGATTTGCTCTGCCGTTCCGTAACGTACGTCGCCTTCCTTGCGTCCTTCAATCACATCGTAGTCCATGGCCGCGGCGACCAACACTGGCTTGACGTATTCCTTGAAGTACTGTCTGGACGGGCTGATTCCGTCTCCGGGTGGAGCGGACAGGAACACGGTCAATTTTCGAGGCATCTGATTGATGGGTAACGGCTCTTGAGCGATGTGAGCTACCAGGTCGCACCATTTTTTCTGCACCCTCTTCTTCTCCCGCTTGTCGTAGAGGACAGCTGCGGTCCAGCCTCCGGTTATGGTGAGAAAGATCATCCAGTTTCGTGACGGTAATCTGAATCGGAAATTAGGCATGCCTGTGCACGAGGTCAGTCAACCATTTCATGAATCGAGCCTGAGCCAACATTGATCGACTTACCCATCATGCGGAAGACCGGATTTTGCTTTGGCGGGGGTTTTGGCGCTTCATATTGACCGCCACCTGGGAGGTTGTCTGCTTTTGGAGGGTCGCTCATTGTTCTCTGAGCGCTACAAGGCGTAAAAAATTGGTGTAGCCTACGCTCGTTCTGTCGTCAATTTCACAGGCATATGGGCACATGCTCATGGATTTGGGTGCAGCTCGCCGAAAAATTGTAGGCCATGGTCGCTTAACCTTCCAAGAATTGACACCTGGGCCTAACTCGACGGGCACTGCGGGGGGTGCAACTCGGGTTAATTACCTATAGGTAGGCGTTGAGTCTACGGAGTACGAGTAGGGTAGATACGGTTAAGACATGAACGAGATGTTCAACCAGCGAGTAAACACAAGGCATTCATTCTCTACTCAGTAATCCAGATTGTTGCTTGTGAGGCTTCATACCAGACCAACTCTTCCGTTCATTAACATAGATATTGTGTCCATGCTTTGGTAATGTGTGCATTCAGTAGCATAGACCCTAACTAAATACTAAGCCAGTTGACCGCCAAAACTAGCCTTAGGCATCCTTACCTCAAAGTAACAAAGTACGGTCAGTGTGATCAAGCAGAAAGCGTATTTGATTGTGATTGTGCGTGCACACGACACACCATGATTTATTATTGGTATGTGCTTGTATTCCCCGAATTACCTGTAAAGGTGTGAATGAAAACGTGCGTATCCCTGCAATGTTACTCAGGTAGTAGTCTGAGAACCAATAGACGATGTACTGTGCCTGGGCTTGGTTTCAGGGAGTTGCTTTAAGCTCGATTGCACATACTTAGTGCCCGTGGCGGGTGGTGGCCTCCTTGGAAGCTAGATTCAACAGACCCGTAAGTGACCTGTTCTCTACACTTCCCCTGCGCACCCTTTTAACTCGACCCTGCGCCCTTTCTTCTCTGGACCAGCACACACGCCCCTTCCCATGCTCCTCTTAACATCTACTACTTCTCATCTGCAAGTTGCGGCATAGGATACTCTTCGCTTGTTGAGAGTGCTTGCACTGCACGCCGTCCTTGCCTTCAATTTCTTGTGACAACAAAGCGAGACACCGCTTGTTCACGATCTGAAATACCCCTGCACTAGCACGCGAAGCAACGAGAGACAGCTGGCTTCTCGCTATCCTACATTGTCTATTAGTCCAGACGATACTCGTTGCAAGTCCGATCGAACGCTTGCCGCAGCCAAAGTCTCAGAAGTTCATCATGGACCCCGATAACAACAATAATCGGCTGCGTTTGAACTTTCAGTTTGACAATCAGCAGAAATTCGACGCAGCCAATGCTCGCATGTATCCTACCACTCCTTCTACCTTTCCACAGCCGATATATGGTGGCCAACAGCAGGACTACCCTGGTGGTCTGTTGTCTCCCAACCCTGCGACGAACAATGGCTATTTCATGAACCAAGCCTTTCCCCCACCATCACAGCAGGCACAATATCAGCAGCAATACCAATACCAGACACAGGGTGGCCTACAATCTCCTCAACCGGCCTACCAAGCAAACTCCAGACCGTACATGGTCAACAATAACAATGATGGAACTAGCGGTCTGATCCAACAATTTTCGAACCAAGATCTGAGTGCAACGCCACGCAGCGCCAATGTCAATCTCAACCGAACCCCTTCCCCGGCGACCTCACGCCCGCGAACCGCTGGTGATGGCAGACAGGCACAGAACCCGTACCAGAATCACCTTGCACCCCCTATGCCTAGACCGTCGCCAAAGCCTGAAGAGGAAGAGCAGCCAAACCCACGCAAATACTCTGACAACATCATCAAGAGAGGGACAGCTGCAAAACAATTGGTGAACAGCTTCTTCCAGGAAAACATCGAACGAGCAAGAGACCGAAATAGTCGGGCCAAGGAGTTGGATGCTGTTCTCAAGAATCCTAGCATCTCTGACGCTGAGAAACAAAAGGAAATCAACACGCTAGCACAGAAAGAAGCACGATTCTTACGCTTTATTCGAACCAGAGAATCTCCCCAGAACTTCTCAACCATCAAGGTTATTGGAAAAGGTGCATTTGGAGAAGTCAGACTTGTGCAGCGCAAGACGGATGGCAAGATCTATGCTTTGAAGTCTTTGATAAAATCCGAGATGTTCAAGAAAGACCAACTAGCTCACGTTCGAGCCGAACGTGATATCCTGGCTGATTCAAAGGACAACCCGTGGTTGGTCAAGCTTCATGCTTCCTTCCAGGACTCGGCCTTCTTGTACATGCTGATGGAGTTTTTGCCTGGTGGCGATTTGATGACTATGCTGATCAAATACGAAATCTTTTCGGAAGACATCACCAGATTCTATATGGCTGAAATTGTCATGGCAATCGAGGCTGTCCACAAGCTTGGATTCCTGCATCGGTAAGTTGAAAGGCACGAAATTCTACAGTCCCAAACTAATTAACCTCATAGTGATATCAAACCCGACAATATCTTGTTGGATCGAGGTGGCCATATCAAGCTTACCGATTTCGGCCTCTCGACAGGCGGTCGAAAGCAGCACGAAAACTCATATTATCAAGCCCTCCTGAAGTCTAATGCAAATGACAAGTCAGGCAACCGAAACTCGATGGCACTCAACGAGCAGATTAATCTGACAGTCAGCAATCGTGGCTTGGTCAATACCTGGAGAAAATCTCGACGACATATGGCCTATTCTACTGTAGGCACTCCCGACTACATTGCACCAGAGATCTTCCTCGGTCAAGGCTATACCTACCTGTGTGATTGGTGGTCCGTCGGAGCGATCATGTTTGAGTGCCTTGTTGGCTGGCCTCCGTTCTGCGCGGAGGACACACATGACACCTACCGCAAGATTGTCAACTGGCGTGAATCTCTGTACTTTCCCGACGAACTTGTCTTGGGACGTGATGCTGAAGATATGATCCGAAGGTGAGCTAAATTCTGTTGTTCAATATACCCTGCTGACAATTATAGCTTTCTCTGTGACGCAAATGACCGGTTAGGAAAGGAAGGAGGCGCACATGATGGAGCCTCGCAGATCAAGAAACACCCGTTCTTCCGGGGTGTCGTCTGGGATCAGCTCAGAAAGATTCGAGCACCATTCGAGCCTAAGTTGTCTTCCAACATCGACGTCAGCTACTTCCCCATCGATGAGATTCCACAGGAGGACAATACGGCTATGCATCGCGCACATGCCAAGCAGGTCTTGCCCGAGCAAGATGCCGAGATGAGTCTGCCATTTATCGGATACACCTACAAAGCCTTCAACGCCTTCCAGAACTCGTAATGAACGGAGTGGATCTACCCTGATAGTATGGGCACTGTTGATGCACAGACGACTTCTATGGCCAACGACATGATGATGATTTGCATGTTTCAAAGAGAGAGTCAGGCACAAAAGCACCACAGCAGGAGTTCAGAGACAGCTAAAAAAAAGCTATGCCGTTCAAGTCGTGAAGGCTGGTCAAGGAGCAAGAGTATTTTGCTTGGGCTGTGAACAGATTTACAGGCTCGCTAATGGGTCGTGTTGGTCTATCAGAGATGCGCTATGGAAGTCTTTATTTTGATGCAATGATAATAAGCCACCAGTATCATGTTTTGACATGTTCACACCACCACCCCATGTGATTGTAAAGAACATCAACCCTGGAGACAAATGTCTAAAGGAATATCCGCTCCCGTTTGGGCCGCCGCTTTAACTGACGTCACTCCTTTATCCGCGATCTATTGAACATGCGATATCTTCCTCGATGAACATTCCTTGTTGTGATGATAAGCCATGTTTCGTACTTCTTCGTCAACTTCAAATCTCGCTATACTAAACTGGCTATATAGGACACGAAGAACTTGATTGAAAACGATGGACGTGAGTACACCTCGAACCATCTGTGTCGTATGATATCCGGATTACTGAGGCATGCCTCGCAAGAACAGGTTTTCTACGCATATACCTATGGAACAGCTGGCTGGTTGGGGATGCAAGCCGTTCTCTTGATTGTGATGCCCAAACTAGTTGTTGCAATGTTAGCCAGTGGTGTTGTACACGAAACGACAGGTAGGCTCATTCATCGCCAGAGGTCACTTGAACCAATGACATTGGGCTCACATAACAATATTCTAAGCAGACCTTGAGATTTACTTCAGCCGATCACTTGGGTTTGCTCTATTGTTGATCGCATTGATTGTCTTGTTCTTCACGGGCACAGTGCCACTGTCATCGAGCATCACCGAGCCGGTTAGTCTCGAGGACAACGACCCGAAAGCACCTTATGCTTTACCAATCCTACGGGTCACCATGTTCTTCCATGCGCTCAGCATGATTTACTGCTATCAACGATGGATGAACTACCGACAGACTGGATATCTGCTTGGGGCCATCGGGTACGCAGCAATGGCCAGCTTCGGGTTGTGGTGTGTTGTCTTTGGAACCTCGGCTGGCAGAGTATCGAAGCGGACGGGGGCAGACAAGCGCACGGCGGGGTTTCCATTCAAGAACTCGACTGCATATGACAAGAAGAAGGACCGAAAGATGGGTTGAGTGCCTGGGAGAGGAATGAATCTGTTCCGAGTATGAAATGAACAGTGATGGGTCCAAATGATGCTCCGTACATTGCTTACCTCGTTTTATCACGTGCTTGCACATCACGTGAACTTCCTTTCCATCCCATACTCTGTCCTTCTCGTACAAAATTCCAAATCTCACTCTCAGACTCGTTCGTCGCCGCTTTTGCTTTCTCAATAATTTCCTCCCCAGTTCCACCTCGCGATTGCGTCCTGCACGTCGCTGCGATAGTCAAAATCGGCAAGGGTTCTGTCCAGCCATGGATGCAGAGGCTTTGCGAAACTTTGCGGTGTCTGCGCAGCCCCTTCAATATCCTCCCTACAATGATTCGAATGCCCCGCGAACTGCTCAAGAGGTGGCTGCCGCAGCTGCGGGTTATGCTCCTGCCGACTCGATTGACCCCAATATCTCGGCCTACGATGTGAACGCGGAAGTGCAGAACGATGATCCTACATCCCAAACACAAGACCACCACGATCATGGCCATGACCAATCGATGTCACACCGAGTCCAAACACACAGTCCTCCCCAGACGCGTCATACTCGGGCGTCTCAAGATCTGACTACGGTATCATCAGAGAATAATCACGGTCCACAATCAATCGACTTTCAGGATCAAATCTATGCCCAACCATCCTCGCAAAATGAGTTTGTCTGGAAGAACTCTTCATCGGCCTTTCCCAATGGCACGCCACAAACCAGCGCCAGGCTGTCTGGAAAACAAGCCTCAGTGTATAGTACTCCACAAGGTCTGGTTCATGCGGACCCTTGGTCGACGCACTACCACGATCCAACACAACTAGAAACGCCCACTTCGAACCTCGACCAAGAACTCGATCCTGCGGTGGCCGCCAACCCCTTCAGCGACACATTCCCCTTGATTCCTCATCCCCCCGACCTCGAAGTCTGGCGCGAGAGACTCTTTAACATCACCGAGCCCCTGGTATTGTCGGAAGAAGAATACTTGACCTATTTTCCCCATGTGGACAACGTCTATTCACACCGCTCTACTCAGAAGTACAAAAGAAAGCCATTCGTAAGCCACTACTGGGATTGTCGTCTCAAGGGCAGACCTAGTGGTACCCCGAAGAGCACGGATCCCAACAAGAAGAAGCGTAAGCGACAGGCTCGCGAACGAGATCTTTGTGATGTCAAAATCAAGGTGACGGAATACTTTGGTACTGATCAGGCGCAAGAGATGGGCATGTCTGCCAACGACTTCAATAGTCTCAACGGTGCTAACAACATTCCGACCGACCCAGCTCTCACGGGAGACAACAGCCAGTTGACCATCGTGCTCGAGGATGGCGTCAATGGAAATGGCCCAACTAGTAATCCAGCCGACCCAAACTTCGGTCTGCTAGAGTTACCTCGACGCTTACCGAAAGGTCATCCTGGCGCCGATGGCAAACGTTGGTTCACCATCCAGCGTGTAAGAGGCAATCCAGGTGGAGGTGCGGTCAAAGACAAACGCGACAGTATTGGTGATGGTCTTGGCGAGGCCGTTGAAGAAGATGACTCTTCACTCCTCGACCCTAACCTCGATCTTGACCACAAACACACCCTGGAAGAAAGTGACAGAATCAAGAAAAATACTGTCCAGAGATGGATGTTGAAAGAGGAAAAGGAGAAGAAACGATTGAGCGTGAGTCTAGTCCTTTTCTGATCACCACGCAGCTCTCTTGTCGAACGAAGATTGACTCCTTACAATAGCGGTCACTAACTTTTGTTGTAGAAGATACCAACACCAACAGCAACAATCCAAACCTCGACCAGCAGTGACTCGAGCTCCCCAACTTTCCGCGCCAGTGGCATGGCATTCTTCACCGCTCGTGATCACTCGAGACCAGTGTCGTCTAAAATCACATTCTATGCCAACAGCTTTTGTCCATTCGCACAACGTGTATGGATAGCTCTGGAGATCAAGGGCATTTCCTATCAAATGGTAGAAGTCTTGCCTGCTCACATCGACTCATACCGTCCACCAGAACTGCTCGAGTCCAATCCTGAAGGACACATCCCTTGTATCCGCCATGGCAATTGGGCTGTTTGGGAAAGCGGTGTTATGATGGAATATTTGGAAGACTTGGCCATGGGTCACAGTCTCCTGCCGCTGGGTAATCCACAACTCCGGGCGCACTGCCGTCTTTGGACAGATCACATCAACCGCAAGATCCTACCAAGTTTTTACAGTCTCCTCCTGACGCCACCACCACAGAACCAAGGTTCCCCGGCCGATATGGATGGTGACACGGACATGAATGGCCAGGCACAAGCCATGGCAGCTGGAGCCGCACAGCACGAAATGCTCATGGCCACACTCCAGAGAAACATCACGGCACTAGTCAACGCATCCCATGTGACGGGACCGTTTTTCCTGGGCAACGAGATTGGTTTTGTTGACGTCATGTTCGCGCCTTGGATCATTCGCTTGTCCCGGGTGTTGAGTTATTATCGCAACTTCCCCCGTCCCGAGGTTGGCACACGCTGGCGGATGTGGGTCGACGCGATCGAACATGATGAGCGTGTGAAACGAACCGTCAGCGACGAGAACTCGTACCACGGCGTGTACAGAGGTGTCGGCGAGGACGGCTGGGACTCATTGATGTCCAGAGACGGGTCTGGTCCACGGAAGAACATGGTTGAGATTGCATTTGCGAAGCGTGTCGTCGCTCAGGAAGGGTTTGGATTGGGCGGTGACGTATGGGGCAAATTGAGAGAGGAGCATACAGTGCACTCGCATGGCCAGCAACAACGCGGATTGACCGTTGACCAAGGCGTTGCATAGTGTGATTTGCATGTCACATGTGATTCGTGGTGTGTCAATGTCAGTGTCAATCCTTGGAATGAAGGTCGAATCAAGGTTGAGAATCACGCTGTGGTATGATTGATCTCAGTGGGTGTGATTTGCCAACGTTGTGGCTACTGTATGGCTTTGTGGTTGCCCGAAAGAAAAGAGAAACACATTCGATGGACTTGGTGTTCTTCCCTCCCTTGCGCATGATCTTGTGGGGGCGGGCATGGGAAGCGAGAACAGGGAAAGAGGTTGAGCATTGTTTTTCTTGACATCGATGATGATTCGTACATATCCCCAGAACAGTTTGATACGATTGAGCTTGAACGCAGCAGGTTTGAGAAGTTAATAATGCCCAGGTAGTGGACGGTAACATTTGTACACAATTGAAAGTAGCTCCTACAGAGCACTATAGTCTACCTTGTTTACTTCTTTTGTCTCTTTTCGTTTTCTCGCGGGACTATTCCGTAAAAGAGTTATCCAACGTGCATATGGAGTAGTTATCTACGGAATAAAGTATCATCGTGACGTTCGTACGCGTTACAGCCCCTCAAAGGTAAACCTATGCTGTCGTAGGGGGGGCCTGTACGGGTCAATGGGCTGGTGTGTGTGTGTGTGTGTGTGTGTGTGTGACCTTGGCAAGGCAAAAAGAACATGGACATGGAAGATCCGTCATGTGTACTCGATGCCCCCCGAACTACCAATCAAAAGTGCATATCCTCCTTTTCATAGGCACCCGAAGCTGGTGTCGTGCCGTAAAGGTGTGCCCCCGAGAAACGTCCACGGCAGGCTCTCGACAAATCTTGGTCTGGTGTGGTCCGGCTTTCCATCATTCTTTCTCTTTTGTTCTCTTCTTTCGAGTCGAAAGCCAGGTTTTCCGAGTGGCCTTTTTTCCCCAATCACGCCACTTTTTTTGTTTCATGGCAAGAAAAAGTTTGCGAGGGTCCGGGGTTGTTTGGCTCTGTGAATCTTTTCCCCCCAGCCATGTAGGTAGGTAAGTGGTGTCGTTTGGCATGTGTCTAGCTCTTTTCTTTTCTCTTTCTCGAGGAGGAAAAGGGGCGGCAGCGGTCGGCTCTACCGTGGCAAACAGTTTCGGTCGGCTGCACCCCAAAAAGAAGGACATGCCATCAACCATACATGCATGCGCGCATACAGGTAAATCATGACGGGTGAGTGCATCGGGACGTGCTCCTCCTACCGTATCAACCACAAGACATCCGTACTGACCAAGTGTCTTTTCGGGTTTTGTCGTTCCCTACATGGTCTCCACTTCCTGGCTACTCATATCGTGAATCACGAAGCCGACTGGACTGCAAGGCAAGTCTTTCTCGAAATGCTTGCAAATCGGCAGGTCAAACGTGAACGTTGCCTTGAAATGTGTCCACGCCAAAGGCATCGCTTTGGTCAGTGGCGACCTTTCGATGTGAGTGGGTTTCGATCCAAGCGATTAATTTTCAATTGCCCATCCTGCCGGCTTATGGCTTCAGTTTGCGGTTTTCCAAAGAACCAAATAGCTCACAACCAAATAAATGGTCTTTCGATCTTCTCCGCTGCAGAAAAAAAAGTCGACAGTCCCCTTGATCACGGAATTCTTGTGGTTGGATTCTTTCTATTGCTCAATCGCTCTCCGAGACGGTACGAGTTGTTTCAACCAGTCCGTGGTGTCGAAAGGTGTTTTGTTTTGTTTTACTGCACAAAAGCATCATTTCCTCGAAATGGATGAGTCTGAGCAAACCCGAATCCACCTCTCCCGGAACCATCCGGTCCTCGAGGTGCTCTGATGGGTTGAATCTCTGGGGTTCGGGTGCCGGATGTACCAGAGGCATTTTCACGGCGCTGAATGTACCCAGAGTCGGGTCTCTGAACGTATGAAGGATCATAGAGGTCACGTTGTTGTTGCGAACCCCTAGATTGATTTCTCGAATTGATGATCGCGCTACCACCACCGCCACCACCTCGTCGACCGCCACCTTTTCCTCGTCCTCGTTGATTCGGAGTGGCCGATCTTGACCCTGGAGGTGTCAAACTCGACGGACTCGAATTGCCGGATTTGTTATTGTTAATATTGACGTGGGACGAGGTATTGTTGGATGCCGCAACACCACTACTCGGGCCGAACAATTCCAACCTTCTCTCTTCGTATTTCCTTTGCTTCTCTTCCCGATCCTTGGCGGCTTGTGCCTGACGTTCAGCAAGAGAAAGTTCGCGCGCCTTGACCTCGTCTTCGTCCTCTGAAGATTCGGCGGCAGCTTTGTCGTTCAACGAGAGGTCCGAGAGGCCGGAGGTGGGTGGTGGTCGGGACGACGACTGAATGATGGGACCCTTTCTGGATAAGAGGATGGGGGGAGGTTTGAATTCGGATCGTAGTGGTGGGACATTACGGGATTCAAGAAAGTAATTCGTCTCTTTTGGTCCTTCACTGTGTACACACACACACACATGGAGAAAAAGTCAGCCACCGCAATGTTACCCAACGTACATATGATGTTACATTTCAAGACATACGCTTCTGCCCATAGTTGTCTGTTGAATTCGGCCTGCTGAGCCCTGCGCTGGGCTTTGGTCACTTTTGAAGAAGCCTTTTTCGACTCGGCGGATTCGTTGGCGGGAGTAGTTGGCTGTTGCATTGGAGTACAGTTCATCAGCATACATGTTTTATTCCAAGTTTGTATGGAGCAAGCCACACCGGGAGGTGTGTGTGCGTGTATGTAGAACTTACATCTGCTCCGCTGGACCATTCGTCCTCCCAGGCGTCGGGTACCTTGGTCATGGGGCCGATCTGAGGTCGCAGGGAAATGATCGTTGCAAACACGACTGGTGTGAGTTCATGTAATCGTGCCGATGTCACGGGTTGTGTGAGTCAAAGAGGTTCAAACGGAGAAGAGAAGACAGAGAAACTACCTCCTTGCCGATGTCGTAGAGAGAGACCGAGTAAAGTGGAATGCGGTGGTGGAAAAAAAAGGCGGGACGGTCGCACGGCACGGTCAAGAGAAAGGAATTCAGCCTCTGCAAGTCGCTCCGGGGTCCCGGGGGGTTTTGTCTGAACAAGGCTGAGGCTGGGCAAAAAAAAGGGCTGTTGCCGAACCCGAAGACGCTTATTAGGCTCGGAGGGTTTGCTTTTCTTTTCCCCTTTCACACCTCAGCCTCGCCGTATTCAACAGCTCCCATCATCTCCACGTCGAGTTGTTTGTACGGAGTAAGAGGCCAGTGGAAGACACTGCGATGAAGTTGGCATTTGAAAATAACTTTGTGCAACGAGAAAGAGTCGACATAGCAGCCGACGAGCATGAGTCGAGCGGATCTAGAACAGCACGCGGCAGCGAACCACGTCTCGCAACGTGCAATGATTGCTTGAGAGGAGGACATTCTAGGTCATATGGCTAAGGTATTATACAGTTCAACATGGTTCTTTCCACTGGGCATCGTCTGGGTCTTCAGCGTCATTCCACCCTCGCTTTGATTTTGAGTAATCTCTCTGCATTCTTGTACGCAATGCCCTCCAACACTTCATCGGTCACCACCTTCTTGGACTTTAGCATCTTCAAAAAGTCCAGGCCAACGTCGTTGTGTCCAAAGGGGTAGTCGACACTGTAGATGATCCTTTCGGGTTTGCACTGTTTCAATACGAGCTCCATCTGCGGGAGGTAGAACATGCCCGAAGTCGACACCCAGACATTCTCGTCCCAGATCTGACGGAGAGACCTTTTGAGCTTGACCCCGAGCTGCGGCCAGTGAGACGAGATTCTGTCGACCCGGTCAAGCATAAAGGGGACCATCTCCCCCAAGTGGCCCAGCATGAGTTGGAGTTTTGGGAATCGGTCAAACACACCCGCGGCGTAGAGGCGCAAGAAATGGATGGCCGTCTCATTGTGCCACCCCCATCCGTACTGACTCAGGGTTTCTGCCACCGTGGAAGGGTAGTTTCCGTCGTACAACAACGGCTTGGTGTGCTCGTTGGCACTCGGGTGGAGGTAGAAAGGGACGTCGAGTTCTTCGGCCGCCTTGAAGACCGGCCAGAAGAATTCGTCGTCGTAGAATCGTCCTTCGCAGTTACTGTCGACTAAAGTACCGACGAAGCCCAGATCTTGCACACAGCGACGCAACTCCGCGCTCGCGGCCTCGGGTTCCGCCATGGGTAGGGTCGCGAACCCGGCGAAGCGGGTCGGTCTCTCCTTGATCAGGGCGGCCAGCTCATCGTTCACCTTAATACACGTCGCGGCGTCCAACGCGATGGTGTTGGGCGCGTGACTGACGACTTGGACCGTGACACCATGGTCGTTCATCGACTTGAATCTCTGGTCTCGAAAATCCCTGAGCGACGGGATGATCGTCCCAATGAGGCCCTTCTCATCGTGTGGATCTGGTGCCTTTTTTGCGGCATAAAACTCCGTGACGGCCGGCGAAAGCCAGTGCTCTTCCACGGTGATGGTGGGATAAGGGAAAGACATGGTTCTCCTCCAGTGTGTCGAGCGACGAAGAAGGTGATTCTGAAATCGGAGCATGGGAAGCGCGACGAGGAATCGTGGCATTTATATACTCCCGAGGGGGAAAGTTCATGACATGGATTTTTCGGTACAAAGGGGCCTCATCCCGACCACGGAATCCTTTCTTTTCGTGTTTGAGTGCTTATCTGTTCAATCATATCTGTACTCCATAGTTACACAGTGATACTTTACCAGGGCAGTAGGCAATTGTTAGTATATCAGTCGAATGCAACACGTGCGGCAATAGAGACCAATGCCCGTGTCTTTATGTCCGAAGCATCCGAACCCTCCAATCATACGGCTAAGTGCACAAAATGCAACCACAATAAAGAGTCCAGGCATCAGAAAATACTCCACTGATCGGTCTTTGCGGCCTGAAAAGACACTGGCAACTGTATAACTCCGTAAAACGTTGGAGCCTAAAGTACTGGCACTATATCAAAAAGATCGCCAGCTTCGTCCTGGGTGTGGGAGCATTTTGCGAGGGAGAGAGCGACAGGGAGACGAGACCGGCGCGTCATCGATAAAAAAGATTATTGGGCGAAGAAAAGTTGTCGGGCTCAAACTCGAAATATATGATCGATCATGCTCAGGAACCTCTATGGTAGCTCCTGTAGGTAAAAGGCGAATATACTGACGATAACTTGAAACGGAGCTCATTGTATATTATTACTTAAACCTACTATTAATCTACAGCCCTCATTTACAGTCATAACCTTCTGTTCTGCATGAACTGGATCTGGACTATAACTGCCCTTCGTCTCGGTCATCTCAGACGCCTTTCTTGCCTGTCTTTTATCGTGCCCGAGCTCCAGGCCGTGGGCACGCAATACACTCGTCAAGCGGTCACTCACACGCAGGCTTCACACCCTCAACCTCGAGAAAGCTGGTGGACTTTCTTCTTTCTTCTTCTTTTCCTTCCCCTTGGCAATCTTCTCCCATTCTTCCCACTCTTTAGCGATCTCTCCCAGAACAGTTGCCATTGCCGACGCGGACGCCATAAGTCCATGGCCCTCAGACTCCAAGACCCTGAGCTCGCACCGCTTCATCACAGTCTGCAACCAGCGCACGTTATCCAACGGCACTCTTGAATCCTTGGCACCATGATGTATCACAACTGACCGCGTGACTTCTGGATACCGGAACCCAATCGGTTTCCGTCGCTCGAGACAAACAACCAGGTCAATGGCCGGATTGGCATTGTGCGTGGCAAGAGCCCAGATCCGATGCGTGAGTGACTGGTTATACAGCGACTGACGAGCCTCTGGAGTTAAGCGCGGGGACATTGGTGGAGGATTCGGATTGGTGACCTTTATAGCATACTGCGTCTGACGGCGAGAAGGTGATGGTGGCGAACCACCGTTCTCGACAGCAGTGCGTTGATGTTCGAGATTGGCTTGGTTGTATGATACACTTCTGGCTCTAGCAGTCGCGCTTGTCTGAGGTCTACTGGGTTCCATATCTGGAAGAGGATTGGTAAAGGGATTTTCCATATCGTCAAATGCATCCCATGTGGCCTCAATGCTCTCCAGACCCTTGCTTTTCCTGATTTTCAGTGGCTTCGTGTCCACGGATGCACTTGTGGCAGTCAAGAATCTCGAATTGGCCACCTTGAGTATTTGTGCCGGTAGGACGCTGAGGAGTTTGTGCGAAAATGGTAAATTTGCGATCGGCTGGGAGTCTGGTCCTACCGCAGTTCCCTTGGGCATTTGAGACGGTGGGATCCATGGCCCCAGGAGGTGGATTCGCCCTCGTACATACTGAGGCATCTTCAGAGCTGTAGCAAGAGCATAGATGGCGCCAGCTGAATGCGCCAGGAGAGAGAATCTCGTAATTTCCAACGAGCTGCATATTACAGCCACATCGTCGACCCAGTTGAGAGGAGTACATGATGCTTCAGGCATCGCTGAGCTCTCACCTACACCTGGTCGGTCTGGGGTTATTAGCCGCAGTCTCAAGGTACGTGCAAGTTCATCGTAGAATGCAGTCAGGTATCGTGTCAGACCCATGCCTACGCAACACAACACGACAAAACCATCGGGATCTCCGACTTCTGAGAATGCGATCGTCCGCCCTGTGCGCGGATGTCTGATCTTCTGGGTTAATCTGGGTGCCTTGAGAAAGGAATCCACTTCATCCGATATTGACCTGAGTTCCGCCAACGGAGGATCTAGCTTCAAATTGCCATTGGCAGAATTACGCTTTGTCTGAGTGGCTGGACTTCGATACATACTATTGACCCGGGACGGGGCGGCACTGTTTGGGTTTGAGCCTGCCGGCGAAGGCCCCATGTATGGCGTGAGTATCTCTCCATTTGAACCGCCGGGGACTAAAGCTGGCATACTGGCCAGATCCGATGCAGTAACAGTGGCAGACAGATCCAGGGGGCTCTCTATCTCAGGAGACTCGACGACCACCTCGGCGACGGACAGTCTCGAACTTTGATATGGACTCGTCCGTTGCGACGAGACTTTGGGAGCGGCTATCGTGTGTCTCTTTGCAGCTCGTTCCGACTTTCGGGCCTCGTTTCGCCATTCTTTCTGCCGCTTTTCTCGCGCTTCTTGCAGTTCGCGAATTCTTCGCACGGTCGAGTTGTCTCCATCGATCAATTCCGCATCGATGTTTAGCTCCTTGAGGTTCCTGACAGGAGAAGAAAACCTGTTTGACTCTGGTGTGGATTCTGGTACGCTGGTCACGCTCCGTCGTAATGAGGAACGACGCGAGGGGATCAAGTGGTTGCCCAGATCGCCACGACTGAAGCGGTTGAAGGCGCTCACAGGCGGACTTTCGCCACTCGGTGAATCCTGTAGCGTTCCCCCGGAGGAGTATGCCTCAATCGAGGACGAACGAGTAGGTGCCTTGAGCTCCTTTTCTTGTTCTATACTGTATAATGACTCGGTCTTTCGGCGTCTATCGGAAGAAATCCTTCGCGGCGGAATAGGTCTCGTGGTAGCCTTGTCGCGTATGGACTCGGAAGTGGTCTTTCGTCGTAGGGCACTGACGCCGCTAATAATGGAGAAGGTTGAACTGGCGCTGGAGCCATGCCGTCTCTCGATACTAGGCACTCCGACTGATTCGGTCTCGGCATGAGATCTAAGACTCTGAGATGAAGTTCGAGGGGCCAGCCCCGGCTGGGCCATGTTCAGCGAATATAATCGTGACCTGCTTGACCTCTTTGATATCAAGGGAGGCCGTCGGGCATACCGAATTACTGGGGCGACTGCGACATCCCCATCACTACTGTCGTCGGCAATAGGATCATTCAAAGTGCGATCCAAGTCATCTGCATCGGGCGACGGGGGTGACACGGGACGTTGATGATGTTCCTGATCCCGGCGTCTTCTTCCGTGTGCTCCTTCTTCTTGTTCTTGTGCTTCTTCTGCAGAGGGAATAGCACCCAAGGAGTCTATCAGCGATGAGATGACTTGGACTGACTCAGGTGAGCGGAGAGGATCATTAGGCAGACTCGCGTTGTTAGGGAGCTCGCGGATGCGAGAATGAATGGCAGAGTTGACTTCGAAGCCGTTGCCGTGAGGATTCTGGACAGATAACGTTCTGTTCATGTCCATGCCCATAGCCAACGCCCTACGTTGGATCTTCGCTGCAAGCAGCGCATGGGCAGTTTGGCGTTCGATCCAAGCGACGGATAGACAGGGGATTGGCAACGGTCAGGGGCCAATCGGAGAGAAGAAGGGGGAAATTTGGTGTCTCTGACCACGAGCCGCCACGGCGGTACGGAGAGGTTGCTTATGCGTAGACGGGAGTTTTACGTGTCGTTGGTGGTGAGATGGAGCATGGATGGCAGTTTTGGCCTGATAGCCACGAACAATTTGAAGCGTCGCGGGCGTTTGGAGACAAGATCTAACGAAGGTGACAGAAGGGATGCGACGGCAATGTGATTGGAGAAGAGCAGGGAGTTTCATGCAAGATAGAGGACTGTGTTGCAAGGAGAACAACAGGCTATGATCGGCCGGCTCTGGAGGGATGGAATGGGCCGAATGCACTAATTGATTCGAATTGTTGCTACAAGTTGAGTCTCCGTATGAGAGAGAGAAACACACTACTGTAAATCATGACTGGGGCCTGTACTCGTAGGTGGTGGACAATTAGGTACTGTAGGTGAAGCCTTTATGTACCAAGTATCCGTCTAGGACGGAGACCTTGTTTTGTTTATTCCTTGATGGTCATGGCGAGCAGCCTTGCACAATAACAATAACAATCTCCTAGAGCACTGTAATCCGTAGGCACTGTAGCTGTTCCATAGCCTTGCATACAGTACTCCGTGATCAACGATCAACCACTCCGTTCCCAGGTAACTAACTAGTCCTACTCCATCTCCATCCTCGCAGGGGTCCCTAGTTTGTCCTTGCACAAGGATTCAAAAAAAGGGGAGTGGTGGACACGACAATTTGCGGAAATGAAGCAGCGCAGACTCGTTTGAGTAAATCCTCCGACCCGTTCTTAGCGTGCCTCGTAGCCTCATGATCCTATTGAAACTCGTAGATGCGTAAAATACTATTGTATTCTGTATGGAGTAAGGAACTGGACGAGACATCCCGAGTTGTACTCATACGACATCTACTTCTCGTAACGAACCTTGACGAACTTGACAACACAGAGGTTAGCACGATGCACTGGATGCTACTGAGTCGATCCTGGGTTCAATGCTCGTCTTGACCATATTCTATGCTACCTTGTCAATTAGCTGGGACAAGTTATGTTGTACGGTCATTCGGCACCACAGCTTCTCCTCTGACGCGTAGGGGTATATCTACTGCAGGTAGCCACGTAGCACGCTTGCGGGTCGTAAACTACTGCAGAAGTCATTGCCCAACTCGGCAGGTCAATGAATGGTAGGAAACAGGTATTGCCTTCAGACCTTGAGGTCAAATCTCTCTCTTCATCTAATATCTAAGACTAATGTATATGCTAATATCATCAATGCATCGTACCTCTATTCTGCTCGAAGTTGAGAAAATGCAGTTGCAGAACATGACCTGACAAGCCACGTTCTGTCGGAGTATTTTTTTCTACTCCATAACGCCACGCTGAAAGATCATAAAAAACCCAATCGCCCAACTTTTTTGGTTGTTCACAACGCTCCCAGATTGACCTTCGATGTCAGACGCCCTTCTGGGAGGAGAACCATTCGCTGCATCGAAATTCATGAGTCGTAAAATGTTGATAGGAGATGATGATCCACCCATCCTGGACCTTCGTGTAAAAGTTGAGGTTGGCTATACCGCGAGGACCTTGCCCAGCTGCAACTTCTCCCGCTCTTCGGCGAACAATCTGCGGGACATTTCGAGCACCATCTCAAAGCCTTCACGCCCTCGAGCTGCATTCTCTCGAAATCTTTCCACACTGGCCTCCTCGATCTTAGTGCGGATTTTTTGCCATCCACCACACATTGCCACGATCTTGGCTTCTTGTTTGAATTCCGTCTTGGCTTGAGCATCGTTTGCTGAAGGCTGGTAGATGACGGTTTCTCGGCATTCCAGCAAATTTGACCATGTCATATTTGTGCTGCACATGGTGACCTTCTTGGAAGCAGGATCCACGTAGGAAACTTCGTAAACATGACTGGTGGTGTCACCCCCCAGTATTGTCAAGACCCATTGTGGTGCGTTCTGTTTGCAGGTGATGAGACGCTCGGTCCGCAGGATACCAGTACTAGGATCGACGTGGCGAGAAAGTGTATCCACGGCCAATACATGAGAGGCTTTATCATTCCATGGGCAGTATTTCCGCCAGTTGTTGGTGCTGACCTCTTCCCAAGAGTAGTCGAAAGTGTATGAGGATGAGAAAATCTTCATGGTTGTATGAGAGGAACGAGGACTCGGGAGGAGTCGTGTGACCTGGACCTCGGGAGTTGTCTATCGAAGGCGCGATTCGAGTGTCTATTCTTTCAAATAATGATACACGAGAGAGGAAGGGGTGGCTCTAGTTGATTGCAAACTCAGTGGTAGCTGCGAGTGACACAAATGAATGTGGGAGTGATGGAAATCTAGAGGTGAAGGAAAAGGGTTTGATATGGAGGCGTGAAAAGAAAAAGTTTCTTTGAGGTTGAAAGCCAGAATCGGCTCTTTTTCTTTCTCTCGCGCCCAGATGTGGAACGGAGAAGATCGGAAAGGGCTGCCATCGCTGCAATGTGATTGGTCTCGGCTGTCAAGGGTTCGGATCGGCTGTGTTGGGTCTGGTGCAGAAGAGGCCGAAGAGCCTATTAAATTGTACCGCTGCCCGGAACATCAGTTAATCCAGGCTCCTCTCCCCGACCCTGTCGCCAAACTGCGCCTGCGTCTTTTCCCTGCGCCTGTGGGCATTCGCCCGTAATCCAGAATCTCCAATGTGCCTCATTCTTTCTCCGGACTCCAAATATTTCTCATCCAGGCTATGACATAGCCGTCTGCAGCCTTCAATTTTCCTCCCTCGGTGTGCATTTTGTTTGTTTCATAATGGCAGAGTATTGGAAATCAACGGTTAGTTCCCCTTGTTCAATGGTCTCCCAAAGTCTGCGACGGGACTAACTATTTTCGTGTTAGCCCAAGTACTGGTGCAAACACTGCAGTGTCTATGTCAAAGACACTCCGTTCGAGCGCAGACAACATGAAGCAACAGCAAGACACGAGAATAACCTGAAACGATTCCTTAGAGATATCCAGAACAGTCATGAGAAAGGTGAGCGGGAGAAAGAGCGGGCGAAGTCTGAAGTGGAGAGGTTGGCCAAAATCGGTGGTGGCACCGCTCAGCAAGCATCGTCTCTGTCTTCTGGGACAGCCGCCAAACCTTCATCGGCCGCCTCAGTAAGGAAGCAAGCAGCAGCACCCACAGCTGCTGACCAGAAAAGACAATGGGCCCAATTGGCCGAGATGGGTATCCAAGTACCGGAGAATTACAGAGCGGAAATGGCCATGGCCGGAGACTGGACGGTAGTGTCACAAAAGTCGGTTACTGAATCACCACTAGAGGAGCGCTTAAGTACTGGAGTAAAAAGGCGCAAGTTTGAAGGTCAAGAAGAACAGGAAGAAGCCGGGGAGACTGTGGCCCGACGTGGTTGGGGTTCAACAACTCGACAATATCCGGGGAAAGATACCACAGACCTCGATGATCTACTCTCCGCCACGGTACCTCTGAAGAAAGAAGAGGCCGTTTCGCCGTCGCTGGAAGAAAAGAAGCCAAAGGACGAGGACGGTTTGAAGCAGGAAGACAAAGCTGCATCTGGCCAGGAGTCGGACAACAATTCCAAACGTACATCGACCAAACAAGAGGGTCCGAACTACCCCGACGGCACAACCGAGAACCCTCGAGTCAAGAATGAGATCAGTGATGAGCAGACCGATCGCTCGCTCGACAAGATCCCAGAGGCTACACCGATCCCAGTTTTCAAGAAGAAGCGCAAAGCTAAAGCGTCCTGAAACAACTCACGTCATCTTTGCGACGGTATTTTGTATCTCGACCAGCACAAGCGAACCGAGCAGCTCAGATAAGCGAGATCAAACGCGAAGCAGCATTCCGAGTTTGTTGCCGCGTGATACTTCAGGTCTGAAGTCAAATTAAGACGACAACGGAACATCCGCACCGACGTTGTTGATTGACAGCGATTGTACGTGATAATGGCCACGTGCAGGTACCGTCATACACCTGCGCACGTTGTATAACTCCACTGACAGTTCCATCCTCGTCTGAGAAGAGGGCTCGGGGAGGGTGTCTGTTGGATTGTGCTTCATGTCAGTACAACGCCGGAGGTGATGTGATCGATCCTGAATCCGCGTTTGGCTACGTGCATCAGCAGAAGTGGAGCTGGATCGATTCATCAGCTTGAACCATGCATCGGTGGTCTTGCTCTCTTTTTAAATGCCACGTCCGGAATGGTTGGGCATCGCCTGCCGTAAGCCCCTGTGAGTGTAATCGTATCAATGGTAAGCAGAGGACACTCTGACATGAAGTAGTGACAATGGCAAAGCGTGAACGCTGACTCATCGAGTGGAAAAGTCCCATAAACCATATTCCCTAATTCTCAGGGTATTTGTACGGGGGTTCCTAAGGTAGGACAAGATAACACACCTTAGAGACATCCCTGGACACAGCTCCGTCACGACTCCTATGTCTCTTCTTTCATCTCACAATAATATCGTGTTGTGGTACGATGGAGGAGGATTTTAGGCATCGAGCCAATGGCAGCAGGGCCAAATTGGGGCGAGTCGTATCGACTCTTGTCCAGCCATGCAGCAACTCCCCGGCCTCGGTTAGGACACGATTATGCAGCTACTGGTAAGACTCCAACCCAACGCTCATGCGCCCAGCCATTAGGCGGCACAAGCGGTGCAAGTCAACAGGACGTCTTGGTCCAGGGTAGCCTCTCGGGTCTGCATGTACCTTTCCTTGAACGGACATGTCAAGGGCGCAAGGTTTCGTTCGGAGAATTGCTGTTCACCATCAGCCAACAGAGGGCCTTGACAGGGCAATCATCCGCGCATTAGCGCTCGTCTTGCCAGCAGCCCTTCCCACCGCTATGCTTCGCTGTCTTGGTCTGGAGCCTTTTCTTGTGTAGAGACTCTGGTCTGAACGACACATAGTAGTCACGAGCGGGTTGTCGAATGGAGGGGCAATGGCCTTAGCGTCGACAACCCCCTGTCTAGGCGGTCCAGCTTTTGTCAATCAGTGTCTCAGGGAACAATTTTCTTGCATTCTTCGTGTTGAGCAAGGAATCTCATGTGACACAACAAGGCACCACGAGGGGGGTAGGGAAGTGACAAATGAAACTCCGTCCTTGGTACCTAGTTGGATTGCAGATCAGTCGCGCTCCATCCGTGCATGGTGGCTGGGCGATCATACTCGTAACTGATAGGGGAGTGCACCTTGTGTATCTGAACGGCAAGTCAGTGCTCGCTTTCTTTAGAAGATGGCATGGGAACAATGCTAAAGCTGGTCTCGCTTCGAAGCAGACAAAAGCCCGTGCGTCGGATTGGACTCGTGTCGGAGATTTTCTACAGACCGCATCTGAAGAGGTGGTAGTGAACTACTGGGTGTACGGAGTCGGCTTTGGTGTTTAGCGGCCCTTTCTTGGTGTCTGGTTAGGAGGCCTATACTCCGCAGGGCCGGTTCTTGTTCTCTTCGAACAAGTGTTTCAGTTACATAGCGTGACCAGGGTGAAGGTGATCAAACGGACGCTTCAGAGTCCATCACATCCCAATCTGTCCATCTTTGTTTTCCCAACCTCTCCAATAGGTTCGCGAGCGGGCACTGATAGGCGCTCTGGCGTCTTGCAGTGGACCGACCAGGGAAGATTAGGCTAGCTGGAGGGAAGGCTAAGGGAAACGAGGTGAGATAGATTGGGCAAAGCTGGAGAGTAGTTGCTCCTCGGCGTGCTGGAGCCTTGAGGGGGGAGAGTAGACGGACAGGTTGAACGCTGACATGGTGGCATCAGAAAAGATACTACGTCGGCCTGCGCAAAGTGGATTGGACGATAATCGACGAGCGAGAGGAGGTGGTGGATGCGCTCCGGAAACCAGACTTGTTCGTGGACTCGCCGACTGGACTGATACAAGGTCGGACTCCATTTCTCGAAAGTCAGCTAGCAGGGTTCTAGAGTGACTTGGCAACGGTCAAGAAGCACTGTGACAGGAATTCAATTGCTGTTTTGGAACAGGAAAGAGAGGGTTGACCAGGGGTAAGGGATTGTAGGGAGTAAGAAAAGGGAAGAAAGGCTCACGAAGAAGAGACAGGGGGGTGAACGGAGCAGTTTACCAGCCCACCAGCCCTGGAGTGGTGGTGACTTTCGACGGTGACAGTACGGAGTACTCGTACTGTCTACAGTGGTGCTCCATACGGAGTAGGGAAACACTGTATCGACTCCCCTCCGACCACAAGGTACGTACGCGTGCGTCTTACCAGGATTTATTCGTCTCCGTTCGGAAAGGCTTCGCGTCCAGACGCATCCTCGGTGACTGTGGCCCTTTTTTCGCATTCTCTTACTCTCCCGTACGAGTATGAGTATGAGCCTGGGATGTTTACAGTACGAGTACCTCCTACCGCCTACTACGGAGTACTCCATAGGCACTACCCTCTACTGTCCTCTACGCTTGTGGATGCCGCCTTCGGTGCCGTGGGTTGATAGCGGCTGCTGCCCATTTTAATTTCTCCATCCTATGTCTCCTTTGCCTCTTCGTCGTGCGATTGTTACTCTGTATAGCTAGCAGCCCCGATGCGCCATTCCATGCAGCAGACCCAGGCGGGCAGCACTAGGGACTGGCAATGCACTTATCCTGGTACGTCTAAGCTGCATAGACTTACGCCTAGGGTCGTTTGGCGCCGGGAGATGCCCTAAGCGAGAAGCCTTTCGACAAGGAACCAGGGGCCTTGGAGACTCCTCCTTCACGACCTTCTGATCAACGCACAGCATGGTGAGCCTAGGGCCTTTTTGGCGGCTGGGTCAAGCTCCAGTACCGAGGGCGAATGCTTCGAGCAGTCTGCTGGTCTCATCCACCATGGAAGCTACTGTGAGTGGAATGCTGGTTGTCAAAAAAAGGCTTGTCGCTGTCTAGGGCGGTTGAGCGAGTCGAAGCGATCCCAAGCGAGGCTCGTTCCAATTTCGCCATCCATCTGATTTCTGCTCACTGCGCTTCGGCATTTGGGCGTCCGCGACACCTTGAGCAAAGCTGCATCCAAACGGGCCACTTGCGAGACGTTTCAACTGGCCTGAAAGGGCCGACTCCAGTCTCGTCTTTACCACCCTGGCCGCCCTTCCGGTCATGCCATGCCCACCTCCATCGACGTACATGTTGCCGTGGGTGCATCCATCACCAACACCTGGCTTCCTGACATATTCGCTTGACTTTGGTTCCGATGTCAATCCTGGTTTTCTCAAGCGTTCAGTTACTTTTTCGCCTGTTGTTCGCTCCTTAGCATCGCATGCCTGTTTGTCTGCATTTTGCCGCATCGTTCTTCCAACCTTCTTGCAGGCCGTGAGTGTGATAGACTATCCGCGAGACCAAGCGGTGAGACTGATGAGATCAACACTGACCGATTTCTTTGGCAGTAATGAGCGTACTCTCTGACATCTGAATCTCGACGACAAGGGGACCCGGGACAATCATATTGGACAGCACCATCTCCCAGCAGACTTTTTGTCTACGCGCCTTCTATCGACAGCACACTCAGCTGTGCGCCGGTCTCTTGCTTTCTGCTGGCCTGGGCCTACCCGCTGGACAGCGGCAGGAGGCAGAAGCATTGGACCCGATGAACTATTCAAATATGACCACCGCGGCTCTCCAACCGGCGTCGGGGTCGATTAGTCTTCCTCCCATCAGCAGTATTGAATTCCAGTCACAAATTGCGCATCATCGGTCGTCGCCAGAAGTGGTACAACCGCTGCCACCACCGCCGCCTACAGCGCCACGTGTACTACCACCGCTTCCATATCCTCCCTACGGAGCACGACCTGCGATGGTACCTCCTCCACCGCCGCCACCTGTGCCTCATGGCTACATCGACACGAGGCCTCTATATCCCGGTCTTCCAACCGCCTACCAGCCCATGCCAGGGCGCATGCCACTACCTTCCTCGGCCGACCCTAGTCTTATTGTCCATCCTCCGCGACACAAGGCAAAGGAGGTGAAGAGACGGACGAAAACAGGTTGTCTTACATGCCGGAAACGGCGCATCAAAGTGAGTTGGAGCGACTTTTATTTTTTGTCATCTGGTTGTCCCGGGCCCTCTGTCGCGACGGCAGGAGGTTTCTCATATTTCCTATCTACAACTCCTGGCATAGATGACAGGCAGAGTACAATGTGTTGGCGGTCGCGAAAATTCCACGCAGGTGTAGTGCAGGAGAGAGAATAGGCGGGCAGGTTTAGGCGGATCTCCACTTAGGGACTCGTGGTGGCTTGCAGCCACCGAAATACAGCCCCCCGAGTCACCCACAGACCATGCCTGTTCCTCCCCAAAAGCCTGTGATCGGCGCTGCCAATGCCGCCGTCACACAAACTTCCACCACAACCACAAACAACAATTCACAGCTTTGTTTGACATCAAATCTCTCACAACACCAGCACTACCCTAGTCGGCGAGCGCGGTCGTGCCTGTCCAGTATTACTGCTGGCTCCTCGCATGCTCTGCAAATTTGCGACCCTCCATCATCTATCTTAGCCCTCTCTTAGAGTGAAATTCTTTTCATCGCGTCAAGCTGACCACTCTTGACAGTGTGACGAAGGTCGACCTGAGTGCAGAAATTGCATGAAAAGTAAGCGCCATTGTCAAGGATACGACCCGGTCTTTCAATCACAAGGCCCGCATTCTCTGCATCCCGCACCAGCAAGCTCTCACCCTTCGACAACCGCGCCGGTGAATAATCAACAACAAAGATACAGCTCAGTTCCAATTAGCCCATCAATCAGTGGGCCGAACTCGACAATCGTTCCTAGTACACCGCAAAGTCACAACGAGTATCAATACCCGCGACCGCCTGAACAAGTCCTCCCACACCTGAACCAACCGTATCATATGGAGAGCAACTCCCAGGCTGGAATATCTTCATACCCGCATCCCCAACCCGGACGTCGTAAGTCATGGACAACTGGAGGAGACTTTCTAGGTCTAACCTACCATTAGTGCAATAATGGAGGACGTGCATCACCCTTCTGCCGGAAGAAGTATCGAAAGTATTTGTACCATTGCAGGTACAAAGGTTCCCAGCATCCCACCTATTCCCCCCGATTCAGTTCCCAACCTTGAATCGATCCGCAAAGTGTATGATCTTGAATTTGCTCCGGGCCTCGACAGGTTTCTAGAATCCGGCTCGTCCAAATGGTTCGCGAGAGAAGGATTCGCCTTATTGAGCTCGGATCGAAATCAGCTCGGACGTATGCTGGCTTACCTTACGTTGGTCAGTAATCAGTCCGAGGGCTCGAGCGAAAACGCTACCCTCGCAAGTCAAGAAGCCCGCGTCACCTGGGCCCTGCTCGAGTTGTGTATCCGACCTGAACACGACGGTGGGGAGGAAGCAGATAGACTCGCTCGCCGTTGCCGAGCAATAGCTTCAATATTGACGGGCGAGCCATTCTCGAGTCCGACCACCTCGATCGCAGACTTTGTGCATCAGGACGAAGTGGAGCCAGAACCGAAAATGAATGCTCTAGAGAAACAACTTGCAAGACGGTGCGATGAATTTTGGCAACTCGTCGAGAACGCGGCTACAAGCCAAGGACCCAATGGGAATGGCATCTCTCCTACGGCGGTGCAGCAGTGTCGACCTTTACTTGATGGGATGGAAAACCGAGACATCATTTACAGCATCATGTTATTGGGATCAAGGACTAATGGCAACGGTGACCTCACTTCGGAGAGAGAACTGGCGAAGAGATATCTCGAATCTCAGGCGAATGGACGTGCTACGAATCCAGTCTTTGCAACTATTTCAGGCATGGCGTTGAGGGCATACACGACGTGAAAAGGTCGTCTATCAGCTTTAATGAGGAGAGGTGTGGTCCTCTTTTTTCTTTCTACATGGTACTCGTACTTTGTTTTACTCCTTTGGCGTCGATACCATAAGAATGGTTTGGCGAACATCGCAAAGGATTACGCACCAATACCCCCTATCGTTTGATGGAATTTTATTTTTTATGTGTGAGAAAAGGGAACGGATGGGTCAGGCCAGGATTGGAGGAAATCACGTTTCATTTCAGACTCAACACCATGGCTATGGACCATGCTGTACAACTTTCTTTCTTAAGTTGACTACCTAGGTACAGATGGGCACGGGTTAACTATGCTATGGGTCAGTGGCGAATCTAGAGCAAGAGGTTTATGCTCTAACAAACAAGATTGTACATGGCAGATACAGTATGTGTCTCCCTTTTTTGGACCGAGACTAGATGTGCTTAGATGTGCTTTTCTGTTTTTGTACAAACCCCCCAACGAAGATTGAAGGTTCTTGAAGATGTTTGATTTATGTGTCTGTTCACTAACATCTGTCAAAAAAGTCATTCTGCAGACGGTGTACAAGTAGTCAGTTTGACAGGAAACGGTGTTGCATGACTGAAAAGCCTCGAGGGTTTTGTTCTTGTCCAACTCTAAGCGAGACAAGAGCTATTGAAAGTCAAAAGACGGACTCGGGAAGGGTAGTTTCGTCTTTCGAGTCTTGCGAAGGGGGTCTATGCGGTTCTCTTTTTTTGTTCCGTTAGCTCATAACTCTTACCGGGGCGGGAGATCACCGCTTGGATCATTATTGTCCTTTTCCTTACTCCGTAGTAGAACAAAAAAGAGAAAAGGGATCAGCCGGGACGCGGGAAGAAAAGGGGGGGGGGAAAGAGGAACCGTGGTTATGGCGGGTGCGGGGGGTGGTGGTGGTGGTGTTGGTGGGTAAAAATCAAAAAGAAGGAACGGCTCTCGCCTTCTACCCTTCTACCCGGGGGCGGGCACACAGACATTATATGGAGTGGTTCATTACATATGTACATACTGTACACTACCTTTTTGCAAGGTAAGACCTGAATGAACGGGGAGCTCGGAGTCAAGTACGGCCAGTACATACTCTTAAGAACATCTCTTTCCGGGGGCGGTACTTGGTTCAGAGTAACTCGCACAAGTCACCCGGTCCAATTCGACGAAAGGAGGGAGACGAAAAAAAAACATGGGGAAAATGACATACACATACTCCGTATGTGGGAATTATAATTGCATTACTACCGAGTACGGAGTATGGAGTATTAGGTCATGCATTACTCCGTGTTATTATTTGATCGAAAGGGAAAGAAAAGCTACTTGGTACTCGCGTACCACGTTTTGTGAAAGTCTAGACGAGGAGCCACAAGGCTGTACATAAGCGAGGGTGAGAGAAAGGCGAGGCGAGACCTGGGCCGTCCCCTCCCCCCCCCCCCGGGTCGAAGAGGGGAGGGAAGGGAAGTGGGGAGCTAGTTATAGGGTAAACTCGTACGAGTGAGAGAGGGAAAGGAAAGGCGAGGAGAGGAGAGGGAGAGAAAAGCCACAAAAGACGTCAAGCAGATCATGGCGTGGATGGTGGATGAGAAATGTATGTACTTGGAAATGTCCAGGTTTGATATCGAATCGCTTGAAATTTCCCCTCGGGGGGTTTTTCTTCCAACAGATATTAAGCAAAACAAACCCATGTGTACACGAACGTGTGAATGTGACGTGACTTGGTCTTGATCTTTGGACCTTTTGAGGTCCTTTTTTTGCAACATGTCAAAACAGCAAGCGCCATCTCGTGGATTTCACCGTCCTCACACTTTGGACAACCGTCGGAGGTATTTGTATTGTAGTTACTCGGATTTCGCTTTCGCTCTCGGTTTTTCCCTCTTGTCAGTACATGCCAGAATCAAAAGAGAGAGAGAGAGAAAGAACGCATGTCTTTTGCTCGGTGGAGGTCAAATGTCGCTTTTTCGAGACCACATCGAAACCCGTCAACACACACACACACAACTGCAAACCAGTTTTCTTATTTTGGACGGCGTGACAGGGCACCGTCATTCCATCAATGCACAATAATAATGCCCAACCTTTGACATGTTGGAAAAGGGGGGTTCGTTGACAAAGGCATGGTAAAAACAAAACATGTGGTTGTGAATCCCCCCCCTCGTGGTCTGGCCTCTCTACTTTTCCCACATGGCACGCACGAACTCACGCACGGGTACAATCCCATTGTGCTCGTGACAATAAAGTGACAGTTGGAACGGTGTGGAAGGTGGACCCAAAACTACAGTAAATACGGAATATGTTCCTAGCGATGCGAGTCGAATGACTTTTTTCACACAGAAGGACGGTGGAAATGGAAAAGGAATAAATGACGGCAGAACTATTGCCTCGTTGGCACATTTGACACATTGCATGGAGATGGCCACCCAGGTGGACTCATTGGACTCATATTCGTATGATACCTAGATTTTAGACTCGAGAACGGCATGACCAGAACAGGGGATAGGAAAGTGTCCTCCCCAACTAGATAAGACAGGACCCGTGGGATGTCTGGGCCGTCATTAATGAACCGGGCCTCAAGAGCCAAAGTAACTTCGGTTCCAGCATTTGACAGCTGCAAGGATGCCTTAGAGAGCCTGCACATGTTATAAAAGAAATGCGTACGAGGGTTTGGAATTTACTAAACCCGTACGGAGTAGAAGCAGTCGTGTCGGTTACCCTCGAGCGCGGTCCAGATGGTTGCATACTCACATGTGGGCTCCCGATCGAAGAGATTTGAACAAGGGTATAGAGATCGGGGTGCTGGGAAATAGACGGCTCTACGAATCCTGCTTCCCTCTCGGTACACCACACGGCTTCGATGGTGAGCAGCTGACCAGCATCCTCCCCGGTGGATAATCTGACACAAATCACGGAAATGCCAACTTTGGTCGCCACTGACCAACTGACTCCTGCATCCTCCTTGAGCAGGGGGATAGAAAGTGGAAAATGAACAGACTGAGACAAAGTCACCTAGCATGAACCAGGGTGTTTGGTTTGTAAGAAACACCATCTGATAACCATCTTCGGATAGCCCATTGCAATCTCGGGTACATAGTCCATGAATCATGATGATGCGACGAGAGGAATGTAATGCACACAAGCCCAAATCCCCTCCGCTACCCGTTGTGTCCTTTCTTCCTCCAAATCATTGTGACCACCAATTCTGTTCCTGTAACAAGTCCAAGTAAACGAGTGTGTACTCTTAGATCCAAGAGAGACATCTGTGACTTCTATCTTATCCCCCGAACAGGTTACGACTTTCCATTGTGTAATGGCCTGCCAGATGAGGTCTTGTTGGGGTTTCTTTCTACCTTCAATTTGTTGATCAGACTTGAGTCTCTTGTTGTTCCTGGAAATCGTCAGTATCACTCTTCTTCTCATGTAACCGAGAGTCGGCTTTTATACCTCAAGTCTAGCGTCGACGAAATTTGAGTCATATCCAACAAGTTGTAGATCTCTGGAAGTACGACCTCGGTGAAAAGAAAATCTGCTGAGAGGAGAAACCGGCTGCATTTTCTTCGTATGTCCCAGGTAATATCCAGCATATGCAGCACTGGCAACGGCCATAGCTTTTCTCCCATGATTCTGCTCCTTTTGCGACCACGTAGTGCATGTTGACCATGATCTCGTGTTGATCATCATACACTTCAAGAGTAGGTGCCATTTTGCCCCTAACGCAAGGTCTGGTTTGAGTATCTAGCACACTAGGCATCTTAATCCTCAGCTTTGTGGTTCTTCGCGATGGACTCGATCCGCTTGCCACCCAACTTTCTGATCTCGTCTATCAGTGTGCCTTTTGCGTGCATGCTAGCAATATCGTCGCTGCCACCCAAACTCTGAGTATTGACCATGATGTTTGGGACCGTTCTACGGCTAGTCAGCCTTGCGAGCAGATCCTGCAACGTCCGTCCAAGTGTGGGCGCAGGCGTGATGTGATCTTCGTATGAAACAGGAACCGGATCCGTCATTAGGTCAAGTTCGACCACATACGGTTTAGGTACGATGGTGTAAGTTTCGAGTAGGAGTTCTTTTGCACGCTTCGAATATGGACAGTAGGACTTGGAAAATATGATGACTGCGGTACTATTAGCCATTGATCAAACAGAATTGGAAGTGTATCCAACATACTGGGACTCTTTCGAAAGATATCGTAGAGTTCTTCTCTGGCTCTCTCCAGACCATCATCTGTGGGCTTGGGCTTAGAGGGTGTTTCTCCCACTACCGCAGGACTTTCTGTGTTCGAGTTCGCATCCCCCATCTTCTCGACGACGGGCGGCCATTTTGGTTTTGGATTCTCCTTGGGATTTGAGGCAGTTCCTGGAACATGATCTACACGACCAGAATCCGCGATCAAAGCTTCATTCTTTTTGTCCAGTATCCTTTGCAACAGCTGATTCGTTTGTGCAGTCAGTTCCGAATCTGAAAGAGTGCCACGTAGAATGCCTCGACGAGACGACAACGATGACTCGGTGACCTTGCGGAAATCGGTCGTCTCCGGGCCAGAGAAGAAGATGATGTAGATGAGGACAATGGTTGCTGCAACGAAAAGTACGTGGGTGCGGCGAAGGTTTGCCATTTTCGGATGACCTTCGAACGACCTTTACCAGTAAGGAGGATTGAAAGGCGTCTGGTAGAGGTCTTGTTGTTCGCTCTCGTGAGATTCGAGTTGAGGAGAGGCTCGCTTTTTGGAAAAAGTCGATGAACGTCGAACCACACGACGCGATAACCACACACACCCGCCCCCGGCACTCAATATGGTCTATTGCTTGGCTATGATCAAGTAAATAAACGGGAAAGAAATGTAAAGATTAAAAGTGATTCGAGGATGAAGGTCAGAAAAACACCTGAACGCAAGGGGAGCAGAGAACAAGTTTCCTTAGCCAGGTACGCGACGTGCGCGATTCGTTCATCTGGGGAAAGAACGAACTAGGAGATTCCCACACCTAACTTTAGACATGGCGAACGGGCCGTGCAGGCATGTGCAGGGTTCAGTCCATGCCCACAGATCAGGGCCTGTCGCGGGGTATCGATATAATCAACAGGCTTGGATCTGCCCACGAGGATCTACACAAAGGTGGGTGGTTGTCAATGTCGGTACATTCACGACAGAAGATGGTGATGGTCTTACCTTGTCCTTTACTCGACTTTCCCTTCATGATCTTAAGATCTGAGTAGGAAAGTATCTCAGAAACCCCAAAGAGAAGAGTGGAAATGGGCAGGAAACAAGGCGAAGAAAAAGGGACGTCAATATACATTTCATCGGTAGATAGAAGAACTATATTATCATGTGCTCGTACGAAGTTGTCGCGAGCTTTCAAAAACATCCCATTCACTAGTCATCACATATCCCGTGCATTCGGTCTACAAGTTTCCCAACGCCTTACTATTCAAGCATTGTTGTATAAGCAAATCAGATATCGTTACCATTTCATGCCATAAGTCCTCCCAATACGACCTTCTGCAGGCCCATCATTTCCTTTTTCGCACTTTCTCGTGTGGTGTTCTCGAATTCTCGTACTATTGAAGACACCACGACTTTGCGGACTCGTGCGTCGACTTTGGTGAAGAGGTCACCAAGCACGGGCGTACAGATGGATGGTCCTGTCAATATCTGAAGCAATCTCTGGTACGTCTCTATAAGGGCATCGCATAGCGTTGCAAATACCGTAAAGAAGTCAGGAACAAACGGTAGAGGCGGTGTCTGCAGATGTGTATAAGGGCCTTCGTTCGGCAAGAGGGTTGAATTAGGGGCATCAGTTGGTGCCGGCGCTGGAAAAGACGAGACGGTAGGAAAACTGCCTGAGGACATTGCGCCTGAAGGTGATTGTGTGACTAACGTGCTCGCCGAGGAAATGAAAGACGCACTGCTTGTAGTAGCATCAATCGATGGTTGGGATCCGTGATGCCCAACTTCTGGCAAGTTTGGCGGCGATGTCGAGGGCGGGATCATAGGAAGTCCGATGTCAGTTACCGGACCACTTGATTTGCGTGGTCTTGAGGTCGTTGCCGCTCTCTTGAACATCTGCGGGATCCTCGCTCGACTCAGGGAACTTGCTGTGCTGCCATCTGGAGGGTGTAGTTGTTGGAATGACTCGAATTCGCCCAACAGAGTGTTTAGACTCTTCAAGTAATCTTGCGCAACGGCTGCATTTGCGCTGGAGCCATTCTGTGGCGGATGTAGATCGAAAATCGTGGGAAGAGACATTCCCAATATCATGTAGTTCACGGCTCGCCGTGACAGTCGACTGGGAGTATACGATGGTAGTTTCGTAATGTCCGCTTCGGTAAACTGGATCGTATTGAACCAGAACGACCTGCCTTCGTGCGCCTTACGCAAGTAATCCAATGTGGCGATTCTCTTGTTTGCCATCTCTTGTATGTGTGTATAGACTGCACTTGTATTTGTGCCGCCCGAAACTACAGCAGTTGGGAGCATGCCATTGATTGCCAACGCAGAGGCAACATCCAACTCCCCTTTGGCGGTTGCAGGCGTTTCATTCGAAGGATCTTTGCTGCTAACTCTTTGCAATGGCGCTCGTCCACTGACCGTGCCATTCGTGAGCAGAGGTACTGGAAGTGGAAGCGCCATGTTATCGCCCGAAGCCTGGCCGCTCACATCACTGTTTCTTCCGGGGACGGAATCTGCTTTGATAGAATTCAGGGTTGTGGGCGCTGCGGGCGCAGTCGTCGTCCGTTGAAATCCTGGTCGGGGTGGCGCAGAGTGTGGAGGGGACAGGGTCGCATCAATGGAATTGTTAGATCCAAAGGGCTTGTGCCTGCGTGAGGGTGATCTTGTCAATTTGGAGAGGAATCCGGCAGCTCCTCCTCCTCCTGAAGTGCTTGAGCTGATAGAGCCATCTCGAGGTGAAAGCTCTGTCATACTAATAGGACTGATCTCGTACCACCCCAATAGTTGGCCGAATGAGAATCGAGCCTAGACTGAGTGTGGTCCGTCCCAGGGCGAAGCGTGAGTGGTGCTCCGAAGCCTGTTACACAGAGGCCATTGCATGGATTGAGAAAAGGGCGGCGGCGGGAAGGATGGCGGTACCTGCAGGAAGATAGTGCTAGAGAATGCGCGCAGGCAGGGGCTCATCACCACAGGCGTCTGGAGGCTTTGTAGGGGGTTGTTCGTAAAGTGTGGGGAGCCCTGCAAGTCAATTCAGCGGGGGCTTTGCAGGCTTGCACCAGTAATCACCGCCATCGTCTTAGGGGGCCGCACTGCCCAAAGACTCTTCTTGCACCACATGTTTCAGCCTTGGTCAATGGCGCAAGGGTGCTCTCTTCCGAATTCGTTTTGCTGCCGTCGACATTTCGGCTGATCCGACACTCATCGTAATGGACGTTCCCAAGCCAGGCGAGTGGCCAGTCGGCCCCCAAGAAGATCAAGAGCCTCGAAAAGACCGTATTTGGGTGGATGGTTGCTTCGACTTTGCTCACCATGGTAGGTTCGATTATAATCATTGGTAGGTCAAACATCTGACAGATATTGCCAGGCCATGCCGGCGCTTTGCGACAGGCTCGACAGCTTGGTTCCGAACTTTATGTTGGACTTCATTCTGACGAAGAAATTCTGCTGAACAAGGGGCCAACGGTTATGACTTTGAATGAGCGGTGTGTCCATCGATGTCGTGTTATTTTCATCTACTGATTTCGCCAGTGTTGCCGCTGTTGATGCCTGTCGATGGGCGACCAAGTCCATTCCCTACGCACCTTACGTGACATCCTTGCCGTGGATCTCCCATTATGGATGTTGGTATGTAGTTCATGGAGACGACATCACCTCCGATGCCGATGGTGAGGATTGTTATCGCTTCGTCAAGGCTGCTGGCCGCTTCCTGGTGGTTAAGAGGACTGCGGGGATATCGACAACTGATCTTGTTGGAAGAATGTTACTTTGCACCAAGACACATTTCATCAGGTCACTAATGGATGAACTCAAGAGCGATGACGGCGGAGCTGAGAAGCTTGAGAAAATTAAGGAATATGCCACCGATGAGACTGCCCTGAGCCCAGGGTGTGAAGTTTGGAACTGGGCTCGGACTGGTCACGACAAGTCCCTACACGAGACGACTGCTCCTGGTACCTTTTCGAAAATCGTCTCTGGCAATGGCCCAAAGCCTGGTCAACGCGTTGTCTATGTTGATGGTGGCTTTGACCTGTTTTCGTCCGGCCACATCGAGTTCCTCAAGCGTGTCAATGAAGCAGAAAAGGGAGAGGCATATGTCGTGGCAGGTGTGCATAATGACGACGTGATCAATCATTGGAAGGGCTTTAACTACCCCATCATGAACATCTTCGAGCGTGGACTTTGTGTGCTGCAATGCAAATACATCCATGCGGTTGTCTTTGGCGCTCCATTTGTTCCTTCACGGCCATATTTGGAGAGCTTACCCTTTGGAAAGATTGATGCTGTCTACCATGGTCCCACGTCGTATCTGACTTCAAGCTTCGACCCGTATCCAGATGCTAAAGAAATGGGCATCCTCCGACAAATCGAATCCCATCCATACGCTCATGTTAACGCGGAAGAGATTGTGGGCCGCATTCTCAAGGGCAGAGAAGCATTCGAGGAGCGACAACGACGAAAAGGTCAAAAAGCCGTGGGAGAGGAAGCCGCACGGGAAAAAGAACTGCTAGAACAACTGCATCAATCAGCTGTAGGTGAGATAGAATAGTCCGATGTTGTGTCCCAGTCTTCCTTTTATTCTGGTGAAGCTATTTACAGATGCCACCTTTCCATACACGCTTAGACAAAGGACCGGCAAGGATATCTGCGAGCATAATTAGTAAAATTGAAGTCTGAAAGAGCGGATTGAAGCGCATACTTTTCTTCATAACTCTGGGGACCGAGGTCGTATTTCACGGCCGATTTTCTGCCAAAGGTGGCCGGCATTGGTGGTAGGCCATTCTCGCCTAGAACCGCAGTTCCCTTTTCCGATTCAAAGTACGCCGCAAGCCCTTTCTCGCCTTCCTGCTTGACAGCAACGAGTTGTTTCTGCCCCTCCTCGCCAGCCAATAATTTGGGACTTGGGTTGGCGGCGCTTCCCATCGTTAACAGACCGACAGCGTCTCTTTGTGTGACTGTGCTCAACGTCGGATATGCTCTTCGAACGTCTCTTTTCCAGTATGGGTTATCTGCGATATCAGCAGCTGGTGTTGTCACAGCTTCATCGTATGATGTAGGGTCAAGACCCCCGGGCGGCGGGTTTCGAAAGTGTTTAACGGGTACACCATTGCTCCGGTTGGAGTCGACTGCGAAGATTCTGCGTATCATTTCCCAGACGCCTGTGCTCTGCTGGGTATATTTCTAGTCCCGTTAGAAGTGATTTGCGCAATGCGTGTAGCTGATTTGGTACCTTTCCAACGGCGACAACATCCTTCAAGGGTTTGGTGGCCATTGTGGCCGCGATCCAAAGCTCCCTCGCAAACCGCAGATGCTAGAAAAGTTGCAAGAAGCGAAGAAGTGAACGTTTGTGCACCGTATTCCGTGTTGTGGCAGTGAACGCTGCACAATGAAGCCGATTTAACGTCGGCCTCATAGGCCAGTCAAAGCTGTCGCTTGGCCTCACGTGACGGGTTTCAGTTACGGTGGATCTTTTGGGCCATCGACGTATTTTACTCGCTTGAACATCAGCCTCGACGATGGCATCAACGCGCAAAATTAATGTACTACCTCCCATTTCTACTCTCAAATTCACGATGGATTCTATCATACAATCAACATCATTTGACCTCTGATGAGGCTCATCCTTCATTTGACCAGGCTCGGGCACGGTAGGCTATCTCTCGTTTGATGAAACCTGGTGGCTCCTGCAGGCGCCACTCATGGAAAAGTCGTATCTCCAAACATCTCCCCTCCTCTCGAAAGTGATCGTGTCCCAGTCCCAGTCTGGAAGAATCGCATGCCATGCTACAGCTCTCTAGCTCATTTTCACCAGTGTCCGAAAGTCCAGACCTCGTGGCCAGTAGCCCACTGGCCGAGACAAGACAGCGGTCATCACCGCCACATGCCAGCCTTGCGGTAGACTCCGTGGCCTCGACAAGTACTCTGCAGTTGTCTGCTAGATGTATTATTTGGTTGAATTCCTATACAGACTTGCTTAGCCCAAGAGGCCGTCCAAACTACCTCTGCCATTTCTTCTCCTTTGTGGTGGCCCGGAGAACCATTATTTACTGACTAGCAGCACGCATTTGTCTAAAATGCCGAGGTTCGAGCCAGTCCCTGATTCTTATAAGGATCTTGAGGGTAAAGTGGTTGTTTTGACTGGTAAGCCAGACCGAGAACGACGTTGTCCTTTGCCGGTTACTGTCGATGAGCTTTGAGTTGCTGACGCTATATAGGAGGTGCCCATGGCGTTGGAGAGGCCGTCGTTCGTTATTTGCATAATGCTGGTGCTCACACCTTCTTCGGAGACATCGATGACAAAGCTTGTCAATCCGTGGTAGATACTCTGAAGGCAGCGAAGCTATCACAAGCCAGTCTATATTTCTTGCATATTGATGTTCGGGAATACGAGGACAATCTTGCTCTGTTCAAACTAGCATATGAGAAGCATGGGAGGGTAGACCATGCATTCTCTATTGCCGGGGTTACTGAGCGACAGAATTGGTTTGAACCAGGCTTGAATCTGCAGAGCGTGGAGATTGCCCCTTCGACAATGGTACTGGATGTCAATTTGACTGGGCTATGTTACTTTGCCCGAATCGCGACGGTATATCTCCGGCAGGGAAACGACAATCACGAACAGGACAAATCCATTTGCCTACTTGGATCTATCGCATCGTTTAAAGAGCAAGCCGGTCTCTTCATATACCAGCCAAGCAAGCACGGCGTGATTGGTCTTATGCGCTCAACACGAAAGATGCTATACCATGAATACGGCATCAGAATCAATACGATTTGCCCATCGCTGATCAATACAGGAATGGCGTCACACATGTATGATCTATGGACAGGACGAGGTTTGCCGGTAAACGAGGCACATGAGGTGGCCGAGTATGTCTTGACCCTAGCGAGCATACCAAAAAGCCCTTTCGTGGGAACTTTGACAGGACTTGCAGTCTACGTCGAAGGTGGCAACGGCTGGGAAATTGAAAGGGATCTGGACAGTGCGGAGGGACACTGGCTAGGTGAAGAGAACACGAAGGCGGTTGCGAGAATCGAGGAAGCATTAGGCGTGGGTTTGAGCTGGACGCAAACGAAATGATCTTCCCAGTGCTACGAGTCTTGGACCAGCTTCGCAACGGCTCTGCGTCCCAAGGTTTTGTTGCAGCACGGCATCTTGGTCATCGTAAGCGGTATTTGAGCCCCCGATCGGAATTCGCTTCGGATTCCCACGTGCTGGAAACTGGGTGAAAAGTCAAAAAACCCTAGATCAGTATACCAACTTGCATATTCTTGGAGCTTCTGCTCGAATCAAAAGATCCCATTGTCGCAACAATGGACAAATCGATTTTTTTGGAAGAAATCAGGCCAATATCGAACAAGCGCTGATCGCCGCAATTGACTGTTTCAACTTGAGCCTTATCAGACTCCGGACTACTCCAGACTAATGACAAAGCTAACAATTGACGGCGTGCATTTGTCCCGAACATCTGGTCCCTGGATATTTTCTGGATGGCTCGACAAGGCAAACAGTCGCACATTGTGTCGGCTGGACCAAGGCGTGAAAGAGCAGATCTCATGATAAGCACTTTATTGCCAGGGTGAGAATTTGCAGCACCCTGGGCCATTCTCATGCTCTAGCAAGTTTGAACATATCTTCCGGTTCTCTAGCCAGCAAGTTTTGAACGCTTACCCACCAGGTCGCTGGAGTAAGTTGATTCTGACTGCCACAGCCTGGAGATGATCCTTGTCGGCATCGACCGACCTCTGAGAATTTCCGATGGCAAATTCTCTATTTCAGGCCAAATCCAATTGTCGGCACATAGAGTTTGTGTCCCAACCTGTCAAACTTGGTCGATTGACATCGCCTCAGCCTATCTCCTTAACAAAGTTCCAGGCTGGCTGTCTACGTGCTAGGCTACAAAGCCCGGCATCACTTTGCGAGTTTACACTCGTGAAGACCACAATGATATGTGTCTAGATCCCTACTATACGAGCTTTAAGGGACTCTTTCACGATTTAGCGGTTTTTGGCACGCCAGAGGGTGGCTCTAAACAAGCTAAATCAATTCGAAGACACTCGTTCTTATCTCTGTTCAAAGCACCGTTGTCTGGCCCAAGTCAGCGTCTATTCGTCGAAGACTCCCCCTATCTCCAGCCATGACCTAAATCCGGCAATTGAGCGCGGAGTACTCCTGTTCTTGGCTCCCGCGCGCGGTGATTCTTGGTATTCAGGCTTATGATAGCAAAGAGGCGTACATGGAGTATATATGATGATGACGGTAAGATGATGGTCATAGTCGGAATCTGCTCTTCTTGTTCTTCCTGCATGAAATACTATACATTGGCTCACAATGACTTCTGAATACGAGTCCAAGGAGATCAAACTCACCGTCGATGCCGCGGGCATTGCAACCGACACCTCTACGGGTGAGGTGAACGACAAATCGATCTGGTTCAAGACGCGACAATGGATTCGAAGTGTTGGAGCCGAAGAGCTAGGTATCGAGCGCATTCCAGAAGAGATGCGGACGAACCAGAACCCACGCGATCTCTTCACTATATTCTTTTCAGTAAGTACTTTCCTACTTTTCTGGCACTCTGATCATACGTCGATCTCAAACTGCTGAAGCATTTGCATAATCGAAAAGATTGCTAATGACGAGCAGGCTAATTGCAATGTTGCTACGCTCGCCTTGGGGTTTCTCGGTCCTACTCTCTTTGGACTTGGATGGTGGGATTCCTTCTGCTGCATCCTCTTCTTCAATCTATTCGGTGCAATTTTCCCAGCACTCGTTGCACGCTATGGCCCGAAACTGGGGTTGAGAACTATGATTATTCCTCGATACTGCTTTGGATGGTGGCCTGCAAAAGCTCTCGCTATTCTTAACTGCATCAACCAAATTGGATGGGCCATGGTGAACGCCATCAGCGGGGCTAGCGTTCTATACGACGTCGGCGATGGTGATCTGCCACTTGCTGTGGCTGTTCTTATCGTCGGTATCTGCGCCGTGGTGATGGGTCTCTTTGGTTACAAGGTGCTCCATCTGTACGACAGGTATTCGTGGATTGTCATGCTCATCTGCTTCATCATCGTGGCCGGATTCGGCGCGAAGCATTTCATCAATATCCCCATGGGCTCGGGCTCCTTGGAAGCTTCGAACGTCTTATCCTTCAGCACGTCAATCATCGGCTTCGAAATTGCATGGCTCCCTGTCGCTGCGGATTATGGTGTCTACATGCGGGAAACGACCAAAGATCGCAAATCGTTCTGGTATGCCTACGGCGGCTTTCTCAGCAGTCAATTGTTCATTGAACTGCTTGGTGCAGCGGTCGGGACCCTGAGTGTCAGTAAGAACAGCTATTTCACCGACGCTTACGGCGCCCGAGGTATTGGTGGTCTCATCGGCGCATCGTTTGGAGCCTACGGCAAGGGAGCGAGAGGCTTCGGCAAGCTCATCGAGGTCCTGCTCGGCCTATCGTGTGTGGCCGTGATCACCACCAACATCTACTCCCTCGGCTTGAGCGTTCAGATGGTCACGCAGAAGCTCCTGGTTGTGCCTCGCTTGGTCTGGTCTCTCATCGGGTCTGTGATATTCTTGGCGGCGGCCATGGCCGGTCGCGACCACCTCGAGGAAGCCATGGAGAACTTCTTATTGATATGTGCATACTGGATCGTGCCATTCTCGACCATCCTGCTCGTTGAGCACTTCATCTGGAGACGGGGATACAAGTACGATGTGACCGCCTGGAATGATCGAACAAAGCTTCCATACGGAATCGCTGCGTCAATCGCCTGGGTCGTCGGTACCGTGCTCGCTCTGCTCACCATGTCACAAACATGGTGGGTCGGACCGATCGCGGCGGGCATCGGGAGCAGTCCGTACGGGACAGATATCAGCTGGATCCTCGCGTTTGCAGCCACTGCGGTTGTCTACGTGCCGTTGAGAATCTGGGAGCAGAAGCAATGGCATCGGTTTGGATGATTCTTGAACATACTCTTTGGTGGATGGGAATTTTTAATTGAGACAATAATCATGTTCGTGATACGTAACAAATTTTGTTGCAACTCTTATCACCTATCGCCAATTAATTTTTTTTCGCTCTTGACAAAGTAATATATACACAATCCCATTGTCCCTCTTCGTGTCGGAGTACTGCTGCTCCGAAGTCAGGAATACAACAGTGCCACCCCAGTATCTTCTATCTGTTTCTATGTAACAGTACACCGAGCCATTCATTGCCTACCTCGAGGACCGCAATCCATCACGGGCTAGTATTCCGACCTATTTTTCATCGAGACTCACTTATGCTCCGGTACAGGCGGATAATCCACCTCGTCCAGGTAGAAACTGAGATCTCCCCTCTCCCTGTCCGCGATCGTCCACCCGTTGCCCAGCCACTCTAGAGAGTCATGGCCAGGTATACTCTCATACTCGTAGTCCTCCCACCTGGGGGTTTCCAGGGTCGCGCGGGCGTGCAAACTACTGCCTGGCCACAAACCCGTGATCTTTCCATTGACCTTGTACCAGCTCGTGCAGTCATCCACGTGCACGGTCCGCGGGAAATAGACATCCAGGTACCTGTTCCAACTGTCCAGCGCGGCAGGTTTAACTTCGATGCTGCGTAGATGTTCGCGCGAAAGTTTTTGGACCGCCTTGACCACGTACCCGATGATGCTCTCGAAGATGATGAGCAGGCTCCCGCCGCCCGTGGCGGAGTTGGGACCGCCTGTGAAGAAGTAGTTGGGGAACCCGGGGACCGAATGAGACATGTACGCCGATGCGTGGTGCGACCATGCGTCCGCGACAGAGACGCCGTCGCGTCCGACGATGGGGAATCGGGGCATGAAGGACGTGTCGAAGCCCGTGGCACAGGCGATCGCGTCAACTTGGTACTCTTTACCGTCGGAAGTCAATATGCCCTGTGGGATCCGAAATATATGTATATGTGAGCTTGCGAGACACGTGAGGGAAGGAGAGAGGGAAAGAGGGCCAAAGGGGGAAATGAATAAAGACGACATACATTCTCAGTCACCTTTTCGATCGGCGTAGTTATAAAGTCCACATTGTCCTGAGTTAGAGCCTCGAGGTAGCCAGGGCCAGGAGTCAATCTCCTGCACCCAGGCACAAACTTGGGCTTCAGCGCCGCGTACACTTCCGGTTTACTGGCCAGCTTGGTCTTCATGTTGGACATGATGGCTTCGGTGCCGGCGATTTCTTCGGGCGACCCGGGAAACAGGCACGGGTAGTCCATGTTGATGAATCGCTCCATGGACTTGCGGAACGTCTTGTAGTACTCCTTGTCGTTGGCGAACCGGTGCAGTTCCTCCGCCGTGTAGGTGTAGTTCCCCGGTTCGTCACCCTTTGCAATGGTGTCTGTGGTGAAGCTTCCCCCGAACGGCTGGCTGATCCATGTTCCGCCACGGGCGAAGTTGTACACTGCCGACGCTTTGGCTTGCAGTTTGGGAAGTATCTGAATGGCTGACGAGCCGCAGCCTATCAAGGCGACTTTCCGGTCCGTCCAGTCCCTGTCCATGTCAGATAGAGCAACATGGACATTTGAAGATCGTGGCGCTGGGGCTTACCACGAGCTGTCCCAATCCGCGGAGTGAAGGAGCTTGCCTTGGAACTTGTCGAGACCGGCGATGCTAGGCCACTTCCACTTGTTCAGCAACCCGGTGGCACTGATCACAACTTCTGTCTCGAGACTTTGCCTGGATTTGACACCGTCCGCGCTCGACGTTTCCAGTTCGACATTCCAAACGCCGACGTCCTGATCCCAAGTTGCTCCGGTGACTTTGGAGTTGTAATGCACGTTCTCAGACACGCCATACTTCCTCGCCACCCCCTTCACGTAATCTTGGATCTCGGCTCCTGGTGAGAAGTACTTGGACCACTGCGTGTTTGGCTCAAACGTGTATTGATACACCGCGGAAGGGATGTCGCATGCGACTCCCGGGTAGCGGTTCTCGTACCTTTTTTTCACACTTGTCAGCATAGGTTCCCCAAGAATTATAGCATTACAATGGTAAGAACGTGTACTGTCAGAGGGGATAAATACATACCATGTGCCACCAACTGAGGGATTCTTCTCTACAATTGTGATCTTGATGTTGGGAACATACTGCTTGAGGCGAATGTACGTGCCGATCCCAGATACACCGGCTCCAATGATGAGAGCTCTGATCTCACGCCCCTGGTCGACAGGTCTATCTTGGAACTGAAACTTGGACTTATCCGCTGATGCCATGATCATTTTGAGAGTCTTCGAAACACAGCAGTTTTGATCAGGGATCTTTGCACCCCCAACCCAGGCACCTACCTACCCTTACAGAGGACAGTCTCCAAGTGGTCTGTAGACTGATTAGCATCATCATTAAAGTCTTTGTCGGCGCGTTCTATCGTATACTCGAGGACTTTGCCGTCCAGAGAGATCGAGTCTAGATGCTGGAAGGTTGACGCTAGAAAATGCCAGGTCGGCAAGGAGAATTGGGTCATTTCTCGTTATCTCGTGGCTGACGGACATGTGCGGGCAACGTGACACGCCTTCGCTCCAGTTGGCAACCGAGACAGAACTCATGGAGGTGTGTCAAACGGTGAGAAACATGGCGCATTCGAATTATCAGACTCGAAGGACAGAGGCTCTTTGCTCTGTCACCTCCTGAGGCCAGCCTGTAGTCGGCAAGGCTGAACTTTCTGTAAAATCTCAGGGATAAAATATGCCAAGGCGCCTCGCCCCAATCAGGAAAGAGTTGATGCTGCCCTGTAAAGCTCTCTTATCATAATGTAGGTGAAGCCTCTCGACGATAGAACTTCAAAAGGTACATTATCTATAGGCTATCAATGGTCAATGGTCCATGGTCCATGGTCCATGGTCCATGGTCCATGGTCTTTTCTTTGGGTTAAATGTTCTGTGACTCCCGTGCCGGGTGCGAACAGACACACACCCCGATAAGATGTTTTCTAACAAGGCCGCACTCGTTAAAGGAGAGAGAACAAGACACGATGGACTTCTCGTTCATACTGCTGTGTAAGGCATTGTGACTCTGACCCAAAGGCAGGAAATAGTTCTAGTCCAAAAGGCCCACTGCAATAGGTAATTGCTCTCAGCATAGTCCAAAATCAGTTGGGTCAAAATCCGCATCCATATCCACCAAGTCCATATCGTCCGTCATCATATTCACATTCAGATCATAATTCTCTTTTCCAGTTAAACCATCGCCACTATCGAGCTCATTCATCACATCCTGCACGACCGGGTTGCTAGCCAAAAGTTTCTCGGCCTGGCCTAAAACTGCGCAACTCCCACGAACCACCTTGTCCGGCGTCCTGAAAGTGCCGTTTCGCTTCTTGGGACTGCCATTAGCGGCGGCCACGGTCCCCAGGGGACGCTGTTCCTTTGTGGGGACGGTCGATGCTGGGTGAGAAGATCCTCGGTCTCCTCCGCGCGTAAACGTACTTTTTTGTGTCGGTCCCGGGATGGCCTCGAACAAATGCGACTGAGTGGCACCCATTGGCAAATCTAAAACCCAGCCTTTGTCGAGCATGATCCTGACCATGCCTTGAAGAATTGGAACGTCACTGCCTCCCAGGGTCTGCTTACTGCCGAGAATAAGTAGCTTACTCCGAGCCCGAGTTACAGCGACGTTCACTCTCCGCCAGTCTTTCAGCAAGTCTCCCACGTGGCTGTTCTTGTTGCTTCTCACGCAACTGAGAATGACGACTTCTTTGTCTCGACCCTGATACTTGTCTGCGGTATGCATCTCGACTTCTCCCGCAGCCACCGATCCAGCTGCAGTTTTGACATCTGACCTGATTAATGCGAGTTGAGAGCGATAAAAGGTTATAACACCGATCGATCGAGGAGCAATGCCCGAGTCAATCAGAGTAGCCACCAATTGAGCCGTCAACTTGGATTCGCATGTGTTTGTGATACGTGCTCCGGACACAGCTTCTTGTCCCGAATCTGGTGAATTGATAGTGTCTGTGTTCAGGAACAAGCACCGTGAGGATGGCAATAGCGCCCGCATGAGCCAGCAGCTACTATCAGACAAACAAAGATCTTGTGAAGACAAAGGCGCAGTCGAAGCAGTATGATGGTGTAGAGTAAGCCCAGCTTCTAAATCAGGAATGTGCAAAGTTCGATTCGCAACCGCTTCGTTGCCACACTTGATTCGGCCAATGTAAACAAGCTCTTTCGACAACAGCATGATGTCCTCTGCCATTCGATACTGGTGTTCTAGATTAACGACTGACTCAGGCTGTGCATCGGACAGGAGCTTGAAAAGGCTGACGTCTAGACCACCTTCTAGAGCTTGTTTGTTCTGCACCAATGGTGGTAACTGGTAGTGATCACCGACGAGGATGAATGTACGGGCCATTCTGATCGGGCCTAAACAGACAGGCAACGTGATCTGAGAAGCTTCGTCGACAATACAATAGTCAAAGGTACGCGCGTTGAAGATGCCATGACTAACTCCAAGGCAGGTCGTCGCCACAACTTTGGTATTTTCCCAAGAATCGCGTAAGTCTTCCATGGTATGTTTCGGGGCCCCGGATAAGTGTGCAAAAGACTTGATATCAGGATGCACTTTGTTAACAGCACCAATGCGTAATATCGGAATCTTGTCATCCTTAATTTTCAACAAGATGTTGTCGACAGCTGTATGAGTGTAAGATGCAAGGAGAACTGATTTGCCCTGTGAGACCAATGCACGGATAATGTGAGCTATAGTGGTTGTCTTGCCTGTTCCAGGCATTCCCAGAATCAAGGCATAATCTTTTGCACTCATGACCTTCTCGATTGCTCGACGCTGGTCGATATTCAAATTCGACTGAGACGCTGTCCCAGTCAAAGTGTACGCTGTTGAACTAACTTTAAACTCGGGAGGTTTGTTGTCGATGATCAACTGTCGAAGTTCACGTGCTCTCCAGAGATCTTTCTCCATCATGCGGATGATGTTATTGCGAGCGGTTGCCATTCCATTAGCAAATTCATCCTTGTCAATCCGGTAAAGAAAAGGCGAGTCGCTGGCAGATGCATCTTCGATCTCGGGAGCAATGACACCCGAGAAGACCTGGTTCTTAACCGAGTCAAATCCCTGCAATGTCCGTGTCGCCTGTCGAAGTTTTCGATCTACTGCCACCACAACTCGGGTGGGCCGTACGTTCGTGACAAAACCTGCAGCAAAGTTGAAGTGACCGTTCTCGTCGGATATCACGATAGGATCCCCTGTGGTGATTTGAGATTCCGTGAACGAATATCCAGGGCGAGGTTTGTGCTTCACAAAGGTGTACTCAAATCTGTTGATCTTCGAGCTCCCGGGATTTTCAAAAGCGGAACCTGGTTGTATCATAACTTCAGAGAAGCATCTGCCGACAGCCTCGCGTTCGGAGCTCAGCATCGTCCATAATTCCCTTCGAAACTTCATACTGTCGCGTTCTTCTCGTGTGAGCAAATCGTCCCACTTTCTGAAAAAGGTCTGATGAGCTGGGCTAAGATGGTCAACCACCTCATTGAATATGTCCCCTAGCCCGCTGGAAACACCGTCGCCGCCTTCTGAAAGCTTGTGATAAATGAAGCAAGCAGGTTTGGAATAGCAGTTCTTGCAGAGATGCTCCTTTTTGATCATTGGCGGCAATGCCAACTTGTCGTGAACATAACAAGAAAGTTCATTCCGCTCAATGATCATATGCCGAAGCTCATTTCTGACGCCCTCCACGCGGAATGTCTTTGATGATTCTAAATAATACAGGATACCACATGTAACGTTGATGTCGTATCTGTCAGACAGGAGCAGAGTGTATAAAGCCGTTTGCACTCGATGTTGTTCAACGTTGTCTCTCTTGCCTGTCTTAAGCTCAAAGGGAACCAGCAGGGTTCTTGGCGCGGAGTCTTCTGGCAGCTTCATCTGTGCTTGCACTGTCGCATCTATGTTACCTTTAAGCCCGTACATGGGAGACCAGATGTGTTCCTCGAGTTCTAGCAGCTTGTTGATTGTGGTCGGAACGAGCAAGCCATGGCGGTCACGAGCCACAGCATCTGGGGATAAAGTATCACCCACAAAGACACTTGCCCAGGCCATTAGCTCAGGTGCTTTCCCAAGTAGATATTCAGCAGCATCTTGCATCTGGACATTGATCTCATAGAGCGACTCGAGATAGTTTGGCAAGATTTTGGCGATGATAGCTCTGATTGTATCGACGTCCCAAGTGTTGATACACAGCGCTTGTCCAAAGACTTCGTGCAAGATATGACCATAGACTTGTGGTTGAGTAGCTGCCCCGGTGGCTTTGACTCTGTCTTGCAGCACTGCTCTTCGCGTGCAAGTGAAAGAATCACCTACCACAGTTGAAGAGATGAGATGATCAGGATGGAGGATTATCATATTTTCGGCGTCATTGACGACGCACTGCCCGGTGCGATCAAAGTTCCCAATGATGTGGACATATGAGCCTTTGTTGCAACGAGTATCATACCAGGACTCGCGGAGGTAGACGATGTAGAGCATACCAGTCTTTTCATCCTTGACGGAGAGCATCTGTAACGTGTCAGAAATGGATAAGTAGCGAAGAGCAGGTGGGCACACTTTTTCTGGTCGCTTACGTCCTGGCTTGTACTCGTACATACTCTCAAACACGTCGATGACAAGGTAACGTTTGATGGCTCTGTTATCCACAATGCTCTATATACTCTATCAGCATTTTTCATCAAATTAGGTCAAGTCCTGAACCCACCGAGCCAGCCGGTTTGCTTCCTCCCCCGGTAAGCGAAGTCGCGTTAGCGATGACGTTCCATAAGTCATCATCGTCATCATCGAAAGCGTCGTCAAATTCATCAAGTGTTTCCAAGCGTTTAGGCTGAACAGCTGTAAAATGTACCTTGTTTGTTTGTTTCTCAGTCGGAGACTTGCTCTGCGAGTCATATTGAGCGGCCAGACCGATCATTTCGTCCATGATGTCTTCGTCGTCATCGTAAAACTCGTCGTCAAACTCCTCGGGAGCCTCATTCATATTGGTTTCATCTGCTAACTCTTTCGACGTCGCGCCAGCTTCATGCATTTGTTCGGCCGCATTCGAAGGGCCAGTGCGACGCTCGTTCCTTGCATTGTAAGTTTCCATCTCTGCCTCGTGCTCGAGTGCATGCTCCAAATTTTCGAAAGCCTCGAGATCAATGCCATCATCTTCAAATTCAGAACTGAAAGACTTGTCCTTCTGAGCATTTCCCTGGGACTTCGGACTGGACGCTTGGGCAAATACATGATCGGCTACGTTTTGTCCACCTCGCGATGCCCAGCCTTGGCTTTGGGGTCGTGTTGGCGATACTAAAGCCTGCGAACGTCTCGCCAGATCTGGCAGAGGGGAAGAACTTGAAGGACTCTCCTCAGTCGGGACAGGTTTCTTAGTCAAACTTTCCTGTATCTTCTCCAAGAGTAGGCCAACACGAGTGTTATTGGACAGGTCGCGACGGAGGATATCTTGTCGAGACGCAGCAAACAGCTGTTTTGTGCGGCCGTGATTGATGTTGGACTCAATCCTCCGGCGCTTTGCTTTAGATGTGGGCCATTCTACTCCGCAGCTGTGTGTTCGGCGAAGGCTGCCATCTTTACTAGTCGTGCTAGGAGTTTGCGGCGACGAGGGGATTAGGTGACCATAATTCGCCGTTGCCTGCCCATCTTGATTATTCTTCGGGGCATTTGCAACGGTGTATCTGTTCCAGAGATCTTGGGTGGGGTCATTGTTTGGAGTTCGTAGGGATTTATTCAAAGTATCGAGGTTTAAAGCATCATTCTGTGCTGAAACGTGTTGTGAGGACGCCGGTGATGAGCTATGTGCACGCTTCCTACTTCTTTGCGTTCCAGCCGCAGCTCCTGATAAGTCTGAGCTATGCGGATCCCACAGCACATGATCTCTTGGTGTTGCTAGTGGCGGAGCACAGTTGAAAGCATCTTCAGTGTTTGCGATGAGATCTTCAAACGGGATGCGTACGGCTGGTGTATGAGGAATCTTTCGTTCGGGAGTGCAGGAGTCAAAGTTGTGTTCATCTTCACTGCATCCATCTATAGGGTTTTGTTGTTGGGATGTCTGGTTTTCCTTGTCTTCTTGTATCGCAGTCAACTTGTTATTGTACGCATGCGCCTTGCCCTTCTTTGGCGATTGAGACGAGGAGGTGAGGGGCGCGGAGGGCATAATTCCAGGGCAAACGTTGTCGACAAGGCATGGCCAAACTAAGGAAAGGAAATGGTGAGTCGTTGCAGCAAGAATTCAGATCCAAAACAATACTCAATGTTTGTGGTCAATGAAAAGACTCGACGCGGTTAAGAAAGAGCGACGCGACAGAACGCGCTGTGCAGACGTGGTCACGGGACTTTCACAGGAATGATGTCATTGGGCACTTACAGCCTCGGACTCGTCAGCTCGTTTTTTACAGAACACAAGAATCGAAGGATCGCAATTGCACAGCCTCCAACACTTCAGGCGCAACACAGCACGAACGGGCAAAGGAGATCACAAGAGATTGCCTTGAGTTGACACAAACACTCTTTCTCCTACGGTCCATATTAAGATCACTCTGACTCGAACGCTCGCCCAATCCCTGGATATGACTTGGCCTCGCACCGCGTCCTCGACATCATACCACGGAGGTCAGGGTTGGCAAACACGAGATCCGAGTTTACCGTGCCGAGTCGTTAAACCTTTGATATGATGAATCAATCCATCTATCTCAACCTGTATCCTAAAGAGCTTTGTACGACATCACGACTCCCTTTACTCGACTAAACGCACCAGACCTCCTGGTCACAAGACCAGCACTTTCAAGTATCACCATGTCACATTCAGCACCACATTCGCCTGCTCGACACCAAGACTCCGATGCGGACTCTAGTGTTTCAGCCTCAAGGCCTTCGCCGAATAAATTAATGCGACTACTCGAATTGAGCGCGGAGAGGGCATCATCGCTACCACCTCGACGATTGTCGTCGCCCGTGAAGAACATTCCGCAGATCCGCCCTCGTTTAAACGAATATTACACTTTCGACCATGCTGTTCAACTTTTCAGACGCTCCAGGAACATTATTGTTCTGAGTGGGGCAGGAATCTCGACCTCTCTAGGGGTTCCGGACTTCCGCTCGACGAATGGCGTCTACAATTTACTGGTGGACTCGAAGTATGACGACCCCCAAGAATTGTTTCACATTGACAACTTCAAGACGGATCCAGGCGAGTTCTTTAAACAGGCTGCAAAGGTCTTCCCTAGAATGCAAGGCCTCGTACCAGCCAATGGGGCCGACAAAGACAGCGCTTCATCTGAGGCTCCTTTGGTTCCCAAGTACAGTGCGACCCACGCCTTTCTCGCCTTGCTTCAAGCTAAAGGAAAGCTTCTCACCAATTACACTCAAAACATTGACGGCTTGGAGACAGCAGCTGGTGTGACGACAGACAAACTCATCCAATGTCACGGGACGTTGTCCACCGCGTCGTGTATGAGTTGTGGGAAGGCGATATCGGCCAGAAAATACATGGCCGTTGTACGCCAAGGCAACATTCCTTTTTGTAAATGTTCACTTGACGTTGATAAAAAGGCGACGAAGCAAAGAGGGCGAAGCGGGAAAAGAAAAAGAAAACGAGACGAACTTGAAGATTCTGACTCTGACATGGAAGAGAGTCGGAGACCTTTTCCCAAGGGTTTACTCAAGCCAGACATGACTTTTTTCGGGGAACACATATCGCAGTCTTACGCTCCCAGGCTGAACATCGATAAGACGAAAGTGGACCTGCTCGTTATCATCGGCACATCCCTAAAAGTCGCTCCGGTAAACGAAATGCTCCTTGCCATACCACCCAATGTACCACAGATCTGGATCAGCAAGGACCGGTGCCAACGAGAAGGTGTCAAGGTTGATATCGAACTCTTGGGCGAATGTGACTTGATCATTGGGGAAATTGCCCGACGGGCCGGGTGGACGGCGGCTTTGGAAAAGCGATTATGGAGTCCTCAAGCCGTGAAGAATGTTCAAATTCCCTCTACCAAGATCAAGACACCTCGGACGGAGACGGAGCAGAGAGGTTCGAACCCAGACAAAGTCGAAGAGGGTTTGCAGATTCGTAGCAAACCGGAGCACGCGTCCGAGGTACCAACCCCTACAGTTGATAAGCCACTCATCAAGGTCAACGATGAAGTGGTCACCGCTGTCGACCTTGACTCTGGTCAAAAGGCATTGGTGGAAAGCTCCGAGAGTCAGACGAAGTCGAGTCAGCCTTCTCTTTCAGCCACGTCGACTTCGACAACAAAGTCGGACGAGCAGAGTGGCAAAGCAGACCAACTGATACTCAAGCCGCCACTTCCACCGTCCAAGGTGAAGATTGAGCTTGAACTGGGCCAGAGGTCGAGGTGGTATGTCCGAAGAGCGAGATGATCTCTGTGTTGTATTCGTCAGGGGACTGAGAGTTTGTCGGTTTTTTTTGTCGTTCACATTTTCACCTGAGAAGGAATTATGTATTAGTTACTGCGTCAGACATCATTCACGTGTATGATTCAAGAGGCAAGGAGATTTGGCAAATGACGCTCGCACGAATACGGGTTCGCAAGGATGATGTTGTAAACAACTAAGCTGTTGGGTATCACCATTGGTCCTCTGCACAGAGTATCACACGTGTCAAGGAGGTCGGATTTCAAGGGAGTGTAGGAATTGGATGGGCGTTGAACACCATGCCTGGAATAAGTCGAGCAACCTCGAAATTGATCCGTCGACAATGGCGACCTTTGGACACTCTGTATGTATGAAAACAACGTCAAAAACAATCAAATGAGAAAATAAACATGAGTTCCGTGCATATCGACTGTCCGTTTCTCACCAAGTACCTATCCATTGTCTATGTCGTCCTAGCTTCCCCGTACTAGCAGTGGAATCAGAGTCTGAAGAAACATCCAAGGCTGTCGTTTAGTATTTGCGAGATCAAGCTCAGTCTTCTTTGCCCGTCCGATTGGCCGCTAGCAAGGCATAACGTCGGGTGGGGTGTCTATCAAAGTGTCTATTTCCCTTTTGCTTCCTCTTGCTCCCGCCCCAGATGGTCGTACAGGATGCTAGAAAGAAAGACACAGGAGAACAAAATCCAACCAGTAATTCCCAACGTCAGCCATCAAGAGGATTCGGATTGTCAACGACATCGTCGCGAGGACAAGAACTTTGCCCTTTCCCGACCCGTTTCGCAGAGTCAGTCTCACTATGACCATGTTCTGATGTGACCACTCGACAGCTTGACGGTTTCTACCAACCATATAAACACGTACGCCTTGGACCTGGAACTGCCGCGCTGAGTCGCCATTGCTGTGAGACATTTACACCGTGGAATTTTGTGTGTTTGCAAGCATTTGTACCTTTCTTCTTTTCGTTCTTAGATTTTTTTTCCTTTGCAAGTCCATTTCTCTAAGCGACAGGTTGTGCGCCCATCTTGCGGAACCAGTCAATGACGCCGGTGTACACCACGAGCAACACACCACCGCCAGGTCCCAGTCTCAGCACCTTTGGCAGGAAACCCTTGTACAGGGCGGCGAAGCCTTCCTCCTTCATGATCGTCCCCAATCCGGGCCAGGCCCAGTTGTACTTGGGCGCGCTGCCGGCGACCTTGGGGCTGTTCTGGATCCTGCTCTTGACCACGTCCATGGGCGTGTTCAGTATCGTCCCGACGGTTCCTCCGATCGCGCCCGACGTGAAATCGGTGAACATGGCCCTGCCCTTTTCCTTCTTCGGGTCGACCTTTGGCATCAGCGCCTTGACCTGGAAGATGCAGCCGAAATAACCGGCGTTCCAGAGGATGTGGCGCCACAGCGTGCTCTCCAGGCCGTTGTACATGGCGAGCGGGCCCTCTGCCTTGACGGTCTTGACCACACAGTCCACGATGCCGTTGTACTTGCCCGCAGACGAGCGGTCCTGGAGTCTGATCTTGACGAGTTCAAAGGGGACGACGACGAAGGACTCGGTGGCACCCGCGGTGGCACCGGTCAGGATGGCGAGAGGTTGCGTCGGCTTCTCGACACCGAAAAGACGACGGTAGAAGACACCCCAGGAGTCGTTGGCGGCGAACTTGGTGGCACGCTTGGGCGCCTCCATCATGATCGGGGCCGCAATGCCACGGTACAGTCTCGAAGGACCCTCGTTTTTGACAATCTTCTTGAAGCAGTCGGCCATGCCGGTGTAGTAATCTTGTCCTGGAATTGGCTTTCCCTGCAGTTGTCTGTGTAAGAACCACATTGTCAGTAGTGGCTTCTTGACGCGATTCTACCAAGATTGATCATCCAGAAAGTGCCAACTTGGGGCGAGAGATATAACTCGACGCCCGTGAGGGGAGTAGCCAAAGTAAGGAACAACCAGGGTATACTAACACTCTCGTCTTGATCACATCCAGCGGATACCTAGAGACATTCACACTTGTCAGCTTCACGGCTCATTCGTTGTTTATTCGCGCAGGGAGTTTTTCGTTGAGTCGCGCGCAGGGGCAGGATGAGAATGGATGTGCGAAAGGTTCATGCACAGCTATGTTGGCTCACATTATCAAAATCTACAAGACACAGGTTAGCAACCAACCGCGACCTGGCATGGGAGTTGCGGTCCCAGTTGTAGCGCGACCGGGGGATAACATACTTCAGACACACCGGCGACAGCGCCAGCAGCGAACTGGTAGACGAAAGGAAGCGGCTTCTCCGTCATCTTGACTTCTTTTTTGTTTTTTTGTTTTTGGTATGTGCTTTATCCGATGGCTGACCAGGAGGTGGTTGAGTCGTGTGTGTGAACGAGCGACCAAGGACGAACGGACACCGAAGAAAGGAGTGGAGAGAGTGAGCCAGAAGAAAGCCTTGCTTTATCCTCGCTACTGTGCGCAAAAGGTGTGAGATGAATCTGGTCGATTTGCTACTACAAAGGTAACCAGCAATAATGTCGGGTATTAATGGATATGGAAGAAATTATTTGTTCTGAAAGCGAGTAGCAGGGCGCAGGAGGGACGATATCGGCTCCCGCTCCGGCGCAGCTTGTGTGGTGATGGACGGATAAATGGCGGCACCAGCCTCCAAAGGGGGAACACTATGCGGGTTGAGTCGGGCACCTACCCAGTATTTCTCTACACCATATGGAGAAACTTGGAGAAGCCCTGCTGCATTTCGGTTATGGATCCGAGCAACTACAGCTACCGATACTCCGTTGGTACGGAGTACCGATAGAGACCTAAGGGAGGGAGGTAATCACAATTTCCCCTTCCCAGAGGGGTCTCCAGATGACCGTACGGACTACAGGATCAAGCAGCAGACTTCGGATAGTAAGCTAGCAAGATCCTCTGTATTTCCCAATGATACAGGACCTAGACACTGGCTGGGCATGTCTGTAATTCGAATCGCAAATGCATGGAAATCCCTTTCGATGCTATTACCTCCTCTACTACAATACAAGCCCCTATGCCGTACCGCAGTCAATCCTGCAAGGACAAGAAAGAAAAAAAAAGATGAGATGTTCCAAAAGGGAAGGGGTATCAAAACTTATATGCCCGAGCAACCGTCAATACAATCAAATAAACCATTCCCAGCGCCAACGAAACAAGACAAAACGAGAGACAGTCAACTCGACTCAAGACAGCACTCCACCCACATCTACCGTCTCGAATTAATGCCATCATGACCAACTGCGGTCTGTTAAGCTGTGACACTTCATCTCAATCCACGTCACGTTTGCTGCAAATGCTGTATACACCATCGGATTCACCACATAATCAGTTCATCTCCATGAATTCGTCCTCTTCCTTGAAGCTGATTCCTCCATGACCGGCACTGTGCCAGTACTGTGGTTGCCCAGGGTTGCTGCCACTTCCCGTGCCACTACCGCCGCTGTGGAAGCCTGGGCTGAGTTCGAAGTTACTTTGGGGGCTCATACTGGAGTTGCCTTGAGCCTTGTCTCCAGCAAGATTGGTGTGGCGAGGCACACGGAGACCGCTTCCGTCTGTCCTAGAGTATGAAAACGTACTTGAATCGTTCTTCTCCATGGCATCCAGGACCTCAGAGCGCATCCGTTTCTCGTCGTCTGTAATCTGAAATGGCCACTGACCACCCAACTGGGTGATGTATGATGCTAACTCATCTTCCTGCTGATATTTCAGATGCAGTGCCCACATTAGGTCTCGTGTCCAGCTGACTGAGCCGTTGAGAATATCACCTTTGTTGGGACCCTTTTCCTTGTCTTCAATGGGCAGCCCAATGGTAATGTTACCCGCAGTACTAGCAGCGCGCCGACCCGAGGCACCTGCAAGCAATGAGGTTGCCGCGTTGTTAGCATTGGGAGGGCTCATGCTAGTAGCACCCATCGTCGGTGACAACGGACCGCTGGTTTGCAATTGTTTCTTGACCTTGTCGTCATCGAGTCGATGCTGTGGTACCAAATGCGATAGGTCTTGTATCCGTTCGTTGATGTTGTCTCGACGTCTTCGTTCCACGGCGTTATGCGAAGCTCGTCTCCGGCGCTTCTTGGCTTCTATGGTTTCTGCACTTGTCATGCCATTTTCAACCTTGGCAGGCAAGGACGCATGTTGTCCAGAGCCAATGGTTTCTGAGATGCCAGCATGATGCATGCCAGTGCCCGGTGATGACAAAGGGGAGTCCAGGTACGAGTGAAGACTTCCGGGAGTGCTATCATACTGGCCAGAAAGAGTCTTAGAGTGGCGGCTGTGTAGATTGGGGGCTCTAATTGGTCGACTATTGGCAAGATTTCCGGACTCTGGAGTGCCAATGTGAAGTCCTGCCATGGCGGCCGCTCGTGGAGTCAATGGCGATCTCTGGTCCGAGGAGGATTTGCGGTTCGCTGATTGTATGCTTGGACGTTTACCGAACTGGCCACCCTGGAGAGGTGACATGTGCTGTGGCAACGAACCCATAGGTCGAAATTGATTGTAGTCGAACGTTCCCAGAAAGGGGCTCTGAATGGGTGGTCCATCCGGCGTACTCGAGTACACGTTGGACATCTGGTTTTGTTGGCTCATGGGTATGGCACCTGAACCTCTGTTATTGTTGCTCGACTGGTTGAGGGTTGTGAAGTCATCCAACATGCCTTGACCATTATGAGAGAAGTCTAGACTTTCCAGCAATTCGCTGTCATCGTAACCTGAATTGCCCATGTTGAAACTCGACGACATGTTGCCGCCAAAGTTGTACTGCATGCCGCCGAAGTTGGACAGTTCGGACGGATTTATGCTTCCATTGTCCTGAACATTGAATTGGTTGTTGAAACCCTGAGAGGTATTGAAGTTGGAAGAAGACATGAACTGATTGGGGTTGTTGCCGAAATCATCGGGCTCGCTCTTGATGTACGGCATCCCACCTGAGGAGTGAGTCATGGTCTAGGGGAAAATAAAGAGGAATGGGTCGGGGCTTAAAGATATAGTGATGGTGATATAAGCGTGTGGTGATCCTCGATAACGTTGTCAAAATCGCATATCACACAGCCTCAGCCATCGCAAAGCTCTTCTCGGTAATAGTGGTCGTCAAGCAAGCCGGATATCGAAGGAAAGTCCCGTCCCGAGGGCGTGGGCAGGTCCGAAAGAGGATAACCAAGAGAGTCTGCTACCAGGGATCTGGCATGTATGACGCGAGTCTCGGACGTATAGAGGATAAGGCTGACTGCAGTATGCGCTGTAAGCAGAGATTCGACCTTGTCCGGGCTGATTCCGTCCTATTGGATGCAGAGTATGACAGTCTTATGAGGGAGAATATAGTGGCGTCAAGCGAGGTGCTCGATCGAGTGAAGCTCGATTGTAATCAAGGACGATTGGTGACGCTTGTGAATTGGCAAGGGTGTTGCAAGGTTTGAGCGCTTGAGACCGCCTTTTCAAATGTATCAATCCTGAATCAAATCCGCGGCGTAAGGGCACGGGCCGGCGATCGCAGATCAAGTAACGTTGCAGTCCGAGAATCACTCGAGATTGCTGATAGTCGAGGGTGTAATCAATGCACACCAACAACTTGCGACGTGGGAATGTGGTTCGAATGTGGAGGAGGGGTTCGGAGAGGTTCGAAGGGATGCGGGCCGGTTAATCGTGGATAAGGCGACAATGCAGTCGAGAGTCGGTTGAGAGATCGCTGAAGTGTGAAGAAGACAGAGTGATGGATGGAGAGGTGCACAGAGTGAGAGCGGGATGTGAAGTCGGTAGAGAATGTTGTCCGCGTTGGTCGTTGGCGTGGCAGAGAGGAAGCGCAATTGAATTGATTGATGAATTGGGGAGGGAGGCCGACGCACACGCCGCCTCGCCGGGTCGAGTTGAAAATGGAAGGAAGGACCTGGCGGCGCCACTGTCAGTCTGTTCTTTCCTCGAGTCAACTTCGGCCTTGGCACGGACTCACTCCTTGGCTGGCTGCAACAACCTGCAGCTTGACTCAATCGTTGTCAGTAGAGAAGTGATTGGGCACTTGAAAGGTACTTGATAGGTGGCTTCAGCTATAGTTGCCTTTGTCTTTCGATCGTCGGATCTGGCGGGGAAATCCAGTCAAACCACGGCAGAAGCAATTCAAAAGCCACCAATGCAGTCGATTGTTAGGGATTCAAATCTAGGAACGAAACGGAGCAGAGAGGTCCTCGCTACGTTCGTCAGGGTCACTAGACTCTTCTTATACCCTCGAATATGCAAGGCTATGTATTGCAGCATTCAGCACCTAACTTAGCATACTCCCTCCGTCCCTTCCACCCACCCTCTGAATTGGGTTTGCGTGTGCACCTTTTCTGTCTCCATCCTCGAGGCGCAGCCACATGAGGCGGAAGGCCCCGGCAATCCAATCGTTCACCCTACCATGCCCTCTTGGCCAAGACCCTGAAATGGGGGGTGCGGTCGATAGGCAATGCGAAAGGCGGCGTATGCATTGTTTCTTGCGGTCGCAAACTCCTAGTCTGTATACTTTATGCCTGCCTTGTCGCGTAGGTCATGACTGTCTCGGGTGGCAGAAGAAGAGGGGTCATGTTGGTGTCCAGCAGCAAAGTCCGCCCACATGGCTTGGTACCAATACACCCTTTTTCCTGCCATGGTTCCGTTCCAGAGTCCAGCATGACTTGCATGTCGAGTAGTCATGATCCCAATAAGAGATCATCCGGGTTGGAACGGACGCAGGTCAAGTGGCCTCGAGAGATCATTTGTCCAGAATCAAATATCAGCCACACCTTACCGTAAAACCCCGCGCTTCAAGGCTGGCAGACGCCATGGCATTCTGCCATCGTTATCAGGAAATGGCAATACGCTCCAGCCATTGGCCCCACGAGGAGTCCTTGGAGCTTAATGGGGATATGGTCGGGATGGAGGAATGCGCTTCTCGCCCGGGCGTTGTGCGACCTTTCACTGCATGTGTCTATCCAACTTTCCCCACGAGTTCTGTCCAGATAACGATCGTTCACTACGATTGCCCCATCGAGTGCAGACTTATGCAGTGCGACTCAAAGGGGCCCAGGATCGCTGGACTACCACTGGAGCATCACGATTTGGACAAGCCAGCGCCTGCCGGATGGTTCGTGCCGAAGGCTTTTGGCGACAGGCTTCTAGCCTGCACCAGCCCACCCCCTGCGATGAGTGCCAGAACGAGAATTAGCTTTGGATTGGTATGTTGATCGTATGTTGATCGTATTGGTGAGCACGCACGGCACGCCCGGGCTTGACGTGACCTGGTCGGATTGTAGACATGATCAGTAATGCAAGTGATAGATACATGAAGGAGTGAGAGATTCGGGCCTGATTGGTGAGCTCCGCATCGATGAGTCTGTGCCAGGCTTAGCGCAATTGTGGCTCTCTTGGATCTGCGGGCCGCTTGACTGCTTTAGCAAACTCTACTTTCTCGACGCAGCCTGCTCTACGACGCCTCGACTGTTGTGAAAGGGTGGTCGGTTCATGCTGGCCGCCGTCTATCGTTCGACATCTTCTACGCATCCATCGTTTCCCCATCTCTGCCTTCCAGGATTCTGAGTGGTTCCACTTCGACGAACGGGCCAACCTGACCTTAGACATTCTGCAGGCAGCCGCCGTCCTATCTTCACAAGCGTTCAATTCCAACCGCTTCTGAGGGCTGCTTTCTGCCAACTTCTTTGTGATCGACTACTCTAGCTCCAATCCATACAAGGTCAGCCTTGTCGGCGAACACATTGCGACTGTAACGCTAGGTCTAAAAAAGACCCCCTACCTCGTCTTCCGCGGGCCTTCTCCTCCTCTTGTTTCTGACACATCGAGCACAATACCGGGTCGAGACTGCGCGCTTCCCAAAAAGAGTTGGACCCCGAAACAGGACAGTATCTGCTTGTGGAAACTACTCCTGCCCAGGTGGCAAGTCGTTTGGTGGGAATAAACGCCTCGAGAAGGGTGGAGTGACCGGTCAAGATGACTTCGACAGTCTTCCGGGACTCGCTGAACTCGTTAGGGTGGTCGAGAAGAGACCCTGATGTGCCGGCCAACACGTCCTCGACCCCCATCCTGTCGAGGCTGTCCTTGCTGAACCCATTTGGAGACAGAGGCTATGTGCAGCTACCCACCCACGAGGCCCCAGGTGCACCGCTGCCTGCGCCGACAAGGAGAGAGGAAGAAGAGGGCTGGTTTGCCTGTAAGTCGTCGAAGTATACATTCTTCAAGCCAAACTCGCTGACCTGCGTGTCACTACAGTAAGCCGATGGGATCGTCTGCTCATATTCGGTGGATGCAATCTTGCCGCGTTGGCATGCTTTGTTATCTGCTTTGCACTATTTCCAGTCCTCTCGCTCAAACCTCGCAAGTTTGCGATTTTGTGAGTGTTTCTATCAATTCCTCTCTGAGTTTATGGCTGCACACCATCCCACTCTGAATCACATGGCCATGTGACTGCGCGTAACCCCATGATGATGTCAGCTCTTCTATATCAAGCATGACGGCTTATGCTGGGGACAATCTGCTTGGCACCCACCCTCGCTTGACATGCTGGGCTACTTCGTATTATGAACCCTGGGCAATGCATTCGTATTCATGGAGAATTCGGTGTGGCTGACGCGTCGCGATAGGTGGTCGGTCGGCTCCCTGCTGTTCCTCGCATCATGGGCTTTCCTGATGGGCCCCTACCAATATGCTGTCCATCTCATGTCGGGGCCTCGACTGCCCTTCACCGCAGCCTACTTCGGATCTATTGTCATGACGATTTACTTCGCCGTCGGGGTGCGTATTTCCCGTTATCTCATACACCATATTGCGATGCTGACATGGCCTGAAGCTCCATTCCACCATCCTGACTCTTTTTTCGTCAATCATTCAACTAGTGGCGCTGGTATGGTATCTGGTCAGCTATTTCCCAATGGGAAGCACGGGCTTGCGCTTTGCGGCGAGGATAGGTGGGGGTAGGGTTGCTGCTTGGATGAACGACTGAAGGCTGTAGTTGTCCAGACATATGTCATAACCTTGTAACATATCTGTCACAGGTGATCGTGCTTGGTGCACACTATTTCATTCGCTGAAGGGAAAAAAATCGGCGTGACCGGCCGGCGTGATCTTCGTCTTCATCAACCATGCTAGTCCTGCTGATCAAGCGAGTCGTCTCCGAACATCTCTTTCGTCGTTGCCGACCTCTCTGACTGCATCTGTGATCAGCTCGCGCAGTTCTCTCTGGCCCTCCTCGGTGTGAAAGTTTTCGCTGGCAGCTAGCTCCTCGATTCTTCTCCTGAATTCTGGATCGGGTTCTTGCTCCATGTTGCTACCCGGGCCGGGGACTGCAGTGTCAATGTTGATGGTTACATTCGGTGGAAGGGTTGGAGGATGTTGAATGCCGTTTGAGACAGGTTCCATGCGGCTAGACACGGCATCTCTGCCAGAAGGCGCATGGCTTCGAAGGTATTCTGCAATCTCTGGATATTCTTGCTCGGCCTCGAATTTCTGTTCGGCGGTCACGCCTTCGTCATTGTTGACATCGACATCAACATGTAACTCTTCGACCAAACATCTTGCAACTTCTGTAGTTTCTGCAACGAACAGGCAGGTCTCTCCATCCTCGTCTTTCAAATTGATATTCACTTTGAACTCGTGAACCAACACTTTCAACAGGTCTACGTGATTGTAGGAGGCAGCTGCATGCAGTAGGGAGTAGCCATGGGCATCCTGCATCGATGCTAACTCAGGCTTCGAACGTAGGAGGGGGAGGAGACGAGGGTCCGGGTCTGGGGTGACTGCGGCAAGGAGGAACGGGTTGAGGTCAGACATGTTGTGACTGTTGTTAGATTGCTATTGCTCAAGTCTGGGCGGCCTCGAAGCACTCTCAGGCGCTGCAGGATCACTGGGAGAATTAAGGCAAAGGCGCAGGTAAAACAAAGAAGTCACACTTTACATATACATTAAGGTCCAAGGTTATCGCGGTATTGGACACAACCTGTGCTGCGCGGGCCAAAGAAAAAAAGGCGGCACCAAAAGACGAATTGAGTCAGTGTGGCCTTGCAGATCTCCAACGCTAAGATTTATCGATACAAGGCTGTCCAGGCACAACTGGCGGCCACAATTTTCCGCCACTTACAGTAGTTCCCTATGAACAAGAAAAAAAGCGACTTCTCCAGAGTAATAGTGTTTCACAGTCCAGTATCGACACCTGCGGAGTCAATACAAAGGTCGTTGAGTCATTGTTGCCTTGGTCTTTTCATGGTGACTGCGGGCGACTTGCTCGTTCTGATGCACCTGCCGATTTCTGCCATAATTATATTTTATTATTTTGAGGGTTTGCTCCTAATCTCGGAATCTCTTTATCGTCAGCCCGTCAACCTTTTCCCTTAAGGATTCAAAAATCTCATCTTAAGACTGAGACGTGTCGGTCTTTGTCGATAACAGTCTCATTACGGTCAGCCCAATCTGCGTTTATCATGAGTCAGGATCCTCACGAGGTCGCTGAACTGGTGAAGACCCTTGAGGCCAATAAAGGCAAAGGTCGTGGCGGCCACAAGGGTTTCTCGTGCAAGAAAACTACTTTCTCTGTCGATGGTTCACAGTCGACCGTCGACTCCTGGAGATTCAATGATTGGGACTACAAACGAGATGACCTTCCAACGTATGCCCGAGGTCTCTTCACCACCAGAAGATCCAATGGTACACCCGAAATCGCCATTCGCGGCTACGACAAATTTTTCAATGTCGATGAAGTTCCCAGTACCAAATGGGTCAGAATTGAGAATGACACTACGGGTCCATATGAGTTGAGCGTCAAGGAGAATGGCTGTATCATCTTCATGTCTGGCCTTGAAGATGGTACGCTTCTGGTCTGCAGCAAGCACTCCACAGGAGCAAGATCCGACGTCGTTCAAAGCCACGCCAAGGTGGGAGAGAAGTGGGTTCACAAGCACCTGGAAAGTGTAGGCAAATCTCCTCGAGATCTAGCTCTGGCACTGAGGAAGATGAATGTGACGGCAGTCGCGGAATTGTGTGATGACGAATTCGAAGAGCATGTTCTTGAGTACCCTCCAGAGACTGCCGGCCTCTATCTGCATGGCATCAACTTCAATCTTCCCGAATTTGCTACCTTATCAGGTCCCGAAGTGCATGAATTTGCCGATGCATGGGGCTTCAAAAAGGCACAATATATCACCATCCAGTCTCTTGATAAGGTCAAGGAGTTCCTGGCAAAATGTGCCGAGACTGGCTCATGGGAGGGAAGAGATACTGAAGGATTCGTGGTCAGATGTAAGCTGAAGAGCAAAGGCGCGAGTTACGCTCCTGATTGGTTCTTCAAGTACAAGTTCGAAGAGCCATATCTGATGTATCGACAATGGAGAGAGTGTACGAAGGCTGTAATCGCAGGCAAACCGCCCAAGATCCGCAAGCACAAGAAAATCACAGAAGAATACCTTACCTACGCACGGCGGCGGTTAGCCCAGGACCCCTCGATCGGTAAGCTGTACAACCAGAATCACGGCATTATCAAGATGAGAGACGGGTTCCTGGCGGAGATAGGACAGAAAGGATCGGATATCATTGCGCAAGAAAAGGCACAGGGAGCAGGTGGCGGCGGCGATGGGCAGGTGTCGCCTGTTGTGTTGGTTCCCATTGCAACGATTGGTTGTGGCAAGACGACTGTAGCAACTGCCCTGGTGCACTTGTTCGGCTTTGGTCACATCCAGAACGACAACATTGAAGGGAAAAGAGATCGACCCCAACGGTTTGCGTATGCTGTGACCAACTCAATGGCGACGCACCGAGTGGTCATTGCTGATCGAAATAACCACCAGAGACGAGAACGTGAACAAATCATCAACGATGTCGGCAAAGTGCTCCCCGAGACACGATTTGTGGCTTTGCATTATGTGCATGAGCCCAAAAACCAGATGCTTGACGACATTCGCATGGTCACACGAGAACGAGTGCTTGAGCGAGGAGATAATCATCAGACCATCCGAGCTGGTAGCAAAGGCCAAGACGAAATCATCTCCATCATGGAAGGGTTTCTTCACCGATTCCAAGGTTGTAACCCTGATTCACCACCGGACAACGATTTTGATGAAGTAATCAACTTGGACGTCACTGCATCATCTCTGGAGAACCTGGAAACTGTCATCACTCACTTGTACAATGCATACCCAGGGCTCCTTCCAGAAGCGATGCCTGGAGACAAGGAAATGCGAGAAGCGATCGAATTCGCAATGCAACATCAAGTCGACAAAAAACATGATCTCGACTTCAACAAATCAGGCCATTCAAACAAAGGACCGAAGAGGACACCACCACCACAGCAGAACCCCGCACCAAGAAAGGCGCTCACTGTGGACCAGTTAGTTGGCAAGCTAGAATATTTCAGTGTGCCTGTCTCTGCGACTCGAATCAATTCGGTATTGAGCACAATGTTTGATTCTGCCGACATAGAAGAGGCACGCATGTTTCGAATGCTAAAGCAGTCACGTCGTATCCAAGGCGAGTTTCATGTAACATTGATCCATCGTGCCTCTGCCAGCCAACACCCCGACATGTGGCAGATGTACACCGAGACCTACAGAGGAGCGGTCGCCAGTGTCGACCTTCGAGAGAACGATAAGTTGATACCGACCATTGGTAGCGCCCGGGTCAAGTTGGAGAGACTGGTATGGGATGATCGTATTATGACTTTCGTTGTTCGCATTTTCCCTGGTCAGGAAGGCAACATGTGGCCAACTGCCAATCCAATCGCGCATATCACGGTTGGGACGTCGGGTGCCGAGGTCAAGCCGGTTGAGAGTAATCAGCTCTTGAGCCGTTGGGAAGCAGGCGACTCTGTTGCCGGTGTGATCCATGACAAGGAGGTTCCGGGGGGAATGATTCTCGAAGGCGCAGTCAAGCCGGTCTTTCAGCGGAATACATTTGGCAGATGAGACGGGAAAAGATGGTGAAATCATCGAAAGGCACGCAAGCCTCTGTACACGAGTAGCATATGATACGGACGTCACGAAAGTATGACTACAGGCATGCAACAGCGAAGGACTCGGTAACTTCATTTAGTTTGGTACTCATATCACAAGTATGTACGGAGTATCAGATACCGAGTACTCGTTTGATACAAAGCATTTCATGTTGGTGGTAGCTCGGTCCAAAGCATTCGTGATTGGTGGTCGCGGGGATGCCGTTGCCTGGTAACAAGCCATTAGCGTGCCAGGCGCGCCTTCCCTCCGTGTCTTCATCCATCGCACCTCGTACTCGTACCCACGGTTCAGTGGGTGCGCCAGAAAGCAGAGCCCTCTTTCATCCATCCTTTTCTTCTCACTACAACCTACCTTGGTTTTCTCTGTACTCTGTATTGTCTCTCTGGTTGGGAAAGCTGCAGCATAGTTCCATTGATCATCGATTACCGCGACCACCCTCCCGTCTTCGTCGAAGTTCTATCAGCGACAAAGAACCTCTGAGATCCGAAGTTTTTGACAGCATCATTGCGGGGCGATCAAGAAGCCACACAGACTGCGGAAGAGACACGGTACTGGAGCACTCGTCCTCGTACAATACTACTGCGTACCAGACCAGCACAAGTCCAGCGACGTGTAGTGGCCCCTACCGAGTTCCTGTTAGGCGCGCCTCTTAGCAGAAAAACGCCCGCCCCGGTTGCCAAGGAAAAAACAACCAGCCCGGCAACTCGAAGCTCCACTGCTTGTTGCTTGTGCTTGGGATTCACTCATTCACTGCTCCAGTGTCTCTCTTGCTACCACATCAACCATCACAACCTCAGCCCAGTATCTGTTGTTCTGGCACTCGACTACTTTTTTCTTTCCTCCCCAAAACAAACCTTCTCGAAGTCTTCCTCCAGCCTTCAAACTGCATCTGGGAGCTTTCTTCCTAGCTGCATCTACCCATCGACGTGTTTCACTGCTACGCATTTTGGATCTGGCACCACTTTCGGCTGGACGCGCTACAACAACATCTCGTGTTTACCGCACTCCTCACCACTCTGCACCACGATCGAGAGCATAGCTAGAGCCTCACGGTCCCACGGCCTCCCTGTTCGACAATCAACTTGACATACACGCAATTTCTCGAGGTTCAAATCTCCAACACTCGCGTCTCAGAGAAGCTCGTGCGTCATTCCCCAATCAGATTGAATTCCTTGCTGCACGTCTCAATCAATGCTAACTGCTAACGACTACCAGGTCTCGAACTCCACGACTTGAACTTCTTCTCTTGCTACCAATCCATAATACTTTCTCGTCCTCTACCTCTCCATACTTGCTCTCTTGAACCGCCATAACGGCGTCGTCTATTCAAGATGCCTGTCGTGAGTCTTCCTCCTACGTCTGGACTGATATCCACACTTTTAACGCGTCTCGTGAACACGCACTGACCTCCTCGCAGTCTCGCACTCGACAGGGTGTAGTTAACAATGAAAATGACGAGAACAACGCTCTTCACTCGACACGATTAACGCGTGCCAAAGCCGCTGGCCTTTCCAACGCCGACACAACCTCACTAGCCAAGAAAGCAACCGCGACAAAGAAGACCACAACAACTACCAATGGCACTCACAGACGCCGTGCGTTGGGCGATGTGACCAACGCTGCCAAGGGTGTCGAGGTGGTTCTGGAAGGGAAAAAGGCTACTGCAGGAAAAGCTGGACTTCCATCAAAGGTTGCTCAACCTACCACGGGTGGTGTGCAAAAGTTGTCGCGAACAAACTCATCAAGAGCTGCTCTGGGCGTCAAAGACAACAATGCCAAATCAAAGACTGCCTCAGATTCCAAGAAGCCCGGCAGTGGCTCAGGTGTGATGGGTGCTAAGAGACGGACACAAACATCGACCTCAACAATCCCCTCATCCAAAGACGCCACACCTGATGTCGAAGAGCCGCCGCGAAAGAAGTCCTGCATAGAAGAGGCTGTCGAAGACCCTCAGCAGAGTGAGGAGAGTTACGACATCGTTGCCGACCTAGACGCAGAAGACCTTGACGACCCATCTATGTGCGCCGAATATGTTCGGGAAATCTTCAACTATTATCGTGCCCTGGAAGATGTTACACAACCCAACCCTCATTACATGGACCATCAGGACGATCTTGAATGGAAGATGAGAGGCATCCTCGTCGACTGGCTCATCGAGGTGCACACTCGCTTCAGGTTGTTGCCGGAATCCCTCTTTCTCGCTGTCAACATCGTCGATAGATTTTTGTCGCAGAAGGTCGTTCCTCTAGACAAGCTGCAATTGGTTGGCATCACTGCCATGTTCATCGCGTCCAAGTACGAAGAGGTTCTCTCGCCACATGTGGGCAACTTTGTTCATGTCGCCGACGATGGCTTTACTGTCGAGGAAGTGCTCAGTGCTGAACGGTATACGCTGTCGACGCTGAAGTACGACCTAAGCTATCCCAACCCGATGAACTTCCTACGCCGAATCTCGAAGGCAGACAACTACGACATCCAGGCTCGTACTCTAGGAAAATACTTCATGGAAATCAGCCTCGTCGACCATCGTTTCTTGGAGTACAAACAGAGTCATGTCGCAGCGGCGGCTATGTACCTTGCTCGCATGATCTTGGAACGTGGCGGATGGGTATGCCACTCCTTGTTCTGTTTGACAGTATGCTAATCTTGCTAGGACGCTACTCTCACCAAGTTCGCCGGGTATTCTGAAGATGAGATCCTACCCGTGTTCGACCTGATGGTTGAATACCTCCAGGCACCTGTCGCTCATGAAGCATTATTCAAGAAATATGCAAGCAAAAAGTTCCTCAAGGGTAAATGACAAACTCGCGCAAGCACTTGACCTTGACGCTGACTCTCGCTAGCTTCGATAATGTCCAGAAAGTGGGCCAAGGACTATGGTGCAAGCCGTTTGAATGGCGGTATTTCTGCTACAAAGGCTGCCTTTTAGAGGTGACCTTGACAGTCCGACATGAGAACACGACTACCCAATCGACGACTGGGAATTCTTGGGACCAAGTCCAGGACCATCTTTGACATGTACGACTACATCAACCTTTCCCACAAAAAGGTCACCCTCCATGTCTGCACCATTCTTTTCTTCTCACGATCAAAATGATATCCCACATAGAATTGCATCAGCATCATTAGCACCGTATCAATATTGCTGCCATCGACAACAGTGACACAGTGTGGCACTTTGACATCAGTTCACCAATTTGTGGCTTCGACTACCAGTTCAAGCACTACGCACAGGCCTGGATCTTCCTCATTGTTAATGGCAGGCTACATTGCACCAGGGTTCTGTTTAGCACATACTGCGTCGGCGTTTGGAAAACTGGAAAGGGCTGCGGCTCATTTCGTCCTTGCAAGCAAATGAATGTTTTTATGGTTATGGCGAACGACGGCGTCATCACGACTGGGGAATGCAGGAATTTGTCTGAACAAATGGTCTTGTTTTTTTTTGTTTGTTTGACTTGAAACTTGAAAATGCTCAACAGCGGAGAAAGAACCGGCTCAGGCGCAAAGGGAGGGAAACATTGCATATGCTTGTTGAAATGGAAAATGGAAGGGAAGCCCAAGTTTGAAGATTGAGCTCATTGGATTCAAAGAGCAATGGTATCAGTGTGTGTTGCACATGGGATTGTCAGAGTGCATTCTTGATTACCATGCATGACTTTTTTCTTTTGCTCTCATTGCAGTATCTGCAGCTCAACAACAAAGCTTTCCTTCTTTAAAGAAACAAGTTTTTTCCTTTGCCATGCCTTTTTTTTTTAACTTGGGGTGTTGGTGAAGTCCATCTTTTGATTTCTCTCGACATTTCTGCCTCGCTTTCTTTCTGTCTGTCTGTCTGTCTGTCTGCGTGTCTCATTGTGTCCCCCTGCCACTTTTGATTCGACTCCTGTAGGTATGTGTTGTATCTGTCGGTGTATGATATGTATATCCGTATTCTTTCACATTCTCTGAATTGGTCGACAATTATACCGTACCGCGGGAGGGCACGGGGGCTCATGAGATGGATCTCTGGCCTTCCCCCCCCTTCCCCCTTTTTTTTTGGCAATTCTCTCTTGGTTCAAAAGGGGGAAAAAAGGGGTTGGTATGAGCGAACTGAGTGAACGACTGGTCCCCTTCCCCCCCCAAAAAGAAAGATTTGATACCTACCTAGGTACAAGTCCCTCGGTTCGGCAGCCAAGTTTGGTACTCGGTCAACCCACCTGGGTAAGAACGAACGAACCCTTTGCCTCTGGTCTCACGATTCTGCCATGTTACGAACTCCAAGGTACTTCCCGTATGGAGTCCGGGAGTATACTACCTACCTGGTACCTGGTCTTGTTTACTTTGGTATTTCACTCTGATGCTGAATTGTAGAAGTTCTCAATCTCGAAAAATTTCCAATCGACTAATTAATTGACTGGTTCAGACCAATTCTGTAACGGCACCGAGTCCGATTTGCTTTTCGTAAAACGTAAACCTCGACGCCATTCATTTTGGGATCCTCATGTCCCACCTCCCGAGTTCGTATTTCATATTCATTGTTTTGGTTCCTGTTTGGGTTTTTTTTCTCCTCCTCAGGTTCAAAGGACAAGATCAGACCTCGTTGGATGGGTATTCGACTTTCGAAATCGGTAGAGTCTCCTCCTTCATCGACCTCATACTGACGAAACGTGACAGGATGGCCGCGGAACCCGCCTTGTCGTTTGTACCCGAAGCTCTCGCCCCACCGAATGGTTGTTGACCTACAACGGCACCTAACAATGACGGGAAGAGTTAGTCGGTCCTCGGAAACATCATTCTCTGGAGAAGAATCCAAAACTTACCTGTACACTTGCAATTGATATAGTAATTGCCCGCGGCGTTTCGTAGAGCCTCTTCGGCATATCTCACCGCAGCACGATCTTGAGCAAAGATTGCCCCCGTGAGACCATATTCTGAAGTGCTGTCCACCAACTTGCAAACTTGTTCAAACGCGTCGGCCTTGGAATCATCATAGACATGACAAGTCAGGATGGGACCGAAGAATTCCGTGGTGAAATTCTTGTGGGTGGGATCTTTCGAGACGTAAATGGTAGGATGAATAAAGTAACCCCTTGAGTCGTCGTATTTTCCTCCGACGATCAATTCAAGGCCCGAGTCGGGTTTCGCGGCTTCGTCAATCACCCCCGACAACTTTTTGAAACTCGCCTCGTGGATGACGGGGCCGATGAAGTTGCCAAACTCCTCCGGCGGTCCGACCTTGAGTTTTTCGGTCTCGGACACCAGTTTCGACCTGAACTCGGGCCAGATCGACGACGGGACGTAGAGTCTCGAACACGCACTGCACTTTTGTCCTTGGTACTCGAACGCGCCGCGGATCGTTTGGGCGACCGCGTTGTCGACGTCGGCGCTGTTGTGGACGAGGTGGAAGTTCTTGCCTCCGGTCTCTCCCACGATCCTAGGGTATCCTTTGTACCGACCCTCGGCGATACCCTGGCCGATTTGGCCGTAGAGTTTCCGGAAGACGGCAGTCGAACCCGTATAGTGTAGCGCGGCGAACTGCTTGTGTGAGAGGACGACTTTTGTGACCTCTTCGGCGTCTCCCGGCACGAACTGGATGACACCGGCGGGGAGCCCAGCTTCCACAAGTATCTGATGGAGCAGGTAGTTCGAGGCGACGGCAGAAGGGCTGGGCTTCCACACCACGACGTTACCCATCAAGGCCGGAGCGCCTGGCAGGTTACCACCGATGGCGGTGAAATTAAAGGGTGAGATGGCATAGACGAACCCTTCCAACGGTCGGTACTCGACCCTGTTCCACACGCCAGGTGAATTGTAGGGAGGTTGTTGTGCATACAACTCTTCCGCATAACGAACGTTGAACCTCAAAAAGTCCACCAGCTCCGCCGCCGAGTCGATCTCTGCCTGCCATGCATTTTTCCCTTGTCCTAGCATCGTGGCTGCCATGATCTCGTATCTGTATTTCGTGCTGATGAGGTCCGCGGCCTTGAGGAAGATGGCGGCCCGATCTGCAAAGGGGAGAGACTCCCAGGCCGGCTTCGCGGCCAGGGCGCCGTCGATGGCGTTCTGGACATCTTCGGCCGAGGCGTTCGAATACTTTGCGACTGAGGTCGAGTGGGAAGATGGGTTGTTCTGGGTCAGGATCGAGGAGGTCTTTATCGATTTGCCCGTGACGACGAGGGGTACCTCGAGGGGACTCTTGGACTTGAATGCCTCCAACGCCGACACCAGGCCCTCTCGGGACGCCGAGCCTTTGGTGTAGTGCGCGTTTGGCTCGTTGGAGATGCTGGGCAGTTTGAAGGCAGCGAAGGTAGACATGGTGGTAGGGGAAGAATGAAATCCGCGGGTGATTGACTGTGTTGTCGTTGTAGGATTGCTGCGTGAACGATGGGAGAGATGGAAGAGATGGCGACGACAAGACCCGGGGACGGCCATCTTGAAGGATATAAGATAGAGAGCAGAAAGAACTCGGCCAACAAACACCGTGGCTTGCCTTGTGAGTTAGATCCAGTTATGATCAATTCGTTACCAAAAAGCAAGAGACCCTGTCTCGACAACCCCGCCGATAGCGCAGGCAATGGCAACGGATTCTCTTATTTAAAAGGGCTGGTGACAACATTTATCTGGCTATTCCCGGTTGTCGTCGGCTCGAGGGTACAATGGAGAAGTCCGCTATCCGTACTCAAGCGGCCTCACTTAACCATGGTATGGAGGCTCTTCAGCAGCGACAAGCAATTCATAGACTTGATATCCGGTGTCGGCATATGAGATGAGTATTTTCACAGATCCATCAGATCCATCAATAGATCATACGTGCCACAAAACAAAAGAAAATATATGCCACAGGGCGGAGCGGAGTCAAAAGAGTCTTCTCTCTCCTACGAGTATCCGTACCCAGGGAGCAAGCAAAAATTTGATCTTCCCAAACCCTCCCAACCAAACTCATCTCATTGCGAATGGACAACCTCCCGTCCTTTCTCGCTTCAGTCTCTCCTTGGTCATCTGCATTTCCTTCTCACCTTTGCCGTTTGCAAACGCCAGGGGACCAACGTTCTTCACCTCGAAACCTTCAGGGTACATGTCCTTGTCTCCCGGTCTCGGGATGCCAATGAGCATATTCACCATCGCACCTGGTCCCCATCGATTCCACAGTGTTGGTTTCACGTACGTCGGTGTCGTGTCCCACCTCACAATATACCGCCGGCCATTTTGGTCGGGTGTCTTCGTCAACAGTTGATTGATCATGAACTTGGGTCTCGGCAGCGCCAGGTATCGTAAGAAGAACCGCCTCAGCTCCATGAAATTGTTCAAGAACTTCGTATAGCTGGGAGGGGCCTTTTCGAACATGATGGCTTCCCTCAGTCTGTCGTCCAAGGGTGCACTGACCATCTTGGTCATCATGCCTTTCATAAAGGACGGGTAGGCATTGATCAAAAGGTTTCTCGTCTGCACCGCCGTGTCGTAGTTGTTCTTGTGAGGCACCATGTGCTTCTTCTCGTACTCCTTTGCCCATTCGTCCAGCTCGCGATAAAAGTGCAAGCCGTCCTTCCATCCAGTCGAGTACGACGGCAAGGGTTCGAAAGAAATGGCCATGCCGTCACCCATGGACTTGTGGTGCACGCCCATGGCGCACTTCTCGAGGTCGGAAAACTGTCGCCATTCATACCTGCCCACCCACTCGACCGGTTGGTTCAAGAACAGCGACAGGGTGTACAGCATGTCGTCGTTGCTGATCTTGCCCTGCTTGATGTAGTGGCCGTGCAGATAGTTGAGCCGAGCGTACCCTTCGTGGCACCGCTCACTGTCCGGGTCGGCGCCGTACATGTCCGATAAGAGCACGCCGGTGTCCGCGTAGCGCTTGCCCACGTTCTTACTCGTGGACAGCTGTGTCGTCTTGACGAGGAGCTCGCTGATGCTGGGAATGCCGTACGTTCGGAAGAGCGCGAATTGTAAACCCTTCTCGAACAAGGCCGGAAATTCCAGGTCGCTGACCGCTGAGAGGATGTCGTGGGCCTCCTGCTCCGTCATGCCTTCGAAGGACGGGTGTTCCGGGGTTCCATATTTGTACTTGGCCTGAAGTGACTTCAGCCGGCGGAAACGTAGGAACGAGCACAGAAAAGGGTACGCCACAAGGGCAGGTACAAGGTATCGAGACCACAGCCACGACCAGGACGAGATTTGCTGGATGGAAGTTGCTGACAGTTTTGCATAAGCCTGGGTGGAAAGGTTGGAAGCCATGGTTTGTCAGCTTCGTTGCGAATGGAATAGGCTGCCACTCGTAAGGGACTCGAGACTGGCTATGGGTTGATCTCTCCCCCTCGATATGTATATATATCTGCACGTAGATACAGGTAGGCAAGAAATACAAGACGATTGGAGCGCAAGTGAGTGGCTGGATGAGAAGAGTGAGGGCAGGGCTGGGAGTAAGAACGTTAGGTATTTAAGAGGTCCAGGAAATCAGCCGCTAGTACGAGTACGAATACGGAGGAGTGTCGTATCCAACCTAACCATCCCAGGGACGGAGGAAGTTGTGAAAGGAGTCCAGGCCATCATCCTCCGTCCTTCATATGCCAGATGTCAGTGGGATTCTACGCAGGCCTCGGCATCTGTTGGTTTATCAGCAGATATACACAGTTCTGTACAGCATTGATGCCAAATTTAACCCAATTGGTGGGTATCCATACTATGACCAAGTCCAATTACCATGCATCCCATTCGGTAGCAGTGCGACGTCGACACGTCGACACGCTGACTCGATGAGACATCCATGCTTGCTCGAAATCCGGAGAGCAACCTAGTTCCACCTACTGGCTCGTATTGCCCTCGTATCATTTTACCAGGCTTCATCACATTGGACACTGTTGCATTCGACTTGAGACTGAGTTGCCCACACCGCTCCCTTGTACTGACCAAAGCAGCCTTTCTCATTTGCCCTCGCATCAAGCCGCAAGATTGACCCAGATCCTTTCCCTATGGCGGCCCGAATACAGTAAATCGATACTGTGTCTATGTACTTTACTCCGGTGTATGTGTTTTGAATGTTCCTTTGCCAGCTTTATATAATGTCTGTTGTATCCCGATGTATACCATATTCATAACGGCACAAGCCAGGTCAGTATAAACAAGGTTACAGCACGTTCTGTGCACAATTTCAGGGCCCGCCGGCCTGGGCCGTATAAGCACCGTTCCCCTATTCGCTTTCAAATGCTGCAATTACATTGTAGACGACCTAAAAACAATGCTCCGTGAAAATGACGAGGCCTCCATCTTACTCCATTGTCGCTGTTCCCTTGGCTATCGAAATAGCTCGTGCTGCTGCCTCCTCGAAAGAATCTGTCATCATGGTCAGCAAGGTGTACAACTTTGATCGACAACAGAACAAGTGCAACTCACCAAAAGCATCTAGCTTCAGCCCACTCTCCTGGATCAGTTTTTGTCCTTCGGCCTCTCTCGTTCCCCGTAACCGCACGACCACTGGAACCTTGAGGTTCAGATCCTTGAATGCCATGAGAATGCCATTTGCAATCATATCTCCGAGAGTCAGTCCACCAAAGATGTTGACAAAGATGACTTTGACCCTTGGGTCGGACGACACGATTCTGAACCCGGCCTTGATGGTTTCAGACGTTGCTTTACCTCCGGTGTCCATGAAGTTGGCCGGAGATCCACCTCGAGCCACCAACGCATCGACCGTATTCATGGCGAGCCCAGCACCGTTGACAATGGTACCGATTGATCCTTCCCCTGCGAGTTTGACGTAGATCATACCATCTTTCTCCGCCTCCACTTCTTCCTTCACCTCGCTATCCATGTCTCGCAGCGCATGGACGTCTGCTTGTCGCTTGGAGCTACGGAACGCGGCGTCGTCGAAGCCAAATTTGGCACCTTGAACCTGTAGTTCTCCTTGATCGCCCACCGCAAACTTGGTCTGAAGTACAAACGCTTCTTTGGACATGAACAGGTCGACCAGCTCGCCCACCAGCTTGCCAAGTGCTCCTCTTCCGTTGGATGGAATGCCCAAGTGAGACGCTATATCTTCGAGCATCTTCTCGGATGTTGCCTCATTGGTGCCATAGCCAAATGGGAACTTTTTGGACTGCTCGAACGCTCGAGAAGGGTCTGTCGTAGGCGATGCGATTATACAGGGCTGTCGTGCTTCGCGGTCGATAGAGATGGCGAGGAATTTCTCGCCGTTCGCTGCGGGTACATCCACGATCTTGATGCCTCTCTGCTTGAGCATCTCGAATGCTTGTCCTTTCTTGACGTACAGTGTACGCCGTTGTGCCGAGACCGAACTTCTGGACCTGTGCGTTGTAGGTCGGTGGCGGATGGTGTGATATCCTCTCCGCTGTTGTGACGAACCTGTCCTTGACGCCGTTGTGGTCCTCGATCGTTCCGCCAGTAGTCCCTTCATGCCCTCTCCTAGTTTCTCGGGGTGGTCGACAACGGTCACTCCAACGTCCTGCAAGATCTTAATCTTTTGCGCAGCACTTGCCTCACCGGGAGCAGCCCATGCACCGGCGTGACCCATAATGCGACGTGCTGGGGCTTGAACACCGCCAATGACAGACATGAACGGTTTCGGGTTGGCAGTCTTTCTGTTATACTCCCTGATCCACTCTGCTGCTCGTAATTCTGCACTCCCGCCGACTTCGCCGATCATGACAATACCTTCCGTCTTCTCGTCTTCGACCAAGATCTGGAATGCTTCGACAAAGTTCGTCCCGGCGAGTACGTCGCCGCCCATGCTGATTCCGTACGTCTGTCCGAGACCGGCACGAGTGGTCGAGGCTACCGCCTCGTAGCTGAGGGTGCCTGACTTCGCCACGATCCCGACATTGCCTTCCTTGAAGAATGGCAACGGCTGGAACCCCAGACGACATCGTCCGTGAGTGTTGATGATCCCTGGGCAGTTGGCGCCCACCAACCGGGTCTTGGACTGCGTCCGAAGCATCTGGTGTATCCTCATTATGTCGTGGATGGGGATGTGCTCGGCCACCGCCACGATGAGTGGAATCTCGTTCTCAATGGCCTCTTCCATGGCCGCCACTGTACCATTTCCCGGCACGTAGATGGCACTGGCATCGGGCTTGAGCTTCTCCACGGCGGCTTTGACGCTCGGTAGGACTGGCAGACCCAGGTGCTCGCCCTCAAAACCGGGCTTCACGCCGCCTACCACGTTGGTTCCATACTCTATCGACTCTTGTGCATTCATTGTCGCTTGACGGCCTGTGAAACCTTGGTAGAGCACGCGCGTGTGTTTACCGATCTTGAGATTTTGTATCGTGTCCTCGTACGACTGACGTCGAGTCGAGGTCGAGAAAGGTGCTATATTTCCATAGGTGCCGTACTTGGACAGTGACTGGTACGGTGCTATTCGAGACCGCAAGGTCCTCGGCAGTATGAACCTGGTCATGGTCGGTCCACGTGCGAACCAGGTGCGTACGAATAAACAGCGAACGTGTCTGACGAGCAAAGATGCAGGGACAGTATGTACAAGCGATTCGAGTTTCCGAGACGGGAAGCACACCTCAAACACGATCATAGAGAATGAGGGGAATATATACAAAGCCGGGGTGGAGGTATCTTTGGCCAGGGGAAGACGAAACCACGATATCCCAATCCCGAAGTCGGCGAGGAGAAGATGGCGAGGAGAAGATGATGCGGAGCGGCTCATCTCGAAAAGCCCCAAAGCCATTTCCGAGACGCTACTGTTCTTTCGAGAATGTCGCCGACCCGACGACTGCGAGATCGGAGCCTCTGCTTCTCGAGCATTGGTGGAGATGGTAGGAATGCCCCGGAGGATATGGGACGCTACCGAGGCACAGCCTGACCCAATGTCAGCCTTGCTACTCCGTAGAGGTCGTGTTCATAAAGGCCTATGTTTCTTTTTTATTCCTCTCCCTGTATCGAGTTATGCACTCTTGTTTTTTGGTGGGCACCGACGACGCGTACGAGTTACTGTAAGGGCAAGGGGGAAAAGCCTCGGTATGGATTCTTCCCACTCTAATTGCCGCCTGTGTCTCCAATTGCGGGGATTTTTCTCTGGTTTGTCTCAGGCGTCGCAAGGAGCTCGTCACACCCTATAACCCTGGCATTTGGTGCCCAGTGAGCTTTGCATGTGAAGCCTGGGGCCGCCTAAGATACCGCCAAACGTTGTAGCCTAGCTAGGCTTAGTTATCTACAGGGGGTAAGGAAGGGGAGTAGTAGTACTGTAGGTACAATAAGATCACCCGTACGATGCCCCAGAATCTAACTCTGCCCAAAACGTTCCTCTTTGGCTAGCTCGTCCTCCATTCCCCCATCTCCGCTTAATTTTGCCCTGCGTTTCCTGCCGTCGATGATGTTGGTGATGAACTCTTCCTGATTGTCGCGTGCTGAGTGGACAGTCAGGCCGGTGGTGCCACCTATTCCAGACATCCGGACTCTTTTTGTGATCGATGCAACGCTTGTTTTCCACAAACCCATGACATCGCTCCTGGGCTGACCCCAGTATAGTACTTCAGCTCCTGTGACATAGTTGTCCCGAGCCCTTCTCATCATCTTGATGTAGCACAGTCCGGACGTCCCTGCTGGTTCATCCTCAGGAAATACACAGTTTTCGTCGACTCGAGACCCTCGATAACCCTGTCCTCTTTCTAGCCATTTGACCGGCTTCGTCGTAGGAATGGAGTCCAAACTGGCAAATCTTCACATCGACCTACCTCAGACGTCCAAGCTGATGTCGAAGAGCAAGAAAGGGGAGGTGGTGGACTCGTGGGAAGACGACGATGATCTCAGCTCGCCAGACGATGGTGCTGTAACTCCACTCGACGGCACAGAGCCCTCGTTGAAATCTGTAGCGGAAAGAGATCCAGCCTTGAAACCCCCGCCTCCCACGCCCATCTCTCCACCGCCTGGGGCCAGCGAACAATACATGAATTGGCAACCCGCTCAGGTCCTAGGAGGAGGGCGTCCCAAGCCCTACAGCCCAGCCTCGCCCTCGACACCAACCGGCTCAGATCGAGAAAGAGACCAGCGCAGGCCAGAGAAGACCACGGCGGCAGCCAGTCGGATGATCGCGGCCGGCCTGGGCATGAAGGTTCCCAAGAAGACAGAGGAGCAAAGACAGTATGACCGAGCAATCAGAGAACAGGAGGCTCGACGGAAGACCAGAGAGAAGGAGGACAGAGAACGGGAAAGAGAGGCGGACGAGAAGCTGAAGGCGGCAGTGTGGGACGACTGATCCCAAGACAACATTTACTATACGCGGCATTGGAGGTCCTGGACATTGTGTTACCGTTACCTATCGTCTGTTTGCCCATGCGCAAACTCTGTAGTGTGTTGATCGTACGCTCATCGTCGAAGAAAATTCGCTGTCGCGTGGACCTTTGCTGCGCTGCGCGTGGATACAAGTCGGATGGAGGCCACGCAGATCTGATCTGCCTTTGTGGAATTCCTAAGCCTAGGTCTGTATGTATGGATATATGCTATTGCTCGCAGGCACCTGCTGAAATGAGACTGGAGCGCGGAATCACATTCAAAGCACTGAGCAATTCAGCTGAAGAGCTGGAGTCTACCTCTGTAGCTGGAGAAAGAGCCGTTTTGCATTGTATCCTTTTTGGTCGCAACAAAACCATCCTTACGCCTCCTTCTCCGGTCCCATATCTGCAAAAAGGCATCCTATTGTCTCGGCTCTTTTAAACACCAGGCCAATGCCATGCACTATTCGTAGCCATACCCCAGTAGCTGGGTTTGGTCCGAACACGAGCGATCGCACCGACTCAAATCGCCGTTAACCATTTTTGATCCTGTAGTCGTGATAACATAGAGGGTCTTTGTGTGTTTCATGCGGCGCCACCGATCTGCTCTTGATGCACTTCAATACTGTCGCCATCGGCCATGTCCAACTGTGATGTTGATCAGTAAGTGTTTGCGACAAGCGCATCGCGAAAAAGACTCCTCGCTCGAGAAGCGCTGCGAGATTTCGGCGCGTGGGTGTTACTTACAGTGTCTGGGGTGTCCGTGACTTGTACCTTGGTACCATCAAACAAGAACCGAGCACTGCGCATGTCTTTTCCTTGTCTTTCGCAGAATGCCTTCATGAGTTTTTCCAGTTTCGTGCTGCGCTTGATCTTGAAAAACACCTCGTTATTGCCATCGGTCACTTTGATGTTTAGATGTTCCGCACCGCCGGCAGGAGGCACTTCGGCATTGCCATTGGGTGATGGTTGGCCAGCGTCAGACATGTTGGATGGTTGTAAGAGGATGGAGGGATTATGAGAACAGTATGGCGATCGAAGTAGCGCAAGAGCTTCACAGCGCAAGTCTGTATGCCGGAGTTAGTCAATGCCCTGGAACAATGTCTGGCGGAAGGCGGGGCTATGGATGTACCTGCAGAATTGATCAAGTCTTTTGTGGGCAACGATGGTGTTTGCGGGAGAGTGAGAGAGAAAAGGTGAGAGCGCGGTTTAGATGAGTAAGTGTAGGAGAGGCGGAAGAGTGAAAAGAAAGGTTGAGTGAGGGATTGAGAGAGCGAGAAAGCCTCGTCGGAATTAATAAAGTGGTGGTAGAGAATTCCTTAAACTGCGCACGGCGCAAGGTGACGTTTGCCACAACAAGCGAAGATGAGGGCGAAAGAGAATTGGAGAGAAAAGGTCCCTGCACTGTCTCCCCAGGGCTCCAAGGCTCAATTTATTATCAGGGCAACTTATAAGAATTGGGGGAGAGAAGTGCCTCCCTCTATCTCATTCTACCATCATCTCAGCCTCACCAAGTTGTCAATGCGCAAACTTGATTGCTTCACTCCATGTATGATTCTTTGTCATCTTCCCATGATTACAATTCTAGATTGTAACAGACGAGAATGAAACGCCTTTCAATGTTTCCAAATCATTTGAAAGAAACAATGAAAGAACAGAAAAACAATCCATGTCCTGTGTATCTTGATCTATATTCATGTTTGCCTTAGTTTGCCTTATTTTTCCTTTCTGTTGTCTGTCACTCACAGCTCTCTCAAAGAATCTGTTTGTTTCATTTTCAAGCCCCGAATCTCTTACAGCCAGCCTGCAAACCCTCTCAACTCCTTTTCCGAATACTTGCACATCCTTTCTTATCCAGCCGACAGCTCCTTTCTCTCGTCTGTCGACCAAACTGCAGCCTCCATGCCATCCAATCCTCGATGAGAGACTGCTTTTCTGCGCTGCCACTCCGTGAACCACTTTCACATGGCTTTTCTCCATGCAATGGCAAAGCTGCAACCTCTGCTTCCTGTTGGTGTTCCAACCGCCTTATGGGTGGTGTCAAGGTGATGTATTGTGGTTGTGGTGCAAAGGATAAGTCTGCTGGACTTGATTTTGCTGTTGACAAGTATGCTTGGATGGCATCACCAAGTTGCAAATGACCTCTTCCAGCGTATGGCAGAGCAACCACCATATTGAAGGTCAGAGCCAGGTTCAGTAAAAGTATGTACAGCGTTGTAGAGCTCCTCATTGTCGGGTGCCTCATCTCGATTAGGGCACGATTGCGGCTCTTGGGTTGATCTTGGTTGGCCTTTGCCACTGTGAAGCGATCGCAGGCTATACAATTTGATGCAAAGCGTATGTATGTTTTTTTCCTGTCTTGTGTCTGATATTGTAGATCGATGCGGTGTTTTCAATCTTTTTGTATGGGCTAATGAAGTACTGGAGATATACTCGTGGTTCCAAAGTAATAACTAACAACAGTAAAGACACAGAGTCGATGTATATGAAGAGCAAGATACTGACTTCCAGCCTCTTCAGCAGCAGCACAATGGCTGGTGTTCACGGTTTACTGAGCATCCTTATCGTTTTTGACACAACTGACAGCGAAAGGGGAGGCTATGCACGGTCTGTGCAAGGCTAGTGAGCCCACTCAAAAAACCCATGCTCGGACTCCTGATTCTCATCGAAGGCTGATGTCGTGGCCTTATGTGCACAGGGCGTAGTCAAAAGCCCCCATATTGGCCCGTGAGCTGCATGCACTCCTTGTGCGTGCATAAGGAGGATCAATGTGGACCTTTCATAGCCGCACATTGAAACATTTCCCCTTACTGTACCTGTACCTGTACTCGTAGGAAGAGGCTGTGACGATAGTACGAGTACGAGTAGGGAATTCAAGTGCATACATAGGCTGATATCCCCTCCTCGTAGTAAATAAAGTCCTAACTTCTTCTCTATATCGATCATACCATATCGACCAACCCAAGGTCTCCTTAAGAGGGTTGCCTCCTGGTCGATCGAACGACGTCATTTTCCCCTCGCGAGATCTCCCGTGAATCCCTCGAGACTCCTCGCCTGGACAAAAAGACAGTACAAACCACGCTGAACCTTTAAACCTATTGAGGTCGTATACGCCGCTACCACTCGAATGAACCGGTATAAATTAACTTCAGGAACCTCTTGTCGTGCAGGGCCAAAGCCTCTTCCAGCATTGCGTATGCGATAAAGTGAGTAATATCAAGGTCTGCCCTGGTCTTGGTGGCCTTAAACCAACCTTCTTCGCGGCCCGATCATCAAATCGATCACCACGTGCTCGTGCTCGTACTTGCACGAAGCACGAGTACCAGTCGACGACCATCATGGATCTGCAACTTGTCGATCGACAAGGCATTGTTGAGGAGATGCCGTGATGAAGTGCGCCGTTGCCTCAGTGGCCGTGCCCTGCCCAGTATTCACCCGGAGCGCTGTATCGGACCATATTCAGTTAGTGCGTCTCGTACTTTGTCTATTTACAGCCTGGCCAAGTACTCCGTAACACTACCTATACTGACTAGTTGGTACGTATTGCGGAGGATCAATCTGATATTGCACTTTGTCGAGCTCTAGCTTCAAGGAAATCAAGCAGATCAAGCAGATCAAGGTTCTCGCCCCCATCTCCGCCTACTGTTTACTATGTACCTGAGAAGGAAAACCGCTTGGCCATGGACATTCGCCGATACGAGTACGTCATTGACCATGTTCATAGAACAGCGCACAATGCAGAGCATATAAACAATACAACGTGCCTCACAGGATGGATTTGAATCCCAATCAGACTCCTCCCGAAAAGTCAGACTGATCACCTTTGCTCTTCTTCTCCTACAGTGTCAAAAATGCATATTTCCAAACATGTTGCCTTCGTTGTGTCCTTGTGCCTATCACGGACACTCGCCGACTTCACTGGACCTACCTATCCACCACCGCTTGACCTCTCCAGCAACAGCAGCCTAGTCACCGCGAGCTGGAAGAACCTCTCGTCCCAGCTCGACACTTACCTGAATGGTAAAAGCTCCGCGGCAGCAGCGTCCGGCAATGTCACATTCTCCATTGGCATGTTCTCCATGCACGACCCTGCAGCGACAAAACACCAATACCACCATACGTCTCCCGGCGTCGCACATGGCTCATCCGGCGAGGGGACTCGCAGCGTCGACGGAGACAGTGTGTACCGCATCGCCAGCGTGACCAAACTGTTCACCGTCTTCGCGGGACTGGTCGACATGAAGGACGAGGATTGGAACACTCCACTGACCAAGATCATTCCCGAATTGGCCAACTTTACCAAAACCCATGAGGACGGAAGCCCCGTGTACACCACGGCCTGGGACCAGATCACACCGTGGGCCCTCGCGAACCAGATCTCCGGCGTGGCCCGTCAGGGGGTCGCCGCTCTCGATCTGCTCTTCGCGGCGGTGGGCGACCCCAACGCCACGGCGACCCTGATGAAAGAGTACGGCGTGCCATTCGCCAACGCCAGCGACTTGGGGACGTGCCTCGACATCGACTGCACCGTGTCGGCGTACATCCAGGGCGTCATGGGCCAACCTCCCGTGTTCGAACCCTGGACCACCCCGGCCTACGCCAACAACGGCTTCATCCTGCTGGGGATCGCCATCTCCCGGCTCACCAACCGAGCCATGGAGGACATGTACCCTTCGACCATCTTCAAACCACTAGGGATGACCTCCTCGTTCACTTCCGCGCCGACGGACAACGCCACCATCTCCCGGTCGGTCGTCGTCGGTGTTCCCGCGGACGGGTTCGCCGCCGGCAACGGCCTCGCGCTGTCCTCGGGGGGACTGTACAGCACCACCAACGACCTGGCGCGGTTCGGCACCGCCATAGTCAACTCGACCCTGCTCTCACCCCTGACGACGCGCAAGTGGATGAAACCGACCTCGCATACCGCGAGCCTGACTTACACGCACGGAGCCCCTTGGGAGATCATGAGATACGTCCACCCTGAGGGAACCCCCAGCGCTGGGAAAGTGACGGACCTATACACAAAATTGGGTGACAGTGGTTATTATAATGGTCATATGGTGATTATACCAGAGTAAGTACATCTCGTAAAAGTCGCCCTTGGGGGCGTCGATTTTTTTTTTTCATTGTCTTTTTTCTAACCAGTCTCTCATCGCACAGATACGGTGCCGGGTTTACAATCCTAAGTGCCAGCACCAACAATACACTCCGAGCCGCAGTCACAAATGCCGTACTGGACATGATGGCCGCGGCGGTCATTCCGGCTTTGGAGGGTGAAGCTGCCCAACAAGCTCGACACAACCTGGCAGGGACTTATACTTCCGGAAATTCAAAACTCAACTCTACCATGACCATTTCACTTTCCACCGACGACATCGGTAGTAGCGGCAAAAACAACGGTGGCTACGGTGGTGGTTTGAGAATCACCAAATGGGTTTCCAACGGTACCGACGTTTTGGCGTCCGACTTGTTCGCCAACCTACCTACTCGATTACTCCCCAGTCTACCGATGAAGGAAATGAGGTCGCAACCAGGACAATCACCACGACAGGTTGCGTTCCAAGCCACCGTCAATCCTCAAACAGCAAGCTACACGGCGGCCTCGGCCGCGGGGATCGAGGGCGTCATCGGTCCCTTTACCGGTTCCGCGGCCACAAACTCCGACTGGTTGACGGTCGACGGGGCCCACTACGACGACCTGGGCACGAACCTCATCGTCTTCGACCTCGACCCCCAGGGGTACGCCACGAGTTTGACCCCGGCGGCGATGAAGGCGAGTCTCCAGAGGGAAAGGGAAAAGTGACGGACGAGGTATTACAAAACGTGTTACAGTCAATGTACAGAGTATACGTATGTTTGATATATACCCCGACCTATGCTTCGTCCATTGTCGTTTTCGTTCAGAAACAGAGTGAGGCCGCTTTGATCAGGCACGTGATGGAGCATCGGGAACGCCTGGCCTGGCACGGGAGAGCATCATAAGAGCCACGGGAGAGCATCATAAGAGCCACGGCAGAGTACAGGAGATCGCCCGAGCACTGAGCGAGCCAGAGGGAGCGCGCTGCCTAATGCCCGTTAGCAGAAGCCAGTTCGGGCTCAGGGGTCCCTTGATCTCGACTCCTACTTTCTGTTCCGTGTCGTCTCGAGGTCTGTCGCTGGCAGGACGCTGTTCCTGTTTTTCGTAGCGTGCACAACCATGGCACAAAGGATTCACCTTCATGACCAGGCCAACTTCGATTTCCTGCAGAGTACCTGGGAAGGTGCAAACCATTTCGCCGCCGGCCGCAAATCTTCCACTTTATCTGGAGGGACTCCAGCTGCTGAGAGGTGCGCCACGCGCCTTTCTTGGGCGATAGATGCCTGTTTCGCCTTCACTTCAAACCACACGAGCTCTGTCCCGGATGCGTCGTTGATCCAAACCACGGTTGTATCGCCGTCCTTGGTCAATAAGCCGGGGGTCTGGAACAGCGCTGTCCGAGAACGAACCGAGGACATCTATTCGGTTCAGTCGCCGGCCGTAAATCACTGCAGTATGGTAAATCCCGAGCTGTCTGAGACAGAAGTTCTGACCAGAACTCGTACAAGCTCATGACTTCTGCCACGGCGTCGTAAATCTTCGTTCGCGCGTCATCCGTCAAGGGTCCAAGCGAGTGTAAGTCGTCGTTGAAAAAAGTACCGAGGTCCAGTCCCAAAAAAGAGATGACAGGTTCGCAAGGCCCGACGGTCTTACCTGGGGTCGTCCATGATGTGTTGAAATGAATGATGCCCCATGTCAAACACTATGTACATGTTGAACCATGCTTCTCGGCATTCCCGACCGTTTTGCTGATGTATGGTGGCCCCTTCGGACCACCCACTCACAACGGCCTCTAGTCGAAAGGTTGTCGCCGTGTAGACTGCCAGGACGAGGATGTTGAGGGAACCCCCAGGTACATGTTCTTTTGACTCTCTACTTGTTCCGATGGCATGTTCAGGAGCCAGCCCGCGAGTGTAGAGCAACATACCACCTATCCTTCTACACGTACAACCCTTTGGACAATGCCATGAATGCACTTCTCTCACTCAAAGATCGGATCTCATCACGACTGCGAGGGTCGCCAACAATCGCGTGCCAGAGTCCACTCTCGGTGCAAGTTCAAGCCGAACGAATCTCGACCTTGAAGAGATTACCAGTCGAAGTTCTACTGTGTATTGTCTCCTTTTTACCAACGAGCTCTGTTGCCTGTATGAGTCTAATCTCAAAAGTGGCACCACGAAGTTCTCTTCAACCAATTTGATCCAAAATGGCGAGACAACGATACAGAAAAAAGCACACTTTCTTCGACTTCTGGAGGAGGACTTACCTGAGGTGATGATGTGCTGTAGCTGCAATGTTCTGTATCGTTGGGAGAAGTCATCGCGATATTCATGTCCTAATCGCCATAATCGCTATGATCACACGCCGTTGAGGCGTGGCGTACCTTGGTGCTTTACTCATGAACCTGTTCTGATCTATCGAAATATCGTCGACGCGTTTCTGAGAGGGTTTATCAAAGGCACGCAATACGGTCCACAACTTGAAGAACTAAATCACACCTGCACGTCGAATATCGTTGCGCTCTTTCCCGAGGGCGTGAGTATTGACAAGACGATTGACGCTCGGGTTGTCGGAGGGAAGCTTTTGCTTCATAGTGTTCATAAGCTATCTGTATTACCAACTCAACCATCGAGCACTCCGATTTCACCATGCGACCTAAGTCAAATCGTCTCTGATAGACTCTTACCTGCAGTCTATAAATTCACTGCCAGAATCGGCTGTACACATACTCCGGATAGAGTCCCTGCGGTCATTTTATATGCGTTCCGGCTCTGGGTAGGCTGTTGCGGCGATCGGACGAGAAGCCTGGATCTGTTGAGTCGTGGTTGGTGCGCCACCGACCTACGAGTCCGGGTGGAACTGGACTGCGGTGGTACGCGCGTCCAAATTGAAGTCGAGATGTGGCAGTCTTTTGGAGGTCGAGACTCTGACAACAGGGACGAGGCAGAGGATGCACATTTCTCTGACGAACCTATGATAGATGAGCCCTTCGATATCAATCATCCTCCTGTTCGCGACCTGGAGAAAGTGTTCAAAGGAGGAGTTGAAGGAGAGTGCGCAGGGTTGTGGGCCCCGAATCAGCTTCGAAGGCGACAGAGCTGGATCCAGCTGTGGAACTGGCACTATGACCCAATCATGTCTCAATTGCGCAGATACGGTGTCATTTAGCAAGAACTTAGGATGCAATCAAGGCAAGCAAGTGGCCGTCATTTAATTCTACACCCATGTCGTCGGCTGTTGAGATCTAGCTGGGGGCCCGACGAAATGTCTTCTATCGGTTTCTCTACCCGAACCTGAACCAGAAGGTTTTCTATTTTGTTGTTGGTCTCGAGTTTGCTGCTGGGTTCCAGAACTGCCGCCTCCTCCCAGACCTCGCTTCATCATCTTTCCCAGAATTCCAACCATCTCGGCAGCATCTTCAAAAGAATCGTCATCCATTCCTTCCTGTGCTTCATACACATGCCTTATGGCCAGTCGTGCCATGCGACGTGACGCCTCCGCCTCGTGCAGGCAGTCGTACACGTATGCCACGTACTCAACTTTCACCGATAACCGAACTGGATGAGATCCCGGCAACAACCGCTCAGCCAATTCATCTGCTTCACGAAATGCTTGCGAGGCCAAGCGCCGATAGTCCTGTAGTGGAAGGAGAAAAGTCGCCGTGCCATTTCCATTACTGAAACCGTTGGTGTAAGGATGTGTAGGTAATGGCAGACCTGGTGGTGTCCGGGTCAACGTAGTTCCGCCAACCGGGCCACCTAGACTAATGGCTGGTGATCGCTGACGACCATTCGTCGGAGAGGTTGTGGTGGTGGGTGTTTTCGAGGACAACTTTGGCGACAGTGGGTCTGGGATGAGAGAAAAGGTAGCGGATTTTGAGCGGGTGATCCGATCATTGACTGGAGGTTCGTTGTGGAAGAGGACGAAAATATGATAGAAGGAGGCTTTGAGCTTGTAGGACAAGACTCGGAGCTCAAGATACTTGCCCACCATAGGAAGCACATATTGCTCTACCATGACCAATCCCTCTCGGGCCAGCCATAGAATATGATGAATAAGATATCTGGCTTGTAGGTCGCGCACCGGATCAAGCCGCTTGGACCGACGGGCTTGAAGTAGCTTTTCGGCGAGAATTACTGACAGACCTAGAACGCGAAACAAGAAACTACATCGCCTCATCAGCCACAACAATCTGCGTGAATGATCGAAAGATCCAATGGCGCCTACCTTGAAAGATAATTATTTTCTGTGGTTATAACTTTTGCGAAATACCCGAGGAACTTTTGATCCACTTCCGAGGAGGCCATCCAAAAGGCATACAATCGAGGGGTTTCCTGCTGCCGCCACTGTTGTGACAGAAATGTCAGTTCAATGAATCCTTGTTTCCATCGCTTTTTGGTGTGAGAGCATGTTTCGAGGTCCCCGTTGCCTCTGTCCATGTTGGAGTCGTTCTGAGGAAAGCCAGGGCCACACAGCATCACAGGAATGAGGATTGAACACGTAAGATGTGATGACGTGAATAGTCATACATGCCCATTCATTGAGCGTGAAGTTTGGGAAGGTGAAATTGTGAAGAGACAAGATTGCGTTGAATGGATGTCGTGAAACGTGAAAGAACAAAGTGTAATTTACCTTTTAACGCCGGCTTCAGATTAAGCGCCGGTACCGAGTTCGTCTTGAGGCTTGACTGGTTTTGCTGTACAGTGTAGGACAAGGCTTCGAAGCCTTGTTGTTTGCTTTTGGTCTGATTATATCTCTTTTCCGGAGAATCTAATGCGATTGTAAAAGTTCAGAATGCCGTCCTCGCAAGCTGTATCTTGATGCGTAATATTTTGGCGATGTTAAGGACTGTCCGCAGCCCAAAGCGAGTGACTTGTTTCTGTTGCGAATGTTGAACGAGTGGATGTAGCTAGATAGCTGATGTTGGTACAAGTTGAATGTGATACGTTGTGCGACGTGAGCCGATCGAGATTAAGTATTATAGTTGCGTATGCGCTGTTGGTACAAAGAGGAAGGAAGCAAACTTGCGAAGAGATCGGTCGAGAAAAGCTGTTGAAAGAAACAAACTAGGGCTTGAGCGAGGTAGAGAAAGAGAGAAAAAGCGTTGGGTATCTAAGCACCGTTGTCAGCCCAGAGCCAAAGATACCTGCTGGCCTGAAGATCTTGGATGCCAGCGTACCTTGCTACTGGTGCAGGAGACCGAGGAATTGGCACAAAAAGGCCTATTCGTCCAGCACCCTATTATTGTAGCCAATGGATTCGAGACAGGTAGGGCAGGTCGGAATTGCGGTCGCAGGACGTCTGAAAATGAGGCTGAACGGTGTCGCTATTTGTCGTCAGACTCATGTTGTATTCGTCGGGCGAGAACAGAATGTTGTATTGGGTAGAAAAGTGCCGCAGCCACCCCTGTGGCCCAATATAGCGGTGTCTGATCGTCACTGGTCAAACATCCACCTGGTATGGCGGTCTCCCGGTGTCAGGTTCGATGTGTTTGGCGAAGTGACCACCAGTATCGAGAACCGCCGATCGAGTATGGGTAGCTGCAGGGTCAAAGGGCTCGAGATTGCCGGACGAGAACCCGCCGAAATCGTCACAGAGGAGGGCACTGGACTCTGGACTGCGGACAATGAAGCAACGAATGTGACCCAAGGATTCTTCCAAGAGGAACCGACCTAATCAACGAGAGGACAAGGAGCGTGGGAAGTTGCAGCTGAGAGCAGCCAGCATGACGACAACGCTGTGGGCACCACGTTGATTGAATGGGCTAAGAGCGCAAGAGCGAGAAAAAAAGACACAAGAACGGATGCAGAAGAGTGATGAAAGTCGGTAAGCTTGAAGTCGGTAGACGAGAGGCTGAGAAGCCGCGATCTGAGAAGAGCTGCAGGCCTGCAACGTGCCAACGCATCAACCGCGTCCACTCTTCAACCCCGGTCGTGCTCCTTACCAGGTTCGAGATTAGCGTGTAGGACGATTGCGACCAGGGCTGTGGGATCAAGAATCGGAAGGTCTGTTAGCTCGTGAACGCCACAGAGGCTAATGAAATAGTGGGTGTTTGGTGTTGTACGGATGCCGGGTGAAAGTACGGAGTACGTGAGAGAGATAGAGAGAGACAGAGAGGAACGAATAGTGACACTCATATAAGTATAGTCCTTTGTACATGTAAGGAGGAGTCGAGCAGAAGCCTTCACCCTGACCAAGGGACATGTTGCCTTGTTCTCATTCCAGAATGGTACTGTGTGCGTAGTTCGTACTTCGAAGGCCGGGGTGAAATTGGAACAACAAAGTGAAGCCGAACTTAGGATTGAGGTGGATTGGAATACTTCCGTGCTCCAGGGTCCATACGGAGACGATAGAATTGGGTCTTCTACTCGCTCTCTACTACTTTGTAATGAGGCCTACACTAATGAACTAACGACGTGGCACGACTAGACGCAACCTTGTCCCTTGTCCCTTGTCTTTACTGTAGTGTACGGAGTATTGTACAACTCTTGGGCACCACAATATTAATGCGACAATTCGCCCGCCCACTGCCCCAGTGTTGTACAGACAACATACCACTCGTTGTAAGTACTCGATTCCCTAGGTACCTACTGTACTATGGATCATGACCACTCGCACTCTCTACTGTACGTGTGAAGCCACCCTGTATGCTCCACTGACGGACTACCCCCTCAAGACACCTGGTTCATTTCCGCCTCGTGCAGACGACTACGGGCTACGAGAGCCATTGCATCCAGAATTTCAACAACACTTCATCCTGCTATCTACATTGCCGATCGTGCTTTGCCTCTGCCCATTCGGATACTCCTCAACCTGGAATGTCACAGACACATGACGCGTGAAGCTGGCTGCATCCGGTAGAGCATCTGATCCAGCCACAAAGACGACTCTTTCAGCTCCCACAAGCTTCTCTCCACACCCGAAGGAGGCAATATGTCCAAGTACTAATCTCGAGAAGACCCAACCAAGAAGACCAAATAGCTGAGGTGTTTGGACTTTCCTTAACAAGTCTTCAGCGGATGTCAGATGTGCCTTGCACCCAACTTGGGTTGCATCATGCTGTCATAGTCAGAGTCTGCTTGGAAAGCTTGGGTTGATGATGGCTTACCTTGAAGCTGGTTGGATAAGTCTTGGTAGTTGCTAGCCAATAACAGGTACACCGGTGTTATGGATATAACAATGAGCCTCAAGAAGCTAGGTATATAGCTTTGGTCGGCTTCTACAAGCAAAGAAGGATATTGGCGATTGATGGTTGAAAAATTGATATTTGACTTTCATTTTCCATCGTCCTGGACCGCGTCCATCTGACCGTAAGCTGGTGCTTGAGGAGGCCCGTTCATCGACGGTGCATGGTTCGGTGGCATCTGTGGATGCATCTTCTGAGGGATCTGGCCGTATCCGCTGCTCATGGTTCGGTGTTGCATTCCATAGCCTTGGTGTGGAGTTCCCCCATACTGGTGTCCTCCGTAGTTACCGCGAGGCACCCCCATCTGCTGCTGGGGATAGCCCATTGGTACACCTTGGTTGGAAACACTGAACATCATGTTAGGTGCTCCTGTGTGACTCTGCTGCGACCCCTGCTGCATCATCATCGGGGCCACCCGACCGGGACTGGCATAGCCGCCGTTCTGCTGGGGGTACACATGGCTTGCATTCGGTGAGTACATCTGCATCTGAGGGTTGAACTGTTGAGGCACAGCCATGTACGGTCCATTAGACGGTTGCTGAACCATCATAGGAGCGCCCATCTGCCCCGCTTGGGCATGCATCATGCCAGGTGTACCGGGGAAAGGCCTCATCTGCATCGGCATTTGGGTTGGCGTTCCAAAGAAAGGTTGCTGCTGATATGACAGCTGAGCCGGATGAGGCATGGGCGAAGCATATGTTGATGTTTGACGAGAAGGAATACTGGGAGATGGGTATACACCAGGAGTGGCATTACCAAACTGGAGACGGTGGGTCCCATCATCGTATTGGTGAGAGTATTGGTGTGGTGCATGCGCTGCATGTTGAGGCGTGGTGATGTGTGGAACATTGGCAGGACCATTGGGGATTGATCCCCCTGGCACAGGGAAGGGCATATGCTGGGCCGAGCCGATTCGTGTTGGGACGCGCGAGAATGTGGAGGCCATGAGTTCATCAAAAGCTTCCTCGTATGACTTTGCATCGTTGTCGTTCTTGACTGTCCAGCGCGGTCCTGTTTGGAAAGCATTAGGAACCCCCCCGTTACTAGCGTGGTTCTTGTGGGCGTCTTCAGGTTTAGGTTCACCCTCTGTTGCCTTGACGGGATTGGCGGTGGTTTCCTTCATGCGTGCGATGGGGTTGAAATCTTTCGTGATAGAGGGTCTTTCTGAAGCAGGTTTTGGCTTGCGGTGGCCGAAGAACAAGGAGGGACTTGCGGTTCGGGAGATGGAACCTGCACGATGAGTCGACGCCGGGCTCGAGGGAGTGTGGGAACCGGTAGGATTAAAAGTGGCGGCAGTAGGTCGGAACTCTGATGCTTTCACATTCAAATTGAATCTTCCAGATACTGCTGAGGAAGGTGTGTGCATATTGGATCGTTGCGGACTGGTCAGGCCAACTTGTTCAGCCATGGGACCGGTCGGAGGCACTCGTCCTTCAATTATCGGAATGGGAGCTGGGATAGGTGGCGGGTGATTTCCCTTGCGATCTTGATGAGCAGGGAATCTCTGCTGATATGGCCCGTGGCTACCCCGGCCAGAAAACATTGGTGGTTGTTGACTGGCAGGCCGTTCCGGTCGTCCAGGGTGAGGGAAACCACCGCGTCCGCGATTATACGTCTGTCTATCATGGACAGGGGGCGCCGGCTGAGATGGCTCAACTTTGCGAGGAACACTACTGGTTGCCGCAACAGGAGAAGGGCTAGCAGCTGTTGAGTTCGAGTCTTCATGCTCTTTTTGTGCCTTTTCGACGATGGCTTCTTGCTTCGCGGGATCTTTAGCAAGAATGCCAATAAGATCACTGGGAATAGGCGTCTTGAGCTTGAAGGTTTTGGAGAACCGGAGCAATTCGTTCAACTTAGCCGTCCGGTCTTGGTTCTGCTGAGCTCTTCTTTTTTCGATGACGCGCTGTTTCTCGCTGTCCGCGAACTGACGGAATTGGTTGAGGACCTTCACCTCTACGTCCTCAGTAGGTCCAGGAGAGATAGCCTTCTTCCCGACAGTAGCCATCTTCGATGATTCTGCAGCTGGGGTAGGTGTAGTGCTATTGGACTCGGTGGATGTCGTTTGACTTGGCTTCTCCACGGACGGAATGGAAGCCCTCTCACCACCACTTGATCCTTTCTCAGTTGCGTTCGAAATGACTGACTTTGTACCTTCAGGTCGAGATAAGGACGCCGAGATGATGGCAGGGTCTACGGGGGCCCCAGGCACTGTAGCTGCACCAGTCGGGGCTCTTCGAGCGGGCGGCGTATACTTATTCGGCCCGCCAACAGGAAGAGGTGGGAATGCGCGCTCATCACGTCGAACGCCACTGTACTTTTCCTCCTCGTCATCTCCGTCATTTTCCAGTGCCTGTCCGCGTTCCTCACGGACATGAACATTTGCAGAAGTGGCACCTTCAATCTCTCGTGCGATCCTTGCAGCTTCGGCCTCTCGGCGTTTATAGGAAGGTGCGCTTCTGTCGATCGTAGTAGTGTAGAGGTTTTCATCATACGTACTCCTAGTTCCGAAGAGTTGATTGTTGGTTGCGAATTGATCCCAACCGGTGGAAGTAGTCGTCGACTCTAGTGAATAGTCGGTCGAGTCAGGTCCTTCTGGGACCCATCGCTGAAGTGTTCGCTCCCCGCGAAGTTGATTGCCAGAAATGTCGGCATCAGTCTGAAAGCCAGTCGAAGAGCCTGCAAGAAGAAAGATTAGCCCGAGCGGAACCAAACAGGGTCCGCGTAATGCATACCATTCGCAAGCTTCGTAGCCTCAGCAACTGCAAAGTCGGCAATCATCATGTCCATCATGTCTTTCAGGTCAAAGTTCATCGCATACTCAGGACTCGAGCCAACCAAGGTCGCCTCCCGAGATGCAGCGCCATTGACCTGTCCTCCAGTAGCAGACTGCAACTTCCTCGCCATCTTCAAGGTAATTCTAGAGTTTTGTTGGCTGAACGCCGAGCCAGACAACAAGCCCTCGAACTTGTCGCCAGACTTTGTAGTAATCACTACATTCAAACCCTGTTGCACAAGGTCAGTCATTGTGTACATGCATATCGGTAAAATGATGGCCATACAATCGCGGCTCCTAGGAGGAACATCAATCTCTCATGCGCTTGTTTGTCTGAGATTCCCGACTCTTTTTGCGTATTCTGCCTCATATTGCCCGCGTTTCTTGGTTGAGGGGTATTTCCATTCGGTTGGGCAGCCATCGAGCTTCGTTGTGAAGAGGAGCTTGAGGCCGAACCCCAAGCCTTCTGAGAATTGAGTCGCCTGCACACATATCGTTAATGACAGTCCCCAAGCAACTCATAATTGTGAACAAAGATAAAGGGGAGAATGCCTTCAGATGAAAGACTTTTTAAATATGCACATTCGTGTTGTGGGAAGTCGGCAATGGATGAACATGTTCACATACCGTGGAACCCCGTCACCAGGACTCTGCTTGCGTCCTGCGTCTGCACTCTTCGTGTTGGTATTAGATCTCATCATAGGCCTCGCCAGACCATTATTATATTCCGGGGTATTGGAGTCCAGTGAGGGCGCAGGAGAGATTGTAGTGTTGGAAGAGACGCTGGCGGCAGAGGCCATCAGCTAGTGCTCGTAGGGTTGCACAGGATGGCTTCGAAAGGAGCCGAATCGACGGACCAGCCAGTCAAAGGGCGCTTGAAAGGTGAAGATTTTCTGGGGAATAGAGGAGGGGACAGTGGTGAGAACTGGACGTGGGCGAGAGCACGAGCCTTTCGGGGAAGTCTTGACGTGCCTGAGGGAAGCTGGTGGGAAATGCAAGTGTAGCTGAGTCGGGACACTCCTCAGGGAACGACACGAGATGAAGGAGAAAAAGAGAATGACTGGCAAGGTGACCGGGACAGTACAGCCTTGGATTGTCGAGAAGAAAGGCGCAGCAATGAAACGGAGACTGCAAATAATTTTTTTGAGGAGGATTGTTGTTGATATTGATGGGTGCAAGAGGAAGAGGAGTAGGTAGTTTAGGTTGTGGTTGTGTTGGACGGAAGCTGGACGATTTGCTCTAGCGTTGCGGGCTCGTCTCGTACCAATTCTTGACGAGACGAGATGTACCCAGTCACATCACCACTACGGAGCACAAAGCATCACTCGTCTCGGGCACCAGGCAGTTATGAACTCTACAGGGACAGAGTCCATAAAATCTTTCGAAAGAGTGTACTCCGTACTGTATGGCGCACAAGGCGAACCAGGCTCACTCGGCACGAGAGCATTCTCCTTCTTAGACTGCCCCTTTCATGCTTCACTCTCACTCGCCTCACAATATCATGAAGGGGACATTAACGGCATATATCTTCTCACACAAGCATGACTGTCAAAAGCCCTGGTCAACTAGGGCTGTACTGTAAATTACAACTGACCCGCCTTTCATCCTCCGCTACCACTTGTGATTCAGGGCCTGCGTTTTGCTGTCACTGCAACTCGCCCTGACCTTCCCCGTACAGAGGACTTAAAAATCATTACTACTCCCGGCGCATCCCGCCTTCCCCGTCTCTGATCGACCTATCAAGCCCTCCGGCGTCCCCTCTTTTCACACGAGGTGTCAACATCAGAATCCGTGCCAGGGAAAAAGGCTTGAACCACTCGACACGGAGGAAAAGAGAGCGATTATGAGTAGATCCTGTATATCATTCTCATATGTTTGATCATGGTGCGAATAATCGTGGTCTAGACACTTCGCTTGCACTGGCATTCATTCATAGAGTGGCTGCGCTGCTCACCACCCGAAAAAGTCACTTCAAATACATTTGGCTTCGCCCTCGCGTTCATCTTCTCCATGCATACGCCTCGCTGAACATGCCATTACCTTTCAGTTGGAACTCAAAAACAAAAGCAATCTCCATAGCCTTAAAGTCTTAGGCTGTTGAGAATCGCCGCAGTCATCGAACGGTACTGGTTCATCCCTCCCTGGACCTTCTTAAATTGGATTCCATGCAACGAGAGGAGGGGAATTTTGACAATCGCAATTTCAAACCGAAGAACAAGCCGTTCACCGTTATCGTCTTGAACTCGTGTTCTGGTCGCTGCCATATCGGCAGGCGCCTCGCTCGTGTGTCTGGTCTGTGGCAGATAGTCGTCCGAGCCTTCGGAATTGGTCACGAAACTTTGATCTGGCTGTCGTCTCCGAGTCGGGTGGCGACCGAGTCTCTCGTCCTTGATATCTTCTCTGTCCTTACCGCGGAAAGCTCCGCCAAATGAGATTCGTCGTTGGTGTCCACTTGTTACGCGGCCACTTCTATCGTCCTCTAGCCCGGGTCCCTGCTCTTTGACACCTTCGAGATTGATGCTGGGCGCATGCCGGCAAGAGAAGCCGCCTTTGATGACACTATACTGAACGCCCAACTGGTTCAGAACACGGATAATGTCATGCCGGATGAATTCGGGCGGTTTATTGCTGGTTGTTGAGGTCGAGAATAGCCCTTTTAGACTTGCCGGCTTGGAGATCTCCGTTCCTGGAGTGTCAGGAATGGCAGGTGTCTCTAAAGCATCCGTGTTATCTCGCATGTCAGCGTCAGTTTCCTCCGGAACGTTGGCCTCTCGATCCCGTCGTTCTTCGTACCGTCGGCGTCTTGCTTGAATGCTTTCTTGTCGCGCATGACCAAGAGACTTGGTGCGGCTACTAGTCGGCGTGCGCGGTGTAGGCAATGGGTTGGCGTTTGCCACAGGCTTGTCTGTAAGCTCAACACCCTTGCTGTTCTTGCCGCCACTGAGGCTGGACTTATCTGAACCGCTGGTAGGCGGTGGCTCGGGTGCCAGCAACGGTGATTCGTTGGCTGATGGCCCACGATGTAGAAGTCGTCGAGGACGGTACTCTGCAGAGTTAACGCTGGTCGACCGACCCAGAAACTTCCCAGCTCTCGAGGAATTGTTCCCGGTGCTGAGAAGGCCTTCATGTTGAGGCTGACTTCCTCCAGCATGGTGCGTGCTGGGACTTGGCTCCCTCCTCCGAGACCGACGAACAGAGAAAGACTTACGTGGTGGGGCTGCAGAATCTTGGGGAGGCTGGATATTCAACGCTGGTGGTGGATGAGGACGTTCCATGTCGCGGTCGCGATAACGCCTGGTGCTGAACCTCCTCAACAGACCAATAGCAGTGCCTTCTCGTCTTGTGGGTTGTTCTGGTGGTGGTATCGCTGTTGGCGAAGTTGCACTGGGAGCCGGCTTCTTCTCTGGAATCTCCAAAGTTTTCATAGCATGAACTACATCATCTTCACCGTTTGTCCGCGCACGAGGTCTTGAACGGCCACCAGTGGCCTTCTCACCTGGCATCTCGGGAGCAAAGGTATTGGTATGGGCCGCTTCAGGTGTTGGGAGACCTGGCAATTTCAGAGGGATCTCCTTAGGTGTCAATGGCATAGCTAAAGCTCCCGGGTTTTGTTCTCGGCGTTCTCGTTCGAGTTTCTCGCGAGCCAGATAGTAGACTGATACGAGAGGGCTGTACGCATTCAGCGGGTCGTGTCCCCGAATTGCTTCCGACGAAGGGGCTGTCAAGCCCTCTCTGCTTATAGAGTTTCTCCGCTTGTAGAAGTCGAAAACTCCACGCTTTTTGTCTCCCCCACCAGAAGTGTGGCTGTGATCATCCTTGGTTGTTCTTCGAATGGCATTCTGATAGTCGTCTGACTCAACAATGCGAGTAAGCTGCTCAGTGATGTAGGCAGACGAGCCGAAATCAAAGCCCTGCATCTTGTCGATGACTTCTTGATCAAGGGGCAACGAAAGGGGCTCTCTATGTGGGAGATAATTGTCTGGGGGTCCATTGAAGCCTTTCGTCATCCATGGGTGATTCATAATCTCCTGAAGGCTCGCCCGTTCTTTGGGGTCGACTACAAGCATTCGCGAAATAATGTTTTTGCACTCTGGATTTCTAATCAGTACCGGTCTGTTGTTGCGGACATTGAACTTACCAGCTGTTAGCCACTGTGGATAGTCAACAACACCACGTTTGATCTTGGCATGTAATTGAGGCATGCTTTGGTCATCGAAGGGAACCTTGCCACAAACGAGCACGTATAACACAATCCCAAAACTCCACACGTCAACCTCTGGCCCTGTATACTGGCGAGCTTGTAGCAATTCTGGGGCTGCAAAATATAAGCTTCCGCAGAATGTCTTGAGGAGGGCACGGGGCGAATAGAGATTGCTGAGGCCGAAGTCGATAATTTTGATATCACCATTCTTACTGATGAGAATGTTCTCAATCTTCAGATCTCGGTGTACAATGCTGTTGCGGTGGCAATAGTCCAGAGCGCTTGCAATCTGACGCGCGAATTTCCTGGCTTGCTTCTCTTTCAATCGGCCGTGAGCAATGATATAGTCGAGCATTTGCCCACCATTGACATATTCGAAGAGCATATACCAATGATAATTTGTCCGCTGTACGTCGATCATACCACAAATATATGGATGGCAGAGCAAGGACACCATCGCCGCCTCTCTGGCTGTGCGGATTTCTTTTGACCGATCTGCTCTTTCATCTTTTGCATTACCGTGGTCATCAAGGGTTTGCCGTGGAACAATCTTGATAGCAGCCTGTTCTCCAGTTTCAGTGTTCTTTGCAAGCTTGACCTTGCCCATGCTCCCTTGCCCAATGGTTTTGCCCAATGACCATGTACCTGTTTGTGCGGTTATAGACGTTCGTCTGCGGCCTACAGTAGGATACGTCTGTGCAGCATGTCTGTCCGGATTAGTCGTGCTGGAAGGTGGTGGAGGTGGGCCTGATGTGCCGTTCGCTACGACCGTAGTTGGTGCAGTAAGGTCTTGACTGCCCCGTCTTGAACCGGGACGCGATGAAGTCCTCCCATGATTGTCCGTGGTGTGATCCGCCCTCCCGTCTCGTGAACTTCTCCGTGAGGATGTTCTCGGCATATTGGTCTGTTCAAAGTCTCTGCGGGCGACATTTGCGAGCGCGGTAGGGTTCGATTGGGGAGGAATGTCATACGAACGGGAGCCAGAGCGGTTGTGAGCTAACTGGTTGGAAGGCCGTGAATTCGTTGATCGTGTTCTGGAAGGTTGCGCAGGGGAAGCGGGAGCGTAGGACGAAGGAGGAGGGTTTCGTGATGAAGAATGACTGCGCACCATCGAAGGCGATTGCTGTGAGGCTGCCGTTGCCATTGCGAAGCCTGGTAGTCTGCAATGGTCTCGTTGTTGTTCAGCCAAACAGTGTTGCGTTTGCAGACGCGGAATGCACTGCCTCGCACTGGCACGGACAATGGAATGCCCTTCTCCCTGAGGAAATGACTGCGAGGCTTTGCGTACAACCAATCTTTAGTATCTGGGTGCTCTTCAAAGATCCGCGCAGAGGCCAGGCGGTCATGAGTAGGACAGTATTAAAGACCAGGGAGAAAGCCTGGGGAGCGGCAAGTTACGTGTGTGCTCATCGAAGAGGTCGAAAGTGGAAGGAAAGATGACAGCTCGGCGATGGGGGGCTGGCAATGGTCTAAGAATGCGGCCTCTACCGAAAGAGATGATAAGCTGAGTTGGATTAGAGAAGGGAATGGTCGTGTTTCAAGGCAGCAATGCAAGACCCGGGTAGAAGTTGGAAGACCAGGTGTTGGTACAATGAAATGATTGCTGTCGACACGGGCAATCACAGAAATGCTTGTACTGGAGTTACAGTAGGTGAATATCTGTACCTAACTGGGGTCAGTTTCGAGATCGGTTGCGTTGTGATCAAGGCTCCCGAGCCTAAAATCAGCAACCCAAAGCCCCCGTCCAGGAGCGGAATTTAGCTGTTAGCGCTTCCGCCAGTGACAACGGGCACGCCCAGTACGAGTACCGCCAGCGCTTCTATGCCGGGGACCTCACTCGTATAATTATTACGGAGGATTATTAACGCAGGCCCATCTCAATTAGGCGCAAATAAATACGCCGTCAGTCATGTCAAAACTGCACTTGTATACAGGCCCTGAAGAACAGGCCTGTGTCAGACACGGTTAATATTTCCCACAAACGAGCTCGGAGAATCCTTGACGGATCTGCACCAAGGCTGTGTAACAGTTGCACCGATTGTCCTGCGCAAAATGTTCTGGGATCTTTGCACTAATCTGTTGAAACTCGTTAATCTAGGTTCCTTCCAAACTGGTGCAGATGAGATCAACTGCGTGATGTCCTTGCCCAGACTTGTTATAGCTTAGCACAGACAAGACGACGAGGTTCTCCTCGCGGCGCATTTACCTCTGCGATGGCATACAAAAGATCTCGACAGGCGTATGAAGCAGATCTACATCACAAGTCTGCATCTTCATTTGTCCTCTACGGCACACCTCTGCCACCACTCGATGAGCATACCCGGGATGATGGCTCCTTCGTACCGGTCTGGAAGCAAGAGGTGACGGATGACAGAGGCAGGAAACGCTTACACGGCGCCTTTACAGGTGGCTTCAGCGCCGGGTGAGCTTGCGGAGCTTGAGATCATGGAACATTATGGCTAAAAGGCGGACACAGATATTTCAACACTGTAGGCTCTAAAGAAGGATGGACACCCTCTACTTTCGTCTCATCGCGGCAAAATCGCAAAAAGGATGGAGCCAAGCCGACTCAACAAAGACCGGAAGACTTCATGGACGAAGAGGACTTGCGCGAAGCTGAAGAAGCACGTACAATCAACACTTCCAGCGAATTCGCCGGATTCGGTACCGAACATGATCCGCTTCGGAGGAGTGCAGCGATTGATATATTTCGCCCTTCCCAAGAGACTATCGGCTCTACTCTGCTGAAAAGGATGGGCTGGCGTGAGGGTCAAGGTATTGGGTCTCGAGTGAGAAGAAAGGCGAAATTTGAAGAAGAGGATGAGGATACATCTTCAGAGACACACCTTTTTGCTCCCGATGATGTTCAGATCGTATCCCTCGCACGAAAGACGGACTATAAAGGCCTAGGTTACGAGGGTGAGCTCCAAGACAAATCCACTCTGGCCAGCAAAACTAGTGAACCAACTCGGAAACCCTTACACCGAGAAGAATCTTCCGATGATGAGACTTCTAGTCCATCTCTACTGTTCTCAAAAATGCCTTCAGGCCGAGCCAAGAAGACGGGTATTGGTGTTGGCATTCTCAATGACGACGGCTCTGATGACGAAGATCCATTCTCAATGGGCCCGAAGATATCCTATAACAGGACCCTTGGAGTTGACAAGAAGCCAAAATCTAAAGCAAAGAATTCGGCAGGCTCGGCAAATCCACTAGTCAAGACGAAACCAACGTTCATCTCGAAGAAACTGGCAAATCTCAAAGGGGCTTTGCGCCAATGTCATGATGGCCGGCTTCCTCCCGATGGGTTTGTATTGGCCAGTCATCTAGACTCCTTTAGTAGTCTCACCGTACAGGATGACAAGTATAAGCCTCCTGAGGTGCCGACTGGATGGACATCTTCCAGGTCAATTGCGCCAGGAGGGCAAAATAGCTCCGATTTTGTGTCGACCGCCGATGCTGCGAGACTTTCTAGCCTCACTGCGAAAGGAAGAGCTTCGATCCTGGGGGAAGCACAACTCCCAGGAAAATCAGTTTTTGATTTCCTCACTTCTTCTGCTCGGGACCGTCTGGCCGCGGCGTCTGGTCATTCGAACCTTCCTGCTGCTGGCAATGAACCGCCGCCGCCGGGCTTCCAGGCTTCTCAATTAGTGAGTTCGTCTCTGCAAAGCCTTGTTCCAGAGTTGGACAAGGCCACTGCCTTGCAGGCACTACATCGAGGCACGAGCGGTTGGATGCCATATGCAGAAGATGAAAAGAAACGATCTAGGTATCGAGCGTTCCTTGAAATTCAGGCCGGTCTTAGACAGGACGAACTTCCTCCTCGTGCCAAAGCCATGAAACAGGACGACTGGGTTATCGAGATGCAGGAATTTGCCCGAGCCGCAGAAGTTTTCAAGCCAGTCAGTGGGCTGATGGCTAGCCGGTTCACAACTTCAACGGCCTCGCTACAAGGCCAAAACCCAGATTCGTCGGCACCCATGGACGCAATGCTGACCAGACCTACACCCAAACAGGAAAACCCGGCAACATCAGCTGCAAGGATGGGCATGTTCGGCCCCATGACCCGGTCAGTGTCGAACTTTTACCCCACCAGACTTTTGTGCAAACGATTCAATGTTCCCTGTCCCGACCATTCGGCGACTTCTGCTGCCGGCACTCATCATGTTTCAGCGGCAACTACCGCACAGCGCGAAGCTTCCACGACACAATTTCGTTCCTTTACTTCAAGTATGCCAAAGGAGAATGCCGACTCTACCAGTCCGGCACCTGCTGATAGCGCTGATGCTGCAATACTGAGACATACCGGCAGTGTGGAGGAGGCGAATACACCGAACCCAGAAATGAATGAAGCCCTAGAGAAGGAAAAGCCTGGACAAGCTGTTTTCAAAGCCATCTTCGGCAGTGAAGACGAAGCCGACGACGAGATGTGAGTAGGGAAATTCGAGTATGCTCGAGATATATCAAAGTGTCTGTACTCCGTAGGAAGTACCTCTAGCATTGTAATCTGCAGTTTGGTTTTGTTTTTGTGGAATGTACTTATAGAAGTCGACCTACTTCGTACTTTGACGTTGACGCGGAGTAGTATACATGGCACTAGCGGAAGTTGAGGCTGGCGCAAGGCTGGCGAGGCTGAAGTTTCGCCAAAAGGCCACCTCCATCTCACGATCTTTTCCAGACTGCATTTCACCTCCAGTCATTCGTTCTTGTTACGTTGTGAATCTTTTTTTCCTCGTCTTTTCGGTTTCAGTGGCAGTCATGGCTCGCCGTAAACAGGTCACGCCTTTGCAGAGGATTGATTCCGGCGAGATCATGCAGACGCCCTCGGACGAGCCTGAGCGTCGCGCAGTCTATGGGAACGGGCACATCTCGAGAGAGAGTCAGTCGCCTCAAAAGCACCGCAGGTCATCGATTTCTCGAGGCGCCGCCGCCGCTTCTCAGGCTTCTTCGTCAGGCGTGCTCACACTTTTGATCTGCGTCGGCGGCATATATGCGTCCTTCTTGACCTGGGGCCTCCTCCAGGAGCGTATCACCACCACTCCCTACCCGGCCGACGGTTCTGCGCAGGCGCAGCAAGAGTATTTCAGGTTTCCGATCGTCCTCAACACCATCCAGTCCTTCTTTGCCTTTACCAGCGGCAGTCTCTACCTGCTGTACAAGACGAGATCCTTCCACATCCTCCCTCGAAAGTCCGCCTTCGTCCCCTTGGTCCTCGTCACGCTGACCACGACCCTTGCCTCGCCGTTTGGCTACGCCTCGCTCGCCCACGTCGACTATCTCACGTTCGTCCTCGCCAAATCCTGCAAACTGCTCCCCGTCATGGCCCTGCACGTCACTCTGTTCCGCAAGCGTTATCCGCTGTCGAAATATCTCATCGTCCTGGCCGTGACGGGCGGCGTCGCAGTATTCACACTCTACCACCCCCCGAAGCCAGGAAAGACAACAAAGACACAGTCCTCGAGCATCTACGGCTTGGCCCTTCTTGGTATCAACCTGCTCTTCGACGGCCTGACGAACACCGTCCAAGACCACATCTTCTCCTCCCCCCATCGTTACGGCAAAACCTCTGGCCCACAAATGATGGTTATATTGAATTTGCTGGGGACGTTGTCGATAGGTGCATATCTCCTTGTCACGCCATATGTCCCCGAGCCTCTTATACCGGCCTTTGTAAAGACCGACACCCAGGAGCTGGCGACCGCAATGTCCTTCCTCGCCCGCCACCCGAAAGTTTTCTACGACGTCCTGGGTTTTGCTGCCTGCGGAGCCATTGGCCAGTTGTTCATCTACGCGACGCTGGAAAGATTCTCGAGCTTGCTGCTCGTCACGGTGACAGTGACGAGGAAGATGTTGACCATGGTTCTGAGCGTCGTCTGGTTCGGCAAGAGTTTGAGCCAAGGCCAATGGATGGGAGTAGGGTTAGTGTTTGGAGGGATCGCCGCGGAAGCATATATTTCTCATCGCGAGAAGAAGGAAAAGGAAAGATCGAAGAATAAACAAAAGTAGTCATTGGTGACTGGTAGAAAAGAGACTTGCTCGCATTTAGCAATGTACTATAGACTGATATAATCGAATAATTTTCTGGCTCCTATTCTATGATTTTTCTTCTGGCTGTCTTATGCAAATGCTATGCAGCAGCTCTCAAGCAGAAAGTTGTTTCGATCATTTGCCAAATGCAACGGACCGATGACAAACCTCAAACCCAGCATCTAAATGACTGCTGTGTCGTTCGAATTTCGAAGTAACGCTTCACTATCCTGTGCACTTATCAAGATTGGCCCCACGTTCATCTCTGTCTGCACAGAACTAATACCCTTCGCCTCTGGGTTTCTAGGGTGTTCTCATAATATTTGGAGACATTAGTATTAGCATGGAAGACACTCGATGATGCTGGAAGCGGCAATGAGACTTTTGGCTAGTGTTGGTTAGACGGATGCTGAATGTTGTCCAGATTGTCTTTCGTGAGCAGATGATCAGGCGTGGCCTCGTGAAGTGCACCTTGATTCTGCTGCTGTGTCCAGAGACTGATGTTCTCTGAGTCTGGTTGTGACGCAGCTGCTCGAGATCTACGATCGACAGAGTCATCGTCCTGATCATCAGCTGCATTGACGAGTTCGTCGATCGTCAGCCTTCGGGTTGGACTCGAGCAGGTTCTCTGTAGTGTCGACGCTGCCTCTGGCGATGGATTGTGAGTTTGTGGCGTTCCTGCCTCTGCTGGAGTCGACGTTGCATGGGTGCCAGCCCAGTGCTGGAAGTCAGTCTCGAAGGGCTGGGTCTGGGCAGTAGTCGCTGACTGTGAGGGGCTCGGTGGCGGCGATGGTCGAGCAGGGTGAATTCTTCCCAGGTGACCTGTTCTGACATCAGAGGTTGTTTTAACATGGCGACGTATCTGAGAGACATTCTGCTTGCTGCGTGGGTCGCCGGTAATCCACGTGAACGTCTTCGGAGGACCGACCTGCCTGGGAGGCATGAGATGTCAAAACCGAGGGATAGTTAAGAGATATCATTCGGCCTAGTCAGTTGTCTATACAAGTCTGGCAGTGCTAGTGGTCGTCCCAGGTTCGCAGAACAAGGGTCTGAACCCGGACTGGGAGATGGAACTCTTAAGAGATCGAGGTTGCGTGCCATCACAAGTCCAACTGCAAAAGGACATCATGCTTTCGCTTCAGCCCGTGTTTGTCATAGGGTGACAGGATGCTGGGGGTTACTAATGACCACTTCGTTGACACTTACTTTGATACTTTATTTGGGACAGGAGGGCTGAATAAGTCGTGACTAACATATATTGGCTGCGTACCCCTCTCTTTGACCTTGGCTGGGCTGATATAGTGCAAAGCTATATAAAGCCATTCATGTACGACTAGCCTCGGAACTTTGTATCAGAGCGCAATAGAGAAATTGCGAACTTCCGTGGAGTCGCTTCGGGCTTCCTCATATCTTCGAAAGCAGGTCAATACGGTAAGCCTCTGACCTGGCGGGATTTGTATAGGCCCATGGCTGGGATCTCAGCTGCGGATCCATTGCTCATAGTCAGCTTTGGAAAGGAATGAATTGCCTTACATGATTGACTCGCGGGATCTGGCAACAGATCACAGGACAAAGTATGCTCTCCTTTCCGATCACGGCCACTTGTGCCACCTTCCATAGCTGGCTGCTGTCAACCTACCTTGAACAAGAGGGATTCTACGTAAGCATCCTGATTCCAATGGGACAAGCTAGAGCGTATTGGTGAGTTCAGACATGCACCACTCAAAGTGCACAGAGCGTCTGGAAGGTTACGTCTGGCGGAGGCTAAACACAGCGTTCCAGATTTAGATACGGTGTCATCGCAGCAGATCATCATGCAATGGGTGGAGGGAAAAATGTTCATGAGGAAGATTGCGTCCCGCTTGGTAATGCCTAGAATCACAAGGTATATTCTATATATCCCGACAAGGGATCACTGTAGTCGTAGTCGTAGTTGCTTCGGTGTATGTTGGATGTCTTGTCCCTGGGAAGATCCCTGAAGCTTTGCTCAACACGGAAGGTGTAACGAATCCACATGTTAGACTACACTCCGTACAATAAGCGAGCCTGTTGACGAAGAATGGACATTCATCAAGACGACCTAACTGCGCCCACCACCGCGATACGACTATTGTAACTGCAGGAGACTCCTACACCTGACAAGATGATCAATAGATATGAACGCATACCCAGATGACTATGCCTTCCACAACCTGCCCCTCCTACTTCTCTCTGGCTTGGACGACAGCAATCAGTCGAAACCCGATCCAAGAAGCCGGACGCATACTTTTTTGCAAGATGGAGGTTTCATGATCAGAATAGATCTCCCCAATGTCCAAGGACCTCTGGCAGAGCAACTACTCCAGGCATTTAACTCACAAGATGCATCGAATGTCGCATGGCACTCCCGATCGGTGATTGCTCGCAGTGGTAAGATATACAAGATCGCAAACGTTGGACGGGTAGGTCAGCAACGCCCTCCACACTGTACAATCGAGATCGTCGACTGATAAATGTGTAAAGGTCTACACGCTTCCGCCTCGTAAAGCGCCGCCACCTCCTTATTCTCCCCGTCTATCGGCCACTGTTGCAAACGGGAGTGCTCCTCCGCCGCTCGTACTACACTCGCCTCTATCTCCCTTGACACCTAGCTCGCCCTTGTATGCTGATGGTATATTCTCTCCCTTATGGATTACGAAACATCAGTCTCGATTGCCCTGCGCATTCCTGGCATGCTTCTCTCTCACGTCCGATCCGCATACAAGCTCTCTGCAGGACAATAAGCTGAAGTCTGAGGTCGGTAACATTCGCAGTGTCCTTTCTTCAACCAATTACAAGACCAAACTTGTGGTGGTTCTGATTGGTGATGGCTTCATAGATCCGTCTGAGCTTGAAGATCGTTTCAATACTATTCGTCGCTCAGGAGGACTCGACGGGAAGAGCATTTTCTTTCTTCCCCACAATGCTTCGCCTGTTGAGGTGACTGAATTCGTCAACTCTGTTCTTTCAACCCTGCATTCCCCCTGTATAGAATACTATCGCGATCTTTCGAAACATTGCCGACGAAAACGCAATAGGAATATTATGCCACAACCCACCGTACAGCCTGGAGCCTCACAGGTATTGTCGCTCCAAGGTTGGAATGTCAGATATGAATTCAAGCTTGGAGTGTTTGCCGAATTCCGACAAGAGATGGATGCTGCTTGTCGCAATTATGAGACTGCTTACGATGGCTTGTTCAGTCCAGAGATTATCGAAACCATCGCCGTTTGGAGCCTACGTTTCAATGAGGCCAGATCACTGGCAGATGTCGTTGCGTTACGCATAGTCAGATGTTTGTTATGGGTCGATCAAGGCACAACGGCTGTCAGGTCCTGGATCGCCCACAGAGAAAGAGTCAGGGATTTGATTGACCGTCGAGGAAAAGGAACGGAAAATTATGGCTGGGAGGCCTGGCAAAGTAACTGGGCTGCCGTAATGGCCGATTTGCTGTCACGGTCACAATACCCCTTGCTTAATACCAAATTACAAGACGTTGATCTCCTACCCATTTTTGTTGCTGCTGAAAAGACGAGCCCGGGGGCCGATCGCAGCACCCCTTGGGAGCTGCTGCATCATGAAGGGTACTGGCTGGATATTGCGAGGAAGTGCACGAGTTCACGGCGGGCATGGGCCCTTAAAATTCCGGAAGAGGATCGGCAATCACCTGGACGTTCCCCTGCCTCTGTGGTTGCAAGCAAGGCTCATCTCTATGATACATACCTTGCTCTTGAGCCATACCGTGAGGTGCCAGTCGATGGAAGCCATGGATACGATTATTCTATGTCTATCATTTCCAGGCTGGAACAGGCGATCAAGCATTTCTCAGAACGTGGCCAGCTGCGCAAGGTCGATATTTTGCAAATTGAGCTGGCCCTTGAGCATGTCCGATCGCAGTCCTGGACCGCGGCTGTTGAGACACTTCAAATTCTATGGCACAATCAACAGTGGCGACGATCAGGTTGGTGGAAGCTTCTGCAAAAGCTCGGCTGGGCTCTTTTGGATTGTCTTTCTCATGCTCAGAACTCCGAGCTGCATATGAAGTTGTCATGGGAGCTCTCGTGTGGCATCTTCGAGAGTAAACCTGGCTCTGGTTACGATTTACACGATGGACTTCGAGACGTCAGTGCTCAGGGTTCCTCCCGGTCTGCGGCAATTGATATGGACCAAGCCTTATCGCCGGTTTTTCCATCCTTCGCCTTCTCGACCCACGAAGTATTTGTTGGAGAACCTCTGGATTGTCAATTAACCTTACACTCTAGGGCACAAGAAACACTTGCTCCAATCAGGATCTCCGAGGTCAAGGTCGTCTTCGAGGGTAGTTTGAACCCTATTTATCTCGTGGCAGAAGAGGCTGAATCAACTAACACTGGCTCGTCTTCTGCTAGTTTTCAGGATGTTGTACTTCAAGACTCGACTTTGTTCAAGAGGAGGTCGTCTGCTGGAGCCATTGCCTCTCTTGCTGGAAAAGCTGACTTGGTGATGCCATCAAATTATAGTAGAATTTTCCGCCTACGCATCACTCCGCGTGAGGCTGGCGACGTAGCAATCGCTTCGATCACCTTGCTCGTGGACGGACCTAATTATTCGCTGGCAGTCACCTCCTCTGACTTCGAACACTCGGTGTCCCAGTGGTGGGAAACCAAAAATGGCAAGCCAATCCCACGACTGCTCGGCGAGGAGTCCAATGCTTATAACAAGATCACAATACAACCTAAACCGCCAAAATTGCAAATTGAAGTGCCAGGACTTCGCAGGGCCTATTACGCAAACGAAACAATCAAGATTGGATTCGATATCCAGAACGACGAGGAAGAAGCCGCCTTGGTCTCCGTCACAGTCCGTATGATCAGCCCGGTGGAGGATTCTGCACGGATAAAATGGATTGATCCTGAATATCAAGATTGGGCGAGCTCAGAGGCAGGACTCCTGACCTTATCACCGCGAGACCTGGGGACAATAGCTGCTAACGAAAGCACTACTGTCTCTATTTGCCTCGATGAAACGGTCATCGCGGTTGATCACGAAGTCGAGCTCCTTGCAACTTACAGGCTGGTTTCTGAGCCTGAGACGATTCTGACAAAGAACCTCGCGATCGATGTAGTCGTAATTCGTCCTTTCGAGGCGAATTATGACTTTGTCCCACGTCTGGACCCGGATCCGTGGCCCAGTTTCTTTCACGGACCACCACTAGAGAGAGATTCATCCACACCTCTCGGCTTAAGACATCGATACTGGGTCACTGCAAATCTCTACTCCTTCGCTACTGAACCTCTGACCATTGAGGCTATCCTGCTTACAGCGACCAAAGTTCAGGGTAGGGCAACATGCTCGGCGACCACCGGCGTGGTACGAAGGCCCCAAGTGAACACTGCTGAGGACAAGGCATCGATTTCATCGGTAGTCCTGCCGGACCAGACTACAATATTTGACTTCGAGTTATCCCTACAAAAAGAAATCCTCGGCGATCGGCATACCGTCGGAGTCGACCTCGCCCTTGAAATTGGTTGGCGACGGCAAGATTCAGATCAAGTCAACACCACAGTACTTGAGGTTCCCAAACTAGTAGCTGCAATGGCCGAACCGAGAGTACTACTCACTGCTTCTCAAGCCACGCTCAGTGCCTCGGTGGATTCCGCGTACAAGCTAACCTTTACGCTGGAGAACCCTAGCATGCACTTTCTCACCTTTAACATTTCATTAGAGGCAAGCGAAGACTTTGCATTCAGCGGTCCCAAGGCTTGTTCTCTAAGTCTCGTACCCCTCAGCAGGCAGTCACTCGATTACAGGATACTCCCGAACAAGAAAGATCAATGGGTCGGAGTGCATCTGAATGTGATAGACGCGTACTTCGGGCAGACTTTGAGGATCCTGCCTGGCGGGGACGGTGTGAAGGTGGATAAGAAAGGGAAGGTATTCGTGAAGATATGATCATATTTTGGATTGCTCACTCGTAAACATGTATTATGGACAAGGCCCGGTAGTCATAACGTACCTCAAGACAATCAAAGGGCATTGAGCACGCACTACCTGTAAGAGGCATTGTTTACATTGCCGCGTCCCGATCGCGATCCAATTTGTCCCGAGTTCGAGGCAGTGAAATTTGCGTCATGCTTGGCATTGAATACCTGGCAATTCCCGTTCCCCCAAACGATCCCAGCAAAAGACTCGCACGAATATTCCGGTCTTCTGCCTTCTAGAAGGGCCGTCTTTTCCAAATGGACAAACTACATAATCTCATTGCCAGCGTGACTGGCCAAGAGAAGATCGGCTTCATTGACTCGTCTCAGACCTCACTTTACGGTAAGCTCTGTGTTGGTGGAGAAGTATCCCCGGAAGCTGTAACTGACCCTGGACAGTGGCGGCGGCAGCGATAGCCTTCAACCCTATCTTCTGGAAGTAAGTCGGCGCCCGTACCTGAACAAAGGAGTGAGCTAAATTATATGATGCAGTCTCGTTGCGAGACTTGGTGAGCCAGTTCTCGTCATCTACGGGTGTCGATATTGACATGCTACAGAGTACCGAACTCATGTCCTAACCAAGATTTTTGGCTCGCCGTATTATGGCTGCTATGCGCTGGCATTCACAATATTCTCTTTGGGTATTTTCCGCGACTCGCTTTACAAGAATGCACTTGATGAGCAACCACTCTATCCCCCCATCCACCAGCCAGCTGCGGGAATTGCATGCTTCGTTGCCGGTAATGTTCTTGTGTTATCGAGCATGTGGGCCTTGGGAGTCACTGGCACATACCTTGGCGACTATTTTGGCATCTTGATGGACGCGAAAGTCGAAGGCTTCCCTTTCAACGTTACCGGTGCACCGATGTACTGGGGCAGCACGTTGTCGTTCCTGGGAACGGCGCTGTACACAGGCAGGGCCGCGGGTGTTCTGCTCACCGTTGAAGTGTTTGTGCTGTACTTTTTGGCATTGCAATTCGAAGAGTATGTGGTCCCACCGGTAGTGCTGGGCTCTTTGGAAGAGCACGTGCTGATACGATTAGTCCTTTCACCGCCGCGATTTATGCAAAGAAAGATGCCAGACCAGTGACACGATCAATGACGAAACAGAAGGATCGCAAGAAGGCTTGAGTCGACTAGCACATTGATGAAAACGCACGACTCAGTGGGTGAGATGTGCCTTCAGGGTACGTGCTCATAGATTGGCCAGAGCGTGACCATGGAGGATTGAGACGCTGGTCACATCGATACCCAGAGCATTAAGATGTTGTGGACGTTCAACACGTCCGGGTGACAGGAGAGTAATAATCAGGCTGGGTGCTGACGGTGGACGAGGCTGTACTGTCTACCGCCGCGAGGATGCTTTGGGTGTTTTGCTCGACAACAAAGGTCTTGGCATTGCGTAGTTGGAGAAGAAGACCTGATTCAGAGGTGCGGGCTTTCTCAGGCTGCATGATTGGACACCTTCGCGTGGCAGTCTGTTCTTCAAGGCTGCGCACCTCTTCAACATCATCTTCAAATCATTCATATTTCTATATGGCAACTTCTGATAAGTCTTTCTAGTTGCGCCTAGTTTGGCTGGACGCCAGTAAATTGATTACTATTTTTCCCAATCTCCAGGTCGGTTTGGGAACGTTTTCCTGCGCGCCTTGATCCTATCCTCCTGAATAGCCAACACTCATCCTTCCTGTCGTCAAGTTCCGCCAACATGGCGCCGCAACATGTTGAGATCGCGGAGACTATCGCTGCCATCAAAAGGACTTTGCGCCGTGAGAAAGAAGGTAAAAAGTCACCTGAGAGCCCCCGAAAAGCACTATCCAAGTCCGTCACGCTAACCCAGCCCTCGCGCCCAGCTCCCACTGACCAGACCATCACGTCGGCCACGAACCGAGGAAATAAATTGAAAAGAGGTGCAAGCTCTGTTCATGCCGGCGCTCTCCCCTATCCACACGGTCCCGAGGGATATAAGGAGGTATGGAATGAATCAGCCGCGGTGCAGGATGGGCCCAAGCTCACACCATGCACAGAAAATCGACCACGCAGGGTATTCTCGATATATCCTGGATCGCAATCCTAAACGCTTCAACGAATACGGCGACGAACTCGAGGACAGCGAGAGCGATGCCGAGGCGGATGCTGATGCCGAAGACGAAAATCCCTACTCTGGCATCAAACTTGAAGGTCGGCCGAACTTTGTTCAATATCTAACTTGACTTGGCTGACCGCAGCAGAGCTTCTTTGCCCTTTGAAACACCCTTCCGAGCTTGCTTCTCATCCTACTCTCTCCATACCGTACCTCGATGGTGCGCTTCCAGACCTAATCGTCTCGGTCGAAACGAAACTGCGTCAAGAAAAGGCAAATTTATGGAGGGCCAAGAGTCTGAACAGACAATTCATGGGAGATGAGGCGTGGGTGCCCTGCGCCAATGTTGAAGGCCCGGAAGATTTGGACCTGTTTGAACCAAAGTCCAAGCTTCCTCTTCAACACGCAGGCAATAAGAGGAAGCGAGATCACGACCACGAAATTTCTCAAAATGGTATCAATGGCCATGATTATGCCGCCCAAAACGACCTAACTACCCGTCAAGCTGATAACACAATCGACGTCGACGCCGAGGCCGCCCGACGATTAGACCAAGAGAGTGAAGCTGACCACAAGATGGCACCAGCAATCGAAGAAGCGACGAAAGAGCAAGCAAAGCAGGAAATGGACGACGTACTAGCAAATACGGAAGCCGGCCACCCAGAGCAAGCCAAACCCCTTCCAGCCGAGAAGACGAAGGAGGTTCCAATTCAGGATAATGACAAAGATCAGAAAGAAAATGGTGACGACGAGATGGAAGTCGACGAAAAAGGAGAAGAAGGCGGAGAAGAAGGACCAAAAGAGAATGAAGCAGAAGATCAAAGCATGTCCGAGGAAGAAGAACAGCCGCAACCAACTCGAAGAATTACACGGGCTTTAGCAGCGGAGCATACGGCATCCACCACTGCAAGCCCGCCCGTGTCACCAAACTCTACTACCTCGACCGTTGATGCCTCGTTGCTGCAAGCCGACCCTCTGTTTCTCCTCCCGCCCTCACTGGCTGCCAACCACAGAGTCCCCAACAGTCTATCGCGACTCGGCCTACCCGTCGAAGAGTTTCTCGAGACCCGCCGGTTTCTGTCCATGTACATCCAGAAGCAAGAAGAGACTGTGCGGGGGTTCGAAGCCGTCCTGGCCAAGTTGATCAAGGCTAAGAGAATGCGCGACAATGTCTGGGAATGGTGCAAGACCGAGGGCCACGTAGGTGAATGGTCCGACGGCGAGGACTGGGTCGATGCCGAGGCGTGGGGTCTGGAGCCAGATGAGCTCAAGAAGGGCAAGGACGAAGAAGAAGTCGAGGGTCAAGAAGACACTGGTCGGAAGGGCAAGAGGAGAAGAAGGGATTAGAAGTCCCCTCCTAATCCTAGACTGGGGGTCAAAGTGAAGAAAGAAGAAGCAGCAACACCGGACACACGTCCTCCTGTTCCTGTACGATCTACACGCTCGAATCCTGACCCTCAAATGTCAACGTGCGCGCAGGGGGTATCCTGATGATGATGTTGATGAGAGAGCATAATATATAATGAAGATTCCGAATGAAAAGATTGATAAGAAAAACATATTCCCGTTAATTTTCCCTTGGAGTATGCATGCATCGTTGTTGTGTTGGAGTGAGTAAAACCGTTTCAGACGGCGTGACAACGTCGATTGCTATCTTCGTGTCTTTCGTCCCATTTGCTGACACCCTCCGTTACATCCTTGGCTGCGTGGGGTTCCTCCGACTCATGTTAAATGCCAAACCTCCCAGAGGTAGGTCATGACGTTGAAAGATGCTGAGAAAAAAAAGAGTGCCATGGACGCCTGGTGGGTTGCGCGAAAAATGACCAAGCAAGCATGTCTGTTTGTCCCGCGCAAAAAAACGGCGCATGTCCCCTTCTTTTTTCCTCCGACGTACCAAGCAATGTCCCTTGGCCCCTTCGATGACATTACCTAGGTATTCGAGTTGTGGTGAGCTGTACGAAGCCCGCAGGGTCCCATCTCCAAGAGTTTCTCGTTCAAGTCGACCGACCTGCCATGACACCGGGACGCGGAGGGCTCTTCGGCGTGATTGTTTTTCGCTGCCACATTGTGGTCTCGATTTTCGGTCTGCTAGTGAGCGAGTGGGTGAGTGAGCCTATCCTAACCTTGATTCTCCGAGGACGACACCGTCGTCGTGTTCGGCCGTCGCCGTCGTGGTCGTAGTCGTGGTCGCCGCCGACATTGTCATTTTCGAATCTCCGTCGCGGTGTTGGCCGATGTCGTCCTCGGTCTGCCCGTCGCTGCTCGAGCCGTCCTCGACGTACAGCTCCGAGGTTTTGGTGGCGACGCCGGCCTCGCGGAGCCTCTTGCGCATGCGCCGCCGCTCGTCGTCCTGCCACCTCGCCAGCGCGGCGGCGGCGTGCACGCGGAACCCAAAGACCTTGGGCTCGTGGCGCCGGCGGGTCTTTGTCGGCACGAGGGCCGGGTAGACCTGGAAGAGGATGTTGTGGAAGCTGGACCCGAAGTAGGCTCCGTCGATGGCGGCGTGGCGCGACGACTTCGGGTTGTAAATGTCCTCGCACTTGGCGCAAAAGAGCTTGACCGTCTTCAGGCCCGGGTTGTCGCTCGGCCCGAAGGGCAGCAGAGGGTGGCTGTCGCAGAGGACCCGAGGGCAGCGTCCGAAGTCGCACTTTTTGAACTTGTCCACCATCTTGGCCAGGCCGCGGGTGGTGACGATGTACCGCGCGTGGACGAGACCATAGAGGTGGCGGGCGGATTTCTCGATGGTCTCGCGCATGTCGTCGTCGCAGTCGAGGTCGAAGACGTCGGTGATCAGGTCCAGAGCATGTTGGTAGTAGTGTACCTCGGTGTTGAGACCCGTGAGGTTGAACCGGTCCGTGATGTACTCTTCGTCGATCTCGCAAAAGTATTCGTTTCCTCGGGACGATATGAACTGTGGGGGGTGAGAGTGAATGCGTTAGTCTTTGGATTCTGCGGGAAACATGACAGAAGAGAAAAGGACAAGGCGGTAGTATTGAAATGGCGAGTTGTGAGACAAAAAGCGAAATCAAAAGAGTGAGGTTTTGGTCTGAAGGTTAGTTCGTAGTCCGGTACGAATATCCATCTCAATCATGGGATTCGACAGAGTATATCTTGTTCTTTTTTGTGTCTTTTGTGCATTCACGGATGCGTGCCCGGCAGATCGATGCCTCGCCAGGAGCCTCGAAAACCCAAAGATTGACTAGATGTCGGGCACTCATCACTTTGATAGCGTCCCCAGATATTGGCTGGAATAGTGACATCGATCCAGGCAATCTTCGAATTTGTGATCCCAGACGATCTTCGTTTGGCTTGTATTCCTGCTGACGCCGGCGCGGGGGCGGTCACCGTCTCTCGCAGCCTCATTCTCAACTTACCACATCCAAACTTTCTTTTACCTCCACAACTCCATGCAGAGCAAATTTTTCAAGATGGCAAAAGGAAAAGGACAGAAAAGGAAAGTTCGTACGTACCCAGTCTCGCCAGTAACTCGTGTAGTCACTATCAGTTTCTGACTGAAAGTCCACGTTCATCTTGGTGGCATAAAATCTCTGGAGCGGGAGGTGGTGACGTGGACAATGTCAATTATTTCAGACGGGTGAGATGGTTTGAAAAGGGATACGCCCAATTGATGTGTGCAAAGGAAGACAGCAAGGACGTTCTTTAGTTGTTCTGGAGATGTTTTGCAACAACGTGGAAATTGATTCAAGGGTTCTCAATTTGGATTGACGTGATGTGATGATATGCTTCACTGTACAACTCTCACAACTACGGCACCGCACAAAGACCAGGATTGGCATTTATCTCTGCCGTCTCCTTGACGCCAATCCAACTTTGGAAATGATATTTATCCGTCCCTCTGGACTTATTTATCCGAACCATCCTCACCGCCCGACTCGTACCGGCCATCAGGCTTTACGAAGGGGGGCTTCAGCCTCGTCAGTCGATTGTACCCATTCATTGTTTTGTTCAGTGAACGTGGACAATACGTTCATTCACGCGCATCTACCACGCCATGCCTCTTACGGATGCCAGCTTCGCCTTGGCGATGGTTACTGTACAGCAGTGGTTAAAATGGCGACTGAATCGTCGGTACAAATAAGTGATTCATCTCACCGAGACTCACTTGTTCTTCTTCTTTTTCTCTTTTTGATATCGGTCGACAAAAGAACAAACAAAAATGTCGACAGCAGCGACAACCAGTGGAGAGGAGGTCTCCCACAGCGACAACACCAGCAGCAACAACAACAACAGCCAGAGCGAGATGGCCCTGGTCGGCGGCGCGATTGGAGCTGGCTCAAACCACCGTCGTCCCTCGGGTCCTTACGACACTCGCCCGCCTCCTCCGCCTCCTCCCCCACCTCCCATCCAACAACAACCACCACCGCCGCCACCACCAGCAACAGGTCTGGTGTTCAACAGGGGGTCCACTCGGGTACCCATCCTGTACAACTCGACAATCACCGCCATAGTGGCTCATGTCACTATCCGGGCGGGATACAGGATGGCGGATAGGCCGTACGCCTATCAGTGCGAGAGGTGTGGTAGGAGACATCGTCACATTGGCGATTTCCACCGCCACATGAGACAGCTGGAGGGCAGGGAGGGATTTCGGGTGGTTCGGGCGGTGCCCCAGATGGAGATGGTGTGGTATGGGGTGGATGATGCCGGTTACCGGTACATGGGTCCGTTGTTGAGGCCCGGGCTGCAGCCCTTGGAGAGGAGGCGTCGATAGTCGAGGCGAGCACTAGAGACTCATGGAAGGGGGGGGTGTTTGTGTGGGCGTGTGTGTGTGTGTGTGGATATGGGAGAATGACAAACATTGTGCCGCCTGTATTCTTCCTTCTCCTGATTTCGAAACCTCCTTCCACATCGTACTTGTAAGAGGCTTTTTTGACGGTGTTGAACACCATGTTGATTCTCAAGTCGATTGGCATCGTAGTTCGTTGACAGGAATGGCACCTCGACAGTACAAGGTTCGAGCCCAGCTGGCAAGTCGGCCATTGGTAGTCAGCGCTGTGGTCTGAGTTCTCTTCTTGTCATCCATAGCTGTGTCAAGTCATCATGCACGATACTACAGCTAAAATCATTTCAGCAGTGCTTTCATTTCGAAATCTGCCAGGAGTCACTTCAAGGTGCTTTCGTTTCAACGCTCGTAGATCCATGAGTCAAGTGATCTCACGGGCTGGTGACTGGCACAGCGGCATTTCGATATCAACAATGGGACACATTTCGAGATACTACTTTGGACCGGCAAGTACCACTGGAAGACGCGTGTGAAATGAGATCTAGGATTATCAAAGAAGCGTCAAAGTAAAGCAACATGTAAAGCAGGCCGATACTGCTGCAAAAGGTGCCATGTGGCAGTCGGCGTACTGTATAAGAACAGATCTGAAAGCACAGTAAACATAAAAACATCGTCGGCAAGCTCTCGGTGATATCTGAAAAAGGAGCAAATACGAATCTACACTGCCCTTGAACTCGGACACGGACATGTTGGACCCTATGCAGTGGATCGGGACGGAAATCATCCGAAATGGTCAAAATCACTCCACCCATGACTTATCTCAAAAAGAGTCCGTGAGTACGTAGTATTGGAATTTTCCTGGCATGTGAAAATCTTACTAACTCATTAACCGCGGGAACTTTTCATCTCATCACGTAGTTCATTGTCCGTACCAGTCGCTGGGACCCGACCGCAAGGGGCCAAACACCTCATTTGGGTTACTGGATCATCGTTTTCATCGACGGGACTTTTCATTCGTCCTTGACTCAAACACGAGATACGACGGATGATATTTTAATCATGGATCTCCTGAAACCTCGTCGCAAGCCGAGGTACAAAGTACTTTAGGTGTTTGCTTTGCCCTTTTGAACTCCCCATTTCATTTTCACCAGATGTAAAGTTTGGAAATTCCGAGAGCGAAAAGGTATCAAATGGCCGAAATCAGAACCAAGAAATCGGTACGTCGATCCCACCAGGCGAGACTGCAGTATTCGGGGGATTTCTCAAGGTGCCGCCCTGGTCGCTGACATGCCTGCAGAGCGACGACAGTTTCTCCACGCTCGTCGTCGAAAAGAGCAGCACATGCTCCTCCAGACAGGCGGCGGCGCTCGCCCACACTTACCCGTGGTTAACCACCGAATGGGTCAACGGCAACGTCAACTTCGAGACTCACTTCAAGGACTATGAGATTGAGAACCCGGCCGTGGCCCTGCAGGAGGCGCTCGGCGGTGTCGTGAAATGGGTCGTTGACGGCATCATGACCGAGTTCGGGAGCGCGGTGTCAGACTCACGCGGCACCCGAGACTGCGGGTGTGTTCACTGAGCTTATTATCATTCGGCGTCAAATTTCGCAGCGAAAATGTCAAGGTTCAGGCGTTCATTTTGGAGATTGCTGATGACAATCGTCGTCCAATGTATTAATTTCATATAGCCACCTCGTTTTAAACATGGGGGTATCAAGTCTATCTGAACACGGCAAAGTCTATGAGCGCCAGTTTTCCAACATCGTAACAGGTCAGGTAATTAAGAGGGTAATGACAAACGTAAACAATCAGCTGACTGGTGGTCCTTTCCAGATCATCGGCCAGCAGATTTGTTCGTCCTTGTACTGCTGAGATCCAGTCCGGCGATGGACGTCAACGTGTTGACCCGGTCGATATCGTAAGGGCTAGCGTTGTAGTTGGCGGCTTCTGATATACTTCCAGATTGTGACTTGATTCTGGTCAAGGCTGCCCGATCAGCTTGATCGGTGGACGTTCTGATAGGCGCGAATCGAGACTCCGGTTCCTCCGTCTCCTTTTCTGACTCGGATTGTTCAAGTGAGGTACGTGCAGGCGAAGATGATGTGCCAGCTCCTGTACCGGCTGTCTGAGCAGCCCTGGCTCGTAGCTCCTCCATGGCCGCTTCGGCTCTGGCAGCGTAAACGCAGCGAGCACGTATCGACGCCCCGTATTTGTAGAAGATGAAGGGGAAAGGAACGCAAGCCAGTGCCAGGAATGCTGGAATCGCACTGCCCCAGTGAATCCCTAACCTATCCAGCATATCCTGGGTGAACAAAGGGAATGCGGCGCCGAAGAGAGATCTCAAGACCGTGTTGGCGGCGAGGACCGATGCGGCAAAGACGGTATACGAATCAATGAGGTAATTGGTGACGACGAGGAAGAGGATGCAGAAGCCGAAGCCGAACGGTACTCCCGCAAGAACAGGTGAGATCCAGTGGACTGACGGAGAATTGGTAAAGGCGAACCAAAAAAGACCGATTGGGACAGCGACGGCTCCTAGGAACGCAGGCGGAAGTCGTGCTTCGGCCGGGGCAATGCCGCCATGCTTCTGAGCAGATTTGAGGTACCACTTATTCGCATAGCCGGAGAATGCTATGCCCAACACTTGTCCAACGGCCACTCCGAGGAAGGGAAGGCCACCAATACCTTCGGACCAACCACGAACTTGCTGGAACACGATCGGATAGGCGCCGAAAAGAAGGTAAAGAGTGCCTGCGCTGATTAGTATCAGATGAATCGGTGACATTATGCGGTCATTGCTTACCGTAGATGATGGCGATGTACAGCGACAGCAACAACACAATTGGCTCCATGAAAAGGAGAATCCAAGGTCGGATCAAAGCGGTCGGTAGAAGCGACTTCAACGAAGGGCGGCCCTTCTCCTTGTCCGACTGTAACATGTAAACCTTCCCCGTCATCTTGGTGAGTTTGTCAACTCTTCGACGAAGGAGAACCGGGGCATATGTTTCAGGAACGAATACAGCTCCAAGGATCCAAAGAACACCAGAGAATATCGTCAGCATTCCCATGACCCATCTCCAGCCTTCGTTCTCTGCAAGAAAGCCACTGCAGAAAGGTCCAATCGTCGGTCCCATGCTGGGTGCGAGAGCAAAGATACCCATCGCAAGTCCTCGTTGGCTGGCAGGGAAAATATCTGCAATGACACCTCCCGCGTTTGTAAAGGGGGATGAACCGAAAGCACCTGCGAAAAATCGCAGAACTAGTAGCGTAGCAAGATTATTGGCGCCCGCGCAACCGGCATTGAAAGCTGTGAATCCGCAGAAACTGATGAAGAACATCAGTTGTCTTCCGTAGATCTCACTCAATGGCGCCCAGAGGAGAGGTCCTGTAGCGAACCCAAGCACGAACAACGAGATTCCGGCTGTGATCAACTCCGTGCTTGCGCCTAGGTCGACAATGAGCTCTCGAATTGTCCCTGGACAGCTATTGTTAGTGGATGCCAAACGTCAACACGCAGCCTCTCTGAGCGACGTACCGCTGAATGCACTGGAAGCGAACGCAGAAGCAAGCATTTCAGTAGCCACGATCCAGCTGATGGTCCATCTCCGGGACGTTGTCCAATTGTAAGGGTTGCCGACATCATTGGGAATGTAGGACACAATGTACGGATCTTCCTCCGTGCCGGATCCAGGGTACGGATGCTTGAGAACTTCTTGAGTGATGCGAGCCTGGTCGACCACGAGACGGAACAAGGAGAGATGTCGAGGGGCAGGATCGTCAAAGTCGGTCTTCTCGGCCATGGTGTATAATCGAATTCGCAGTGGCAGGATGAAAGATAGTGATAGTGATACACGAAACAAAGCACGGGAGATCAGAACTTATCTAAAATCGAGCGGCTCCAAACATTGCATCATGAAGTTTTCACTGTTAGGGAGAGGCCACTGTGCACCGTTATCCACAACGACAACGACACAAGATTGGCAGCACATGCAACGTGGGCATGCTTGCGCAAGTTGATGGATTGGGGGTTCATCCGACCGCCGACGGTGAAACATGATCGAGAAGCACCACATCGCAGCCACAACACGACAAAATGATCTTGACATGGCGTCGGCGTTGCCGTTGATGAGTCCATTTTCATCGGATGATTGGCGACCTGTTTCGGCCGCAAGCTTGACATCGGTCTAGCTGTATCCACAAAATGTCATGTTCGGATATTGGCTACCGAGCCATATCAACGGTAGCTTCGAAAGATAGATAAAAACTAATCTAGTTGATAGATGAATTGTGCGACGCAGTGGATGGTGATTGACACTGCGCTCTGGTGCCTTAGCGTGGGAAAACAACATCCAGTTACTTGGTGTCAAATGTTGACTTGTAGCCGTTGAGTTTGAGCTTTCTGTACGTATCAGTGCTGAGTGGAAAGAAAATCATAAGGTCCAAGCATCGCCACACCGAGGGCTTTTCAGTTCTGAGCTTTTACGGGTACAGCTCCGCAGCCTTGTCAACCTCGGTAACTTACTCGTTTGGTGATTGGCTGATATCGTGCGATCCACAGCCTCGTTCAACACGAGGTTGCAGGGTACAAGGTTATCTATCACCAATGGCTGAACGACGAGGTGGGTTTGTCCGGCTATCGAGTTATCGCAGGGATTCACTTCGATAAGAAATCCAACAAGTACCACTATGCTCGAATGAGTACTTGCGTTGAACACAAATTCGCTACGGCATGTTGCCTTTCATAAGCGTCTTTAATATGCCGATATGAGGAGTAACCCCACTGGCCAGATGCGGCTCCGAGGGTAGACATTGAACATTTGGAGACGACTTCAATAAGCTCATCAATGCCATCTTGTATCTTTTCATCGTCCTATTGTCGTGCAGTAGAGCTTCAACACATTAAAGAAGTAAATCACCTGCTGTGAAAAATGCCTCCACAAGGACAATGCAATTGTGGAGCAATATCAGTCTTCATTAAGAACGACGAAGCCGTCAAGTCCACTGGCACATACTGTCACTGTATTCCTTGTCGGCGCCAGAGTGGTGCTTGTAAGCTCTTCGCCGCAGGATTCCATTAGTAAACGAGAACACTGACGGTGTTTAGTGGGAACGTACGTCACTGTCATTTCAGACGAGGATGTTGAGGTCACAGGCACTCCAAAGGCATATCAGGACACAGCCACGGATTCAGGAGTGACCATGCAGCGATGGTTCTGTCCTAATTGTGGAAGGTGTGTTAACATCTTTCACTCTCTTTTCGAATGCGCTTCCGGTCCTTTCGCTTCTCATGTCACTTCACCTGAACGGGGATAAATGGTGCTAATCAACCATAGTCCAATCATGTCAACCACTCCACGGGCGCCAGGAGTCAAGTGTGAGTCGAATACATATCATAGATACGAGCATTGAGACCTCGCTAACGCTGACTGCCAGTCATAAAGATGGGACTGTTTGATGAAATTCAGAGGCCCGTTGCCGAGGTATATTGCAAGAACAAGTCGGACTGGGAAGGTTCAGTCGAAGGATGTGTGAGCAAGGATCGAAGTTGATGCACATTAGTATCTGAGAGAAGAGAGAGTGTGTATGTGTGTGATATCAGACTGTATGCTGTTGGACATCGGCGAATAGTGTTGATTGATGAGGACGCTGTTAATCCCAGGAAGGTCACTTTCAACCAAGTGCACGGTCAAGTCCAGGATTACGATAGACGAGAGACAACTGCACCTTCTTGGCACCAGAAGAATAGGACGTATGTATGTGGTGAGATACTTGAATTGTATGCTATGGTGAACTCTTCAAGATACGAAGATCATGCCATCAAAAAATCTAAGCTTGGCGTCATTTTAGCGTCATTTTATGGTCATTTGACCTTGTCGTCGTACTTTTCTCTTTTCCTCCACACTGTTTCCCTCGTTGACCAGGGAAGATCTCAAGAACAATGCGGTCCATCCATTAGCTTGCGATCTTCCCCAGGCCAGTGCCGACTGGAAGTTGACAAGATGCGGATGAACTTCTCTCGTTTGAGTACAAGTGCCTTTGCGCCCGTGCGTCTGGACCGTCTTTCCACCATCGAAGTGCCCAGACTTGTTCAGGTGATTGGACTGAGCGATTTCGGCCGTGCCCGGTGACCATCTGTCAAAGTGGTCTGATCGTTTGCAAGGTGATGTTACCGCCTTGCTTTCCGAGGTGTGATGCGTTATATCCCCAGCATACTAGCATGCTGAACGAAATTCCACCAGTACCATTGATAGCATCTAGCACGAACCTCTAGGTCTCGAATCTTCATCCCGTCGGCCTATCGACCCCAGATCTTTCTCTACAACGTCAAGGTGACCTATAAAAATGGCAGAACTACTCCCTTTACAGTATTCTTCAGTTCCTCACGACAAAAAGACAATTCATCAAGATCAACCTCAAGCTACAAACGCTACTACTACAACCAACACAACATCGACAGCTAAAAGCATTACTAAGATGACGAGAAGAAACTCAAGCGCGTCCTCAGACGCCTCAGTACAGCCGGAGAGCGCCCCAACCTCGCCCAGTCTGAGTCGAAAGAGCACCGAATCTTCTCATCTAGAACGGCGCAATTCCAGACTCGGCGGCGTGATGGATCAAATCCGAGAAACTCTCTCTCAAGAACAAGAGCGACTCTTTGGGCCCCGCAAGTCAGCTCAGCAACACCGACAATATCAAGCCAAGGTCGGTGAGCATCTTGAGCACTTGCGCGAGCAAGACAAAGCCGACCGAGCTCGCGCCGAACAGGAAATGATATGGGAGGACAACAACAATGGTGCCAGCCCAGCAGTACAAGCCCGTAAGTCGTCGGAATTGAACGAGAATTCCATGGGGGCTGCTTCCGAGAAAGGGCTGCAGAGACAGTGGAGTTGGGGCTGGCCAGGACTTGGAACTAGCCCAGAGGCAGCAGAAGGTGCAGCAAAGCCTCGACGACTGAGTCATTCTGTGTCACATAATCCTGCCCTGGAGCACAAGGTGGAAGAAGCAGCATACGAAGCCATCGATAGTGCAGCCGAATCCGAGGGCTACGGATGGCCCGGCCTCGGTGACTTCCCAGTTTCCAAGAAATCATGAGCTGGAGAACTCGAAAGACAATGAGAAACGACTATTACACCTGGAAGGGATGCTTAAGGATGAATATGGGAAACTCGGGATCCCTCCGGAAGGCATCCACGTATCATAGCATCGAAGCAGTCGAAAGGACTTTGGATTGCGACTGAGGAATTGATACTTTGGAGGATCGGCGTTGGTTTACATTGATCTTGTATTGCTACATGATTCCAGCTAATTCGAGCGTACCAAGGAACACGATGTTGCAGCAATGATACAATGATTGGTACATCATACCTTAGCATTCTCGCAGATTCGAGGAGCAGTCAGAATTATATTGTAATGACGTAAAACTTTCTGCATCGTTATGCCACTATCACGAGCTTCGTTATAGGCGGGATGAACGCCTAGAGCAATGACGTTTCCGCCGAAGTTTCTAGCTAAATCCAGAAGAAGAAAGAGCATTGCGCTGCCACAGTGCTTGTAATGACACACTCGCAAAATCAACTCCACATGTCATCAGCGTCCTTTGCTCAATGCATCCCAACGGCTTTCTGCGGAACCATGGGTGAATGACAATGTGTAGTCCACTGCATGTTGATGGGAGATGCTCAGAGGCAGAAGTATCCCTGAAAAAAAGCGGTATTCACACAAAATCAGGAGACCAACTGATGAAATCATGTCTCCGGGTGGGCATGGAAATACGATGGTTGGTTGGAGCCTCGGACCCCCTCCCATCTCGAAAATTCCATGGTTCGTGAGACCCAAGATGGAAATATCAACAAATGTCTAGAAGCTTCAAGCCCAAGTCCCTGCCCCGCGTTCCGGTGATTCCATCCGTGACGCATCCGGAGTTTTCGAGAAAGTTCATCCGCGACTCCTCGCGTGTATAAATGTCCCCTGTTCACTCCCTCTGAAACTCGAGATCACCAGAACAAAAACAACAAAAAAAAGGCATTTGAATGACTAGCACATTGCGACGACTACCACAGAGGTTCAATCAAGTATCTCGAATCATCAGACCAACACAAACGAGAAACATGGCTCTATTCCCACGCTTCGGATCTGCATTCGGCGGCCCTTACCGTCAAGAGATGGGACCGTTCTTCAAGCTCTTCGACGACACCTTTTCCGAACTCCAAAAGATGTCCGACACGGCCCAACGCACCTTCACCCCCAAATTCGACGTCAAGGAGTCCAAGGACCGGTACACCTTGGAAGGTGAACTCCCCGGTATCGACCAAAAGGACGTGACCATCGAGTTCGCCGACGAAAACACCCTCACCATCAGGGGCCGCACCGAGCACTACCGTGAAGAAGGCAGCAAGCCATCCGCGGCCGAGGAACCTCAACAACAGCAACAACAGCCACAAGCCGGGTCTTCCAGCACAGAGGTCGCCACCACCGGAGGCAAGGACGTCGCCAAACATCAACCACAACACACGTACTGGGTCACCGAACGTAGCGTGGGCGAGTTCGCCAGGAGCTTCGCCTTCCCTACCCGTGTCGACCACGACGGCGTCAAGGCCAGTCTGAAGAATGGCATCCTCAGCGTCACCGTCCCCAAGATGCTCAAGACCAACACCTCCAGGAAGATTGAAATAAACAACGAGTAAAGGACGTGAGGCCGAAGGTCGAAAGGGCTCCGTCGCTCCATTCCACAAGTACCATTTTCTTCAAATTGAGAGCATTTCAATATATGGTTTGGTACAAACTCCACAATCCTGATCCCTCGAACATATGTACCTACTGTTACAACAACCCCACAATCAGCGTTCCTTTTTGCACAGGCTCACGACTATGACTACGACCACCAAATACCCAACGACAATCATGTATCATACATGCACAATGATCATTCATTTCACCCTTAGCGAGCGACTGGGCGTTTGACTTTCTTTTGCTGGACAATCACAAACTGTCGAAAGTGTTGGACCGACGAAAAAAATGGGAAAAACAGAATAATAATTCAACACAACCCTTACTGTGTAACTTGTCTCTAGCATCTCCTGAATTAGCTTCAGATAGTTGTTGCTGCTCTTGATCTAATTGAAAAAATTTCAATCGAAACAAAGTACTCTTTCAATATTTTCACGTATTCGTATACGCAGTGACTCGTTGATACTCTCGTGACTTTGATCGAATGAATGAGATAACCAGGGCCAAAAAAGGCCTTCAATGTTCCCTGACACTCGTAGCCGTACTTGCCATGATGACTGGTGACCTTCTTGTGACTTTTTCAAATCCCACAGTACAGCCCAAACGAAATGTCTGCCTTGCAATGTTTCCCTGAACATGTTCGCATCCCGACCCTTGCCGGGGTAACGTATGTTTACTCGCGCATGACTTGACTTGATCGAATGAGATGAATTATTCTACTCAAAAACACGAAAACTGCCTCCATGTCTTCTGACAATTCTTACTCTCATGATGACTCGTGATCTTCCTCGTGAAAATTGATGGTTCTACTCGGAAATTTGCCTCCAATGTTCCCTGGAGTGTCCGTCCCTTTGCTTCGTGATCCGTGAGATCCTCATGAGAGTGATTGATTGGAATTTCTGGTCAAAAAGTGTCCCCAAAAGCACTCAATTTCCCTGACATTCGTGTCCCGTCATATTTCGTAACTTACGATTTTCTCATGATGTTTTTCGGGCTCAAATACCGTACCACACCTTGACAGAACAGAACCCACCTCGAAGAAGAGACTCTTAAAACATTTTCAAACGCAAAGGAGGAAATATCTGGTGATGTTAAAAACCTCGTAATAGGTCTATCGGTTGTATTGCTGATGTCGCCGAAATGTCATTGGTGTACATGCCCTTGCTTCTGTCAAGATATGTCTGTGTATGTCACATACGATGTATCGTTGACGTACAAAGATTTTCGAGAGCAAAACAATAATGGTTTGGGTTTGACAAACCAAGGTCAGTAGACAGCGACCAAACTTCACGCACATTCTTCAAGTTCACCATGGTCAGTGTCATGCCACACAAGAAAGTGCGACCTTACCCCGAGAGGTGCGAGCAGAATACTCCGGATGTTGGAACACAAAAGTTTTAGTTTGGCAAACGTCAGAGCACAGTTCGCATAGCCTGTAATGCCGACAGAGTATCACCGGCTCATGCTTCTGTGTGGACGTTGGGTGGTGTTCGGCGCTGACTCGCAGTCACTCGGCGTCCGAAGAGCCAAGTTTGTCCTTGAACAATAATTTCGAATGGTCCTGCGACCATGGTGCCACATTGGTCTTCGCTGTGCAACGCTACAAGAGTCCTCTGGCCTCGTGGGACCCAGGCTCGTCACCGTCGACAGGAGCGTCTGCCGCAAGTGTGATGGGCCAAAGTCAAGAATTGCCGAAGTGCGAATCTCAAAACGCTAGCATCGTAGTCGAGAATCCTTTCGAGGTGCATGCCTAGCCTGTCACCGGAAAGCCCAAGTCTGCACTGGTGCTAGGGGTGCACGGAAGCTCTCCTGATAACCAGGTATCGTGACGAAAGCCAGTTCGCGTACGCCTCTTCGTCGACTTGCGCGCATTATTATCTTGAAGAGCTTTGAGGATCGACATGGGTATCGCGATCCTGAAAGAGCGAAAACATCTGGTGATGTCCACTTGTAATACCAGAAGTCCATTTCGTCGAGTCATGATTTGCTAGACGTTTCTTGCCCCCGACCTAGAGAGTGTGCTTCAGTTGCACCTATGGACTGACAAGATGAATCGGTTGGTCGGCGGCTGTAGGGCCACCACAAGTGACAGAGATTGGTTCGAGCACCTGATACTGACGTTGATGTCTGCAGACAAAACGGGTAGAACGAGACCTCCCGAACGGCCACACTTTTGCGACATCGAGGTCTTTGGACTTTTGACATGGCAATGGAGTGTGAGTTACTCCGAAAGACAGACGACAAAACCCACGTCAATACTCGTACGTGTTGAGAAACGGTGACTAGCTTTCGCTTAGCTTGAACTGGGCCTTATTTCCCAGTTAGAGTTCGAGCAGTGTGCCCGTGTGGAGGAAGACAAACGGTCGCTTACAGAAGCCCAGGCCGAAGAAAACACGGACAGATGCTGCCGCATGGTGTAAAGTGTCTCATCATTATTGGCGGATCAGATGATAGTAGCCCGAACACTTGATCACCGCCAACGTCGACGGTCACAGAGACGGGTGTCTAATCCAGATTTTGGCGGAGAGGGAATGGTGGGACCTGCACTGGCGAGCATACCAAGGAGCCATTTTCGCATACCGGCTCTGACTTATACGATTACCAAGCTCTGGGGTATACTCGTGGTGGTTTGAACACCAGCCGGCTCGGTTGTCCACTGTTCTCACAGCTTGAAGTGGTATAGCTTGGAGAGTCTTCTTTGCCTGTGCTCCGGGGCTTATCTGGGTATGCACAGCGGAAACGTGCATGTATCAGGAGTTGTTTCAAGGAGCGGGCATACTGTACCATATTTTGGCTGGTGTAATGGCTATGGGAAGGACCAAGTATTCCGTATAGATGATGGCAGTGGAAGTCGACAGCCGACCTATCGGAGGCCGAATACCACAGTAATACTGAAACTCGTTTTCTTGTATTGTTGTGAGCCAATTTCTCGCACGGTGGAGTGACAAAATCTGCTGGGTGGGCGTTTTCCCTATGTGAGGTGGCGTGTGGTGGCTCCAGCTCCCTGTATCGGCGGCCGCCGTCAGACCCTGAAAGTCTCAGCCTCGTAACCAAAACGAGAACGCCCTCGATAATGTTCCGCCTGTGACTGTTTTTGTGGTTTGATTCAGTCATCTGGCCTGATAGGATCTTCCGCCAGATCTGCTAGTCACCAGATGACTCTAGAAGCACTCCTATTCTACCCTGGTCTGGGCAGGGGGTCTTCATTGGCAGCGGAGCGGACACTTACTGCATCAATGTCGTAACAGCTTTTGCTAGTCCAAATGCCGCCCCTGTCTCCGCCGATATCAGAATCCTCAAGAAACCCATAAAACGGCCTTGAACGACACGTCTTCTCGACCGCCCATCATTCACCAATCTAGCAAAGACACATCAAGTCTAGAACAGCAAAGCGCACCAATCAAGTCTCAATCACACACACGCAGACACATACCTACAATACCTCAAGGCAATCATTCGATATGGTTCAGTACGACCAATTCTCTCAGATGTTCGGCGGTGGCCTTCCAACACGCGAGAAGGCCACAGAGTCTCACCCAGACATTGTCCGGTCACCCAGTAAGTTACACCGAATATATCTAGTAAGATCTTTCTGACAAATGATAGGTCAAACTGAAATGGCCGGCGCTTTGCACCCACGGCTTCGGAGGCTTTCTCAAAGTCACAGTCCGCCACAGCACTACTGCGCAAAATGTCACATGCGGCGTTCATCACAGAATCTCGTATTGACGCGCAGCCACTCCCACCTCAGTAGCGACGATGAGGAATCGGAAAGCTTCTGCCCAGATATCTGCATGCCAACAGAAGTTCCTCGCCCGCGCGTCCATACCAGGCGACATTCCGGTCTCTGTCCTGGGAACCTCGTTTCACAAGAGCACAACGGTGGCAGAACTTCGCCCACACAGATGACGCTCAAACAGTCTGCCCAGCACAACTCGGGGTCCAATACCAAATGTCACTGTGAGACCATTCTCCCAAGTGACAACCTGGACGAAAGATACGGCCTTGTGGAGGAGCCTGAAGAGATCAAGCCTCAAAGACAAAGCCTGGACCATCAGGCTGCTGATCAAATGGCGCAGATCATGCGCGAAGAACTCATAGCTGATTTGAGAGCAAGACAGCCCATGCTCTGAGCAGATGATGAAATGTGATTAATGATGGGGTTATGATATATATTGGGGATGGCGGCTCACAAGGACAGGGACGGCGTTCACGGAACATGGAATATCAGGGCTTGGGGCTTGTCAAACCAAGGGTTCAAAGGGATCACAGTACTATGACGATGACCGTCATTGGTGTCCCAAACTTGAGCCTCCCGACATCGGTTGAGTGTACTGTATATATAATATTGGCTTGTGGAGGGACACAAAATCAAACAATCAACTTGGCCTGCGATAGCAATTGACTTGGAGTTGATTCCTCTACCATATCGTGCCGTTCGATTCAGACTGCGTCTTACATTCATGATTGTTGAAACGTGTATCCTGTAGTTGCGGTCAGAATTTGCCGAGATTTCATGGGTACTGGACTGGATCGATGGACGAGTCATTCTCAACGCTGATGGTGGACAAGGAAGAAAGAAAAGTCTCACCCATGGCCTGGACTCGGTGTATCTCGTACGAGTTAAATGCGAGATGTCTTGGCCATGTTCCGGAGAAATATATCACCGAAATCCAAGCCTCGCTGCACGTGATTGCCTGAAGACTCTGAATTTGTGTCGTGGACTTTCTGCTGCTTTGAAAGCATCACACCACTTTCTCACACTCGTCACCCTTTCATCCATTCGAAAACGTCCACAATCCTTGGCCGTGTCTATCTATTCCCTTTTAGCGGTCATGGCCTCGTTAAACTTTTCTCCGATCTAGAATACTGCCCGGCTGCGTTGATTACCATCTTTGCCTACGGAATGGAAGCTGCTCAAGGATGCTACAATCCTGACCTGTCCTGACTTGTTTTCATCTGACATTGTTCCATACTCCCATGGTTGATGAGAATACCTCGAAAGTCAGCGTTCTCGTCTTTCGGCTCTGACGGCTGTGTACCAGGTTGCCCAATAAATGCTCATCATGAGATGGGTCGTGCAATAATATGCTCCATCAGCACATGCACTGATCTGGATCACCGCTTTGGTCAAGCATTTCTTGTTGATCAACAGAGGGCTCCGGAACCAATCAATCCTCATCCCTTGGGCCGTCTATTACTCGCAGCATTTTGAACAGTACTCCGCTACACCCCAGACTCTTGCAATATCACTCAGCTCGCGTTGACTTTGGCACTGTCGTCCAGGGGTAAGTCGGTTCCCGGCCAATAACATTAGTCGCCCTGACCCCCAGTCTGGTCTGGCTCTTCGATATTGCTGCATTTGCGCGTTATTAACCTGTGAACGTGACGAGACGGTTCAACGGGAGACCACCGGTTCCCTTTGCAAGTGACGTTGCAAAGCGTCGTGATTTTCATGCACATCTCCTCCTGGACGCTTATGGTGCCATTGAGGACATCCTCCGTGGTAGGTATATATTGCGCGCCCTGTCTGAGCGAGAGTGCAGCCTTCCTCCTTCATCCTACGACTCATCAACGAGCTAGCATATCAAGGAAGCAACATATTTCACCTTGACCAGTCGGCAATTTCACGCAGATTGGTGAATCTCATTTGATTAGACTTTTTGTTTCAATACACAGACATTCGAACCACACTTTTCAAAATGTCAGGCCTTCCCTACGCAGTTCCAGCGAACTACATTGTTCGCCTCGTTGAGGAAAGCAACGCCGCTCAAGGCATTTCTCGGGCCACTGAACCTGTTCAGCCTCACGAACATCCTACCCACTTCCAGTTTCCCCGCGTGTCACTACATGAAATGACACTGAAGACGCACTACCGCGGTCCACACAAGCCGGAGCAAGTATCGGCACCAAAATCGGCAGGCGTTTTTGCGCCGGCCACGGATATCCGGGAGACCATGCGCTCGTACCACATCGAGATTGAGGCACCAGGCGTCACGAACAAGGACAGCATCATGGTCCAATGGCTCACACCTCATACGCTCCTTGTCCAGGGCGAACTCAAGAGACCCGTCAATATCGGCCTGCTCGACGGCGACCAGGGCAGCAAAGTGTGGGAAGGCGCATCCGGCGAGGGATGGCCTGTAGAATCAGGACACGTCAAGGTATGTTATAGCCGGCCCACTGTCCCTCCCATTCGTTCATCTGTTCCAAGCATGCAATGGGCTAACTTTTCGCGTCAAAAACAGAAGCAGGAGGATGGCGGCCCACTCATGCGCACGCCCTCACGGGAGACCGTCGAGGCGGAACTCAAGGCCGACTCGATTCCCACGGTGCTCCTGTCCGAGCGCAAGGTCGGCCCCTGGAGACGTACATTCACCCTGCCCGATGACGTGGAGATGAAGGAGCTCAAGGCCAGGTTGGAGGGTGGCCTCTTGAGGATCGATCTGCCCAAGCGCAGTGTCGAGGAAGAAATCGAAACGAGAGGCGGCGGGATCATGATTGAGATTGAATAGATGATGGGGGGACATTCATTGCATATTTGACTTTTGTGGGCGGGGATATCGACGGCAACAAAAACAAAAGGGACGATGCATGATAAAAGAGGGGATCGAGCATGACATGGGCATTTGTTTGTAACTGCACCACAATGTTGTAGGTCGCTGCGAGATGGGATGGACATTTTATATCTTAATTACAGAAATTGATCCATTGATAAAGACCGTCGATCCAAAGTGCCGTTTCGAGGTGGCAAAGAGGTTTACCCGTAGCGTGGAAGAAAGAACAAGAAAAAGCAAGGAGTGTGTACGGAGTGAATAGTTCTTGAACCGTCGCGAATTTGCATTTCAAAAAGTCTTTTCGTCTGGAGCATCCCGTGGCCAGCATCTCTTTCTTTTTTTTGAGAGCCGCCCGGTTTCATGTGTGCTTGCTTCTTCGTGCATATATATATCATCCTCCCAACTACATGTACCCTCAATACGGATGGATCGGGAGGGAGTGTGTGTCCATTGTTTCCCATACCATATCGTCGCATCTTGGCCCCTTTTTTCTTCTTCGTTCGTGGGAGTGTGAACTCTTGTTTCACCACCTCACACACGTTCTCAAAAGCTCGAAAAAATCCTTCATACATGAAAAATTTCCCGTCACACTTTCAATAATTCCTCATGGCTAGACGCGTTGCCTGCCCTTCCCCATTTGCTAAACCCAATAACCCTTTAGACAAAAAGTCTGATGGGGTTTGCACCAGAAAGACACGAAAAAAAAGGAAAAGTCCAAGAACGCCAGAAACGTTGATTCCCTTTGTGTAACACCTTGAATCCTTTTGGATTTGTGACCCGAAAATAGCGCCGAAAACGCTCTTGGCCTCCCATTCCCCCCGTCAAATGTGAAATTGGACTCGGTACCACGAGCCTTTGGCCGGATGTAGTCGATGATGGTGATGATGAGTAATGATGATGATGATGATGATGATCCGTGTCGAAAGTTGGAGGGAGAGCCAGAGTAAACAAAGCATTGAGCAAAGATGGATTTCCATCAAGAAACAAAAAGGCTGCAAAAAGAAATTCGTCTCGTGTGCTTGCACGATTCGGGCACCATCAGACGGCTTGGACTTGAAGGTTGACCATCTGCTTGAGCAGACTGCAGTCTTCGCAGCGGACCAGTTTCTCCAGCACCCTCACTCTTTCGCCCAACCTCTGGATCTCGTTCTCCATGTGCCGCATCTCGACCTCGGTCTGGTTGACGTAGTTCATGGCCTCGGTCAGGACGTCGCTCTTGCGGACCTTGTTGGCGGGCACGGCCGCGCTGGGGGCGTCGCTGTCGCCGTCCTCGTTGGCCTTGGGCCCGTAGTGGGACGACTGCAGTGTGGTGTGGAGCTGGGCGATCTTCGCGTTCAGGTTCTCGCGGTACTTGCGCTCGACGAGCGAGTGGGCTTGCTTCGCGCGCTGCTTGGCATCGGCCTTGGACGGCGCGGTCGGCTTGTTGGGGTTCATCTGATCGTCATCGTCGTCGTCGTCGGAGCGGATCTCGGTGGCGGCGACCGCGGCCACCTTCTTGTTGTTGTTCCGGCCCGCCTGGCGCCGCGCCGCCGCGGTCTTGTTGGAGGTGCGAGGGGGGAGCGGCACCGACTGCACCTGGTTGTCGCCGGAGGACGTCGACGACCGCCGCACGCCTGCCGACCGCCCGGTGGTCGACCTCGAGCCGAGGCCGGGTCGTTGGTGCAGGGACACGACGCTCTCGCTGGTGATCATGGTCTCGTTGGGGGACGACGACTGCGTTATGCACGGGACCGACGTGCATTCCTCGATGGGCGGGAGCGTGGTGAAGTTCATGCACGGGGCGTCTGGGCCGCACCGTTGCGGCTGGCAGGAGTCGACCTGGCCTGCTATCAGGGGGCACAGCTTTTCGTCGTTCTTGGACAGCTGGATCGAGATGGGATCGAGCGTGGCGACGGGGGGCGAGGTGTTGAGGGCGTCAGCCCCCGAGAGTGAGCTGGCCATGGTGCTGCCGTCGTTGATCATGTTGGAGTCGGTGTCGGTGCGTGAGCTGCTGAGGCTCGACTGATCCAGGGACGTCAGGTCAGCGTCCATGTTGAGAAGCTGCGAGTAGGTGAAGGGTCCGGTGCTGTAGAGGTCTCCTGAGGGGAGGGCGGGCTGCTGTTGCTGCTGATGATGGTGAGAAGAGCCTGTGGAGTTCTGTCGCCGGCCGGGGCGTAGATAGGCCATTGAGTCAATGTCGGTGTCCATGCTGGCCGCGTACTTGGGGCCCTGAGCTTGCTGGATATCGGAGGTCGTGGCTATGGAGGGATGATTGAGGGGTGCCGTCGTAAAGTCCATCTCATGCCACCCGCTGTAATCGACGGAGTCGGGATCAACGATGGCTAGGTGTTGGGCGTGACGCTGGTTATGAAAGTCATGAGAGCCATTCTGCCCTTGGTAAGCATTTCGAAATGGCATCGTTTCAAGTGGCGGCTGACGGTCCCGGCTGTCGAGGCCCTGAGGGTACCGCTTTTTGCTCGTTTTTGCAAAAAATGGAAATCTGCTGGTATCGTTGTATAGGGGTCCAGTGTCCCTAGTACGGCTCCCGGCTCCTATCTGACGAACAGGATCGCGCTGACGGTCGCTTGCACGGGGCTGAAGGCAACCTGGAACGGGCGCTAGAGAGTTAGAGAGCGGAAAGTGGTTGTTTCTTGATTGTACGGAGTGTGAAGCAGAGAAAACAATGTCAGGCCACGACGTGAAGTCGAACGGTGTTGTTGTGGGGATAAAGTCTGTAGTTGTAAGGTGATCGAAGGAAACGTCGGCACAGACAGAGACACGGGAGAAAGATACACAGGGTCCCCCCATTCGGGATTTGGCTGGGGCTTCATGCATATGGTGGAGGGTGAGTGAGAAAATCCAGACGTCCATGTCACACCACCGAGCAGGGATCACGTATTGCCCAGACCATCGTGGTATCGATCAGAGCCAATTGGAGTCCAGAGTTTTGCCGATAAAGTCACGTGGCGTAATCGAGTTACATGTATCAAAGATATCCGCCCCACAGCCACAGGAGATCCAGACCCCTCGAGCAGGAGACCGTTTTGATGTGACGGTAATGACAGACTTTACCCACACAAATCCCCGTAACAGCGTTGTAAATGTCGGACTGACAAAAACCATGGTTGCGTGACTTTCTGACTCGGCCAAACCCGCCGAATCGACGATTGGACGCACCCAAGGCTGAGGCAGCAGCCTTGTCCCAAAAGGCGATAGTGCTAATTCCCCTGTACGGAGGGCGCCGGTGTCGATCTGGTCGAGCCACTCGACCTGGCATTTTGCTGTGTAGGGCTGGCCCAGAGTCCATGATCTGATTCTATCGGCACCTGATACTCCATACCTATACGGGTGCTGCTTGGATATACCTCACCTGTCTGGTGACGGTGCAAAACACCACGGCATTCTATGGCCATCATGCCATGACGGAAGATGTAGGCCGCGGCTACCAGGTCGCAGTCAATCTTGTTGTCCTTTACAGCATTGTTTAAAAGGCCCTTGAAGAATCCCTCCAACAAGGTAGGTTGTTTGTTCTCCATCACTCCATCACAAGGATCCCAAAAAGCATCAGACAAGCACACGACCACTCATCAAAGCAACGACACTTCCCCCCAAGACAACACCTTCAATCACCAAGCAGCCTATTTTTAACAACTCCCCCATACCAACCACAGCCAATCATCATGAACGCCGCTCAAGTCCTCACTCGCCGAATGGTGACCATGGGTCCCAGACTCACCACCCCTGTCAGATACTCATCCTCCGCAATCTCACACAGCGGCAGGATGACAAAGGGTGAACGGGGTATGATGCGGAGCATCTTCGGAGCCTGCACCCTGGCCACCGCGACCGGTGTCCTGTATGCCGTAAGTGTTCTCGATCTCGTCTTGGAGATGCTTCCCATCGACGTTACTGCCTCGAGCAGCGAGTCGTAAGCCCAAGACTCTGTTGTTTTTGCGGGATTGCGGCTGACTTTCGGAATTAATTAGGCTGCACGATCTGGTGGAAGACAGAACGCCCGGTTCGCAAGGAAGCGCTCCTCCCTCGACAGCACCAAATGGTTCGCCGAGGGTGCCGACAACAGACTATTCAAGTAATAAACAGCTCCAGCTCGTTTGAAGAAAAGACCAAAGGCGTTCTCGACCTTTTTTTCCCCCAAGGGAAGAAAAATACAGAAGAGTTCTTGTTCCTGCGGCATCGAAGAAATCATGGCGTGGATCGACCCCAGATCTTGAGGGAATGAATGATATAGATCCGCCAGTTTCACCTTGGGAGTTTCAAGGTTTTGGGAGTTATACATGTCACATTAGCGATGAATATTCGGGGTTTGAGAGTTTTTTTGACACAGGGAGAACTCCCCAAACAAGGATTTCATGATTGGTAAATATCCTGGTCGCAGGTTTCTCTTCCGACAGTACATATTGAAAATTGGGTATCACTATCAAACAATATTTTCTCCGCAAAAACCGTTCCGTAACACCATGCAATTCCTTTTTTTCGTCCAAAAACCGACCTTCATTCTTTCCGGTACTGATACCGTTGACCTCCTGCGGCATTAGCTTCGAAGGACGCCTTGCCAAGGAATCAAAACCGCAAAAGAGGGCAGCGAGGTAGCCAAGGTCTCGATACGAAGCTGAGAGGTAGCCAAGCAGCACGAGTATCGCAGCTGGAGTTGTACTAGCATGAGATCTTGGAGAGACCCTTGATGATTGGTGCAAGTGGTCGGACCGCCCAGAGTCCGGCTTCGTCTTCCTCCTCATCTTCCAAATCGCCCAAACTCGACGTGGGACTACTACATGGAGACCACTGGCGATCTGATATATCGTCGTCCGTATAGCTGTCATCGCTCTCGGCTGCCGTGTCGATATCGCTAAAGTTCTCATGGTGGCTATCGTAGTCGTCCTCCTCCTCATCATCGTCGTCTCCTTCCTCCTCGCTGTCACTGCCGTATTCTTTCACGGACACCGAGGTCACGGCTTGTATTTCGGCCAGCGCTGCTAGTTGAAGAGAGATGGCGGTCTGAAAATCCTGGAAGGACGGTGCGTGTTGTTGAATGTAGGCAGAAAGCTCGCTTGGATCGGCATCTTCAGCCGGAACCTTTTCTGGTCGGATTATCGTCCGTGTCTCTTCATAGATCGAGAGATGGCCAAGCAGGTTTCGTAGTCTCGGCTCCCCACGAGCGGCCTCTGAGTTGAGTTTCCAGGACGCAACGAAGTTGAGTCTTGAAGCGGGCATTCGAGACACATCTGGTTTTTGTTCTGTCTTGGAAGCGAACGACAAAGGGTCATGAGACCGCAGAGGACTCATCAGATTTCTTGTCGACGACATCTTGGGTCAAGGATCTGTTCGTAGGAATGAGTGACAGGATGACTTGTCTGTCGTCAATGGGCAAATGGTGGTCAGAGGATGGAGGAAGACAGAAAGGTAGACAAAGCTGGGAAAGGCTGGATATGTAACACATCTTGCTTCATGTTGTTCCTGCTTGGAGGAGAAAAACACGAGCGACTCGTCTGGCCCGTGACCCCGGGTGTAGATGGTTGGTTCAGTAGTCCGTGAGGCAAGGGACACCACCACTGCTCGATCCCAGTCAGCCACGACAATGGGAGGTGGGTCCAGGAACTGCTGGAAGCAGCTGATGGGGTGCAAGGGGGTTGAAGTCTATTGCACGAAGAGTATTGGATTTGCGGCTGAAGGCCATCTGGGGACAGCACCAGGGATTTTGATGCACCCAGGTGCAGACACGAGTGCCCAGCCCAGGGGTCTCCCAAGACAGAAGCGAGCTCAAGAGACCAGCCAGCAATCGACACGCCATCTCAGCGATGTTCCGGCCTGATGGGGGCTGCTAACGTCTGGGCTAGCGAACATAACAGCACGTGTCACTGGCTGGTCAGTCGAGCATGTGGGCAAGGGGCAGAAAGTCCCTCGAAGCGGTGGGAGTGCGAACGCCATGTCAATGTCATGGGCGGGGCGGGGCTTGAGGAAGTTGCCGTAAGAAGGATGAGCCGTCGTACAGATCCAGCCATGCGAGGTGAGAAGGATGATTATTGGGACGAGGAAAAGGGGAATGATTGTTTCTGGGGGGTGAAATGAAAAAGGCCCTGAACAAGCCTGATGCAAATGGTGCATCGTGGCGCTGGATCTGGCCGAGGGATTAGAGGCAAGCTAGGCTACTTTAGGACGACTACTCGCCTAACTATTCCTTTTCTGCCACTAGCGGCCACAGCGATCATTGTTACGCTACTGTAAGTGCGGCACGCCAGCCTAACTGTCCCTTGCGTGCTTTTGTATGCTTCGACATTCCGAATTTCCATCGCCTCAGCACGCCCAAGAGTTTAATCTACCCTGTCTCGCAGATCACCGAAGGTTTCTCATCTCGTGGACACCGGAATTGTAGTGGTCCTCCGGGGATTGCGCCGTCCTCCTTGTTGGAAATGTTTGTGGTCAACCAGCCAGTGATTCTCAACTACGGATCATTGACAGCTTGATCCGGTGCACAGACATGCAGTACCAATGTTTGCAAGAAAAAAAGAAACTTCTCCAGGCCTTCCAGGAAGTCCGTGCAGGATAAGGCGGGGACTATTGTACATAGTCTGGAAGCGCAGGAATACGAGTACACATGCTCCTCGCCAACTCTGTTCGACGCCAACCACGGTGCTGCATCATAAGGGTGAGGTTGACATGGCTCATGTCCTCAGCCCAAAAACGTCCCCTGGCCGGATGGGCAGAAGTCCAGCGCAGCTTCTTGGGCATCAGTTTTTCCCGATCACAACAAAACCAGCTTCAGGTCTAACAAACCCATGATCCGGCGATATTAATTGGAAAACTGCAATATGACAGACTTCGCTTTTGACCTTCCATAAACAATGCTAGATAGCACGAATAAGTCAACGCTCGGATCCCCAGGAATTGCCGCTGGTCCATGCTTACTGACCTCGATCGGTGACATCTGGCCTGTTCTTAGATTCCACTCTTCTAAGTCTGTGCTTTGAACTATCCCATTGTTGTGTATCGCACTTAATTTATTGATCTTGGAGACTGGGAAACTATTGTCCAATGTTAAGACGATATTCAAATCTATCTGGCTTGGTCGAAGAAACCTTCAGATGACCCTCTGACTTAATCTTCCTTTTGCAAGTTGGCTCACGACAACTAGCTGTCTCCTTGAGTTCGATGTATCTCTGCACTGACCTGGATCATGTTGGTGGCGCTTTACACAATTGCGGAAATCACTCATGCAAGGGGGCAAAATTTTCAGCCACAGTCCGCCTCAGCATTCAACATTTAACATTAGAAGTGATCTCGACTGGATAAAAAAGTGTCAGGAATACTAGACAGTATTGCACGCGAACGCCCTTGGCTAGCGAGATGCCCAGGGATCTGCAAATAACATGCAAGCCATACATTGAGAGAGACTCCACATCCTGTCTTGTTCGGAATCGACGCAGCATGACACCGTTACGCACACAGGAACTCGTATATGCTCCTTGCAAGGGATGACAGCCAGCCACTGGAGAACGCTCTGGGAATCCCAGTAGGGTAACGTTGTGGGTCATGGGCTGGCAGGAGTCTAGACCTTGGTAACCTATATTGTACGACTACAGTCATGTAGCATGTCATCATCGAATTCTTCTTTCATTGCCAACAGGCAGGCCAGCTGCAGGCTGCAATTACCGCCGTCACATGGCAAGCTGTCGAGCCAGTCTGATTCTGATTGCATCTCATCAATAATGCGTGCCATTTGCCCTGTCCTCCCGCGCCCTAGCCGCACCCCGGTCCTCCCACTTTATGACACCCAGACCGATTGTTTGACCTTCTTGGCCTCCAGTCTTGCTCGGTTCCAGCGTGTACGCATCTGGGATCGTGGTCACATACTCAAACCCGCATTTTGCAAACACCTTTTTACTGGCAATGTTATGCTCAAAGTAAGTCGCGACAATGTTCTGTGCGTTAAAGAGAGGTAGGAGGATCTCTCTTATGACAGTTTCGAGGACTTTGGGCATCACTCCACGGCCGTGATGTTCTGGAACGAGATAGACTGCAGTTTGTTAGCTATTGGAAGCATGCATAGCAAGTCTAGGCAGAGAGTTAGCTTGCACTTCACATACATCCTACTTCCCACACGATGTTGGGATCTCCAGCTCTTAGATTGTCGTTTTCAAGCCGAGCCTTTTCTCGCTCTGCCACATCGAGAACAAACAGAAAGCCACTGCGGCTCACGGTGATCTCGCCCAGGTACCTCTCGTTACCGTCCGCCTCTGCCACAATTTCTCTGATGGTTGCTGCCCATCCAACCTCTCCCAACCACGGTACAGCCCCACCTGCTTGGGCGCCGGAGACAAGGTATGGTTGCTTCTTGAATTGCCCAATGCCAAATGCGTTGTGTTGGGCTATTTTTTCTATATGGGCGAACCAAGACCTCCGGTCATCCGAAGTATAAGGATACGGGGGAGAGCTCAGGTTCATATAGACGCGCGGATCGTTTAGAGCTGCGATCACCACATCATCATCTTCTCTTCTTGGAGGAGTTAAATAGATCCTCGACGTCGGATGGGGGACTGGTATTTTGAAACTGGCATCGGAAGTGTCCATCGTGCTCCCTACAATGCTCTGCGATAGGATTCGTGATAGCCTCCACTAGTTGATTCATCAAACTTGATATTGAACTTGGTAAAGCTGGCTCCGTTGACTCTGAGATGGTTGATGCTTTGTACGTCTAGGGGAGTATACGAGTGGCATTCTTCAGAAGTAAGGAATCGCAATCGCAGTATTCTGGTTCACTAGCTGATTAGCACAGATACTGGGGTCACAAGGGTCCGAAAAATCGAAACGTTACGAATAGGCTTGATCTGCACAACGCTCGCAGTACGAGTACTAAGCTGTGATGATAGACTGTGAAACATCGGAAGGTACACCACCGATACCAGCCTCGTGCAGAGGATCAGGCTGAGCATCATCACGTGATAGCAGTCCGGACCCTGATGCGGGGGAGCGAATCATCGGTGGCAAACGGAATCCCAGCATAACATTGCGAAATCTTGTTGAACTCTCACTGCTACAGACATCGTCCTCATCTTCCTCCTCTCATCTCTATTGATCTCACGCCTTGGTGGGTAAACATCATGGCGGGAGCATCAGGTCACCTCTTGGTCCCCAAGGCCATGAGGCTGATCAGATACGCCGTCGAAAAGACGGGTCGTCTCATTCGTGAGAAGATTCCGCAGGCAGCAAAGCCCGTCGAGGCCAATGTCGAACCTGCCTACGCCCGCGTTTCTCAACGACAACCCCTCAGCCGCATCAATCAGATTCGACAAGCTCAAAGCACCCGTCTTTATAGCACCAGCCATGCTGCCAAAAATACTGTCAGACACTATTCTTCCCGTTCCGGTCCTTCGACACGAAGCCGAGCGTCCTATCCGTCCTCTCGAACAGCCACCGCTGTCGGTCGATCCACTGGCCGAGCTCCATTTGCCTCGACCCTTCGTCCAAGTCTCACAGGTGGTACACTCTGCCGCTCAGCTGGAGGTTATGGTCTGGGAGGTGGCCGCGTCGGTGGAGCGAGATATTTCTCACACTCACCAACCGCCCCGGCTCAAGTTGTCAACAATGTCTCCCAGGCTGTTCGAGCGTTCTGGTTGTCCGGACAGAAAGCACGCTTTGATGGGGCTACAAAGACCGGGGAGAAACGATTCAGAGCCATTTCGAATCTGCAAGAAGACGCCAGACATAGAATGGACATGTCTTCGGTCAACGCACCTGGCTCGTTCATCGACTTCAAAGTCTGCCCAACCATCACCGCCGTTGGGCCACTTAGCAACATCCCACGCTCGCCATCTGCATCTTGTGATTACGAGTCCGAGCAGCACACCTTGAGCAACACCAACACCATGTCCAACTTGGCCGTCGACTTTGCCCGAGCGTTGAAAGATCTAGCGGCAATCATGAACGATCTGAAACATCTGGCAACCTTGGGCGACCTGCCTCTCTTCCTGCATGACAATAGCACCCTCCGTGTTCGATTCCCTGGTTGTGACCTGGACACGGTAGAGGCTTTGTGTATTGAGCTCAACATCAAGCGTGGCATCGTCGGTCAGGATGAGGACTTTGACTCTCAGAACGGCACTGACATGGCCCTGATGTTTCCATTCGCTCCTAGCAAGACAGCAAGTGAAGTTTGCCTGGAGGCTCTGGCAAGGCCCATGAAACGAACCAAGCGCGACCGCGTGGATTGGCACGAAATGCTCACTCCTCCCCAACAGCATTCGGCAGGCTACTCTCATGTCTCTGTCCGGAGTCCGTCTCCAGGTAGTTTTGAAGTCGTCGATGGTGTCTTGGATACTAACCCATTGGTCTCGTCCTCGTCGGGATACTCCAGTCTACACGAGAGCGAATTGGGTGAGGAAGATGCGGCCATGTACTTCTTTCAGCCTGGTAGAGCGAGAGTATCGGGTAGGAATCCAGCTTCAACCACATGCAACAGGTATGAAGGGCTGGAAGGGATTTATCGCTTTATCGAGGAATGTGACCGAGTTCGGTCCTGACTGGATTGAAAGTTACGCTGTCGCCGTCGAGTGCAGCCCTTGTAAATGGCGTCCATTCGTTATACTCTGGATTTTTCTTTTAGTTTTGTGTCTTTATAGCAGAAAGAGCCACAATTAGCGAGCCTCAGAATGGAATGAATCACGTCTCATTAATGATAACTATTGTCATTTGCCTCATAAACATAGTGCTTCGGCCGTCATACGAATATTAAAACCAGCATACATAGGTATCCGTGCTGGATGTCCCAAACAGGTTGTCTCGCACGACCATGACATTCGACAGTCAGTTTGTACGAGTCGCGTCGTCTATCATCCCGATTCATTGGTCTGAAGAGGTAGAACGATCGCCCCGAAATCGCAACTCTTGATTCTCCTTTGTGAGTTGATCATTCTTCTGCTCCAGCTGTTCGATTCGTTCGTACATCTCTTCAATCTCGTCTTCCGCGCCGGAGGAAAACTCTTCGATGATCTTGAACACGCGCCACAGTCGACCGATGACGACAAGTGAGCCCGCTTCCTCGATCGGGCCTCGGAGAAGGACGTCGATGATAAAGGCGGCGATGATAACGCATGCATCAAATATATGGAATTTCGAGTGGAAATAACTATGCCCGAGCGTGGGTCAGCACAAACCCGCGTGGGAGAAAAGGGATAGTAAGTGAGAGTCAACTTAGTACAAGAAAGGGAGGGAGGGACGGAGGGACAAGGGGCATCATACCCGAGACCAAAAGCAAACACACAGCCCAACAGTTCCGCCATGAAGAGGCACGAGAATACAAGGCTGACGTAGTCCAAGACATGGTCGGCGAGTTCCCAGTCGTCGTAAGGAAAGTTCTTGTCGCGTTTATGCTCGCACATGTGAAGCGAGATGAGGAAATCCGCGAAGATACAAGAGATGTCGAGCGTGACGAGAGCGATGACAAAATAGTGTCCCCATTTGGAAGAGAAGAAGCGCTGAAGGTTGTAGCGCAGGCGCCAGACGGAGGAGTCTTCGCCGTGGATCTTGATGATGTGGCAGGCTACAAAGTCCTTTGACGAGCGGAGAGTCTCGAGGTAACGACGGTCAGAAGGGAGGAGGGGGGTGCGGTCGGTGGCATTGTTGCTGAATGTTTGGGTCTCGGAGTCATCCATGGTAAATTGTTCGGGTCCCGGTCGCGTGTGGTGGTAACAAAGTCGATCGATATAGGAAAGAAGACACAGCGGCGTGATCAGATGAGACTTGGAGCGTTTGACGAAGTATACGAATAATTGTGTCGAAGGATGATATCGAGAGAAACATCACCTGGGAACAAAACCCCAACTAGAAAATGGATGATACAAGGACTGAGTAGGATTGTCGCGCCGCGTCGGATGTTTTCCACAGACAGGGGATTCCAAAGGGTTCAATAGTCTCTTCGTGCTGTGTAGACGAATATAGTCCAGATTGCGAGTCCGGTCGAGAGTCCGGTCGATCGGCTCTGTTGCTCTTGATACTGGGTTGTTGTCTCGAACCCTCGGATCTGAGCACGAGCGCTAGAGTACCTCAGACACGTACGAGTACGAAACACCCTTTGACTTCTGCAAGAGCGTTGAAAGCCTTAAGGTGTATGGCGAAGGAGATGGGATCGATCCGGAGTGAGAGGAGGATCGCAGCATTACGAGTACGAATACGAGGTCAAAAAGCGATGACGTGTTGATTCTACACCAAAGCGGAAGGTCGAGCGGTGATTACGTACTGCACTGAACAACATTCTGATCACCTTCATTATCAATTTCCTCGTTCTCATGGAACATCACGAAGCACTATGTACCTACCAAACAACACAGACTAGACCAATATGGCACTTTATCTTATGATGAAATGTGGTATAGCTGCCATCTTACTGCAGCAAATGGAAGTTGCAAAATCTCACCGGCCTTGCCTTCAGGCTAGAGATGTGAGAGCCTCAGCAACATGGGTGGCTTCCAGCACCCCTCATGCCCTTCCTCAATATCAAAAGGCTAGATGACGAAGACACTTCCTATCAGTTTATGGCTCTGTTGTTATCTGGCAAGTACGGTGCAGTTTTTATGGCTATGCGCTTGTGAACAAGGCAAGTGCAAGCAATATACCAGCCTACAAGTCAAAGACTTCGCTCTCGGACAAACTCTTCTCCCTTCACTATCCCAAAGCCTCATACACCATCTGTTTCTGGTTGCACCGTCATCTTATTATTGCTTATATTACCCTTCTATCACGTTCTTTGTATCTCAATACATGGCCGCACATCTCGTCGAGATCATCGGCCGTTCAAATACCACTGAAAACGTTGATCACGAAGACAATTTGAGTTACGGCGGCATCATTGCAGTCGGTGTCGTTGTTCCAGTGATTGTTTTCATAATTCTCGTCGTTATCGCGGTAGAACAACAACACCCCCGAGCTCTGGAACGACTCCTCCTGTACTGCCGCCGAAAGCCACAACCAGATCTGGAAAACAACAACCCCATAAGAACAGAAACTCGAGGTTCTTTCCTCAGACTCCTCGCTGCAAGTCTCGTCAACCGTGGCTTCCTCCGTCCACCAGTTGACCATGTCCACTGAGGCCGAACAAAACTCTCCATATGGTCAAGATGGAAACGCAGCTTTGGAGATTGTTTCTTGGACCGTGGCCGTGCTCATCTGTACCGTCTTTTTGATCCTGTTGATCTATCTACTGGAAACCGTTTTCAAGATAAGAGCACGAGCCCTCGCATTCCTCAGGGGATATGGGTGGACTCGGCCTGCCATTACCGAAGCTCAAGAGCTTGGAAATGCCCCAGCACACAGACATCCCAGACTCCAGGTCGACCGAACCAATGGTGGCCGCCGCACACACCACCGACGAGGCCAGCGCCGTCGGGAAGATATCGAACAACCTCGAGACCTTGAGATACTTGGTCGGATGGGGTCGAGAAATACAAATTTGCTCCAAAATCAGACCGAGGAGTACTTGACAGTAGTTCGTCCTGAGCGGACAAGACGTGCGAGGATCACCAATCACATTCATCCTGGAGTCAACTACTTCGACTTTGCCAGGGGACCGCAGACTAACCGGGCAAGCATCAATAGGCATGAACCACCTCCGCCATATACGTCCACAAGCCAGGTGCCGGTGGAGGTGGACGACCATCCATATCATACTCCCGTCGGTATTGATTCAGTACGCCAGACCTCCATGTCCTCGTCCATGCCTGTAATTGAAGATGGCCAACAACCGCACAACTCCGAGCCAAGCGGCAACGAAATTACCGCAGATGATCGAGTGGCGAGCCGTGCCCTGGCGCAACTCCGTGCAGCTCAGTAGAAGATGGTACGCCATCACAGCCTCAGAGGCATGGCTGGAAATCATTCCAAGAATGACTCTGTGTGGATGGATCTGGGGAGGTGGTTTGTTCCGCCGAAAGTGCGGATATGTTGATTACAAGTTGACAAAGGGTTTGAGTGTTTCGTGGGATTGTTTGGGGTTGGTCATGGCCAGCCGGATAAGGTTGCTTGTTGTTGTTGAGGTTCTGGTTTCGTGTTTGATGTCCTCGATTTAGCGATGTACTGGGGTTTCGGTGAAAAGCACACTTGGAACTATGCATAACATGTACGAATACGAGGCATTACAATAGCACGAAAACGATCCAAGATTGCATAGATTTTTCTTAAGAAACCAGTGTTCTCTCGACTACCACCCCTCCTATTCATCGTCATCATTACAACAATAATGGCATTTATGTGTAGGCGGGGGTCATCTATGTATATGTTTGATACACCCATACCAGACCCTCATTGTGAAATCATCCACCTTCCGACCTTTTTCACCATTCCCGCCAAAGCAAGGAAAGAATTCCTGAACGCCCTCGCTCGAAAACGACAGGACTGGTACTGTACATGACAGAACGACAGCGACGAGGCTCCCAAAAAGAGGGCCGTCGGCGGAGCAGCAAGACTTTGCGGGGAAATTAAAAAAGCAAAAAAAAAAGATAAAAAAAAATAAAAATAAAGACACGTAGATTTTGCTTTTGTGCTTGCACAATTGACACATCAGAAACATGGGGTTGTTCCACCACGCACACACACAAACGCTCGCCACGCCGGGCTACCTGATGATGCGTAGCACCGAGTAACCGAGTACAAGAATGTGGCCACCACGTCAATTGGTCATCGTGCTTCATGGCCGTCATAGTCTTCATAGTCGTCAATGGCCGACAGAGCCTTTCTTGTCGCTCCCTGGCCCTCCGCCTGCAAACATGAATGACAGCAGGGCCACGCCGATGACGACAACGGCAGAGATCAGGACAGCGACCAGACCCCAATGAAGCACGCTAAGCCTCTGTTTCCTCATCATTATGAGGATGATGGCGGCAACGGCGCACGTCTCCGCAGAGACGACGCCCGCGACGACCCCGGCATCAACCTCGACGTAGGCTTTCCTACGACCCGTGCCCAGAAGGATACTCGACATGATGAGGAGGACGTATGCCACGGCGATGAGCCCCGTGTAGAACAGTAACAGCGTTTGTTCCAGTGCCTTCTGACGAGGTGTGAGTACCTGGTGAGGACGGTACGAGACCCCAGATGTACGCGACCGACGAGACCGGCGACGCTTGTCTGTCTGCCGTGGTGGATGTGGCACGATATATTCTTCGACCTCGGAACTCGATGTATCAACGTCTTCATTGTCACCGCTTAGCAACGGAGAACGCTCCTCTCTGGAACCTTGGCTGGCATCCGAATGGAGCGGAAACCACGATACAAACTTGTTCGTGCCCCGACTGAAGCTGTCGCACACGGCTCCAAAAATTTTGGTCATTTTCTCGGCACCAGGAAATGTGGGCTCGTCAGGATCCACATAGATCACATAGCTTTCACCTTGATTGACATCGGAATCCCCGTCATCAAATTCGTTCCAATATCTCACAGGAGAAGGATTGCGTTCAGGCAACTTGATTCGAGCCATTTTCTTCCTACGAGGCTTGTTGGGGTTGGGAGACACTTTGGAAGGACCTGCGTCGCTAGGACCCGCACTTTCGGAGGTGGCCGAAGTAGCTCCAGCGGTACCAGCAGAGAAGATACTACCTTGAGGTCCATCGCTCGAGGAAGGTCCAGAGGAACTGCCGGTCACATCTGTAACATTGAGCCGCGACCGGCTCGTCGTCCCTAGTCTGCCCATTCGCGGTACAATTGGTACTTTTCGAATGTCCTTGCTAAGGAGAGGATACCAGGATGGCTCTGCTAGATCTTTCTGAACAGTGTGAATGGCCATGTCTTCCAGTGTAAAGCCCTCGACTCGTTCCACCAAATGGGACTCGTTGAAAGCGCGTGCTACCTCTGGCGTGCGTGCGAACTCCCATCTGATGTGAAGTATCGAATAGGGAAAGACATCTCCAGCCTGCGTTTGTGGAAGAGGGTCTCCAATGTGGGCCGTGTCCACGGAAGTAACAGTGACATTGGAGTCAAGCGTAGCCCAATTTCCCACATCGGCAGTATTCGTTAGGCCAACGTATCGAGTACGCACAAACTGAGAGTGAGCCAGTGGTTTGATGTCTCTGTGCTCCCGCAAGTATTTGCGGATAACGTGTACATTTTCCGGGGTGCTGGAGGGTGTCTGGTCACGCTGAAGGGCACTGGCCAATTCGTTGCGACTGACAGTAAGAACCGTGCTGTCAGAGGAGGTCGGGGAGAGACCGGCCAGAGTAACAATTGCCTCGGGTGCTGAGCTCCAATGGCCACTCAATGCTATCCGCGAAGGTCTGGAGGTACCTTGATCTCTGGCATACCGATAGGCATTGTCATAGATGGCCATGTGAGTAAGGGAATCGGATTTAGATGCCGGGTTTGGTCTATTTCTGGAAGCAATAGACTCCAATGAAGTGTTCCTGGATGGTGTTGAGGAGACAGAGATATCTCGCATATGTCGCAGAAGCAGAGCACGAGCCTCGTCAAGATTGTCCTGGTGAATCCAGTAAAAGGCACTCCCGGCCGCCTCGCCATATGGAACGGTGACGAGGGCGGCATCAAACGCCAAAGAAGCCTGAAGAGCTGCCTCGCTGAGCTTGACTATCGATGACCTCTTCATAGAAGCAGAGATTCGTTTCTGTTGTTTGTTTGTCGCTGGCGAAGGTGATCGACCCGTAAGCATGGGATCAGCAAGTTCCTCCGTTAGAATTGCCCTCTGCTCGGACAACTCCTGAAAGTAATCCGAAAAGTCCGTCTGTAACTTCTTGGAGGAAAACAATTCCACGTCCAATCTAGTTTGTAGGGCCGTCGAACCAGTCCATTTCCGGTACTTTTTGAGGATCTTGCGGAAAGCTGTTTTCTGCACGGCAGCAAAACGTGACAAGTTCTGCAACTCATCGCCTATTTCGTCAATGTCCTTCATCAATTGTCGGTATTTCCTGGCTTGTATGATGGACTTATTCAGCGCGTTGCCTTGTACGGCGCGCTGGGCCAACTTGATCTGTTTTTCGACGTATGCCAGGCGCCGCTCGATTTCACCTTGCTTACTCCGAAGGAACAGAGTGACATTGTCGTATTCGCCCTCGAGCAAAGTGTACAGTTCATTTTCCAAGTCTTCCCACCTGCTCTTGCCCTGCGCAGGTATGCCCACCGGCACCGCGATGCCCGCGGAAGTTCGAGTCTTGATAAGATGCTTGAGCTCGTTGTACTTTACATTGTAGGCGGTCCATTTCGGGACAGACCTCTGGTAAAGGGTGTCGCCAAACTTCATTGGCAGGGAGGATAGTTGGCCAGTCTGCACGAGTTGGGATAGAGGAAGTTGGAACTGTGACGCTGACTAGAGAGGATATATTCCGTATACATGGAGGGGTATGTAACAAACAATCCGGGCTCGCTTCGAATGGGTTGTGCGTAGGCCGGTCTCAGACTTAATGTGTCCCCAACAAAGATAGTGAACAAGCGAGTGTATGTACGGGGTTACTGCAGATGAGGTTGGGAGATAAGTTGTTGGTACATAATACGGCCGGACAAGACTGAGGTGGAAGAGCCGTCCCTTGGAGGTCGTCCTCGGCAGACGCTTGTTTGGAGAACAACCTTGTCAGTGGGCTGGGAGGATCTTCTCCAGGTGAAGGGCACTCAGCGTCGTGATAGGCTATACAACGCAGAGATTTCTGCAGGGAAGAAAATGCACGGATAGATCAATTTAAGAAGTGTTGCGAGCACGAGTTTGTCGATTGGTCTTGTCGCTGCGGTTGCAGTCGAAACTATGCAATACCGGGGGTGGGCGTTGAAGGAAAGACGTCAGCGCCGGACGAACTGGGGCCACTTTATGCTGGATCTTCTGCTGTTGTACTCCGTAGGTGGCTATGCTAGCCTAAATAACACTACCCAAGCCCACCTGAACCCACCTAAGGAAAACTCGTATAGTTAAGGCTTCTAGGCTCAACAGGCCCTTGTGGCCGCACCAGACAAGAAAATCCTGCAAGCTACTCCAGACCTTACCTAGTTAAGGAAATATAGGAACCTCTGTTTAATGTCAACAGCTGACTTTATTGGCACGGAGCCTGTAGAGTGATACATGGTGGAAAAGTGGCTGCACATATTGTTATGCACCTCATCAACGATCATGCATCCAAACATGAGATTAAATTGCGTGGTAAGCATGCTCTAATGCATCAACCTCAAACCGTCAGCAAATCTCCCAGACGAGAAGACGTGACCACCACACCTCGCCAATGCACGCAAAGTCGCCGAGTCGATAGTTGCGCTCTTCACATGTGATGAACTCTGATAGTTGTGTCAATTCTTTTGAAAATGAGATCCATCTTCGCCGGGGAATTGCACCTTTCCATCGCTAGTCTGGTGCTCGTTGTGGAAAAGAGTGACAGCTGGAGCTCCCTCGTTGAAGCGAAAAACTCAAGCACAGACGCCACCTGTATCTGGTCGAGTAGGAGATGTTCATGATAGAGGCGAGGGTTTGACTAAAAGACGGTTTCTTCCAGCAGCCCGTATTCTCGCCTATTGTTGTCGCGGTCTTTCCCACTGGTGGCTCTCGTAAGTGCGGATTCTCTATTCGGTAGTGGCCTCAGTGTTTCCACTTAGACTCGCCGAGAAAAAAAAAGTGGTTTTCTCCAACTCAAACGCAGCCAAACATCCAGTAGTCGTTATCGGCTTTTACCAAAAAAATTCTGTGGCAGACTGACCGCCGGCATACTCCATCGACTCACTCACTCAGTGGCTCGCTCATCATTGCAGCCAACATGACTGCCGTCACTGCAAACGGTCCAGTCAGTGCAATGGCGGGCACCAGCAGTCTGCTCACGAGCCTCACCGACTCGACCCAAGCATTTCTACAACCCTCCTCTGCTCTACACCTCGAGGCACTAGCCTGTGTCAAGAGTCTACTCGACCCTCTGGCCGCCAACGTTGCAGATACACAGAAGGCGAGGCGAGATGAAAATAGAAAGAAGAGGAAACGTGGAGATATTGAACGAGAAGAGGGGGTCTTGCATCTGCGACAGGTTTACACCGGTGGTTTGGGGGTGAAGCAAGTATGGGAGCAAGCCAGGCGTGTGCTGGATGCTGCATGTTCAGAAGTTGAGAGAGAAATTTCTATCCAGAGGGAACAGTTGCAGTATGACTCGCGACAGGATGGCATTGACGGTGAAGTAATTGAAGATGAGGAGATGTCGGAAGTGCTGGATGAAGAAAGCGACATGCTTGAGGACGAATTGGCAGACGATAATAGTGATGTGGATATGCTCGAGGACGGTATATATCATGACGACTACGACGATCAAGAAGACATCGAGGACCCGGAGGACATCGAAGACCTTGAAGAGGATAAGGATTTTGCCACACATGTGGACAAAGACAATGCTGCCACGTATGTCCCAGACCCAAATGGACTGAACGATGGCTTTTTCTCGATTGATGATTTCAACAAACAAACACAATTTCTGGAGCAACAAGATGTTCGAGGAGAAGATGACAACCCCAGTGATGAAGACGAGATAGACTGGGACGTCGACCCCTTGACCATGCCATTCCATAAGCCAAAAAGCGGCCAGGAAGAAATTGCAGAGACGCAAGACGACAACGACGATGAGGAAGAAGAAGGTCCTACATTTGGCAACGCCGACCTCAACGCTGCCGACAGTGATGGTGATGAAGGCATTTCCCAAGACGAAAATCTCGACTTGGAGAACGGCATGCCTACAATATCCAATACCAACGACATCCGCTATGCCGACTTCTTCGCGCCTCCTCCAAAGAAACAATCAAGAACCAAACGGATGCGAGCCTTACCGAAAACCCAACCTGCCACAGCGCCTCGAACCCAGGACGCTTTTGAACTGGAGTCTGACATGCAACGCGCCATGGCAGACGTACGCCGGGACCTACTCGAATCCGATGAAGAACTCTCCGACACCGACGGCTCGGATAGCGACGACCTCAGACCGTCGAACAAGAAGAATATGTCTACGCATGAACGGCAGCGGGCGGCCATTGCATCCGAGATCCGACGGCTAGAGGCCGCCAACGTCGCGAAACGAGATTGGACTCTATCCGGCGAGGCCCGCGCGGCCGACCGGCCCCTGAACTCGCTGATCGAAGAGGACCTTGAATTCGAACGCACCGGCAAACCCGTCCCCGTGATCACGGCCGAAGTGTCGGAGGAGATCGAGGCGCTCATCAAACGGCGCATCCTGGCTCGTGAGTTCGACGAGGTGGTCCGCCGCCACCCCGACGCGCTCGGCGGCGCCAACGACACCCGTCGCGGCCGCGTCGAAATCGACGACACCAAACCCCAGTCCGGCCTCGCGGACATTTACGAGCAGGACCACCTCCGCGCCACGGACCCGGGGTACGTCGACAAGCGCTCCGCCTCGACCAAGCGCGCCCACGAGGAGATCTCGCGACTGTGGAAGGAGGTGTCGTCGCAGCTCGACCTGCTCAGCAACCTCCACTTCAAACCCAAGCGGGTCGAGGCCGAGATCACGACGGTCGAGGACAAGCCGACCATCAGCATGGAGGACGCCAGGCCCGTCGGCGTCGGCGTCAACGCCGAGGAGAGCATGCTCGCCCCCCAGGAGGTGTACCGGCCCGGACGGGACAAGGGCGCTGCGGCCGCTGGCGGTGAGGAGGGCGTTCTCGTCACGCGCAAGGGCGGCGCCAGCGTCAACAAGGACGAAATGACAAGGGAAGAAAAAGTCCGGAGACGGAGGAGGGAAAAGGAACGCATGAAGAAGGCAGCATCGTCGCAACCATCCAAGGATCTCGCGGCCGACGGCGGCGGCGCATCACAGGGCGCCGGTGGCAGGAAGTCCAAGGCCCAAGACCAGGCCGAGCTACTCTCGGACCTGCGCAAGGGCAACGTCAAGGTCGTCGACAAAAAGGGTCAACTCCAGGACATTGTCGGCAAAAAGGGCAAACGGGCATCTCGAGACGTTGCTGGTGGTCGCGCCGCAGGTACCGCAAGCGCTGGCTCGTTCAAGTTGTAAGATGCTGCATGACGAGAAGCGAGACAAAGTACGTACGGAGTACTGTACTGCCTTTACTTTGAGAAGAAAGGTCGGTACTTGGATAGCCATTCTTCCACGGTTAGGACAAAACTGTGAGATTAGAATAGAATAACAACGCTTGTTATACCCATCTCCCTACTGAGAATCTGGCACACGCGAAGATCGGCTCCGCTCACGTACCTGTCCCGACAGGTAATCACGACACGCTCCCCGTGCCTCTCAAGAGGGTTGATTGTCGAATTCAAGAAGCCTTTCGTCCTACAAGATCGTTTGCTCCGATGGACATCGTCAATTTCGTGTCTCCGCGCGCTTTCGCACAAAGTCAGATGCGAAAGATCCGGAGGTGATTATCAAGAATGATATAATAAGCCATATATACTATACGTAGTGTGGTATCGTATGGTATAGTAAGTATACTATCCATGGCAAAAGTGGACAGAGATACACACACACGCACACACACACACACAAAAAAGAGGACAAAAGGGGGTATCTATCCGAGAGAGAAAAGGAACAAAGCAACAACATCCCCAGAAACGCTCTCGCTCATCACCGTCATCCTTCCCGAAAGAAGAAAAAAACTTTCACACTCGTCAAAATTCTGCTTGCTTGTCGTCGTCGTCACTTCCATTGTTGGTACAGATTAAGAATCCTCGCGTGGACTTGGTCCCATTCTCCCAGTCTCGAGATGTTTCAAAACGAATGCTAGAATGAGGATATCAAAATAACCAAGGTTGAAAACATCGCTTGCCTCGCTGAAAATGCTGATCAAATAAACAAAATAAAACGGGGTTGCCGCTTTCGTGTGTGCAGATGATGGACAACACAATACGTCAAACCAAAAAGAGTGGTAATTCAAAGGTTGTCGAATTTGGTATGGTCGAGCCCTCGGGGGTGGGTGCTGTAGACTTCGTCGTCGTTGAGTGTTGATCAAGGCACGTTCCGGGCCTGCCCAGATCACATCGTTCTTGTCCCTTCATCTGCTGGGCGTTCTCTGGGCTTAAAATAACCCGCCCAGGAAGCTTTTCCTCTTGCTGTCGTTCCTCGCGAGCGCCGGTCGACCATCCCACGTCTTGACCGGGGCGTCGTCGTACCCATAACCAGGGTAGCCGTCGGCCGCTGGATCACGATCCCGCCGCCTTCGTCGGTCTTTCTTGTCTTTTTCGTCGCTGCCTCCACTGGCACTCTTGCCCTCCGGGCGGCGACTCTTGCGTTTCGCTCGATACTCCTCGATCTCGGCATCCGTCATACCAGCGTACTTGTCATGGTGTCGACTGCGACGCTTCCGATCGAGTTCGTCTTCGGCCGGGCGAGGCTTCTCTCCGCTAGGATCCAAGATTGTACCCTCAACGAGCGGAATATCAGGAGGTTCGTCTGCCTGCGAGTGCACCCACGAGCTCGTCTTATTGGCAGGCGGAGCAATTCCCTTGCCGCTCCCATTACGACTGTCATGGTACTCCTCGACCAGGGCGCTAGACTTCTTGCGGCTGGATTTCTCACGTATTTTGTCTTTTGACTTTCCTTCTCTGCGCAGCCTTCTTTCGTCTTCTTCTGCGTAGTAGGATTTTCGTCGGTCCTCCTTAGACTTTTCGAGGTCACCCCCTTGCTCAGCTTCGAGTTGTGCTCGAAGCCGCCTCCGTTCCTCACGTCGTCGTTCGGCGTCTGCCTCTATATCAACCTCTTCCTGGCGAATCCGTGCCTCCTTCTCTGCCCTTCGCGCCCTTCTCTCCTCCCGCCGCCGGTCTTCTTCTTGGCGCTCCTTTTTCTCACGCTCACGTGCCCTACGCTGACGGGCCTCAAGATCTGCCTTGTCACGGTCTCTTCGTTCACGACGGCGTTGCTCACGTTCGACTCTTTCAGCTTCTTCTTCCTGATCACGAGCTTGCCGCTTTGCTTTTCGTTCAGCGCGACGAGCTTCAACGTCAGCATCAGTCTCAGCCGGAGCATCAGTGGTGAGCCCCTCTTCGTCGACGGCACGGGATTTCCGTTTGGACCTGTCCTTGGTACGGATCGGCAAGCCCTGGTCTTCGCCATCGGTAAGTGTTGTACTTCGGGGTCTTTCGCGATCTGAGTCAACATTCTTTGCCCCTCCAAAGAAACTGCTGAAGAATCCGGTCGATTTTCGTGGCGCAGTATTGCTCCTCTTTAGAGCCGGTGGATGGTCAACGAAGGCAAGATCATCTGGACCACTTGTGACCAAAGGGTCTCCATGACCGTTAGCATCAACCATGACGACGTCGTCATCGTGAGATATGTCCTTCTTATGGGACTTTATCTGTGTGTAGGAAACCCGTCCGTCAGCTTCGACCACCTTGGCAAAGTCTGGCGACCAGGATGGCCGAAGGGGCCCTCCTGGTCTGGACGAGGAGGTAAAGTCACCTACCTCTTTCTTAGATTTCGTTGCCTTGGATTTCGATTTCTCCTTGGTGATGCCGCCGTTGACTAGAGGGGCCTCATCCCGAGTATGGATCATTACCATATCGTCATCGTCGATCGGATACGGATCGGGGACAGCTGCTTTCAGGTCAGTACTGGTAGGATTAGTGACGGAACACGGAAATTGCAACCCACCTGACTTGCCCTTGACCGATTGACGCCGTTCAAGTTTGCTGCCTTTCATCCCCATCAACTTTGCAGCTTTGTCTGTGATTCGAGGCTCATCATCTGGAGGAGGCGACATCAGACCATCCACGGATTGTCGTCGAGATGAAGAGGGTCGAGAACTTGCAGCACTGCTTGATCTCCGGGTAGTGGCCGTGGGCCGCATAGCTGACGGAGGAGGACCACCAAACATGAAATTGGAGAATGATGTACCACGACTCGCCGTCGGCCTCGCTGTTTTCTTAGACTTGGTGTCTTTGTCGGACCCAGAAGACTTGGAAAGCTTCTCGGCATCCTTCCTGTCCTCTTGCTCCTTCTCTCTAGGCGTTCGGGTAGATTTGGCCCGTGCCACTCCGGTGGGAGACTTTTCCTTCTTTGGTGGCGGCGATATGTCAAGATCCTCTTTCTCAGACTTCTCCTTGGTCGACTTCTTCGGTGGCGGTGCGGCACCCCAGAATCCCCAAGACGAAGTGGCGGATCGTTCAACCTTGGGACGTTCCTTCTTAGTCGTCTTTTTCTCCTCGTGCGGTGGTGTTGGCAGCTTTGAAAGTTCCTCGTCGAGAAGGTCAACATCTTTACTAGCAGACGTCTTGGGAGTTGCCGTTTTAGATGACTTGGTCACCTTTTTGTCGACAACTTTGGCCTTTGATTTGGATTTCTCAGGTGACGGCGGCATGGATGGATCGGTGCCGAGAAAATCGTCGAAGTCGTCGCCAAACGCGCCAGGGAAACTTCCAGGTACCGAATCTTTTGATTTCTTTTCTGCTTTGACAGAAGACGCGTCGACTTTCTTGCTGGACGAAGACTTTGCCTCGACAACCTTTGACTTTGAGGATGATGCCTTGTCCTTGATCTTCTTTTCCTCTTTGGGCGATGGCGCGTCTGGAGGCGTAGGAAGGTCCTTAGTCAGCGACGTGTCTCCCTTCGACTTCTTTCCGCTGTCTTCTTTTTTGCCTTCTAATGCTTTGATGCGGTCTGCTACCGAAGAATTCAACTTGTTCTTGCCAGTGGTCATTGCCTTTGTCGTTTTAGAGGAGCTTACTGGCTTGTCAAGGTCAACATCAAGGTCGAGATCGTTCGTGAGGTCTGCTAGCGCGTCGTCCTCATTGGACCACCCCTGTTTGACAATTTCCTTTTTGGCGTCGACCTCCTTTTTGCCAGCTGTCTTCTTGGATGTCGACCCACTACTACCCCAGATCCCAAAGTAATCGTCGGTCTTCTTGCTGTCGACCTTTTCCTCTTTGCTGGAAGTGGTTTTCTTCAGCTTGGAGGTTTTGTCCGCTTTTGTGCCAGAAGTCGGCTCATCAAGGACATCAAGAAGATCATCTGCTTCCTTGATTTTGCTGGATTTGGTTTCGGTCTTAGACAGTTTTCCAGACTTTGTCTTAGATTTCTTTGCAGCAGCTGCAGCCTCTTCTTCAGCCAGTCGCGCGGCTTCAGCCTCTTCAGCCTCGCGTTCAAGTCTCTCTTCTTCTTCTTTCCTGGCTTGCTCTTCGGCTTCCTTTTTGGCCTTCGCTTCTTTCTCCTTTTTGGTCAATTTTGTAGCGGTGGTCGTTCCAAATCCCCACACGCTACTTTTGCTGACCTTGGTGCTCTCCTCGGCAGCCTTAGGTTTCTCCCTTTCCAGGGCCGTGCTCTTCTTAGAGGAGGACTTACTCTTTGAAGTCGTCAAAGCTGCCCAGGTATCATCGTTATCCAACATTCCAATGGAATCTGGCTCCGGAGTGAGACCTTGGGCGGGAGGGCTTGGTACAGGCGGAGGGGGCTCATCTTTGGTTTTGGACTTTTTACTACTTTTCCTGTCTTTCGTGCCCCAAGATCCCCAGATGTCGTCCTCAGCAGGTTTATCGGGCTCCTTCGGCTCGTCAAGCTCGACAATGCCCTTTTTCTTGCTATCTTTGGCGCTCTTCTTATCTTTGCTTGTTGTACCCCAGGTTCCCCACGTGTCGTCAGCATTCTCTTCGGCTAGCTCGGGCTCAACCACGATCTCAGGCTCGGGATCGAGCGCAGCAGCCGCAGCTTTTTTCTTTGCCTCCTTTTCTTTCTTCTTTTTGTCCTTTGCAGAAAGACCGAAACCGCCCCAAGTATCGTCATCGTTCACAGCTTGTTCAGGTTCGGGAATAGGCTCTGGAGCGGCTGGTTCGTCGTCAAAATCGAGGAACCCCTTCTTCTTGGCTTCCTTTTCCCTCTTTTTCTTCTCTTTCGCTGATAAGATGGGCTCTTCTTTGGCGGGTGGTTCGGGCTCTGGAGGCGGGGGCGGAGGTTCTTCCACCACATCAAGGAGACCTTTCTTCTTCGACTTCTTCTTATCCTTAGCGGACACCGTTCCCCATGTGTCCTCTGGCTCAGCCTTGGCTTCGGGCTCGACTTCAGGTTCGGGGGCCGGTGCTGGATCATCATCAAAATCAAAGAATCCCTTTTTCTTGGCTTTCTTATCCTTCTTGGTGGTCGAGGTTCCCCAACCACCCCAAGTGTCCTCCTCCTCCTTGGTCTCGGGTTCCGGCTCGGGAGGAGCTGGCGGAGGTTCCTCAGGAATGATCAGGCCCTTCTTCCTGGCCTCCTTCTCCTTCTTTTTACGTTCCTTGGCAGATAGACCAGCCCAGGAAGATATGTCTGCAACGTTACTGGGCACTTCTTTGACTGGCTCGGGTTCGGGTTCGGGCTCCAGTATGGGGTCTGGGATTGATGGCTCTGGGCTGGCCAGCTTTCCTTTCTTGCCCTTCTTGTCCTTCTTTCCAAAGGAGCCCCAGAAGTCGTCCGTTTCGACAGGTGCCTCAGGTTCAGGTGCCGGAGCCGGCTCCTCTTCGATGGGCACTACTTTCTTGTTCTTTTTGTCCTTTTTGCTTTTCGCTGTTCCAAAACCAGCCCAGGTGTCATCCTCGGCCAGAGCATCGGCAGTGGTCCCTTTGTTATCCGGTGCTCCTAAATCAACTGAGGCAGAAAGGTCTTCAATCGCACCTTTCTTTGACTTCTTGTCCTTCTTCTTGGTACCCCAAGCGGAGGCCATCCAATCGTCACCGTCATCGGCTGCCGGTTCAGGTGCTGCCGGAGGCTCGGGAGCAGCTAGGAGATCGTCGTCTAGGGCGCTGAAGCCCTTCTTTCCTTTCTTGTCCTTCTTGCCGGTCCCTAATCCCCAGTCGAAGGCATCGTCCATGCCGCCAACGTCTTGCACGGGTTCTTTTGTCTCGACCGCAGGTTCTTCTATGACAACACCTTTCTTGTTCTTTTTCTTGTCCTTCTTAGTAGAAAAGGACGCCCACTCGTCTTCAGCAGCTGGTTCGGGTTCAATTGGCTTTGGCTCCTCAATAGGGTCGTCATCCAGCCATCCTTTCTTCTTTTTGTCTTTCTTCTTCGTAGAAGTGCCCCAGCCGCCCCATGTGTCCTCCTCTTTAGGCTCTGGTTCGGCTGGGGCAAGCGGTTCCTCTTTTTTCTCTTCCACAGCACCCTTTTTCTTCTTGTCCTTTTTGCCCACAGGCGCAAACCCCCAAGCATCATCGGTGGCCTTGGAGCCTCCTCCGTCACCATCAAAGCTGAATGTATTGTTGTCACCGTCTAGGTCGCCAAAGTCAAAGTTACTGAATGTGGAGGTTTTCTTCTTGGACTTGTTCCCGCCAGATGACCAGGGATTGTTGTCACTAAAATCGGTAGAAGCGTCCTTCTTCTCTGCTTCCTTCTTGGATGACTTCTCGTCGGCCTTTTTGGTATCGTTGTCGAGTGACCCGAAGTCCCAAGTCTTTCCCCACGCCCCAAAGCCACCGCTGTCCTTCTTTTCCTCAGAGCCGAAGCTGAACTCCAACTTAGGAGCGGTATCATCCAGGCTAATGTCTTGAAATGCAGAACTGGCCGGAGGATCCTCGGCACCCTGGAAAGTCAGTATTCTCGCAGCGCAGGTGGCAGATCAGAGCCTACCTTCTTGTTCTTCTTCTTTTTATCTTTCTTGGTTGTAAAACCTGTAGTCCAGTCATCGTCAGCGGCAGCATTGTTTGTCTCGTCTGCCCAACTCAGCGGGTCAGCAGTGTTGGCAGCCTCTGCTTCTTCCTTTTGTTTCTGCTCCTCCTCCTCTTGCCTTTTCTTCTCTTCCTCTTCTTGCTTCTTCTTGTTCTTCTTCTTGTTCTTTTTGCTGCCACCAAGATCCCAGTCGTCATCCCCGCCGCCACCGTTATTATCGTCCCCGCCACCATCACCCCCAGCACTCCCTCCATTGCCACCATCGCCGCCGGCACCATCCCCACCGTTTCCAGCGGCGTTTCCCTCGCCTTCGTTGTCCGATTCAAACCATTTGGCCTGTGCAGCTGCTTTCGCGGCTTTCTTCGCGGCCTTCTTGCCTCGTGTCTGTACACCGCTCGGAGTCCCGAAGTCTATACTGAAATCCATCCCTGAATCTCGTGATATGGGGTCCCGGCACAAGGGTGTACCCAAGTCCAAGGAAGGGTTAAGATCTTTCGCTCGGGCACGTGGTTCGGGTACCAGTGAAGGAGGTAATGGTTTGGCTGCAGAGGGCGGTGGCTTTGTCCCATAGGCTCGAGGAGAGTCTGTTAACTCCTGTATTAAGGCTGCGACCAGCGCAGTCACTTTCTGGGAGACCTCATGGTTCGAGGTCACACTCTATATCTCCAGTCAGGTTAGGTCCAGTCCGCTCGGCGAGGAGGCGGGAGGGTCAAGTAGGCTTGGGACAGTAGGGAGACAGATAGAAACTTGGGGGCTGAACTATCTGCGTCAGGAAGAAAAGGGTTTCTTGCATACTCGTTGAGACGGCTTGTTGTTGTCGAGGATGGCGGTGTGCAGGCTGTAGCGCCGATCGGCTACGATTGGATAAAGAGGCATTACTGCCCGCATTTCGCAGCAGTGCGACCGAGGTAGCTCAGCCATTCCAATCCTTGACCATTTCGGGGTCCTTCGTCGACGAAACGCGTTCTCGCTGACATCTGCGGCTTGCGACGCGGCCACGAGAGCCGCCATCTTGGATGTGGACGTATTTTTGCGGCAGGTTAAAGTGGAAAAGCATTTGTCGTGGTGTTAATGTGGTCGCAAATACCAGATTAGGATGATGGAATTGAGGCCTCTCGATATAGAGCCTCTATACAAAGCGATAGCAAAAGTGCAACTGTGGTAGAAATGCAATAGATCACACACAGTCAGGAGGTCACAGAATGCTGCAAGTTGGTTGGATGCAGTGAGGGCGAGACGAAACGAATCCAGGTGACGCTCCCTGCCACTGACTGCCACCAAGCCCCTTGCAGACCAATGCCGATCCCCTAAATGGGCAAAGCAATCGGTACTATCGATAGCGATACACAAACAATATTGATGAAGCAGTCGAGCATCTGGGATATACTCCGTAAGGACTACTGTATTTATCGCCCTCCGAACTCCTACGACAACGACTTCTGACAACAATGCAAAAATTTTGATCGATGCCTTATACTCCATTTGAGTGCAGCAACAACAATAAGGCGGTGTTGACCCTCGGGGACGACTGACGAATGGCGCGAAAGACACGATGGGGGCGCGTCCAGGCAAGCAATGAATGAGAACATGGCATTCTTCACCGCTACCAGAGCTGGACGAGAGCTCAGACGAATAGAGACGCGCCATATCCCCGGGCTCCCGCTTTGACATGTTTTGATGGGCCAAAGCTACCAGACACTGGGAAGAGCTCGGGTGTGAATACAGTAGTGTGGTGGTGTGCTGCCAGCGTGGGTGGCATAGGGGGGAGCTGATCGTGTCGTAGTTTGGGACTGCTAGGCGACCCATTGGCCCGTCGTTGCGGCGAACCGCGCCGGGAGGAGCCCAAAACAAGGGCAGAGTGGCCCACGAAAATGCCTGTGCGGGCGCACACCAAAAGATTTTCCAACGGTGACCCCAGAGAACCCTTCACGTCGTCAGAGTCCTCGATGGCCAAAGACGACCATTATTGCTCGATAAAAACTTCTCGAGTCCAGAGAGACAACCGGTGAGGCCTGTGTAAGTCGCTGTTGGTCAATGGCCTCATGCAAAGTCGGCAAAGGTTCTGCGCGGCGAGGCGAGCCATTGTTGCAGCATGCAGGGCCGCGAACTTTTTGGCATGACGAACAGTTCTTGCAGAAACCCGGCTGTACCCGGCGTGGGCCAACTTGCAGCATAGCATTTGCGGGTCAAAGTCCTTCGCATAACGTACCAGTCCAGAGACAGAAGGATGTTGTTCACCGCGCAACTTATTGGCCGAATTTGCACCAGCCAGGGCTTTCATCTATTATTGCACCTGAGAACGGGGCGTTGGTCTGGTTGCACAAATCCCCTGGAGGCGGTCCATAGAAGCATACCCTGTTCTGTAACAATAGATTGCTTGAGAACTTTCGCTGTAAATGACTTGAAGTGCAAAATGCTCAGCCCCCAAGTGGTCATGCTGAAGAGGAATGTTGACGCAGTCGTGGCGAGATCGGGATTATACATCAATCCTCGTCTGAGGAATAATCGCCCAAGCCAAGGGCGACAGGCGTGGACTTGACTTGAGCAGTCGATGATTGATTTGCAGCCTCGTGTGTCGCAATCTCCCTGGATTCTTCTAGTCCTGTTGGCTGCCGAGGTGTGTTTTCGGTGGAGGATGAGAGCTTTCTCGTTTTGTTTGTTGCAATGGCTTTTGTCTCCTCATCACGGCGACGGCGCTTCTTCTGGGCTGTCCACGTATTCTTGCCCACCGGAGCGCCCACCCGTTCCTCTTCGTCCGGTTTTTCATGTTCCAAAAGATCCTTTTCTGCCTTGGCGCGTTGCGAACGGAAGGCCTCGAGCTGTTCGGACATCTCTCTCTTGGCTGCGTCCTCTTTTGCCCTTTCCGACTCGAGAACCGAGTCTAGGAAGTCGACCTCGTCATCATCGAGAGCACGGAACTGGTTCTTCAGCTTTATCGACTCTTCAAATGCCTCTTGCTTGGCAGCTGTACATGCACCAAGACCACCATGTCAGATTCGATTCATGTTCATAGAAGAATAAAATCCCGAAGATGTTGGTGATGGTCTACACTCGGCGTACCTTTGTTTCTTTGCAAGACTTCGTAGAGGCTCTCACCTCCTTCTTGTTTTCCCTCTTCGGCAGGCTTCGGCTTCTTGAGAGCCTCTATCTGCTGCCGCGCCTTGACCCACGCATCATCTTCCTTCTCATTTGATTCGGAGCCAGGCTCAGTCCCAGCTGTAGATAGTCAGAATGCTGGACTAGTATACGCTCGAACCGTAGGGAACATGTTGCTGTGGCTGGAACAGATTCATACTGACCGGGAACAAATCGAGACATGTGTTTTCAGAAGAAACACCCCCCGTAAATGGTAATTCTGCTAATACTCTGTCGATATCACAACGCCGCTTTTGGCTTGGAACTGAAGTGAAACTTGATGTAGAAGGGAGACTTGTGGCTTCATCGGGCTCACGACGAGTGCCTGGTTATTGGCTTGGGCGATGCGTCCGCCCAGAAAATGTGGACAGGGGATTTTCTGACGAACCATGTGCCGCTACGAGTGTCTTCACTAACCTACGGAGTACCCAATTGGCATTTCCCGCACCAGCTACGGTATTCCGCGTATCACCACAGGCCGCTGTCTTCGGCAAAAGACCGATGTGGCCCCCAGGAATATTTCCTTATGCTTCGAGAAGCCCTCCGGTCGTGGTAAGTCAGCGATCTGGCTGTCGCCTCCCATGTAAACATCATGTCTTGTCCTGTGTTGGCCGCCCAGAGTATGTTTGTATTGTATTCGCCTGTTGTATGAAACAGGGCACGAAAAGATGCGAGGTACGGAGTTGTGCTCGTCCTCGTCTTCAGTCTGTGGATGGTTCCTAGAATTGACCAAAGTGCCTTTTTAGGCTAAAACCACACGACTGAGGTCACTACTGGAGACGGGTTATTAGCCCCTCATTGGTATCGTACTGTTGCATTGACAAAACTTGTGCCCCTCATCGACTCTTTGCTGCACGAGTGACTGTTTCTGGGGACAAGCCGTCATCGTAACCTGCGCGCGTCCGCCGGTGTGTTGCCTCAATAAGAAGGCCATGGCCCCTACTGATCGACACAAGATTTTTTGGAATCTCCATGTCTTTTCTTTCTCTTCTTTCGTCTCTGAGTAGAATTCCTAGAGTCTCTTCTTGCAATATTGCAAATAGCTTCCAGTCATCCAGATCGATAACGTCAAAGTCACAAATCATCTCACGCAACATGGCGACCGCACAATCTGGGAAAGGCACCAAGTGAGTCTATTACTGTTCGGGAGTCTGAAGCAGATGCTGACCTCGCCTTCAAGGACGGTGTTCACTTTGAACACTGGCGCCAAAATGCCGGGCGTTGGTCTAGGTACCTGGCAATCCAAGCCCAACGAAGTCCGCGAGGCCGTCAAGAACGCTCTGCTCGCCGGCTACCGTCACATTGACACGTAAGAGTTCTCTCCGTCCTAACGTTCACTCCTGTTGACACATCCAGCGCCCTTGCTTATGGCAACGAATCTGAAGTCGGCCAAGGCATTAAGGACTCTGGCGTCCCCCGGAGCGAGATCTGGGTCACCACGAAACTAGACAACCCATGGCACAAGCGCGTGTCCGAGGGTATCGACTCGTCGCTGAAGAGCTTGGACACCGATTACGTCGACCTATACCTGATGCATTGGCCCAGTTCATCGGTGCCAGAGGATTTGAAGAAGCACTACGACGACTGGAACTTTATCGATACTTGGTAAGCAGTAGTCTTCTCGTTTCCATTCACTGTACATGTGCTGAACGCATTAGGCGCGAGATGCAAAAGCTCGTTGGCACTGGCAAGGTCCGAAATATCGGCGTATCCAACTTTGTCATGTCCAACCTGGAGAAGCTGCTCAACGACCCTTCCTGCAAGATTGTCCCAGCTGTCAACCAGATCGAACTGCACCCCAACATGCCCTCGCCAAAGACTCTGCAATACTGCAAAGAGAAGGGAATTCACTGTACCGCATACTCTTGCTTGGGATCGACCGATTCGCCTCTCTCCAAGGATAAGACTTTGCAGTCCATTGCGGAGGCGAAGGGAAAGAGCCCTCAGCAAGTTCTCTTGATGTGGGGTCTGCAGCGTGGCACCTCTGTCATTCCCAAGTCAGTCACCAAGTCCCGCATTGAAGCCAACTTCCAACTTGATGGTTGGGAGTTGACTGCAGATGAGATGCAGAAGATCAGCAGCATTCCAGACCGATTCAAGGTTTGTGGTGATGCTTGGTTGCCTGTGAAAGTCTTTTTCAACGAGGAGGGCGATGGAGGTGATGCGCCATCTCATTAGAGGAGTCAATCACCAAAGTCAACAGGCATGAATTGATGTGTTAGCGGCGGGACTCTGCAAAATATCTCATCGGTACCTTCAGATGCGAGGAGTCAGTATCCTTATATCACAAATAGACACAGCATAGATTGGCAACCCCGTGTCGCGATTCGGCGATGGATTGCATAGGGCTGTAAAACAAGTGTCGGTCGGCAGAGGAGTCTTCAGGGGAGATCGTTGTTAGTCGATAAATTCTTGAACTCAGAAACCTCGCGCAACTGTCACGGTGACATCTCATGGGGTCAATTCCATCTTTTGTATAGAGTTTGGCTTCAGCATTTGAGCACACCGAGCTTGGTAGGATGTAGATCTAGTAGGCGGCTGAAGCAAGCACAGGAAGAATGTCAGGAACCATTTGCCGCCGCCCCTTTAGATCTGCCGTCCGTGAACACGCATTCGCAGGGGGCCTGAAAGGGTCCAGGTAGAGGACAGATTCGTGCCGAAGTTATTGGTCAGCCTGCGCACCTGCGATTAGCTAATCATTCGATGGTCGAGCCCATCCGCCCATTTTCCCGCAGTCACATTTGGTACTGTATCCGTCCATGTATGGATGTCTCCTCATGCTTCCTGAACGATACGGCGATGAAACAGGGTGCAATTTGTTCGAGCTCATGAGTCGACGGTGAGATGAATGTTTAGCCAAGCGATTCAACCTCCGAACGCTACAGCGTCATTCGCCCGATATCTGCAGCTGGTTTACCATCGCTGACATCGTATCCGTATTTCGTATTCGCTTCCTTGCTGCCTGGGTCGGAACCTCCTCTGCCTCACCGACGACTTGAGATTGGCACACCACTCCTTCGTCAGCCCCTTGTGCCTGCGGAGTCCATATCCGCCTGCCGCAGAACCATCAATTCTCCAGCCGAGAATTGCATTGACCTTGCGCCACGAAGGCAACAACTGCGACTCGGGTCAAAGTCGCACGTTCATACTACGGGCTTTGCTCAACTCACAGGAATACACCCACCATGACCTCTACCGAAGAGATTGAACAGCACCAGAGTCCACCAGATGAAATGAGTGGTCACAGTGCTGGAGGCTCAAATGATGCAGTTCCACGACCGAAGCGGATTGCGTGCATACTATGCAGAAAAAGAAAGCTGAGATGCGATGGGAATAAGCCAAGTTGCGGAACATGTTCAAGATTGAATCATCACTGCGAGTATTCAGAAGAACGAAAGAAGAGTGGACCCAAGAGAGGTTATGTCAAACTGCTGGAGGCTCGTCTCAAACAAGTGGAAAATCTATTGGAATCGCGAGATACAAATCCCGAGAACGCTGCCCAGGCACCCAAGACATCTACCACACTTAATGAGAATTCCCATCCGTCAATGGCTTCACTAGACGTTCCCAGCATGGGCTTGGGTGACACCTCGATGTCAGGAATGATGGACCCCAGTTTCACAGATCCCATGGGCGGTATCCAGGACTTCGCCAGTATGAATGTAAGCGACGATTTCTCGTGGGAGATGATCGGCCTTGGTTTGGAGGAAGCGCTGCCATCTCGCGAAGTGATTGACGAGCTGTATGTAATTGACGGTCTTGAATGTGTGCCGATGCTGACTTTTGCAGGAACGAGGTCTACTTCGAGAAAATCCACCCTTCTCTGCCAATGATTCACAAAGCCAGGTATCTGGCATCAATGGATCTCGCTCCGCACATGCGACCTGCTGTTTGTCTGAGATATGCTATGTGGACTCATGCATGTGTCATCACTCCCAAATACTCGGCGTATACTGAACATTTCTACGCGAGGGCTCGAAAATACGCCGAAGCGGATGAGATGCGGGGCCATGGCGAGAGCATGATCAGCATTTCACATTGCCAGGCATGGACTTTACTCGCTTGCCACGAGTTCAAGCTCATGTACTTCCCCAGAGCTTGGATGAGTATCGGCCGAGCTGCGAGGTTGGCGCTCATGATGGGATTACATCGGCAAGACCGAGTTGGTCTGGATGTGAAACAAACTCTGCCACCTCCTCGCGATTGGACAGACCGAGAGGAGCGACGACGAACGTTCTGGATGGCATATTGTCAGGATCGCTATGCAAGCATAGGAACAGGGTGGCCAATGGTCATAGACGAACAAGACGTAGGTCTCCCGTGGTGCTCGATTGTCATCTGCTAACTCGACGCAATAGATATTGACTAACTTGCCAGCCAGTGATGAGGCGTTCAACAAGTCCCAACCAGAGACTACATTGCAATTGTCAGACATCCTGAAAGGCGACGGTACATCTACACTATCTTCTTTTGGCGCTGTCATCCTGCTATCAACACTCTTTGGTCGTAACCTTACGCACTTGCATAGGCCTGATGAACATGAGAACGATCACGATCTGAACGGTGCTTTCTGGAAACGGCATCGGGCGCTAGACAATATTCTCCTCAATACTTCTCTGTCACTCCCCGCCAATCTTCGCCTTCCTGCGGGTATCAATGATCCTAATACAGTCTTTGTTAATATGAACTTACACACTGCCACAATATGTTTACACCAAGCCGCAATATTCAAAGCGGACAAGAATCGACTGCCTGCACAGATCAGCGCCGAGTCCAAACGGCGTTGTATAGTCGCTGCAGATCAAATCACCAACGTCATGAAAATGATCAGCCATCTCGACATGTCCTTGGTTCGTAGACATTTCATGCAGGAAAATGCTTGCTGACCTTTTCTAGATGAATCCCTTCCTCGCTTTCTGCTTATATGTTGCCTCTCGGGTGTTTGTCCAATATCTAAAAGCCAGACGAGATGATACGGCAGTCAAGTCCTCGTTACACTTCCTGTTGGCAGCCATGCACGTTCTAAAAACCAAAAATCCCCTGACAGAGTCATTCTTAGTTCAGCTGGATGTTGATCTCGAAGGCAGTGGTCTTGATCTACCCACTAACTACTCACGTTGGAAATTTGGCCGCCGACCACCAGTAGGTGCTATTCTTCATGAGTTACCTGCTTTTGCTAACGGTTGCTAGGGAGAGGTTCCTGCCAATACCGACACAGTGAGATGCTCTCCGATATTTGAAATACGCCAATCTCAAAATATAGCCGAAAACACCAACGACCCCAGTTCTCATACACAATGGCCCAGTGGGCTGCCATCCATGAACAACTCCTACCCAAGCCTTTATGGCACTGACGGCTCTAACAATATCTCCCAAATTGGCAATACTGGTGGAAATCTATCTAACGAAGGGTTCGAGAATATGTATGGCTTTACCATGCATTCTCAAGGGACAGAGCCATCACCACAGAATTCCAACCAGGAAGGATCAGGTTCACGATCGCACTCAAATCAGCCTACGCCGTCGACATCTTCGAATCAAAACTCAAACAATTCGTATACTAGCCCTCCCACAAATCAGACCGGGTCGAGCAATAATGCCAGCAGCTCGCAGTCTCAGCAATCGCCAGGAGGGTTCCCATTCTCCACACAGGACGGATGGAACATGATGGGATCAAATCAAGTTGGTTCAGGCCCGTCAACGAGCCAGGCACAAAACATCAATATCGCCATCATGGGTGCGACTCCAGGCCCCACTGGGATGACCCCAAATCCTACGGGCATGACACCGAATTTGGACTCGTTCTGGCCTCCTGAAGGCATGGGCGATGGGAATGAATGGATATTTGGGTGGCCTGGATCACCTCCGCGACCTGGGCAATGAGAACCTCCAGTGGCCATGAGCAATGGCAAGAAAATGAGAACAACGAGCAATATATGTACCAAAATGTGATACCCCTGGCTACTTTGATCAATACTATTTAAATTCCACTTTCCAGCCTGAGACCATCAGCCAAAAGGCTGCATGTGCCACCGTCGTTCGGTACCACAACCAGATGTAAATCATACGTGCTGTAAAACAATCAGCAAGAGAAGAAGCCGCTTTACGCTCCTGGGCTGCTTAGGTTGGGATGGTCTTCAGGGGATCTGGCCCAACATGATTGTCAAGTTACCTTAGCTTGGTTGATTTGATGAGGCTGAACTATGCTGAACTGGGGTTAGTTGAATCTCTCTTGGCAGATCAAAGATGTCCCGCTCGAGTTGCGGCAACGCTCCCCATGCGACATCTCGAGTCACTTGCTACCTTCAAGAACCACCGCGCCTCTCGCAGGGATGGCGCCGATTGCGCAGCGTAAACACCTGGGCCGCGACAAGTTCAGCGCGCAATTCGGACTCCTCAAGACGCAACAGTACATTGACCCTGCCGCTCGGACTGTCACCCCGACAATGTACGTACCTTTGCCTCACATAACGATGCCTCTTCTCTAGATGTTACGGTCGCCCCATTTTCGGCCTGTCGAATACCCTTGGCTGATCCCTTGTATTTGCCTCCCCACAGCCACCGAACAATATCCTGGAACGCTTCTGGCGGTCTCATCGCGACCGGTGCCAATGACAAGACTGTCCGAGTCTGGAACCCCGAGAGGACCAGCCCCCGAAGTCAGACCGAGCTCCGTGGCCACGGCCACGCCGTGGAAAAAGTCTTGTTCAACCCGGTACGAGAGTTCGAGTTGGCGAGCTGTTCCTCCGACGGGACCGTACGGTTCTGGGACACGCGGAGCAAGACGTGTGTCACCAAGCTGGACGTCGGTGGAGAACCGTTCACGCTCAGCTGGAGCGCCGACGGCAGCACGTTGCTCGCCGGGACAAAAGTATGTACAAACACCTCACGAACTGCAATCTACAAAGAGAGAGACATTGTGCTGAGGCCTCTTGTGCAAATTATAGGGCGACGTCCTCATACCCATTTCAACCGCCATCCCTTCCTCTCCGGTTGTCCTGTCGAGGCACAAGCAGTCACAACAGACGAACCAAACCACCTTTTCGAATTCGTACCCACCGACCGACCTTCTGATCACCCGTGGCGACGGCTCGGTTCAGATACTCGATTTTCCGTCCTTCCAACCCCTGCACACCATCTCCGCGCACACGTCGTCGTGCACCGCAATCTCATACTGTCCCAATGGGAAATTCGTCGCCGTGGGAGGTTCCGACGCCATGATATCCCTCTGGGATACCACCGACTGGGTGTGCCGCCGGACCGTGTCCAACCCGAGTTCCGGGGCGATCAAAGGTCTCAGCTGGTCCTGGGACGGACGGTACGTGGTCGGCGCGAGCGAAGAGATGGGGTCGGGGGGTGGTGAAGGCTTGAGCTCTGGCTTTGAAATATACCATGCCGAGACCGGCGATGTGGTGCACACTATATCTACGGGGACCAGCGGCATCCCGGCCGTCGAGTGGCATCCGAACCGTTATTGGCTGGCATACACCCAGGTTGAAGAAACGAGGCAGGGGAAATCCAGCCTGAAAATCATTGGTGCAGCTGGGGGCCCATCGATCTGAGCGAACACGTCCCATCCACTCTTACAAGGTGACAACCCTCAATCGAACCTCGAGACATGACCGATTGGCATATCAAAGACACCCGAGTACACGGTACATGGCGCTCTACGTTCGGAGTTGCTGGGATCAGCCTGGCTATTGCCTCCCTGTACAGGTCCGTCACGGATGATTCTCAAGAAGGCCGATGAGCACGTTCATGGGTTTCCGTGTTCGCATCTGCCCGTCAGCAGGAGCAAAATCACGAACGCTGGACTCGGCGATACCCTCGACCATTCGGCTGACCTTTGGAGGCGATTGCAATCTACGCCGACACTAGTTACGACGACCGTCGTGTGTCTATAGTGGGCTCATCGAACGAGACTTGGTCGATGACGGCTTCTTGTCGAGCCGTCACCCCCCGGTGTTCTCAATCCTCGAATCGAGTTTGACGACTTCTCACCAGCTACGCGAGCATAATCGCTGGCCAGCATCCGAGGTCTTCGTTGCGGAGTGTATACAGTGATGTGCCATGGACAATGTGTTTGAGCTACACCAATGCCAAAGCATGACCGTTAATTGTGTGCAACCACTCGTCGACTCAAGACGTCATTAATTGTGTATGGCCTCTCTTGGGCCCCGTGAGGGAATGTTGACTGCTTCAAAGTATTGTTGGATAACGACTGGATTGATGCAACTGACATGGCCACTATATATATCTCGAGTATCCCGAAATAAATATCTTGGTGGCCGACGAAAATGGTATATAATCTCTAACCTTTATACAATCTGCTACAACAAACATAAACTGTTCTATACACAAGGTACTCTCTTTTCTCCCTGGGCGGTGTAGACTAGACATTCTACTGGTCACATCATTGCATATCAAAAGCATTGTCCCAAGGCCAAAGCCTCGTGGACAATATTGGCGACGTTCTCCGGGTTGAAATCCAACAAGGCCTTTTCGTTGACCGGAGCAACACACGCCGCCGATTTTGTTCCGTGGTTGCGTAGGAAGATGGCTAATTTCGCCATGGCCAGCGAAGCATACTCGCCGGCGTGACGAGTAAAGCTTGAACTCCTCGGCCTATTACTCCGGGGTGTGATGGTGCTGGTGGTGGAGGCGTGAAGAAGATCTGGCGCGCGAAGGTTCCAGGCATCAAACCAATTCTGGACCGTGGTCTGAAACGTCCGTACCGAAGCGGGGGTAAGCGAGAGGGACGATTGTTGGCAGAAGATCATACTATGAATGCCTAGGTAGAGGTCGGGTGAGTTTTACTTCCAAAGGATGCAGACAGATCACTGAGGGCAAAGAGACAAGAGACATACAAGATATCACGGTAAACAAGTCTAAAGTAGTCAGGCCAGAGCCGAGCGTCATAGTCTCTGGCGTCAACCTGCTCTCGAGTACGACCTGCTGAACGAGTTCGCGGTAGCTGAGATGGACGGTCCGGCGGTAGTCAGCGTGGGTGCTTTGCACCCTGGCGAGAAAGTCAAAGGCGTTTTCGGCCTCGAAGCAATAGTCGCTGCAGGCGCATCCGATTGTCAATTCTGAGACGGCCAGCCTGGGTGGACAATTGTGAAAAATGGTGAAGGCCGTGTCGAGGAGAAAGGTATACGTGCATGTTCTGCCATGAAGTTGTTTAATAAGTTGCACAACGTCGGACCGCCCAAACTTTACCTGATCAATTCTTCGACAAAGATGAACTCGGCCCAGTCGATAAACCCAGATTCAAGGTCGACTTCGCTTGAATGCTTCGCCCGATCAAGCCCGAATGCCCTGGCCGCCTGCATCCTGTTAGCTCAACTCGTTGTGAGACAGAAAGCCAGAAATGCGCACCAGAATGACATTATTATACTGGCGCTGTCGGATAGCTTTTCGCGATTCTGCAGAGCCCTCGAAATTCTGTAGGACAGATATGAGCAGAGCAGTCTGAAGCATGTCCAATTTTTCCCTCGAAGATATCTCCCTTTCTTCGTGCTCAGGACAACGTGCATTGACCCCGGACAGGAATGGATGCTGAAATATGACATGCTCAGCGACATCGAGCCAGCTCCGAGCACGTTGAACAGCCTCCAGATCGCAGCTATGAAGTGCACCAGCAATAACCATGACAAGGAGGAGTTCGGAGCGAGCATGCTGCACGTCGAAGCTGGGTCTGTGTATCATGGGACAGTGAGGAGCCCACCGGTCCCAGTACTGCTCGAGATAGTTCTCCAAGTTGTACGGACTAAAGAAGTCCAATGCCACGGTGTTGTCACAACTGTCAAGAAAAGCCAGATTTGATACGTCGGTAATCTCTCCTGTCATGTTCGGGTACAACAATTCCCAAAGCGCCTTCGACTGCATGAAGAGCGGGTGAAGGAACCAGGATGTCGCCTGAGATTTATGGACGCTCTTCGGCATGGCCGAGACAGTTGAGATACTGCCCACAGCCGACTCGAAGAAGTCATTCCATGTGGAGGTCGTTCGAGCTTTAGCCGTGATAGTATCACAGTTTTCTTGAGTGGTGACAAAGTTAAATGTACTGTCAATACCGGGATAGATGGTGAAATGAACGAGAAATTCGAGCTTCGCGGTACCCATGAATGTGTACATCGATGAGGGAATCATCGGAAGATTTGTGGATTCTGCATAGCTTGGTACTCCGTAAGATGAGAAGCGGCGAAAGCAGTCGTCAAATCCGCTGAACAACAGGCCTGTTGCATCAAACGTGGAAGAATAGCCAATGTTTAGATCAGGCCCGACCTGGGTGTCCTGCTCACGAGGGTGGCCTCTGTCGGTAGCATTGTAGGAATACATGCAGGATCGTGATCTTGACAGACAATTGCCACACGGCCAGCTGAGGTCGCACTTCTGCCTCAGAGTCGAACAGCTGTCGCATGAGGTCTTCCTGCGACCTGGAGGCTTTTGGAATGGTATCGGCTCCCCCAGAGCTTCTCTCACTGCACATGATCTCCAGTGTTTCCGGAGCGCATCACTATCATGCCTCTGTCAGGCAAAGGTACGCACAAGAGCCGAGACATACCTCCGTTTGAACGACGAAGAGCAGAACTGACACACGACCAGCTCTTGGGGAAGATCTGGCAGATATGGTTAGTACTTCTCGGGAGCGTCGAGCAAGGGCATGGCGAGACAGACGGCATTGTAGATGTCTTTGGAGATGCGCGTTGCGCTTGAACTCAGAGCAGCAGATATAGCATCGGAAGGGACGATGGCTATTTACGTTTGTCGACATATTCCCTCACAGGTCTAAGCTGAGATAAGAGGCAAGAAGAGGTTTCAGCAGCCACGGAGCCTTACCAGTCAAGCACTTGCTCATCACCGACTCTGCCTTAAGAGTTGAGTGATGGAACAGATAGGATCAGAATGCCCAGGTTTGCCTGAGTGTTGGAGGGTGTGATGCTGGTCTATATTCACATCCTGTTCTCGCGTGAAGTTTGCCGCCGAACGCCGGTTGTTTACGGCATTCTCAAGGCGGATCGGACTTGGAATATTGATCGTTTCTGCGAGGGAAAATGGACAATGATCACTTGAGGACCAATGACTCGCCTCTGGACAGAGACAACGGAGCGTTTTGTCCTCCGAATCCGAGCCCGGACTATTGAATAATCAAAGCTGTGAGGCAGAACCATAAGAAAACGTAATCAGGGTTCTTATGGGCTTCCCCGTACCTAATCTTACTGGGGGATGGCGCCTAAAGCAACTGCACCCTAGGTGCCTCCAGGTGCCTAGCTGGGTACTCAGGACTAACTTGGTAGGCACCTAATAAGGTAGTCAATAGGCGTCGCTCAATCTCCGACTCCGTTCGGGTGAAAATTGACGCTGTCCTAACTTTCGACCGTTGACCCCAAAAACAACCTCTTCACGCGAATAAAGACCTCCCTAGAAACATACACGACATACCCTTCTCGTACTCTGCCCTTCGAAAACATGAGCCTATCATGCAAACCATTTGTGGGCACAACAAGTACATTCCAATTGACGGGGCCTTGTAGACTGCCATGAACCGGATGCAGCTCTTTCCTTTCTGCTGTCTGCTTTCGACTCCAATACCTTGCAGTCAATGCACAACGAAGTTCAGAGCAGGATGCCATTGTCGCCAGAGCAAACCGGTCCTTGTCAAAAGAGCTCCAGTAAAACGCCATCGATGAGGATGCGAAGGTGGCTGCGAATGTATGCAAGCTTGTCTTTTTGCACTACCACCACAAACATCCATTTGCCGTTTCAAGGACAGTGGAAGCCCCATTGCGGATCAGCCAAGAGATGAGGGAGTACAGGGTAAGTCAAGAGATACGCTCAACCCTCAACCTCAGCGATTCGGTCAGCGCCTTGCTTTTCGAAGATGGCGAGATCAGTGCTCGTGTTAGGCCACATGCCTATTCCTTCCCAGGTTCACACAGTCCCCGCGGTTGAATGGTGATGCTCCTTCGATGATCGAGACATCCATACATACTCTTCGGTCGCTTTGGGGAACGCACCTGCTATGTTTCTTCATCTTGGCCTGGCAACTACACCTCCTCGACTCTTTCCTATGATCGACGAGCCGTCACACGGATCGAGAACGTTGTAAAGATATTCGGCAGTTGATTTACAGCCTCTACGAAGATCCAGCAAGTGCATGGGGTCCCCGCTCCTCCACACATATGGAGTATCGCCAAGATGTGATCCTTGTCAAGATACATCTATTCGGGAGATGCAATTGATCTTGCAAAGGTAGGTGATTTGTTCACTCTTCTAGCCAAGATCTTGGCCTTTTGTTCGGCAGTCGAGACGAAACGTCTGTGACTCGTCCCAAAGGGGCGACCATGATAGACACTCTTTTCTCGGGAGTATTTATGAAGAACCGTTCGTCCTGTCCTCGCAACGTGAGGACGTACTTGTTCGTCTAAACCAGTAGAGCACCCAATACGAAAAACATGCCGGAGCTCCAAAAGGACAATATTGCGGCGAACTGGCGATGCTTCGTCGCTTGCGGCATCATCACCCTATCACCCTTTCAATACGGTGTTGACTTTGGCCTGATCGGTGGTTTACAGGCCATGCCAGGATTCTTGAAGGTGTGTCTTGACGTGGAATGCTTCTGAATGCTTCTGAATGCTCCTGAATGGGACCTAACGTTTGCACCCTCCTGTACAGATCTATGGTTATGAAGCCCCAGAGACGCCGATAGGATGGAACATAACCCCGCTACGGCAACAATTGATATCGTCGTTGATGACTCTGGGAGCCTTTATCAGTTCGGGCGCAGCAGGCTTCGCAGCGGCCAGACTCGGACGGAGACACTGCCTATGGCTAGCCTAGCCTGATGTGTTGTGTTTCCAACGTCATCATGATGGCGACCACTCACATCGGAGCACTATATACTGGACGGTTACTGATCGGGTTAGCGAACGGATACTTTATGACTTTCTCGCAGCTCTACCTCCAGGAAACCAGTCCGGCAAAGTATAGGGGTTTATTCCTTTCGGCCTTTCAGTTTTGTACTTCGTTTGTACGTATCTCCCGAATCATTCGTCGCTGACAACTCTTCTTGCGCCGTAATGGTTCCAGGAGCAGCAGACGCTGACACGTGTGGGAGCGTGTAGGGCACTCTCATCGGAACCATCATCGATTACGCCACCAGCAACAGACCAGATAAATCAGCGTACCTGATCCCTTTGGGCATTGTATATATCGTCCCTGTCGTTCTATCGATTTCCATGTTTTTCATTCCCGAGTCACCTAGGTACGTCCACGCCAGATAGCAGTCAGACACGCGACCTCTCAGCAGTACTAAATGTCCCCGACAGATGGCTCATACTCCAAGGTCGATACGAGGAAGGTGTAATGGCACTAACATGGCTTCGTCCCAAAGGAGCAGACGTCAACTCGGAAGCCACACTCATTCGTACAGCCATTGAAAAAGAAATGGAACTCAAATCGACCGTCGGCATCTGGGATATGTTCCGCGATCCGGTGAATCGACGAAGGACCATACTCGCCGTTAGTGCTGTCACACTTCAAGCAGGATCAGGAAGCATGTTTATCATTGGTATTATATCACTCTCTGCTCGCTCGTCCCACTGCCTCGGGTCATTCGTCATGCTAACCAACATGTCGCGTCACAAAGCATACAAAGCCTACTTCTTCGCCATGGCCCACGTCTCCAATCCATTCGGCATGAGTTGCATCCTGAGCACAATGGGCCTCGTGGCCATCTTGATCAACTCCTCCATCGTCGTCCGTTACGGTCGCCGCCGCGTTTTACTCCTGAGCGGCTTGATATTCTGCGGCATCCTCCAACTCATCATCGCGGTGGTGTATGATAAGCAACCTGGCACGAAGACGACGGGAAAAGTAATCGTCGCCTTGGTTTGTTTGTACATGATGAGTTATAATGTGAGGCCATTTTTCCGTCCCTCTCCTTTCCCTGCCCTCGCGTACGGCATTTCCAACACATTCACCGGTCGTTTAGGGAATGATAGCATCCTACGCCTGGTTGTCGGGTGGCGAACTCCCCACCCAACGCCTACGAAGCCACACGTTCGGTCTCGCGGCCGCCATCGGCTTCCTGGGTGCCTGGCTCACCACCTTCACCGCGCCGTACTTTATCAACCCGGCCTCGTTGGACTGGGGTCCACGGTACGGGTACATCTGGTTCCCTTCGTGCGTCGTGGGCGCCGTCTGGGTATACTTTTTCTTGCCCGAAGTCAAAGGGAGAACGTTGGAAGAAATTGATGAGATGGTACGTATAATCACCGTCTGCGGTGCCGCGGCCGCCGCCTCCACTTCACTCCCGCACTCTTTTTTTTCTGTTTTGTTTGGAACGTCGGACCTTGACTGACATGATACGTGACGTAGTTCGGGGCGAGATTACCTGCCCGCAAATTCCGAAAGTACGAATGTGTCCAAGCCACGACGGTGTTGCGAGATCAAAAAGCAAAATCTCCAGGACGAAAGAGCATGGAAGAAGTCGAGGAAGTATGGAGTGACGAAAAGGTGTGTTTTCCCTTTTTTTTCCTTGGTTGGCCCTAAAACCCCCAAGCAACATCTTCCGGTTCCCTTTCTTTCGGTAATCAGGGATGATGGCAATTCTAATCTAGCGATGGACGCACAAATACAGGCCACGGCTGAAACTACAGTCAATACGGCGTGAACCGAGTGGGACGGAGAAGACGTCAAACGTTGATATATTCCCGCCGCCAAAGGGATAAAAAGACAAGTTTGCCAGAACAATGTCCCCACGACCGACGCCTATGGACCGCTGTCTTATTGAACAGTCCACAGCGAAAAATATATCTTATACACATACGGAGTATGTTTACATGTCATGGTACATCTCCCCAAATGTCCTTCTTGATCCTTGTTTACCGTTCCAAGTACAAAGAAACCAGGGAAAATATAGGCACCATTACTCCGCGTCTGTAACGAGAATATCTGCCCACGATCCCGTCGAATTCGATCTCTATCCCAATCCCTCGAGGAATAGAGTATTCGGTACCATCGAATGTAGAATGTTCGACCACGTACTCCGTCAGGTGTGTTAGGATGGCGGTCTGCGCCCCCATACGGTTCAAAGAGAACCACAGGTCTACTTTTTGCGTGTCCGCTGCTCCAACCGTGATATTTTTTAATCCACTTGCATATTATTAGCTATTACTATCCTAAACTCGCAGTTGCATTCGCATCATGGCCATTAACACTGTGTCCCATCTCAGGCACCGAATCCGGCATCTTCAACAGTCACAAGGTAATTCCATTTCACGTTGGAAAGACGAAAAAAAGGACCAATAAGCCCCTCTTTGTTGCCTCCTTTGCCATTTTTTTTCTTCTCCTGTTCATCCAGTAGACGCTTTGCATTTGGGGGGTATCTCTTCGTTAAGAACAAGACTTGCCGAAGTGGGTATCTGGTACTCGAAAATGCATCAACCAAGAAAAAGCACAAAACAATCAATCTAAAGGTGATCGGGGTATCCTGAAAAAGCAAAAAAAAACAAAACACATAACGAAATGAGTGGTGTCCGAGTTTGTCGTCAATCAGTGCAGTGATCCTGAGAGATCATGTCTCAAAGCGGAAGAGCGGTTGCAGATGCAGAGGTAGACCCCCCAAACTCGGGACTTCACCCTGTCTCCCCATGTCGTGCCACCTCAAACGACGAGGCCAGAGGGACGAGAAGGGCTGCGAGGAGGTAGCGACGGAGTGTTGTAAGTCTTCTCGTCCCACCACTTCTCAAACTCAACTGGACTTGCTGCTCGAGACAGTCGAGACGGATGTGACAGAGAGGTGCGTGGAGTTTTGTCTCTGGCCTCGTCGGACCTTCAAGCAGTTGCCTTGACTTCGGGAGCCGCGGCAGGGACAGCGGGCTCGGGCTTGTCGGTGACGAGGTCTGACGGGACAACGTCACCCTTGATCTCAGTCTCAGCAGCAGCAGCCTCTGGAGCAGCTGCTGGAGCTTCTTCGGGGGTTTCCTCGGCCGTGGCGGCTGGCTCTGGAGCCTTCTCCTTCTCCTTGGGGCCCTCAGACTTCACCGCCTTACTAGCGCGGCGGACGAGGTTGCCAATGAATTTGGCCGGAGTGGGAGACTTTTCACGCTTGGGCTCCTCAGCACCTTCCTCAGCATCACTGGTGGCGGTGGTGTCGCGCTTCTTGTTGAAGAAGAGAGAAGTGCGGCGCTTGTTGTCACGGGCTGGGCGCTCTTCCTTAGCAGCAGGCGTCTCGGTGGCTGGCTCGGTGGCAGCAGTCTCGGTCGTTGGTTCTGCGCTGGCAGCAGCAACAGGGTCTTTGGCAATAGCCTCCGCAGCCTTGTCCTCCTTGGACTCTTCCTTGGCCTCTTCTTTGTGTTCCTTCTTGCCCTCGAGCTTGGCTTCGGTCTTCTTGATGAAGCTCATCAAGCCACCTTTCTTCTCAGTCTTGGGTGCAGCAGACTCGCCAGTGGCGGCTGCGGGCTCCTTGGTAGCTTCCTCGGCAGAGGGGGTCTCGACGGTATCGACAGGGGCGGTCACCGCGGCGGTGTCAATGGGCTTGTTCTCGATTGGCTCCTCCAGTTTGGGGGCGGTTTCAGAGACGGGCGGCACATCCGTGCTTCCAGTGGCCTCCTTCTCGGTCTTCTCGGTGGTCGGGCTGGTGACGTTCTTCTTGAACAAGGTTCCGAAGACAGAGCCGCGCTTGTTCTTCTTCTCAGTAGGAGCTGCTGCTTCCTCCTTTTCTTCTTTCTTGTCCGTGGACGCGGCAACCGCAGGCACTTTTCTGATGTTAGTTTGATGGAGCAAAAAGTGATAATTCGACTTACCAGCAGCGACCGCAGCGGCCTCACCGGCCTCGACAGCCTTGCTAGGCTCCTCGGTCTCCTTGGACTCCTCCTTCTTTGCCTCGGCCTCTTCGCTCTTCTCTTCCTTCACCTCCTTCTTTTCCTCTTTCTTTTCGGCATGTTCCTCTTTCTTGCCCATCAGCGAGCCGAAGATACTGCCACGCTTGCGCGACTGGGATCGCTCCTTGAGTTCCTTCTTGGGCTCCTCGGCAGTTTCAGTGGAGGGGCTAGTAGTCTCCGCAGCTGGAGTTGTGGCAGCAGCGGTGGCTGCGTTGACCTCAAGGGACTTCTTTGGTTCCTTGGACTTGGAACGGGTTGAAGCGGGCGCGATGACGGCAGGTTTAGCTGGAGTTGCATTAGCTGTCGATCATGGCGGCAGAAAATATGTCCCCACAGGTGCGGACAACTTACAATATTCCTCGACGTTCTTCTTGTAGCTTTCACGTCCAGTGATCTCTTCCTTAAGTCCCTTGGCCTCCTCGATTGCCTTTTCAACGGCAACGACCCAGCTATCTCGTTCCTCAGCCTTGGTGGCCTCGAAGCGGTGGTGGTGGTTGCCAGCCTTGAAGGAGAATTGATTGAAACCTTCCTTGGTGACAGTGGAGGCATCGGCCTAGTTCGATGTCAGTTTTGCTTTACCATATAGCCCGGATGTCGGTTCTTACGAGGTTGATAATGCCAACTGGGCTAGCCTTGTCCTCGGCACGCTTGGAGAAGAAGAGCAATCCCTTGCCTGTCTCACGGGCCCACGATGCGGATGCGTGCTTTGCGTCGACCTTTTCAGAGCGCAGGAAAGTTGCCAAGGACTCTGGCGTTGAGGGCTCCTCAGAGAACCAGAAGAAGTGCTTTGTGAAGAAGAATCTCCTGTTAGACTGACGTTAGCATTTGTTCTCTTCAACTGCGCAAACACTTCTTTGACTTTGACCTACTTCAACAATGTTGGCTCTTTGTATCCGAGAACACCCTCCGAAGCTGGAACTGCTGTGACGACCGTCTCATCCTTCTTCACCTCCTCCGTGGCTGGGGTGGCCTCGGTAGACTCCTCAGCAGGCGCAGCAGGAGTTGCTTCAGCAGTAGGCTCGGCAGTGGTGGCAGTGGTCTCGGCAGGGGCAGTGGATGATTCGACAGGTGTTTCTGGCAGCGCCTTGGTGGTTGGTTCGACGACAGGCGTCTCCTCAACCGGCTTTGGGGCTTCGACAGACATGGTGAGTGTTATTAAGTGTGGAATGAGGGTATGTTCTTTTGAAGACTAAAGTGGTGAACTGATGTGAGGGAGTGTCAAGAAAAGACGATGGTCCCGTTCAGACAAAGACTGTTGAAGGTGAACAATGTATATCTGAAGGCAGTCAAGGTCAAGAAAGGATGTTTCTTTGAAAAAAATCGTCACGGCTTTGGGTGTTTTGAGAAAACCACAGGCAGGCGCGTGTCCAATAAATGTGAGGAGAGGATGATTGGAAGAAAGGTTGGAAGCAGAAGATTGAAGTAGACGAAGGGAACTGGAGATTAGAAGTACGACTTTGAGTCCAGGAGGGAAAAGGATTGGACGTTTCGCAGAGAGGAGAGCGAGATTGTGAGACCCAGGCCTGGATGGGATCCCAAGATTTTCGTTGTCCAGTCGAAGGACCCTTTTAGCAAGTCGCAGGGAGATTTGGCGGCGGCGCGAGAGGCGCGCTAGACAAGAGGTTTGAGCCACCGCCGGGCCACTCAGCGTTAAGGGCAACCCGGCGCCCACAGGCACCTAAACAACCAACCCCCCCACTGGTTCTAACTGAAACTAGACCCTCCAAACAATGAAAGGAACCACTGGCTTGCTCCACCCGGCATCCCTAGTACAGTAAACTGCGCCAAACCCTCTCGTCAAAAGAGCAGCCACGGCAACGTACAGAGCAACTTTGCGTGACTAGAGGGAGTTTTAGTATTGCCCCAAGCTGATCATCGATGGACCGACATTTCGCTTGGACAGACCAAGTGCCCTCGAATCGACTCGATAGCCACCTTGTCGTACGGAGTTACGGCCCATGGAAAGCTTCGTGCCTTGTGCTGGTCACGCGAAATGATAAACTGTACGGAGTACGAGTTGGGGCCCATCCCACTTCGTTCGTTGATCGATCCATCCATTCAAGCCGAAGTGAGTAATACGGAGTACCTACAGTAGGTAGGTGACTCCTTACTGTGTACTCCGTAGCTCAAGGGGGCGGTCAAGTCGAATTTGTTGATGCCTTGCCTCACCAACGAAATTGTTCATCGAGTGAGGAGGTATACATTAGGAAGGTAGACTCATATACGTTGTAACTCTGTAGTCCGATCAAAGGATATAGACTGACCCCTTGAGTACGTCTTCCATCGTCCTCAAACTCATATATAGTTGCGTCAAAAAATGTCTTGCTACTTCATCGGTCACCGAAGTCCTGGTACGTACAGTACAAACTCCGGACGGGCCCCCAAACGGACTACACACCTACGGTCACGTCTTATCGCAAACCACAAGTCCTCCTTCAAAGGTTGACGCAAGTCACCTACCGAATTGAACAAAAAGGACGACGATCATCTCGAGAGCAACGAGACGTTCCAAGGATATCATTCCTACGCGCTTGGGTTGGCCAGGATAGGATGGTTTGACATTTCTACATAGATATGCATGAATGCACACCCACACACACACACCCACCTTCACTTGACCCCTCCTTCCTCTTGTCCCTGAATGGGGAAAAGAGAGATCATATAGCATCTGACCACGAGAGAGAAGAAGCATACGAAGTACGGAGTACATACATGCCATACATACTTCGTCCTCGTCCCCCAATGATCGGGATGATTGACTGGGTCATGCGACACACATAGACATGCAGCCTGCATGAAATGACGTGCGCCCTGCGCCTGCATGCATAAGCCTGCACAGGGGGAGAAGATAGAGAACACCTGAAACCGACGAATCATTGCCATACCAGTCTTTCATCGTTGGATAGAAATTGTTAACCGTGTTTGAAGTGTTACAGTAGGTACGGAGTATGCAATCCGTTGACCCTCGGATCAAGATGTTTTTTACTCGTAAGCGACGGTCACGACAGGCTTGCCCCCCCCTCCCCCCAGAATACTCTGGCACTACGACTATTATATGTAACTCGCTTCCTTTTTCATTGATCTACTCCGTACAGTAGTTATAGTACAGAGTAGGAAGATGCTGGAATCATTTAGCTTTTGGACACTCATCTCTTGTGAGCCCCAATCTAACGAAATCTTTCATTATCTTTTCCCACTTCTACTAGCATATCATCTTTTTTTTCGTAAAGACAACACTATACAGACCGTACGTATGGCTGCTACTTCAACACCTTCTTGTCCTTCTTCTTCTTCTTCTTCTTCTTACCTAATAAACACCATATCAAAACTTGGAACACGGGTCCCGATGGTGGATATTCGCCATTGAAAAAATGGACCCCCTCCTTTAGAAGTAGGCATTATCCGCAGGTCGGAAATATTTTTTTTCTTTCGTCTTGCAGGTTGTCTCCATCGAATATATGCGCCGTCGATCTCGTTTCTTTTACAGTACGGAGTACTCCCGTACCCTCTGAGATGGGTCCTCTTGAATAATAATCCCGTGATTGATGTAGGATCCTCCTTTTCTTTTTCTTTTGCTTTTTCTCTTTCTTTCTAGATTGCCAACGGAGTGTGCCATCAAGTGCCACAACTGACGTCTGACATACAATTGACGGGTGGCGTGTATTTACAGAGCGAAAACAACGGTGGCCTTACAGATTTGCTCGGTAACGAGATAGTATGGTATGTATTTTGCATCGTGGGGAGGGTGAAACGAAATAAGGAGAGACTCGCCGACTTGTCGGTCCAGCAAAAAGTCTCGATGTAGAGAATTTGAGGACGGTTTGCCTGTAAGTCCCCTCGAGGGGTCATTATTGTTGTCGCGCACATGCACTTTGGGTTCATCAACGCAAGGAATAAAAAGCCTCGTGGGCAAAACAAGGGATGTACAGTACATCAGATGTTCCTATTATTATTGTAGCACAAAAAGTCAACATTCTCTCCACTTACGCATAGCGCAGACGCCACGCAGCGGCACGAACAAAGGTTTCCACAACACAAGAAAACTTGCCCATCCTAAGCATGTGACAAAAAAGATCATCAAAACCCGAACATCTACACCGTGCACTTTTTTTTTTGGATCCCTACGATATCGTAATTAGGTCATTCAACATGTTGCTACACTGTACCAATCCGCACCATCATTTCGCCGTGTCTTCTCATCTGATGTGGAAACCAAACGTTGGGAACCTCTCGCAAGCTGGGGATGCGACCCAATGGACATTTTTTGTATCCCAACCTTCGCCATCCAAACATAGATCGCTCACTCAATTTTCCACCCAAAAAGGTATACATAATATCTAGCTATACACAATATATATTTTCGTAGATCCAAGACAAGTGATACAGTAGGTAGATATCATTCTTGCCGCAATCATCCAGCCGTGGTCAAAATGTACGAGGTAATCGCGTCCATTCTCTCCTTTGTGAGTTTGAGACTGATGACGAGCAATTCTTGTGCGACGTCGGGATCTCGTGCTTGCATCTCGTGCCACCGCCGTTCATCCAGCAACCAAATTACGCAATCTTTTTCCGCGATCATGGTCGCGGTCCGTGTCGTCTGCGAGAAGAATGGCAGTTCGCCACATGGCCTTCCCGCCACGACCAGCTCGGAATATTTGCCTTGCGGGAGGTCATAATCCGCCCGCAGTAAACCTTCCTCTAGCATGTAAAATGCCGAAGCCCTGTCTCCCACATGGAAGAGGACCGATCCTTGCGGCCATGTGGCCTTTTCAAAGTAGCCCATCGCACGGTACCAGAAGTCTTCGGTCTTGTCCGACACGTCTGCGAAAATCTGTAGCAAGAGAGGAAGTGGCTGCTTGAAGGATTGCCACTTGGGTACGCTCGTGGTATCTTCGTCGAGCGTAGTCTGGGCGACCTGATGAAGGAGGTTCCGACGAGGGGAGCTGCCCATGAACTCAGCCTTGTAGGATTGCGAAAGCTCTTGACTCGCTCGGTTGCGAGGTACATCGAGGTACGATGTGCTGCGCTTGGTACGCCGATGCTCCTGTTGACGATACAAGGCTGTCAACAACTCGTTCTCGCAATGCACGAGCGCGTCATTGAGATCTGCGAAGATTTCCACCTCGGAATTCTCTGCAAACAATCCAACATTCCGCAGAGCTTGTCCCACCTCACCATCAACGTCCAAACCACTGATGATAAGTCTGACCGCGCGTTTCTGCAATAATCGATTGATGCGGGTGAACGCTTCGGCAGCGGAAAAGTCGATGCCGTTGATCTGTCCCATGTCCAGTATTAAAAACCGTAGAGGGCGGTCTCGGAAGGCGTCGTCTGCCAGAAGTGCTCGTATGCGATTCTCGACTCCCACAATGGTGCCGAAGAACAGAAATCCTGCCAACTTGAGAAGGAAAATCTGCTGGGCTGTCTCCTTCAGGAATTTTAATTGCACCGGTGGCCTGCGCACAAGAGATTTGGCCACCTGACCAGAGTATGTCGCCCTTATCGCCGTCCTCCGTGAGGTCTGTACGACGAAGCTGACCGCAGCGAGGACTATACCCACCAGGATGCCGACGACAAAATCCCAGACACCCATAGTGACCACAATGATCACAATAGTGGCGTACTCCAGCTTGTGGACCTTACCCCAAGTTCCGACGAGTGCCTCCTCGAGAAGCTCGATGCCCAAGAGGAAGATAAGGGCTCCGACGACCATGATAGGGATGTAACCAATGATGACCGGCCCGGCCAAAAGCACACCGAACGTGGCAGCGGCAAGCATCAACCCTGCGAGGCGATCGCTGCCTCCGCTGTCCATGAAGAGCAGGCTGTTTGTGTAAACCAGGTAGTTCTGCACGCTGCCAAAGAGCCCACTGACACAATTTGAGACGCCGTGGGCGATGAGTTCGCGATCGACATCCAGATTGTCCTCGCCCGTGGATATTCCCAGTGCTGGGACATTAATCGGCACATGTAAAATACCGAAGAAGGTCAGGGCAAACATGGCGGGAATAGTGTCGGCCAAAGCCCCCCAATGGACAGCCTTGAAATCGTACAGCGTGTAGAAATGATACCAAGGATTCCCGGCTGGCGGTGGGTCAAACACCCATCCATGAGAGTGGAATGTGTCCATGGAAACCCCCAATGCGAATTTGAAAAAATAGAATATAGCAGCCACCGAAATGAAATACCCGCCCACCAGAAGATTTGACTTGACAAAGCGTTGTACAATTAGAAGAACAATCGCAAGCAATAACGGGATCGTCCACAGGAGGATTGTGTCTCCTCTCAGTAGTTGTTTGACAGTTTCAAGGTTGTACTCGAGGTTTCCTGGCAGACGAGCGGAGACCTCAACACCAGTCGCAACCAGGAACCAACCCACGCCACCGATACAGCCGATAAGAATATGTCGCGGGAAGAATCCAATCAAGGACCCCAGTCTGCAGGCACCCATCAAGAAGAAGACAGCGCCCGTAAGAATGGCACTGATGGAGAAGGACAGTATGGTCGTAGCCAGGACGGATTTGGTATTCTCCTCGCCGACCTTGCTCATGATGGTGAAGGCCATTTTGTGAAAGAATGGAACTACCTCGATCATTTCTGATCCGATGCCGCCTCGAAAGACCGATCCGCCGGAGGAATAGACCACCTGAGCCACGATTGTGCTGACATAGAACATGGATATTCCATCGGACCCCAGACTTTCGAAGACCGCGTGGCCCAGGGGAAAGAGAATCATGCCGTACGACAGCGCATCCAGGATGTTGAGCAGGAGACCCAGGAAGACGGCCGGCAAGAGACTGGCAGGATGAACGACGACCTCTCGATATATCGTACGTGGGTTCCAGGCCTTTGGGTGAGAGAGCACATATAGACATGACCGTGCTCGTGCAACCGAGCTGTGCCACTTTTGTCCCAGGGCTCGACGGTGTGTTTTCTGGCCTTCGACATCACTGAGCTCTCCATACGGTACTGAATGTTTCCTATCACCCAGAAGGGCAGTCTGCTCGTCTGGCAACGATGGTCTTGCCATACTCGAGGAAGCTGCACGATCTCCACGAGAGCCCTGGGATCCGTTCTGCTGGTTCTGATATTCCACCTCGTCCTCTTCGGCGGCGTAGTTTTGTATCATCATGGTCAAATCAGATTGAGTTGCCTCGTCAGCCACCCTCTCTTCTTCAGAGCCCTGCGGTGAGACCGGCTCGGAGACTTCCTCTATAGCATCAGGGTGACCGTCATCGGAGGAAGAGGTGTCGCTTCGCGGGGAGCTTCCTAGGTACGAGACATTGTCCGAGACAGCAATCGCAGCCAGCTCCGCGGTCTGGTCTTTGAGGTCAGCCGAAGAGGAGTATTGAGCGGGATCAAGCTGGCCATGGAAGGACCGACGGAAGAAGGATCTTGCAGGAGTCCTGGCGGCAGGCTGGCTGGAGGTCGAACTAGCTCGATTCCGTCTTATAGTGTGAGGCCGATCCGATACTGCCAAAGGACTGTTCTCGTCTATACTTCGATCACTCTGTGAGGCCCTCGAGGGAGACGCAGGCATCGGGGTCGGCCGAGCTTTTGAGAAGTTCGAGCTATGGCGAGCGAGTTGCTTGCCGGAGCCGGTCGTCGACATCTTTTTGCAGGCAGGCTCATAAGCCTATCATGTCCTTCCTCCACTTGAAACCACGAATACCACAAAACCCAGCTCTTGCAGTAGGCGTCAGAGGGGGGGACCTCTTAAATGTGGGCCATCCTGTGTGCTTCGAGTGACGCGATAGGAGCCGGGGATGAGGGAATTGACGCAGGAGGGCGGGAAAAAAACCGTTGCGGGAGTGAGGGAGGACCCGGTAGAGATTGGGATACGAGGGCAGTGAGAATTTTGCAGACAGGCCAGGTCGGTTCCCTGTTCATGCAGGTGAACACATTTTTGCTTCTGCCAGTGACGATGCCAGAGGACCAAATCCAAAATGCAGCTATGGCGTCCCTGTGGAGGAAATTTTTTGCGTGAGGAGAAGAATGCTGGTTGCTGTACACAAGAGGCATGAGATTAGCATGAGGTATGAGGCAACATTATGATAAGAGATATGGAGCACTGGTGGATCAAGGCACCATCAGAGAGACCCTTGGATCGCCCACCAACTTTGAGCTATGAGAATGAGGACACGACGACGCCTTCAAGCCAGAAATGGGCATCAGACATTACGAGGACCTGGACTAATGATACGAAGTACTCGCGTCCTTAAACGTCAAAGAATTGACATCCCTGCATCACAAACACCATTGATTGGGGGAGAAGAAGCCGTAGAAGTCGACGAGGGGATCTTCACAAATGCACATGCCCCCCCGCCTTCAACAATCCCTGGGTCTCTCCATCATCTGTGCTCGAAATGTAGTTAAGTCAGGCTCGACACTCTGTTAGTTAATGGTGAACTACGGCTTCGCTTCGCTTCGCTTTGCTAGGGCAGATCCTTATTTGTCCATACGGTCATGGTTATTCATACAGAGAGGAGAGCGCCGTCATCAATTATGCAGTCCCTCAAGTCATGCTCCTACACTGATATGTCACAATTTTCTTTTCCAACGATCATGACAACAGACCTGCTACTTGTCGTCCTCAATCACACAGGGACATCCCAGTCTTCCGGAATTTTCAATTCCCCAATCATTCCACTTGCATCCTGACTGAACAAGCCCCCTGGTGCTGAGAAGTCACTGGAGTCCGGCCCACACAATGAGACATGTCTACCTCATTCATTAGAGACCTACCCGGTAGTAATCGAGTGAGAATGTCTTTTCCGAAAAGGTCTGGGCCCATGATGGAATATGACGAGCTTTAGACATCATTTTCGACCTTGGATCAGATCACACAGGGAATGACCTTCCATGGATCTCCCACAAAGTTCAAACCTCTCTCTCGGAAGTGCCACGGGTCGATGTACACCTCCAACCCAATCTCTTTGGAGAACAAGTTGAACACTCTCATGATGAGGTACACGTCTCGCGGCGGCGTCGTGGTCATCAAGCCATGTGGACACGCCCTGTCTCGCATGCGTCGATACTGAGTGTTGCTCATGAAAAACGGGGTGCTGCTCGGGCCCGACGTGGTCTTGACTTCAATGCAGTAGTCCACCGGTGTTGTCGACGTCTCGGTACTACCGAGCCAGGCGGGACAAGGGAATGTCGCATTTTTCCGAAGGAGGTCCATCAGTTGTGGGCAATGGCCATGGTATCTGATGTCCGAGATTTCCACCCTCCGTGGTGGTGCTAGATCCGCGTACTCGGGCAAGACGTTCACGTAATGACGGATCGAGCTCTCCCAGTTTTCGTCAGTGACGTTTGTCACTCCGTAAGCTTTCAGGAGCTCAAACACCTTGGGTTTTTCCACCTTCCAGTCAGCTTCTTGTGACCTCCTAAGATACCAACTCTCTCCGAAGAAGATACTTACATATAGTTCTCCCGCGGCGCCCACACGTTTGTTGTCCTCAAACCGGCCCATCCCTGTATCGCCAAACGCTCTCCGGAACTCTTCGTAAACTTCATTATCCAGCGACTCCATCTCATCTAGCCCTCTTTCAATGTCATCGAGCGATAGCAGTTCTTCTTCTTCTTCTCGAGGAAATTGGCGACGTTGTCTTGTTCGGCGTCGCCTTGCTTGGCGTATTACTTCATTCAGGAGTCTTCTGTACGTATCTTCTTGGGATCCTTCTTCTCGGCGGGAGCGGAGACCGGCGGCAGACTGTTCCTGACCCGGAGAAGGAATGCTGGTCTCAACAACAGAACGCACTGCTCTTACTCTTTGGTTGGCCCAAGTAATGACCGCATCGTCGTGGTCGTGGTCGTGGTCGTCGTGAGAGTGAGACGACGATGTATCAGCAGACGATATGTCCGTTGGTGATCTACCGCTGTGAGATTCTGTCTCGTCGTCCCGAATTGCAGACGGCGTTTTCTGTGGCCGCGGTGGGGGCTTGTCGAACCAAGGGTACTGTGGTAAGTCTTCGTTCTTCATGATAACTTCCAATGGCGTCTCATGCTCGTTCAAGATACGATATATCACCTTCACCGCCAGTTCTCTCTCGATCCCGAGGAAATCGAGGAGATATTCAGGGAGCTCTGTGTGGAAACAGGAATATCTATCGTTCTTGTCGCTCGGAATATAGATCTCCAGCCTTCCCTCAATGTGACGGACATCCACCACGACTCGATCACTGGAAACCTCGACCACTCGGTCTTTCTCCTGTAGTGTCAGCTCTGTTCGCATCTCGTCGCAGACGAATACTTTTGCAGCCAAAAGTAACTCATGTGTCGACGTGTTCTGATTGTAGTATTTCGGACTGTTGTAGTACATGGCACAGCTAGTACACAGTCAGGCAAACACCCGTTTTGTGACATGACGTTGAAACTCACCATGACAAGGCGTATGCACGGTCTCTGATATAGCGCTCTAGATCTGGGTCCGGATTTGCATCGTTCACAACAGTTTTTGGCCGTACAAGGCCTGATATATAGCGATGCTCAAGCTCTAGACATTCGAACAGCGGGCACAATGAGGTGATCTCTTCGTGACCAAAATCAACGATATTTGCTTTGTTTTTGAAGAGCTCACCATATCTTTGATGGTCATTAATGGCAAAGGTTTCATCCACGGAGGCGAGTCTCAACCCATCAGGGCCACGGACTGGTAGGAAGGCTGTCTGCTCCAAGATAACCTGTTGGTCCCCGTTGATAGGTATGTTGTCATCTGACGCCAGCAATTGGCCTATGGCAAGGATGATTTGTTTGGCGTCTTTAATCTCAGGGGAATCCTGTTCTAGTGTCCTGTTAAGCTCCTCGAACAGTATGTCGATGTTTAGTGTCATAACTCCTATCTTCTCGACGAAAAAGTCCTGCAGCTGAGGATATACTTGGTCGAGTGGTGTTCGCCCAGGGATGGGGACTGTACAATTCCACAAGCAATCTGAAGCTTTCAGCCACTCTTGACCAACGTATATTAGGCCGTGGTTCGTGAATTCTTCCCTGAAGCTGCTGTCAGTGAAAATGACTTCTTCCTGAGGGATTACCATACCGGATCGCCTCGTCCGCAGGTTCAGCGTTCGCCATCTCCGCCAAGGCTGTATAGATCGTTTTTGCGTCTTCCTCAATTGCGTCGTCCTCAATTGCGTCGTCCTCAATTGCGTCGTCCTCAATGGAACTTGAACTGTCCATTGTCTTTGTTGATGACAACTTGAGTACCTTAAGTTCGTCAATCAAGTCATCATGGCTAACATCTCGTATGTTCAAGAGGCTTTTGAAGAAGTCAGAAGCGGATGAATCGTCACCATATAGCGGACTCAATCGCTGCTTCGTTTGCAGAAAGGAGGGGCCGTTCCAAATGCAATGACTTGATGTGTACCAAGCTTCTCCCTGGGATGTTCTGGCACGGATCAATGGTTCCGTCGCAAATTCTCGCTGTGGCGGAGTTAGTAGGTATCCGCATGAGTTCCATCGATGTCTATACCTGTAAGATTTCGGCGTTCCCGATTGCCGTTGTTTGAGCAATGCCGCTGTACAAAGTTGCACACGTGGAGATCAGTTGTGCATCTTCCAATTCGGTGAGCTGGTGCAGAGCTCTCAGGTAGAAGTTGGTATCCGCCTCGCAGATTACTCCGAACATTCTCAGGAACAACCAAGGTTCGGGTCGGTGGGAGTCGAAATCCGCAGGTAGTTTCAGGAATGGTAGGAGCCCCGTCAGTTCAGAGTCTTCGCTCACTTTCAGCAGCTCATCAGTGGGTAGAATAGTATCCCCCAAGCTTTCTGCGGAGCCATTCAGACAGGGTACCCGGACTTCCTTCAAATCATTCGTGATCCTGGCTGCTTTATCCCGGTAATCAGACCAATGTACTTTGAGGTTTGCGACAAAGCTGTCGGGGTTGTCATGAGCAATCTCCTCCATCAGAGGGTGGAGCTTCCAGCCATTGGGTACCTCGTGCACCAAGTCAGGGAAGAACTTGACTCCCCATTTTTCAAGGTAAGATACCCAGTCCAAGCCGGAGCGTTTGTAATTGGAGACTTGTGATTCCAGGTACTGCTCATGAAGAACTCCATAATCACCCCAATACTCCTTCGGGGTTTTGGCAAGCAGTTTCTCTGCATGATAATCATCATCCGAAGGAAAGAACAAGAAGCGTGCTTGGTGTCGTTTACTTTGATCGCTCATGAGTGTCACACGCTCCTGGCCCCTCTCTGACGGGGACGGCATCATTCCGAACCAAAAAAGGACTTCGAGATCCTTTATCAAGGTTGATAACTTTCTTCGCCTTGGTCCGCCAAACTTCACTCGGTGACGCTCAAGGATCTTCGTTATCACATCATTGGGGGCGCAAGACGAAACTCCGAGCTCAGCGTAAAAGCTCTTGCGTTCTCCATCAGCAGCAGCTGTCAGGTCAAGTACCTGGAACCCAAGATAATGCGGTATCTCTATCTTTACCGAATATTCCTCGGCAAGATACGGTAGATACACCTTGTCTACTTTTAGGGACGACGGCGAAACCCAGCGACCATCCTGTAATGGAATAATGTTCAAATCCTCCACATCCTCCTTGACGTCTGTGTCCAGGAGTCGTCGAACAAGACCGGTGAATGCTGTATGCCACCGGTCATCCAGTGGTTTGTCGGGTATTGATATTTCTGCTTCCTTTATTCTCTTCAAAATCTTTTGGGGTGAGATTGTTTTGAGGGAAAGAGTTTTCAAGATCGTGATATCGGCTGGTTCATAGTTTTCGGATAGATAGATATCATGGCTAGTATCTTCCACGAGTGGCTCGTTCTTGTAAATGAACCAGTCGGGCAAAGCCCTCATATCATCGATGTAGTGTAGTCTACCTCGGCGTGAGCGTAGAACGGGCTCCTCCTTGAGGCATGCACTGATGTCTTCGCACAGATTTTTCCAAAAGTCTTGCATGGGGACTGTAGGGAGGTACCGCACCCATCTGAATTCCAGCGGGTCGCCAATTGCCACAGCTTCCATGACCAAGCCAACGAACGATGCACATACCCCAGCTAGCAATGCTTCGTTCCAAGGCGTGCCAGACACGTCCTCTCGATTACTGCTGAGGTCAAAGTCTGCGTTTATGAGAAACTGATTTCGTCAGCGTCGAACTGCGAAAGATAGCCCCAGGCACATACAGGGAGTTGTGAATAGCGCCGCACTGGCAGACGAGCAAACACATATTGTCCATGTTTGGGGATGACGGGCAGGCCTTCAGAATCCACCTCGAAAGCCACGGTCACTTCTCTCTCGGGATCTTTGTGTTGACCATCGAGGGGCAAGTCCTGGACTGTTGTCGTGAACAGCCTGAGCCGGGTCGTCCCTGATGTATGGGGACCAAATTTCCCAAAATTCGCTTTTACGGCTATCTTGAGCCGCATTTCATCAGAGTTCAATTCGCCATCTCGTGTGAAGGTGATCTTCTCCTCACGTCCATTGATGCGATCCACAACCACGACCATTTTCTTGAGCTGGCGTAATGCAAACAGGATTGTTCGGGGGATTTCTTTAAATTCGGACACGAGAAGTCTAGCGAAACTGGCGCCGCGATCAGAGTACCGGAGTGTTAGTCTTGTGCCGATTTCACGAGGCAGGGCAGGTGTATGGTCAGTCCATATTGGGCAAATCATTCCTAGGCCGTCGTCGCCTTCTCTGTGCTCGAATCTAAAAGACCAGCACCCGGATTTGATGTGGACGTAGTCAGCAATACCAAATACCGATTTGAAACCCAGACCTTTCTCACCAGTAGTATCACTGTTGCCAACCTTGGAGCTTTTGGCAGTATTGCAAATGGAAATGGTGTCTTCCCGTGTAAAGCCTAACTCGTTGGACTCAACTATCAGTTCTTCGGGCTTGATCCGAAATGTAACAAACGGCTCAACACCCTCTGCGTAACAAGAGTCATCTACATTCTGCAGTAATTCATAAATGAATCTGAACCGCGATGAGTAAAGTTGCTCGGCGACACTGCTGGCATTAGTACATCGATATTCGTGACAAGAGAATAGGACTGACGTCTTCGCAAATGTTCCGGCTTCGGTTCTCCCCTTGACAACAAGATCAGAGAATCTATCTTGCCAGCCTGTACCTTTCAATCTCTTCCGGATATCTGAATGTTCTTCGTCGGTGAAAATGACTTGCTCCTTAAAGATCCTTTCGATCTCGAGTCTTGCAGCATCGTCGGTGAGAGGGCGCCCGTCCTCGTCAAAACCAGGTTCCGACATTTTCTGTGGCAGATTAGTGGACACACAGTTTCTCACAGGGCAAAAACATCTGAAAAAAGTAGTCGATGCCAAAAGGGGCCCCTGCCATGACATGACTATGTACACAGCGTACCAATTTCATGCTCTGCAGGAGTCCCCTGTTTGTTCTCGCGACGGTACACTACAAGCGTGATGCTCGGATCTATGGGGCGTAGCCCATAACACCAACATCAAGCAATGTGTGGTCCAAACTAGCCTGACCAAGCAAGTATTGGGTTGCATTGAATTCGACGCTGAGATTAGCACTGGTGGGCGTCGAAACGCCCCGGCTTTAGATAGTACAATAAAGAGTACATGTTCTTTTGAAACTAGCAGAACGCCACAAACGAGCTCCTCGTGAGGTGCAGGAGGCTGAGACGCTGGTCGCTGTAAAGATGACCCACAAATATTATTGACAGCAATCGCGGCCATCGCTCCTGGCAGCGCAGGAAGGCACATGAGTATTCTGAGAACGAAGGCTTTCATTGAATCCCCTAGTGACTTCTGCGACAATTATTTCGATCGTATCAGCATGTTGGAGACAGTAGGAAGCGACTGAAAGATGGAGAGAATCGGCTGGAGTCCTCGAGGTCTGGGGTAAAAATTTCGGCTTTGGGCGGAAGCACGAGGAACCGCCGGGAGGAGCGGCAAGACAGAACTAAACATGCTCCATAGATTGAGTATCCGTTCTAAAAGTACCCTGTGCAGCGAGTAGTTGTACACCGTACTGGAAGCATTAAATGAGCAGCACATCGCATCTGTAGGAGGACCATTCCGCCCCTGAGTAGTACATATAGCTCGGTTACCATGACCCAAACGTACTCGCTGGAGATAGGGTGATCTCGCCTAAAGTCCCCAAAGATAGCCCTAGCGTATCTCTAACATTCACCACGTGTCACCATCCTCTTTATCAGAAGCAAGTACAAAGACATCCCAAGTCATGCTTTGAATGAAGAAGGTCAATTGATCTTCCATGCGGGGATCTTCGTCCAAAAGGAGCTCCATCAGCGTTGAGCACCTGTTCTTTTTCCCTTGGGTAGCCGTGCCCGGGGTTGGAGTACTCGGACGGGGTTCATCTTCCTCGGGTCACCGTCTCTAGTCTCCAGCCTGCGGAGAAGGTGTAGCAAGACAACTTCAGCCAACTGCTGAATGAGTGAGAAGGATTCTCGCTTCTGATCAATGCAGAAACCTTTCATCTAGTGATTTTTTCCAAATCCATTGTCCGAAATGTCGTATGAAGGCCAGACGGCTTATGTAACGGGTATATAAATACGTCTTGTTGCTCTACGACTTTGGTCTTGCTAACTGCTTCGTTAGGTGGTGCGAGTGGCATCGCCCGTGCGCTGACCACCATGCTGGTCGAGAAAGGGTATCAAAGACGTCGCCGAATCCATATGGAGCTAAAGGATGAATAGTATCAAAGTATACATTGCCGACATCAATAAGCAAGGTGCCGAATCCGTTGCTCAAGAACTCAACAACAAAGCCGGATCACGCATGGTCTCCGCTGTCGGCGTGGATGTGACAGACTGGGACTCGCAAGTTGCAGGATTCGAAGAGGCCATCAAAGCTCTTGGAGGACGCATCGACTACGTGTATCCCATCGCCGGTATCGCCGAGGTTTCATGGCTTCCCAACCGTCCCAAGCAAGAAGGCTTTGTCAAGCCGAATCTTAGTGTATGGGACATTGATGGCACGGGTGTGATGTACACCTGCGCTCTTGCAGTCCAGCAATTTCGACGACAAGAACCCAACAAGTTTGGTTTCCGTGGCAAGATCGCGGCTGTCTCTTCGGTTAGAGGTCTGTATTCGGTTCCTAGTATGCCGATATACTGTGCTGCGAAATTCGGAGTGGTTGGCTTCGTCCGGTCTTTCGGTAAACACCTACCGAAGGAGCAAATTACCCTCAACGCAATGTGTCCGGCTATTGTTAAGACAGGGATCAACATCGGGAGAAGCGATTGGTATGACAAGGCTGAAAGCTTGAATCTCATTGTGAAGATGGAGTCGCTCTTGAATGCATTTGGATCCTTGCTAGGCAGTTCTGGTGTATCCGGGGAATGCTTCGAGTTTCCTCCGGGCAAGATTGACAATCCACAAGGTTGGATCCTCAAGCCACAAAATGAGTATACGACGCCAGAGAGCGAAGTACATGTGCGCTACTCAGACAGTCAATTTGCTCATCAACATGATCCAGTTGATTGAAACAGTAGCTGTGAAGAACGGGAGAGCTTCGTAACTTGAAGGATATCTTAGATTCCGATATACAAATGATCGAAGATTCAACTATATTTGATTGGCATTGTCTGGGTCTAAGTGGCGTAATGGCTGACAGTAGGAAAGTACGGTCATGCAAACCCGCCAATACTGCAAGTGATGAGCCCCGCGATATGTCCGGCCGCTCCACCATTTTTACGGAGAAGTAGACAAGGTGAACGCCAGAATCGCCGTTCCTCCACCTCCAGTTCATCGTCAGTTCTCACAGAATGGTCTAAGAGGACTCCATTCTGGAGTAATTTGTTCTTCTGACCCAACAGAGACTTTTACGTCTTCTCTCAATCGAACTGATTGAAAGAAATTTGAATCACACTTCCTCTTCCCGACGGCACCATTTCGCCTGGTGTGGTCGCTCATGGCAAATCGTCCTGGACAAACACAACCTCAGCAGACCAAGCGCACCGGGAAAAGCTTCGGTGGATGTCTCACCTGTCGCGAGCGCCGCTTGAAATGCGATGAATCGCGGCCCAGCTGCACAAGATGCTCGAGGGCGAACTTGCGATGTAAAGGCTACGGCGTGAGATTAAAATGGACCAATAATGAGGGAAACGTTGGCGCAGAGTCACCGTTGAGCGGACCAAATGGCAGATACTTCCAACGGTCGAAGATGGTATCGAAGCGCATTCTCGAGCCATCTGCTATCTCGCGTGCCGAAGTCCTGGGTATTCAGAGCAGTCTGTCCCACGCTGATCAAAATAAACAGCCAGCTTCTTCGTCCAACGCCCTCTTCTCAGTCTTTACAACACAGCCCCATGAGGCAACTACACCCAAAGATCATCATGCATCACCTTTGGCTGAACCAGTGGTACGAGAAAAGGTCGATATCAATATTGCCAGCGGGTCGCCAGAAGTGACTTCCGAACCAGTACACAATCAGCAAGCAGCGCCACCACTGGATGGTGATCTTGACTCTGGAATGTCAACTTACCTCGAAGGCTCCGAGATATACCATAATATTGGTGATGACCTGAGCGGCTCGACCTACAATGACATTCGGACGGCATGTCTTGCTCCAGAGAGGCTCCAAACTCGCCAGCACCGGCAAAGCACTTCATCATGGCAAGCTACTCACAATCTCTCCGATGGAGAATCCATCTGCTCCCCCTATGGGCCGATGTTCACAGAGGCTGTTTCGTACGGAGAACTATCTCTCGACGATGCACTCCTTTCGCCGGCATCTATCAACGACCACGAACTTCCCCGCCTAACGGAGTCGGGATTCGGTGCAGCACACCTACACCTCGACCTTTTACCCGCACCTTCTGATCAGTGCGAACTTATTCATCATTGGATCAACTTCCTTTCGATGTCAATGTCACCAGTTGTCAAGGAGGACAGCTCATATCATACGAGACTCACACCTATGGCTCTGGCGGGCCTGAACTCTGATTCCGGGAAATCCAGCGGAGGCATTGCTGTCTTTCATGGGATATGTGCAGCATCAGCATTTAATCTTTCCAACATTAAAGCCAACGATGATCGATTTTGGCGGCTGGGTATCCGGCATCGTCGGTTGGCGCTCTACCACTTGCGTCATTCCATGCAGGACAGTGCTTCCACCAAAGACGACTCTGTGTGGGCTGCAATCTGGACATTCTTGTACCAAGAAGGTGTTCGTGGTCAGGCATACGAATGGAGGACGCACGTGGAGGGTTTGCGTAGTCTCATTCTAGCAGATCCGGAAGCCATACGGCAAAGTGATCTAGCTCGACCTGTCTACGAATCGTTTCTTTGCCTCACGATCATGGGCAACGTCCAACTAGATGCCGAACTCACCGCTCTAATGAGAAAGCTGCCACCAGATTTGGACTACCTACAGCCAGTCCACGGCATCACTCGTGTTCTGCTGGAAATTATCTTGAAGATTTCCTGTCACATAGCGTCCCCATCTCCTGAGGTCGACATCATAGCCGACAGAATCGAGCTACAGTTATTACTCTACTGTCCAGCGAATATCACAACAGCAGGCCTAGACAAGGGTGCCGCCCGGACTCTTGTCCGTTACTCTCACGTATACTATGACGCCACCCGCATTCACTTCCAAAGACTGCTTCGAAAAAAAGATCCAACGCTTCTCCAAGACCTGGTTGCAAGCGCGATTGGGCACCTGGAAGCGATTGAAGCCGACCAAACCAACCCCCACGGGTGTATATGGGTATGGCCGGCCTTGGTGATAGCTGCTGAGTGCACAGACCTGCATTTACAGCAGCGTATGCTGGCCTGGTTCAAAAGCAAGAGGAGGCACGGCTTCAGAAACCTCGAGGTCGCTTGTGATCTCGCGAGGAAGGTTTGGACCACGAGGGTGGAATCCACCCCGGGGAGTAACATCCACTGGCACGACTTCATTAATGGCACCAAATACGATGCTCTGCCTCTTTGATTATCTCGATGGTATTATGATTAGCTTATAGAATCGGGACGTTCTTGGCTACGTTTCATAGTGTAGCTCCAAGCTTTCGATTTCTCACTTGGGATGTGGCGAGGACGGGACCTGATGGTTCACGTCCTTGATATTTGCGTATGAGCCTGGACTCGCAATCTCCCAGTAAAGCCGGATCGATAGTGCGGGGACTCCGATAAGTGTATGGAGCCAGTTCCGGGCGGAGATGGTCGCACGGACTGGTTATCGCCCAGAGGTGTACTGTATGTATGTGATGGACGAGACCCAAGCCCCCGGGAACCTGTTGGTTTGTATAGTACATAGGATATAACCAGCGATATGAGGTAGCCGTGCATCAGAGGGTCGCCAAATGGTCGCGTGTTGCCTTAGCTCCGGGTAAAAAGGTCCGTCCGATTGCCTACTCTGTACAATGGTATGTACAGAGAACCTTGGCTAAACGAGGCTCCAGCTTCTGCCCCCGCGATCGCTGTGGCATTCCTAATCGGGCAGGGTCCTTTCGCGCTCAAATCGTAGTCCACGACAAGCCCTTTTGCGAGGATCCCAAGACCCAATTTACACTATCAACGATTGTCGAATCCCCATCATCCCTCTGTGTCTCCGTTGCGAAGCAGGCAACGCTGCTATCAGACCTCTGCTAGCCTGATAACGCATTAGATAGCCCATGGCACATCGGCTCCGCGCTTATCATTGCACAACAAGTTGGGCGAGACGGCGCGGGAACAGCTGTCTGCAAGAGCCACGAGGACCATTTCCTCCAATTGGCCACCCCTCGTACCCCCTTTCCCCAGCGGGATGAGGAGAGATAGAGCTTTCGTCCGCATCATCGCTGTATAAAAGAGGCTTTCGTAGGGATTGGTTCGCTTCATTCACAATCCCTCACTGTCATCTTCCCTTCAAAGAAGTCGTTACTCGCCTTCTGATCGCAAACCTTGCCCTGCAGACGATACTCGATCACCCTTCTCCTCCCAGCAGCGACAATGGCCGTCACTGACCAAGGACCTTACAAGGTCAATTCGGCGGAGGTCGTCAACGCCGAGTCCATCCACGGAGCTGACACAGTCACTCAGTTGGAAGCCAGAGAGTTGAAATCGCGCTTCAACATCTGGGCAGCTATCGGTATTCAGTTCAGTATTTCTGCAACCCCCTTGGCCGTAGGCGTCTACATCACCTTGGTCCTTGGTGCCGGTGGCTCCCCGTACTTCTTCTATGCCTTCTTGGTGGCTGTCCTCGGCCAGATGCTTGTATGCACATGCATGGCTGAGATTGCTTCTGTTTTCCCTCACGCTTCGGGTATGTTTTGAACCATTTCAGCTGCGCTGAATTGTAGAGGTCAGTGTGCTGACATGCTCAATAGGCCAGGTCTTCTGGACTGCGGCAATGGCGCCCGCCAAATGGTCCAAGTTTCTCAGCTACTGGAATGGATCATGCACGACACTCGCGTGGATCTTTGCAAACGCAGGAACGTTCGTCTTCACGGCTGAAATTTGGGCCGCTGTGATGGCAATCCGCAACCCCGGTTACGAACCACAGACCTACCAGATCTTTCTCTTGAGTGCCGGATGTGCATCGGTCGGTGTCATCCTCAACATCTGGCTGTTCAACTGGTACCCGTACGTCACCAGGTTCATGGTCGTCTTCATCAACCTGGCCACCGTCTACGTCCTGGTCGCTCTGCTGGTCCGCACCCACCCAAAAGCTTCGGCACATACCGTCTTTGTCGACGTCCTCAACGCGACGGGATGGTCATCAAAAGGCTTGGTGTTTCTCCTGTGTTTCTTACCAGGATGTATATCCGTGGCGTGCTTTGATACTGCGGCACACATGGCAGAAGAGATGGACAACCCGGCTCGACAGGTTCCGCTCGTCATGGTCGGAGGCTCCCTGCTCTGTGCCTGCACGGCCATTCCGATGATCTTGGTCTACACCTTTTGCACCTTCAACCCGGAGGCGCTTTTGACGCCAATCGGAGGGCAGCCCATTTTCCAGGTCTTCCACGACGGCTTCCGGTCGGAAGCGCTCCTGACCATCGCTCTGGTGATTTACTGTATCGTTTATCTGGGTTCGTGCCCGGCGACCATCACCACGGGCAGTCGACTTGTCTGGTCCTTTGCCAAACACGGTGGCTTGCCTTTCCCAAAGTGGTTCGGCTATGTCGAACCCGTCAACCAAATCCCCACGAACGCAGTCTACTTCACTGCTGTCGTCTCTGTCCTGGTTTCCCTGTTGTTGTTCGGACCATCGACCATCTTGAACGGTGTGTTTGGCGCGGGAGCTGTTTGTTTCTTCTTCTCCTACGGCTTACCCATCTGGTTGAACGTGGCCACCTGGGGTCGACAGATGCCCAAGGATCGCGCATTCAACCTGGGCAGATTTTCGATGCCGATCAACATCATGGCTATCTGCTGGCAACTCCTGTCGACCGTGTTCCTATGTTTCCCCACCTACCGACCTGTCACGCCCACCAATATGAATTGGGCGTCTGCCGCTGCCGTCGTTGGGATGATCCTGTTCCTCGGAAACTGGTTCCTTTATGCGAAGCACCACTATCACGCTCCAAAACCTCTTTACGTCGAAGCTATTCATGGCCGTCGAACCGAAGTCTAGTTCTTGGAGACAAAATGAAGGTTCTGGTCCGGATGAAGGGTGCGAGGGCGTGTTTTGGAAAGTTTTATCGAAGCTCTCCTGAGAGGACATGCTGTGCTATGAGAACGGCGAGCGCGTCGATGAAAGTCTGGCGGGAAGCAAGCAATGGCTCCGAGTTTTCTCTACAGTTCTGTAGTTTATTTTAGATTACCTTGACTTACTGTCTGCTTGCAACCTGCCCAGTATATTTGTTCGTCACTTCCCTGAAATCCTGGTCCACTATCAATTGAAGTCGTGAAATTTCATTCAACAAATCACACCAAGATCCCTCAGTGATGGCTCAGGTTAAAACCACATGGCTTATGTGGTGGACGGCCATTCACTGAGGCGAGCAGGAATTATGGCCTCGGGTTCGAATCCCACTGTGAACAACAATTCCTCCTCCTTTATCTCTCGGTTCGATTCCTCCTCCTCCTTCTCCTTCGATCGATAATGGCTCAAGATAAAATCACATGGCTATGTGATGGACGGCCAACAAAACAAAAAGAGATGGAACATAACGAGTATAACCTCCTCCCTTCTTCAGCCCCCCTTAGCCCAGGAAAGACATAACATGTCACCTCATTTTCTCTCCTTAAAAAAACCAAAGCAATTCCTTCTAAAGTGAGGTCTTGTAACGAATTTCCTCTAAAGTGGGATTTATATATCTATTTTTTTGTTTTGTAAAGAAGTTTTTTTCAAAATCATGGTCTGATATCGAACATGTTTACAAAAGTGAGAAGACAAAGTATGAATGTATGTCGACTGATTCTCCTTTCTATACTGGGGTGTCTATCTTTGTCTTCTTTTTCTTTTTCTGGTTAGCATCCAAAAGCCACAATCACAATCACAGCGCGGCCTTCCCCTTGCTCAGTGCCAATGTCACTTCTGCGACACCTCTTTCGGCCGTGCGCAGGGCGCCATCCAGGTAGCCTCTCCAGCGAGTGGCGGTCTCGTTGCCGATGAAGTGCAGATTGCCTTCCGGTGCGGCAAAGGCGTCGAAACACTCGTTGAAGACTCCCGGGCCGAGGGTCGGGATCGGACACCCCCATCCGTTGTACTGCTCGTCGCCCCACGTGGACTGCAGGGCGGTGACGAACAGCGGCGTCACGTCCCGGCCGTGGTTGAACAGCAGACTGATCTGTTCCAGGATCTTCTTGTGTTGCTGTTCGGTCGACATCGCCGACCAGGACCGCGCGTAGTTGCCGCAGATGAAGCAGGTGAGCGCGTAGTCCTTTTTGTTGTCGCCTCGCTCGACGGCCGTGTCTCTAAACACCGACGCGGGACCTGTGAAGGACTGCGCCAGGCCACAGTACCCGTTGGCCTCCCAGAAGGGTTCCTTGAAGACGGCCAGGCACTTGACGTAGCCAGAGTACCTCGTCGAATTCACGTAGGTTTTCTTGGCCGGCGAGAGGCGCGGTGAGAAATCGATGGTACGGTAAACGGGACTGGCGACGGAGACGATGACTCTCTTCGCAAGGCACGAGACTCCTCTACTTCCCTTGATCGTCACGCACGTCAGGCCAGATCCCGGAATCTCCCTGATGGATTCCACGGGACTTTCGAGCCTCAGAGAGCCTGGCTTGAGCTGTTGCGCCAAACGCTCTGGGAAAGCTGATATGCCTTCTGCGATCCGCATGTACTGTCCACCGTCCTTTTTATCGCTTCGTATCGACATCATCCCCAAGCCTGCGTGCAGGTAGTCCAAAAAGAACAAGGCAGAGACCTCGCCCGGGTCGCAGCCGATGATGGCGTGCGTCCAGACCTTGCCCGTGGCGCAGGCTCTGTCGTTGTGGTTCGTGGCCTTTGCCAGCCAGGCCTCGAAGCTGATCCCGTCCAGTTCCTTACGGGACGCTGCGGACTGAAGTGGCCCATCATTTTGGGTCGTGATCTTTTCCACTAAATCTCTCAACGCCACACATGCTTCCGAATCGACACTCGAGGAGTACTGTCGTGATCAAGACGACTGTAAGATTTTGGCAGTTCAACGTTCGGGGGGATGGGAAGAAGTCAAGTGTTATTTGTTGAAAAGGAAAAAGTTGACACTCACCTCCGGGGTATTGCCATACATAAACTCGACACAATTACCACCAAAGTCTTGTGCCACGACTTTTCCCTCCGAGTTGGCAATCACTGGCGTCAAACCAAACTCCTTCGCCAGGGCCCAGATGCGGTCCTGTGTGGTGTCGTTGATCCAAGCGGCGCCGTACTCTTGTCGGATTGTCATGCCCGGTTCTCGATCGCTCGTCAAGATCTTTCCTCCCACCCTGGAGCGCGCCTCGAGGACGACGGTCGAGAAGCCAGCTCGTTGCAAAAGACCTGCAGCCCGGAGGCCACTGATCCCAGCCCCGACCACGACCACGTCCACAACTTCGGGCGCCATTGGTACGTCCTGGAATCTTCTTCTTGTTGTGAAATACAGGGTTCAAAAGTAAGAGGGTCTCTTTCAAGGTATCAATCAACTTGGACAGGTCCCGTCTTTCTGTGTTGAATGGCAAGGGTTCAATCTACCTGCGCATAAAGGACTTCAGAAGACGTTGGGCCAAGAATTCAATTCGACTGTAAACCACTCCTTTCCGGAGAAAAGCAAAACAAAATCCCTTTGGGCCCTCGGAGAAAGACACGACACATGATCCCCAAGGACACAAGTACTCCAGTACTGTATGTGTCTGTAGTATCCGTATTACCTTGCCCGGCCCCATGGGAAATGGACCCGCCACCCATTCGAGATACTAACTAGTAAGTCTTACTTACCGTAAAGACTTCCTGGTGGGCTATGGATTTAATCAGCAAGGAACAAAAGAAGATGGTGTCTCGCAGAAACCGGGGAAATTATCGAGGACAAAGCAGGATGTTGTGGCAAGAAGCCATTTTAGGAAACCCGCGACGAGACCAACATTATTCTCCAGCGGGTCTTGACTGTAAATAAGCTTTCTCTGCCCCTTCTCCGCAGGTTTACGGGAAATTCGGATACTGGGAACTAGTGGAGTAGTAGTGAGCGACACGCCGTTGGCACGGGGGAGATGATTGCCCACTGTACAGTGAATTGCGCCGGAATGACACATAGTCGCCTTGCAATAGGAAACGACGTGATCATTGAACGGTCCATGAGTTTTGGACGTAGGCTAGGCTGAGTCAAAGGGGGAGAGAGAGAGAGAGAGAGTAGAACCCCGACTTTCAGCTCTGCTACGTGTCCTGCCTGTTCATAGTTTTGAACACCGTGGAAACAGTATTGTAACACCTTGTGAGGGATATTATATGAAACCTTGCTTAATTCATGTGCCATTCAGAAATCTGTACGTAGATTTGATCTCAACAGAACATTTGCTTCGAATCTTCATGGTCTGGTCCTGCTTCACAATGATGATGATGAACCTCCTCCTCCTGCTGCTGCTGCTGCTCGTTCTTTCTGTTCTTGTTGTTGTCCTTGGATGTACCAACCCAGAGCGTTTGCAGCAGAACAAACTCTCTCGATACTCAAAGACATGCACTCGATGACGTTTCCCCAGGGGTCCTGCATGTAGACGCCCCTGTGTCCTATGTGGCCGTACCTCGCGTAGTTCATCCATTCTCCTATTTGTTTGCCTCCACGAGAGATGGCCTTTTGTAGGAGCTTCTCCGGTTCAGGGTCGGTGACGCAGATGTGAAAGAATCCCACACGGGAGTACTCGAAGCTCTCGTCTCTCGGTCTGGGTGCCGGGTCGACGAACTGGAACAGCTCGATCCCGACACCGTTGCCGGTGGTCAGGATGCAGAATTTGACCTCTCTCATCTCTTGAGGGTACGAACAAAAGGTGAACTTGAACTGGTCGGGGTGAGACTCTCGAGTGAAGTGTCGAATCGGACTGATGATTTCGAACCCCAAAACTTGAGTCCACCATTCCACCAACCCATCGATGTCGACGCACGACAGGGCGACGTGGTTGAACGTCCGGGCGGGGGAATCCTGGCGAGACAAAAAAGGAGTCAACAGGGAATTCTATTTTCGGCAATCTAGATCATAGACGAAACTTACCGCCAGTGATTTGCTGGACATTTTTTCTTTTCGCTCTGCTGTGTAGTATATCTTGAACTGGGTGTGAGTTTGGTATACAAGTTTGGATCTTCTCGGGACGGGATTCGAAGGACTAGTTTGAATTCCCAGTAGTCAAAATAGTCGAAATGGTTGGAGAATTGCATCCGGACTGTTTTTCTAGTTATTGTCCCGAAGATCGCCAGGGTCTTGAATGCGAAAGAGTAGGGTCCACCATCCTCGTGATGGTCGAGTTTGGGGTTAATCTCGTAATGCTTAGAACCATAATTACTCCTGACTCGACAAGTTCATATGTCCAGTAGTGCATCGACATGTGTCACTTGTGCGTTGTGCCTCTTGCTTTTGCCGCAAGAGGCAGGCGTTCCCGATCTTTCTTCCATGAGTGGAGCTCAAACCCGTTGGGAATGGTTCTTAACAAGTACCCTATGTATTCTACCTCGCCCTACCGTACGCTCTGCGAAACGACCGAGGCAGAACAATGCCGGCCTAGTAATATTATGACCCTCTAGAAACCACAATCGCCGCGACAATTCAGCACGACGGAAGACACGTGTTCTTCTCGTATCGAGGACTATTCGCAACCCAACCTCAGTAGGGCATACCCGGGTATCGCAAACGATTTAGAGAGCCGCTTGTTGTGTAGCCGATTCGATAAGTGCTTTACTCTCCATCTCGGCCTTTGCAAACATGGCAATCGCATCTTCGAGACGGTGCTTACCCGCAGGATCGTTGTCGAGAGCCTTGATCAATTCACTGGCTTGGTTTGCGAGGTAGTCGACGTCAAGAGAGGCAGGTTTCCAAGAATCCTTGGATCGTGCCAGTGGATCGCTCGTCAACAGCGGTTGAAGTCGTGGAGATGGATCTTGTAGTTGCCCGTAGAAACCTTTCTCTGTTGGCTTGGGTTGGTTCTTCCCCGGGTCAATCTCTGCCTCGTAAGGAGTATCCGCCAGTTCCTTGAGCATTGCTGCCGACACCGTCAAAGAGTGACAACCCAACTCGGCTCCTGCAACGACTTCCTTGCGGCTTCGAAAGCTGTTCGGGATGACATAAATTTTAGTCAGATCAGGGGGCCTCAGAGAGAGAGAGTTTCACATTCGTGATGAGAAAAAGAGCTTACGCGGCTAGTTTTATAAGAGGTTGATCCTGGCCAGTTCGACGATACAGTTGTCTGTATGAATCGATGATCTGATAGATGCGGTGAGAGAATGGATGTTGAGTGGCAGGATCTTTGACGTTTGGCCACAACGATGGGTCTTGGTGCGACCTGACTTCTATATTACTCAGTCAGCTCTGTGCATCATATACGTGCACGGCCAGCTTTGGACGAGTTTACTTGCCGTTGTAGTAAGGGCTGATATAGATGCAACCGGCTTGACTGCAGGCTATGGCTTGTTCCACGCTAAAAACCGCCGTCCCTAGAACGGGGACACCTTCTCGCGAAAGGTGTCGCATGGCGAGAACTCCTGGCCCTGTGGCAGGGATCTTGATGCAGAAACGCTCGCGACTGATGCCTCGCTGCTGAAACTCTCGATCATAGAGCTTTGCATGTTCGATGGTTGCTGCCGTATCATACGCTTGAGAAGGAGAAGTCTGGACCAGAACTCGACCCAAGATCGAGTCTATGTTTTCTTTGCACATGAGCGTTCCCTGTGAAAAACAAAAAGATTTGTCTGTATCAGTGAAAAAGCCCAACGTCCTGAGTGTTTGGTCAGACTCACCATTTTAGAATAGGTTGCAAGCCATCCTTCTGCTTTCAATTCCTTCGCTGTAGTCTTCAACAACTCAGTGTTGGAAGTCTGAGCGAGTTGAATCCCCATCCATAACTGGTTGCTGGTCTGATCATGGGGTTTGCGTGGGAGTGACTTGATGAAGGCAGGATCCATCCAGTCAATGTCCATGTTCACTTTTCAAACCTCAGTTCCAATGAATACAAGGTGTAATGCCTGCTTGCTGTACATACCACGTTCCTCTAGCACATCAAGCCAGCATTTGGCTTGTTGATTAGCCATGGCTTCGAACAGCTATAAAACTGGAGTCAGAAGATTGTCGCAAGAGATGTTCGTAGATGGTAAATGAAGAAACCTTAAGACATGGGTCAAAGGGAGGAACAAAATACAAAAAATAATTTATATACTGGGGAAAAGCGGGCATAATCCTCGGCACGCAGTGTAGACCAGTGGCAGTGGACGGAGTACAAACCGAGAAGTGGGATCTGGCACACCTTCTAGCCTTCCATTAACGCTGAGATACGATATACGCATTGTGACGGTAGTAACTAACTTAGTACTCGCGGGCAAGATCTCTCACGATTGTAACAGACAAAATGTTCTACTCCCTAAGAGGATTCATATTCAATACAAGGGATCTATTTGTTTGTCTGTAGTCACTTGGGTTGGTAAACCGAGACACTCCTACAGATGTGTCTTTTCAGGAGCAATGTGAGCCTCGACTTGAATCTCAATTATCATTCCCTTTCCACACAGAGCGTTTGTCCCCAAACACATCCACGTAGGTCTGTGATCGGGCCATCTTCTTCGCCAAATCTCCATCATCAGCGGCTCGTGGGAGACGTCCGTCAACCAAGTGTGAACTTTGTGCGCCTTGAAAAGTCCCTCCTTGACGCCCGCGGCCTTTAGTGCGTTGTCGCAGTTTTCAAAGCACGACTCGATCTGTTCGGCGGGGGAAGAAGACATGCGCGCCGAAGCATTGAGACCCGGTTGCCCCGCGGCGATGACCAGCTGGCAGTTGGCTGGTAGGACGACGGCGTGAGAAAAGCCGGTGGCTTGGTAGTAATCACCCAGAGGACCAGGGACCTGGTAGTACTTTGCACTCATGGTTATGTTCGTTGTGAGTGGACCAGAGAGCTGTCGGATCAGGGTCGGTGGTTTCGCTGGACTTTGTCTTCAGAAGACTGAATGAGTCGAACAAAAGTGATCTGGCTGATGATTGTCGCGTCACCAGTGTGTTGGACGAAGACGGTTGTATGCTGGTGGCCGTGGACGGTTTGTTGATTTTTCTCAATATATCAGATCGAAACGGGACTTGGACATGTGCGACCTGGCAACTCATCTTCACATTGTTAGGAACAACGTCGATCCTTCGACCACCTTGAGTTCCCCTCCCTACACGTTACGTTTGCCCTGCATGGAGTGGGTTGTTGTGGGTCCCAAGCCATCCGATTTGTCCGTCTTGTCTTTCCTATTTCGGCCACCTTATCAGCTGCTCCCACAACCGTCGAGTCCAGGCTTGCCACTTTCTCAAAGCAGTTGACCCCGACGCAACAGACGAATCTCCCACCATCCCACCATCCGGATAACAAGCAGAAGCAGGAGTGAAAGTCTAGAACAAGAAACGACACCTGAAATTCGGCAAATGTAAAAAAACCTCTGCTTTACGAATACTATACGAAATACGGGGTACGGGAATTGAAGGTTCACGGGGAAAAAACCCCAACCAATAGTTGGCTTTACAGCTCCCATTCAAACAACCATCCTCGAGTCCACTATCACGACACCCTGTCCGAGATGACTGATCCTCAGGTACGGTATTGAACATATTGAACACGTGTTGAGCAGTTCTTGACTTTGGGTCAGCACATGCTCAGAAGTTGTATTTATAAGGTATAATTGAGGACCAAAGTGAGCGACCACTACCTCGAATCTTTTTTCTCTTATCTTCTCCATAGCCATAAAAGTCCCCGAGATGGCGCCTCCTCAACATCAGAACTACGGAAAGGCAGACGTTATCGTCGTTGGAGCCGGCTTCTCGGGTCTAGCAGCTGCGACGAGGCTGGTTTCTGCAGGAAAGTCGGTCATCGTCCTCGAGGCTCGCGATCGTGTCGGCGGCAAGGTCTATGACAAAAAGGCCGCCAACGGAGCTCTGTTCGAGCTCGGGGCCGCCTACATTGGTCCTTGTCAAGACCGAATTCTGGCACTTGCAGCAGAACTTGGTATCGGCACACATCTAAACTACAGCGTCGGCCAGAGTGTCTATTACAATGCGGGATCACGGGTGACCTACGACGCAGGTAACCTGCCCATCGGCGCCGACGGTCTACAACAGCTGGGTGAGGCGGTTCAGGCCATAGATTCCATGGCACTAAAGGTCGACGCGCGTGAACCCTGGAGTCACCACGAAGCTCGGTCCTGGGACTCGGTGACGCTGGCCTCGTGGATCCAATCCCGCATCACGGACGCCAATGCGTACAAGGTGTTCCAGGCGTCGATCAGAGCCTTGATGTCCGCAGAGCCCGAAGATCTTTCCCTGTTACAATTCGTCACGTATGTCGGCCGGGCGGGCAACGAAAGGAACCCAGGAAACCTGGCCAGGTTGATGGGAACCACGGACGGTGCACAAGAGCGTCGCCTGGTCGGCGGAACTCAGTTGATCGCCCTTCGCCTGGCCGAGAAGTTGGGCAACCAAGTCATCAAGCTGCGTTCCCCCGTCACCCGAATCGACCTGCAAGACGGTGTTTACGATGTCAGTGGTGCCAATTTCCATGCGCGGTCAACCAGCGTCGTCATGGCCCTCGCTCCTCCCCTGGCGACGCGAATCACCTACAGCCCTCCTCTACCCGCAGGTCGGGACCAGATGAGTCAGCGTATGCCCATGGGGTCCCTGGGCAAGGCGATCGCCACCTACGACCGACCCTTTTGGCGGGACGAAGGTCTCAATGGCCACGCGGTGGGCATCAACGGGTGTACGGTCCAGACGACCTTTGACGCCTCTCCCAACGACGGAACTTCCGGAGCGATCATTGGCTTTTTGGAGGCGAACGTGATGCGGCGGCTCGACTCTGCCAGCGAAGAGGATATTCAAAAACTCGTCGTCGAGGACTTTGTCAACTTTTTCGGCCCCAAGGCGAGAAACGTCAAGGAATGGATCATTTTCAGATGGGACCTCGAGGAGTATTCCAGGGGAGGTCACTTCGCCATATGCCCTCCGAATGTCATGACTCAGTTCGGCAAGACTATTCGAGAGCGGGTGGGCAACTTGTATTTCGCTGGAACCGAAGCGTCCCCTTACTGGGCTGGTTTCATGGAGGGTGCTATCCGAGCTGGAGAGAGTGCTGCTGACCAGATTTGCCAAGCGGACCCAGAGACGACGACCACCTCGTCGAAGCTGTAGAGAATAATCAGAACATAAAATGGAGTGCATTGTGCCAACAGGTACTTTTGATTTGTTTTGTTATGATATTCAGATTGTATATAGTCAAATTTGGTTTATTCAAAAACCCAGTCCTACGACAAGATAAAGCATATAACCTGTGTCCCCCGTTTCATCATGTACGGATGACGGTTAAGCCAGAGTCTTGTCTTCTAGATCACCACCGCTTTCCAGAATTGAGTTCCCCTTGTTTGGTACTATTGGTCTTTGACCCTCTACAAAGTCGAATGAACCACGTATTTGAGTCAACGAAATATCCTCCGGTCCCTTGGGAAGCCTGTTTCCCGAAATCACATTATGTGGGAATCCTGGTTGGAAATTGTATGCCGCGTCGATCTTGTGTATTTCGACATCCGTCAATGTGATTTTCATGGCCTCGACGTTGGACCTAAGGTGACTGACTTTACGTCCACCCACAATCGGAAAGACGTATGGCGTTTTCTGCATGATATATGCAAGTGCTATAGAAGTCATAGGTTGACTTCTGTCCTGGGCAATCTTTTCCAGAACCACAGAGACTTGAGCTTCGGTCCCGACCGTCAGCGAAGTAAGAGTTCGTCCACCATCTTCTTCTCCTTCCGAAGGATTCGTAATTTTCTGACTTCTATAGCAGAGACAACAATTCAGTAGCCCGCACCGCGAGGACGGTGAAGATAATCACGAAGTCTCTGCACTTACGGTTTGAAGTAGCCACCACCAAGTGCTCCCCACGGTGCTATAGCCATGCCCTCGGCATTGCACATTGGTATGACATCTCGTTCGAGATCCCTTTCCGCGGCACTCCACCTTCCCTGATAGACGCTGAACGGTCGCAATCCGTGTCGTCTCGCAAACTCGTTACATTTCACGACGACCCACGCGGGGGTGTTGCAGATTCCCAGATAGAGAACTTTTCCCTGGTTGACGAGTACGTTGAGACTGGTCATGACTTCCTCCACCGTGGCGGTATAATCCCAAAAGTGGACGTACAGCAAATCAATGTAGGTCGTTTGAAGTTTTTTGAGGGAAGCCGCCACAGAAACATGTAGGGATTTGGCAGAGTTGCCTCCATAGTTGGATTGAACGAGGTGAGGTCCGGAGTAGGTTTTCCAGTCCTCCGCGTACTTGGTGGCGATCACCATTTCATCACGACGGTTTGGATGCCGCGAGAGCCACTCGCCGATCCAAGTCTCACTTTCCTCGGCCTGGTAGTTATTTGACCTGGAAGGAATGGTCTTGTCAGAACGAAAGCTGGCCGATGACAGGATTGCTAAACAACTGACGTGTCGACAAAATTACCACCCAACTCGTAAAATGTATCGAGAATCTCAAAAGTAGTCCCCTTGTCACATTCACCCAGTTTCGACTTCCATGCATCTCCAAAATTCATGCTACCGAGGCAGAGTGGACTCACGAGGACGGCCGCCGAGGGGGCCAGCAATCGATGCCTTTTCAAAGGCGATGAGGAATCAGTGTGGTCTGCCATTGAACGGGCTTTCAGATCAGAACGTATCGGAAGTGGCTGATAACTAGGGATGGTATGTGTACTTGAAAGTATCAAGGTGAAGTCTCACCAAGTATACAGAAGCCAAGACTGGGTTGTCCACGGTTCTCTGCTTTTGGAATACACAATCCTAGCGTACTATTTAGCTGCCGAACCCGGTCGAGGCCCATTAAGGCACTTGGCAACGACAAGATTCGAAAATTGCCAAGTACCAAGTAAGGTTATTGGCTTAAACACAGATTATGATCAGGGACCAAAAGACGACTCCTACGTCTTGAAGCCTAGATGGCTTTTGCTGGCTGGCATCATATAGTTGTTCCGCATACTTTACCATGTGTTTGGCGGTGCGTAATCTTCTAGGTAATAGGATGGCTAGGGGTCTGATATGATGTATTGTCGAGTCTGACCTCTATGACTATGAGGCGGTTTTCTATCTGTTATATAGCAAAAAAGGAGCGTAATTCTTCCTCCGGTTGAGGCCGTCCTCGTTGCAGCATCAGCTCCCGGACGGTAACATGGATAGGCCTAGAGAATGAGCCATGGAGGTTGCCTCAACAACGAGCGCCTCATCGGATAGATTAGGAAGAGGAATGAGTGCTAAACTGAGGTAGTAAAGGAGCGTCTTGACGCCTACAAGTAAGAATAGGCCTCCACTTGTAAGACCGTTCTGGCGGAGTACTCCGCATAGGAGGCCCTTGGCCGACTAACACCATGCCTTTGTGCTCGTCTGGGCCTTCTCGGTTTTTCCCGGCACCTAATCGACGTGGCATTTCTCTCCTTTTCTATACGAAAATGGTGAGGAAATAGAATAGTATTGAGATTATATCCATGGGTAAGTGCCTTGGAAGACCTGGTAGATATCTCAGAGAGCGCTTGAGTTGCCTTGCATTGTATTATCACTAGTTGGACTATCGATCATAGATTTTAAGATTTCCACTGTTGATCAGATTGATTCCCTCCTGTCGGAAAGTGTCGTTTTCGGCAGCTGAAGAGTAATTCGCATTGTAGACGAAAATTTCAGGTATCACGGTCATCTGGTCAGATTTCCCTCTTCCCACCTGATACCGTGGCCATTCGGGAACGGCCATTCCCAACGTTTGGGCGGCGGAGCTTCGTTGTGCGTGCCAGGTATTGGGATTTTGCGTTGCGACGAAGGAGATCCAGTCGCCATTCATGAGTCGTGCCAGATCTTTGTATTCGTCGCCGAGCCCTTGGAAAGGCGACGGCTGAATGGGAGGGTACCCGTAGCCACCGAGATCCAACATCATGAAAGCCACCTCGGTGAAGTGTGTCACACCATTCAAAGCATCTGTGAGGGCAGAAACGGCGTTGAATCGATAACAGTACGCGTCGACGCCGGCCTTTGCCCACGTCTCACAGCAGAGACGACGGTTGGCAATGAAGACTTGGTCACCCCAGTACGTCGCTGCCCGTTGCCACTCTTTGCCGAAAGGGTACGGGGGAGCGACAAAATCCGGTCCCAGAAAAGCCAACACATTCTGACTCGAGTTCACTGGGTACGAGGACAAGACCTTCTCGGCGAATGCCTCCGGCATTCCGGTCGGCCCTTTGGGTCCTTTGGTGAGAACGTCGAGAAAGTCTTGCGTGGTGTTGATGCCCTTGATGGCGAAGGCTGTTCCTTCATCAGAGTTCGCACCGAGGATGATGGGAACATGGACAAAGGCTCCGTCGGCGATTTGCTCGGACGAGTGACGATGGATGATATCACCGTCAATCTGCGGGTACCAAGCGGTCGCCATGGCACTCGTGTTGAGGGCATTGTTCAATTCTCCCAGGGGTAGAGACCGGAGGCATTCGAGTGAATCAGCTGTCGTGTTACATTTTGTAATCGCCGAAAGTGCGTCGTAGGAGTTTTGGAATACTTTGGACCGATTCTGTTTACCGTAAAAGATGGGATTACCACTCTCCATGATGGCACCGCGAAACAGGCCGTCGTCTCTGCCATTGTAAGCGGTAAGGTGAAGCCCGACCGACGCAGCGCCGGCACTTTCTCCCCAGATTGTCACTTTGGAGGGGTCACCGCCGAAACCTGCAATATTCTCCTGGATCCATTGAAGTCCTAGTCGCTGGTCTCGCAGACCCATGTTGCTACTCCCGCTTTCCGAGACCTCCCTCGAAGAGAGGAAACCTAGGCCGCCTAGCCGATAGTTGACACTGACAGCGATAATAGGGAGGCCAATCTCGACCGAATGTTGTACGATGAAGGATAGATTGAACCTTTGATCCCCAGACGAGCCACCCATGTAAAACCCTCCTCCGTGGATCCAGACGGCCACCGGAAGAGTGGTATTTCCATAGTCGATGTTAGAGGGGCGAACAACGTTGAGGTATAAGCAGTCTTCGCTTATGTTATAGGGTCGATTCGACTGTATTCGAAATGTAAGTATAAACCTGAACTCCTTGGTAAAACAAGTACATACCACGTAAGCGACACATTCTGGTGCATATTCTTGCGCGGAGCGAGTTCCTGACCATTTCCCCGTCGTCGATTGAGGGTTTCGAAATCGAAGATTTCCAACTGGCGGTTTGGCAAAGGGAACCCCTAAGAAGAAGTCTTGATCGTAAGGCTGAGACACTATTCCCTTGTAGGTGCCGTTTTTAGTATGGGCAAGGGGGCCATCGGTGGTTCCTGGCTTGATGGCCACCGAGGTCACCGTCGTCACTACGAGCGTGAGGATATACGTGATAATGTGCTTCATCTCGGCCGAAATTGGACCAGTTTCATTGAATTACAGTAAAACCTCGGAGGTAGGATCAGATTGGAAAAGAGGGACAAACGTGAAGACTTATCTACGCTTCTCCCCACACTGCAAGTATTTTGATACTCGGACAACATCATCACCATCCCAACTATATCTAGCGAGCGAACTCTGGGGGTGGAGGTGGACCATTTGCCTGAAGTTACCTAGGTAGTTGGTCGACAAGCCGCAGATGGATTTGATTTTTGCTGCTTCAAAAACAGGGTTGGGAGGGGGTGACCGATACCCGGTCTTTTTCATCCGTTACTGAACGGTTATCGGAGGGTCTGGATCATTCCATTGGTTCTGACTAGTTATCTTACGAGACTGTGTCAGGCTATTACTCTAAGAGGGCCACTCTGATAGCCCGTCCGATAGCCGTCGAGGCAGCCGGGGGGAAGAATCTCTTCAAGAAATCCAATGGCTTTTTGAACCGTGAATAAATGTTTTCGACTTTTGAAGTTTGACTACCATTTTCGCACGTAAAAAGTTTCCTCCTTTCAGGGACAAAAGAAGAAGCACACGGAAGCCTGCCCCCTTCTCATCGGGAAGAAGAAAGAATTCATTCTCAGCCTGGCAACGACGTCAACGAGGTATTTTATCACTCTTTCAAACACATTGGCGGCGACCATGTCGTCTCACTCCTTACCATCCAAACAACCACCAGTCAAGATTGACAGCAAGAATGGAAAACATCAGCCCAACCTGATCATCTTCATGCCCGATCAGCTCCGGTATGATGCTCTGGGTTGTACTACCGGAAGTGGTCTGATCAAGACTCCGAACATTGACGCGTTCGCCCGACGTGGGACGCTGTTCACCAATTGTTTCGTCCAGGCGTCGGTGTGCTCACAGTCTCGGTGCAGCATGTTCACCGGCACGTACCCTCACGTCAGTGGGCACCGTAGTCTCGAGAACCTGATCAAGCCGTGGGAACCCAACATGTTTCGTAGCCTCAAGGAACGGGGCTATCATGTGGCTTGTTTGGCACCCCGGGGGGACACTTTCGCTCCGACCGTCACAGAACTCAGCGTCAGCGAGTATGGGTTCCTCGAAACTCCAGAGTTCGTGCCCAAATTTGCAGGCGCTAAAAATGTCGCGGAGAAGGACGAGAGTATCTGGGGAAGGCTGTTCTATAAAGGCCGCAGAGACGATCAGCAAGCCCTCGACTATGACGACGCTGTGGTCAAATCTGCTTTGAGATGGCTCGAGTGTCTGCCCGACGACAAACCGTGGGTGCTTTTCATGCCACTACTGTTTCCACATTGCCCATTCCAGGTCGAGGAACCTTATTTCTCAATGTACGATCGCAATGAGATGCCTCGAACCGTGTCTTTCCCGAGCCAAAAGACTGGCTATGAGCCTCGCTATATGAAGACCATCCGAGAGCAGTACGGCACTAGTCGAGCCACGCCCGAGATCTGGGCTGAGATCAAAGCCACGTACTACGGCATGATCAAGCGATTGGACGACCAATTCGGCCGAATCGTGAAGAAAGTGGACGAATTGAGTCTCTGGAAGGATACGGTGACGTTGTTTTTCACCGATCACGGCGAGTATCTCGGGGATCATGGCTTGATTGAGAAGTGGCCTTCGGGTCTCTCCGACTCATTGACACATGAACCCTTGATCATCGCAGGAGGCGGTTTGCCAGAGGGTCAAACATGTGAAGCGATGACCGAGATGGTCGATCTGATTCCTACTGTTTTTGAGCTCTGTAGCATTGGCGAACACTTCCCCCATAACGGGAAATCACTGATCCCGTGCTTGGTGAACGGCCAGAAAACCCACAAGAAATTCGCCTTCTCTGAAGGCGGCTTCCTAGAAAGCGAGGAACCTCTCTTGGAGCAGGCGCCGTACCCGTATGATATCAAAGCCGGGCTGCAACACGAGGATACCACATTGGTCGGCAAGGCGGTCAGTGTTCGCACTCCGGAGTGGACGTACGTGTACCGTCTCTACGAGCCTGCGGAGCTCTACCACCGCCAGAAAGATCCGGAAGAAATGCACAATCTGGCGGCGGACCCCGAGTACACGCCGGTCTCGAAAATGCTGGAGGGCGAAGTCTTTCGGTGGCTCATGGAGAGCACAGATGTTCTGCCGTGGACCAAAGATGTTCGTTTCCCAGAGGTGCACCTGAAATCCCCAAGAGAGCAGATTGAAGAGAGGTTGAAAAAGGTTGGTAAGTGTGACACGAATGGGCGAGAATCTGTAGCGCCGGGGACGACGAACGCTACCGCATGAATGTATCATTGTCTTGAAGCCGCCGAACGAGCTGGAATCTCTAGAGCATCTCCTCCACCTAGAGGTTGTCATGTTGTGTTAAATTGATACCTCCTGTGAACTGTCCCAGGGGCTCCAATTCCAAGTAAAAGGATCAAGAGTATGGGGATCCAAATCCAGATCCAGTCCGTCAAAGGCACCCTGAAAAGCGTTGCTCGTCGCCAAGCTTGTAAGATCGTTGGATGTCCCTTCTGTCAAAGAAAATGTGACTCCGGAAGAGGCAGAAGCTGGCTCAGGTCTACTCGCTGTGTCTTCATAGCCCTTGGCGTATTGGGACGATGTTTCGTCGCCGTCAGAAAACCTCGGCATCCCCAGGGCTGCGCTATCATCAATAATGTCCAGCTGTCGAACAATACTATGTCGAGAGAGGATATGAGCCGCTGTAGGGACAGGTTTTCCCAGGCTCGAGTTCGGATAACCACGAGTACGTTCAGGGGTGCTGGGCCGGCTTGGAGATGAACCTGTCGAGGCCCCTCGACTGATGAGCTTTTGGACGTCTTCTTGCTGTAGAATCTAGGTTAGCTGGTTCAAAAAACCATCCAATGGTAGGCTCACTATTTGTACAGCTGCTGGTGAAATCGCTGGCAGTCTCCTCAATAACAGTAGGCATTGCATCGCGTGGTCTGTCACAGACTCCACCGACAGAGACAGTGAAGCCCCATAGTGACGGTAGGCATAAAAGAGCAACCTTACACACTGATACGCACAAGCATAGATCTCGGAACCCATCACGGGCAACGTCACTTTCAAGGCCAACGAGCTTCGAAACACAGCGGACAGGGCCTTTGCAGCTTCGAAGCACTGAAACTGGCAATATATCACGAACTCGGGACCCAGTTGATCCAGGGCGGCACAAGGAAGCGCTTCTCGAAGGCCCCTCAGTGTCACTCTGTACAGATCACAGTAACACTGACGCCACCATAGATGAACCAGCAGGAAAGGGCATAGGTCGCTGGAGTGCGCGTGCAGATGAAGACTCTTGCTGGAAAAGTGAAGTGAAGCTGGCACTCGCGCCATGAAAGTGTCAAGCTCGGATTTCAGACCTTCCACCAATGCTGGGACTTGCTCGTGATTCTGCGAGACCACAGCATTCTTGGTGGCACGGAGTATTTTGCTGCGAAGATTCATGATTCGCACATAGAGACCCACGAATCCAACATTATCCGATAATGGCTGATGGGACATTAGTTTGAGAGGCTCTGTCACCTGGGGCAGGTCAAAGTCAAAATTCCGCTCGTGACATGGCAGCTGTATTAGGAGTGTCTCGTCGGGGCATAACGTGAGCTCGCGAACGCCGGACCCGAAGATGGTGTCTAGGACGTAGATTGACCACATGAGTCTTCTTCTTGACTCTTGGGCGACGAAACTGAGATCTGGAGCTTCGTAATTGAGCTTCATCGCATATGCGAATCGAGATGCCGTGGCGAGAAGCATGAATGATTTGGAATGCTCTCGTTGCCAGGCATAGTATTTGATGATCAATACCAAAACTTGGGTTTTGAGGACGGAAGGGCTGCCAAAGTCGCTGATTACCAGCCTTTCGGCTTCCTGGATACATCGGGCGCCACATTCTTTAGAAACCGCAGGAAAGTCGGTCATGGCAGTAACAATGCCAATGACAGCGAGTATCATGCTGCGGTCGACCAAGCCAGCCTGGTACCGTTGAAGCAGAGACGCTTTATGCAAGAATGAGAATGCTGGTATTGGTCGGAGATGGCGGAAGAAGTTGTCGAACGCTTGCATTACAATTTCTTCATTCATCACGGCCGAGCCATGAAGATCACAATCTGACACGGGGACATGTAAGCGAGTGCTTGCAGTGTCGCTGGCCCCGGATGGATGATGAATCTCCACTTCAGGAGACAGAGTGTGAGAACGTGGTGCGTCGGCCACAGGTGAAGTGTGGCCGCCGAGAGCAGAGACTGTGCCCTCTGGCAATGCTGTCATCGTCGCTGGCAACTCATGAATCGATGTGGTAGACTTGCTGGCATTCGTCGACGCCCGCTTCGAGGGCTTGTAAACGCACTCGATCCCCTTCAAGTGGCACCTGCGACACCCTGGCAGCTGGCCACCACATCGAGCTTTGAGAGAACGGCAAGCCACGCACGCCAACCGCACCCGTTGTCGTTGCAGGAGGGGCTGCACGTCCACATCTTCATTGCGTTGGAACGAGCAGGAGCTCTCCAGACGTGCACAGTTGCCACATCCATCTTGCTGGCCGTCACAGCGTATTTTTCTTGCTCGGCATTCAGCACAAATATCGGTTGAGCGTCTCGTGAACTGGGAAGCAGTCATGGCGGGCTTAGAAATGTCGAGATATGAAGCGCTCCAAATAGGTCCAGCCAGCACTTTCAATCAGAAATCCACCTAGACAGATGTTCGGGTAGTCTGAAACGAAAGGAATTGAATGGTGTACTGTAGCCGATTCTTCCCCCAGTGTGGACGGGATTGAACCTAGTGGTCAGCTGACTAACAGTGTCGTCGTGCGGTAGGAGGAATACATCCTCGGTTTGACCTCTAAAGATAGAAGACAACAGATCCGTCACATTTTCCACCATTCCTCCACACGAAGGCGTGACAGACTGGGACAGGGACGCCAGCTAGCGATTTGCTTCCCAACCCGATACCCGGTGTCTTGGAGCCACCGAGATCCGACGCCCCGCAAAGGTCAATATTGGCCAAACCGATGGACAGCCAATTGTCCTTTCTAGTCGCATGGCCTGCCGCTTTGCGGACAGGGATAGACAGAGTACCTAACGGTTACGGAGCTGTTTAAGAGCGGTCTGAGTCGACATCTAATCGAAGCGCATGGAAAAGATTTCTTGCCGAATTTCGTTCTACATAGCTTGTCTTCCAGACATCGTCTCTTACGCGGAATTAGCCCCGCATGCTACCTACGCGCACAGCTTGATAATCATGCCGCCGTGGTCTGCCCCTTGTCGTGTTCAACGTGAACCGCAACGCCACTTTTGTTCTGGTCAAGCTTCCCGAGTGCCACGCTGGTTTCCAAGTCCACGTGGGCTGTGCCAAACTGGCGCAACGGAATGCCCAACTCGAAAAGGCGATCCACCTCTTCCAAGCTGCGACCCTTGACCTCGGGCACGCACCAGTATGCAAACACCAGAGACAAGAAGGCCATGGAGCCAAAGATGAAGCCGACTTTGGAGCCCAGATTGGCATAGGGCGCGTTGAGAAGGTATGGAAGAGAGAACGAGACGGCGAATCTGAATGAATGTATTGTCAGCATCTTTTCTGATGTTTGGTATTCAAACCAAGCTTCAGAACTTACTGTGTCGCGACGTTCACGGTGGAAGCCGTCCGGTAGGTCATGTCTCGCAGTTTGACACTGGGAAGCTCTGCGCTGAGAGTGTGCACGATTGATGCCCAGCCGACAAAATATCCGGTGATGTAAACCACTTGCATGGCAATTATGCCCGATTTGATACCTCTGCTTGGATCTTTCACCGTGCCCAGTCCACCCATCGTCAACAGGGCGGCGCACTGCACCGTGCCTCCGACCAGGAGAAGCACGCGCCGACCGACCTTGTCCACGAGAGCCATCGAGATCAGGCAGACGACCGTGTTGATGCATGCTGTAATGACCGTGATGGTAAATTGGTTGACGGTGCCGAGGGATTTGACGAATAATGCACCGTAGATCGAGGCAAAAATCTGACCGGTCGATTGTAGGAAGAAATTCGCTGTAATGACAACCAGGGAGCGCTTGAGGTTCACCCCTTTCCACATGTCGAAAAAAGTTCCCTTTTCATGTTGGAGCTGAAGTCCTGCAATGATGACTTGAAACTCGGCTTTGATTTCATCCTCGGTGAATTTGCCCTCTCGCAGCTTGCGGAGGGATTCCAACGCAGCTTCGGGACGGTCTTTCATGGCCAACCAGCGAGGAGACTGGAGTTGAAATCAGTATCTTTTGATCAGCGTGACTTGTTAGGATTGATGAAAATTTCTCACCTCTGGCACGAACCAGATCAGGGAGGCGACAATTGCGGGAATAATGTAGAACAAGCCGAATGGAATTCTCCATGCAGAATTACTCTTCATGCTTCCTGTCCCTCGTGCGACGGAGTTGACGACGAGACCTCCAATCTGTACAGAGAACGACAAGTCAAAATACGGAACACGCAGTAACGACGCGTTGAATTTTTGAACTTACGGTCAAACTCAACTGGTATGTTCCAACGAGAAACCCGCGTGCTCGCGCTAGAAAACAATGTCAGAGTTATTGATCAAGATGGAGAACAATAATACCTACCCGGGGCAATCTCTGATTGATAGACAGGAACGACTGCGAGTTCCATACCAATGTAGACATCTGGAACGAAGTCCATGTTAACCGATTTCCAGTATGCACCAGTGGGGAGAGGAAATCTACTTACAGTTAAGAATTCTCCCAGCCAGCATCTGGTCTGGTGTGGTAGATGTGATGACGACCGTGGCAGATACGAGTGCCCAAAGGCTCATGGTGAACATGCACATTCTTCTACCAAAATGCTTGCTGACCCAGCTGCCCAAGATGATGCCTGTTCTCCCCCTCGGAGAATTAGTTATGGTGATAGATTGTAATGCAAGGAGGGTTGTCTGGAAGCCGAGGGAGGGGTAGGGGAGTAGTAGTAGTACGTACCGAAACCAAAGGTGATGTAGTTGAAGCCGTTAAAGTATGACAGCCACACCGTAGGTAGTTCGTAGGTGTGCTTCTTTGCGTTGTACCGGCCAAATTGCTTGTCGAACGCATTCATGGATTGGGTCGAGGCGAATCCTTGTTGGTCAAATCCAAAATTGAACTGGGAAACGGCAATGAGGAAGGCCGTCAAGGTGAGCCTCAAGTTGAACGATTCTCGCAAAGCGAGATGTTTGAATCCCAACATTGTGGTGGCGATGGGGCGTGTCTCTCTTTTAACACTTTGGGGAGAGCAAGAAGAGAGAAGCAGCCTGACAAGAAACAAGGGCTCTAGAAGACGTGGGAATCCAAAATCGAACCTTGGAGAGATTTGCTCAGAGGAACGGACGTTATCTAGACCTATTATATATGTGGACAGGAACTGCCGGGCTTTTGTAGGTCATTCAATAGCTGGGTTTAGGGCCATTATTGAGGTGTGAATGGCCGGGATCTGGACAGTTCGTGCCTCCGCTTGCAAATAAGGGGAAGGGGGAGCTTCTCTGCTGGTGTTGTTAGGCGGCGAAAATCCTGAATCGAGATAGATGTGGCCTTGAACGGCTATCGGAGGTACGGGCAGGCTGTCGGAGGCCGGCCAAGTGGGAACCGGCCCTCGGAGCCTCACACGTTTGCTTACCTTCATACGAGGCATTGGTTCGATTTAGACTCTCAACTAAGAAAGAATCCTTGTCAGAAGGGAACCAACGTCGCGGTGTTTTGAAATTCAGGTAAGTATTTCTTCTACAAAAAGTCAGTCGCTTGCATTTTCTAAAAGTCACTCGATAATAACGTCCCCAGTCATGTCAAAACGCCCAAACTTCTTAATCATCGTCGCAGATGATCTCGGCTTCAGCGACATCAGTCCCTATGGAGGCGAAATTTCGACACCGGTGCTCTCCAAGATGGCCGAAGAAGGCATCCGTATGACGAATTTCCATACGGCCTCGGCATGCTCACCCACGAGGTCGATGCTGTTCTCTGGCACCGACAATCACATAGCTGGTCTCGGTCAGATGGCGGAATACATGCGTCCGCACGCGGTTCACTTCAAGGGGATCCCAGGCTACGAGGGATATCTCAACTGGCGCGTTGCCGCACTGTCGGAGATATTGGAGGATGGAGGATACCACACCATCATGTCCGGGAAATGGCATCTAGGACTCACTCAAGAACTGGCCCCCGCCTCGAGAGGGTTTCAAAAGAACTTTACCTTCTTGCCGGGCGCGGGAAACCACTATGCGTACGAGCCCCAACTCGACGACGACGAATTCGTGATTCCTGTTCTCAAGACCGAAGGGCGCTGGATGGAAGGCGAAAAGTTTATCGATATGAAGACAGAATTGCCCAAGGATTTCTATTCGACGACGTCATTCACCGACAAGCTGCTGGAGTACCTGGATGGACGAACACCCAACGAAAGAGACGCTCCCTTCTTCGCGTATCTGCCGTTTACCGCGCCTCATTGGCCGTTACAGGCACCACGAGAAGTGGTCGCCAAATATCACGGGAAATACGACGACGGGCCTGACGCTTTGACGCAAAAGAGACTTCGACGTCTGGTCGAGCTCGGATTGATCGAAGAAGGAACCGGGCATGCACCTCCTCAAGGACACCTCGGTAAGGAATGGAGCGACATGTCGGACGAAGACCGAGCAACATCGGCTCGTAAGATGGAGGTTTTCGCTGCCATGGTCGATTTGATCGATCAGAACATCGGTCGCGTGGTGGAATACTTGACAAAGACAGGTGAGCTGGACAATACATTTATTCTCTTCATGAGCGACAACGGGGCTGAAGGAGCCGCTCTCGAAGCTCTGCCCATGATGGGATCGGCCAAAACGAGGGCCGACATCATCGAGAAGTACTACAACAACAGCCTGGAGAACATCGGTGACCCGACGTCGTTCGCCTGGTACGGGCCCCGCTGGGCGTGTGCGGCGACGGCACCGTCAAGGGCATTCAAATGCTGGATCACGGAAGGTGGCATCAGGTGTCCGTGCTTGATCCGTTACCCGCCGTTCAAGAATAACGCGAGCGCCATCACTCATACGTTCACCACGGTGATGGACATTCTACCCACGATTCTCGATCTTGCGGGATTGTCTCATCCAGGCACGACATTTCGTGGGAGGGATGTCGTCGTCCCTCGTGGCAAGTCCTGGGTCAGTCATCTATCGTCCTCCGACTATCGTGGCTCTTCTGTTCACGGTGAAGACGTCCACGTCCACGGCTGGGAACTCTTTGGACAGCGTGCCATCAGAGAGGGTGAGTGGAAAGCCATCTGGATCGACAAGCCTCGCGGCAAGGGAGACTGGCAGCTTTACAACGTGGTGAAGGATCCAGCCGAAATGCACGATCTGTCCGAGGCGCAAGCAGAGATCATGGATCGTCTGGTGAGGCATTGGGAGATTTATTACGCCGAGACGGGCATGGTACAGACGCCTTTGTTCAATACTGGCTAAGGCTCGAAGCGCATAGACAGATCTGGCGGCTCCGGGGAGCGGGCGGGCAGACATGGTCAAAAACCAGAAGCAGACCACAGTTTGGGGTTTTAATAGTATATATCCTGTTTCTTGTAACAAAACGTTCTGCTCCTGAGGTCTTGTCGGATGCGTGCACAACGTCGATGCTGTCTAAGTCTAGACCATTACCGACACTACGCGGGCCGCTCCATGTTCTTGTTCAGGCTCAATGACAACAACCTGGGTGGCTTGCTGTAATCCCATTGCATCTCGAAGAGAACGGAGCATCGATACTGCAGACCGTCTTTGATCTGTCCTTGGCACCGGCCAGAATGCCAGCAGCCGCAGAGGGTAGAGCAAGCGGATCCCATCCGCCCAGAAGTTCGCAATGTTCGTCATCGTCGGTCCCTCACGACTATCCTTGTCGCGGATAGTGGGCGCAGTCGCGAGGATTTCATCAGCAACAGTCTGTATTTGGGTGACATTCTCCTGGTATTGCAGGTACAGGTTTTCCACTCCGGTCCCCGAGGAAAGAGCTTGGATTTTCGCGAAGAGCTCCCAGACGCAGAGTAGAAACTTCAGCTTGTAGGACGAATAAAGAGTCCGAGCAAAAGTTGTTCGTGGGCCCACTGGGAAAATAGTCGTTGGAATGGTTGCTGGTTGCCCATACATATCTGGGCGCGGGATGTTCAGCTCGTATGACTCCGTCTGAAGACCTTGCATTTCTTCCAAAATCTCAAACGCTGTTGTCAACGAAGTGGAAGTTCTATTGTCAACAAACTTTCGCACTTTCTCGCACAATGCGGCGGCATAGCATCCGTAAAGTGACATTTGAAGTACAGGGATGGCTGCGTCCTCGATATGTTTCTCTATCTCCTGGAGCCAGTTAAATGACTCGGGAGGACATGAACAACCGGCGACAAGGCATCGGATTTGCTTATACGTAATCAGCCAAAGACTCTCGGAGCGCTGATCCTCGACACTTACAACCGAATTAAACAATAACCAAAACAGGTGGCGTGGAATAGTTGAATCGAAACCTGTCGTGCCGCGCAAATGTAGCAACGTCGCCATTCCCTTGGTGTGCACACTCCAAGTTGCTGGGCCGACATTCAATTTTGGTGGAGATGACCCCACAATAAGCTAGAAGAGAAGGTCAGGAACACGACACCAAATAGTCATGGAGAGCTGAGAAACGTGAAGGCACGGGAGAGCTCTTGCTAACCTCGTATAGGCTGAGGAGCCAGACGGCAGTAACCGTCTCGTCCCTGGTTTGCTGAGACAGGTCTCGGAGAGCGGCATTGGTTGAATTCAAAGCACGGCCGTATATCGTTGCTCGTCTTGATAAGGCCTCAGGGTCGTCTGCCCCGGTGCAGCGAAAAGCAAAGGACATGGCTTGAAACACAAGCCCCACGGGGGAATCCGGACCCGATGCGACAACCATGGCTGGCAAGAAGGTCAAAAAGCCGAAATTCGTCGTGCGTTGCATTGCGGGCAGTATAATGTTGGAAAACTGGGAAAACACCTGCTGATTCCATTCTTCGGTTAGAGGCCGAGCAGGTTCATTGAGCATGGGTGCGATCCGGGCATCTGCAGAGATGAGCCTAAGGCGCCGATGGCTCGAGGGGAACGTACCTATCTCGTTAGATGGGAGCACCAATGTCACGTCATGGTGCGTCGAGCCGAGTGTGTGTGACGCAGCACCATGGTCCTCTATAGTTGGCGTCTTTGCACCCCGTCTTCGACGACGATCTCGGCTCGAACTCTCGACGAACGAAGCTTGATCTTCGACATGGAACAGGAGGTCGGATTCGTCGCGATAACCTGGACACTTGCGGCCTATTCTGGTACACCTATCGCATTCTGGCTGTTTCAAGTCACACTAGGCGGGGGTCAATGCAGGTACTATCAGCCACACCTCGAATGGATTACTTACTTTCACACGTCTTTGCCGGCATAGATGGCAATCGCGACTTGGTCTTCCAACGTTGGGCATTGTCGTCGAGATTCAAGTGACCGTGTGTCTCGTCTCGGTTTCAAGAATCTTCTCAGCCCGAACCACGGGAAATGGTCGAGGCTTTTATTGTGTTCTTCATCTTCCTACAGCCTTCTCTCATTCAGAGCTGAGAAGACTCCTTCACCAATCGTCCGTAGTGAGAGAAACAACCTGAAGCTGTGCCTGCTTCACGGAACAGATCTTGCTCGAAACAGGTGCGATTCCCGACATTCAGGCCTCCCATGAACACCCGTCGTACCAAGCTTCATCAAGCCTTTCGCGTAGCTCCGTCGACGTTGGGGGCGTGAAGTTCTTTCCAACGAGTAACGAGTAGTGGACGTTTAAACCGATCGCCTAATGACGTAGCAACCTCGCGAACCTTTCCCTTTTCAGAAGTCCATTCGACGCTAATTCGGGCGGTGCACGTGAGGCTGAGACGCGTGGGTTTCTTATGTAACCGGGATATTTGGTTCTTCTTTCTCATTAGTTCTATCAAAAGGACACCACCACGCGCCTCGACCTTCATCTCGCGCATTTCCGGATCGTCTTGTCGTACCATGTCTGGCGTCTAATAGCACCACAAGGCCTCTCCATGTGGGTTCTTGGGGCTTTTCCTGCCCTGGTATGATTGCTGGGTGATCCCGGTCAGCACGCCATTTCCACAGTCATTGGAGTTCAAGGGGTTTAGATGCTCCGTACAATATAGATCTCAGCCCTGCCCCTCGCGCACTTCACCTATTTCGGTGGAAGGCCTGATCAACATCGTCTCCAAACCCGAAAATGCTTGAAGCATGGAATGACGAGTAGGTGGATGTCTAGGTAGGTCAAGTGTTGATATATAGCTCCTTGTCTTCTCCCTTGAGCCCCTCACAATATCTTTGGCATTTTTCAAACCAACTTTCCTTTGCACTTCAACAATATTGCTAAACACCAACTAAACACTCATCCTTTTTCAAAATGGGTCTCTTCGGCGACGACAACAAGAACCATACATGTAGTACGCCAAAGTCATTCGTTGCAGGTATGCTTACACGATCTCGATTTGGAAAAACGTGCATTGACAATGTCCAGATGCACCCGAACCGATAGTAGGGAGCCTGTCGTTCCATCAGCTCAACATGGCTATTTCCGGCGGATGCGCAGCCTTCTCAACCCTCACCATCTTGATCCTCATGATCAGACATGCCACGCACTTTAGCAGACCGAACGAACAGACCAAGTAAGCAATCTATTGCCTGCCACCTCTTTCATCTCGACTGTCTTCAAAAAGCTGACCATGGCACACCGAAAAAAAGAATTCTCAAGATCTGCACCCTCATCCCAGTATACTCCCTCGGCTCGTGGATATCGATCGCCGCACCGAGTAGCTACATATACCTCGACCCCTGGCTCGAATTCTACCAGGGTATCGCGCTGGGCAGTTTCTTTTTGTTGCTTTGCGAGTACGTGTCGCCCAGTGCGGCATCTCGAGACGTGTTCTTTGCCGCGCTTAAGGTGCCTGAGAAGCGCCTTGGACGCGGCAGCGGCAAAGAAATCGACGGTCTAGAGTGGTATAGGAAGAAGTGGTTCGCGGTCTTCCAGTACCCGATCATCGCCTTGCTCGTCTCCATCGTCACGGACATCACACAGGGTGCAAACGTCTACTGTCTCACCAGCAGCAGTATACACTTTGCTCATCTTTGGGTACGTTTTTCAATCCTGCTTGGGGATTGATCTTGGTACCGAACTAACGCTCATTGCGCAGCTGGAAATTGTTGGCAACATCTCAATCGCAATGGCCGTCACCGCCGTCGTGACCTTTTATGTCCCCCTGAAAAAAGACCTGAAACACCACAAGCCACTTGCTAAATTTCTCGCGTTCAAACTCATCATCGGTCTCACTTTTCTTCAGAGCGTAAGTCTTTTTGTCACCATTCCCAATGATCAAAACTGCCACCGTCACTACCCTGCATATGATCCCGTAACTGACAGATCTTTTGGGATTGGCTTTAGATTCTTTTCTCAATTCTCCGCTCCACGAACGCCCTCAAAGAAACCTCCAAGCTCACGTGGGCCGACGTCAACTTTGGCATCCAGACGATGATCATTTGCATCGAGATGGTCCCCTTTAGCATCTTCTTCCACTGGGCCTACGATGTTGGAGCTTACGACCTGTCGAAACCCAGACCGCTTCCCCTGGCATACATGGGTGCTCGGGACGCGTCTCCTCCTGACTCGGACAACGAGACGGGCTACAGACCACATCAACAAACCCAACCCCAAACGACAAACCAACACGATGAAGGGTACTACGGCGGTCCCTTGGGTGTGGTTGCGTTGATCACCGTCTTGAACCCCATGGAGATTGTGAGGGCCATCGTCTTTGGCTTCTCCATGAGGAGCGAGTCGAGAAGGATGAATAATGTGAGCAAGACCGGTGGGGGAGATGCCGGCTGGCCTGCCTACGATAATTATTCTTGAACAAGCCCCCAAGAGAGTGGAAATGTGTGAGAATCTGAAGGGATGTCGAGGCACGTGGTATGTATGTCATATCACGTACTACCTCCCAACTCAGGTACCTTGGTATTTGATCATCATCGGGTACCACTGATACTACTTGATACTCGTCACAGTATGAAGGGATATTGATTGTCCAGCGGTCTCGAGATGAAAATCTAGCACGGAGTTTTATGGCGTGTTTCGTTGTATGAGCACGATTGTTTGCAACTAGAAAACTAATGTGGCCAGCGGTCCGGACACGTCACCATCGAGATTAGAATGTAATTGAAATGATCAGAATTACGATAACCGAGAATGTGCTATAAGCTATAATTGCCTTCTACTCCTGTCATAATACCTCTTCTCGGAGAGAAAACATGTCGTAAAAGCATGCCGCGCACCGCCTCAAACTCCTAGCGCTGATGTTCAAGGCAAAGGCATTCCCCTCTCCTCTTCTTCTTGGACAGCAGACAGATCTCTTCTACCTCCTCCTCCTCCTCCTCCTGCTGATGCTGCTGCTGGCACTCTGTCGTCATGATCATTATTCATCATCGCGGCACCGGCGCTCGCCGCGCTCATCTGTCCATGCTGCGAATGGTACAACGTTCCTCGGGGGTCCTGAGGAAGACCCATTTCCGGGTCGATCCTCTTCTCGACGCCCGTGGTAGGGTCGAACGCCCTCGACGGCTGCCCTGTCGCGTCTTGCTCCGGGTTGACGGTCTCGTACTCCAACGCCTTGATGAACATGTAGAACCCGCTCGCGAGCAGGGACCCCAGGGTGGGCCCGACCCAGTAGATCCAGTGGTACGAGTAGAACGAGTGCAGGACGACGCAGGGGCCGAAGGACCGCGCCGGGTTCAGACTGCCGCCCGTGTAGTAGACGCCCATCAGCTCGGCGATGAAGAGAGATAGACCGATCCCGACGGGGGCGACGAACGTGGCGCGGTGTTTCTCAGCTGCCAGCATAAAGATCTGTGGGTGGGGCTCAGTCCCATGACAATGGCCAACGAAGGAACGGGTTTGCGTATGATCGAATCAAGGAAAAACTTACGGTGAATACGAGTTGAGCTGTAAGAAACATCTGTTTTTGAGTTAATATTGACTTATATCATTCCAGAGGGAGAAGACGAGAGCTGAGCTCTGGGTGTGAAGGCGGAGTTTATATACCTCGATGAATAGTCCTTGTACCACAGACGTACCGCCGCCCAAAGATGTACGCACGTTGAGAGGTCCTGGTAAAAGACACGAAACTACCGCTGCCGAAGCGATACCCCCGAGGATTTGTGCTACGATAATAAGACAACCTCTCACATAAGGAACTGCACCGACAATCATCATTCCCAACGTGACCTGGTTCAGTATCAGCTTGACTTTGATGTTGAATGTCTGCGACGGTCGGTCGCCCGAAACTTACAGCTGGATTGAATAGACCGCCACTGATTCTGAAAAACACCCAGGCATTGACTGCGAGCGACATACCAAAGCATAGCGATATGAAAAGTAACTTGGCCGGGTTCGCTGCAAGATCGACTGGTTGTCCTTGCTCAGGCGCTGCATTGACGACGTTCGTGCCACCCAGAGCAAATAGTAAGAACAGAAACGTCCCTGCAAATTCTCCCATCATGGCCACGAAATGGTTTTTGAGGCTCAACGGTAGATGACCGATCAACGGGACTCGGCGAGAGACCATGGTCTCGTCGTCGGCGGGAAGGATAGCCTCGCGATTCTTCCATGGTAGGCGAACTTTACGAGCAGGTCGGTCGACATTCATGGTGGCAGGTGGAATGCCTCCAACAAATTGCTACGACGTGGACGAGGTCAAAGTCAAGCTGGCACAACGTGCCTTATATCTCAAGATTGAGTAACATTTCTTGTGACGGCATGATGCTCGCCATGTACGCTAGGTACGGTGCTCGTAATGTGCGACGATCGACGGATCCTGGGCTAGCTCTAGTGATCGTTGTGCAAGGGGCCCGAATGCAGAAGTTTTGTCCTCGTGTTCTTGCGGGAGGGCGGTTTCTGGTTCCCAGTCCAAACCCATCTATCGCCACCAGGGACTGTTAGTTGACCAATGACAATACTTCTGAGGAAAGCAAGGTAGATGGAACCGGAATAGACAAGATCTTGAACACTTAAATTGGTAGTGAAGCGATGACCTCACCATGTGTTCTGGAGTCATGGACTGGGTCATCCCTGCTTGTCAACCGCTGTCTCCCACAAAAGCAAACACGACAAAATTGTGGTATCTGAGTTCACACCGTAGAGCTACCTCACTACATTCTCTGTCTCTGACCCGGAAGGCTGATGTGGGCGAACTCGGGCATATCTAGATTCTCTTGTGACGTTGAACATGTGGCTGTCCAGGAATTGACGACTCATTGGGAACTAAACGGGCACCCGCCCCGTCCAGTCACTCACATTCTTGCAAGGCTGTCAGTCTGCTGGCCAAGCTAGAGAACGGGTGTTTGCAGGAGATTGTGTAGCAGAGAACTGGAGAAGACGGAATGATGAAAAGTGGTGACGTTGATCGCATTGGATTGAGTTTCAAGAGCGGCAAAAAATTCACAGATGTCAAAGATATATGTGGCTCTTATAGGTATGAACCAGATGTTGGTTCCTGAACACGACCGCTGATCAACGTGATATTTTGTGGTGGTGCTGAAATCGAGACGACTACGAGTACGTGAATGGATGAGTGCGAAGTTCTGATTCTGAGGGTGTCGAGTCAGGCTGACATAACCAAGTCACGTGCTCACCTCGGAGATGCTCAAAACCTGGGGACCGAGGCATCTGTCGGCAACCAAGACATCTCAACCTCGCAGTTCGGACATTCCAATGATCTCGAAGCTGACCGGAAACTGAACAATGACTTCTAAGTATATATACTAGATCGGTGGCCAATGTGAAACTATTGACATTTCTATTTTGCTGTTTGTGTGATCTCTCCCGCACTCACAATGTCGTCGACGGACAACCAGGTTCCCTTCTCTGAGCCTCCCTGGCTCGCAGGCTTCCCATCCCCATACTACAAAGAGACGCACAGGAGATGGCAGAAAGCATGTCGCGCGTTCGTAGAAGAGCACCTACTCCCACATGCCATGGACTGGGAGCGGGAGGAGACCGTGCCAGATCACTTGTTCCAGACATTTGCCAAACATAACATGCTGATACCCAACATGTCGTCACCCTTACCGATCGACTGGCTGAAGAGATTGGGGATTAATGATATCCTGGGAACACCCATTGAAGAGTGGGATTATATACACACTGGGATATACTGGGATGAGATGTCAAGGACAGGGCTCGCTGGCCCTGGCGGTTCGATGACTGCAGGACATACCTTTGGTAAGCCCTCCTCAAGAGTCGAGGCTGTCCCTGTGCTAACGTACAGTCAGGCATTCCTCCTTTGATCAAATTTGGCAGCAAGGCTCTGCACGAGAAATTCCTCCCTGAATTGCTTCCTGGCAAAAAGCGAACCTGCATCGCGATTACAGAACCCGGGGCCGGTTCCGACGTTGCCAACATCGCAACCACGGCCGTGAAGTCGCCTGACGGCAAGCACTACATCATCAACGGGGAAAAGAAGTGGATCACAAACGGGTTTTGGTCTGACTATGCCACGATGGCTGTCCGAACCGGTGGACCTGGCGCCGGGGGTCTCAGCGTGATTGTGTGTCCGTTGAAAGGGTACCCTGGCGTGACCATGCGACGGCTCAAGGTTGCGGGCCAAATCAGCGCCGGAACGACGTATATCGAGCTCGACGACGTCAAGGTCCCGGTTGAAAACCTCGTGGGTGAGGAAGGCATGGGTATGCGGTACATCATGACCAATTTCAACCACGAACGCCTGAGTATCGCGGTGGGAGTGACCAGAACCGCCCGCGTCGCGCTCTCTGCGGCCTTCGCGTACGTGATGAAGCGCGAGGCTTTCGGCAAGACACTCATCGAGCAACCGGTCGTCCGACATCGACTGGCCAAAGCCGGCGCCGAACTCGAAACCCTCCAGGCGTGGGTAGAACAGTTCGTGTATCAGATGACCCAGCTATCCAAGGAGGAGGCCGATGCCAAGCTAGGGGGTTTGACTGCGCTGGCCAAGGCCAAGGCTGGTATGGTGCTCAACGAGTGCGCTCAGACTGCGGTACTCCTGTTTGGTGGGAATGGGTACACGCGGACGGGACAAGGTGAGATCGCAGAGCGAATCTACCGAGAAGTCCCGGGTGCTCGTATTCCAGGTGGCAGTGAGGACGTCATGCTTGATCTGGCAGTCAGACAACTGGTTAAGAATTACAAAAATGCCACCAAGGCTATGGAGCGACCAAGGGGAAGTAGTAAGCTGTAAATATTGGGCATTTAGGATGGAATACCTGTTGAATTCTGCGTTGTACCGAGTATTCTAAGAACAACTAGGCATATCTTTTCCTCCCTTGACTATAAGCCTGCACTGTACTCGTACCCTCCTTTGCCTCCATCCAGACATTCACAAAGGTCGATACTGTATACAATTCCGGCCATACATTTTCCTCTCGGGGGAACATGCACCGAGCGAACAGCCCTCCAACAACGTGTTCGGCCTGAGATGCCTGTCGAAATACGGAGTAGCAGCCACCGGCAAAATACCCCGCGAACTGCGCTCCTTACAACTCCGAACTCGGCAATCGTCGGCGACAAACAATGAAACTTGGTGATGGTTGATGAATCTTCCTGCGCCTTTGGGTGCTTGGCCTTGTGGTCCCGGATATTGTGGTTCAGAGTCTGTTTCTATTCCTCTTGTACCTTTTGGTTCTCTTTCCAGCCTGCGAAAGCGTTCGACCGCTCAGAGAACAACGGAGCAACCACTGGTATTCAGACCTTCCACCTTCCTTGAAAAGACACCCGAGATGGCGAAGATAATGAACAACGCCAACACCCTGCGCAAAGCGCTCAATACGGGGTCTGGCCTATCTTTTGGTGCCTGGCAAATGCTGCCCGGGTCATACCTCTCCAGGACCATTGCCAGAGCGGGCTTCGACTGGGTCTGCATTGACTGCGAGCATGGAAACATTGCAGGTAAAACTTCTACTCTTCCTTTCCAGTTCCACGCCATGCCTGTAGCTACAGTCACTAAAGATGAAACTTTGAACGTTGTAGACAACGAGATGCACGAGTCTGTCCACGCCCTCGCCTCAGTAAACGTCAGCCCCATCGTCCGTATACCAGCGAACGAAGGTTGGATGGTCAAGCGTGCTCTGGATGCCGGCGCACACGGAATTATCGTCCCCCTCTTGACCAGTGTCGACGACGCGAAGAAGTTGGTTCAGACTGCCAAATTCCCACCGTATGGAAAGAGAGGGTTCGGTAGCCCATTCTCCATGGGCTCTTTTGAGGTCCAAGGAAACTTGTCCGGCTTTGACTATATGACGAATGCCAACGACAACCTCCTGACAATCGTACAAATTGAGACCAAGGAGGCGTTGGACAGCGTGCGTATAAGACCTGCTAAGGTCTGTCGTAAGAGCAGGAATTTTGACTGACGTGGCTCCAGGTCGAGGAGATTGCCAGGGTAGACGGAATCGACGTTCTTTTCATCGGTCCTTGGGATCTGGGAAACAACATCGGCCATCCGGTCACAGGAGACTTCAGCCCAGAATTGCAAAAGGCCATTGCCAGGATTCTGAAGGCGGCTCAAGATGCAGGCAAGAAGTCGGGTATTTACTGTCCGTCAGGCGAATTTGCCAGAAGATATGCGGACATGGGTTTCCAGATGGTCTGACACTTCGTCCTCCGAGCCGAATGGGAGTTTCGTGCTGACGATCGTTCTAGATTTCCGTGGTGAACGATATGACTGCAGTTCCAACATTTGTAAGTCTCTCCTAACCCCCCGAATCAAGGACCTGGCACAGTGCGACTATACCCAGCAAGGCTCATCCATCCCTCGTACATCGAGTCTTCTTGCAGCCCCTCCTCGCCTTTTCTGATCAACCCGACGCCGATTACTGACGTTTCTGCAGATGGCCGACTCCTTATCAAAAGCGAAAGGGTCATATGGCCATGCCGCTGCGCAGGCTGTCAAAGGAGCTGCATATGGCGCAGTCAACTTGGCGACCGGGGAGAAATAGAAATTCAGACAGCCCAAGCATTAAATCGAAGACTGTTCCACCTCGTCTACAGCCTTTGTGACTTCTTCTATCGTAAAACGATGCATAAGTTTCTTGGCTGCCTTGAGCGTAGGAGCTTCAGAACTGTACTTGTCGATGTGCAAAACTGGTACATCGTAGTCGTAAACGTTCTTCCATTGCTTCTGCTCAGGCGTATCGATGTTGATCTCGGAATAGTCCACGTTCCGTCGTTGACGGAATTCGACCAGACGGGACTTGGCAACGTCGCAAAGTCCGCAATCTGGCCGGGTGAATAGCGTCAGTCGTACTGCACGTAGCGCTAGTGATGGACGCATATTGGCTGTGTTGTCCGCCTTGCCTGTGGCGTCGTGTAGAAAGGAAGCTCTTGAAAAGGGAGCTTGACTGGATGGAAATACATAAACTGTGCTATATGGTCCACCCTACAAAATAGGGTGAACCAAAGATATCTATCTCCAATGACCGGAGTTTCCTATGATTTTCCTCACCATTACAACAATTGCTGGACTGACTGCGGCATCCGTTTTGGGCGCCTCAGACCCTTCTCATCAACGATGAAGTAGGCCTTATGATGAAGATCAGATAGCATTTTTGTTTGTGGGTCAATAATCTGACGCTCATAGCTAAACCCCGATGACTCCGTGAAGAGGTGCTCCAAGGACCGAAAATGTCCTCGCTCTCAAGCCTCGCTCACCGAGGGCTTTGGACCGAGCAGGTTTATGATATATACTGAAAGTCCAAATGAGTTTCCGAGTGAGTGTACATGCTTTAACCATTCGAATTGTGATTGATTTCGCCAACATCAACGCAATAATGACCCAAGAAACGCAAAAGCTCGCTGATGAGCCAAACCCAGCCTCGACATCAAACTCTCCCATGGATAAGGACCCTACCACCAGTCCCGAGGCGGAAGAGAACGAAACCGAAAACGAGAAAGACGCAGTGCCAGTGTCCCATGCAAAGAACGACGCCGAGATTCAAAGAGCAAAGACAATCTCTGGACCGCCCAACGGAGGACTGCAGGCGTGGCTGCAAGTCGTGGGAGGCTTCATGCTCTTCTTCAATACCTGGGGTCTCCTCAACACATTCGCAGTCTACCAAACGTACTATGAAACCGGGGCGCTCTTCACCGCGTCATCATCCGACATTTCGTGGATCGGGTCCATCCAGTCATTCCTGCTCCCCCTGGTCGGTGCCGTGGCCGGGCCGATATACGACCGCGGGTACCTACGATCACTTCTTCTGATAGGGAGCTTCTTGATCGTCTTTGGCCACATGATGCTCAGTCTCTGCCACTCGTACTGGCAAGTCATTCTCGCGCAAGGGTTTTGCATCGGCCTGGGCGCGGGGTGTCTCTACGTGCCCTGCGTGGCGGTGCTGCCGCAGTGGTTCAGCACCAGACTCGGCATGGCACTGGGCCTCGCGGTCGTCGGCTCTTCCTTTGGCGGCATCATCTACCCGATCGTCCTGTACCGGCTCATCGACGAGATCGGTTTCGGCTGGTCCGTGAGGGTCCTGGGGTTCATGGCCCTCGGGACGCTTCTGTTCCCCGTGTTCCTGTTGAAGATGCGAGTCAAGCCACCCAGGGCCCGGGCCATCGTCGACTGGTCCGCCTTTGTCGACGCGCCGTTCATGTACTTTGTCGTCGCACTTCTGATAGGGTACATGGGTCTCGTCATTACAATCTTCTACCCTCCCTTCTCCGGCTTCGACCGGCACATCTTGGACAGCAGCATGGCGTTTTACGTCGTGCCCATCTTCAACGCCGGGTCGTGCTTCGGTCGGACGATCCCCAACGCCCTCTCGGACAGTCTGGGTCCACTCAACCTGCTCGTCCCCGGCGTCCTCATGGTCGGGGTCTTGCTGTTCTGCATGATCGCGGCCACCACGGAAGCGTCGTTGATCGTGGTGATTGTCCTGCTCGGGTTCTTCAGTGGCGTTTTCATCGGCCTGCCCCCGCTGGTGTTTGTTTCCTTGATCAAGGATAAGACCAAGATCGGAACGAGGGTCGGAATGGGATTCAGTCTGGCATCTGTGGGCTTTCTCGCCGGTGGACCCGGCGGAGGGAACATCCTGGGTGAGAACGACCCGCTCGACTGGACCGGCCTGTACGTCTACGGTGGCGTCACGTGTTGTGTCGCGGCTGTCATGATTCTCGGACTGCGCTTCCATCGAACAGGACTCAGGTTATTTGTGAAGGCTTGAATGAGCTGTCCTGGGAATCTCCGGCAGTCGAGCACGGATTGTGTCTTTCGACGGCGGCTTTGTGAATTCAACTTCGAAGGCTAGACAACAGAAGAGATGGAATGATTAGCGTTAGAACAGATAGAGATCCCCTCCACCCGTAGATGGATGGTTTCGGGGTAGAACACGTGTAACAAGATTGTCAATATTATAGAAATTCAATGATGTCTTGTGCTTGTAGTTTTTCTTTCTAACTGAGCAAAAGAATGAAAGGCCGTCGCGTTCCTCATGTCCGATCTGTTCATGTCTGTTCATGTCTCCTCAAATCTGCTCCTTCATTGCTCTGCCACCTCTTTCACCTCAAAGAGCCACTCGTGTCCTTGGTCCATCCTCGGTCTACCGCCACAGGTTTGTCCTACAAGCTTCGTCGACGCTCCGAAAGGTTAAGCGTGGGAGGTGACTTTACACAAAATCAATCCAAACCCACCACCTCATCCAGCGAAACCCGTCTTCGACCCTACCGATCTGTCTCTTTTTCAACCCCTCGCCTGGAGCTTGACCGTCGTCACCCACGAGTCCCTTTGTTTCCATCTCATTCCTACCCACCCACTCTTCCATCTCGCAACCGACGTCGACGTTGCGAATTTTGGCTGCCCAGACATCATCCTCTCGAACCACCTCCTCCCACATGCGCCTCCAACTGTCGCCGTCGTGTCTGTACCTGGTCCCTTTGGTGGTCACGCGCGGAGCCTCTCCGGGGTCGACGTTTCCGACCTGCGCTCCACACAACAAGACCCTACCCCGCCGCTGATCCAGTAGCTTCAGACACCGCCTGGCCATGCGCTGTTGCCCCGGAAGGTCAAAAAGGTGGAAAACGGCACTGGCGTGGAGGATACCCACTTTGCCGTCACAGACCGCGAGGTTGGCCGAGGGCGACTGGTCAAACACGTCGGCCGGGGAGACGAAGTGTTTTTGTCGCGGCAACGTGTCGGGGTCGTTGAAAAGTTCATACCCCATCTCGATGAATTCGGGTTTGAGGTCGGCTCCGCGGACGCGCTCGCGGTCCGCACCATCGTGGATGAGTTTGCGTACGTCTTGACCCAAACAGCAACCGAGGTCGAGGAACAACCAAGAGTCGGTGGTAGACTTGTTCTTGTCGGACGGCACGAGGGGACCTAAAACGTCGGTCTTGTACAGAGGGTGTGAGGAGAGGTCGAGTTCCAAAAACCTCCAACGACCCAGGCAAGGGTAAGGGTGTGTGGCGTAGGCTCGGTCGCGGACGCGCAGGATGTGGTCCTTTTGTTCGGCGGGTGGGATGCCAGAGTAGGACGCGAGGAGTTCCGACATGTCAAAAGGGACGGCCTTCAGATCGGCTTCGTAGAGTCGTATGGGTGTGCCTTGAAAGGTGGTGGTGTTTGAGGCCGTTTCTGCCATTTTTTTGGAGGGTCGTGTGCTGGTGACTACAAGATGTTCTTGAGGTAAGTGTTGACGGGTGTGTAGACGAAGGTGATGTCGATACATACACATTAGGTGCAAAAAGCCGGATATGTATAGGTATCCAGTACTCGGTACTTCACTAGGGGAGGGGTAAACCGGGCCGGTTTTGTAGATTTACAGGGAGGTATTCAAAATGACGGGGCCGAGGTGCGTTGGATAATCTCCACGAATGAGAAGACTGTCGCGCGAAGGGGAAAAGAATAGTTGTTGCCTGGCGCGAGGACTGAACTGGGGATAACTCCGTAGTATGTACGATGTAGAAAAGGACTTGCATATGCACAACGTGAACATGGACGTGGAGAATGATCGAAGATACGAGCATCTCGTGAAGTCAAGCGAAGCTCACACAAGCTTTTCCTGGCGGCTTGTCGCTACTACCAAGGGCTTACAGTACATCTCTTGGTCTAATAACTGAATGCTAGGTCTATGTCTGTGTCTGTCTGAAACCGCTCGCCATCTTCATGCTTGCTCTGCTAACACTTCCTCTTCATCGACCACTGACTGGTATAGATCTAGAGCAATGACTTCGGGTCAGGAACGGAAATCAATCCAGCACCCACATCTGTTTCTTGGTCTTTCCCTGAGACGCCGATGCCGATCCTTTGTTCCAAGAGATCTCAATGTCCAGGGACCTCTCTTGTCCTTGCTTCTTGAGGTAGGTGATCTCGCCACTGACCAAATCACCCTTTTCAAACTCCTCCGTTTTTCCCGGGTTTTTGATCAAAAAGATTCCCTGTTGCCAGTGCGTGGCTTCGGTGGCGGGACCAGTCGAAAAGGCGACGACGCCGGCTTTTTTTGCTTCCGCGGCCGTCATTCCCGCATTGACATTCTGCTTCCGACCCGTGGCGAAGATGATGTCAAACCACACAACGAATCCCTCGAGCACCTTGAACCCATCCTTCCAAGTCGCCGCGAAGGGTTTCGTGAAGGTCAAATCTCCAACCTGGCAGGTGTGCAGATCCAACTCGAGAAACGGGACGCTTTTGGCGGCCAGCTCTTTCTTGTCCGTAACACGAACGATGGCCTCCTCGTGTGCCCGTTCCAGCATGGGCGTCATGTCGAAGCCGTACACGTGGCGCCAGAAATCAATGTGCGACGCCTTCAACTCTGAGTCGGCCAAGGGCGCGATCCGCAAGCTGGCGTGAGACGGCACCATGAGTCCATCCGGTGCCAGGTACCTGTCTCGTGCGTAAAGGACTGAATCCAGCATGGACTCGTAGAGCAGACAGTACCCCATCCACTCGCTGACGATGATGTCGACTTTCTCGACAGGTAGTTGGACCTCCTCAATCTTGCCACGTAGACATTTGATCGTGTCCTGCAGATTGTTGGTGTACACGTGCTCGCGGGCCTTGTCGATGATGTCCGAGTTGTCCACCGCAATGACCAGCTTCGCTCCGGCTTTGGCACAAAACATGGACAAGATTCCGGTGCCACAGCCAACGTCAAGGACGACTTTATCCTGGAACAACTCCTTGTGGTCATAGATGAAGTCTCGATACGCGTCGGTTCGAATACGGTCCTTGATCATGGACTCGTGGATCGAGTTATACGAGTATGATTTGAAGTAATCCTTGTCGAACTCTTCGGTGTTGTCTTTGGTGGTAGCACCCTGACGGCCGGTACGTGCGGCGTTGAATTCTGGCGCGCCGCCGTCTTGGACGTCTAGTCTGTCGAGAAGAGCACTCTGGACTTGCTCTCGATACGCCGCGAATTGAGATTGTAGAGTGGCCAGCTGCTCGCGGAGTTGGTCGACTTCGTTGGCGGGCCCGGAGCTAGTAGTGTCCTCGAACACATCATCCAAACTGTACAGAAGCGCGTCGTCCTCCAAAACCGGCTTGAGATATTTGTCGTCGTCAAAGACTGATTTCGAAGATACGGTATGGTATGCGTTGCCTGCTCTGACCTCGGAGCGGATATAGTTGACAAGTTTGATCAGGTCGAGAAAGTCAAGGCCTGTCGGATTTTGGATCAGTTAGTACACAGTTTAATGTTTAGCTCAATCTGTTGGGGCAGGTCCATACCAAGGGTTTGTCGTATCTTCCAGATATCAAAGTTGTGATTGTCTCGACAGTAGGTCAGCATACTCGAGGCGTCTGGAAATGTCTTCTCGTCAAAGAGAGACACAACGGTGATGGGCTCTTCGTCCTGTTCCACATCCTCCCACCCTTCGTCATTTCTTGTGTCCAAAGGATCGGATGAAGAGGATGAGTCGCTAACATTGTCCGGCTCAACATTTCTCGGAGCCATGGTGCAAAAATCTGGTGTGAGAAAACCTCGCAATCTTCCGCAACGATAAAGTAGTGGTGGATGCAACTCAAGCCTTCGGATCAGATGAGAGTCGATTTACAGCCGCGACTTCTTCTCGCCCAGATTTTTACAATCAATAAAAGGATGTCAAAAATCTAGATTTCTGGGGAATAAAACGGTGAAAATCCCATGAGGCGGAGTATTTATTTTCCGGTCCCGAAACTTCCAAGCGCCAAGACAAAATTGAACCTCGACATTCTTAGCAACATATGGTGATACCGCCCTCACTCACCCCTAAGTAGTCTCAAGGGAAGAAATATTGGCGGACAGGTGGCAATTTAGGGGTCGCTGGAGTCGAATGACCAAATCTATAATGGTGGAATGATAACATGCCTGATGAACGAACGGGCACATACATAAAGGCAATAATTTAGTTCACTACATACCATTGCAGGGTGGGAAGCCCGCTAGATCTAACGCTAATCGTAAGGATATGTAACTGATAATCATGACTTCGTAATAATCGGATATATAGCCAACGAGTGTACACAGTGATCATGAGTCACCTCCCATGTGCCAGTTCAAGGCACCGCTTGGCTATGAGTAAGAAGAATCAGGTAGTCGAGGTAATGCCAACGGCACTACCGCATGGCAGGGAACGGTTCCGGAGATCTATTCGACTCTAAATCGATGCTTCGTTCGGTGCGACCTAAGCGGCCCATGAAACGGTTGCGATGAGTCTCCTGGCTGCTGACAGAAACTCGGTGAGGTCCTTGACTGACCGAAGATCGACGACCTCCCACGCTCTGCGTGGTTGATCTTCTGAGTATGCCACTCATTGCGGCTGGCCCTTGATCTCTTGAGCTTGTCCTTGTGGTTGACCGATCTCGTGATGATGACATTCTCCGCTCTTCCTCAATCCGATTTGCCTCACGAATGACCTCTTCATACCGAGGACGCTCGCTATCCTCGTAGACGTCAGATAATTGTTCTCCAGAGGATACATCCTTCATTCCCAAAGAGAAGTCCACTCTTCTCGCCATAGCGGAGAGCGATTCGCCTCTTGGACGTCCAAGCTGGCCGGTACTTGGACGGCGACGCAAGATCGAAGGGTGATTGAGAGTGGGTGCAGTGGTCGGTGTTTCGTGGATCGGAGCCGAAGTGATGTTTTGCATTGAATGACCTTCAGCAGCACCATCGTGATGATTGGGATGTTGCTCATTGGCGTAGGCACTTCCGCCAGCAGGGGATTGCATGTAAAAAGGTCCATCTTGTGACCAACCGGCTTGGTTCCGACGAGGTCCTTCGAGGCCGAGTTCTTGCATTGACACCATCAGAGCACATATGAATTTGTTTCGCCGTTGTAAACGAAGGAGCTCATTTTGCCAGTTCGATTTGTAGAAGAAGACAACGTTCAGGGTGAGAGAGTACACTTCGTCAACCTCGCGTAGCTCCGTCAGGATGTTAGCCCCGTATTCGCGCTTTTCAGTCTTTACAAACTCCATGAGTGAGTTCCGTAATGCTTCGATTTGTTCGATTGTCGTACCGAATTTGATGACAATTGGGACGGCTTCGGCAAGACTTCCAGAGCGACGTTGATTTAGGATGAAGAGATTGTTGAGATAGGAATTAGGTGCCTGCACCACATGGCCTTCCATCTTTTTGAACTCGGTATACAAAAGAGATATCTTTTTGACGAAGTAGTCATCGCCTTTGAGTGAGGAGCCAGTGTTGCCGTAAATGGCCACTCTATCTCCAACGTCGAAAGGGTGCTTAATAAAGACAAAGACGCAGGATTGAAGAAATTCCTGCGCCGTGGTGGAAAAGAGCCATGACAGGCCAAGAACAAGAGATCCAGCCGACGTCAGAACCCCAGCAGCTGCAGTCGAAATGAGGGAAATAAAGACGAGAACCGTAATGACCAACACGATGAAGAAGAGCACATCGTCCAATCTACTAACAACCGAGTCCAAGTCCTTTAGTGAATTGGTAATGGACTTCCTCTCTCTTCCGATTTCAACGCAAACGGCTTCAAGCTCTTCCATGGATATGTCGCCGTTCATGTCTTTGTCGAACATGCCGAATGCTGCGTCAGCTTCCTCTTCGCTCTCGAAAGCTGCCTTGAGATCATCAAACGACACAAAGTCGCAGCTCTCCCGGACGAACGTCCGATAGAGACGACGAGCCAGCACCTGAGAGCCACTAGTCGTGTTGAGCAGAGTCAAGACAACTTGCGAAGGGTGGTCGCTTTTGGCAATCTTCTTTCCGGTAAAGTCGCCCGCCACTTGACCAGCAACATCTCCCACTTTTGCAAACGCCTTTGTCACAGCATGTTGAGCCTGCGCAGCGTACATTGCGGGAGTGCGAGTTCCGGATTGTGATCCAGACGGCTTTTCCGCAAATTCAGCGTCTTCCATAGCGATCTTTGTCTTGGAAAATATGTACAGTTTGATCAGACTGCCGATCTGGAACTTGTTGATCTCGATGCGATCCGCGTAAGTTCGCAGATGGAAGGAGATGGCGATGAGCTGAATGATAATCTTCTCGACGAAGTTTAGGATTGCTCCGACAAAGATGGACACGATGATCTTGTTGAGGACATTTTGCCACTCGGGATGAGGGTCGGCGCCGCGGACCATATGATTTCTCATGGTAGGCAAGAATGAGACCTCGATTCCAAGCCACCAAAAGAAGATGGTGGCAGGGATTTCCAACGCTTTCCCCAAGTCTCGCCATTTTTTGGCATTATTGGTGAACAAGCTGGACACCAATCCGAGCGGGTAGGGGATCAGCCGTGCAGCGACCCGGCCAGCCCAAAGCGTCAGCCATATAATTTCGAGCCAGACACCGAACCAAAGCAGCTCGACGCCGCCAACGCTGGCATTCTGACCCCTTGGTAGAAAAGCCCCGATGAAAATGGGGATGGAAAGCAAGAACGCGACGGGCGCAATGTAGGTAAAGTATCGAACGAGAAAGCTCGATTGGTGGACGGCTTTGAAGAATCTCGCTACTTTTGTGCTAGGATGTTCCGGGGGTTTGTAGACCGCGGTTCGTTCGTGAATTGGGTTCGTAGCGGTGTCGAACTCGTCAAGAGGTTCCGGCGCCCGCGATCGAGAACGATGTAGAGCCATTGAACTTCGGCCTTCTGATTGTCTCGACTCAGAAGATGTCAAGCGCTCAGCTCTTTGCATGGCGAGCTCATCATCCAGCCTATGGGCTTCTTCTCTCGTCTGAGAGGGTGATGGCTTTGCATCATCGAATCTGGGGTGTCCTTGGTGATTTGTTTCGACTTGTAGACGCTCTCGGAGCGCTCTTCCATCTACCGAGCCTTCGTTCCTGTCATTGTTGTTGACGACAGTTGTGTTGTCATCGTCAGAAGAGCGGTGTGACGGAGTTTCCAATTCCAATCTTGGGAGTTCGTGTGTCGGAGTGGACATGATTGATGTACCGAGTGAAGGAGAGTGGGAGGGCTCTGCAGAAGGAAGAAATCTGCGTGACGGGGAAGGATTGAGGACTTCTTCGTTTCAGTCAAGTGGCCAGCACATAACGCGTGGTCGATGAGCAGAAGAATGATGGGCGTAGAGAGAGGTAGATCTTGCACACAACTGTGCAGTGAGCGAGTCCGCTTTGTCGAGACGTGCCTCGTAAGTTTGGTGTTTTGGTAGTGGCGTGCTATGATATGGATGCCTCTTTGAGGTCGTATTGGTGTCGGGATATCTTTATGAGGTCCTGGTTTTGTAGAAATAACTCTTCAGAGGCGTGGCTAGTAGAAATATCTTCTTGAGAGAGCGTTCCGTCAGTGATGTGGAAGAATCGTTGGAGTACGTCTGTGTAGGACGCCTTGGTATGAATACGTCCTCGCAAGAGAGTATTATTGGTAGAGCATGTTCTGATGCTCAAGTCTTTGTGTACAAGAGTGATCGAGTGTATGTACAAGTGCTTTCGCAGCGATGTTGGGTGATCGCGGACCGCTGTCGGTGACACCAATGAGGTGGATGGTTTCGACACGAGTTGGGATGTGAGAAGTTCGCCTCTTGGGAAAAGCGCTTCGGAGTTTCCACGCCAACCAGTCGCACTGGAAGATAAAGTGAAGTTATCGACGTGCTGTCGGTCGCGGCTATGTGGTATACCACAACGTGGGTGTGGATGGTTCAGAATTCAGATCCAAAGATGATTGGAAGAACGTCAAAGTATGACGAAATAGCCGCAGCCGAAAAAGAGGAGTTGTGTAGGGTATATACGTATATATAGTACAGAGTAAATGGGTTAACGAATGTATTGTAAGAAGCACAATCTTTTTTTCGATATTGAAACGGACACCGAAGTCACTTCAAGATGAGATGAGTTGCAGATAAAGCGACCTCCTCACTTTTTTGGGCCCCCAGAATCGACAGGGACAGGCACATGTTAGCGTTATCTCGCCAAATTCAATCAGTTGCCCGCCATGACGGAGTTTTCTACACCGTTGAGCCGAAGCCAAGCGACTAAGCCTTCAACCGTCTTCTTCGAAAAAGCGCCAAAAATTCCGGATGTTTGGCATGGTTTGATGGCAGATGTCGTCAAAAGCAGATCCTTGCCCCTGGAAGCTCGCTGGGCCCACCCGTGGATATCGGTTTTGGCCTGCTGGCGTTTCAGAAAGATCGATCGCTAGACTTTTCAAGGCTTGATTCAGATAACGGTGGACTCAGGCTTGACCTGTGCGCAAAACACCTGCGTGCATAAAATTTGTGATACGCGTAATGATCCCGCGTTGACGCTGAATTGTGTGTCCTGGCTCTCATCGTCGATGATGTGATGAAGTGATGACGGAATATGACGATTTCACTCTGTACTCTTCGATCGATGAAGGAGGCAATGGAAATAAAACCGAGCAAGGGCCATGAGGCAGTGGCTTGACGAAGGTTGCCAAGACTTGCTGAGCACGTGAATTTCTCCTCACGTGACCGTGCCTTCAACATGATGATGGACCGAAAGATTTCTTTGAGGAGTCAACACGCTGGTGTTGGTAACTTTTCTCTCCAGACAGACGCGGTCAGCCTCCATCTGTACTGTACTCGCATGCTGTCAGTCGATATCCTACGGAGCACAGCTGACTCAACCTGCAACTCAAGACACGGTTCTTCAGCTCGCCTCTGAACGCCACCAGGGATCTTGAGCTGATCTGGTCTTACCTAGGTATGGGTCTCCTGCCGAAAGTGCCCCTCGATTACAACACCGCAGATGGCATGGAACACTTTACGAGAGTGCTTGGTGCAAAGTATGAACATGGAGACAGCTGCCCATCGAAGCCAGTTTTTTTCCCCGTGACTACTGCAACCTCCGCATTCCTCCGAGAAGATGATGTCCCAAAATCCAGATATGGCGAATAAACTAGCAAAATGCACATACTAGGGAAGGTAATAAATCCTGGGTACGTGCATCAATTGAATTGCAGTACTCTCACTTAAGATCGAGATTGTCAAAAAAGACCCCCGATGAAGTATTTACTCGTAAGGAGTGTCCTCGTATCCATGCTCGACGGCACTGTCTTCTGTCCTCCAAGGGAACAGCACACCAACTGCCCAGTTCAAGCAGCTCCATGGCATCTGTACAGCAGACACACACATTCATACCTATGCAGCGGCACCGTGACTCTTGACCCAATCCTCAACATCCGCCTTGAAATCCGGCGCATAGAGCCAGGTAAGGTCAAAGTCTTGCTGAGCCACCCCTTCCGCCGACACACCCTTGAGCTGGTCTTTGGGGAGTCTCCTGAGATCGATCTGCTTATTGACATCCAGGACCTTGTTGACCCTCCCCTGTCGATAGTCCTGCCAGAAGGTCAATGCAGCCTGGAAGTCGACCCTCCCCGCCGCGCTCGCAGCCAGGAGCAAGGCGAACATGTAGACATCCTCGAACGCCTGGTTGATACCCTGTCCTGCACTCGGCGGGATGGCGTGGGCGCTGTCGCCGAGGATCACGACGCGTCGTCCCTCCGAGGCCCACTTGTCGAGCTGTGGGATGACGTAGAACGGCCAGACGTTCATCTTGTTCGGGTCAATGTGCTTCGTCGAGCTCATGGCGACCTCTCCGAAAGCCCCGGCGTCTTCTTGCATGAACTTGATCAAAGACTCCTTGTCCGCGATGTACCGGTCCCATCCCTCGCGACTCATCTCCTCCACTCGCCTCTGCTTGCCAATCAGGGCCTCGGAGCCATCAACGCGTTGGGGCGCGATGACAAAGGCCCCCTTTTGCTCAGAGATGATGGTCACGGGCTTGGTGATTGGCTTGCCTAGGTGCTTGACAGGTGCGGTGGGCACCGCGGCCGTAATGCCAGCCATGTTGGTGAATCTCGGCACGAGGTCGGGGTAAAGGTACTTGCGGACGGTAGAATGAATTCCATCGGCTCCGACGAGGCAGGAAGCAGTGTGTTTGTTGCCATCAGCCGATTCCCAAACGACATGATCATTTGTCTCTTCGAGAACCCGCGTGTATTTCGTACCGAACCTGGTAGGGATGCCAAGCTCCTTGATCTTGCCCAGGATGATGTCGATGAGCTCGAAGCGGTAGATTCGGTTTCCAGGAAACCCGTACTTCTCCTCGCTGCCGAACTCATACATCTCGATCAGTTCACCGTCGACCTTTTGCATCTCAAGCTCTTCAAAGTTGAATCCCTTCGCGCGGACGGCCTGGTACAAATCGAGAGCGTCCAGCACTTTGAGAGCGTTGGGTGAAAGCATGACTGCCCCGCCAATGTTGAGGGGAGCAGGTCGCGATTCGTAAATGGTGGATTTGATGCCTTGTTGGTGCAAAGCGAGGGCAAGAGTCAAGCCAGCTAGACCGGCGCCGATGATGGCAACTTCCTCAGACATGTCGATATAATTGTGACTTTGGGGGTTGATTGGTTGCGTCGATAAGAAGGTGAAGATGTTCAGTTGAACTGGTCTGTTCGAGTTATGCCCAACCCCCGTCGATACAGCCGCTTTATATACTTATAAGTCTCAACCATGGGAGCTAGTATGCCCTGCCACCATTGTGGACTTGAAACAGAAACGACTCTGCTAGCGGACCAAGCGACCGTGTCACGGTCTGTCGACGATACTAACGAACAACAATGATGCTACTAAACTTACTCATGAACGAGGTTCGGTGTCGGGCAGGGACCCTGAGAAATATACGAGTAGTGGACTGAAAATTGTTAACTGGCTCGTATTTTGGCAAGGAATCGAATCAGAAGCCAGTCGTACACACGAAGAGCTCGTAAATCTTCACCAAAGTGGTTGGCTTCGGTCCTGTTTGTCAGCCAGATGGTCGGCCCTGAAGCAGGCTATTGCCGGAGCGAGCCCTTCATAAACGAGGTCCCTGACATCAGTGATTTATTCAATGGCAGACGCATACAAAGTAATAGACAACAGCTGTCCTCGAGGGTGTAGCCTGGATCTAAATTACGTGCCATTGGAAATTGGTGAAAAAGTAAGGAAAAACGTCGGCCGTTATCAACAAGTATTTCGGCCGAATGGCGGATATAACCAGTTACGAGCGAACTTGGCAGCCTCATTCCGAACACGCTTACATAACTATTTACCAGCCTAGATACTCAGCCTCAGCCTTGTTTGAAATCAGGACCATGCCAGGGGCAATCTCGACGGAAGAAGGAAGTATATCTATACTCTAGACTTCCCGTCATGGCACAAAAAGTATTCATGATCATAAAAACGTCAGCCTTGACAACAGGATCAGCGCCATCATATCGACTTGCACCTTGCACCCCCGCAGCAGTCAGCCCGACTTGAGACCAAGTAATCATCAACGTTCAGACACGCTCTTCCCAGACTCGAGAGAAGTCCGTACAGTCATGATGCCACAGATATTCCTAATTGGAGCCACAGGCCGAACCGGCAAGCTCGTCCTCGAAGAAGCCCTGACCAGAGGCCATGCCGTCACTGTCATTGTGCGTAAGCCAAACACCAGCTTGCTTCAACATGCAGACCTTAATGTTGTTACCGGGGATCCGTGCAACCCGACGGATATCGAAAAGGCTCTACGAAGCACCAAGTCCGGCGTCCCGGTAGTCATAATCAGCACCCTGGGCCAGACCAGAACTTCGGGAAATCCATGGGCGGCACCGACCTCGCCGGCTGGCTTCATGAAAGCATCAGCTAGCGCTGTGCTTGCAGCAGCCCAGGCGGTCGAGGGCTCCGTGCAGATTGACAAACTTGTCGTCATGTCCATGTTTGGTATTGGAGATTCGTTCAAGAACCTCAATTTTCTCCTGCGCTGGACCATGCGCCATTCGAACATGGTCCAGACCATTGAGGATCAGACATTGGTCGACGAGGCCGTCAGGAAAGGCCACTTGCCCTTTGTACTTATCAGGCCGGCGCTCCTGACTGAAGGAGACGCTGCACCCGTCAAGGTTTACTCCAGCTCAGCGGAAGGCGTAGGTATCATGCCGAAAGTGAGCGTGAAGAGCGTCGCGAAGTTCTTGATGGATGCTGCTTCGAAGGGAGATTGGGATGGGACTTCGCCTGTCATCACGAATTGACATTGTTGAAGAGTAGTTGTTAGTCTGTAGCAGGACGTGCACTGCATCTTCAGGGGTGGATGACGGGACGTGATGTGATGACGATGGGGCTGGAACCCGCAGGTACTGGCTAGACAAGAAGGGGTATACTCGCTCATGCCACTGAAACTGGAAGGCCACAAAACGACGCAGCAGAGAGCGGAGAAACGGAATCTTAAACAGGTAGCAAGGTAATGATGAAATCCAAGTCCGATCAAGATTGTTTGAAATGATATGATGGTTCCCAGGGACCCCTTCCGCTCGATATGGGCAATTCCTCTAGTCAGACAAGAAGCGTTCCTTGACACAATCCGCATTCCTCGAGAAGCGAGACCATTGGATGGTAGAATCAATTCTCTGTAACCTTGGCCACAATACACAAGACTGACTCGATACAGACAGTCTCGATCTTGAGAGAGCCGACTCCCACTTAACCCATTTCACTAACAGGGCCCGAGGTCTCCATCTTCAATTTCTTGAAAAGGTCGTGTCTGGCCCACCAACTTCTCATTCTCTTTCCGTACATGTAGACTGGAAGACCTAGCAATGACAAGAAGATTGATGTACCACCGAAGACGTACATGATCTGTGCTGGACCGTTCGAGGCGACCCAGTCGTTTGCGAAATTAGAAAGGCCATAAAACATGAAGTTCTAGGAGGTTGTTAGCATGAAAACTCGCTCCAATTGGTGAGTGGGGGTGCAGGAGCTGACCTTGAAAAGCATATTCATGATGAAGATTTCGTTACTCTGGCTTCGGAAAGAATCTAAGCCGTAAGACAAGGTCGAGAAGATTCCGATCAAGACGCCAAACATCATGACTCCTTGGAAGAAAGAGCAAAGCTCGGCAGCAGATCCGACGGACATAGTATAGCCAAAGAGGAACATTCCGATGCCACAAGCAATGCAGGTGGGTATCATAAAGACGAGACGGAACTCTGGTTCGCTGTGACAACTTTGTTAGCAACAATTTAATACACTTTGCAATATTAGCACTCACTATACACCCTTGTTCTTGCGAGTGAGATATTTGATGACATAGTCACCGCTGAAACCGGTGATGATGGAACCAAGGAGACCTCCAACGAAGGGGCCTGCACCAAGATATCCAACCTGGGAAGCGTTGAAGTTCCAGGGTGGCCCGGCAAACACGCCTGACAAGATGATTGCCGATCCGACATACCAACTGTTCAGTAGACCGGAAGCAATGATCGCATAGCATGCAGCAGGGTTCAGCAGCGTGAGAAAAGGTCCGAACAGGAATTTAAAGATGCTGTCTCTAGAGTACACGCCCGTGTAGACGGCAAGTTCCTGGACAAAGGTTTTCTTCTTTGGCACGTTGTAAGCGGGCGCGGCTCCTTGTCCGGGCTCTCCCACATGCTCCTTGTGTGAATGCTCGATGGTTGCCAGTTCCGTCAGCCCCTTTTCGTCTCTTTGCTCGGACTGGTCCGTGTCGTAGTGCGAATCTCTGACGTACGTCGTCTCTGGACAGAACAAGAACATCAGGACGAATTGGACGCAGCAGAATATCTGGAACATGTGGAACAACCATAGCCAACCGAGGCTCTGGAAGACTTGGCCGCAGATGATTGACGAGAGACTGGACGCAGAATTGAGGATGAAGTTGATGACGGAAATGCGGAGACCTCTTTGGTGGACAAAGTACATGTCACCGACCGTCGACACGATCAAAGACTCAAATGCCGAAGTTGAAAAGCCCTGGATGATACGTGCGGCCAATAGGTATTTGTAGTCGATCTTGGCCTGGCCAATGGCGGTACCAATAATGTCGAACAGCGTTGAGACAAGGAACACCGGTCGTTTGCCATACTTGCGACTGAAAGCACACACTTTTGAAATGTTAGCAGGAGACTTCATCGGAATCTAAAGGGGGAGTGAAACCCACCAAATGGGCCGGAGCATCCAGCAGCGAGAAGATTATAACCAGAGACGAGCACAACTTTCGTCAAGTCCATATGAAGTCGCTCGGAAATTGGGAAGTATGAAGCATTAAGAAGGGGGCCCTGCGTGATCATCAGCCACCGAATCTTTTTCACGTGGGGATTGTTCTTTTCAACTCACATTTGTACCAGCGTTCAACATGGCACCTAAGCAGAGAATTGCAGTGATGGCTTCCTTCTTCCACAGCGACCAATTGAGAGGGTCATTGGGGTCTTCGCTAGGCTGGGGTGACAGGACAATATGAGCGTCTCTGCCTTTGCCGTGCTTTAGACCTTCTGTAATAGCCTCTTGATGAGCGGCTTCATCGTTGAGCAAGACCGTTCCGGGGACGTGGTCAAGCTTCTTGTCTATGTCACATTAGCCATGTGCCAGCAGCGCCCCTGATGACATTCTTACCATCTTGCACACCGAGACCCATATTGACGACAGGCGTAATCTGAGTTCTTGAGTCCTGAACTTCGTCTTGCCTCTAAGAAACGAAGTGGGTAGAGTCTGATGATAGTCAAGGAGGAAGAGATGATATGGACAGTGGGAAGAGAGGCCGTAGTCTTTTAAGCAGGCGACCACGCCTTGGCCAATCCCTACGAGTCATGAAGCCTGTGCTGGGCCCCCGGGGCTCCCAGACTCTGAGTCTGAAGTCGAATCACAGGAGCCGCTCCAAACACTTCGCCCCCGTGGGGAGGCGCCATGCACGGAGTTTGCCCACCGGTACCGTTTGTTTCATACTGGGCAAGGAAGGACCGGCACTCGTCTCCCAAGCAACTACCGATTTCGCCTGATATAGGGGTTTTCTGCGCCGTCTTGCTCTCCCAGACACTGCTGACCAATGCCTTTTCCAACCCCGAATAACTTTTCATCACATGAAATAACCACCACTTGAAAGTACCGCGTTCAGAAACGTCAAACTAAGCGCCTTGCGATGCGATTGAAGGTTCATGGGCGCAAAGTGGGTGAACGCCGACGCCCCACGCATAGAGAGTTGTGGGTGATCTCGCGCCTGGGCATGACCTGACTGATGAAAGCCACCACTCACCATTGGCTTTTTGGGGACTTGTGCGCAACTATACGATGTTATACGAATGATTTCTCGGTCCGGGGACCTGCTGGAGCAAGGTAAATTCCCACGTCGATGCCAAATTCGGCCTCATGGGTGAATTCCCCGTGAACGTGGTGACGGATATGCAAGCTTCTCTCGCTCAGATAGTCGACGCCGCATGACCATGTGGCCAAGCAGGGGGAGTCTTCTCGCTAGTTGAACCACGGAGCTGGGTGCAGGGACGCAATATTGCCTGCTTGGCAACTCAAGCAGCTCAAGCAATGGTCGAATTGCTCAAAAGTCTCCAAACCCAGCTTACACGACTCAAACTCTCTTGTCACTTTTCGAGTCACGCCCCAACTCACGTCGCAGCGATTGAATGTCTTCCGCAGCATTCCGGTATGCTTCATCCTAAGATGGGTTCCATTATTGTCCTTCGCTATTGGAGATAGCCAGAGATGCTCCGCTGTTTGATTCCCGTGACTGGGAATTTACCTCGAGGGCAACGTGTTATGGATACGCCTGACCTACAAGCTACAGAGTCCAATACTGGACAGCGTTCGCCTATGGTCATTGGAGATTGTGAATGTATTGACGACTCATACTTAAGGCTAGCTAGAAGGCATGCGAAAACCCGAAAGGTCCTCTCGTGGTCAAGCTGGGCCATTGACCTGCTGTTATTGTAGACCAGGCACTCAACCGCGTTATTTTCAAGCCTGGTGTAGGGTGAGTCCTGCTCCTGCTGAGGGCATACAGCAGGGAGCCCTGGTTTTGCTCAGAAGCTAGTGGTGAGTTCACTCGGTGTGCCTCCTCTGTTGAAAAGGTGTGCAGTCGTAGATTGGACTAGACTGATCTGATCCTTCGACTTTCTGAGAGTTCGGCGCGGAATGCTTCTGACTTGCTCTTGATCGCCGTCAACTCTTGGGGTTTCATTGCAAATCCGTAATCCTTGGCCGCTCCGTCGGTATTGACCAGTTCTCGCTTGACATCCGCCACAACAGAGTTGACGGATCCAGTAGGCGAATCTCTAATCCCAACACCGTCCCAAGCGACCCACTCCAGGACAACACCACTGTGGTTCCATCGGCGGAAAGAAAAGAAACTACCAACTACAATTGAAGGGGCGGCTGGTCCTTTATATCTACGTAAGAGCATGTATACCAATGTAGTAGTCGGAAAAAGGTATATCCGATCCGTGGCACCATAAGCAAGGGCCGAACTGCTCCGAGCACTCGGCACGCTCGCGCAGACAATATCGCTTTTAAGAACAGATGCTCGCGACTCACCCTCTTCTTACTATCGGGTTGTACCTAGGGTTGGAAACAAGTCAGACAGTGGATGCGTCGCTCTCGTGTAGGTCTAACATGAGGAGCATCGATCTCTGGTGTGAAGTTGGTATGAATAATCTTGTACATCGTTGTGTCATTGTTGTTAAACCCTCTTTTTTGACTACGAGGTCAGAGCCCATGCCGTGAGAGGTGTCGTGAGAGTTCGAGTCATAACCTCACCGGAATCCCATGGCAACAGAGGCCTCTCCAAGTCCCTCTTTCCCAGTGCTTTCCTGTTACATGGGCTGAGCTTGATAAAGAACCAAAGGAGGGAGTTAGACCGGGTCCGTGGTGAAAATCGGCCTAGGAAGCGCAAATTCCAAGAATCAGCCACGTCGACCTCACACGACAGTATACACCCTTAACGGAGCCGGTCAGGCTTTTTTTAAAGTGTCTAAATATATAATGACTCTGCGTTATTGAGCGTCGTTCAAATCCATCAAACCATACTGTTCATTATCAGATCCCCTTCAGTCTTGGCATTTTTTTGCTGATTACCAAGTACTGTAGAGTGCAAGATAATTAGGCGCACAGGACATCAAAGCACCTGTCAATTGAGTGGTGGAGGCCTTGAAGAAGGGAGGTATCGCATTGTCCTGGGCGCCATGCGCTACGCGATAAGGAAGTTTGAGTTGACCGATGCATGATCGACGTTATTGTTCTATGGACATTTCTCGATGGCCTAGAGCTACTCCATCCAATGGTGGAACGGTGATTTGGGGAGGCTGAGTCTTTTTTTCTCCGGTGCCCAAATCCCTCCACGGATCTAGACCCGCGGTACGGATTGACCACCAGAAATCTATGGGCTAAACTCTCCTTGTATCCCGAGATGTCACCTACCCCGTGCTTTCTGCTCAGTGACCCGTGCGAGTAATGATGCCGCACTCAAAAATAGCTCTGCGGTACTACCTCGCCCTGTGCTTCGTCTACGGAACATTCTATCACGTATCCAAGACACCCATAGACCGTTTCTTTTCCTCGGTCTTGCGGGCTCGGGTGAAGTTTGTATCCCGTACTGAGCACTCGTTCATTGGAACGTGGAGCACAGCTAGGGAGCTCTCAGATGAGATTCAGCCAGCCCTGTTAAGCTTTCCGAGCTCGATTATGGGGGTTCTGGGGGAGCTACTATTTTTGGTGTTCTTCTACGTGGACTGTTGTACCTTCTACGACCAGGTCACCAGGCCATTTGTTACGTAGCATCGACACGTTGGGCTCTGTGATGGAATGGTATGTAATCGAATATGCCTCATTCGAGCATGTATACTGGCAATGCATCATGCGAGAAATACCTATATATACCAGGTGAAACCGGCACCCCAGTCGATACCTTCATCCTTCTCGTCTCAAACCACCACAGTACAATAGCAACCAACACTCCCCAGCAACGCACCACATTTCACTCACAGCCAGACAAATCTACCATTTTCGCCATCTGTCTCGCGCAGCCATTTTCCATCCTCCGTCACAATGCAGGTTAAGACAGCAGTTCTCGCCTCCATCCCGGCGCTGGCCCTCGCCGCCCCGACCGGCTCGTCCGGCCAAAACCCAGCTCCCGATCTATACTTCCCAGCCGTGTACGGTCTGATCGTCGGTACCGACGTGCAGCCCTTCCACTTCGAATCCTTCAACGCCAACAGCGGCAAGTTCTGGCTCAACCTGCCGGAGACCTCAACTTCGTGCCCTTTCACTGGCACCGACCAAGCGTCCAATTGCCCACCAGGCACTGACACGGCATTTGTGGGCAGCGGCAGCCTCGCCACCGTTGTTCCCGGCGGACAGCAAGTCTACGTCGCACCCAACGGTGCTCTGTCGTTCACGGCCGCGCACTCAGGCGCCATGCCCGAGGGCTCGGTCGTCGACCCATTCATCTTCGTCAACGTTGGCGGAGAGTACGGCGAGGTGACGACCAGCGCATTCGGTGCTGATGGGTTCATGGCCTGCCCTACACACGGAAGCATCGCGTACCAGGTCTTTGCCAACTTCGATGGGGCTCAGGTTCCTCTAGGCAATGTCCAGGACTGTGTGGCCGTCACACCGCTAGCTGTTCCTTATACTCAGGGCCAAGCTGCTGCTTGGCAGTATAACTGAGGCTGCGGATGGAGTTGAAGGCCACACGGCGGCATTCGATATTAAAGCGTATTGGGTTGCATTGCAGAAGTGATGGGAATGTTTGACTGCTTTTGGTTTGAGTGTTTTTGAAATTGCATAGCGGATGGCGAGAGGGGGGGGGGGGGGGGGGGGGGGGTTTACAAGTGTATTGTATGACGAGCATATCAGCATAGCATAGCGGGAATGGAAAATTTTAAAGTCATAATACCACAGTTTCTTGTACTTCTTCATCACAGGCCAGCTCGGGGAAGACGAGATCTGGAAAGATGACATACTGTCCAAGATGAAGGTGGCCCTCGTCACGAATACACCAGGCCGCAAGTTTGCAGCTCGGCTTCGCTTCCGTAGTGATGTGTTTCTGCCCTTTTTGATGCCCGTCTGTAGTTTGGAAGATAAAGCCATCGTTTTGATCCATATGTCATACAGAAGCAAACGGCGAAAATAATGGCAGTAGCCCAAATTTCCTGGATGACCGGTGAGGCAAAGGGCTGTGGTCGCCCGCGTGAGCCGGGGAAGAGAAGTGCAAGGGCGGCATCACCCTCTTGCCTGATCGGAAACAAGTACAGTATATCCGATCCTTGGCACTAGGGTCACAACTAGGCGCATTTCCGGTTGTAGGCCCGATTTCTTATCAAGACTACACTTGCACCACCATCTCAACCCTCGATTTCGCAATTAGTATGGCTCTTCACTCCTTCAACCACGTTAGACCGACATGTTGAGAGAATGGATGTTGTACAAAAGACCAAACGCCTACGAGTCCAAAGTTCTCGTTCTCGGAGCGGGTGCAAGACGTGCAGATGTAAGTTGCCCCCCGGTATCCGTGAACCTCGATCCTGCTATCCTCACTCTGCTCTGCATTGGCATCCAGAATGCTAACCTTAGTCATCGTGCTGCTAGTAAGGCATGTAAAATGCGACGAATCAATCCCGTCATGCCGAAAATGCGTACGGGCTAATAGGACATGCCGGTATCAGGACGGCATCACCGATGCACCGACTACCAAGTACGTCGTGTATACTCTTCCTGAGAACCTTGGCCTCTGTGCAGCAATCCCACCACGTGAACGTCGAGCTTTGTGGCATTTCCAACATCGCACCGCTCAACAAATCGAGGGTTCCTTCGGATACGGGTTTTGGTCGACGATCGTGCCACGACTGGTCCAGGATGATGCGATAATTCGGCAGGCTGTGTTAGCGCTAAGCGCTTTTCATGAACATTACCTTGATCATGATGTTGCGTGTCCGTGCCTATCCGACAATGCACTCCGATGGTATCAGAAAGCCCGTCAACAGGTTATCGATCTCGATTCTCCTGACAATTTCTTTGATTCAATCTTGTGCGCGTGTATCATATTCTGCACATGCGACGCTCTGCTTGGTAATTTCGAACTAGCAAACCAACATGCCGTCTCAGGTATGAAGATGATTGCAGGTTGGAGGGCCAGTACTGCCACATCAAGCTATGCTTCAGTTTTCCAATCGGCAGAGAAGAACTTGGGCAATCTGTTCCGGACACTTCAGGCTCAAATTATTGAGGCAAATTTGGACGCTATCGAGGTAGAGTGCCCTGAGGTGGTGGAGCAAATGGAAGACATTCCGGATCACTTTGACGGTGCCGCGGAGGCTTTCCCTCACCTTCAAACCCTCTCAACCCAGGTTTTCAGCCTGTTTCAGGATGCTGAGGCCTATTACAAACACAACACCTGGGTGCCTTCGAGAGTATCGCCACCTTTACAGCCCTCATATAATGCGATTTGTGCAAAGTACGATGCATGGAAAATGGCCATGTCTAATTGTATAGACCCTGCAAAGGGAACAGATCGCGGAAGCCAGGCGGCGTATCTCCTTCTCGACATTCTTGCATCCTCACTCGAAATAAATCTCCACGTTTTCGTACACGGGGAACCTGCCTATGACGATTTCAGGGAAACAAATCACGCCATCCTGAATCTCGTAGAAGAATTTTTGACGATTCAGTCGTCGATCGATACTGGCTTAAAACCACCTACAACGCACGATCAACACAAACAATCGAGCTTTGGTGCCAATCATTCATCGTTTACATCGTCACCCGAAGTTGTGCCCCTCTTGTTCGAAATTGCCACGCGAACAAACGACGGAGGACTCCGGCAACGAGCCTTGCAAGTACTTCGTTCATCAAGCAGGAGAGAAAGCACCTGGGACTGTCGCGTGGCCGCAAGCCTCGCCGAGAAGATTGTCCGACTCAAGCAGCAGGGTGCCGAGCAAGCTGGGAAATATGGTACTGATTGCAAATTTCTCATTACGGACATCATGCTTCTGTCCGAGCAGAAATGCATGGTTCAGTATGGATTCAAGAGAGTCCGGAGTGGCTCATTCAACTCGTTCTGGCTTGAGAATATCTGCCCCGGGCAAGGCTCGCTATCATCGCAAATCTTGAGCATCACATGAGTCTCGCCGCAAGCAACAAAATCCAACACAGCCTTCCGACCAGCAGATATGTTTCAACAGACTTCCTATTCGGGCCCAGAGTCAACTTTCCACAGGATTGTCTTTGAAACATTAAAACACATGTTCAAGATTTCTCTGCTTTAGGCGGGACGCTGAGCTCTCTTAAAACGACAACTTGAATGATTTGTGCATGAGATGCGCCGATATCAAACTGCTCTACCATCTCTCGCTATAGGTGATGTGGTCAAGAGCGCAACACCGATTGCACATCATGCTCTCCAAAAAACCTTCCGATAGCCTCAGGTAATTGAAACGTCTTTACGCAAGCCTGCGATACCTCCAAGGACTGCGACATCTCGGGCCTCATGATGAGCAAACCACCGCCCTCAAATGCACCATAATGCAGGTTTCCAACGCTATCCTATCCGAGGACGGTACCACGGATGTTGGTTCTTCTGGAGTGAGAAACAAGACTGTTTGCTGAACACATCCATGATCGCATGCCTCTGGCTTTCAACAGAAGCTAGGATGTTCTCGGATGTGGGCTTGTGAGGTCCAGAGAGCGGGATTTGTGGCCAGCAGGATCTTCCCCACCCGCGCGGACTGTCCAGCTAACGATGGGTGGTTTGATTTCCACACACACCAGGTTAGCGTTCACGAACGTGCCGCCCCATGTCCAGTTTTGGCAAGAAGTATGCAGGATGTCATTTAGCGACACCGTTGGAGCGCTTAGTCTATCATCGTTAGCGTTCACGATATGCGGACGTCTACTTGCACCAAGATACGTCCAAGGCCACTACATGCGCTTCGCTTATCCGTACTCGATAGCATACAATAGTTTTGATGGCGATTGTTGAGCGATGTGATACGCCATTGAAATACAGGAGCTATGGAGCGATCAATGATTACACAATTAACCCCCTAGAGACAAGCTGATGAGGGGCCGCCTTTCGCTTTGACGTCAGCAAACGACTAGGTCTTTGACTAAGTCCCATCGAAAGGGAACATCAATTTGCATATTGGCACCGATCATAGTTGCCGTCTAGGTTGTTTCCCCAGTATTTTGCTACAAAATCGAGAGGTCAGCTCGGGAACATGAGAGTTGTGCAGAGATTCCTTGAAAGACTTACGAAAGTTTACGGAGTCTCCTGCGGCGCCGAAGACGGCGAATGACAGGATGAAAACAATGACCGAGGTTCCGGCGTCCAAAGCAGCCGAGATGAGGTAGTTGTAATCGACAAAGAGTTCCGGATATCGCCGTCGAACCCACCATTGTGAGGCGAAGCCGAGGAGGAAGAACATCATGATCGAAGAGTTGACTCCCACGTTGAGATAGCACAGGTAGAAGGCAACCACGGCCGTGTTGATTCGGTCCAGATGTAATTGAGGCCACTTCTTGTGTGCCAGCCATAGAGGGACAGGGGCTAGAAAGCCCGGGAGCATGATCAGTGTCACCCACTGGTATTGACCCCCGATGCTGAAGAGTTGATGTGAAAGTCCTCCAAAGGTGACGGCTTGTGCGTTGAACTGCTGGACCTGGTTTCCCGACCAAATGTTGGTCCCTTCGATACTCAGCAAGATCTCCCGTTGATTGTCAATGATGCTGTTCGCCATGATGTAGTTGAAGATGGCTCCGATGATGGTGCCCAGGACCTGCGCGGCGAACGCCACCCGGGGGGCCAGATGGCCATATTGGGCAAGCTTGAGGTCCTGAGACAGCAGCACCCCTTGGCCGAGCGCGTTGTAGCCGTACAGGGAGAACCACATGTTGGCGACGGGGCGCCCAGGGTGGATGTAGCCGCCCACCATCTGCACGACCGATTGAATCGTGAACCTGACTCCGGTGGAGGCTTGAAGTATCCCCAGCGTGATGATCAACACGTACCCCATGGCTATGGCGATGAAGAATCCCCACCAGGGCAACGAGCTGTCCGACTCGTAGATCAGGACCAGACCTACGACGACGGAAAGTAGTAGTACGACCCCGTACCACCAGTCCGGGCAAGCTTTGTACGCCAGAGAAAGGACGTAATGCGGATCGTAGTCGTCCTGGTACTCATCGTGCTTGTTGGCTTGCTGGAATGAGGTGCGGACGGCCTGGGGAAATCGGTTTATGTGTCTGAGTCTCCGGGGATCCAAGAAAGACAGGGCTCTCAACGTCTCTTTCGGCATCCACAGAAACACGTGGGTCAAAGCGGCGGCGATGGTCAGGTTGGTCAAGATGAGGTTCAGGACGTTCGAAGCTGGGAATACTGGAAGACCTAATTCGGCCACCGCCGCGTGATTGATGTGGCCATCAGAGTTGATTGCGGCCGTTTGATTCCACTGAGTAGCATTACCTGGAGTCGAAGTATCAGACAGAATCACTTGTCCCAGAAACGGATAGTTCTTTGCGTTCCAGGTATTGCTGTAAAACACCGCCGAGAAGACAATGATGCAGCCACAAATCCCAAGCCCTTGGCTGATGAGACTGCTCAATGGGAAATACAGCGGTGAAGTACCAGCTGATATCTGTTGCCAGTCGAAGCACAAAGAGAACAGACCGAGTCCCTCGTTTCCATTGGTGCCGCCAAAAAGGTATGTGAAGGTGGTGCTGTGTTGATTTGCGAGGCAGAAGATGCTGACACCGGTGAGGATGGGGCAAATCCATTGAGGGACAATTTCCCAAAGAAAGATGCCTGCAAATACGAACATGAACACTCGAAGTGATTTTCTGGGGTTGGAGTTCCCGCCATGGAGCGTCTCAAACATGGCGTTGACGGGAATGTTTGAAGGCCAGACCATTTTCTTTGGAAATATCAGAGTCCTGCGCATCAGCCCGGCTATTCCGTAGCCTATAAACTGGGACGACAGCAGTAGAAAGATCGATATAGCTCCTCCGATTCGTTTACCGTAGTACAACCGCTCGGCAGAGATGATTTCGATCCCGAGGGCCGATGTACTGGCCGCGTTGGCCATGATGGTGACGGCCAAATGTTCCTTTTTGTTGAACGGATGTGGATTGAGGAGCCTTCCTACACGACCCTTGCGAGGTATAATGGTTGCCATGGCTTCTCCGACGATGTAGGACAGGATGGCGAGCAGCACAGGTGTGAGGGTGACCGTCTGAGGCTTGAAATAGTAAATTCCAGACAATACGCCGCCAAAGACTGAGAACCCCACGCCTAGATCAAACAGTCAGTCACCCCCTTCGACAATCCCAATCTGGGCGAGTCTTACCTAGAAAAACTGATCGAATCGTGATCGACGGCAAGGTAGGGTCATCCACCACGTGGATAGTCCGGGTGAGCACATCATCTAGGCCAGCAGGATGGTTCAGCGCTGCCTCTTTTGTCGTCGTGTCTGCACATTCCAAATCGTCCGTGGCTGGCACTTGGTGGATTGCATCCAAGTCTCCCTTTTCGGCTTTGATTAGATCAGGAGCTTTGGTGGGAGGAGGCTCGGGGTATGCGGAGCCCAGGCCATCTTCAGCATCTGGTCCAGAGCCTGAGGATGAGGGATTCATTGGGTGCTGTGTGACAGGCTCGTTGCTTTCAGTAGGTATTGCCATCTTGGAGGGAACGTTCAAGAGAATAATCGCTACCGGGAAGAGACAATGTCCCGAGATTGAGTCGTCTCATGACAGTGAAGTCTCTCGTCCTCTCAGGGGACTTTGGCGAGCCTTTATCATGGTCAAGAAGTTGATCAACATCATGCAGCCCGCACCATCGCTTGGCCCTTATCTTGCAAGTTTACTCAAGCCAAAAAGAACATTTCGCATTGCGCTTGAGAACGGTAGACAGGACCTCGTGAACGCTAACCGTGGCGGGACTAGACTATGGGGCCCGTGAGCTCCACCTGACTTTCATCGTCGCCCCCATGTTCGGAAGCTTGAGAGAGAAGCTTGTGGTCCCGCCACCTGAAGACCCTTCAAATAGGCTCTTAAATGGTGAGAAATTTCACGCAATGCGGTCGATTGGCATACCACCAGCTGGCCGTAATTCCGATGACTCGAATGGAAATCTGAGCCTCCTCGAACCTCCTCAACGCGGTCGTAGAACTCCGTACGGGAATTGGACCAGGCAAGATGCAATGGGTCATCAAGGTGCCTTTCGGTTTATTAACCTTTGCAGTCACCCTAATAAGACTAGGTCCGTGGGAATGTCATCTTTGTGAACAATAGACCCACCCCTCGGAATCACGTTGCGTACACCGGTCGTTTCTCTTCTCAGGTATGTGTGTTTCTAATGCAACATGCTGTCTGAGCATATTGAATCAGCTGCCTGGACAAATAAACTTTCTGTGACTGGCTACTTCAACCTTCCTCGCATATATAAGCACGATATCCAAAACCACAATCACAAATGCCGTGCCTCCCAGCTTTGTGAAGACCTTCGTTTGTGGATCGGTTGTAGAACAATGCCCAGCACTTCTATTAACTCCCGGGTGTTAACCCACTCAGACCTCCCCAGAAGGTATACACTTCCCCAAAGCCTACCTAAAGTATGTCGAGGTTGAAAACTGACTCAGATATCATTACAGCATAAAGCCAATACACTATAGCTTGCTTTTGTTCAATATTGAATTGTGCGAACCGTGGACATATCAAGGTCATGTCCAAATTCATCTTGAAATTGAGTCTGCAACCAAATCAATCGTTTTGAATACGCAAGAACTCGTGTTGTCAACGGCGGAAGTTGTGACGACGACACTCAAGAACGAAAGATCAGTGCTTCAAGCGACCAAAATCTCTTATGACCATAGAAACCAACGATGTACACTGGAGTTTGAACAGAAACTGCAGCCAACACATGAATCCACAACAGTCCTCCATATCTCTTTCAAAGGGACAGTCAACAATCAGCTCACCGGGTTTTATCGTTCATCTTACGAGAACTTGGACGAGTCAGCAGGAGATGAAGATGAGGGGGAGGACGACGACGACGACGACGACGAAAGCCAGGATACTCGCTTTATGCTCAGCACCCAATTCCAGCCTACCTATGCGCGTCGAGCATTCCCTTGTTTTGATGAACCTGGCCTGAAAGCCACATTTGACTTTGCTGTCGAAGTTCCTGTCGAACTGGTGGCCCTCAGTAACATGCAAGTCAAGGGTGAAAGACCAGGCAAAAATCGAAACTTCAAGGTGGTCGAGTTCGAGCGGACTCCATTGATGAGTACATATTTACTTGCCTGGGCCATTGGAGATTTCGAGTACATCGAGCGTTTTGCAACACGTTCTGGTGCACCCAGTTACCCTGTCAGACTGTATACGACTAAAGGTCTTGCCGAGCACGGGAAGTTTGGGATCGAAGTCGCCATCAAAGCTCTGGATATTCTTTCCAAGGTTTGCTACTACTATCTAATCCAAAGTTGCGAAACAACAGACACTCACAAACTCGCAGATGTTCCGCATAGAGTACCCTTTGGCAAAATTAGACTTACTTGCAGTTCATGGAAGCGTAAGTCTTCTCTCCATCACCGATCTAAGTGTCCCGTGTCTTCACGATGGTTTTTCCCCTCGCCTCGTGTACCCAAACACATAACTCATTACCCCTGTCTTGTTTGAATTTGAGTCAGACATGATAAACGACTAACATCATCTAGGCTGACGACGCCATGGAGAATTGGGGCCTGTTGACATTCCAGATAACGGCACTATTATTCGACGAGAAGTCTTCCGACCCGGAGTACCTGACCCACGTTGCCTACATCGTCGCCCATGAGTTGGCACACCAGTGGTTCGGGAATCTGGTGACCATGGAGTGGTGGAATGAGTTGTGGCTCAACGAAGCCTTCGCGACGTGGGCCGGATGGTATGTTGTGGATATTTGCTATCCTGAATGGAACGTATGGGCTCAGTTCGTCGGAGAGAGCATGCAGTATGCGTTCCATCTTGATAGCTTGCGGGCGAGTCACCCTGTCGAGGCACCTACCGTTGACGCTTTGGCGGTGGACTCCCTGTTTGACGACATATCATACTCGAAAGGAAGCTCGCTCATCCGAATGCTGGCCACATACATGGGCGTGGATGTCTTTTTAAAGGGAGTGTCGGAGTACTTGCACAAGTACGCCTACGGTAGTACGACGGCAGAGCAATTGTGGGACGCCCTCAGCAGAGAGTCTGAATTGGACGTCTCGGCCGTGATGACTCCCTGGATAAAGGCTGTTGGGTTCCCGGTCATCAAAGTCGATGAGGAAGGCAACAACTCTCCTCCTCACCAGCTCTTGATTAGACAAAAGCGGTACCTATGGGACGACTTTGTGAGTGAAGCGGGAGAAGATACAACCATCTGGTGGTTGCCAATCAACACCACACCCAGCCCAAACGTGGCTCAACGGGAACAGCACCCTGAAGCAGCTGCCTGGCCCCGGGAGAACGCGAAAGAAGCCGGGATTCATGTCATTGCCGCGTCAGAGTTTCGACCTCTTAATACCGACCAAGCTGGATTTTATCGAACTGACTGGCCCCCTGCTTTGGTGAAGAAATTGGAGGACATGATAACTTCCTTCTCCGTCCAAGAGCAGATCGGTTTGCTTGGGGACGTTGTAGCCTCAGCATCTTCGACGCAAGGCAGAATGGATAGTGGAGGCCTGTTAACTTTCATGCAAAGCTTCCGCACCCAGGACGACATTCATATCTGGAATGCACTGCTATCCAGTGTTTCTGAGATTCAATCGATCTTCTCCGTTGATGCGCAAATGGCAACAGGATTCAGGAAATTCATTTTAGACCTGACCTCAATTGCTTTAAAGCGTCTGGGTTGGGAAATGAGGTGTACGACTACTGCGTCCTCCACGCCTCTGACAGCCCGTCGTCTTCGTGGTCTTCTTGTCTTGACTGCGGGCCTTGCTGGTCACAAAGATCTCGTGTCAGAAGCATTGGGCCATTTCGAGGCTTATCTGGATTCAGACGCTGTAGGGGCTACTGACCCGTCACTTCGACGAGCTGTATTGAGCATTTCAGTCAATAGCGGAGGTCTCGAGGTTTTCAAGGCAATGAAGACGGCGCATTCGGAAACAGAATTCATCGATGGCGAGGAAGTAATTCTCAACTGCCTTGGTCAAGTGGCGACTCCACAGCTGGCGAGAAGATACTTGGATTGGGCTTTCAACGGCAACATCGAAACGGAGGAATTGGCCTGTGTCATCGATGGTCTCGCGGAAAACAGTAATCCAGAAGTGCGAGAGGTGATGTGGCACTTTATAAAGGAGAAATGGGGCAGGATAGAGAAGCTTTATGCTGGATCCCTGGGGATATTTGCACCTATCCTGCAACGAGCTCTGGAAACTCTGGTCTCTGACAAGATTGCAAACGATGTCAAGATATTTTTCGAGCACAAAGAGACGGCAGAGTATGCCCAAGCCTTGGCCGTGGGGTTGGAGACGATCGCATGGCGCACCAAATACCTCGAGAGGGACTTGGACGTGGTCAGGGATTGGCTACAGAGTAGAGGATATATGCCAGCAGACGTGAAGTAATCACTATTCTGAACATTGCAAGCGAGACCTAGATATTGGAGACAAAACACCCTCGATGATCCAGGAAAGAAAGCGGCCTATGAACATAACGAGGCCCTACGTGGATCCATTGGCGAGTTCTCTGGTGCTTCTAGACGTCTGATCTGCGGGTCGTTGAGACGCTGGGATCATAAATGACGAGAAAAATCTGTCAAGTGCGTCGTAATCATCTACCGTGCCGACGTAAGAGACGTACTGGTCAGGTCGAATGATCACGGCGCATCCTACCGCAGGATCGATGCCATAGTTGCGGTATATCTGGCCGTGACCCTCGTGGTAAGATTGATCGTCGACGTATATCTTCCAATAGTCCCATCCCTGGTGTGGGTCGAAGGGCCGGAAGACTTCGTGGAAGTCGAAGATGCTAGTCTCGATGCGAGGCGCTGCGTGGACCGTGAGAAGATCAAAGACAGAATCATATCTCGCTCCTGAGACGGTGTATCGCTGGAGGAAAGAACCAGGTGCGGCCAAACGTTCGCCCAATCGCCACATCTTGGCCCGTTGCTCAGGCACGCTCACATCGCCTGCGAATATTACGACCCTCCAGCGACCGTCGCTCTGGAGTAACTCCTGGAAATGCCACGGGCGAGCATCGGACTGGTTCAGGACTTTGAAACTCGGAGTTCTCATGCCAACCTTGAGCGATGTTGCCAGTGACTGTTGGCTGATCACTCGCAGCGTCTTGTCTGTGGCTGAGACGTCGAGTCCGTCACCTTGTTCCACGGCATCACCTTCCTTCGCCACGATCATGCTCGTGCCATAGTTGACAGCTGTACAGCAGCAGATTAGTGATACTGTCCTCTCACTTGGGTTCTTCTTAATTGTGTAGCTTACCGATACCACTTGCGAACATGTTGCCCTTCTCAAAGGCTTCCTTGAAGGCTTTGATGCTGATCCCTTCGTTGTCCATGATGTCTTTAGCCGGGCGACCAGAGAACAATCGAGAGAACTTGTGATCGAACTCGATTAAATCCTGGGCGATACGTCTTCTCTCAGACTGATACGTCTTGAGGATGGAGCGATCGGCAATTCCTTTCACAACGCTGGCGATCTTCCACCCCAGATTATACGTATCTTGAAGACTGACGTTCATTCCCTGTCCAGCCTTTGGACTGTGTGTGTGAATGGCATCACCAGCCAGGAAGATCCTCTCTCGGGCCGAGAAACAAGTCCCGACTCTCTGGCCGATTTGGTAGGCCGTCCACCAATCGCAGTACTCGTATGATATTTTGTAGGGGTGTAGGATTCGCTGAGCCGATTGAAGAATGACCTCAGGTGTGATGGTAGATCGATCAACCTTTGCACCTTTCTGGTCCCCATCCTTCTCAGTCGTGGTCAACTGAATATAAAGTCGGACAAGCTTGTTCTCCCGAGGGATAACCATAACGCTACCAGAGCTTGCCGAGTGTATGGCGCATCTCATGCGGATGTCTGGGAAGTCGGTAATAGGTATGATATCCAAAACTCCCCACACATAGTCTGTGGAGCTGCCATCGAGTTGTAGCCCAAGTTGGCCTCTGACCCAGGAACGGGCGCCATCAGCACCAAGCATGTACTTGGCCTTGACAACCTCCAGAGTATTTGCCTTGTCGTCCAGCGAAATTCGTTGCAGTAGCTCCTGTGTGTCGTCGGGACTGAGGTTACTTCGAAAGAGCCCATTAGCGACTTGGCCATTACCTTGATCTGGTGTTGCCTCAGCCTCCGAGAGGTGCTTGAGCGTCACAGTGATTGGATACGCCTCCGGATCTTCTGCTAATGATTCATCAAGCTCCAGCTGAATCGGCATCACCCCACGTTCGACTCGAATATTGCTCTGGCTCTCAATAGAGTCAAGAAAGAAGCGTTCGATGCGTCCTTGGTGTAGGACGACCTGTTGGAAGCGACTGATTCCAGGGATGGTATCGGGAATTCGATCACTCCGGCGTATGACCCCAGAAGAGTCGGGGTTCCAAAGACATATTTCGAGCATGTGATTGGACTCGCTCCATGCTCGATGACCGAAACCAAATGAGTCGAAGATCTCGAGAGTTCGACACTGTAAACCATCCGCCTGTCCGTTGAAGATCTAACCATGATCAGGCGAACTTGTTCGCAAACATTCAAATATCGATTCCCTTACCTTGGTTCCTCTTTTGTCCACAATCCTTGTCTTGATCCCATATCGGCTCATCCAGTTGGCCATCATTAATCCAGCTGGTCCTGCGCCGACGATGAGGACATCGACTTCGGACATTGGAAGTTGCACAGCCATCGTGCTGGAATTATACGAAGAACAAGAAGTAGTGCGGTTCCAGGAGGGAAGGTGAATAGTCAGCTCACTTAGAGTGCCAGAGGCTCAGGTGAATCAGTCCCGCCACATGCAAGAAGTGATATATATGTGTTCAAGACATCCATATAAGTCACTTTCGGCGCTTTGAAAATGCACATTAATGCACCCCACAGCCTCCGAGGTCGTCAGGGGGAAATTCCATCATCCCATCAGCAATATCGGCCCAGCCGATTGAGTGGAGTGCACAATCTCTGTTACATTGCCGGAATCCCACAAATGAAGTGCTTGTCTAGCCTTTGACCTTCATCATGGTTGCATCTGCTCGCATTACATGAGATTCAATGTGGCGAAATACGAGACGCCGGGGCCTCCAAAGCTCCCGACCCGACATCGATCCGGGGAAGAAGCGGGGCAGAGAAGATTAAAGTGTGCAGCCTTTTCCCGGACATCTGGTCGGTCCAAGTACTTCTTAGCTTCACACCTACATACCTTTCCAACTCCCTCATGAGGCAACAATCAATGGAGCAAAGACAAACCGGGAGTAAGTCGGCTGAGGCAGCTGCTTCGACAAAAGTATACTTATGCTCGGTATGCTCGCGGGTTTTCAAGAGAAAAGAACACTTGACCCGCCATCAACGAAGCCATTCTTTGGAGCGACCGTTCTCATGCCCTCTGTGTGGGAGGAGCTTCGGAAGGCAGTAGGTGGTGGTCTGGAACTGTGCGAGTGCTCCTGCGCTAATTACACTTGTGTCTAACAGGGACTCTTTCAGCCGACACATCGCGGGGCATTCCAACTCACCATCTGGTGGAGCTTGCAACACTCCAGTTGCCTGTGATGCTTGTTATCGGTCTAAAGTACGCTGCGAAAGAGGAATTCCCTGTCTCAGGTGCTCCTCCAATGGGCAGAAATGTATAGTCAGTCGCACTATCACTCCTTCCAAAGGCACTAGGAAAGCGGTGGCCACGATGGATAAGCCTCACCCAGCAGTCGAGAGTCAGGGAATGAATCTAGAATCCATTCATCCTAGTGGGACCTCCACTGTACAAGATATCGACATCAACGACACAGATGTTGAAGCTCTCCAAAAGGAAACGGCCTGCATCAGCCAAAGAGCAGCTTCAGTCATCCCTCTGGAAATCCCAAAACCAGCTCCAAGCCACCATTTACCCACAACGGTGCCGTTTTATGACCAGCAACTCCTTCTATCAGAGATACCCTTGCTCCCAGACATTCCTGATCTAAGGAGGCTGTTATATAGCGGCGAGGAAGCTTCGTTTCAACGTGAAATCTTGTCTGGTCTTTCCACTTTCCAAGCTGTTCAGCATAATGGGCTCAGCTTTGACCAGCAAGCTAGAAAATGGCTGCAGGAGTTTTGCAGTGGATCAGAGTGAAAACAGGACAATTTTAGGACTCCCATGCTCTCTAGGCTCTCAGCGGCTTTGATTCGGCCATGGATTATCAACATCGCTCCGCGCCGCCTTTCGATGAATGAATACTAACAGAGTCACAAATTCGTTTCAAAGCGTAATAAGAGGACATCTATTGTATGAACACTCTACGAACGATGAACAAAATAGGGTATAATAAGCATCCATCGGATTCTCGAACCCTCCGGAGGTCTGTGGGATCATCTGAAGAAACTTTTAAGAATGGTCAAGTTGGTGGAGCATCTCACTTCCTGCTCTTTAACCAACATATCTGGAGCTACATCACAATTTCATGATCGACACGGAGGATTGTGGAGAGATCTGGATAATAGTCCCAAAAAGCTTCCACCGCAGATGCTGTACACCAGGTTCCAAGGGGGTCTGACCCAAGACCCTTAAGATATAAATGCCTTTCGATGACTCCGAAACATGGTACGAGACATGCTCTCCTGCCCGTTTTTCAGAAATTCAGATTGGCCCGCTTGCTCAACCTACCCAAGATGAGTTGGAAAGAACAAGTAACGTATCACTTGATACTCTACTACAAACCACTCCTCATTGCTTTGCTGGTGTGTTTCTTTCTTCGAAACAAACTTCAGCGGCATATCTACTCTATCCCTGGTCCCCGGTTGGCAGGCTTCAGCAATCTGTGGCGCTTCTGGGACGCTTTGTCTCATGTCCAGCATGACACGCACATCAACCTACATCGCCGGTATAATTCATCCTTGATCAGAGTGGGACCGCGTGTCGTCTCGTTTTCGGACCCTGAGTGGATTCCAAAGGTCTATGGGTTGACCTCAGGATTTACCAAGACGCATTTCTACGATATGTTTGTGCTCCCATACAAAGGAATATTCACTAGAAGCTTGTTCACTACCCTCGACGAAAATTACCACTCGAAATATAAACGTCCGATCGCGAATGCATACAGCATGTCGACCTTGGTCGAGTTTGAACCATTTGTCGATACAACTATTCAGTTGTTCATGCAGCGGCTAGATGAATTTGTAACTTCAGGAGCCCCGTTGAACTTTGGAGTGTGGCTTCAAATGTTCGCGTTTGATGTCATGTGAGAGATGTCCTGTGTATTATGCACGGTTTGAACAATTTTGGCTGATTCCTGAACTATAGTGGCGAGATCGTATTCGGGAAAAAGCTCGGGTTTCTTGAGCAGGGAGTAGATGTTGAGGGAATCATGGCTGACATTCGTTTTAAGATCCAATATGCCTCGGTTGTGAGTTTATAAACCATCTATACATCCACAGTCGGGATGTACTGACCATTTACACACAGATAGGACAGATGCCATGGCTGGACATGTTTATTGCCAAAAACCCTCTGATGGTGTGGTTGGCAGGGACTCATCCTATCGTCAGATTCACAGTTGAAAATATGAAGGAGAGAATCGGAGGCAAAGGATCTAAACAGCGCGATTTCCTCGCTCGATCATTTGAAGCTCAAGAAAAAGCGCCAGAGCTTGTCACTGATCGCATCGTACGGATGTGGAACATTGACAATGTCTTCGCGGGGAGTGATACAACTGCAGTATCGCTGCGCTCTGTAAGCACCATCCACTCGTGTTGCGGCCGCTCTGCTAGGCGGGACGCACAGTTCTGACCAAACTACAGATATTCTACCATCTTATGCGTACCCCACATGCGATGGCCAAGTTGGTGAAAGAGATTGACGAGCTTGAGGAGAAAGGAGACCTCGGCGAATATGTGTCATGGAAAAACTCCAAGTCAATGCCATATCTTGACGCAGTGATCAAGGAAGGCTTCCGAATGCACCCAGCCGTCGGCCAACTACTGGAAAGACACGTTCCCAAGGGCGGAATTACTCTTGGGGACACGTTCTTACCTGAGGGAACCATTGTAGGAATGAATCCTTGGGTCGCAGCGTAAGTTGTTCTAGCCAAAAACACGAGGCGGACATTGGGCTGATTCCCTTGTGTAGACGCAACCGTGAGGTGTACGGTCCTGACGCAGACATCTTCCGACCAGAGAGATGGCTAGAAGCTACACCAGAACATGTTCAGCTCATGGATCGGACCTCTTTAACAGTAAGTTTACTTGTAGCCTCATTGAAGTACAAGAGCTGATTCAGAACGAACAGTTTGGCCACGGATCAAGGACTTGCGTCGGTAAGAATATTTCTCTGCTCGAAATCCACAAACTCGTCCCACAGCTCTTGAGACGCTACAAGGTTCGTGCACACTCTCTTTGGTCTTGTTTTAGCCTATCTGCTTAATTTAAATCCTAGATCGACTTTGCGAACCCCGAGCAGGACTGGAGAATTCATGGAGGTTGGTTCACTGAACAGGACAATTTTCGGGTGCGTCTCAGCCATCGTGAGGGCGTCAAAGTCTAGTCAAGGACAATAAGAAGAAGAAGGCTGGGGTGATCGTGGTTGCATGTAGATTGTACACCTTCACAAGGTCAAACTATAGCCAATCATGACTTTCGCAATCGGACCAGCTGACCCTTTTCCGCTTCTTCGGTTGTGCTCGGATCGGATGTGAACATTGGCAACCCACATGCCTCCGAGATTTTGTAGCCTGTAAGATTCTGTCCTTTGCTTCCCAGGGTACTGACGCTGGTCTGTGCTAAGCGGACGGCTTTGAGAATTCTCCAGATTCTCGTTAATCTGGAGAAGATTGGCATAGATCCATTTGGCGGGGATCATGATGACCCAGCTTCAGACCTCGATCGCTTTTCTCTGCCTTGTTCAGACATTCATCTTTCCACACACACTTACCTATCCCTTACCTTCATCGTCACCACGAACGCTTCTGCAGCTGAACGGTCTGGGAACCGGTTCTAGCTCTTGTCTAGCTGCCTAGTCTCCTCAATCCTGGAGATAATGTTGCCACCATAACGGTTCTCTTCGAGAAGGAGCCATCGGATTTTAACAACTTCCTCGCGACGATGACTGGCCAATGGGTGATGGACGAGATGCTCAGCTTCTATTATGTAGAAGGGTCACGCTCGTGCTCACCTCAACCACACAATTTTCGTGGACAGCCTCAATTAAGTTCTTCTGAGTGGTGTTTAAGTGACAATGATCACGCACTCGACAATTCTTCCTCCATATCAACACACAACCTCAGCGAGCTCGACGCGCAGTCATATCCTTGCTATCTGGCCGAAATTGGTGACATAGACTACCACGGTCTTCAATATCAAGGGTCAGAGGAATTTGGTGCAACAAATGCCTTTAGCTGGGATGATGACTATTACGCCAGTCAGCCACGGAATGGCAGCAGCCCGAGCAAATCCGACTCGCTTCAAGGATCGAACGGGATCTGCTGGTCACTGGACGACTCCTACGTGTCACCCATCGACCAAACATTCACGCAACCACTTTCGCTCTGGGAAAGTTCCATGGGCTTCAACATGCGATTACCCATTTCGAGCCTCGATAGGTACCTCGTTGCCCTCCGCCAGGTCATCCGGCGCTGTGCAGAAGCCGCCACGCTCAGCGGCCCACTGTGCAGAAGGCTCTCGGCAGAAGGGGTTCTTTGGGTGGTGCGAGAATCCTGGCCCACCGCGGAAGGATTCTGGAATCTGACGACATGTATGCAAGGGTTCCTCTACGCCGAGCTATGGCGGAATTTCCCTTGTCGAGATTCATATCAGAGGCTACCCGCTGCGTATCGCCCGACCCAAATGCAGCTCCTGGTCCCCCACTCCCCTATCATTGACTGGCTACCGTGGCCCGACCTTCGCGACATGATCATCATGTACCAAGACCAGATTGACATCGATGCTCTGTGCCGATACGCGATTCTGACAATGGTCGCTCACCGGATTAATAGCAATAAAAGGACCACCAGGACCCGGGAGCAGGGCGTTGTTGCAGAGTCCAGGAGAACAACGGCCATTAACAGCAGCACCACCCATAATACGCACCTCCTCCAAGATACCACCACCACCAGCCAGGAGGAGAACGATAACGGCGGCGAGACAACAACACGCGAAGCAGGGGTAGAAATAGATAACGGAACCACTTCATTCCGTATCTGGGACCTCACACGGCTGGAGACCTTGGACGAGACCACACAGATGTTGGCAGCCGACAAATCACTGAAAGTCACACCCCATCCGCGGTCTGCGAGTATGAAGGCTCTCCAGCGAGCATACAATCTAGTATACGATGACTTTTCGACGCAGAAACTCGAGGGTCGTTTCTTCGAGCGTTATCCCTTTCTGTACTGCCAGAGGTTGATTTCAGAGTTCAAGATCCAAGACTTGACGACCATCCCGTTCAAGGATGTTGGCTCTCCCGTTGACATGACCCGAGACACTGTCTTTCGGCTCAAGGAAAGTTTGGAACGGGTCATTGGAGCGACTGTGGATTTGTAGCTCCTCCAAGAGAGAAAATAATAATATAATGTTTGGACTGTAGTAGAAGGTCGGCAGTAGTCTCCTCAACATCTACTATCCACCACCCAATTGGTCGATCTGAACACCAAGGCGGCAAACATACATATCACATTCGAACACGTCTATTTGGCCAAGGCTGTGCAAATACATCGTGTTGATTACTGGTACTCCGTAGCGGTAGAGGGGAAAGACCTGGCCGTATAAAACGAATGCTTACTAAGATACTTGCTGATCATAGATTCTCCGTAAATCGCAGCGAGACCGAGACACCAGGATTTCTTTGGAGAATCGAGGCCGGAGTATCTCTGTACAAATCAAAATTGACTGACCTGTGTATTTAGTCTCACCCTAGATTTCGGAGAAGATTCTGATTCTTCCACGCTTTCAGTCTCCCAACAAATGGCTGATGCCGCCGGGATTGAACGCCATGTTCGTCCCATACAACGGCGAGACACAACGTTTCAACGTTTGTGCATCAGACCAACGCAGACACAGTGCGAAGACGTTTCAACGCCGTAGACGCGAGAAGGCCATCAGATCGAAGGAGCGCCGCGATGCCGAGGAAGCCCTACTCATAAGAATTTCGCCGACGGAGTCTTCGCAGATAGCCAGCACCTCACCGGGCTCAAGTGAATTGCTCTCCACGACGGATGACGGAAATAATGATGATGACGCCGACGACAAACGTGACCAGGATACTACTGCAACTCCAGAACATACGCCACCTATTTCCCCCAGCACGACAAACCCTTCCACGACCGAGGACACGTCTGACCATGGCAATTACCAACCTCGGCAGGAAGATCATGATCTATCGGTCGCGCAATCCATCACGCACAAATTGAGAGCGATATCTCGGAGTGACATGACCTTTGGAGGGTTTCGAGTAGATCCATTCAGATCCTACCCCATCAAGTGGCGCGAATACTTCCCTGCAGTAACCGACTTTTGCAGGGTTGTTGTCGCTCCACGGCCAAACTACTTTCAGTTTGTGCTGAATAACGACGTCTTATTCGAAGCTCTAGTGGCCTACGGCTTATGTGTTATGCCCACCACGACGCCTCAGACTCAGATGGCCATGATGTACCACTATGGAAGCACCATGTCTAGGGTGAGCCATGTTCTCTCGTCGAGCTCGGAGCGGGCGGCCAGCGACGCTGTCATTCTGGCCATATGTAACCTTGCTGTTATTTGCGTAAGTGCAAATTCAATGTTGGGGCCTGAACCGGCATGCTGAGTCTCAATCTAGGCTTATCGTGGCGACGACCAACACTTTGAGACGCATCTGAAGGGTATCCGCCAGCTCATCGATTTGCGAGGTGGGGAAAACGCCTTCGAAGCGGAGGACTCCTGGGTCAAAACGGCATTGATAGCGTAAGTTGCTGGGACTTTTCGGTCCTCGTCGTACCTACCTACTGACATTGGTACTAGTATCGAGGCACTCGCTCTCGTTCGACCGCGCGAACGTACCAGAGCAATACCGGCCGAAACTTCCGAAGTTGAAGTTGAACCGAATCCAACCACACTGCATATCAGCTCCAGAGCACCAGTCTATCCGAAACACCCCTTCCCACCTGACCTCTGTGTCACCATCTCGAGGCTACAAGAAGGCTTCCGAGAAGTGGCCTTGACTGGTCAGATTTCAATCCAGTTGGTGAATAGGCTAGAGATTACTCGAAGCCAGGTGGTGCACCTGATGGCCACGGCGGCAGATGACGAGCGAGATAAAGACTGGCAGGTCTTGATGCGCGAGTCGAGCCCGCTCGAACGGATGGGATGGTTTGCAGTCATGGTTTTCCATCTTCGCAGTTCGACACATTTCGACAACTGTAGGAGCCTGGCCAAGGCGGTCTTGGAATGTGCCCAGCAAGGCTACAGTACCGTCGCTGAAAACGAATGGATCCTTTGGGGTGCGTGCCTGCTCATTGCGACACCTGATCCCGAAAAAGAGCTGATCCCGCAACGGGATGCCATCATTACATTGCTGAAGCAAAGGAAAGCACTGCTTTCGTACTCACGAATGAATGCCATTGCCAACAAGTTCTTGTGGAGCGAAGGTCTCAGTGGCAGTTTGAGGACAATTGTCGCACACAGACTGTCTAGCTAAAAGGCATGGTCGAGGAAGAAGACATTTCAGAAATCGAACCCCGTACCAAGCGAGAAAGTGTCGGTTTGGGTGGTTGTGGGAGGACCGAAGCGGGATTGTGGCACCCGAACACTCTCCACACGCCAAAAATGTTCGGCCGACGGGGCAGACACGCCGCAATCTGCCACCCACCGATATCGTCCGAAGGAATACGAAGCACTTTTTCGGCGCCGACGTGTATTATTATTTCTACCTGAGACAGCGCTCTTTTATATCCTCCTGGAGATTAGAGGCAAAGACTTCCATCAGAGATCAAAGATCGATTTGACTATACCGGCCCATCTAGCAGAACGTCGTATTCTATCGCAGAAAGGAACAAGAAATGTCGCCGAAAGGGCCATACAGGCTCGTCACAGTCAACACAGCTCCCGAACGGGCAAAGAGACTAGTTGGTCGTGTCATTGAAGATCTCAAGGATCAATATACCATTCAACACATTGCCAACTGTGAAAGTATGACGCTACCCCCAATCCTTGACTTGACCTGGAAGGACCCAAAAAAATGCATGTACGGACAAGGCTAACGCCCTAGTTTCGCAGCCATTGATGCTGTCGAACCAACTGTCAAAGAGATCAAACCAGATGTTCTGGTAAGTAGGCTCTTCCATGTGCACAGAGAAGCCTAGTAGCGGACACGAAGAACCTAGGACCGCGTCATGACATGACAATCAGGGTTCGCTGACTTTGAGATATAGTTCTGCGCTTCGATGTGGACGCCCGAGGAGAGCACACGTATCTTACAAATAGCCAAGGACAATGTACCGGGGATCAGGACGCATGCCATCCCTCAAGGCTTGCAGGTGGAAAAGGGACCTGACGCGGTCGTCGAGTATCTCAAGGAAAAGTTGCCCAGTATTCTGGACTAATCCTCGTCATTGTCATTCTTGCGTGATACACCTGTCAGATTACCTTAAAGGCTAGAACTTGGACTAGAACAACTCAATAAAGCTCACTATACCACCACAGCGTGGTCTTTGATCGTGAAATTCTGCACTCATCATCAGCGATGGCATCTGATGTAAATGCCCGCATGGTGATGGAGACAATGGCCAAAAAAGTAGCGCAGTGCCACTGATGAAATCTCAAGTTGACCAACATATCCGCGAACCTCATGACCAGCACTCAAAGACGCCAGCCTCGTTGAAATCGGAGAGTGACCCCTGTCGATGAATGCGTTATTCTCAACGCATCCTTTCTGCTGGTGAAGTAGGTTGAAGCAAACTATTCGAAAGCCCTTCCGACCTCGGCCAAAGATCTGTAGCTTCGTACAGTAAAAAAGGCTGGTTCGCTCGCTAAAAGAACTACCGATGGAGGGGGTTGTCGGTTCTTGAGCCGCTTCAACAAATAATGCCCCTCCAAAACACTCGTACTCGTACTCGTACACACACTGCCGAGTCACTTCGTACCCTATTACTCCGTACATATACTGTACACCCCTGACAAGGATGGCAGTGCCGCCCACCGTCCACCATGAAGCATGTCATCGACCGTCCCACAATCCCCGCCACTGCCGCGTGAGAAAACCGCGACTCGAGCGCAACCATTGGTCTCTCGTTCAGTCAAGCTTCTAAAGTCCCAGAACGTGCGGCAATAGATGTCGGCTTCAATTGTGGCTGGCTTCTACTCGCGTAAGATCTTACCCCCGGGGTTAAAGATATAACCAAAACAAACCACATCAAGCGATTATCATCTCATCACACAGCGTAGATAGAAACGGGGGCGCTGTAGTGGTATCTACGAAGACACCATCACCACCACCGCCGCCACCGCCGCCGCTATGGCCACAACCACCATGCATCCCAACGTACAATCATTAAAAATATGCATCGTGGGTGCGGGCATGGGAGGGCTCACATGTGCCCTCGCCCTGGCACGCGCCGGGTTCAACGACATCACCGTCTACGAAATGGCGTCGAACCTTGGGTTTGTAGGCGCCGGGATCCAGATGGCACCCAACATGGCTCGCATCCTCGACAGACTGGGGGTTTGGGACGCCATTTTCAAGGACGCCGTGGTCCTCAACGAGACCAGCATTCGCCAGGGATCTACGGACGCCGAATTAGGACACGTGGACTTGAAGTATATCAAACAGACTTACGGATACCCCCACACCGTGGGTCATAGAGCCACCTTGGCCGGCGAGCTGTACAACGGGTGCAAGGGAGAATCCGACAAGATCAAGTTCGTGTTCGGCACGACGTGTGAGAACATGAAGTTTGGGCCGCAACAACCATCATTCACCGCGGTCCCTCGAAACAGCAGCACGCCGCCCTACGAGGTGCGGTGCGACGTCCTCCTGGGCGCCGACGGGGTGAAATCAAACACTCGCGTGGCGATGCTGAGGGACCTCAAAGTCGACGAGGCCGAGGTCAAGGACACCGGTCAAGCGGCGTACCGGATCATGCTCACGAGGGAGCAGCTGTCGTCGGACCCGGAACTTCTCGCCTTGATCGACGCCGACAAGGTGATTCGATGGATCGGCGAGAAGAGACACATCATCGCTTACCCGGTATCATCGAAACAAATCTACAACATTTCGACGACTCAACCGGACGTCAACTTCGCCGCCGCCCCTTCGGCAACCTACACCACCAAGGGGTCAAAGAAGGCCATGCTCGACGTCTTTGGGGACTTTTGTCCCATGATCCACCGCATGCTGGACCTGGTGCCCGAGGGGGAAGTGTGCGAGTGGAAACTGAGAGTGCATGCCCCTTTGCCGACGTGGGTGGACGGGAGCGCGGCCCTCGTCGGCGACGCTTGTCATCCGACTTTACCTCACATGGCACAGGGTGCCGCTCAGGCCATCGAGGACGCCGCCGTCATCGCGGTCGTACTCGAGGCGCTTCCGGCGAGCCCCAAACCCGCCGATATCAACAAGGCCCTCAAAATTTATGAGACGGTCCGTAAAGAGCGCGCAGAGACTCTGGTGGAATTGGCCGCCGCGAGCGGGAGGGCTTTACATCTCGGTGAAGGTAAAGCCAAGGAAGAGAGGGACAAGCAATTCGCCGCGTTGAAGGAAGGCAAAGGTCCCGTGCCGGATAAATGGGCAGACGCCGATGTACAAAAGATGGTGTACGGTGTCGATTGCATGAAGATTGCCGCGTTTGCTGTCGAACAGGAATTCAAGGAGCCTTCGTTAGGTACTTCAAGTGTACCTACGTAGTATACTTTCTCTGGAAATCAAAACGTCAAGTACAGAGTAGAATATCGAGGTCATCAAGCAGGACTACTAGGTACTCATAGTGTTTGTCGTGTCACGTCTTCGTACAACTCTTCAAGTAGTGATGCGATTGTGGGATCCCCACACATCTCTCCCCGCCACCACCGGCCCGTAGTCTTTCTTGACACGAAAAAAAAAAATTCCCCACGGGTTCCTAGAACTGCCACAACAAAACACAGTAGGTAGGTACAGTAGGTACAGGACTTTTCGTGGAGACTTCAAATGTCCACTAGTACAAGGCAAATTGAAATCACTGTTTCTGAGCCAAAGATATCTTTCCCTGATCATCATAAACAATCTCTCTCATCTTGACGGACCTGAGGTGGTTGACACCTTTACTCAACTCGCAGTCGTGGTAGAAGAGGTACCATTTTCCCTTGTACTGGACGATACTGTGGTGGGTCGTCCAACCGACCACAGGTTCCAAGATGCGTCCGGAGTAGGTGAAGGGACCGTAAGGTGAGTCACCGATGGCGTACGCGAGAAAATGAGTGTCACCCGTCGAGTAACTAAAGTAATACTTCCCATTGTACTTGTGCATCCAGGGTGCCTCGAAGAATCGGCGGTCATGGTCGTCGGCCATCAAAGGTTTGCCGGTTTGTTCATCGAGGACTTGAATCTGTCGGACCTCTTCGGCGAAACTGTGCATGTCTTCGGACAATCTCGCGACCCGGCAGGAGAGTGCTGGTACGTCCGCCCCCGTGGGTTCTTGGGGTCCGGACTTGCTCGGGTCAAAGGTCTGATTGTCCTTCCAACACTGTAGTTGACCGCCCCAGATACCACCGAAATACAGATACGCCCGGTTGTCGTCATCGACGAAACTGGCAGGATCGATACTGTAGCTCCCCGGGATCGGTTCTGGGTCCGGCTTGAAGGGGCCACTGGGTTTGTCGGACTCGGCAACACCGATTCGAAAGATTCCTTGCTTGTCACGAGCAGGGAAATACAAATAGTATTTGCCGTTTTTGCTGGCGGCGTCGGGAGCCCAGAGTTGTTTGGAAACCCATGGGACATCTTCCGTCTTGAGCACGACACCGTGGTCGGTCACGGGTCCGTTGAACTCGGTCAAGGACAAGACGTGGTAGTCTGCCATGTCGTATTGGTCGCCATTGTCGTTGAATTTGATGTCCGTTTCCCGGTCCTTGACGTAGAAAACAAACAGTTAGAAATGGCACCGAAGTTGAGCCAAAAGACTTGTTGACATCATCTTCTGGCCCTCCTAGATAAAGTATTGTCAAGGAGAAAAGAAATTGGACAACTCACATGAGATGGATAGACGTATATCTTGTCTTCGAATACATGTGCAGATGGGTCCGCAGTGTAGATGTGGGTCACTAACGGATTCGATGCCATGTCTTGCAAGATATTGTGATGGATACAGGCTGGATGGAAATCTGTGAGTGTTTAAGGGATTGATTCTACAATTTCGAAATTAGAATCGTTGAACTTGAAAATAAAATGGCAAAGCAAAAGAGAAATGGTTCCTCCGTTTTAAATATTGCAGTTCATTTGCCCTCCATTTGTACGAAGTAGCGTCGAGGGTATTTCTATTTAGCCAGATTTAACCGGGGAACCAGAGGGGCCAGACTTGGGCACTTTGTTCATCGCTGGATGCTTGATTTACACGGGGAAAGACGTAGAGATACAACTTGCAGAGGTCTATTTAGCCTTACGATCATTTTACGATCATTTTTTGAACCTGCCGTTGTGATTGTGTCATCCCACAGTATCATAATCACCGTCGACCAAGATAACGACGAGGACGAGACCTATCGACCACAAGATTGATGGTCCTTACTCATCGACCATATTCGGAGTCGACGCCGCTTTTTCGTACGTGAAGGAACGAAGCGTCTTGCGAATTTTGTCCAATTTTGAGCACGAAGGTGAGATAGATAAGGGGGGTCTGTCATATACCAATATATCAGGAAGAGGATGGTGATTAACTACAGTACAGTCTGCAGCGGAACTCGAGCGTTTAAGCGACATCGGCTGCTTCTGGGCGGGTTCGAGGCGCCAAGGACGAATCAGTGGGCGAGTCATTGGGTGTTCTAGGCGTAATTAGGCAGGTCTAAGCATTTCGTCTCAATGGCTTTACAGTATGATAACTTGATGCCTATGTCGACTGGATTCTACTGTTCGTTACCCAAAGGCTCACGAGGTGTACAGCCCTGCATTCGTAAACCTGTAGGTGGGCAGAAGTGTCTGAGATCAGCTCAGAACTAAGGATCGACTATTTACAAGCCCAACGGTACAATGAAGAAAGTGTTCAAGAATGCTCGCATTTTCACCAGCAGTCCTGCCACCGCTGACCATCTCAAGCACTCTTGCATGGTTACACAAGACGATGTGATCGTACACGTCGGTTTGGACTCTGACGCTCCAGTAGCATCTGCCGAGAAAGATGGCGCCGAAGTTCTCGACATGAACCAACGTACATTGGCTCCGGGCTTCGTCGACGGGCACATGCATTTGTTGATGTTTGGGTCGTCATTGGGGAAAATCAGCCTCGATCACTGCAAAAGCCTCGAGGACATTCAAGTCACAATCAGGGACGCAGCGAAGCGAGACACCACCAAGCCCCGAATTCTATGCCAGGAATGGATGCACTTCATGACCGACTCAAAGGCGCTGGCAAGTGACCTGGACGGACTGGACGAGCTCAATCGACCGATCTTCATCGATTCCAAGGACCTACACTCGACGTGGTGCAATTCGGCAGCGTTGACTGAGATGGGCGTCAAGGACATGCCTGATCCGCCGGGCGGGCAAATCCACCGTGACGACCAGGGGAATGCCACGGGATTACTCAGTGAGGCTGCAGCGGTCACCATCGTGTGGCCTCACCTTGCCAAGGTGGCCTCGATGGAGGAGAAGAAATCGTCAATCAGGCAGGCTATCAAGACGTACAATGCGGCCGGGTACACGGGCATGGTGGAGATGGCCATGGACGAGAATGCGTGGGAAGCCTTGCTCGAACTCAAGTCACAAGAGGAACTGACGATACGCCTGGCCATGCATTGGTTGATATACCCGTCGAAAACCAACGAGGAGAGTCTCCGTCAGGTCGATAGAGCGATCGAATTGTGGAAGCAGTACAACCTAGACACTTCGCCTGATTTCCGAATCGCTGGTATCAAGGTGATCGGTGACGGTGTGATTGACGCCTGTACCGCTGCGTTGTTGCAACCTTACTCCTCCAACGGGGTCAGTTGCGAGCCACTTTGGAACGCCGAACACCTCAAAGCCGTCGTTCAAAAGGCAGACGCCGCGGGAATGCAGTGCGCACTGCATGCCATTGGAGATGCGACGATCAAAATGGCCATCGACGTGCTCGAGACGGTCGCGTCCAGTGGTCGAAGGCATCGCATTGAGCATCTCGAGCTCACCTCGCCCGGAGACGCCAAAAGACTTCAAGAGGCCGGCATCACCGCTTCCATTCAGGCGGTCCATGCCGACCCTTCGATACTGCGGGAGTGGAACAATTTGCTGGGAGAAGAAAGAAGAGGCCGGGCGTTTGCGTATCGAGAATTCCTGGACGAGAGGGTTCACCTGGCGCTAGGTACGGATGCTCCTACCGCCCCGAATCTACCTTTCCCAAACATATATACTGCGACTACCAGACGATCAGCCAGAGAACCAGCCTATGACGAAGTAGTCAACAAGCATTTTGCCCTGCCGTTACTGAACGCATTCGCTGCGGCTACACATGGAGCGGCGTATTCGTGCTTCATGGACAGCATCACAGGCACACTCGAAGCTGGGAAGAAGGCAGATTTCATTGTTCTCGATATGAAATGGTCACCAGACGACTTGTTGCAGGCGAAAGTGCTGCAAACGTGGTTCGGTGGGAAAAAGGTTGCATCTTCATAAGCTATCTCTTGTTTCTGATGAGAGATGATGACATACACTGTGAAAAATGATAAACGAAATGTCAAAACTATTGCTCAATTATCGTGTTTAGGCCCTTCCAGTCAACCTCCATCATTCAAGACGAGGATGAAGACACACCCCTCACCTTTTCATCAGTGTTGTCTGCAAGTCCTCCTGCACCGTCTTTCGCATCTTGAGCTCTTTCTTTGGACGCAGTCATTGCGTCCTTACTGTGCTCCTCCACCGTTCTCGGTACGTCAGCATCGATGTCCTTTGAATTGTCTGTGGCTACTTGTAATCTCTCCTTTTGAGCCTCGAGAGCTCCTGTTGATGCCTACTTAGTCTTTTGTAGATTGCGCACGGTCTCACGTGTCCTCACCGTTACTCGTAGTCTCGCTCGACTTGTTTCTCGAGAACATGCTTCCTACCTTTCCGGCGCCGGCGCCCAGAGCTCCTCCGGCAAATTGTATTGTGCTTCCAAGGCCGTCACCGACTCCCTGAGCAGTCCCTAGGCATCTTTAGAGCCTTATCCCAAGCATAGTAGATGTTATGGCTTGCCTGTTACGCCCTCACCAAGTGTTCCGACAGTGTTGCCAACGGTATCAACCACTCCTTTGACCCCGCCGCCGACTGTACCACCGAGGGCTTGGACAGCGCTTTGTGTGTTCGAGGAAATTCCCTTGGCTTGGTTTTGAGGAATTTTGCCTGCAACGGCAGTCCTGCAACGTTATGACAGTCAGCGTGGTCGTCCACATCCTTGCCATGGACTCACTGTGTTTGTTCTGAAAGTTTATTGGCTTTTGGGTCACCCGGAAAAATGTCTAGATCAACCACTCGGTTCTCTGCTACTTTGACCATAGTGAGCTGGCGGGGGTTGACAAGTAAATCACCTCCGGGGTTCAATCGCAAGCGAAAAGCATGGGACAATCCATCATGTCGTGTCTTGCCTATCTTTATGACCAAGACGTGACGTAAAGCATGATGAGTCCGGTCATGACGATATCTTCACAGCAACGAGGCGAGGGGGAGACGAGATAGACAGGGATCACGGCTTGAAAGAGAAGTCATTGGTGTCACCATGCATGCATGAGTGAATTGCGGGATGCGGAGGTGATGGAGGGACAAGTCTCGCCAGACCTTCCTATGAGGTCTACTATCGCTATACCTTCCTGCAAAGATCTGCTCGTTCTCGTATTCTTCTAGCGATGACTTTCCTTCCTTGATCCAACATTCCGTACTCAGACACCTTTAATGAACAGGTTGTACTCTCGTCTTCTCTTGTTCGACCTGCGCCTCCGACATGAAAGGTGCAGCAAAACCATATGTCTTGTATCCTTGCGAATAGTCCTTACCCTCGACCCGCTCTGCAAATGTTGGTCAGCCAAGAGAATCAATGCACAGTAATCAACTTACCATTATCAGGAGGAAAGTTCTCCCGTCTATGTCTGTAATATTCCTGTCTGAGGTTCTCCCCGTCACTCTTCCCATGGTAGGTCGCATAGATCATACTTCTACTGGTGTTGGTTTGATTGGGTCCACTCCGGTGAGCAAGATGACTGCCGAATAACAGGACATCACCTGGATGCAGAGGGACTTTTGTCCACTCGTGGCTATCTTGCCATGCTTGAGAGATGGCGCCACCATGCGACAGCTCGACGTCCATTTTATGTGATCCCGGAACAACCTCAATACAGCCGTTCTCTGGTGTCGCTTCACCAACAGAAAAGTTTGCAGTCAAATGCTCAATCTTGCCGATGTGGTCGTATGCGGGAGCGTCGAGATGTGCAGCGAACCCATTTCCGAACGGCAGCTTGTAATTGATCTTGTCCTTGAACAAGAGCATATCCTGCACGGGAGATTGTCAGTGTCTTTTTGTTTATCTCCATCCACACGGTGACGGCGCACTGCTCATGCGGATTCTGCGGTTAGTAGATTAACTTACATCTCCAGAAATACTCTTCAATATCTGGGCAATCGCATCGCCACACAACAACTCTTTGAACTCGGGATGATAATCGACAAAGTTCTCCGTCCTCATCAGTTGTCTTTCTCCACTGACGTTCACCTCATGATAAGGCATCCATTTCCCCTTTGCAGCCGGCCATTCTTTGACCTGTTCCGTCCACTGCTGCAAGTCCTTCGGATCGACAAGACAGTGTTCCTCTGCTCGGAGCAACAAATATCCGTCGCGATGGTATTGCTCAATAAGAGCCGGAGTCGGCACGAACGAATTCATGTCGACCACTTGCCAAGAAATCTGGATGGTATGAGTGTATAGAATGGCTTGTACCTGACAAAAGACTCTAGCCCGATTGATATCTACCTTAAGTGGGTAGATAACATCTATCACTTGTCGCGATCACCATCATAGCGTGTCTCACGCCGCTTCCTCTCTGTGGTTTATGTAGAACCAACCGACTGACGTCCCCTAAACCATCGGGCTTCGTGCCGCAACCACACGTGACCCCGCAACGTTCACCCATTGGACAATCCCTCGAAACCACCACATCGATATTCGTGCCGATATCAACCATGCCATCGGCTCACGTCCGACCAGGCAGTCCTCCAAGGTGACACCCGTTCTTGTATGTTGTCAACCCCGGTGGAGTATGAAACTGGAAGAGGCCACAATGGGCTTCCCTGCGAAAGATTGTCACGACTCGAGCTCGAACCCACCTGAATGTAGTTTTGTGCAACACTGTCCGACTTTCTCGGCTCACAATCCGCTTCACACGCCCCAGGCAGACATTAGAAACAACGAGGACTCAGAGTAAACAGTCACATCGATCAGAATATAATAGCTGTATATATTCGAGTGTACACCCGTTTGATTCTCTGATCTTTACATCTCTCTAACTTCATTCAACATATACACCAACACTACACACATAGCAGTGCACGACCAATACCTTCAACCGAATACTAAGTACCGTATTGTGAAAATGCTATCTTCAATCGAAAGTCATGCCGAGTCCACGATCCAACACCTCTTCAACTTCATCACCGCTCAAGGCCACACGGACTACATAGGCGAAGCGGTCTCACAACTCGAACACTCCCTTCAATCCGCCCAACTGGCCGTCGAGGCCGGGGCGGACAATGAAACCGTCCTTGGGGCCTTGCTTCACGACATAGGCCGCTTCATCCCAGCCGCCGACAAGATGCCGGCCATGATCGCCCCCAACGGCACCTACGTCGGCCGCTCGTCCCACGAGGTCCTGGGTGAAAAGTATCTCCGCTCCCTCGGGTTCAGCGACAAGATCTGCCAGTTGGTCGGCGCGCACGTCATGGCGAAAAGGTACCTGACCGCCGTGGACAAACAGTATTACGACGGGTTGAGTCAGTCGAGTAAGACGACGTTGAAGTTTCAGGTGAGCCTAGAATTCATTGATTTTGTGTTTTCGATATGTTGCCTTACAGCGTGATACAGCCGTAGCAAAATGCTCCAATTTGATAGGGTGAACTAACCATCACGGCTTGTATCAGGGCGGTACGTTCACCGAGGAGCAAGTCCGCGAAGCCGAAAAAGATCCTCTTCTCATGGCCAAACTCGCCGTTCGGAGATGGGACGATATGGCCAAGGTTCCTAACCAAGAGACTCTGCCACTACAGTACTATGAACAAATGGCTACCAAAAGCTTACTCGGTACGGGCTACCCAGACCTTGCTACTCCCAAAAGTCGCATGCTTCGTGTACTCTGAGAAAATACTGACTAACAATAACCATGGCTTAGAATCACGAAATGCATTCGAACTTCATGGTCGAACGTATAAACTCCCCACACGACCGACAGTAGCGATATGCATCGACGGTTTCGACCCGGAATATCTGTCACAGGGCGTTTCCGATGGAATCATCCCCAACATGGCGGCGATGGTGAAGTCCGGATTCTCGACAATCGCAAATTGTACCATGCCATCATTCACCAACCCGAACAATGTCTCCATCATTACCGGTGCACCTACTTCCAAGCACGGCATTGCCGGCAACTTCTTTCTAGACCAGGTCACCCGTGAAGAGCACATGGTCCTGGATGATTCCCTGCTCCGTGGATCGACGATCCTCGAGCAAATGTCGAATCGTGGCGTGCGTGTTGCGGCAGTCACGGCCAAGGACAAATTGAGAGCAATCATCAACCACGGCCTGGACTTTCAGAACGCCGGAGCGGTGTGCTTCTCTGCACAGTACGCCGACAAGTGCGACAAAGAAGCCAACGGCATTGAGGATGTTGAGAAGTGGCTTGGTCGACCCACGCCAACTCAATATTCCGGCGACTTGTCCCTCTTTGTGCTCGAAGCAGGAATTAAGCTTCTCGAGGAGGACAAGGCCGATCTGTTCTATCTGACGTTGTCGGATTACGTGCAACACAAATACGCTCCTGGAAGTAAAGAGGCCAACGAATTCATGTCCGGAATCGATCGATGTATCGGTAGACTGATCGAACTCGGCGCCGTGGTGGCGGTGACGGGTGATCATGGCATGAGCGACAAGTGTAACGAGGATGGCACTCCCAATGTCTTGTTCTTGGAAACCGAGCTGAACAACAAATTCGGCAAGGACTTTGCCAGAGTCATTTGTCCCATCACCGACCCCTTTGTGAAACATCACGGCGCGCTCGGATCCTTCGTGCGGGTGCATTTGAATCCGAAAGCAACTGTGCCAATTGAGGAAGTCCTTGAATTCACCAGGACCTTCTCGCAGGTCATGGTTGCCCTCGACGGCAAGGCGGCAGCCGATCAATTTGAGATGCCCCTGGATCGTGAAGGCGACATGGTCGTTGTTTCGGTGAAGAATGCCGTGATTGGCAGCCGGCAGGAGGAGCACGACTTTGCAAACCTCAAAGGTCATCGACTCCGATCGCACGGCGGCCTTTCTGAGCAACAAATTCCCCTGCTGAGGTCTTTGCCAACCAAGGACCAGACTGGTGATCGACAGTGGCACAACTACGACATCTTCGACGTCCTTCTGAACTACTGAGCTGTTTGCAAAGCTCAATGTGTCTGCATTGCGTTCAAGTCTAGATCGAAGTTGAATTCAGCGCCAGGAGAGTACAAAAAGTCGTAATTCTCAAGAAACATCGCGTCCGTTGGACTCAACCATTGGGTGTCTGGATCGAAGGAAACGGAGGGGCCGGAAGGAACCACAGGCTGTGCTGAAACATCTCCTTCTGGTATAGGAGGCCGGTGTGAGAAGCGCTCCAGAAGCTTTTGCATGCTGCTCGCGATACTGGTCAACAAATGGCGAGGGTGCATGCTTGCTGTAATGTTCTTTAGCACTTTTACCAGGCTGTCCAGGGTCTCCATGATGGGTTCTTTGTCGATTCTGAGACTCAGGGGGTTTTTGATGGTGACTTTTAATAGGAAAACAAATGCAAATGCGATCATGGTGTCGAAATAGGCAGGCAGTCCTTGGAGGTAGGACTGTATTTCCTGATCTGCGACGATCACGGCCAGGATTGATGTTGCAGAATGAATGGCCATGTTTGCAAACTCTTCCAGGTCCGAGTCAAGTTGGACTTGTTCGTCGTTGGGAGAAGGGGCCCGCCGGAACACGTGGGAACAGAGATATAGTTTTGCAAAGTGATAATGTAAACCCACTCCTTTCCGTGGATAGTTCCCGACCGAAGAGTTGTAGCCAAACCGTTCCTGCCAGTCCGCTCTCCACGTGTCCAAGGCGATACTCAGTCTGCGAATGTGAGGGGTCAATTGCTCGGACAAGTGAGCTTCCGGGTCAAGACTGAACTGGTCAAAGACGCGAGTGGTGATGGTCCAGACTTCGACCTGGCTGACAAGTCGAGAGTCTTCCTCGGTGGCAAATTCGGATTTGAGAAATTCGCTGGGCGGAGTGACAGAGCTGAAGTCGCGGGTCAATGGTGGCCTCCCGTACGTGATCGAGAAGTGATGATCGCAAACAAAGACGAGGTAGTAAAGGCGGGTGCGGAGGTAGCAAGCCTTTTTCTCATGCGGCGCTTTGGGTATACATCGGTGTAGGTTCAGTTCTCCAGCAAGACGGGCGGCTGTACCATGATCGCATCAATCAGTCAGCAAAAGCCATACGGTAAGGGCATGTGCCAGGTGAAGCGGGAGGGTGGGGGATGACTGTCGCCTACCTGTGCCAACCAACGTCCACGAGATGTCACTCAACCAAAAAGCACCGATGCAGAGAGCCCTCACGTCATCATGGTTGTTCCTCTTGGAGAACATCCTCGTCGAAGCCAAATTGACAAAGTGTTGGTAGCATGCTTGATAGTGCGAGGAGGGCGTATGAAGAGCTCCGACTGCACAGATTGCGGCAGTGAGAAGAGGTGAGCTCTTCCTGACACTCGACAATGAGTCATGCTCGTCCAAAATTCTGTAAAGGAAATGATCCAGGCGTTGATAGTATAGCGTAAAGAAGGACTCGGCATCGACCATGCTGATGACCCCGCAATCTATGATGTCGAAATCACCAGCCATTTGGCTCCGGAAGGCACTCGGCGAAGCGTCAGAAACCTCAGAGACCACCGACGCGGGAACGACCCCGGGGCCTCTGTTCAAGTCCATCACAACTTCCCAGCCTTGCTCGTTTTGTTGCTTCTCCTGTGGATGGTGATGCTGTGTCGGGGCTGCCATGACTCCTCCCGAAGTTGTTGACTGGATTTGAGCCGGGGTATTGTTTTCCTGAGGACTAACGTACGTCGAACTGGTCGACCCAGAAACATTGCATTGTCGGTTGAGTCTGCCGATGTTGTCCTCCAGTTGTCGTAGCTTCTGCTCGATGTTGGCCTTCCAGCTTTTGGAACGTAAATGTCAGTTTGGGATCGAATTGTCCCCAAGAAAGTGTTTCACTTACGCCACGTCGCCCTCCAAGAGCATCTGTAGGCTTCGATTCACCACGCAAGACAATCCTCTCTTCCTACATCGCGTACACGGCGGTGTCCCGTCTGTCATGTGACATTTGATTTTCTGTTTCCGGCAGGCCACACAGGCAGTGATTTTCCGGCTGATATCGATGGGTTTTCGATCACCAAAGGACTCCCGCAAAGCCTGTGCGGCGGACGAGCCGACCTCTATGTCGGCATCCATTGCGATCCGGAGGACAGACCTAGATGTAAGCGCACGAGAAGGTGATGACAGCCATGGTCTCTATGAAAGATGGAATGGCTTCGGAGTTACTCGTGGCGTCGGATTGATGTGATCGTGATAATGTCGGTCGTGGGATTCTGGCCAATCACCAGCAATAATTCCTGCCATCCACGTGCGAATGACCCGATGCCGATTGGCTCAACGGAACAATTATTTTCCCTGTCTCAGATACACGAAACAAAATCCAGCCACCAACAAGACTCTGTGCACCATCTCTGTTCTCGCTTGATCCATTTCTTTCCCTGCCTAGACATCGCTCGAGCTCCGATATGGAGAATGGCTGTCAGACGAGGCCACCATGTCTGGCCTGCGGGCTTCATGCCGCAGAAAAAAGACGTCTCGATTTCTCACGTTCTACCTTCCATCATCTCAATGGTCTCGCCTAGTCGACAACTCATGCACGTGTTGGGCCTCGAAAGCTCCATTCGTTTTGGTCTCTCCGTGTTCACATATCAGTTCATCTTCCATCTCGATATATCATCATGCCGCGACGGGGCTTGGCCCGAGGTCGAACAAGGCTGAATGAGCCCCCTGTATGATCAGGAGTTTGGTATATCTAGAGCCAGTCGAGCCTGAGAAAGTTCAATTTCGACACGGCACTTCAGCAGAGTCGAAGTCGAGTCCAGCCATCATCTCCTGCAGACAACAAACCACACAGTCCGTTGCTTGACATAGTGCACCTCAGATCACCGGCACCATGCGTACTTCATCGTACTTCTCCAATATCAAGTTCTTGATCGTTGCTGGTGTTGGCCTTTTTGGTGATGGGTACTTGAACATTAGCATTGGACTTGGTGAGACTTCCATCGCCTCTATAGCAGATATTTTTCTAACCCACCCTAGTCGTCCCAATGATAGGCTACCTCTACTTCGATGACAAGAAGAACACGATCCCCACCATATCTGGGGATCTCATCAAGTCTGGCCTCGCCATCGGCATGGTCTGTGGTCAAGTCGGCTTTGGGATCTTTGGTGACGCTCTGGGCCGCCACAGGATCTATGGAAAAGAACTCATGTTCACAATCTTTGGTACTCTGATGGTCATTCTCATGCCATGGGGGCACATTTCTCACCAAAGCGTACTTGCGTGGATGACTGTTTTCCGTATCGTCACCGGATTCGGTATCGGAGGAGGTAAGATCCTCGTCGTTGGCGAAACGGCTAAAAAGAAGGCAGCTGGCTGATGAGCGTTCCCAGATTATCCAATGACCTCTTCCCTCTCTGCCGAACACACTCCCATGGGCTCCCGTGCGAAACTCGTGGCGACAATCTTTTCCTCCATCGGTCTCGGAAGTATGACTTCAAGCATCGTCTACCTGGTGCTCCTGGCTGCGTTCAAGTCTTCTGTCAACGACAATATTCACCACCTTCAATGGGTCTGGCGATTGCTCTTCGGCATTGGCCTCATACCTCTCATCTGCACTTTATACTTTCGCTTGACGATGCCTGAAAGCAAGCCGTATGAAAAATGTATGTCACAAATCTAACCTGCGTGCTGGGAATGTCCAGTTGCTGATGATCCTATAGATGTTGCTACAGAGACATCTCTGAAACATAATGGCCAGCGTGGTCTTCATCAGCAATGGCGAGATTTCAGAGTTTACTTTTCCGAATGGAAACACGCCAAAGTGTTGTTTGGTGTCAGCGCAGCTTGGTTCCTCTTGTGAGTTTTTCTTTTCCCGAAGAGCATCAGATATATTTATGTATTGACTTTTTGGTAGTGACATTGCATTCTACGGTATCAACCTAAACCAATCTATTGTACTGTCAAAGATTGGTTATGGTAAAGCCGACACGCCGTGGGGTACTCTGTGGAACACGGCCGTCGGTAACATTATCGTCTCTTCTGCTGTAAGTACCCTAGTCTCCACTTCCACACATCGGTACATGTACGTTTCCAGCTGACAAGCCCGGTCGTCAAGGGGTACCTTCCCGGATTCTACATTGGCATCTTCCTCCCCGACCTAGTCGGGAGAGTAAGTCAACAATTCTGGTGCAGTGTGGGAGTCGTCATTCTCTACGCCATCTGGGCGGGGGTATCCCACCACACTTCTACCGGCGGGCTCGTCACCATTTTTACTCTCTCTCAGCTTGTTCTTAACATGGGCCCCAACGTGTCAACCTTTTTGTTGCCTGTCGAGGTTTTTCCCACCCGCGTCCGGGGTACCGCTCATGGTATCGCCGCTGCGTCAGGAAAGGTCGGGGCCATCGTCACATCTTTCGCGTTTGGTTCATTGACGGACGCCATCGGTCTTCCCGGTGTCTTGGGTTTCCTCGCCGGCATCATGGCCTTGTGTGCAGCCGTGACCTTGTTGATTCCAGAAACCAAAGGTCGTTCGATCGACGAAATCGAACGTGGAATCCTATACGGGGAGGATGATAAGAGCGGGCAAACCACAAGCTCCTCCGACTCTTCTCCCGAGTTGGAAGGACGCGACCAAGTCTTTTCCAAATCTGCAGAAGCATGAGGACGACCTGTGACTGGCCAAGTAAAGCGCTTTCGACTGAGGTGGGAGGATGGTGGAGGTATCATGCCCTCTTACGAATTAGATGGGGACGTCATTCTTTTTGGACATCAGTGTCGAATATTGATTTGGATAATACGCGTTCTAGGGTTGTTATCTTTTGCCGGGGAAAAAGAGCCATCCAAGTAACCGGCAATGCTTCTCCGGCTCAAAATCCAAAGATTTAGGACCGAGACAAAATTTCGATTCTATTTTATCCTTTTCAGTCCTTGACCTACCATTTGAAACGAATGTGAAATTGATTAACTTTAATCAAAGAACATTACACTAAAAAGCACCGTTGTAAAGTAATATAGTGTCCCTCGAACCGAAACCCAATAATGTCATCCATATCCTGAGACTTGTGTGTCCTGAGGCCTGTACCTCGCGTAATCTTTCTCCAGTGTTCTTTTTCTTCTCCTTTACGGGTAAATCTCTTATTGCGGGTTTCATCCATGATCCGGTCCAAGTCACTTTACATGATCTCAATGAGTCAGGGGCCGGCGATGGTGACCTTGGCCACATCCTCGGCACTGGTAAAGGGGCCAGAGCTGTTCGTCAACGCGGCAATGGTCAAACCGTTGAGCAGGTTCTCGGTATAGGGAAAGAAGGCTTCGAACGTGGCCATGCCATTGGAGACTTGGGCGTTCTCGACCTTCTCGACGATGGGGACGTTTTGGCTGTTGATGTAGACGAGGCTCAAGCCGGCAGGAGGGCTTGACTTGTCGACGGGGACGCTGAACGAGAGGGTCTGGTCCTTGGGTTCGATGGGGCTGGTGTTGACGGTCAGGGGCAGGAAGATGGGGAGGTCGATCTGGTTCTCGTTGGGGCAGGTGCCGGGGACGACGACGGCCTGGTTGAGGACGCTGAAGGCGAACTCGCGGCTCGAGCGGGTCAGGAAGGGCAGCTCGCTCGGGGTGAGGCCGGCGAAGAAGCGGAAGAATCCCGTCTGTTCGCCCTCTTGGCCGATGACGGACCCGATCACCGGCACGACGCCGTCGTCGTTGTTCTGGGCCAGGTGCAGCTGGACGTCCTGGAGGGTGCCCAGGACGACATCAGTAAAGGTCTTGGCGAAGGCGAGGGCGTCGTCGAGCGTGGCCGAGGGGAACTTGTACTGGCACGGCTGGATGGGGTCGGCGCCGTTGGCCATGAGGATCTTGTTGGCGTTGTCGGCGTGCAGCTCCTCCTGGGCCTGGATGGCCGTGATGGCGTTGATGACGAGCTGACGCGTGTTGTGGTCGTCGATGGTGAAGCCGGGGACGTTGGTCGTGATGTTGAACAAGAGGTCGGTGAAGAAGGCGACTTCGAAGATCTCGTTGAACGCGATGAGCCTGAAGCTGGTCAGGTCGTCGGCGGCGAGACCCGTGGGGGCCCCGCCGTTGGGTTCAGTGCCGTGGGCTTGGATCTCGGTGGCGTTGAGCTCGTCGGGGCTCAGGTTGGGGAAGCCATTGGAAAGAGGGAAACTGAACGGGTTTCCTGACTTGAGGGGTGCAGGTGGACCGGCCGGTGGTGGTGCGGGTGCGCCGCTGGGTTGGGAACTCCCTGGGCCATAGCCACCGCCGTTGCCGCTGCCTTGTCCCTCCCATTCACCCCAGCCGGATGAAGCGACAGGAATGGCATTTGCAGCTGACAACAAGGCAGCGCCTACCAGGATGGCGGATGAAAAATGCATTATGGATCTTTTTGATCTTTGCAAAAGGGTAGGTAGGTATTAGATGATGGCGAGTAAGATGTTAGTAGACTTGTCAAACGAATGTAACAAGTTGGTAAAGAATGGCTTAACCAATTATTAGGAAGCTTGAAAAAAGAATGTCCAAAGGAGATGAAGATTGAGTGATGAAGATGTTTCGCTGGGAGCAAACATCGGCCGCATTATATGCTTTACCCGTAGACCTACCTTGAGCAGCTTGAGCAACAGTGAGATATTGATAGTTTGAGTGGCGCATGCTGACGTGCCTGATGGATCAAATTGGTCGGCGTGTCTATCCTAGGGAACGACAGTGTTTGATTGTATTTCAGGCCTTGGTCCCAGGGCTGCCCATGCTTTCTGAGAATGTCGTGTGTAGATCAGAGTTCGCGGAGGAGCCTGTGTAATTGGAAGGATCGAACAATATAGTCGGAGCTCTATGTTCACCGAGAGTATGGGCTGGTCCGGTGCGCGTTCTGTGAAGCTTTTCTGGAGCGGCACGTTTAGTCATGCTGGCTATCTTTGGCGCTTTTGTGCGAGAAGCAGATCCTTCGACAATTGGTGATACAATGCCGCGGCTTGTACTTCGCATAATGACTGTTGATGGCCGCAGTCTGCATGAACGAACGCCACATGGCACGGTTCTTCGTTCTGCGTCTCCGCAATCCACTTTCCGGTCAGCAAAGACGGCTGTGGGAAAATTGACTATCGAAATAGCGGCCGGTCCGTCTAAGCTGTTTGAGGGCCAATTAAAACGAAGACCGCAGGCTCTGTCGACTCGCGTGAATGTTCGGGTCTCATGAGGACATCCGATCATAGCTGGTGAGCCTTCGCAAGCTCAATCAAGGCTCCATCGTTTAAAAGGAGACACCCAGGCCGGCAGAGAATTGCAAGGCTTGAATTACCCCGTAGAGTATGAATAGGTGTCAGAATAACAAACGGCAGGAGAAGAAAATAGCTAGGGAGGCCCTGGTCGTTTGGTAGAGCGAGGCCACCCACCATGATATTCTAGGAAGACTTTTGTGGCGCTAAGTCAAGTCAAGCTCACCTAAGCTTCCTGGACTAATAACTAAATAAGTAAAGAACTGTAAGCACGTCAGTCCGGCCTTGCAGAGGTTCTGGTGCATCTCACCACTACTCTCCGGTCCACGTTGACCGGACGGCAAGTCTTCCCTCTCTGTCTGGTCATATGTACCTAGGGGACACGTGGGGAAGCACCAGCGTGCTTGAGGCCGATTCCCTCCTTTCGCCAACAAGGTTACTCTGCATCGGGCTACATGACAGCGGTGATACTTGTATGACGAAGGGATGGAAATAATGGTATTCAGCTGACCGGACCTTCTCGACAGCCGAAATTGGCTGGCTGACAATGCATTTGGTGTGAGCAAACCTGCATGTGTACTATAGCAAATTCACTACGAAATGCCCTTTCGAGATTCGCACCTGAAGCTGAGAGATATGAATGCTAGAAGTGACAACCCTCTCCTAGTGGACAGCCTCCTTGATGAGCAGATACTATAGCGCGGCGTCCAGGCCGTGTCGAGATACTACCATCTGAGTGCGGGAACAAGACAAAGACCAGATTTTTGCTTGCTGCGATATATTTCCATTTTCATCCCTTAGGCGAGTTTCAGACAAATGCCTGGCTGCATTGCCTTAGAATAGGTATCTTCCATGAATAGGCTGTGGCTATTTTGAAGTCCCGAAAGAGCCTGATACTGCTGGTCGGGTACGTATCGAATACTCAGCGACCCATCGACTTCATCCACCCTCGTTCGCATGATCCACTCGTCGTATGGTAGTCCAACTGCACTACCTCCTTTACATGGTCACTGCATTGGCGTGGTGTTGGAGACGCCACTTGAACCTGGACAAATCCCGGTCGGCTCAAGGTTAAACGACTCAACAAGCTTTCGGCAACAATAACGCTATCAAAGTGATGGAGTGTACAGACTCCGGGCCTCTTGTCACATTTAACGACCTGAAGAAGGGTTTCACGCGAGTCGATCGGAGAGGCCTTTCCTCAGCTTGTTCTGCAGTGCGCGACTCGCATACTAGCGGCATTCCGACTGCGGCAAACAAGAGCCAACACGACATGAAAGGGCTAACATTCGAAATGGCTGGCGATCCTATAAATGGGCGTGACTCAGTCCCAGATTGCGGGCGGGTCGGCTAATAGGTCTAAGCCTGAGAGAACCAAGTATGATTCACGTATTCGCTGAAGGACATCGGGTCCATCCTATGGACAGGAGAGGTTTTTCCTTCACCTTCCATTGAATAGCTTGAGGAACAGCTAGAGCAGCTTATAGGATTAATACCAGCTTCTACTTCGTCTAATTTGCAATTTACCAGCCAGACCTTCTGTCTGTCGATCAATCCTTCGAACACGAGTCTCTTCAAGTTGACAATTTTGAGGAAATCTCCTGGACGTGGTGTATCCTCACCCCGTGTAGTCTTGGCATTGCATACAGTGGAATGAGTTTGTTATTATGGCGAAATGGGCGTGGATGAACCTACTGAGGTCTTCGATTGTGTGGTAAGGAGTAAAGAGTAGAACTTGTCAACATTACATTTCTCGATAAAATTGAGGTTGTTTTCTTGAATGAATTTCGATACAAATATGCCTAGTCCTAGTTGGGTTAGACTGTGCTTGAGGCTAATAACGGCCGGAACATCAGCCGATGCGGAGTTTCTGGAGTCTGGAACGTGCCATCCTTCATTCATTCAACCTTCACTCTCTTCAACACTTCATCATCACCCCTTTGTTTGCAATTGCATCACTTAGACAATACCTCGGTACCTCGAGTTCTACAAGACATCTTTCATTCGTGGCCCATATTCCCCCCGGCTCGAAGCAATTACCGTAGGACCTCGAAGATCCAGCCTCGTCCTGGGTAACAGGACCGTTTGTTGGAAATCACGATCTTGGCTATACACAAGATATTTTTGAGCTACAGATCTTGAAAATCGCGACTGTCATTTAGAATCGTTGTGTAAAGGTGGCCACTCAGGCAGTCATGGCTTCGCCGGCCATGCACCCCATAAGACCGGGCCTTGTCGACCCGAGGCGTCCGGGGGAGTATCCTATCATCCTAGGCGACAGCTTGAAAACCGACGGCAAATCGAACAAGCTCATTAACATACGCTACAACTGGCAACCGAAATCTGGCTTTCAATCACGAGACAGCCAACTGACAGAATCTGGCGACAAATACTCCCTGGTCGTGCAGGGTGACGACTCGGATGACGGAGAGTATCAGTACAGAGGTACACTTCAACCAGCGAATCCTGGCAAAAATGAAGAGACCTCGAGGTCTTTAGCTCTCGTGTTCGACAAATCCAAATCAGTATTCGTACTTGAATCCTTATCAGCATCTCTGGATCTGAATCTCAAGTGCGGTCCCGGTCAGCCTGCGAGGGACGCGCGAGAACTTCCACAGCTATCCTCAGATCGACAGTCCTCCAAACAGACTGCACAAGCGAACGTCGATAGCAGTGCGCCTCCATCGCCCGACGACGAAGGACCAGACCCCTCCAACCCTTACGACTTTCGAAATTTCCTCGCCGAAGCCCGTGAGAACATCGACAAAACCTCACAACAGCAACAACAGGGCAACCGTACCCCGAACCCAGGTGGTATGACCCCTCTGAGTGGCGTATCTACACCGGTCCCGGGCTCCAGCCGCTTCAAACCCACAACGCCACAATTTCGACCGACCACCAAACCAATAAACAAGACCGACAGGAGTTCTGACGCTCCTCGCGCCCGCGCGTCGAGTGGTGCATCAAAGACGGCGTCGAAACGCGACAAACCCTCTACGTCGACTACGAAATCATCAACACAACAACCCTTGAGCAAAGAGCGAATTACTGACTCGGACGATGATTCTGACGACGACAGCACTAGCCTCGCCGTGTCGAGAGGCAGAGACAAACTCTCCACTTCTGCCACGAAACCCACCAAACCTGCGCAGCCAGTACGCAAGGCGCAACACTCGCGCAATATATCATCGACAAACGACGCCTCGCCGCACATCATCATCAACGACAACGACGGTGATCTCGAAATCGACATGGGCAGTCCGCCACCCGAAGACCGCGCCCGGAGGACGCGTGTCGACCCCGAGATGTTCCGCAGCCACACGGGCACTCCTATCGCCGGGCTATCCTCCAACAATAACAGCGCGAGGCCATCGTCGTCGTCAGCCAGACCTTTATCCCGTCTGAACGGTATGGATAGTGCGCATGGCACCGGCAGCGGAGACAGAGACAGAGACAGAGATGTGAGGATGAAGGATATCGAAGCCGACTTGTCAGACGATGAGGACGGCGACGTCGAAGAATTCGAACTCGGCAGTCCTCAAGAGAAACAATCTGCGCCACGTCAACAACAACAAAATGCTGACCCGCCGGCGGTGGCAGCGGCCGCGACGACAGCAGCAGCAGCAGCAGAAGATGAAGACGACGAAGGGTTCCTAGAGGCCGCTCTCGAGGCCGCGTTTGGAGAAGAGGATGAACAGGCCGGACAACACAGCGGCGTCGGGTTGGGGATAGGGATGAATGCACAGCTGCAACAGCAGGACGATGAGAGTGAGGTCAGTGAGGAAGAATAGAGAGAAACCCGTCTGAGAGAAGCATCGATCCACCTGGACAACACCACGCGGCACGTCTCATGACTTTCAAAAAGAGAGGAGATCAAGACGAAGGCTGGCTTTTTGGATGGATCAGGACCAAGCGCGTGATTGTTGGATTAAAAGAGTGAGCTTTCACAGAGACTTCTGTACGAAGAAGTCCCCCCTTGCAGAGATTTCAAATGAGTACCTAGGTAAACCGTTTGGGGTATAGAAACGTATACACCGTTAACGCGTATTTTGATGATGAACAAAAAACGATCTTTCACTTTGACACTCTCTCATGCCTATGGAGTTTTTTCTTTTTTCTTTTTTCTTTTTCCCCTTGAAAAAGGAAACGATGTATACAGTCTTGTTATACTCTGTAAGACTGTGCTACTCTAATCTTTTCTGGCTTTTCTTTTTCGACGTCATCTATGTTTTCCATCATGAAACATACATTGCACACACCTCTCCTTATGTAAGGATGATCACACAGAGTCGTGCCGTTTATTGTCAACCAAAAAGAAGATACAAGTCAGGTCAAGTCAAGTCATGGCATTTGGGTTTACCTGTATTCGTACAAATCTCAATGACTCCTCCGACTCTATTTTTAATCCTCACCGCCAGCGCCTGCAGAGAGACCGTTTCCACCCGCTTGTTGGGCGCTCTTCGCACTACAGATGTCATCCACACGCAGTAACAGACACGCACTCTCCACGGCCGTCTTGATGCTCTGAGTCTTGACCGCCTGTGGCTCCCACACGCCGTACTCCTTCATGTCCACCACGTTCCCGGTGTCGCCGTCGATGCCGAACGTGGATTTCCCCTCGGCGTGCTTGGCGCGCAGTTGTGTGAGTATGCGGATCGGACTGGCTCCGGCGTTCTGGATCAGCGTCCGGGGGATGACCTCCATGGCCTCCGCCACGGCCCTGTACGGCCACTGCATGACGCCCTCGACGGACTTGGACTTTTGCGCCAGCCGCACCGACACGGCCATTTCCGTGGCGCCACCTCCGGGGGACAGTCGAGGGTGGAACATGACGTTCCGTGCGACGGACATGGCGTCTTGCAGGTTTCGCTCGATTTCGTTCAAGATGTCCTTTGAAGGTCCACGGAGGAGGATCGTGCAGGCTTTGGGGTTTTTGCACTTTGTGAGGAATGTGAAATATTCGTCGCCGATCTTTTCAATCTCAAACAGGCCACAACCTGTGCCTACGTCTGACTCTTGAAGATCATCGACTCGGTTGACGATGGTGGCTCCCGTGGCCCGCGCGATACGGTTGTTGTCTGTTTTCCGTACTCGTCGCAGCGCCGTTACGCCGGCCTTGACGAAGTAGTGCTGGGCCAGGTCTGACACTCCCTTCTCCGTGATGACCAGGGTGGGCTTGACTGCCAGGATGGCTTCGCACATCTTCTTTACTTGCTCTTCTTCAATCTGCAAGATCTTGTTCCACGAATCCTCATCTGTGATTTCGACGTTTGTTTGCGACTCTCCCTTCTTGTACTCCAGCGTACAATCCAGCAGAACGATCCTTGGGTTCTCTATCCTCCTCTTCATGGAAGCGTGTGTGATGTCCTTGTTCAGCATAACTCCGTCTAATACTCTCGAGTCTTCAATCTCGCCTCCAGGGATCTTCTCAACACGCGCGTATCTCTTGATGTCGACTTCTTGGGAGTGTGTGGTGTTAGTGGTGGTGGCGGAAGGTTTGTTGGTGCCGTTTAATTGGACACTACTGGAAAAGAAGGATTGATCTTGTGATACGGTTCGGACTGCTTTCAGGGCTAAAGAGCACATCAGTTCGGAGTGGCGGGAGATGGTCTTCGTCCCGATGGAGGACTCGATCAGAGAGATCATGGACTTGTCGTTGGACGTATCGACCGGTACCGAAATTTCTTCCACGATCGCCAGGGCGTCGGTGAGGGCTTTCTTGAAGGCTTGGATGATCACGACAGGATGGATATTCCGCTCCAGTTGTGGTATGGCTTGCGCAAGCATCTCTCCGGCTGTATTCTCGTCAGTCCAGACGACATACCATATAGCTTTGATGACATACCCAATATGATTACCGTGGTCGTACCATCCCCAACTTCTTCATCCTGAGTTCTGCTCAATTCAATCATGCTTTTTGCCGCGGGGTGGGCAACTTCGATTTCCCGCAGGATGGCGTGGCCGTCGTTGGTCAAAACAATGCCTCCCATCGGGTCGAGGAGCATTTTCAACATTGCTTTGGGTCCGAGACATGATCTTATGATATCCGCAACACTGTGGCAGTCAGTACGAACGGTCCGCCGTCGAGAAAACCGCATTTACTCACGTCTTTGCAGCCGTTATGTTTGACATCTGAGCCTTGCGTCCGACCTGTCTCTCACCGCTCCCCGTATCTGATACCCTGTCAGCATGTACTCAAGAATATCTCTTTCTGCGCCGCCTGCTCACTCATAACAACCACTGGGGCCTGCATTTTGCCTGCGCTTCCGGCCTCGGGCCCTATTCGAATTCGGATTGGACCAGGAGATTGGCTGAGCGTAACGTAATATCAATGGGAATGTCCTCTAGACTAGCAACACAGTCTTCCCAAGTTGACAGTAAGTGCGACGATTTGATAGACTTGTCTGTTAAAGATTTCCTGGCACCACAATAATTCCGCATGCCATGGTGGAAAAAGACGTCATTTGAAATAATATGCCACCGACCCTCGTTGTTGGAATTACATAAGCCTTGGCAAGCTCAACGAGATGGTGCCGCTTTTAAGACCATCTCCCCGTCACTCACCCTTTACTCACTTCTTCTAATCCTTCTACTCATGATCTCACGTACCCTCGCAGCAATCGTCTAATTTCTACTACCGTCCCATCGTACGGCTAGCGATAACCGGGGGACTTCATTTTTGGATCCCTGCCGAGTAGGTTGCGCAATAGTACAAGATAGCGATAACCTCATCCATGGGTTTGGGTAACATAATACTCTATTGATGAAGATAATCTCTCAGGCTTGGTACAGAATCTGTCTCTAAGCGGTGGGAACCGCACCCTGCTTCGCCTTCTCGATTGCCGACAGGTTCGAGCCGAGCCATGCCGATTTCTCTGTCAAGATGCGATGCTTGATCTCGTCCAGAGGTGCCGCCTTGGACCGATCGATGATGTTCTTCGATGACTCAAGAAGATCCTTTCTGAGAGTTGGCCAGTCAAAGCCAGTGAGGTTCCCTCCCTGCTTCACTATCAACCCGTCGATCAATACCGTGTCAACGTCCGAGGCATTCGCGTAAAGTACCAAGGCTCTGACGGGGTCATGCACAGGCGTCAGCCGCATCGACGTGCACTTGGTCAATACGAGGTCTGCCCTTTTGCCCACAGTGATACTGCCGATGACATCCTTCAAGCCCACGCACTCGGCGCCGCCCATGGTGGCGAGCCGCAGAACCTCGTGACATTTGCGCGAGATGGTAGTGGGAACGCCCTCGACGGCCACGTTGTCCGTGTTGCGCTGTGCCTGCAGCATGAGTCGCATCTGCTGGAACATGTCGATTGGGTTGTTGCAAGCCACGTCGCATCCCAGGCTCGCGTTGCACTTCCGGTCCGCGGCCCGGAACACGATGGGAGGTCCCATGGCCATTTGCATCTCGGTCTCGGGCGTCACCGACAACGACACACCGTACTCGCGCACCGCATCCAGCTCGTCGTCGTGCAGTGATGCGCAGTGACTGAACAACAAGTCGGGTCCGAGCAGCTTTCTCTGTTTCAGCTTGCGGATGAAGTTCACGCCCCGGTCCATCTTGCCGAGTGAAATATGACCGGTGATCAGTGCCGCACCGATCTTGCGCCCGTACTCCAATTGTCCGATTGATTCATCGACAGAGTAGCGTTCGACCTCAGCCGGCGCAAATCCAAATCGCAGGAGGGTGTCAGGGCTGTTGGTAGGGAAATATTTGTCCTTGACGCGTTTGGCGTCTTCGAGTCTCCAGTCGGGTACCGTTTCGTCCTGAATAGTTCCCTCGGCGACCCCAGTCCATTTTTGGTTGCGATACAGTCCGTAGCAGAAAACAGCGCGGATCTGGGCGTCGCGGAGCCCTTCGACCACGGCGTCGCTATGCCTCGGGCTGTTGATCATGTGGCAGTGGTCGATGAGGAACGTGATGCCGGCGTCGATAGACTCCAGAGCTCCAACGAGATTGCCCAAGTAGGCATCACGTGCATTGTAGCACGATCCGTAGATGTTGCGGATGTTGAAGAAGTACTCCGGCAACAGTGCGTCGGAAGTGACATTTTTCAGCTGTGTCTGCCAAGTATGGCGGTGCGTGTCAACGAAACCCGGAGATATAATACAGTCTGTGGCGTCGATCTCTGCTATGCCGTTGGGAACCTTGAGGTTGTTGCCAACGGCGGTGATGGTACCGTTTTCAACAAGGACATCGCAGTTGTACTTCACTCCAATCTCCTCGTCAACCGAGACGACTGTGCCGTTTCTGATGTGGTAGCTCTTTGACATCTTGGCAGGCCTTGATCTTTGTGTTCGAGCCCAGCATATGATTCGGGGGCCGTCGAGAATGTTAACTTGGAAATGGTGCGATACTTGACCCTCGGGCAAAATATAGCTCGTCCCCAGACACAAGCCAGATATGGTTAGCAAACTTCGGGAAATGGGGTACATTTTCCGGAGGCTCATGCCATGCTTGCCTACTCTCGGTTGAGGGTATTGTATCCCGTTGTCAGCTTGGAGCACAGACCACCCCATGCTGCCGAGTATGGACATCCTGTATAAGTTATATCATGACTTGCTACGATGACATTGAATCCGAAAGCGTGGCAAAGTCTCGGCCCACATACGGATTGCTCATGGTTGGGTCTGCGTGCAAGTTGTATGTCGTGGTCATGCCAGGGCCAGTGTTGAAGTGAAAATCCTCTGGCATCCACTGAAAAAGATCAGAGGTGCCCAGCATGGGCTGGAAAAAATCCAGCGAACTCCCATTGTTGTAGTAGTCCATTTCACTAGGCAGAATAGTAGATGGCCCGTCGTATATGGACGGAGAGGTGTTGAAGTCGATCGGTTCCACGGCTGGAGCCATATCAGGTTGAGCCGATGAAGAGACATGGTGTTGAGCCTTGCCAGTGGCTGCTCGGTCAACTGATGGCTGTCCGCGAGGCACTTCAGTCGCTTGTGACCCTGCATCCATGCTGGTCTCATCTGGTCCAAGCTCTGTAACCTCATCGCCTTCAGCCGAATAGCCACCATCCTCATTCCACAGAATACCATTCATACTCAATATGGAAGCTCTTGCACGAGACGCCCTGATGCGGAATCCTGCCAGCTTCCCCGAAGTCAATCCGCGAGGTTCGTCGTCTAGACTCAGGCTGTTCCGTGCATGCATTTGGGTCAGATATTGAGCATATTTTTCCTTTTATACACATGGGTCAGTTTGCCGCCATCAAGTGTTAAAGCAGTTGATCGGATAATTACTCACCAACAACGCCACGAATTTCCAGTATCTAGCCATGCCACGGATCACATGCAGGTTGATTAAAACGTTGCTTTGAGTCCTTTCTCTCACCGATGCATTCAGGCACCATTTGAATGGGATCTGAACAGCAAAGCTGCAGTAAGCGGCGAAACCAATGAAACTTGGAAAGTATTCCACCTCAGGAAATTGATTGAGGACCATCTCAAATAGTCGAGATATGGCACAGGCATTGTCGTACGCAATCTGTGCCGAGAATTTCTGAGACAAAACCGTAGTCGACTCGTCTGCACCCCAAGAGAACAGCGGTACGATGGAAGCATGCAGGGCACAGAGGCACTGGTAATATACGATATTGATCAGGAGGATTTTGGCGAGATTCGTTCGCTGAGAATTGCACAGATTTTTCGACGTGAGATGCATGTCTTCCGGTATCTCAGACCACCATTTATTGATCTTTGCATCCAGTTGATGTATGGCTGTGACGCGCGTTTCGGGCGTCAAGTCGGCATTCTTGATCAGTGCATTGACCGATGACCTTCATGATGGTCAGTGATATGTGACTCGATGAGCATCGCGACTGCCTACCAATGTGTCATTCCTCTTATCATCTCACTGTATACGCCCGAATTACTGGACCCCGAACCAAATGTGACGGGGGCACTTTGCGAAAATCCTCCCTCAAACTCATCATCGCGCCAGGGGAGCGGAAGTTGGGCAATCTTTTGCGGCGTGCTGATAACGAACATTGACTCTGTGCTGTGGCAATTGATGAGGTAACAGGCCCAGAAGCGCCGTCGCGAGATCTCGGCGGTCAATGAGCGGTCTTTAGCTATTTCTTCCCCGGCAAGGTCGAGGATATGAGCTGTTTGCATTGCATTCCCTGATGACATTAGCTCTTCGCACAATTTGGTATGTGTCCCGTGATTTGGATACCTTTATGAATGTATGACCGTCTCCAGGATCCTTGTGTATACCAAAACAGGGAGAGTGAGGCAAATGTGACGATGTTGTCCTCGTGAACCATCTCGACCTCGTTCAAGGCCAATTTACCGGCACGGTCAGCCCATTCACGAGCGAAGCCACGGTCCAACAAGAGCGCTTGACCTTTTTCATCACGATGGAATCTAAGAACTGTCAGTGACACCGTCGACCGAGGGTTTGGCATCCATGACTTACACGGCACCCCAGGCACACAGACTGAGTATGATGTGAGGTCGGACATTCCCTGACGCTCTGGCATCCAGAAATCTCCCCTTGTGAAGGAGCAGGTGTGCGTTGTAGACATGGGAGAAGAACAGCTCGACGAGTTCGGCGACGATGCCTTCAGGGATACCCAGGTATTCTGCCGGCACCTGGACGTATCTCGAGATGTTTTGCGCCGTAGGCATCTGCCTCTGGAAATCCAAGGCCCAATTCGTCGTCGCCGACTCACGAACCTGCGACGAGTGACCACGCACGCGGTGCCGTTGGGTTGGGTGGGTGCTGCTCGGATATCGACATGCATTGTTCGTGCGAGCGCATCGCTGGCAGCGTGGCACGTCTCCCGAGCAGCGGACCTATTTTCCCGAAGTCGTCAGGCCAGTCCAGAGTCATTGCAAGCATGATGGAGCATGTGCTGACCTTCTGAGATTTACATTGAAAGCACGCAGTGGATGGGCGCCCAGCACCCACTGAAGACGACGCCATCCAGCAGGTCTGCGTTGGCAATGGTCCTGCAAAGCACTGGCAGTAGGTATGTAAGGTGGAATTGCAATTTACCGAGATACCAGGGATATTTCTGCAGAATCCCCAGCTCCACTTGGCGGGGGCGGCGACGGAGGGTGCGGGGGGGGGGACGAAGTGCCTATAGCACCTATAGTATTCAGGCATCCTCTCAACTGTGAGTACCTTTGCAGGCCACCCGAGGGATAACCGGGAAATTGGCTATAATTTTCCGGCACCAAATGTGACCTACCTACTTGTAGGTACGGAGTAGCCTAACACTATCCCCGTGTCCGGAATGATTCCAGCAAGGCCGGACCCAGACATCGATAGCCATAGCAATCGATCACAGGCGGAGCGTCAAGTCTTTTGGACACAAGGCTTATCCTGTATCGAGAAATGTCTCGTTTGTCGATCATATATGGCTTGTACGGCGCGGGATTTTTTCACATATGTCTAGAAAGCAACTTACATGTTAAGTAATGAATTATCTAGTACACAGAGTATGTAATGATACACAATCTTAGCGACCTCCTAGCCTAGGTACCTAGAAGTGATCTTTACGTCTCATCAACCTACTCGTAAGATATCCGAGTGCAACTCTTTGTTGACAAAACCAGCCACACTTGTAAAAATTGATTACAGGACATACTTGTAGTCGGGATGAGCATCACCGAGTTTCTCCAGCTGCTGTGCAAGACTCAGATCGGTCATGTCGTTCAACATCTTCTGTCGGTACTCTGGCGTTTCTTTCTTGCCGTTTTCCCGCGAGAACAGCCACAGGGCCAGGGCAGTGACGACGATAGCAATGATGTTCATCGCCAAGAGGAATTTTGCGGCGAAAAGGTAGTACGGCGCGTCGCTCGTGGGAAAGATCCAAGTACTGACGATGCCACCGATGTTGACCGCGACAGTCTCAACGGCAATGGCGGTAGCTCGCCGAGTATGCCCAGCCGTGTTGTTCGCTATCCACGCGACCTGACAGGGGACGTTGGCGTAGATGCCTCCCAGGAGAAAGAAAAGCCCTGCATACCGGACGGCAAAGGAGCGTCCGACGTAGAACATGATGGACCCGATCAGAGCTAGGAGATATGTCGCCAGCATGGGAATACCACGGGCCTGATATTTGTCCGAGTACCAGCAGGTAATGACGGTAAGGGGAACCGCCGCCGCATAAGGAGGAACGCTCATCAGCTGGGTGTGAAGGGAATCAAATCCCATGGCCTTCACGATGGACGGGGTAAAGTAGGCCAGACCGAAAATGGCAATTCCAGAAGACAAGGACGCGATCCAAATGCATATCAGACCGGGGTGCTTGAAGACGGAGATGACCTTTGAGAGCGTCACTTTCTCGTGGTCAAGAATGTCAACATCGAGCTTGAGACGTTCGACGCATCGAGTGGCCTGTTCTGGGGTCAAGAACTTGACTGTCCGTGGGTCGTTTGGTAGAAGTAGGAACACCAGGACTGCCCAACAGACTGTGAAGATTCCTTCCAGACAAAAAATCCACCGCCAACCGCGCATGCCAGAGACCCCATCCATATTAATGATAGCCGCTGCAAGGAGTCCCGAGAACGCGCCGGCAAGGGACGCAGCTGTCCAAAACAGAGCGATACGCAATGAGAGCTCCTTTCGACGATAGAACATGCTGAGATAGAGAATTCTATACACATTTAAAAGTTTCGTCAGTATCGTTCAAGAAAAAAAGAATGAGCTGAAGCACAGGAATGACTTACACTCCAGGGAAGAGACCACCCTCGACCAATCCAAGGAAGAATCGACAGACAATCAAGCCGCTATAATTCTGTACGAGACACTGCAGCGTGGAGATGACGCCCCACGAGAAGCACAGAGAGGGGATGTAGATGCGTGGACCGATCCTCCGGAGGAGAAGATTGGAAGGAATTTCACTAGCAATATATGGCGCGTACGTAACAGTAATCGCTGTTGAGAGTTGTCAGTATAGCTAGTTGGGGGTGCGTGTTGAGGAGGAAGGGTGGGTAGTACTGACCGACTTGATACTGGTAACTGGATATCTTGAGATCCTCCTGAAGACCGGCCTAGAAGGAGCGCGAGTAAGCAATCAAAGCAACAAATACCAGGGGCCACTTGCGATAGTGTACATACCACCCTAGCATTTCCAATGTTGGCCCGATCCAGGAAAGCCAGCAGATAGACGATCGTGACCAAAGGCAAGATGAGTAGATCCAGCTTGAGGTTCAGTTTGCGGTCGGAAGGTGCCCATTCTTCCTCAGATGGTCTTTCACCAACGTGGACTTGTCCAGACGAGCTCAGATGCTCTTCTTCAAAGAGTGCTGCTTCCTTCTCTGAGGCAGCTGGAGTGGCAGCCATGGCTTTGGATTGAGTAAGAGTCGTTGTTGAAGGCTCGTCAAATAGAAAGGCGTCAGGTTTGCGGAAAAACGTCAGCCCCTCGACCTCAAGTCTACTTTATATGAATCAGCAAAAACTTGATAGTCTCCTTCTGCTTCCCCAGACCAGCTGCTAAAACGTGGGTGTCGAGAAAAGGCTGAGGCTGAAGCTTCGGACCCACAATAACCCGCGAATTTCCTACTGGGGTTCGCCCCGAGGCTGGCGAAACATTCTATCACGTCGAGAACGTGACCACATCCGTTCGATTCTTTGTAACATGCGAGAGGCTGCTGATTCCGATAAGAGGAAAATTTTCATAAAACCACTTCCTCAGGGTTCAACAACGGGATAAGGGTAGCGCAAAGGCCAAAACCAGTGTCTTGGCTAGTCCGGGAAATGGTCTGTCAAAATGTCTTTGACCACCCAGATTTTGGTACAACGGTCACTGACGATCTCGGGAAATTTTGATACTCTCGGGAAATTGTGGGCTCATGATGAAAAGATTGCAAGAGCACCCATTCATTGCACCATCACTATGAAACAACTTCGGGCTGTCCCCTAGCCGAGGTCACAGTGGTCGCGTCTGGAAGAATGAACGAACCTCCTCATGCGAGGTAAGTAGGTTGCAGATTGTTCCCGATTTTCATTGAACATCCCTCGTTAGATGCTCACACTTTTGAGCTCTCGAGCAATTTAGAAAGGTTGAGAACATCCCAAGAACTGTGTCTTGTCCTGCTCTGCCTAGAACCTTGCCACCGAGTTAACTCAACTTCGTGAATCGACTCGCCCGACGTTCAAAATGATTGCGTCTACCAATGGCTTCACATCGACATCAATTTCCGGGTATCCTATTACACATCGACTGATAACAACACATGACAATGCCGGCAAAGCCGTTCTTCATTCGTCCCAGATCGGACAATGGCAGTCGATGCGCAATGGTGCTGTGTCCATGAACCTCATATACACAACATCCGAATTTCCTGCCCAGATCAACGGCGAAGCTGACATCAAAGCCCACGAGAAGAAAGTCGACGCTGGAGGTGTGGGCTTGGTGTCTGGAGGTGGGAGCGTTTGCAGGATGGTAGATTTTGCACCGAACAACGACCCGATGATGCACCGAACACAGAGCTTGGACTATGGTGTCGTTCTGGAAGGAGAGGTGGAAATGTTGCTGGACTCAGGTGAGGTCCACCTTATGAGGAAGGGCGATGTCGCTGTTCAGAGGGGGACAATGCACGCCTGGCGCAACCCAAGTCAGTCCGAATGGGCTAGAATGATGTTCGTTTTATTAGATTGCAAACCCATTGAGATCAACGGTGGTTCATTGAAAGAAGCCCTTGCTCCGGGGCAACATGAGATACCACCAAGCGGGAATGACGGGTGAACAGGCGTTGGCCGTGTGTGAGGTTGGGGAGGAAATGTGGATAGGAACACCAAGGCTTGACGATACCGGTCAATGAGCACTGATACCATGAAGGATATCAGCCAAACAGCCTCTTCAGTGACCTTTCAGTATTCCACAACATTACCTTGACAAGATTCTTCATCCAAAGACCTGTCACACCTTCATCTCATACATGGAATTCAGTTCCTGTTCTTCCCGCTTCTATGACCTTGGAACTTCATAGAACGAAATGATAAAGCCATTGCATGAAGTGATGTAAAATCCAATCCTGTCGTCGACGAATTGACACAGCTCGTTCTTTATTGGTTGGCGGTTATGGGACATTACCTTCCTCTTCCCTGTTAAAGCGCCTCAACGATACGAGGGATGGTCTGTGGTGTGGGGGTTTCCTGTGGCCATCGAACATCTACGAGCAAAGCGATGGGGATGTACCAAGGTCGTGAGCAATGAACATGGCAAGGGCAGTGTGCCCGGTGGTTGGGAGCAGGACAAATGTTGTACTGTATGAACTCCTTCGTGGACGCTGACTCAGCATGAAGCCCTACGAAGTCACCTCAATGACTGCCACTTTCAACGTCTGCATCAACGGAAAGCGAACAATAATCGTTCCCGGACATGTTACTCCGTGGACACACAATGTCTGGCCACACAAAGGAATTTTCAGGCCAGACACACAATGTCATACGGAGTAACATGGCCGGAAGAGTCTTGAGATGATGGGATGCCGTCAATAGAAAACCCCTCGATATCGGCCGAAATGCGGAAATAAGACACCGAAAGGATTTCGAGCGTGATAGTCACAACTGGGCTCGACAGTTGCCTTGTCCACGTCAACGACTACTTCTTTGGGCGTCCCCTTTTAGAAACAAATCGATCAGCTGGGCCTTTTGTGTATGTACAGTTCAAAGAGGCGATCGTTGTTCATCATCTCTTCGCGCATCAATTGTGAAGGCCGAAGGTAGTGAATTAGTGACGTATCGCGAAAAATACACCACAATAAGTAGGTGCCTGTTTGTCCGACCAACGTACTCTTACGACCGAGTCGCGACAAAGACCGACACATGGTGATTATAAAACGGTGAGCGAATGTGGACTTTGTGGCTTCTCAATGAGCATGAAGGCGGCCAATTGCTGTGTTGGCATTAGCATTCCTATTGTTTCTTTGTCCATCAACTGGCCGAAAAAAAAGGTTCGAGTGACAGAAGAGAGTTTCGAGCTGACCATTCCCCGAGCTCTGATTGGCCGATTTCACTCAGGAGAGGTCACTGTCAGAGCCACAAACAATTCACCGAGACACCTCAAGATCAATATATATTAGACGAGGCGCGACCCTAGGAAGTCACCGGCAATCACTTGTATACATATCAGTTCTTCGTCCTGGAAAATCCAATTTTACGCGAGTGGTTGATTGAATTCAGGTCCGGGGAAGGCCATCAGCATACACCATGAATCAACAGCGGCAACCAGGTGACCGCGAAACTTTGCCAACGGCCGCGGATCTCGAGGCCAACCGACCTCTCCTGTCACGAACATCAACCCTTCAAGGCTCTGCCGAAGGTGAACATGTACCGACCTTCTGGTCCGACAAATATTCACAAATTCGTACAGGAGGATTCTGGACGCGGTTATGGAACTTTAGGATTGACGCGCGAGTCGTATCCGATGCCATCCTTGGCCTTTCCGACGGGCTCACAGTTCCATTTGCACTCACTGCCGGCCTGACGGCATTGGGAGATACGAGAGTCGTGATCTTAGGAGGTCTCGCCGAGCTGATAGCAGGAGCCATCTCGATGGGACTTGGCGGATATGTCGGTGCCAAAAGCGAGATGTAAGTCATCCATCCCCGTTGGCAATGCCAGACTAGTCGTTAACATACTTCCAGGGAGTCATATAACGCCGTTGATCGAAGCTGCAACACCCTCATCTTGCATGAGCCCGACGCTGCCAGAGACTATGTCCAGGAGTACTTTGAGCAGTTTGGATTGTCACAGGAAGAAACCAAGAGAGTGGCCAACCACATCAAAGCATCGACTCCCATGTTCAAAGAATTTCTCATGCAGAACCATTTCCAGGCGTCGAAGCCCGACACGGCACGACCTTACCTGTCAGCACTCACCCTGGGCATCAGTTACTTTGTCGGAGGGTTCCTTCCACTGATTCCATATTTTATCGTGGCCCAAGACAACGTTCTAGGCGGTCTGTGGTGGAGTATAGGACTGATGGGGGTGGTACTGCTGGTCTTTGGCTATGTGAAGACTGGAGTCGTTCGGGGCTGGACAGGCAGAGACAACTACCAAGCATGTACCGGCGGAGCAGTGCAAATGTTTGTGGTCGGGGTGATAGCGGCAGGTGCGGCTGTGGGATTGGTGAGGTTAATCAACCAAGGTTGAACAGATTCCATCTTCGATGGAGCATGTACGATAACGAAGGGGGAAAAAATCAAATCTCTATGGAAATTTCCGTGCCACTTCCAGAACATTGATAGCGTTCTGCGTAGGATTTATCCTGGTGTATGTCGAGTCATGGGGTTTCTACGAGGGTATGTTCTAGTACGGTGCCGGCGGCGTACATGGAGTGGAACAGTTCGTGCTTACATACGGGTTAAAAGTTCTGGAAGCGACAGTAGAAAAAACTCGGCATGTTGCATACGCTGACGGTTTTTTTTCGGTTTTGACCGCCGACTGGTAGCATGGACAAATGGGAACATGTCAAGGCCACGATACTGGGCCTTTGACACATGGCAAGCGTCGTAGGATTGGGTGATGGTGCAAGGGAGAGGTCGAAGGCGAATATGAACAACGTTATCGCCCAGCAACGTGGGTAAAGGCCGAGCTACTTGACATGGAATAGAACCTTTAATCTCTACCTGTCCAATGAACCCTGTTCGAAGAAGGAAATGGGTACCTCGGTATGCATATGGGCACGCTCCGTATGTACCTACCTAGGTATGCTCCAGATAAAAAGTCACTGTGAGTGGCGGTAGCGTTGCAGTAGTATGCGTGGAAAGGAAAAGTCTGTAGGCGGCAGGAGGTTGTGAAGTCTGTGCTCAAGGCAGGAAGAGGGAGAAGCCCGGAGCGAGTAATCGTTGGCTGGGTACTGTACCTACCTACCTTAGATACCTACCGAGTCCCGTTCAGACCCCGTAGAGGCGAAGACTTGCCCCGTAACTTGGGTGATTGGGAGGCTACGGATACTGTTGCCTTGCCGGGATCAAGCCCCCGTCCAGAAATCTTAGGGCTATATTTCCAAGTGCTGAGATGTACCTACAGGCGATGCTTGGGCACCATTGGTACCTCAGGGCACCTTCCTACAGTGTAGTAGGTACAGAACGCGGCCGGGAATCGGCAGGAATCCTTCGCCCGAGAAGTCAGTCAGTCAGTCCCTTCCTTCCCTTTTCCCTTCTTTCCTTCTCCTTCTCATGCCCTTTGGAAATTCTCATCATCCATCCAAAATTTCACTCCTCGTTCCCAACACATGCATGCATCAAACCACCATTGCTTTTCATTCGTTAACCATCTGGGCCACGTTGACTAGGATTCAGTTTCCATCTGCATTTGCCTCTGTTTGCTAACCCTCCGATTTGACCCAACTCACTCGCTGCCAAACCAAGAAATCCTCCACATCCTTCTGTCGCTGTCCAGCTGTCCAAAATCCTTTTCCAATGCTACCACAGGGGCTGAGAAAAATTGACCTTCGTGACCCTTGCATTCCTTGTGGCCCTTGTCTTCACATCCCGGTCAAAGGTCTGATTTCAGCGTGCAATAACCGAACCCAGTCGATTCTTCCGTATCACAGAGTCGAAACATCATCACCTTGGGACTTCTCGGACGGACAAACCAACCGGACCTTCTCCGCTTTCGGATCGATGTCCAGAGATGTTACGAAGTACGAGCGGTACGTACTTGACTCGCACCGCTTGTTTTCCCGTTTTCTGCCGTTCAAAAAAGAAAGAACACCTGATTTCTCCGTACCAACCAATCACATGATTTTTCCTTCTTGGAAAGACACCAGGACACACCAAAAACTCACTATTGATTTTCAACTTGTAAGTGTCCGGTCAGTATACTTTCTTTGCCCGACTTAACCTTTTTCTGTTCTCGTCTCGTTACCAGCCACTCGGGCTGAGTGGCAGCTATCAAACATACTGTACAGTATATTCACAGAAGCACACATGTCCGCTTTCCGAAAGGAGTACCGAACATCAGCATCGGTGCAAGGGGGATCGTGTGCTCAGTTGATCGATTCGACCGCTTGTGCTTGACATCATGGTCTACTGACTTGCCTTGCTTTGCTTGCTTGCCCCATTAGCTTGTCGAGTTCGGATGCCACTTCTTTGCCTCGCTTGAATACACCATTTCTTTTGGCCTAATCCAATTGCGGGTATACTGAGATACTCGTCTGCTTCTATCCAGCTTCCCGCATCCCCGGTCAATGACTTACTGGGACTATCGGGGACTACTTCTTAGCGACTGTTGGATTTTGACCTCAATGAATCTCTCACGATGGCCAATCGCTCTTTACCTCTTCCATGGGTCGTTCTTCGAGTCATGCAGGCTTTCTCGTTCTGGTCGATTGCGAATCCGCGCTCTCCCGTCATCGATCACAATGCATGGTCTTGGAACTCGCTTAGCCTTCTGTCAACTGCGAGACTATCGATGTTCGAACAAGAACAAGGTATGCAGCAGCTATCCGATCCTGCAAGGGTGTGCGTATGCGATGTGACACAGGTGGTCTACGGCTTGCGGGGCTACCCATTCATCACAGACAGTATTGTGAACAGTGTCCCAGGCAGACCCTGGAAATCACGAAATCGCTGCCCTGTGCTGGCCCTCCAGCCCTTCCGACGGTGTGGGATTTGCCGTGCGCCTGTTGCTCGCGTAAATCCAGTATGAATAGCAGGCAGACAATGCTTTGACAGAGGTATTGCGACTCCAACCACAAACATGCAAGCACTTTACACGCTGGCGCGAAGGTGGTTGGGGCCATTTGACGGAGTACTAAGTCCTGGTTCCCTCCGTACCCGGACAGGCGACTGCGGCGGTGGATACCGGGTGCAACGCGGCACCTACAATTTTGACACTAATTCACTATCATGATATATCCTACGCGGGGTGAATGTGGACAAAATTCTGTTGATAACACTCTTCTGATCTGGTTCCGAAGAGATGCAGATGGGAATTCAGGCGAATATACCCGGACATGGACGATTGAAGGTCATGCAGCCTGGACCTTGTGGAAACGTTGGCGCTGAACGGAGGTCTTGCCCTAATTGAGTTTTTCACGGTGTAGAGAAATGTTGGCCAACACAACTGACGTATGGGTTGGGATACAAACGCAACAACTCTGCGCGAACCTGTGATACTGGCGGCGACTCTCCATTCACCCTTGCGCAGAAACCAGAATTTTTCTGTCGCCATTGGCCGCTACACGAGACTTGAATGACAGCAGTTTTTCTCAGACATGTGGCGAGTTGCAACTCGACAAAATCTCGGTGCCAATTCTGCTGTATGACCACAATGCGACAGCACAGTCACAATAGTGCTATTAAACAGAGCATCCTAGAAACTTTTCGGCTCTAATTTGTTCGGCAAAACTGAACAGACCACCCGTTCCCGTGCGTACACGTGGGAAGGCACAGCCGAAGAGCGGCAACCGATTGATGGTGTGTTGGTTCCTGAACGGTGCCTGAAGCCAATCCCGGTTACGCTTAGTGACAATGAGTTGGGCGGGTCCTGGGCTGCGGTATTTTTCGGCGACCGTGCAGAGACGTGCCAATCGGTGCGGTTTGGTACCTGGGAGAAATCATAGGCCTGGACGCCCTTGTCGGAAGGGGCACGTCAACCTGGATTGGCCCAAGCTGTCTCCAGAGTGGCTGCATTAGCCCAGGAACCACCAGGGGTGAGGCGTTGCGCTCGTGTGTCTATTCGATGTCCTGAGCAGGGGTCCAGCTGTCCACCCATGTCAAGCCAACAGAGGCGCGGCGCTCGGTAGTCAAGGTGTCTTGACCGTCGTTTCTCGCCCAGACTTGCATATGCTTTCCGGTTTCCCAAAAGCTGGTTCCCCGTTCTCAATTTTGACACCAATGGCAATCGGACTGACCTTGGGACCACGGCCCCACGATGGCCACGTCCACCTTGTTTGTTGTTGACGGCGCTAATGCAACTGCGAAAATCTCTGAACGATGCCAGGGAGGATCCAACTGCTGGGTCCAGGGCTCTGGAGGTGACCACCGTTGGGCGTCTCGAACGTTTGTTGACGGTGGGTAGGGCATGGGACACGCACTCACTGTTATGATACTTATATCACCCTCCCGTCTCTGTTTGTCTACTTCCTCTTTTCGAAACTATCCTGTCAATCCTTTCCAACTCATTCCCTACACAGCTTCGAGCAGGTCTCTGTGATCAGCATCATTCCTTTGCTGCAAGAACCACTGTCGACGTAAACACCTATACAGGACCAATCCTTCCTTACACAACACCCAACACAGTCTACTAGACGCGACTATCCTTATCCAACAGGAAACTCATCAACCCATCAAAAATCAAAATGCAATTCAAGAACATCGTCGCTGGCGCAGCCGTGCTGCTTGCCTCTGCTCAAACCGCCGTGGCTCTCGGTAGTGCTCATGTTGTCAACAACTGCGGCTTCCCTGTCTACTACTCATCTGTAGGAGGAAGCAGCAACCCCGGCATGGCTCAACTCCAGGGCAGCTACAGCCAGGGATACTCCAACCAGGGTACCGGTATCTCCATCAAGCTCTCGCCCAACGAGACCACCAGTGGACCCATCTCTCAATTCGAGTTCACCTGGGCTGACGGCAAGATCGCCTATGACCTGTCCAACATTGACGGCTACCCCTTCTCTGCTGGCGGTATGGAGATCGTTCCATCCATGCAGAATGACCCCAGCAACCCAACCTGCGTTCCTGTATCCTGCCCTGCTGGTCAATCCACCTGCACCGCTGCCTACAACGCCCCAGACGACGTCCGCACCATGGTCTGCAGTGAGGACTCCGACCTCACCCTAACCATCTGCCCTGGCGGATCATCCAAGCGCAGCGTCTCAGTCGAGGATGGACACATTCACTACCGTGTCCACGCTCGTCATTTGCCCAAGCTCGCATAAGCGCGTGACAAATGTACCCCAAGATCAATCGGATTCAGCGACACGAACAAGTTCCAGGCATTTGTGCCTGACTTGCTGATGATCAAGTTTTGATGAAACCCTCCGCAACCCTTTTTTGGCGCAGCTTGGTTTCTGCCGCCTCAAGCCTTTCGCTGCCTGCAAGTACACTCTCTTAGCTACATCTTCCATGAGTCGACACATGGATATGTCATCATTCCTGCAGGTTTCAGTGCCCGGTCTCAACGACCACCCACAACCATCTTCATGGACCATTTCTCTCGCGGAGATTTACTACAAAACTTTGAGATCAGCAAAGTCAGTCATTTCATACTTGGCTACGACAATACCAAACACCAAAACATCACGAAATTAACAAGATCATGATTATCAGACATGATGACGACCACAACGGAGCAGAGGCTGAAGGACATTTTGGGCGTGAGAGGTTCTCTTCTTTACCTGGGCCCCTTGGGCCTTTCGTTTTTTCTTTCATCGACACTTTCTCTTGACTTCACCTCCTTCTGGGGATGGTTGAGTGAGTGTGCAGATGGTAGGAAGCAAGTTGCTGTTGCATCTTGTAGTACAACAAGTGTGTGACTTGATTCCTACTTTTTGGCAAGCAGACAATAAACCCCGAGGCTAAAAAGCAAAAAGAGTCCACGAGCACCTTTTGTTCAATATGCTTCCAAAGCGCAGCTAGGGAGAAAATTGCTATGCAGATTTTTATTTTTCCTCTTTAGAAAAGATTGTTTATAGACCTTTTTTACTTTCTCTCATACCAAGAATCTAGGGATATGGAATGAAAACATTGAAAAACCGATTTTAATATTGCAGATCTATTTCATTATGCCCGTTACTTGTACAGAGTACATATGATGCTACGGGAAACTTGTCTACACTATCCGTGCTCCTGGACTCGCTAGCTACGAGGCATTGTTCGTGTCCGCAACGGAAACTCGCACGCCTCACCGCTTTGCTATACTACTGTACTCTGAGCAGAGGGGCGGTGCAGATCACTTTGCTGGAGAGGGCTGGGGTTATCGTTCAACCATGCACACTTGTGGTCAGTGCACGGTTGTGTCAGTCGAGGTGCACACGGTTTGTGACATTGTCTCATCAGTGACACCAAGGTCCGTGGTAAGATGCTGTACGTGTTGGCATACTCCGTGTATGTCACTAGTGTGTGTCCATCAACCATCACAGCCACCACAAGTTGAACCTGGAATTGATGTGATACAGTGGCATAACACTCCATACCGTAGAGTATTCTAGGTCAGTGTCTCATCATAATTTTAGAAGGTTTGATCCGTACTTGACCATCTCTTTTCTTCTTCTTCTTCTACTGTCGTTTGTGTATGTGTATAACTGTTTTGAAAGAGGGGTATCAAGGGGTTTTACGGAGTACATGCATACGTACTCGGACATACACACAGACGACACCACGCGCAGAGACACACACAGACATAACGCGTCGTCGTGCGTGTCAAGACACGAAAATTGTGAGATGCGTAGGTGCATGATGCACGGGGAAGGGAGGGGAGGCGGGAATGGCTTGACGGGATGGCTTGACGGGATGGCTTGGGGATGGTGGTGGACATGGCGGGTGGATGGATGGATGGCAATGCGCGGCGGATGCAGGTGCGCCTTGCGCCTTGAGCCTTGCACTTACGACTTTTACGACTTTGACGAGTTAACAAAAAGGAGTAATAAGCTATCCTGGTTTGGATCAAAGAGGTACTGTAGGAGAAAAAAAAAGGGAGAAGGGAGGATCACCCGTAAGCCTCTTTTCAAGCCTTTTGCCTTTTTTTTTCAGCTTTCTCTCTCAGGGGGTTCACATATCAATACTTATTGCAAGGACATGTACGTACCGTACCGTCACCCGTGAAACTTTTTTTACGGACCGGATGTACTTATAGTACAAAGTACGGAGTACCAGGTAAAGATATGTATAAAGTATACTCTCGGTACAGGTCAACTACGGATGTCATACCTACCTACTGTATAGGGTAGTACAACCGTTAGGGACCAAGTTCACGGATACGATACAACTGTCCCCGTCATGGAAGTACTCCGTACAAGACTGAAAAAGTGAGGCGGTTGGTTTACCTTTACGGAGTACATACATACCCATGAAGCGGCTCACACGTAAAGAGAAAAACAATATTTGATGAAACATTCTCGAGTCAATGGGTGTGTGTCTGTCTCTCTTTCATAGTACGGACCACAAGTCAACAAGGTACAAGGGTTGTGAAGTGACATTCTTTTTTTTTTGGAGAGCACGGATACCTAGTCATTTTTACGGAGTCCCCCTTGCGCAGGGGCCCATGGGATGAGGACCGTCTGTAGGGACGTGAGAGCCAAAGGAAAAAGGGCGACTTTGAAACGTTGACTCTTTTTTTTTAAATTTTATAGGGGGGTTGCAAAAGCCCGGGGGAGGGGGGGAGGGCAAACGGTACCTGAAGTGATGAAACACTAGATCTTGATGAAAGAACTTCAATCCGACATGGATGTCCGTGATTGTTACGAGTATGATCAGTGCTTGCAAGGATTATAAGATGAGGTTTTGGGAAAGAATAAGCAAGGGATACCCTGAGGTAATGAAGAGGTCATCAAACGTTTCAAAAATGAACCGCCCGGCTGCAGAGTTCAGGGGTGCCGTCAAGTTGGCCTTGAATGTTGCTGGCTGTAAGGGGGGGTGATGTAGGCGCTGTAACAGACTGTAAGCATTGTAGGCGTGTTATCGGGGTGGTGACCCTTCCCCCGGACTGTAGCATTGATTATTATTATTATTGGGGCCATAGAGGGCGTCGTAAGCTGCCCCGGGGGCTCTTCCTTGCAGGGGGGCGTAAAGAGCAAAGGCATGTACCAATTTCCGCCCAACCCCCCCCCCCCCCCCAATCCCAGCTTCGTCACCATGACCCATGTTCAGGGTGGTGGTGGTGGTGGTGATTGCAACTTGCAGCATCCCAGCTGAAGAAATCACTTTCCGATCCCGAAGAAAAACAATCAGAAACATTTCGTCGGATAGTACTCCGTACCGTCATCGTCGTATCAATCACATCGGCATCACTGAGCCATCCATATGAACCAAGGCTTACGGGCTTGCCAGGCACACCCGCGACTGCAAGGCTCTCTGGATCGAAGCTACGGACAAAACTACTGTAGGAACTATGGGCGGACTTTGGACCTTCGGATAGTCTTGACGCGGCATAACCGTAACAAAGCGCCAAACAGAAAACACCGTAATAATTCCCATAACCCGCCAGACTTGCGATGTTAGCGGGATCGCACAAGTCAGTCTCTGACATCCTGCACAGTAGATAGTCCGCACGTCAAAGCCGTCACCTTGTCTCGCGGTTAATGTCTGACATGTACGGATACATGCCGTAGGTAAATCCGGGTGGCTGGGCCTGTCTGGCAGTCGGTCTTGTCCATCTCCAGACCGATCTTTTCGATCGAGACCGACAAAACTGTACTCGTTCAGTACCATCTCGATGACGGGCAGTTACCCATGGGTAGTCCTGTACGAATGTGTACAGTATGTGTTTGTTTGTTTGTTTTGTTTCGGCCGTTGGAAGATGGATTTGAGACATGCATATTCCATCCCACCAATCAAACCATTCTCTACCCAGATCACAAAAACATGTTGATCCACGAGGCTGAGGTTTGAATTCATACTAGTATCCACCATCGATCTGGGGCTGAAACTTCGCCTAACATGCGCTGATCTTTGGGCTACTTGCAAGAGGATGCAATAGTCTGCCCCGTCCGGAGTACCAGTAGCGTACATCGACGATCTGTGAGAAACCAAAAACGTGACGTTGATCAAGACGGGTGTTTGTGCCGATCGTAAAGATCAAAATCAATGCCCGCCGTACCTCGTATGAGTGAGGGAGTCAACAAGGTGCGGTGTAGTGGTCGATCGAATTTGCCCAAATGTAGGAAAGGAAATCGTAGTACCCGTACAGCAGACTTTCGTCTCCTCTCATCTGATATACATATTCGAGGCGTAATATCGACCTGTGGACGAAAGATACGAAAGATCGGACAGGCCCGCTAGCTACAGCCGTTTTGATCGGCGCAATTAGCCTGATGGTCTTCCCATGAGAGTTTTGGTCTCCGAACGTCATGACTATCAGTCAGTATGAGAGATGCTGTGGTGATTGGAGTCGTGCAGGTCAAGTCAGTCTTGGAAATCGACCATCGTTCACCCGGTTAGTGCATGGCAATCGCGTTCAATCCTGTGTTATGTCGGCGAGTACAACGTTCCCATCTGGTATGGAGGTCTCGTGAGAGCATGCCGGGCATATTGGTCCCCGAGTGGTTCATGGTCACCCAGCTCTCAGTCTGGTAAGTCGGCAAGGAGTAGGAAGTACAGGGTACTGGATACGGTCAGTGATTTTGCCCAGATCAAAACACACACCGGCTATGCTGAACATTCGTTGCAAACCTTTCGGCCCTTCTGGCGAGAGTATCCAGATGATCTCGGCAATCAGAGATAGAGGGTGGCTTCGATGTTCTTTCATCGCATGCTTTTCGGTACGTGCCTTCCCTTCTCCCTCGTAGTTCGCTGTGTTCTTTCAAATGTTTCGTCTGAGCGGTTGGATCCGTTCAACATGGAGCATCATGGTGGGATCAGGTCCGTATCCATTCCTGCTATGAGAATGAGACGAGTTCAGTCGGGAAGGCGCCTAGTCTAAGCATCGGGTTAGACTGTTCGCTAGGCGTCCGGTTCTCCTGCTTGCTCCAACAATACCTTGAAGAAATGGAGATTAGAGCTAGAAACACCTACCGTCTGGAAGATGCTGCTGAGTTCCAGATGTTCCTAGCCTGACGACTCCTGGGATGGTCGTCCCCATGACCTCGAAGATTGCACGCATGACGACTCAACGGTATTGGTTGATATCCGACGAGCCTGGAGACTAGGGATGTGTCCAATGGGATCCAAATGGACTTACTGAAAGCGAGGATAAATCTTTCGGAGCTGCCTTAGTCTCTGTTGGTCACCAAAAAGTTGGATATGTTAGCAAGAGAATCCAGAATTCATTAGGAGGTTGGTGACATAGATCGTAACTAGGAATTTCATTCTTAACGTGAGAAGCGATCTTCCACAGAAGCGCTATCTCTTCGTTTCCAAAGTAGCATCATTGAAGATGGATTGCGCAACGATCGAAAATATCGCCACTGAGCTTTAGCAATGCACCAAAATATGTGACGATCAAAGCTTGAAACAATAAAGGTAGCAGATCAACGTAGGTCGTGACTTGAGATGGCCACTAAGAACGATCTTCGAAGCCTTGTCACGTGAAAGGCTGACACTTTTCCGCTTGCTCTGTCACGTGGGTGATGCCGATCTTGCGCCCCCCGAAACTTCCAGGCGCAAGATTTCTTATCGAATATCAAATCGCTTTTGTCACCCGAGAACCAAGATATAATCAAACGACGCCCTCCCATCCTCAAACACTTTGCAACGCTTTTGCACATCCTACACACTTCCACTTCGTCGATCCCGCCAGAACCAATCCGAAAAATACAGAGCCCCGCGACAACCGACCAAAAAACAATGTCTGGACGTGAAGCCTACCAACCACCCAGCTCCAGCTACGGCGGCGGCGGTGGATTCTCCGCTGGCCTCGCTGCCAACGAAGCCGTGGGAGGCCCGGCTGTTCAGTACGTGTGCGGTGAATGCGCCGCCAAGGTCAGCCTGACCAAGGGAGACGCCATCAGATGCAACATGTGCGGACACAGAGTTCTCTACAAGGAGCGAACGAAGAGGTACGTTTCGTGGTGATGACCGAGAGCGCGAGCACCTCCGAGCCATTTTGAGTGGCCCGGCTGGAACAAGAAACGACTGTACTGACATTGTTGTTTAAAAAAAAAAGAATGGTTCAATTCGAGGCTCGATGATCGAACGGGAAACTACACCGCGGTCAAACCACACAAGACAAGAACGCAGGTTCCTTTTGAGATGACAACGAGTCGATGGTCGATGTTAGAGAGAGAGATGTGGCATAGCGAGGGCGCTGGGAAAGGATTCTTTTTTTTCAAAACCGTCATACGGGGCTACGATCGGAACAACGATTAGATCCGAACTACAAAGCAGAACGAAACGGTCGGGAGTCAGAAGGGAAAAAAGAAGAAACATGATGCACACAGAAACGAGAAATGAAAATGATACCATAAAAAAATCTCATCCCAAAAATCATGAACGCTGTTTTTTGATTTTCTTTCTAGCCGTTACCATCCCATGCCCTCCTAACGGGTATATACATCTATAAACTGTTTGTGAACTCGATAAACTTTTCGAACTCTTCTAACGCCTTTCCGCTCTCTATACACCATCTTGCTTTCCGTACGCCTTCTTTCCATCTTTCTCCTCCCGGTCCTCGTTCTTTGATGACCGCACCACTTGGGCAAGTGTCTGCCTCACAAACACCGCTAACCACGAAAAGCGCAGCGACATTCATCAGAACGAAATGTAGAATTGGATCGTCCTTCGGTCGCTCGTTTCGTAGAATGCTCATCAAGACTTGGGCATTCTGTTTGGGCATTTTCCCACCACCGACCTGAGAAAGAGGATGTGAAGGCAGGCCAAAATCCGCCGGCTCGACGGAGAAGGTGTCGATCTTGGCCACGTACTTGGGCGGTGGCTCATCGTCGCTCGTCTCATCATCGTCGTCCCGGTCGCCCCGATACTCTGGGTTCTCTGACTCCCTTAGAAGCCAGCAGTTCGTCTTCCCCGCGCAACTGATTTCGTCGAGGTCCTCCTCTCCGCAAACCACAAGGGCTTTCGTGGCGCCGGAGAACTTCAGTGCCTGTGCAAATACCGGTCCAAGCTCTTGATATGCGACTCCGACGAGTCTTGCCTCGATGTGATCCTCGACTGGGTTGGCTAACGGGCCCATGAGATTGAATATAGTCCTCAGCCCCAATTCCCTGCGGACCGTCCCGGCATATTTCATGCCAGGATGGAAATTGGGTGCGTACAAGAACGTATAGTTTGTATGTTCATACGCCTCGGGCAAGTGTTCGGCGCTGAGAGCTTCAATCTTCGGCGGCTTGGGGGCAATCGCGTTCAGCACGTCGGCGGACCCGGACATGGATGTCTGGGCTCGATTGCCGTGCTTGGCCATCATCAGAATCGGGCTTGCGATGATGCTAGACGTCGTGGAGATGTTGAATGTAGAGTGGGAGTCACCTCCGGTCCCGACAATGTCGCAGAGACCGCCTCTGTATCTGCCCAAAGAACGCTTCCTCTTACCAACGACTCGCCTCAGGCGTTGGTTGCTGATGGGAACCGAAGCATCGCGCATGCTAGCGGCGCAACGAGCGATGACATCTGGATGTCTGTCCTTCCCTGTGGAGTGGAGTAGGGTCAGGAGAGCGGCAAGCTGTGTGCCATTGAGTTGGTCTTCGAAGGTTCGTGAGAACGCAAGTGCAATGTCCTCTGCTTTGACGTTGTTGTCAAAGGGTGCAGGTGCAGACAGTTGTTTCAGCAGGGGCGCTATAGACACATGCCGGGGAGGTGGATTCGACATGGTTGAGAGACTCGAGCTCGGATCCCTACTGTAGGAGTGTATGTGTGAGCTTGAGAATCTGGTAGGAAACGCAGCTTCTTATTGCTTGAAGATGAATCTGAGTCAACTTGTTTTTGCGGGGAGTGTAAGAGGGGTAACGTTGCAAAGCCTTGTCACGTGGGATTTCCTGACCTTCAGCCTTCCGACTAGTGTTACCATATTGAATGGCCAAGATGAGATAGCTGGTGTCCAGCAAAGCTCGGTCGGGCTGGTCTCAGTCTTGTAAGATGGAAGAAGAACAATGAATTGCAGTATATCGGAATTAGAAAACTAGTTGTACAGGGTTTTGAGTTTGGCCTTTCATCATCATCATCATCATCATCAGGCCGCAGGTATTTGACCTTAAGTCTTTGCCACTTTGTTCAAGGGGTATCTCACATTGCCGTCCAAGTGCTCCCCAGAAAAATGAATAAATCTCTGACCAATAATATCAAAAAAGCCATGCGAGTCATAATCTCGTGAAAATGCTGAATGCAAGAAGAAGCACTGCGCTCGTCCAGCCGGTGGTGGTGCTACATTGGCCTATGGTAACAGGGTGTTGTGTTCGTAGGTGATTCATCCAGACATCCACGATTTCCCCTCGGCCATAATGTCCTCTAGAAGGTCCTCCACAAGGCCTGGCATGCCCAATGAAATGTCGCCGCCTTTGTACATGCCGAATTCCAGGGCACGTCGGATCGCGGTACAAGTGGGTGAGTACCAGATGAGGTCGCATTGCTCTGTTTGAACGCGATTCTCCCAGTGATCTTTGGTTGCCTCCTGCTGCAGTAGGCCGAGGATCATCGTTGAGTAGCTTGCAGTTTCCTTGTTGCCACCGAGCTGGATCATATGATCTTTCCAGTGGTTGACATAGGGTGTGAGGTCTTTCAAAACAGTCACGCACAGAGAGCAACCCCAATATCTTTTCCGTTGTTCGCAGATGGACTGGATGCAGCTACCCTCACCAATGCAGCCATCATCCCTGTGCATCTCAGTATGATGTCTCTTTGCGTGATCGGAACGAAGGTAAAGCAGGTTACAACCCTGATGTATGCAGTAGTACGTGGTATCCTGGTCGTGAACTCCTTCCACGTGCTTCTTGAGCTCCTCGACCCTCTGGTAGGTATGCTTGCAGTTTTCCTCGGCACAAGGAAGATGTAGTAACTTCTTCTGAACCGGGGATATTGGAGAAGCCTGGATTGGTGATGATCGATAATTCATAGTCTGCGGGATCAAAGCGTTCGCGTCGTAATCAGACAACGACTTAATTGGTGAAGTAATGGGTGTAACATTGAAAGGATTGTATTGTGGTTGAGGTGGTGGTCTTGGGGGATGTTCGCCGTTGCAAACAGCATCATTGAAAACATTGGTATCGATGGTTGGAGATTCATGCGGCTCACGTAAGTTATCGAAAAATCCAGTTCCGTTGGAGAAAGGCGTTTCTCTAGCTGAAGAGCAGGCGGGACATATATGCGTGTCATTGAAAGAAAAGGGAAGACTCGAAGTCATGGAGCCTCGCAGTGAGGCATCGTGACCACTTGAAAGTGTAGAGACCGAGCTGCGGGACCCATATGAGTCGATGGTCGCCATCGGTGACGATCGCGGTGACAGAATGGCCCGCCCAGTTCTCGGCCAGCACCTGCCTAGGGGCATTGGCCATGGAGCAGAGTTGAGAAATGTGAGGCTTTCTGTGGGTAGGCGGCTCAATACACGAAGCGCCATTTGAGCGGGTGAACCTGGAGTTATGAGCTCTCGAATCTGGTTTCTAGACAAACCCGTCCGGTCGAGGTCTTGGAGAGCATCAAACCATGAAGGTTGATGTGGATTTGTATTCGTGAATTGACGATGTTCAAGAACGTCTGCGTAGTAACCCGACTGCAGTGTCGGGGTGTAGTGATCTGGTGAACGCGTAAGAATACGCGATCCTAAGGGTATCGTATATGGCCTTTCACGATGAAGATCCATCTAATCTTCTTTAGCAACGTGACAGTCAGTCTGGAGCTTGCATCATGCGGAAGAAGGCAAGCTTGAAAAGTGTTGCACTGGCGTGGGCTTATGCTTATAATGTTAATGAGTGGCTTCAAATTCAATGCAGCAGAAACGAATGAGCAATAACCATCAACGAGCGAAGTGGTAGCAAAGGTAACGAAAAAAACAATATGCGCAGCTTGATGAGCAGAAACGAGCGGATGATAGCGGACCTGAAACACTTCATGAGGGAGTCGCTCAACAATTTATAACGCCGGGAGGATCCTCGCTTTTGGCGCTGTACCAGAGTGCTCTTGAGCAGCGACATGAGCACTGACATAGTCACGCAATGAGCTCGTCGACCAACCTTTCTGCTGTTTTTGCTGTAACAAGTAGGATACCCCGGTAGGGAGGTGCTCGTAAGGGTGCAAAACACCCTGGGCAAGCGTTTGAAGGCGCTAGAATGCTGGGCCGTGGATGGTCTTTCCAGGCGAGCGATTGGACTATGGACATTCATTCATCCTAGCAGTCCGCTGGGGGTAGAGCTGGTGGGGCAGCAGGATGCTCGCCACCCTTGCTTCAGGCTATCCACGCCCATGCACCACATTGCGAATTTAGTTTTCCTCATCTCAAGCCAGCTGTTGCTGTTATATATGCAATCCTGGGTATTGGAGCTTGTATCTGCCAGCCTCACAGCCAGTCTCACGGCTCAAATTTCGGTCTCAATCGGCTGCTCTGTGAAGAAATGGCGGTGAGCCACCTATAATGGCTTTTCGACACCGGCTGCTGTGAAATTCTGTATTTGTTGATCCATTTCAGCCTCAGGGGTTGGTCGGGTTAGACGATGGGGAGGTTGGCTCGTAATCGTAGTCCCACCGAAACAGCTTGGTTTTGGCGATAGGTATTACGCACACCCACTTCTGCATCAAGAACCAGGCTATACTCACCATTGAAGTTACCCCCAATTGCCATTTGCTACTCTGTGTAGATATCTTTATAAAAGGCACACAACTAAGTAACTAATAATTTAGTTTATTCCTGTCCTTGTTAGTGTCTCAGTGCTCGTCATCTTCAATATCCTTAAGAATGTCTCTCCACTTACTTGGATCTTGTCAGTTACCATTTACCTCATATTGACACTAAGAAATGAAATGACAAATTCCGGGGGTACTTCAGTGAAATATACCTGACAGGTAGCCTTGTGCGTAATGCAGAGGTGGGTGTGCGGGATACCTATCACTTTGGTTCTGCTTCCTGAGTTGTAGCATTCCCGGGGGGCCAAAAACCCTTGCTTGGATGCGCTCGTCGTGTGTAAGCAACAATCAGTCAAGAGTCCGCAAGTATGTTTCCTTGCCGTTGATCAAGAGGGGTATAAGAGTCTAAAAGGTCTTCTTCCGTCAGTGTAGGGCACACTATAGTCATGAAGGAGTGGAAACTGGCTCTATGCTGTTCGTGTGCACTGCTCGTATATCCCGTCCCAGAACATCAGGCTCACCGGTCATCACTAGCGCTGCAAGGGCGGGCGAACCCGTTTGGGGACCCGTCTGCACCGCTTCTCAGATTGACCAGCATCAAAAGCTCTCAGAATGTACGGAGTAGTTCAACGGGAAATCTGTGACATCAATATGTTGCCACCCCGAAACATCACCTTAGCAATCGAGACTTCAATCAGCGACCATGCCACAACCAGCTCGCCATTCTTGTACTTTCCCGAGAACCACTTGCAGTTCTCGCCAGATGATTTTCTTTCCAATCTGTTTGACGTAATAAGCGTTTTCAATTCCATCTCGAGCGCCTCTCGGGGCAGGGCACCAGCGGCAGTCAATTGACCCTGCGGGCGATCAGGGGCAGAAATGCCCTGGCAAAATAGGTGAGATGGCTGCAGGCAACCAATGAACATCTTCTTCTCGCCTTTCTGCCTTTTTGCCTTTTAAATGAGATGCTCCATGTCATGATGCCGAACGCTTAAAAGAGAATAGTTGGATTTCTGATGATATATCGAGCCCAGATTCCTGACAATCCTGACCCATTTCCGGTCTTCTCAGCAGAAACCCCGTAATTTGGGAGACATCGAGACATCTTGTCTCCATCCAATCCACTTGACCGGAAATTTCAATGGAGAACATTGACTTTTTTGTCGTCTCTCAAGGACTAAATCAGCTTGTTGACAGAACATCTCCGAATTGGCTCACACATGTGAAATTTATGGCTTTATGGGTGTGTGTATGAAAGAAAATACGAGAAAATGATCCGAAGCGGAATTGCCAAACAAACAAAACTTCGGTGGAGTATATATGCCATCAGTGTCGCTTAGTCATCATGCATAGAAGCCCCTCGGTCTTGGAATGAATCCGGAATCCTGAATTCTTATATTATCTTCTTCTCGATTAATTCCCAATTCACCAGTTTCGCAATAACTGGAACTAGGCTGCCAGTCGGAACAATGCTAGCGTTTGGGTACTGGCAACCTAATAGACGCTATTCTTTGTGGAATCTGGGTAAGTGGTGAGCATTGTTGCACAATGCCACGTTTCCCGTGAAACCACACCAGTTCGAAAGCACTACATGGCTTATTTCCATCGGGACTGTCTTTCTGGCATGTTCGTCTCTCATGGATGTTAATACAATGGACTGGGAACTCGTATCAGACTCGGACTCCATCTCCTCGGAGCCGGGAAAGCATCTGCGTTGCGCGTCGCAGCCTGATTATGCGAATGAGAAAGTGGTCCAGAGAAACAAGCTACCTGCGAGATCATATCATCTTCCAGAGTCGTCTATATCTTTGAATGGCACTTGGGACTTTCATTATGCGGCAACACCTAGTCTGGCTCCTTCTTGGGACGACATTGGTAATTATCATGACTTCTCCTGGAACTCAATTGTGGTGCCAGGCCATTGGCAATTACAAGGTTATGGCAGACCGCAGTACACCAATATTATCTTTCCTATCCCAGTTTGTCCGCCGAACGTACCTACTGACAACCCGACTGGAAGCTATGTGAAGAGTTTCTCTGTTCCGGGGAACTGGAGCCCGAACTCTCAGATCCGCATTCGTTTCGAAGGCGTTGATAGTGCATTCCACCTCTTTGTGAATGGGAAAGAAGTCGGATTCTCTCAAGGTAGCAGGAACCCAGCAGAGTTTGACATCTCCTCTTTTGTGAACGGTTCAGAAGACAACCAAGTACTGGTACGCGTGTATCAGTGGTCCGATGGATCATATATCGAAGACCAAGATCAGTGGTGGCTCTCTGGTATCTCCGTTCTTCAATCCCTCTGGCGGATATGGGCTGGCTGACATGGTTGACAGGTATATATCGCGACGTATACCTACTTGCCTACCCGGATCTTGCTCGCATAGAAGATTTCTTCATCAAGACTGACCTCGATGATGACTACGCGGACGCAGAGTTGATAGTGGAGCTTGATCTGTCTCTACGGCTGACTTGCGATCTCAAAATTACTCTTTGTTCTCCAAACCAAGATTCCAAGATCTTTAGCGACCAGGTAGCCCTCGAAAGTCACGACACTAGGTGGCAGAAGAATTATCCAGTCAAAGCACCTTTGAAATGGACTGCAGAAACGCCCGTACTTTATCACGTCGAGCTAGGGCTATCGTCAAAAGGAAGGTCCCTTCAAAAGATCCAACATCGAATTGGATTTCGGAAGGTGGAGATCAAGAAAGGCCTCTTGACAGTAAACGGGGCGCCCATTCTGCTCCGTGTTGTCAACCGACACGAACATCACCCGGACTTTGGACGAGCAGTTCCAGTGGATTTCCTCCGAGAAGATTTGGTGCTCATGAAGCGGCATAACATCAATGCTATGCGTTGCTCGCATTACCCGTCTCAGCCAGCGCTATACTCTCTTTGCGATGAGCTAGGACTATGGGTCCTGGACGAAGCAGACCTTGAATGTCATGGCTTCAACGACGCTGTGGCACGAAGTCTCAGTGGCGCCGAAGGAATGGACTACGCACAGCGAAAAGCTTTGACATTCGACCACGCTGCGTCTTTCACATCTGACAATAAGGATTGGGAGACAGCCTATATTGATCGGATGACACAATTAGTACAGAGGGACAAGAACTTCACATGTGTCATCATTTGGTCTCTCGGCAATGAATCGTTCTATGGCCGCAATCACAAAGCCATGTACCAATACGCCAAGAGGGTTGATCCGTCACGCCCAGTACACTATGAAGGTGACTCCAAAGCCATTACCACGGACATGTACAGCTACATGTATACGTCGGTGCCAGATCTAGTTTCTCTCGCCAGAGAAGAAGGAGTTTCGCCTGATGGATCGTACGAGAAACCCATCATTTTATGCGAATATGGCCACGCTATGGGAAACGGTCCCGGACTCCTCGAAGATTATCAAGCTGCATTTCGCGAGCATGAGCGACTCCAAGGTGGCTTTATCTGGGAATGGGCCAATCATGGCCTCCGAAAGGCATCTGACGAAGTCGAGGGAAAGGATATTTTTGCTTATGGTGGCGATTTCGGTGATGTGCCAAATGACGGAACTTTTGTCATGGATGGGCTATGTTACAGCAACCATACTCCCACGCCTGGTCTAACGGAACTCAAAAAGGCGATTGCTCCCATCAGAGCATGGTTTGAGCCCAACAGTGACAAAATCACCGTGGAGAACAGATTCAATTTCAAAACCCTCGAGGGCTTTGCTGCACACTACGAGGTCGAGGCTCTTGCAGATACGTAAGTAACCGTCAAGATCCAACAACATTCTTTCGATGCATTGACTAACCTGTGAAGTCGGGAGCTTCTGACTTCTGGCCTCCTCGACATCCCGAGCGTAAATCCCGGATCAGCAAGCACAATCGCACTTCCTAAGGAAGTGCTTCAGTACCGTGGTTATGCGAAGGCTGAATGCTGGCTGACCGTTATGTTTACACTGAAGGACAACTGCGCATGGGCAGATTCAGGACACGAAGTCACTTTTGTCCAACATCAACTCAATATCAAGCATCCTCTCTTCGACAAACCTGTCATCGCACCGAAACCCCAACCTCTGGATGTGAGCAGTACTCGTCAATATCTCAGTATCGCCGGCCCCGACTTTTCAGTATCCTTTGACAAGATCCACGGCCTGATCAAGTCGTGGACTTTTCGTGGCACTCCTCTCCTCCATGAACCCGAATGGCCCGTTGGTCCTATTCAACTCGGGTTTTGGCGTGCACCAACCGATAACGATGCCGCATGGCAAACAGAGCGGTGGAAGCACTGGGGTCTGAATTCATTGACCACACAGCTCCGCGCCTTTGACGTGTATCATCCGTCAGTCGACGAGACGCAGGTCAAAGCGACAACCTACGTCGGTCCCCCAATACTGGCATGGGGATTCCACGTTGAAACCACGTACCGGATTGGAGCCACTGGCACGATATCTATCAGGGTGCACGTCAAACCCGTAGGTTCGGCCCCAAAGAACCTGCCTCGGGCGGGGTGGGACTTCCAACTATCAAAAGTCTTTGAGCACGCGAGGTGGTTCGGCCTCGGACCTGGGGAGTCGTATCACGACAAGAAGTCGGCGCAGAGAGTCGGTGTTTTCGACGCGTCCATTCCCGCGCTGCACACGCCGTACGAGGTACCCCAAGAGAATGGGAATCATGTCGACACGAGATGGGTCGAGGTCCTCGACGGCCGAGGTATGGGTATGAAGATCACGTTGTCAGGTGCAAAGAGGAACCCCGCTACCTTCCACTTCGCGGTGTCGGAGTACCCGGCGGCCGAGCTGGAGAGAGCAAAGCATGGACCTGAGTTGGTCAAGGGTGATGCGATATACCTGCGTGTCGATCGGGACGTGTCCGGCGTTGGTACGGGGGCTTGCGGACCGGCCATCAAGGAACAAGATCTGGTCCGGTGTGAAGAGATGGAGTTTGAGGTGTCCCTTGAGCCGGTCCTCCCATAGATATGAACTCAGTTGACTGGCCGACATCAATCAGGAATTTTCGGGCCGCTACAATGGAGCACTTGCGACAGCACAATATCGGGCTGGAGTTACCGAGTATTTAAACTCGACAGGCAAAAAAGGCCTTTCAATTGCGGACGCACGCTTTTTCATTGATTCTCTCTCTCTTGCTCAACATTCCTAACCACTCGGGTCTTTTTGAAAGGATGTCAGCCTCGTTTTTTTGGGTGCCGTATATCCGACTCTCAGTCAGACCCATGGGAACCTCGGCTCGTAAAGAGTGATACCATCCCATATTACGGACGGAGAATGCCCGAGATTTCCCAGTTGGAATTGCCAAATACTCCAAAAACATGACGACGCGTGTTTGCTGCGGAGAGCAGACATGTACTTCTCTCTGTCGGTTAATACGGTGAGATTCCTACGGGAGTTTATCGTCGTGACTGTTGTATAGGACGTTCCCAATTTGGAGGTACCCAGGGTCTATGATAAGAAGATACAAAATTTAGACTGTTGTACCTGGCGGTGTATCAATGCTGGTATCCAGAAAAACAAAACCAAAAACATGAAAAACCTAAACGTCTTGGTGGTTGGTGCTGGGATCGGTGGGTTACAGACGGCCCTCGCCCTCGCAAAGGACGGTCACAATGTGACGATTTTTGAATCCGTCAAACAATTCATGGAGGTGAGTCTCCCATCAAGGAGGACCTTTTGATTCTGGCCCGTTGGACTCACAGACTCATTTCTCTTTCTTTTTGTCTCCAGGTCGGAGCCGGGATCCGGGTACCTCCCAATTCATCACGACTCGGCCTCTCTTGGGGGGTGGATTTCGATTCCATCAAGAAGGAAATTTCCATGGGTAATCTGTTCGCCGACTATCGAGACAAGACCCTCGTGGAGATTCCGTTCCACGATGTCCAACGTCGATACGGTGCACCTTATTATTTTGTACACCGGGCCGATTTCATCGACGCTTTGGTCCAGGCTCTGGACAAGTACCCGGACAAGATCAAATTAAGAATGAATACGAAGGTGGTCGAGTATGATTTCGACGAGCCGGCGCTAAAGACGGCCGACGATGTATGGTACCATGGTGATTTGATCATCTGTGCCGACGGTATCAAGTCCGCGGTCAGGAATGAAATCAATGGAACTCGGATCGATCCTGTCGATACCGGCGATGTCGCGTATCGTATCTTGGTCCCTGCGAAACCTCTATTGGAGGATCCTCTGACCTCACACCTCGTCAATAACCCATGGGCCGTACATTGGATGGGACCCGAAGGGCACGCGGTCGGTTACCCTCTGAGGGGGGGTGAACTTTACAACATCATCATAGACATAACTCATTCGACCGACTTGGGTGTCCCCGTGGGGGAGGACGAATGGAAGTCACAAGCCGACAACACCGAATTGGTCAAGAGGTTCGAGGATTGGTGTTACCCGGTGAGAAAACTTTGTGGGTTGACCGGTCAGTACCTCAAATGGAAGTTGGCGGATTTCGATCAACTCGACCGTTGGGTTCACCCTTCTGGGAAAGTGGCCTTGCTGGGGGACTCTTCACATCCCATGATGCCTTACCTGGCCCAAGGAGCCGCACAGGCCACGGAAGACGCGGCCACCCTCCAGGCGGCTCTCTCACACCACCAGGACGTCCCAGGGGCTTTACGGGCCTACGAAAAACAAAGAAAACCGAGGGCGGCATACATCGCCAAAAACACCCGAGTCATACAAGAATGGTTACACCTTTACGACGGACCAGAAAGGGACCGTAGGGACGAACTCATGAAGCATGACAACCCACAAAACCCGATCTTCTGGGCCGACACGAATCGAAAGGATTGGTTGTTTGGTCATGATGCCCGGAAATTACTGGATGATGATGGTGGTGATGATGCAGCATCGAAAATCCCAGATCTACCTCCTTATCCGGCAAGGGAAGCTTCAGTCTATCTCAATAATGACAACGGAAACAAATCACACGCCAACGCCAGGTTGAATTGATCAAACACAATTGTGTACTCCCATATAAAACATAAAACATAAAAGCGAAATGCAACATCATTATTGGATTCGGATACTCCTGTACCATGACCCATTAAGCCAGACAATTTCCATGCATGTAAGTTAATCTTGTTGTTGTTGTTGTTGTTGCTTGATCTGACCATAACCTCAATATTCCAATCCAGCAGCTTACCACTCCAGCAACTGTGGAAAGCTTGACCTTCGAGAAAACCTTTCCAGACTCGGACTCTCACTGACTCCATCCAGAGCATCACACAAAGCTTCCGCTTCGGTATCGATCTCGGCCGTTCCTGTCACCCGAATGGCAGGCTGTAGTTTCTTCTTTGCCATCATTTCACACCTTTGATGTTGGGCCAGAATCGCAAACAAGTCAATGGTACGCCCTGTGTTGTGAGACACGTTAGTATTGCAGAGGGGCAAAAGCTTGGTACCAAGCACGGCCAGTCTCTTACCTCCACATTGGTATGCAAAGTATGAACCAGAAGACTCTTGAGTCGTCTCATCGATTTTGGACAATTCGATCAGTTCCCTTTCCAACAACCACTTCCACCTCTGTACTGTATTCGTCGGGATCTGATGGTCACATTGCTTGGCATAGATGTCGCACCTGACGACAACCTCTTGGAAAGTGTGCGGTAACAGAGTCATGGTGCACCAAAGATCCTGGTCCAGCTCCTTGACCAGACTGAGAGGACCGAGAAGACGTGCCATTTTCGGTCGACGAAAGCCAGAGAACCAACCGAATGGGTTTTGTGACCATTGAGACTGACTTGAAAATTTGTTTGCTACATCATCATCATCACATCATCATGTCGTGATCAGTGACAAGTATGGTATTCCTCTGTGATGATGATTGTACTTACCAAGGTGTTTCCAATTGACGGCACACGTCACGTCCATCCCGTCGACCCATCGGCGACTACCCATCTCGACGTGTGATTTGACATTGTTAAAGGGTAGGTTCATGGTGCTCGCGTCGAAATTGACAAACACCAACCCTTCCCGCGTGACTATCAGCTTCACCTCCCACAGGCCATTCTCCTTGGGCTTGAATCCCGGTGACTCGTCGAATTTGGGTGCCTTGACCAGTTTGCCGGCGTCGTCGTATTGCCAGCCGTGGTACTTGCAGGAGAAACGGGTGGACGTTCCACAAGATTTGCGAACAACGGTGTAGGCTCGATGTCGACAGACGTTGTGGAAGGCACGAAGTCTGGTGTCCTTGCCGAGGACGACAAAGAAGGAGATACCGGCCACATCGAATGCATGATAATCGCCGACCTTGTCAAACCTGCTTCGATGTGTAACATACAGCCACGTCTTGAGCGCACATTAGCAAGCCATGATCCCTGGAGTTCAAGTGTGACATGTCACACACGGGACGAGGCATGGCATGGCGTACCTTGCTGAAGAAGGCTCGCTTCTCCAATTGAAACACATCATCATCCGACATGGCCTCTTGGCTTATGACGCTTCCTTTTTCTGCCTGGTCGAGACCGGACGAGCTTCTGCTGTGGTGGGTGTTTTCTTGTTGAGTTCCAAGGGCGACATTGATGAGGTTCACAAGCCTCCGACCAAAGAGGTAAGCTAGACATGAAAAGATGAAGACATATGCAGGAAACGACCAGTGTTGCCACGAGAGGTGGACGGACGAAGTGGTGTTGATCGTCATGTTTGTACGAATTGTGATGGCGAGAACAAAGAGAGGAGAGGATGAAGATGAATGGACGAGAGACGCTGCAGATGAGATATGCTGTGTCTGTGTCAGGGTGTCAAGGGGTATGATAAGCAAAAAGTATGATTTTGTAGGTTGTTATCATTGAAAAGAAATCTGAAAGGGCTGGCTGGCTGGCTGACAATGAATGGGGATTGGGTCTTATTCGTATAATTATCTCTCTTCTGTTTCTTTCGCCCCTCCTCTAGACTCCTGTATGGATACGAGGTAGAGTACTCCGTATTCTGGAGAAGAAGACAACGAAAAGGGTTCAATGCGCGCGCTGCCCACTTGATTTCCCATCACATGTTGTAGTAAGTGTTTTAGATCGGGTAATTATAGCAACTTCCTTTCCTGCTCGTACTGGGGTAAGAAGTTCGGATCCGAAGGGGTCTTCTGGTTTTTTGTGGCTTGCTTCACTGCCACTTGTCTAGTGACACCACGTTTCATTTCTTTTGGTGATCTATTAGTTATCCCGTGCATGGTGCATTGATAAATGGGGATTGCGATGGGGATGGGAGGATGAGATGATATCAAACTGGGGTCTTTGGCCTGACAGGAACTAGAAGCCGGAGTCGCGCGCCCTACGAAGCAACTAAAAAACTGGGAATGTTGTGGTGCGCTCGATGGCTCGATTTGGAAATGCGATCCCTTCGCTTCGGAAAGTGATGTTTATCAGGGTTCGTGGTGATGTGATTCGTGGTTGATTCGGTGGCTGATGGACATTGTCATTTCATCATTGATCCTCAGACAAAGAAATGACTTTGATGACTTGAATGATTGATGGATTTGATGTCATGACTGGTTTAATCATGGATCCGAGTAGAAAGGATTCCAGAGGTTGTCAGTTTTGTGAGGGTTTGGCGGGGTATTTTCTTGTTTCTCGAGTCAAGCATTTTTGGTGGCGTGAGTTTATTTATTAAACGTCAAAAGAACTTCACCGACGCCGCCATAGTACCAAGAAGAGCATCAGCAACAATGATACGACTTGTGGGCGTAGCAGATAGCACATGCTCAGTCATTTTTCATTTTTCTCTTCTTTCTTGCAGTAGTTTTCTACTCTTGGCTTGGTATGTGATGAGAATAAAAATCAATTACGTTAGTAGTTACACAAAGTGTGTGATTCGGAACAGATGATTCAGAATTAAATCACATTGTCCATATCAAGATACAAACAAGTCCCACGCACTGACTACGATATCTAAACCTGGATGATGATGGGTAAGGTAATATGCCTGCCTATGAAACCCCCCCGCGTCCCAATTGACTCGCCCGTGCGTGGTGGTGGATACGGTACATCCATCTAGAACCCCCCAGTCTGTATTCGAATACCTCTTTCGGTAAATGGCGTTGTAGGTCCTACGGATTGAGATCTTACTCAACTCACTTTTGGGAGAAACATGATTATCGTGTTATCACTCAGGGACTCTAAGGTTTCGGTACCGATACCAGATTCGTAGATTTAACCTCGAGTCTCGGTGTCAGTTACTACAACTTACAACGAGTACCCGAGTTGACTGCTCTGGATACAATAACTCGTCCAGGGGCCAAACAGATTATATGAATCTTTTTGAAGTCATCATTCCAATCCCAGTACTCTATTCTATACTGCCACTGATAAGACTGATAATTCGAATCCAACAATGGACGCTACAAAAACCCTCCCTGCTTCGTGGTACACTTCTCAAAATTTATACAATCTCGAACAACGAGCGGTCTTTTACAAGTCATGGTACCTGGTCGGAGCGGTACCTCGGTTCGCCGTCGACCGTGAAGTCGACTTTGAATTCGCGGGTGTCGAGGTGACGATTCATCATGACGGCAATGAGAATTTCAAAGTCGTCAGGAAATCAGATGTAGGTTCTTATCTACTGGACATTGCCGTCTCCTCCCGGACTTGAGCACCGTGATGTCAAAAGACGACGGAGAGGCGTCACAAACGAGGCGAAAGAGACTCTTTACTGACAACATGACCTCAAGGGCCTCGAATTAGACCATCACCTCACACCAACCGGCCTCCTCTTCGCCACCGTCGACCCCTCGGCACCATCCTTTTCGCAATGGTTCCCCCCTTCTCTCCTGGACCTGTTGTCCGGCTACGACTTCCGCCGTCTCCCGTACCGTCGCACCATCAAGTACCCGGGCCGCTTCAACTGGAAGACCATGGTCGACGGGTACCAGGAGTGCCTGCACTGCCAGTACACCCACCGCAGCTTCAGCGTCAAGTACCCGCCCACCTTCTACGAGGTGCACAACCACGGCACCTACAGTCGACACATTGCCGACCCGGCCAAGCCGGACGACGGCCTGTTTTTGTTCTTTTACCCCATCTGTACTCTGAACCTGTACGGCGGCGGCATGAGTAGTTTCCGAGTCTGTCCCGGCGACAAAGTCGGAGAGACCAGGATGGAGTTTGATTATTACTTCGACGACGGTAGCGAGGGAGGGGGGATGGAAGGCTTCGAAGACTACTTCAAGTTTGTGAGAAAGGTGGCCCTCGAAGATTACGAGCTGTGTGAGGTCGCACAGAGTAATCTGGAGAGAGGCATCTACACCCAAGGGGTGTTGAATCAGAAGAAGGAGAGTGGTGTTTTGCGTGAGTCTTTCTCCATTCGTTGCCTCTTTTTCTTGTCCTGCCTCTTTCCAGACGTCCAACTCATTCCTCTCCCACGGTCCAATACGCTGACATTGTCCTCGGCTCACAGATTATCAACAACTCACAAGAAAAATGGTTGTCGATAAATTCAAAGAGGAAGAAGCTGAAAAGAACTCGCTCACACCGGCGAGTAGCAGGGCCAGTCATGGTTATGTCTCAGGACAGGATGACGTCTCTGTATCGGCTTGATTGACTGTGCCTTTTGCAATCATCTTATAATTATGATTTGTCCACCTCTCCTTCTGAAGTATCTGTCTTGGTGTTTACTTGTCGCTTATGCTCCTCTTCTTCTGCCAAGTCAATCTGTTTCAATATGAATGCAATCGTCGCGTCTCGTGCTTTGTCCAATTGCCGCAGTCTCTGCAGAGGCATTCCACTGTAATCGACCTTCTTGGCCGGAGACGCGTTCGGATTTGTTGATGTTGGACTAATTTGACTCGATTTCTCACCGCTCTCCTGCTGAGCCTTTGCTGTCTTTTCAGCAAGTAAACCCCTGAGTATGACGATACTGTTGTCCCTTTCCGCGAGTTGTCTCGCAAGTTTGGCCCGTTGAGCCTCATCCACCACTTCTGGCGACGGCCCCGTGCTAGGGGTTTCCCGAGACGCCATCTTTTGTCTCTTTGCCTGGCCCTCTTGTCGTGACTTCCATTTGCGTATCGCGTCCCACGCAACCATTTCAATGTGCGTAAAACGGACCGGTCCAAGCAGGATACCTCCGTACCAACGCGCCACAACGATGACTCCCTCAACGTCGAGATCGATCAATACGCGTTCGAGTCGTTTGCCCGCGTACTTCTCACCGTCATCGTCAGACCCGACCGCGTACACCGGTTTCGGGGCGACCGATGTGGTGGCAGGACCGAGCCCGAGTGTGCGTTGCGCCGATGGCCGACGCCACGCCACCATGCGGTGGTCGGCGGATGCAAAATCGGGATGAGACTGGCACGCTTTCACCGTCGACGTCAGAGATGCCTGTTTGGTGGTTGCCTGACCCGACGACGTCGAAGTTGATGTGGAACTTGTGAGAGGGTGGAAATGTGCGACAAAAGTTGACGAACGGTCCAAGATTGGCGCGGAGGAAGAGAATTCAGCTTCGTCACTGGATTCATCTGCCGGCGACAATGGCCGTTTCTGAGATGCTGACATTGTAACTACTGGCTATTCCACGTCAAGTATCGGGCAACAGGATTGATCGTATCATTTCACCAGAAAAAGAATATTGTAGTAATTTGACCTTTTGGTCTGGTTCAAGACATTCCGGTAGCGCATCCTATTTTCACCGTTTCGTTGATGAATGAGCTAAGTTGCAGGAAAGAGATGGTTGAATCTCGAGTAAATTCGCGAAGCCATGATTGTTGTTGATCTGGGAGTCATTAGAGTGCTTTCGGAACAAAGATTCTCACTGGTCTGCCAACAGACCACAATATCTCTATTCTCAATCCTTACGAAGCGTCCAACGGGCATCAGCTACGCCACTTTCTTCACCTTGTTTGATTCTAGATATTCATGTATCAACAAGACCTTGAAGCTATTTTGTTACTATCTGGTAGCATCGACTCGGGGGTATTAGAAGTCAGCTTCCTACTTGATTGCTCAGCAGCCTGAAAGTCCGTCTTCTGGCAATCCGTCTGCTGCTTTGCTGACAACGTAAGCTCATCGAGACCTTCTTGGTTTCCATCATTCGTCGTCTTTGTCTTCCTTTCGATATCATGGCTTTCAGCATGATGATGGCACATGATGTTGTCGCCAAATCGCTCGCACTGCACAGCAACGTCTCCAGCTTCGAGAGCACTGTGTTGATGGACGGATGAAAAACACACCTTGACGAAGGAGCTGGACTACCCGCTCTTCCAAGCCCGAAATCATTATCTCGATCGTCCGAGTGTTCTTGACCACACTCCAAAGTTTCTTGCTGACCTCCTTGAATTAAACATTAAGTATTGCAATCTGCATTTGAGACCTTGCTGTTCAAGATCTTCATGTGAAGTAATCTGGCCTTCCAACTTGAAAGACACTTATCATGTGTTGTGGTCGTGAGCTCATTCGTCATTGTCAATATGGTCGTCCTTGGACTGTTTTCGTGGGACAGGTGTGTCTTTCGGGGCATCTGTTGAAGCACCAATACGGCCACTTAGTGACTTGGTCCTCAATACCGAATCAGGTCTGTACCATTGACATCTTAGGTCCAGCAAATAGAGTCTCGGCAGAGGTGGCTGAGGCCATCGAGTCGCCTTTGATAGGTTCGAGAAATGTTTCAGTGCTGCCGTTTTGATTGTCTTTCTCCATCCACTGGTTCGTCCGACATGCAGATGGTCTGCCAGTTACGGGATGTTGTGAGGAATACCTCTGGTCTTGGCGAATTTGTTGAGGCAATGGAAGTTCTGGTCTTGTGGCGCATGGAAGCCTAGCGTGTCCAATCTCTTTCTTGGTGAACGTGAGGGGTTCTTGGTCATATTTCTCTTGGATTGTTGGTTTGCCATGGTCTAATGATGTCTTAGGAAAAGTGACACGGGTATTGCCGGCGCGCTCTGCGGCTTTGTTAATCTTTGAGTGATGGACTGTTGTTCTGCGAATTCTGGCAGTGCGAGTCCTGGGTGGCTTCTCTGAAGTCACGATGCACTTTCGAATGGCTGTAATCTTCGCATTGGCCTGACCCTTGGAAGAGGATTGCTGGTGTAGACGATCAGTAAGTTTGCTGGTACCACCACCAAGCTCGAGCATGTCAGCCCACTCAAATTCATCCTCATCATCAGATGCGACCGCACTCTCATTGTTGGCATTATTGTCGAACTTCAGTGCCTTTTCAATCTTCCGGCGAGGCGGTGCTGTGATCTCCTGCACTTCGCTGATGACAGCCAAGGGACTGATTGACGTAGTGCTGGCATGGCGCGAGTATTGTCTGCGACCAGATGGGCGGATTGTCTTTGGTGGAGAAAAGCGGATGGCCGCTGGAGGTGAGACAATTGAGCTCTCCCCATCAGTGCTTGGACTTGTCACGCTAGCCTTGGACAAATTCGAGTCTCGTCTGTACTGGCTTGACGATTCTCTGAACGAGCTGTCGGTACTTGAAGCTGCTGACGGGAAGAATCCGCGGCTGACTTTAGTGCCAGTGATTTCATCAATGGAGGTGGAACTTGTCGTGCTTGCAACACTGTTGGTGCGTGCATGCTGTGCCTTGAAGCCACGCCATATCTCTGCGTCCATACCTGCAGGGGGACAGTCTCCAAGGTAAGCAACGACATGGTCCTTGAGTTCATGTAGGCTGCGCTGTGCATGCTGCATTTGCCATTCCTTTGGCGCATTCACGGAACGTCGATACCTTCCAAATCCCGTCATCTCCGGTAGGTTGATGACAGGATAATCTTTGTACTCCCATTCTCCATTGCAGCTGTAATTTCTCTTTACCGGGGCATTTTCAGTCTCACATGCAGGGACAGCTGGACAAGCACTCGAGAGCTCTTGGGGAAATGAGGTGACCATGGGAGAAGACATGGATCGCTGGCAAGAAGGTCTCGTAGCCAATATGAGAGAGTCGTCGTTGGACTTCCTTCGGTTTGGTCGGCTTGGGAGAGAGGCACTGTGAAGTGATGCTGGCGATCCTGCGGTCTCCCAATTAACAAACCTCGCATGCGGCGACACGAGGTCAGACACTCACGGTTTGGAACTGGTAAGACAGTTTCGTTCACAATCTCTTTCACCAGGCGGAGCGATTCTTCGACTTCTTTGTACTGGCGCTCAAGAATCTTCTTCTCACTCTTTTCCGCGACGGCTGTCCAACATCTCCGTAAGTTTGAGGTATTCCAGTGCGACGATAGCATGAGACCACTTACCACGGCCGACAATCCATTTCTTGAATCCATCCCAAGTGACCATTTTTGTGGTCCTTGTCTGTCAGTGCCAGGTACAGGGAACCCAGGATCTCGGTATGGAGAGGAGGAAGGCGGGTGAAGGTTGTTGGTGACAAGAATGCTTGTTTGAAAGCGAAGATAGGAAACGTCGCATGCGAGGTTGTTAACTTGGTTGTCATCGACAGCCTCGATCGCGGTTGAGATGGTTCGATGAAGGGACAATACCATGTAATAAAACTCCCGAGTGATGCAAACAGTAAATGGATGACTTGTATGCATGCCAAAGCTACAACAAACGGGCAGTGAAACGATTGTGAATACCAAAAGGAGGGTGAAGCAGAACGAGTGATTGTGCCTCACGGCCTCATCCATTGATCTCTGTATCCGCAGTCGCGTTTTGAAGGCTCAGTGAATAACTTCCTGCCGATTCTGCTCAATCTCATTCACAGTTTTCCTCTCACTCTTCTTTCACTTCTTTTCAAGCACAGCAAGATGAAGTCTCAGAGGCCGCAAAAACTTGATCGAGCATTGACTGATTGATGTCATCACCGTTTTGTCTTCACTTTCACCTTCGCAACTCTTCAATAGGACAATGCTAAGTGTCTTGCAGCTGATTATGAATGCCTTCTGGCATGAATTAGAAAAGTTTGAGCGCGGAAAACGAACATCAATACTACCATCTTGGATTGTCGGCAAGATACAGGGACAGACCTTGGTTTAGAACAAAGCAGGTCTTGGACGAAATACTTATCACCAGTGTACCAGCCCATCACACAGGCTCTTCAACCTCGCCAATGATGGAACATGTTGCACGAATTCCCTTGTAAAGTGTGAGTATCACGCATCTGTTCTTTGTTTGACACAAGCCAGCAACAAAACACATCGCTTATACCCACCTCGTGTTAACGGTGTGGTTTCCAATACCGACATCTGCACAGAAGACAGAAACGAGATCTACTTCCGTCACCCGTCAGCATCAATGGATTACACGTCAATTCGCCATGAGAGCCACATACCAAGTTTTGTTCAAGCAAACACAACCCGACAATCCCGTTTTCTCCTTGGCTGGAAAACCGGATCTATCAGGTAGGTCCTATATTTGGCCGCTGACTGGTGTGTGGACTTAGCTGAATGCGTTGGAAATCTTGTCCCACCTTGGACCAATTCCAAATCCAGGTTTAAATCTCGTTACCGAATACAAGATCATTCAAAGTAAATAAGATCAAGATCTTGGAGGCTTCGATTCGCGCGATCTGGGGTGCCCTGACTGATCTGATTTTCCACTATCGTTGTTCTGGCCGGCTGAAAGATCATACAGTCTGTAGCTGGACCATTCTGGCCATCCGAGACCACCACTAACGAAGCTTTCAGAAGCCAGATGCGCAGACATGACACCCACACGGACAAGGTCGTTGCCGCTGATATCGTCTTCACATCGAGAGAAGAGTCAATGGTCTAGTTCCAGTCTACGTCCAACGCGGCCATGATCGAGCCTTCTTGAACAAGCCAGACTGGCCAGGGTAGGGGAATGCTGTGAGCCGTCGGACTTTTGCTTCCGACACGATCCAAGGATTCCTGGCCCAGACCCGTTCAACGCTGGGGCAACAACGGTGAAGCTTGGAGAGAAATAATGACAGGTATGACAGGTATTGAAGACCCTTGCAGTTTTGTGGTTTCGGTTGTCCTTGGATCTCTTACTAGTGCAATCAGTCCAACATACTTGAGAAAATAGGCTCAACATTGGGCCAGGCAAGCAAACGTCCTCCCCATCTCGCATGACCTGGATGGCACCTTCATTATTTCTGATGCAAGAGGTGTGGTAATTTCCATACAGGATACGAGATCTGGCCTTTTTTCTTGTGCTGGAAACCACCAGACCGATTGGCAATTTTTAGATAACACAAACCCCTCAACAGCCCCTCGACGTGTCTCGCTAAACTCAAGCCGAGATGCATGCCATCCAAACGTTCTGGTTGAGATAGTGATGTACAGGCTTGGTCCAATTTGACTTCCAAAATCACTTACCAAGTAAAAAGAATACCTTCAATGTGATTCAGTGCCGTCATCGATAACTTGCGGGCGAGATTGGCTGAGTCGTTTGTCATGACAAATTTATTTTGAGATTTTGGGTGGAACGAGCCCCACCGTTCAACTGCGCTGTGGATTAAATAATTGGTCAGACAAACACCTCCCCCAGAACGCATATTTGATAGGCTCAACATCTGGCTCGGCAAACTTGCAAGGAAATTCTCCAACGACGACCAGAGCACGCAATTGCTTTGAAGAGAAAACTTTGCCCAAAGAAGCCTCAACACTGATTAGAGAAGAAAAGGACTGCAAAGATCAATAACGAGACTGATACACGAGTGTAAACCATAATCGAAAAAGAATATCATCATGGCAACGTAAGTCCTACTCCTTCCCTGATCGCTGCCCTTCAACATGTGCATATCGGAACCCCTCGACACTACTTGTGGGAGATTGAATCAGCTGTGTAATCATTTCCATTCACAATGTTGTTGTTTCTTTTTTTTTGGAGTTGGGACGTTGCACACACTGTATATGAATGATCCCTTGAATGGACGACTCGATATACGGTTCCATCAACAACGATCAACCACCTCAACCCACAGCCTCCATAAATGCCAATTTCTCCTCCTCCATATCCTTTCTCCCTTCTGACCCATCACAACATTTCCTGCCACCACTTGACTTGGTCTTGTTTCCTGGGATTGCATACATCATATGCCCAACACATACTATGAGGTCGTCAAGCTGACAAGACCAAACCAAAACAGCAACATCCACTACCACCCCACTCCCCTGACTCCCAGCATCCGCGCCGGCCTCCGCAAACAATCCGGCCTGACGATCTGGCTCACGGGTCTGAGTGCGAGCGGTAAATCTACGATCGCCGTCGCCCTCGAACAGGCCCTGCTCCGAAGACCCTACAACAAGGCCGCCTACCGGCTGGACGGGGACAACATCCGGTTCGGGCTCAACAAGGATCTCGGCTTCTCGCCCAAGGACCGCGAGGAGAACATCCGCCGCATCGCCGAGGTGGCCAAGCTGTTCGCCGACTCGTGCACCATCGCCATCACGAGCTTCATCAGCCCTTACCGAGGCGACCGTGACCTGGCGCGCCAGCTGCACGAGGCCGAGCGTCCCGGCGGCGAGGCAGGCGTTCCTTTTGTGGAAGTCTGGATCGACGTCCCGGTCGAGGTCGCCGAGCAACGTGACCCCAAGGGCCTCTACAAAAAGGCCAGGGAAGGAAAGATCCCAGAGTTCACGGGTATCAGTGCCCCTTACGAAGAACCACTCAAGCCCGAGATCCACATCCGTTCGGACAAGACGAGTGTCGAGGATGCCGTGAAGATCATCGTCGGCTATCTCGAGGAGAAGGGTTATTTGAGTGCTCCTACCGAGGTGGACGATGAGGCATGAAGAGGACTGCCTCCTCTCAGGAACGAACGCACTGACGAGATGGTGTTATGAAATTGGGATCGTCGGGATATATGGATACATGAATTATCAATCACGTGTCTGTCGCAACGAGGGAGGGACAGGATATGATGCGGTTAAGTTGGGATGGGATGATATGTGATGGAACAGGTACACGTCGCTATGCGACCAAGGACAATATAACGAATAGAGATATGAGTAAGGGGTAGACGAGAAACAAAAGTCTGGATATTGGATAGACGGGATATATTTGGGGTCACACAGAGATTGACAATACGAGATTGGTCACCAGTGGATTCATCATCACGACACTTGATCGTCGTTTTAATTCCTCAACATACCTAGTATATCCAATCACGGGGAACGAAGACGAGAACAAATCTGAAGTCCCAGTATTCCCAAGCTCATCGTCTTTTGCCCGTCTCTTCCTGGTCAGAAGATTCACCTCCGTCCGTACCCCTGGTGTTCACAAACCCATCGACACCTCGTCCCCAACGTCCAGCTTTCTTCCCCCATTTCATCATCCCCCAAGCATGTTGCCATCCGAATTTCGGCGGTGGTGACGTTGAAGTTCTAAAAGGTGAAGCACCATGTTTGAAAAGTGAATCCGTCTTTGCATCATCATTCGCTCGTTCCGGTCCTTGATGACTCTCAGATCCACCCTTGTTCTGTTCTCGTCCCTGCTCTTGTCCTTGCCGTTTCAACACTTCTTCCTTCAAATCCTGGTCCCTGAATCTTTCCCATGTCCTACCTTCCCTTCCTATAGGTCTCCACCAATCCATCACGGTTCCGTTCTCACCCTCACCCTCGTCGTCGGTCAAAGTTCTTTGGCTCCACCATCTATTACCACACATTTCCCAAAGACGACTCCTCGCACGTTTGTAAGCGAACCTTTCATCCTCCCCGGTCAATGCGCTGGTCGTCGTAAAGTCTGGACTCGTGGCCTGCCGCCTCGACATTGCGTCTTCTGCGCTGTCGGCTCGACTGATACCTCTCCCTCTCCCGTTTCCATAAGTCGGACCAAAATCGGCATCTTCATCCGCCAGTACACTCCTTCTAGAGACATCCCCGAGACTTGCCGTGAATGACACCACGTCCACATCCGGTTCTGAACTTCTCACGTTTCCATCATTGTAAATCGAAACGTTTGGTCGAAATGGAGCAGTGGAATCTTGATAGATTTCGGAATACGCCTCGGATGTTATGCTGTCAGTCTCATCATTGCCACCATCATCACCCTCGTGACGACCATCATCATGAACACCTGCCCTTGTTCTTCTTCTCATCTCAGGAAAGAACAACTTATCAGGAGGAGCCTCTGCCTCGATCAGGACTCGACATTTGGCCTCGTACAATGCATCAAGGAGCGTGATGAATCTTCTTGCTTCGTTCTTTTGGGTCAGTGTCAAGACTGGAACGTCTGTGAGGACCAATGTGTGAAAGGTCGAGCACAACGAGACGTAATCTGCGGGACCTAGATAGGTGGCACACAAATCAGAAAAGGAAGACTTTAGGATCCCTTTATGAGTGTGCGGGAGGTGTATCTGTCTTGCGTAGATGGTGAGGTGGGTGGGCGTCCACTCGTCTTGCGGGTTCAAACTCCTCAGGTCTGTCTCGAAAGACGACGAAGGCACAGAGGGGATCGAGACGTGGTAATGCGGTGGTGCGTCTGATGATGCCTGTGGTGTCGTTTCGTTTGTAATGTCTGTCGAGCTTCCCACCACAAGACCGTGTTCGTTGTCCTTGGGGGCACCATCGACGTCGTCACTAGCAATACCATCGCTCCCTCCTTCTGTGCCTCTCATATCCGTACCGACGACATTGTCGAATGTTGTGTCGCTCTGGCCAATCATAGCAAGACCAGACAGACCCCCATCCTGATCAACATCGTCAGCTTCCCTCCTCCAATCCTTTTCTCCTTCCATTTCCCAAACCTCACATCTCGCCCTGAGTACGTCCAAAAACAAACCAAAATCCGTCTTTGCACTTTTCTCTCCTTCAGTCTCGCGACCGATGCCCCAACCCAAGCCCCAAAACCCTCCGGCTCCCGTTGTTGTCGTTCCTCTCCGCAACGCCGCAAATTCAATCCCCGCGGCCTTGCTCAACTCCTCGGGCATACGATTGCTGCTCGCCACGAGAACGCCTCCGAGGTGGAAAAAACTCGTGAAAAAGGATCCGACGAGTTTACTGGCAGTTCGATCCGGCATCTGAAACTCGTCCAGAAACAAGATTGGACTGTCACAGATCGTGTCCCTGGCCAGACTCAAGACGACATTTTCGTGGTCCGACACGGTTTGGCCTTGATCTCCGCCAAACATGCTCCTCCTCCGTCTCCCACCACCGTCCAACTCGGGCGCCGCCTCCATCGCCACGCGTTCCGTCCGTTCCAGTTCGATCCGCCGGTAAACGTCCAGCATGAACGTCGTAAAGTGCCATCGTCTCTTCTTGCGCGACGGCAAGCTGTCGTACAGCAAGTCGAGGAGCATGGATTTGCCCCGACCGACTTCGCCGTACAGCAACAACCCCAGAGGTGAGTCGATCTGCAAGGCCGACTGGTGGAGTGGCGTGGTCCTGGTCAAAGCCAGACTCGAAGGATCGAGACGCGCCTTCGTCGACGAGGCGAGCACTGCCAGACTCCTCGACAAGATGCTGTTGCTGCTGTTGTTGCTTCTGCCTTTGGCCGCCGCTGCTCGGTTGGAGGAGACATTTTGCTGTTGTGCACCGTCACCATCGTGGGTACGGGTTGTCTGGATGCCTGTGTCTGTCGACGAAGCACCTGTTGACCCGGACCCGGACCCTGACCGTCGCCCCACACTTCTCCCAATCTTCTCGAGACGATACCGATACTCGACCTCGGGAGAATAATCTTTGAGTCGAAAGTAGAGTTTTTGTAACTGCAGAGCTAGCCTGTGCTGCGCCGGGTCCGGTTTGATCTTCTTGGTCGCGACGAGCGCGCGATACAGCACGAGCGGGTTGGTTATACTCAGGCTTAGATTCTTAGGTCGAGGTGGTGGTGGCGGCATTGGGTCAGATCCGAGGAAATCAAATCATATGGGAATCAATACGTCACACAGAGACAAGGAATGAACAGAAGCTGACAGATCCGCCGACAAGAAAAGGGAAACCAAGAACCAAAAAGAAATCTATAAAATGGTACGGAAGTTGACTTTATCCTCATCATAATCATCATCAAGTTGTCGTAATAATCATTTCTGGTATCATCAATGTCCCGAAATGAGCGCCCCAAGACTGTATGCTCCGCCGGAGTTCAAACATAACATAAATCTACACATGCTTTTATCGTGTTCAACACCATCACCACCACCCAAAACTTTTGGCGCCATGCTGATGACAGACAGTACATTCCCATTTGTACTCGACTTGCGAGTAGTCATGTCCGTTCCATTCTAGAACCTAACGCCCAACATCCGAAATGAACAAACCCCTTCGTTGAATCATTCACGCTAATCCTTGTTCCCCCAACGATACGCCTCCATCAGATAAATCAAGATCGCTCAGCTCTTCGTCGAGACCCGTATCCTTGTTCTTCTTCTTCGACCTCGCCTTCGCCCCTGATCTCCTTTTTGGCCCGTCAATAGCACTCGGTGGGGGCGCATGCATTATCCATCGGACAATACTTTCGGCTCGGTCAGGTACGAAGCCAAGCGGACTGTCCCGACTGGAACGCTGCGGCAACTTCCAACTTGCGCCTCCATCGTAGGCATCTATAAGGCCACTAGTATGGTTGCCGGTAGATTTTCCACTTCCAGCTTTTCTCTTAGAAGCTCCTTCCTCCTCCTGCAGAGCTTCACTTCCCTGAGCCAGCAGCTTGGGGTCTCGGGTCTCCTCGCCGATGGCTTGGTTTGTTCCCATTGCTCCATCATGATTCGTAACTTCCTTTTGTGCCTGCGGGTCTGTAGCTTCCTGCAGAGTGGCGTATTCAGTCTGGTTCAGAACGACGGGAGAGTCGACGTGCGCGTTGGGAGTACATAGAGTCTGCCAAGTATTACTCAGTTGGAGCCAATTCTTCGATCGACGGAGGATCTCGACCCAGTCAGCCCTGGCGGGAGATCGAGAAGGTGAGAATATGGGGTATCCATCACAGATCCTCTCGATTCGTGCTGCCATATATGCATGGCGGGCTAGTTCCTTGGTCGACGTCTGCATCAAGCAATGACAAAGTAAAAGGGAGTGAACTACTTCGGCGAGCAGAGGATGATAGCTGACGGCTTCGCTGAAGATGGGCATCGACAAGTCTTCATTCTCATGCTCTGGAGTGGCTTCGGGAGGATATGATGGCAAGTCCGCTGGAGGTACTGCGGTGAAGAGTGTGTTCAGCGTATAAACTGACCTTTGAGGGAGCTTTGGAGTAGGTGAGTCCTTTTGTCGATCTCGGTGCGATTTTCCGTGTGTATTATAGAAAATGCCTGCGCCAGCCTGAGCGCAGATTTCGATAACTTTTTCTCTGCGTGCCTGCTTAGTCTCGCCGAAATACGATGGGTGTTGTGCCTTGACAAAGGCTTTCAGCTCCGCTACTTTCATCCCAGGCGTATATTCCAGGTGTGACAGGAACGACATGAAGTCTCGCAAAGCTCTCTTGGCATATGGACGAACGTGTTTCCGTACCTCTTCACGGAATTTGGCCGCCTCTTGCTGAGATTTTACTACGGCTTCTGGATCTTCTCTCACGTCTTCCTCGTATTTTTCGTCACCGTAGAAGAAAGCCCAGGTGGCATTGCTACAGGCCAATGACAGGTAACGATCGCCACGGAGGAAGAGAAGCTGAAGTTCTAGACTGCTAGGTTGGTTCTCATCCTCCAACCGGTCAGAAGACTTGTGGTCCCCATCCGGCCTCGTGGTGTCTTTGGCGGGAACCACTTTTTCTTTGGAGAGCTTCTGGTGTTGTGAGTGGTATAATCGAAACGCCGACAACCCATCCGTACATTCTCTTATGGATTCCTCGGTGTTTTGTTTAAACATCTGGGCTTCAGCTCTGGTTCTATATGTCGAGGCCTCTGTTGGCATATGTCGTAGGACATCATCCAATGGCGCAAGACTCGTGTTATGATAAATCGACATGGACGGGATCTTTTCGTGGAAGAAGTGGACATATTGGGCGTCGGGGTCTTTCTCGTTCCTTTGCAAGACATGTTTTGCAACGTCCTCCAGCGCTGATGCTCCCTGCATCACGGCCACGCTGGAGGCAACCTCGTCCAGACGATAGGCCGCGGCCAACTTTTGTGTAGCATGTTCCCGCATGCGATGTCTGCGTTCTCGACTCGGTTTTGCATTTCCACCCTTCACCGGCCCCAGACCGAGCGATTCTACTACGGTGCCTCTCTGGGAGGAGGTTTGCACGGAAGAAGAGGCAGTACCACTGGCAGCTCGTACGGCGAGACTTGTGGCGTCGTCGATGAGCGTGCGAATCTTGAGGATGTCGAAGAACATGGACGGAAGGATAGGCGTCGGTCGAGGTGCATTGTAGTTGATGTATGCCAGACTTTCGAGTTCATCCAAGGGGCAGCTCAGCCAATGTCCCTGGTAGGCCGAGATGTATCTCCAGTGTCTATAGGCTCAATTAGTTTGTAGTAAGTAGCAAAGGCTCTCGTCATGGGAGCCATTGACCAGAATATTACTTGTTGCGACAGATCAGTAATGACGGAGGCCCTCCTGGATCCTCCGTGTCTTTGCTCTTCTGGGGCTTTTGCGCAAGCGACGCAGGTGAATCTTGGGCCGTATTTGGTGCGGCACCCCGTCTGTCGCTATGCGAGTTGGCCTTTGCTTTCTTTTTGGCCATGACATGGGAGGACCTTGGATCCTTGCTGTTCCTGAGGTCGACAGCTGCCCAATGTCTGTGTATTCCAACATCTGAAAGACGGACGATATTTAAAGTGACCAAATGAGTTTCTTTTGTTTGGGGAAAGTACGAACAATACGGAGCATCTCCTTCCCCTCATAAAGCAGAGACATGTGGTTGCTAGGATCTGGAGTACTCCGTATTATGTGGCCAATCGCCAATCGGAAAATCTCATCTACAATCTGAATGACCCGAGATAAAGATACTGCCCAGATCTATCAACTCGTGAAGCGATCTGGTAGACACAATGGATGAAACATACCTTCAAAGTGTGTGTTCAAGTCGAGATCAGCAATGCAAGAATGATTCGTATTCAAACAACTTCAATATTATATCTCCGTATCAACTACAAGTTCGGCACTATCATCAAAATTACCCTTGTCGACGTTAACAACTACCATAAACAATTTCTCTTTCAGGTAGGTTGCGGGTTCGATGGGAAGATGACCTGGTACCCAGTGTCCAACCCCCAGGCGATGCTATTGAACTCCAGATTGACCTGAACGATTTGACCGACGTCGGTAATGGTGAACAAGTTGAACCCCTTGACCTCGTATTCTCGACTTCCAATACCAGTGAAGAGCCAATACCACAGAATCTTGTTGCACCCAGCCACAAGGACCTCTAGCGTATTGATCCCTTCCACGCCAGGCGCATTGAGGACGCCTTCAATGTAGACTTGTTTGCCCACAAACGTAGCGGTGCCGAGCTATACAAAAATCATCATTAGCAAGTGTGTCAGGCAGGGGGTTTTTTTGGTCGCACAAACGAACGAGCAATGTAGGTACTTACTGGCTGCCCTTCCAGGGACAAGATCGAGTCGCTGATCTCGGTGTAGTTGTCGTCAAGCAGAGCTTGGGCTGTGGCATTGGCAGAAGTAACGTCCGAATGGCTCAGGATGGAAGTGTACTGGTCGACAATCGACTCGGCTTCGCTTTGCGTCAGGCAATTCTGCCAGTCCGCGGTACGCGTCTTGGGAAGGGCAGAACCGCTCACCGCAGCGCCCAACAAGGCAAGAGACCCAAGAAACGAGAAGGCCTTCATCGTAGGGTTGGACAAAAGAAGTAGGTCAAGGTGTTGAATTGGATGGAGGAGTGGAAGCGAGAGAGGCTCGAGAAGTATTCAGAGAGACTGCCGCGGAACGAGAAAGGAAACCCGATCCTATGAGCCGACATCGACATATTATAATCCATGACCCGACCCAAGGATAAGCTCAAACGAGTCGCCTCGTCTCACCTCGGGAGATGAATTCGAGGATTAGAATGATGCCCCTCAGATCAGGGACGCATGTATGCAAGGCACGAACAACCTTTGACAAGTCCGTACAATGGTTTCGTGAGACTTCGGCGTTGATTGGCTCGACCAGAATTGTTGACCTTTCAATGATGCATGATCCCCAGCGTATTTGTATAAGCTAGCATATGCTGGCTGACATTCTGTGGTGTTGAAAGTCAAGAAGCCCCACGGCAGTGAGCTAGCATGGTTTCCCCAGCCGTTCCTGAGTTGATGACCAGATGATTGAAATGATGCAGAGTTTATTGGCGTACCGAGCCCATGTCAGACATCAGTTATCATCGTGAGCTATCTCTTGTTAGGCGTCCTGTGAGGAGCGGGACAGGTCAGACTATGGCAGAAGTCAAGAGGTTGCGATCATCCTGGACATGACAACCATCCACCATACGACAGCTCTCTCAAAAGAGCGAGAAGAAGAGTGGCCTTGTTGCATCTCAACGACACAGAAACAGAGAGTAGGTGGAAATCTGTATGCACGTCGAGCTAGTTCGAGAGCGGGTGTTTGTATCCTTGATGTCATGACTTTTTGCGGAGGGCGGGGGAGGAGCCAATTCTGAGGGCGGAAAGCCAGAATCTTCGCGGACATGGATTAAATATTGCATGCAAGGTTGTGCGAGGACAGCAGCTCCTCTATGCTTGCCAATAAAACCTCGTTGGTGTCGAGGAGGCGAATTGCCAAAGTTGGGCACAATGCGCGCGGATCCAAATGGGGAATGCAATGTTTTGCCGCGCCCAAGAGAAATCGGTACATCTAAGTCGAATTGTCTATGTGCTGCATGTCTCACTGTAGTGCTCTCGTGAAGTTTCGTAAAAAGCCTAAGCTTGAGTCAGGAGTCTACTGCTTGGAGTGTTAGTGGTGGTAGTAGGGGCCTGAAGCCTGGTGCCTCAACCGCATGGAAACATAAGGAGCCAACAAAGTATTCCTTGTAGAGAACAAAATCAAACGGAGGTAGTGACGAATTGACCTGGTTATATCAGGATCATCCAACTCTAGCTGGTCTCAAGATCGTCAATTTTTCGACATACTGTCTCTTGCCAAACAACAACTCTCAATTAGGTCCAAATTCATCTCGTCGTCACATGTTCATATTAGCCAAGTTTTCCAGAATGGACTCGTGCAAGATCTGTTCATGCGATCCCGCCCAACGCCCCAAGCATCACACCAGCACCGGCAGCGTATAGCAACCCTGGACAAGGTGTCTGCCGGGGACTATCGTTGCCGACCTGTACAAATCCACCTGAGGAGGAAGCAGCCGTGGTATCTCCAGTCGCACTTGGAAATTGGCTGCATTGGGTCGATTGCAAACCATAACAGCCCTGGGAGCTGAGAGAGCTGCAAATACTGCTTGCCGAGCTCAGGATCGTTCCCGTTGCTCCTTGTTGCGTTATACCACCACCGAGCCCCGAGACTGTAACTCCATTGCCTCCAGCGAGGGAGGCAAAACAAGAGGTCGATTCAGCTTGACATATTGAATATGCACTTGTGCACAAGTCAAAGTTTGCATAGGATGTCGGTATGTAGATGAAAGGATAGAAGTTGTTCGGAACAGTAGAGCCACCGCCCTCGACTCCACTGGTAAAGGAGGTGATGCCAGGTGCTGTTGAGCTGGCTGTGCTCGAAGATGTTGTGCCTCCGAGCACGAAGCCGGAAGTACTCGAACTTGCAGACCGCGAACCTGTTGCCGTGCCAGCTATCGACCCTGTGCATACAGCGTTTGATGGACAGCAGGCAATGTTTCCTGCATCATCCTGAGCACAATTGGTACCTGACGGGCAGCATACATCCTTTGCCCCGAGTCCCGAACACGACGTGTAGCCTGACTGGCAGTCATTTTGCCTTTTGACCAATAGTCCACCGTTGGATAATCCTAGAACAGCATTCTGAAATGGTGTATACTCTTCGATACTCACGGCCTGCGCCGTGGAAAGGAGGATGGTGAGGAAGAGGAGCGCTATCGAGCGCATGACAAGGAGCGGCCCAGCTGCCGGGGTTGTCGCACGGACGATGAGTTGGTGCAGGGTTCACCTCGAAGGCATCGGCCACACTGAGATAGACTAGTAGTTGGAATGATTCCGTGCGCAATGTTGGATCTGTAGTATCTACAGACACAAACTTTTGAGGCTAGATAATGTCCAGAATGCAGGAACCAAACTTCCCGGTCGAGGGAGTTGGGCTTCGGCGATGACGGCGGTGACGAATTTGCGACCTTGTAGTGCTGGCATGGCAACCAGCAAAATTGGTTAGGCAGCCTTGCCAATTCCTGCCCAGCCTCGCTAAGCTCTTTTGTGCACCTGCATGTTTCATTTATTTTCTCACTTCGACTCTCACCATAAGTAAGACACCTGCAAGTAGTACTTCAACGGTCAACCCAGGATGATACGCTATTATTGTTAAATTCAGGTACGTGAATCCACACAACACCGCATCCTGTCTTCCACATTCGAAATGATGATCCGAAAAAGTGAATTCTGCAATTCTGAAGGCTTGCCAGCCGCAATGCGGACAACCACATTACACTTGACCTGATATACCCGATATGCAAGACCTGTATTCGATATTGTTACTTGATGATTCTTTTGCTAACGGAAATCACCATGGTTAGATTTTTCATTTTCAGGCACATGCTTCTTACTCGAATTGACAACACATGAAAAGCTCAGGCACACATGCCAGTGTTATGGAGCAATATTTACTACTTAGTCAAACTATCTGTTTTCTTCTTTCTTTTCGGAGGCTTTCTCGGCCAACTACGAGGTTCGGTCTGTGTGTTCTATCTATTCTGCTCGCATTGTGATAATTCGCATGTTGTCATCATGAATTGAGGTATTGATGCACGCCACGTGTTTATCATCCGATGGTCTCAACTTCCGTCATCCCGAAGAATGGATTCGACGGATCATATGGCCACTTGCGGACCACGAGGTCGCCACCATGATAGCTGCTCAGGTTTGCGGCAGTGTTCGACTGATTGGGAAGTGTCAGATGTTTGTTTGCAATGAAGGAGAGCCCGATTACGAGCTGCCAAAGATGGGTAAACATACCATGTCATATGCGCACATAGCAGGCTCACTGCCAAATGTCTGAACACCGACCACGGTCTCAAGATCATAGTCAACTTCGGCCTGCTGAATGGTCTGCCGGATGGGGTTCTGTAGGAAGTAGTTCTGCGGCGAGATGATCACGGTAGACTGGGCGGTCTGTTCGGTATGTTAGATACCGGATGCTTTATTTAATGTGACGGTCATCGAAAAGGCACGACGCATGGGAGGGACGGCACGGAAACAACTTACCGTGAAGACCGTGTTGGGAAGATCCTGGGTGTCAGGAACATGGTGCATACCCAAGTTGAAGTAGCTAAATATTAAGATGTTGAGGTTAGCTTTATGCATTTAGGAAGAATGTAGGGGGAACCGAGCTTGAAGAAGCTTCACCTTGGGTCGTTGTGAAAGGAACTTACAGCACGAGATCCTCCTGATCAAGGGATTCGCCGTCGAAGAACTTGTCAAAGTCGACGACCGGGCGAGCCGGGTCCAGTGAGCTGAAAGGATAGGCGCTTCGAGGCTCTGTGTCCTTCTGCTGTACAGCGTATAGGTGATGTTCAGCGAATCGAGCACTGTTTTTCAGGTTTGTTGAATTAATGATGGTAAGATGAGCTGTATTTGCAGTTCCGGGAGAGATTCGATATCCAGGATATTCACCCCACTTATTGGGCGTATCCTTGTTGACTACTGCATAGCTGCTGGCAAGGTTAGGAGCCCAATTGATCTTCGAATCATCCTCAGTGGCGATAAAAGACTTGTTTAGCTTCATCGTGTTCCGTGGCTCATCTGCCCAGGGGTAGCTATAAAGGGAAAGCAGTTAGCTATTGACCAGTTGGTCGGTTGGTCAGTAGGTAGACTCACTTCTCTGTTGTGGGAATGACGTCAACCTTCATCAGACTATTCTTTGTGCCATGAATGTCCAGGTCGAGCTTGTAGTTTAGCACGTGATCGTGCATTGAACCGGAGACAGTGTCTTGGATGTGGAAGCCATAGTCGGCGTTGGCAGCCCAAAAGGCAGCCGCAATATAGCCGGAGGCACGCACTGTGACATGGATCGATCCATCGTGGAAGAAGGCATACTCAAACATGTAGTCGTAGTTACCGAGCGTGCTTACACTGCGGACGACCAGGTGGACGTTCTTGGTCGCGTAGACATAGTTCAATGCGGTATGGCGCGCCGCCGGATAGCCCGCATCTAGTTCAAATATGCAGATGCTGTTTTGGTGTGATCGCCTTGCTTCACGCCAGTAGAATGACGTGTTCAGCATTGTTGCGTATGCTGGGCAGTCATAACCACCGACCAATTCGAAAGCGTTCGGGCCGAATCCGTAGTACGAGTCGAGAAACGAGAGAGCCGACTGACCTGGGCCCATGCCGGCGTAGTGAGCCAAGGCCTCTTGCATACCCAATTCGTACACAATTCGCTCCCCCTTGTACTTGATGTCGAAGAGTCGTATCCCGGTATCACGCGTAAATCCAATGAAAAATGAATAATCCACTGGGATCTGTTAGTCGAACTGAATAGAAATTTTAGGTTAGATGGGTATATACTCCATTCAATATAGGTCTCCTCCGTGTCTACTCCAAACCGAGGACCGGCCGGTTGGACGCTCACTGGCGGCGGAATCTCATCGTGAGGGAGCGCGGGAGCATTTGGAGCAGTCACACCCCAGTCTCCATCGGGAGTGGGTTTGAAATACTCGAAAGTGCCATTATGGAAAGCAGACTTAAATTCGTCCGTGGTTTTGAAGAACTCTCCATTGTAGTACCACCCCAGCACGCTCCATTTGGAAGGATCACGACCGGTTAGATCGGTGCGAACGGCCAAGCCGCCCCGTAGGAGAGAGCCAGTACCGTACATGCCCGTCGGCGATGGTGTATATTCGTTCCAAGAGGTGACGGCGCCGGTCTTGTCATCAATCCAGAGGGGGTCGCTAGGGCCAATGGTTATGGGATCATCCGGTGAGTTTGTGTAGGTCTGAATCATCGAGGTCAGTCAGTTACTTGGATCCATATTAGGGTGACTGTAAACCAATAATACTGACCCCGTTAAACATTTCCATCAAGATATCTTCAACTGATGCGGAGATATTTGCTAGAAATATGCCGTATTGCTCCGGATCGGCATTGTAGATCCGCTGCATTCCGACACCTTTATTGAAAGGATAGTCCAAGGGTTGCAAAGTCGTCTCGTTGGAGACTGGTAGAGGGCCAACCATGAATTCCTTGAGGTATGGCTCTAGTGTGGCTTGAAACTGGATTGTTGCCTTTGAGTATCGGTCTGGCTTTGGCCCCTCGCCGTTGAGGTATGGGAGTGCATCGGATTTATTTGGCTGCAGGAGCTCCACAAGTACAATAACATTGTCCCAGCTAATGGCAGGTTAGCGCTGCAGCAAACAAAGTCAAAGGGTAAAGGTAACGCGCCTGGTCGCATTGATATTGGCCGTGAGATTGAGCTCTGCTTGTTCATGGAGGAACTTCGTCACGGAGGCCGCCTCTTCTTCGGTCAGCGCTGCAAAGATATTTTGAAGCGGTGACTTTGTTGTTGATAGGGTGCTGCTAGCATCGCATGACCCAGTCGAATTCTGATCAGTGTGAAGCACAGCATTCTTGAAGGCGACCGGCTTGTCAATGGGCTTCCTGATCGGCTTCTTCCCCGGGGCGAAGTTCTTCATATAGAATGGTGATGCAGAAGCAACTGCTGCTAGACCACTAATGGCCAGCAAGGCTGGAGAAAGAATCCTCATCCTTTAATCGTCCTTCTCTCCCTTGACACTTGTGCAAAAGTGGACAGAACGACGTAGGCTTCACGATGGCCGTAATGAGATGGGAAGAATGATTGCCCATGCTGGAAGACTATTGCCCTTCTTATACATTTTTCACCTCGAAGACACGGGACTCGCTGAGTTCTTTGCCACGATGTATTGGAAATTCCGAGTACCCACCGATTCATGAGCGACACCACTCGGTAGAAACGCTCTTATCTCTGAGAAAAGCCCACAGCATCCGGCGGAGGAAGATCGTGGAAGTTAACATTACTCACATTGACCTACCTGCACTGTATAGCTGCGGCATCTGCAAGTTGTGCCTTGTATACCTCGACGCCGAGGATTCATCAACAATAGTGTGTTGTTCGAAGAGTGTAGGTTCAGATTTAGTCATGAATGCGATATTCACGACTGGCTGAATGTAAGCGAGCCGCATGCTTGGCAAGTGCTTGGCAAAGAGCCCAAACTCCCTGTGCTGATAAGCGCGTTCCGAGAAGGCTGCGGAGGGAAGATAAGGAACAGACGAATTCAACTCACATTGGTCCCCAGGGTATCGGTACCTCTCTGGGTTTAGTATAACCGGCTTCTCTGGGGACAATCAATGAGGGCGGAGAGGACCTGTACCGAGATATCTTGCTTCGCCAAGCATAAGGTAAGGAAATACTATGATAGAGGCGACTCTCAACCACTGACAAGGGCTTCCTTCGCGGGAATACTCTTGCGTTCCTTTACCCTCTCTCGGAATCTTTCCACTTCGTCTATTCTCACATGCTGTCTCCATGCTGTACATATGCCTCTTCCCAACCGAATGCCACTGCATAGCGCAGTATGCTAACGAGCGGTGACATTTGTCTGCGGCGTACCATCACGCGTCGCAGAACCGGTTGTCTCACGTGCCGCCTACGCCGGAAAAGATGTGACGAAAACAAACCGATTTGTCAGGGATGTGCTCGAAATTCTCTGGTCTGTCGCTGGCAGTCCCCAGAAGCCAGAGAGTCTTTCGGCGATGCCGCCTCTTGGAGACAGACTCTTCAAGGCCTTACCGAGGAGCGGAAATGCGACTTGGAGGTACAGGTTAGTCGCATGGACTCATGGGCCTCGACCCACGGCTATCCCACAAGCGTATCGACAAACCAAGCATCGGATTATCCATTCGCCCGGCTCTCTTTTGGCCTATCCTCGAAACCTATGATCCTACGGACGGAGATGGGCTCCTTCCTCTTTCAACACTTTCTTGAGCAGGTCGCACTGCGACTATCTAGTCGTAACGATCTCGAGAACCCATGGATTACTCTCTTCGTCCCTCTAGCCATGAAGGATGAATTGGTCATGTCGACGCTCTTAGCCCTAGGTGGTGCTAATCTATACACCTATTCCGGACATGCCCTCAAGCAAACATACTCATACTATGCTGTGGCCGTGAGGAGCGTCAAACACAGGGTGACAGAGCTCTCCCAGGGAGATTTCTCGCACATGTTGAATACCTTGGTAACAACGATTGCGCTGGCACAATTCGAGGTAGCCACTCCAACTCGCTCCTATCTGCACTTGATCCTTTGTCGTTGATGGATGATGGACACTGATATATACATTAGACCATGATTGGAGATACCCGAGGTGTAGTTTTGTACCATCTCCAAGCATGTCGAGAACTGCTTCAGCTGAGCCAAAGGAGGTGTTTAAGCCTCAATCCGACGGTGATCGCGTTCATTCTGGAATCATATCTCTACACCGCTGCCGTTGGAACAACGTTCGTCTACGACGACCGTCAAACGAGCTTCACCTTCGATTGGGAATACGACTTGTTGAATTCAGTGTTTGACGACTCAAGAGGATATGGATTCATGCTTGGTTATGCAAGCAAGCTCTTACAACTACTTCCGCAACTAGTACAGACCGTTAGCAAATGGATCAATCCGGACAGTGACCTCGAATCTTCGCATGCAGATCAAGAGTTTCTCTTCTTCAAAGCCGAGCTCACGAGCTGGGAGCCGTCGTACGGTCAAGATATCAATGCACCTAGTCTTGCTGACACTCATGATGATAAGCCAGAGCACCAATCTGTTATGCAGTCATGGCATCGTGATGCGCAGGTCGTTGCCAGGATATATCATCAAGCTCTGCTGGCTTTGCTGTTTACTGGCCGGCATGGCAGGCAACCTCCTGATGAAGGTCTTTTGGCTTTAATCGACCCATTGATCGACGAGTTTTTCCGTCTTAGGGGGACTCTCTCGCCAGAGTCGCCCGTCTGGGCAATGATGTTGTGGCCGACAGTTATGGTGGGCTCGTGTCTCCATCGGTTAGAAGATCAACTGATGATTTCGGACAAGGACTGCTCTATGATGCCAGTTATCAATGCTTTCAACGTTTTGCAGCAGATATGGGATGACGAAGGGGAGATGGTGTTTGGTATCGTCGGACTTTCTATAGTCTGTAGGAGTCAAAAAATAACCCTGTGTGCAATATAAAAGCGCTGTCACATTGTTCGAGTCATGGTCTTGAGAAGCCTTGAAACAGTCTTTAATTACCCAGGCAAGTTCAAGAGAAAGGGGATGATCGAAGGTGCGCGATGGTAAAAGGATGAGGGGAGTGAATATGGGCGGCACCAGGCTTCGTCCCAATTGGGGGAGAATGGGGGTTAAGAGGCAATAATGGGCAGGTTTTTATTAGGTACGAAGTACTGTAACAATTAGCTGGAGCTTCAGGCCCTGAACCCAAGAACTCCTAAGCACCAACTTGTCAAATTTACAGCTGCACCCGCCCGGCATTCCCGGGCGATCAGCCGCCTGGAGAACCTACCAAGACAAAGGGCCGGGATGCTGTCTTGAGGAAATTGACCTTAGTGTCTGCAGCTTCACGTACATTTCGCACCAACTTGAACGGCTTCTATTTCGCACCGAATGAGCCGCCGCCTCAAAGGTCTGGTTAGAACTAGGACCGCGTTGCCTTGGCTGTCCGGCCGACCGTGGCTTTTGTAACACAATCTGTGCGAGCTCAACTTCGGCGATTTTTTCCTTAGATCAGGCATACTAAAGCTGAGGTCGAGCGATTGCCACAAAAGATGCGTTCCAGAACAAAAAGATCGTCAGACAAAGTTCAGCACTTTGCCGCTCCAGAAAACCCACTGATGTTATGCGGCTCTCGAAAAACTCTGGAACAGGGGCTGTCTGGGGAAAAAGGCACGCATCCGCCCTCGGTTATACATGTTATTCGCGTGGCATGATGGCTACTGGCCCTGTGGCTTGGACAAGTCAGTCACTAAATGAATTCACAGCCGACTCCCCGGAAAGGCCAAGAGCACATCTTCGCTGGTGATTGGTGAGGATTCAACCGTCTCTGGACCACCTGAACGAAAGACGCGGGAGGCTTGACCACAGGAGCTTCGTGAAACAAGCCGATTGCCATTCAGGCCGCATTCGAAGTGCTCTGGTCGTGAAACTGCCATACCCCGTTGCTGCAGAATGCAAGCCACATTCTCGGTTTTTCCCACCAGTCTGCAGATTTTTTCAATGCAAAATGGAACGAACCCTTTGCCCTGTCTGGGCACTGTCTCATACCTGCCTGCTTCTGATCGTAGTCGGGATAGCCAGGTAAAAGAATGACTTAAAGGTGAGTGATCTTCCTAGTTTTGTCTCACACTCTGTCTGCTGTGCAAACTCCACATGTTTGACTCGACGGACGGCGCAATGTCATCTAACTCGACTGTGTCACTCTCAACGACTCTTGACCCGCTGCCGCCTGTCTTGCGCCATGGCCTTGTGGCTGTCGCCTTCTTTGGCATACTATCACTTGTCACCAGCCTAGGGCTGTTCAGTTTTTTGACCTACCGTCTGTGTGTCTGGAAGGTTCGAGGCCAACTCAAGGACGGCGCCAACCAATTTCTCGTTCTCATATACAATCTTGTGTTGGCCGATATCCAACAAGCCATGGCTTTCTCCCTGACGTCCGCTTACCTGGCGGAGAACAAGATTGAGGTGGAGGACAACACAACATGTTGGGCGAATGGATGGTTCGTATCAACTGGCGACCTGGCCTCTGGGGTCTTCATTTTCGCCATTGCCTTCCACACGTTCTTTGCGGTGGTGAAGGGTCGACGGCCGAGTGGTAGGGTGTTTTATTCCTGCATCGCTGGCTCGTGGATCTTCGTGTACACAATGGCCATCATCGGTGTCGGGATAGACCCCAAGTTATATGTGAGGGCCGGTGCTTGGGTTCGTTCATGTCCTTCTCTGGCTAACGACGCTGACAATTCCGCTAGTGTTGGGTTTCCCACCGACACGACGCAGTGAGGCTGTGGCTACACTACTTTTGGATCTTTACCTGCATGTTCGGCACTGTCCTCGTGTATGCGCTCATTTTCGTTTCCATTCAGACTCGATCACGACTGCGGTTGGGCGCGAGAAACACTGCGCAAGAGCACGACCCTGCAACCATGAAGCGGGCTGCAAAATATATGATCATCTACCCCGTGGTATATGTGATCTGTACACTGCCATTGGCAGGTGCCCGAATGGCATCAATGCGAGGCATGGTGGTTCCGTATTGGTGGTTTTGTCTTGCTGGCTCGGCCATAACTTCATGTGGTTGGCTGGATGTCTTGTTGTACGCGGTAACCCGTCGCGTCCTCGTTTTCAGTGACCGTCCACCGCCCGCAGATGACCTTGGTCTAGACACAATTGGCTGGAAACAGTCTGGTGATGGATTCTGGGGGATGACCACCACCGTTACAGGGCCACTTGGCCCACACAATGTTCGGAGGCGTGTCAAGAGGGGGGCTTTAGGTCGGTATACACCACGACTTCGGCAGAGACACTCCGACGAAGATCATCTGGCAAATCATCCAGAAGGTGTCATCACAGCGAAGACGACTGTCGAGATGCATACCGGGAATATACCTTTTTATGCAGAATCAACCGAGCTTAGTGTGATTGAGAGTGATGATAAGATCGAGGGCAACGCACAGTCACTGAGACCTAGTACGTTCAGAGAATGATAAGCAAAAGATGATCGATGTATTCAGGCGTTCTTAAATAGAGACGTTATCGTTCCTGCACAGCCAAGATACCGCAGCCCTCGTCTTGTTCACGCTTTCTGACGAGGCTGTGCCGAATTTGAGCCGGCGAACTTCAGCATCACGAGGCTGAGAGAGCACTTCATCATCGACCACCAAAAGTTGAATATTTCTGATGCCAATTAGCTTCATTATTTCAATTCCGAAGCAGCACAAGGTTTTTCTTGCCAATCTTGTCCATATTCGAGCTAGATTCAACGTTCAGCTTCCATTGACAAGGATCGTTGAGTTGGTGGATGACGAATTTTCAGTTCTTCCATTTCATTGGCCGCCAATAGATTTCCAAGATCCAACACATACAAAAATCTGGCCTTCTCGCCTCTACACGTCATTTACCCCGGGTTCGTCTCTTATATCTTAATCACCTAGAAAATCCCCATGAGTTGTGCAGAGAAACAGCTTCGATAACACAAGGGACAGCGCACTGGACGACCTGAGGCCTTTTGAGGTCCTATCGACCAATCAGCCATGTCCGTCATAGACATACACAAGGACTTGTCGGCTCTCTTCACCCAACAGGTCCAAGCCACGCCAGACAATGTTGCCTTGGAGGACGACAAGCACACGTACAGCTACACTCAGCTAGCAGAAAAGGTCACCGCGCTCGCTGATCGCTTTCGCAAGCATGGCGTCGGTCGGGATAAACTGGTCGGAGTACTCTTGCCTCGAAGTGCCGATTATGTAATTGCCTGTCTCGCTGCTCTGCAAGCTGGAGGTGCTTTCCTTGTGCTTGAACTTGCATATCCCCCCGACTTGCTGGCTGATGTTATTGATGACGCCAAACCAGCCGTGGTTGTCACTTATCGAGCGGAGGTGGGCAAGATCAAGGGTCAGACGCCAATTATATCCCTCGACGACGAAGCAGAGTCGGAAGTCAATGGTGAAGTTACCAGCGACTCGGGCCCCCTTCCCGCAGATGACGATTTGGACCGATTGTCTTTCGTGGCATACTCCTCGGGAACCACTGGAAAACCAAAAGGAATTGCCAACCCACACAGAGCTCCAGTGCTATCCTACAATCTCAGATTCGGTGTCAGCGACCAGCAACCTGGGGATCGAGTTGCCTGTAACGTCTTTTTCGTCTGGGAGATCATTCGTCCACTGCTCAGAGGTGCCACCGTCGTTGCCGTTCCCGACGATGCAAGCTACGATCCGGTGGCTCTTGTTGACCTCCTCTCGGCAAAGCATATCACGGAAACTTTGATGACTCCGACGCTTCTGGCTGCTGTCCTCTCTCGACATCCGGAGATCGGGAAACGACTTCCAGAGCTCAAGACCCTTTGGCTCAATGGAGAAGTCGTGACCACCGACCTAGCTCGCCGAGCACTGAAGGCGCTTCCGAATACACGATTACTCAATTGCTACAGTGCTTGTGAGACACACGAAGTGGCATGTGGTGATATCGAGGAGATTCTCGACGAGGAATCTACCTACTGTCCTGTGGGTCCTCCTCTCGATCCCAAACACACTTACATCCTTGATGAGGGTGGTCAGAAGGTGGAACCTGGCACAAGTGGTGAATTGTTCGTTGGCGGTCGATTGCTTGCCCGTGGCTATCTGAACCGACCTGAAACAACAGCAAAGGCCTTCACCCCAGACCCTTTTGACTCGACTCCCGGCGCACGTATGTACAGGACAGGGGATCTGGCTCGGATATTACCGAATGGTTTGCTGGAGATCACCGGCCGGGTCGGTGCTATGATCAAACTGCGAGGTTACTCTGTTGTTCCAGCCAAGGTCGAGTCTGCCATTATTTCGCATCTTGCAGTCAGTCACTGTGCGGTAATTGCCCATGGCGAGGGTCTCGATAGACAATTGGTTGCTTATGTCGTTCGCGATGAGGAGCAATCAGAAGAGCGTCCCGTTGTGGAGATCAATGATGCAGGCCGCAGCCCACAGGCACGCAAGATATTGTCGCCCTATCTTGCTCACTACATGGTTCCAGCATTGTGGGTCGAAATGAATGAGCTCCCAACGCACGAGGTTTCTGGAAAGGCTGACCCCAAGCGGTTGCCTCCCCCACCAAGCGAAAACGCTGGACAGGTCAATGGTCATCAGAAGATCGAGCAGCAAGATCCAATCTCGATTGAGTCGATTGCTGAAGTTTGGGCAGCGACCTTGAAAACTTCGCCGAGCAACATTTCGCCAGAACACAACTTCTTCGATCTCGGTGGACATTCGTTGTCGCTTGCAGACCTGGCTTCAAGACTTTCCCGAAATTTCGGCTTTCGGATTCCCCTTCAGCGACTTGTCGACCCTCCCACGCTAAATGGTCACCTTGAGACTGTCCGAGCAGTAAGAGATGGCCAGGTTGCTGCGGTGCAAGCAGATCTGCCCTCTGTTCTGCGCGCCGATTCTGTACTCGACAAGGATATCGTACCACCAAAGTCCACCATCTGCGCCCTTAGCAAGGCGAATACGGTTCTCTTGACTGGAGCCACCGGTTTCTTGGGCGCGTTTCTCCTCAACGATCTCTTGGAAAGTACGTCTGCCCAGATTGTATGCCTTGTCCGTTTCAGTGATCCTTCACAAGAAGACAAACCAGGTGGTATCGCCAGAATCAGGAGGAACATGCTCGATTTGGGTCTGTGGACTGACTCGATCATGGAACGGGTCGAGATCCTCCCTGGCAATCTTTCTCGAAAACGACTCGGCCTTTCACACGAAGCCTTCGACGAGCTAGCTTCGCGCATCCAAGTGATTGTCCACGCAGCTGCGACGGTCAATCTTGTCTATCCTTATGCAGCTCTTCGAAATGCCAACGTTGGTGGCACAAGAGAAATCCTGCGGCTGGCTTGTCGCGGTGGAGCTACGGTTCAATACATCTCCACGAACGGGGTGCTTCCACCATCGCAAACCGGCTGGCCAGAAGGTACTATGCTCTATGTCGATGAAGTTCCCGAGAAAATCCCCGACGGATACGGTCAGACCAAATGGGCTGCTGAGCAACTCGTTCTCGAAGCCGGCCGGCGTGGTTTGCCCGTCAAGATTCATCGCGCAGGCACAATCAGTGGTCACAGTTTGACAGGTGCCGCCAATGCATGGGATCTTTTGTCGGCGATGTTTGTGGAATCCATCCATCTCGGCTATGCTCCCGACGTTCAAGGTTGGCGCGCCGAGATGACGCCCGTGGATTTTGTCAGCAAAGCCATTATTCATTTGTCCAATCAGACACACGCCAAACAACTCGTTTTCCACCTTGGTGATCCAGACCCGGTGGACACTCGAGTCGTGTTCAGCGACTTGACAGAGCTGGGCTACCCTACCAAGCCGTTGAGCTTTGATCAATGGGTAGCCTTGTGGTACGAGAAGAGAGGATCTGCCAAAGGAGGCGATGGTGCTTTCACTGTCGACATTCTCCGCAGCGGCATGCCGAGTGTTGATTTTCTTCAAGGCATCGTCGTGTTGAATAATGCCGCCACTCGGCCCTTCCGGTCTGTAGTGGAACGACCCAAGGTTGATAGTATCCTCCTCGAAACCTACACCCGCCACTGGTTCGCTCGAGGCTGGCTTCCTCGCCCTCCCTCAAGCCAACGATCACTCGGTGGAACTGCACGACCCATCCGCAGAGGCCCACTGGCCGGTCGCGTGGCAGTCGTCACAGGTGCATCTTCAGGTATTGGCGCCGCCGTTGCGGTTGCGCTGGCCCGAGAAGGATGTCACGTAGCTCTTGCCGCTCGTCGTATCGACGCTCTCGAGGCCATCAAGCGTCGAATGGTGGTCAGAGAAGGAAAGGTGATTGTCCGCCAGACTGATGTGACGGACCGTAAGCAAGTCGAGTCCCTCATCAACGCGGCCCACGGCGAACTTGGTCCCGTCGACATTCTCGTCTCGTGTGCCGGGGTCATGTATTTCACCATGATGGCCAATGCGCAGGTCGATGAATGGGATCGAACCGTCGATGTGAATTGCAAAGGCCTTTTGAACTGTCTTTCGTCCACCGTGCCGGGTATGCTGTCTCGTGGAAGCGGACACATCGTCGCCATCTCCTCTGACGCCGGACGTAAAGTCTTCCCTGGTCTAGGCGTCTACTCGGCCAGCAAATTCTTCGTCGAAGCCACGTTACAGAGTCTTCGTCTCGAGACGGCCGGCAAGGGACTTCGTGTGTCGAGCGTTCAACCGGGAAATGTCGCCACAGACCTCCTTGGCATGTCGACCGACACTGAAGCTATCAAGAAATATGGAGAACCGACCGGAGCGCAGATCTTGGATCCTGAGGATGTCGCCAATTCAATTGTCTATGCACTGAAACAGCCGTCGCATGTCTCCGTGAATGAGGTCCTGATTGAACCCAGAGATGAACCGATATGATTTGGATTGTAACTCGCATACTGATGGGACATGCGATGAATTGGAAGAAAGCACCGGGCCAGACGGAGCTTCAAAATGAAACAATATAGACTTTTCCAAAAAAGGGTACAGGTACAAATCTGATGCGATAGAAGATCTCGAGGGTGGTTGAGTCATTTTAGATTGTAAGTAGTAAGGAATCTATTCAGTCACTCATTGATACCACAAAGTACAGTCTCTCCCGTTCGACCGACCTGTCAGTGTACCTGGGTTCAAAGTCACGACGCGATGTTGTCGTGCTGCTGATTGACAGACTCGGTGTTGGGTCACCAACATATCAGTACCAAGAGAGGGCACGCCGCTGCCAGTGTACGAGGTCGTTGTCACTCTCATCATCGTCGTGCCTACGAGCTTCACAGTCCCTGGCCCACCCCGAGCATTCACTGTTCCAGGTACTTTCCGGCACCCCATTCGTCCAAAATAAATGATCCTTTATGTATTCGACTCGTGGATTTCTTGTCAACTAACCTTCACAGGAAAACCAATTACTTTCGACCCTCTGGTGCAACGGTTTGAAGTCGCCTTCCGCAATACAGCAGGAAAGTCAAGTCAGGTCAAACTGGATGGCCATCCTGCAGGCAACTTTGGACTTTTCGAGGAGGATTTGAAGTAAAAAAGGTTCGGCACACAACAGTGGGCACAACAAGTGGGATGTCGATACTGAGGGTACAACACACACACACACAAACAACAGTGGGATCAACAACAGTGGGATATCAATTCTGGGGGCAAATTGGGGGCACGACAATTAAAGTGGGTGGACAACATAGGAGGATCAAGCGTCCCTGGAGAGGGTTAGAAAAAGTTGTAAGCGCTGCGACAGGGGAGATTCCAGAGCGAGTACCATAGATCGGTTTAAGACCTTCACTGGTCCCGAGTTGGGAGGCTTCTGGGGGAAAAAAATCCTTACACGACTGGGATTTTCTTAACTAGGCTCCTATGGGAGATAAATCCTAGTTAAGTTTTTGCCATTTTGGCAGAATCCTTCTGTATATTTTTTTTCATGCTTCTTTGAATATAGAGTATCTACAGAGGAGTAAGTGAGATTGATATACTCTGTACAGTACGTCAAGACAAGGCTACAGATACAAGGCTGACTAACACACCAAGTACAGTACGGTAGATCTTCGGCTCCACACTTCTTTCTACTCGTCAAGATTTCTAGAATCTCATGACCTTGAGTTCATCCTCCATACTATACTCGATACACCTCGCCAACATCACAACCATTACAGATCGAAGCCAGCGTCTGGTATACACCATACTCGAGATGCGCAGTAGAGTATCATCCTCTCTGCAAGGTGGCGGCGGCGGCGGCAGCTCGCGCACCCTCTTCTCCTCATTTTCCTTCTCGACCGCATGCACACCACACCACCCTCTTCTCCGCCGCACTCTCTTCCGCTTCAGACCACAATCACGACAACAGCCGTCACAACCACGACGACACTCGTCTACTTCTGCTTCCTCTCCGGATCAACAACGGATCGTGAGACCTTTGGTTCCTCCCCCACGCGAAGGAAGTGGCCCGCTACTGTCCCGACGACCCGACCGAGCCCTACCAAACATCTCTGGGACCTCGATCTGGATCAAGACCTTGCCGGTGTTTGTGGCACTGATTGGGTTGTCCAGTCTGGCTATATTCAATTACCAGAAATCCTCGAGCTCCACCGTCAACAGCATCCTCTACGCCCTGCGGACGAACCCTCACGCCCGTGAGTTGCTGGGTGATGAGATTTACTTCGCCAGTCAGGTCCCCTGGATCCGAGGGGAATTGAGTCCCATGCAAGGGACGATCGACATCACATTCTGGGTCAAGGGGACAAAGGGCACGGCGCAGACAAAATTCGTCAGCATAAGGAAAAAGGGTGCGGAATTCTTCGAGACTCTGGAGTGGAGTTTGCAATCGCCGGGCGCCGACGGTCAGAGCCAGACTATACAATTACTAGAGATGGAAGGGACCAGGGATCCCATAGCAGGACAAAAGATTTAAGACCAACAATGGAGAAAAGGAAAGACACCGAAAAGGAGAAAAAAAATCCAAGCATGGAGCATGGGAGAATGGCCAACCCTGGAGAACGGAAGCTGTACAACTATTCTATTACACCCCGTCCAGCATGTAGCAAATGATGGTTTCCTCTCCTACCTTTACAAATATCTGTACAGTATACATGGGATTGTATGTTGCCAATCAACAAAACGCCATGGTTCGTCATGACTTGTTCTTCAGTATGAAGATGTAGATCCAACAAAGCAACTTGGGGATCAAAATTGAGAGGAGTGGACTAGGACAAGAAAGATGCCACAATGTTCCCGCTCTCTTTCTAAAGCGCCCTGCCTGGCTGCTTGCCTTTCTTCCTATACTGCGCCGCCACCCGAAATGAATCAATGTCTGTAGGTCCAACTGAAGATGCCCTCGTCGCTGCTAGCTGTCTCAATCGTCGCCCTTGACCTTGGATCCTTTGGTGTTGACTCCGGCGGTACCCGAAGAACTTGAGGAAGATGACGAAGCCGAAGAACCACTGACTCCCTTCTTTGGCATTTTTCCAATATTCCAACCCCAACCTCGTAGTGTCTTGACGACTTTTGGGGTAATGCCCGCTGTCAGAGGGACTCGGACAAAGATGAAAGATTTGTGAATTGCATAAGCCAGAGCGAGTTGAGTCCATATACCTGTTGTCGAACCCCCCCGTGACGTTAGCAATCTCGATGCTCAAGGACGAAAGACGCACTCAGGTGTTTATCCAAAGCATCCACAAAGAAAATAAAAACTCACTGGCATTGCTTCCGGTGTTTGCCTTTTCAGCCTCCTTGTACCCATGATCCTCGACCTCTTGAGATTGTTGGTCGGGCCCTTCTTCCTCGAGGATCCTCTTGGTTTCTCCGACGACGTTGGCTTCCACGACATCCCCGGCCGCCTCCAACACCTCCTTCTGTTTCTGTGGGAAAGGCCAGGCGACCACGCCCCGGATCCAGCTCAACGCCACGTGCTCCCAGTGTCCTATGCGATCGGTCCCGAGCATCCGCACGGCGAGGAAACAGAACGGGAAATCCAGGGCCGTGAGGGCCAGGTACACTCCCAGCGCGGCCCAACCGTATTCCCGCGAGAGCTTCTTCATACGTTGAGAAAAGGATAGTTTTTCTGTCGACGCCGACCCGGACGATCCGGACGATGATGATGTGTTGCTACCACTGTTCCATCTCTTCCCCTGTTGTTGTGTCCTACTACCAGGGCAAGGTATTCGTCCTCCTCCGTTCCTCGCGTTCTGCGTCGCGAAAGAACCCGATCTCGGACCGGGACTCGAAAATGTAGTGGCAGACCGTTGTGTATGTATCCCTCTCCTGGTATGGTCCCGTACGGACGTTTGCAAGGATCTCGTTTGTAAGGATTGCTGGAGAATAGATTGGCCGAAGCGTTGTTCGAATTGAATCAATGCCCTCCGAGAAGCAGCTGGTCGCACATGGAGGAGTTGTTGCAAGGCGTTACGCTCCAACACCCGCATGCTGTTCATGTTTGGTCACTTGGGAGAGCCTTGAAAAGGAGGAGGTTGGCCGCAGAATCACAAGAATGTTTTGAGCTCGTCGAAGTTCTAATAAGTGGTCTGCAGGCATCCAGCAAGTGGCATGAGATGAATTTATTTTGCCTGCGCACTATGTCATAGCTTTTTCTTTTCGGACTTTACGGGAAATGGACGACGGACATCCTTGCAGCCTTGTCGTCCTACACCTCGAATTTAATCCCTGAAAGATTGAGAGAATTTGATTGAAGTACGGAGTACACCATCACTTGGTCCGTTGATTACTACTCTGTTTTAGCCGACTATGGCTCTGCCCAAGTCACAACTATTCCTATACATCCTGGACACGGTCAAAATGTGGCTGCTCAATTCCGCGCCAACCAGCCCACGCTCCTCTCATATAACCACTCCAACCATACCAGCAATCTCTAGCATCCCTGGGCACTGCCCCGAGGCAAACTCACAAGGGGTGTTTCGGTGGTCTACCGCGCTTTTTGGGTGTGCTAGGTTTGACCGCAATGCCTCGTGTTGACGTCTTTGTGTTTACACTTGCCCAACCTGATGATGATGCCTTCAAGACTGATGGCTCATCATCGGAGTCACTCTGACCCCAATCCGCTGCAGAAGCCTTGGCAGCAATCGACCGCCTGTTTTGTTGGACCCGCGTACCATTGGTATGGCCATTAAGAACAGTGGCTTTGGCTGGCACAGCAGGCTGCTTGAATCCAGGACCAGAGACGGACTCTGCCGGGTACGAATCCTGCGACGATGATTCAAAGTCGTCAAAGTCGTCGAAATCGTTCTCAATGTCCATGTCTTCAATTGCCGCCATCTTAGCCCGTCTATTGGCTTGCACGACTTCTAGTGTCTTCGAATTGTTGTTCGTTGTGAGGGAAGGCATCTCCCCTGCTGGTTTCCTTGGGACAGTCTCAAATGGTCGCACTAACTTACCTTGACTCGTAGCAGAGGGGCGGGTATTCTGAACCTTGGCCTGTTGGGATATTGTTGACTTCGATTGTAGTGCTGGATCTACAGCCATCTTGACCGGTGGGCTGGGCGCAGAGAATACGAGATCATCTTCAGACTCTCCACTGTCGGCTGAGCCATCATCAGAATCGGAATTTGGTCCTTCAAGTCGCACAACCTTGGGTGCTGCTTTAGTCCGAGGGTCCCAAAGTTGTGGGAGAATCTCATCGAACTCCTCTTCATCCGGTTCTTCATAGTGAATATTCTGCACTCTGGTCGTTCGCCTTGTGATTTCAGCATCTGGAGCAGGCTGAAGAGCGCCGTCTGGTGCCGACTTTCTTCGGTCGCGGGATCGGCCAGGGGTGAATTCATCGTCGTTATCAACGATATGGTGTTCAACGTCACGGTTTCGCCTGGGCACCTGTTGCGGATTCCCTTCTGCAGCATTAAGTGCCTGGAGATCGGAACCGATAACAGGCGCTGGCATAACCGGCACTCCATTCAGAGCCTGCTTTGCAACATTGACCATCTGATCGACTTGACTGAGCTTCTCTTTGTCAACAGGTAATTTGACAATGAGTGATTTTCGTTGCTTTTTGTTCTTCTTGACGGCAGATTTCTTATTCTTGTAGGGTCGATTGTCATCGTCCAGCTTCCGTTTCCTTTTCCGTTCTATCATCTCAATTCCTGCCGATTCATCTGCAGCAGCTGGCACATGGCCCGAAGCCGGACCACTCTGCTCCTCTTCCGTCGGAGGAGCTATGTGTCTGCCGATTTCAGGATCCGGATAGTCGTACGTGATTGCCTCTGTAAAATCATAGGCGTGCTCATAATCACGTATTACACCGCCTTCTGGGACCCATGGGGTCTGGTCTGGAGAATGTACACCGGCTTGTCTGGCGCCTTCGGGATGTTCCTCATAGATATCCTCATCTTCGAGCAAGCTGTCGGTCGGTGTTGCACCTGATCCCAAAGCTGGGTCGATTGGGATTCCTTCTTGATGAGCTAGTCTTAGAATTCCGTCCTCAACAGAATCATTGAAGGCTCCTTCGTCAACATAATTATCTCCTAAGTTGCCTCTTTGAGGCGTATCCGCCAAAGCGGCATCTGCCTCAGTTCGACGGCTCCTCATACGATGTGAGTCAACGTTGCCGTCATCACCCGCCTTCTGAATCCAACCAAGATTAGAGTAGCTGAAGTCGACGAGACTCTCAACAGATCTTGGGTCGGCTACAGCTCTAGTATCATGGCCGAGAACTGTGCCTGACGGTATGTACGGCGTATGATCTGGACGCTTGCGACATGTTCGGCACGCACATATATTGCGACAACTTGGGCATTGCCAATCTGGATCAGCCAGAATGTCTTGAGGCTGCATATCATAGGCGCGGAACAAAACACCATAGCAGTACTTCCTGTCGCAGGTTGAACATGGTGCCTGCTTCCAAGTTGGTTCCCAGTGGGAGTCAATGTGACATCGAGCATGTGTGCTGAGGAATGTTTTGGAGTGAGCTTTCTTCTTCTTTTTGACATTCCCATTGTCGTCGACTTCTTGCTCTTCGGCATTATCGCCTTGAGCCGGAGTAGACGAGGGTGGACGGTGAATATCTTTGAATGGTCTGCGAGCCAGCTCAAGCTGACATATCTGAGCCAAGGTCCTCTTGTTACCCAGGCGATCCAACTCAGTCTTCAGTGAAACAGGAGACTTTTCTGTCACTCTCCCTTCGTACTGTAAAATCTGGTGCCTCCAGTACTCGTGCTTTTGTAACAGATCTGCCCACGGCCACTGCTCCGCCCATCTGAGTTTGGAAGTACAGGCACAGCTCCGGCCCATCACGTAACAGTCCATGCATATGTCGTATGTATCTTCCTCGCCATTCGGAAGTTCACCGACACAACTCGGGCATGTCAGGAAGCGGTTGAAGATATTACACCGGCAGTAAGAGCAAGTGATGTTGCTGTCGTAGGGGATGAGTTCGACCTTCTTTTCCTGCTTGTCTGTCAAAAAACTTTCCGAGACGAGGACCGATGTGTACAGCTGGTGAAGCCTACGGAAGTCCTTTTCCAGTTGTCGAACCTTGGTGTCGTTGATCACTTTGTGCTTTGATCCCAGCGCCTTCTGCTTGAATTTCTCAGCCAACTTCAGCAGCTTCGAGTATTTTTGCAAGGTGTAGTATACAATGCCTTTGTTCTTGTATTGCTCATCACGACATACCAACCTGGCTCGAGGAAGAGCTTCACGCATGGCCATTTCCAACGTTTCCACCGTCGTCCTATTCCAAGCCACTTTCATGGTGCGGGTGCCCCGATTCCAGACTTGATGTGGTGCCAATGGAGGGATAAGGATGAAGTCGCCAGGCTTCTGTTCGACAACATAGGTTTGGAAGGGAGCGCTCTTCCAGGCATTGATCTGGGCGAAATGATTTTCGATTTCGATGTCGTGACCGAGCCTCGATAACCAATACTCGGACACTACTGCTCTTTCCTTGCTTTCGGTCATGAACCAAATCGAAGAGCCTGGCGTCGTCGGTCTGCCATCTTCTGGCGCTCCAGTCGAAGCCTCAACCATGATGTTCTGCCCTAGGCTGGCACACATTTCTCTGTGAGCAGGAGTGTACGTTCCTTCATGGCCGATATAGCACATCATGTTCTCAGCACGCATCTCCTTTGGTAGGCTGCTCATCAAGTCGCCCGCTTTGGCAATGCCGCGTCCTTTTCGCATTCCAGGTCTGGTGGGGTCATTCTCATCCACCGCACCAAATCCTCCAATATCGCCGGTGCTTTCATTCAGATAGAACAGCGAAGGAGGAATCACATCCGCTAGCTTGTCATGCCACAATGGTGGACAGTCAATATCTTTGAGATACATGCGTTGCCGTTCAGGGTCCTTGTAGTTCCGCGGTGTCCACTGATTTGTGAGTAAAGCCATATTGTTCAGGTAGTGACCGATGGTAAGTGGCACATTGATCTTTTTGGTCAGGTCTCTAGCATGCTCAACCTTAGAACCACAGTTGTCGCGCAACCACTGTAGCGCAAAGGTCCATTTGTCCAGTCGTGCTTCATAGCCTTCGATCACCAGAGGTTTTCCACCGAGTATAACATGTATCAGCACCAGCTTTTCAAAGTTCTCAAGACCCTGATGATCTATCATGTCGCAGTGTATGCGCACAACCCATTCGAAATTCGGCGTGGACTCGACTAACGCTTGAAGATTGAAGTCGGGTGGGATGGGCTCAAAGGCCGCGCAAGGCTTTGCGGGAGGCATTTTCAGTTGTCGAATGAAGAATCAACAGTGTGGACACATTATCTTTAGTATAGACTCCTCTACAGCAGCCGACCTCTTGGAGGAGTTCATTATTTAAAGAAAGCGGGTAGATGAAACGAGAAAGGTAGATCGGGATGATGGTCAGTGATCGCAAAGAGCGACCTTCACTTGCGCCTCTTCATGAAGGTATTGAGGTTCCCGTGAAAAGTAAGTGAGTGAATGAATGAGTCGAGGCGACCTGTATACCATAGGTTTGAGAGTGAAGCGTGGGGGACATCTCAGCAACAAGTGAGTAGAAGAATCCGGACAATGAATTAATTAATGACTTCGCGATACGCGACTTACGGCGGTTGCGGAGGAGGACAATCGACACTATTCCTCATTAGGAAACCATCAGAGCAGTTCAAATTATTTTGATTTCGAACCACCATTAAGTGTTAGGTGAAGCACAAGTTACGAGGTATTCATATTGATCCAATATTAAGCATCGAGACAGTAACTTCGCCTGGTGATGAACATCCAACCCTTTTCAAAGCAAGCGAAACCATGAATGGCAAGTGGTATCATCCATAGGAGGCATCCCGGCATAGCTCCACCATTCACAAACATTTTGGATTCAGAGACTGGGATACCCCTCTTAGCCATTTGTCTGAAGCCATGACTCGAGGTCTGGTGATGGCTCGCGCGAGGCTGGCTGCCACATGTTTGCGAGGAAGTCAAGCCCGATGTCCCTCGGCTTCATGGTCATTAACTGGGTTCTCGAGAAGCTGGACAAGGCATGAACATGGTCGCTGTTCGAGAACAAAATCATTGAGCCTCAGATCTGTGAGTCAGATACGCCGCAGCTCAACGGAAACCACAGAGGCATCGATAAATCCACTACCGATTCACGAGCTGCCTACGATGTATAAACCCCCAACTACAGGCATCATATCCAAGCTGCCACCGTCTTGGATACCATACGCCGAGCTCATTCGCCTTGACAAGCCAGCAGGAACATACTATCTATTCTTCCCATGCATGTTTTCAACCCTTCTTGCAGCTCCCATGGCTGTGCCTGTGGCGACACCACTCGAAGTGCTCACCACCACCGCCCTGTTCTTTTCCGGGGCTTTGGTCATGAGAGGAGCGGGCTGTACAATTAATGACCTTTGGGATCGGAATTTAGACCCTTATGTTGAGCGGACAAGGCTACGACCGATCGCACGAAGAGCAATTTCAGTGGAAAATGCGATCATATATTTAGGGGCCCAGCTATTCACGGGACTGGCTGTTCTTCTGCAATTCCCTCTCCCTTGCCTCTACTACGCCGTACCAAGTCTCCTTCTGGTGGCTACATATCCTTTAGCCAAGAGAGTTACTCATTATCCTCAGTTCGTCCTTGGTCTGACGTTCTCCTGGGGAGCCATTGTGGGGTTCCCCGCCCTGGGCATTGACTTGATATCGAACCCTTCAGCTATTGCAGCAGCTGCTGCACTTTACTCCAGCTGCGTATCTTGGACCTTGGTGTATGACATGATATATGCATATATGGACATCAAAGATGATGCCAAGGCAGGCATCAAGTCGATTGCTCAGGCCCATGAGCACAATGCAAAGGCAGCTCTTTCTGTCTTCTCTGCCACTCAAGTCGGTCTGCTGGCAGCAGCCGGATACTTTGCCGGAGCCGGTCCTATATTTTTCGTTGGAAGTTGCGGAGGCGCTGCATTGACTCTGGCCACCATGATTCGACGAGTCAACCTCAAGGACGTCAAGGACTGTTGGTGGTGGTTCAAGAATGGAGCTTGGCTCACAGGTGGTGTTATTTCCTTTGGTCTGCTGGGCGACTACCTTTACCGCCGGACGAAAGAAGAGCCCAACATGATCAAAGGCGCTGTGCTTGCGTAGATAGACCTCACTGACCATTTGTGCCTTCCTTCTGTACAACAAGATCTAGATGAGTTTCGATATGCTGTACAATATGTCTCCAATCCATCATCGCGCCATCACCAACGTCTCCACAGGCCAGTTCCTTCTCCATGGGTCTTAACACCTTGACCCATCCGTCTTCATCGTTTCCCCAATCCTGTTCCAGCACTTTGATCTGCTTTCTTGTGATCGGATGCCTCCACATCGCAGTGTTCATCGCAGGTGCGACGAATATCTTCTTCTTTTTACAGTCAACCAAGCCTGTAGTGTCCCATGCGCGCATCACGCTAAGCAAAAGCCCGTCACTGATGCCGTTTACCATCTTCGCCATAGTGTTGGCAGAGAGAGGCGCAACGAGCATAACATGAGCCCATCGCCTCAGCTCGATATGCAATATACTATCACCTCGAACCCAGGGTTTTGACCATTCGTCTTCATCGTGGTATATGCCGTCGACGTTTGGTAGTTTCTGTAGAGACTCGAGCAGAGGCTGTTCGGCCGACTGGCCTCGCAGAAACTCCTCCGCCGAACGGGTCAATACGATGCGGATCGATACTTTGGGATGTTGGGCGAGAGCCTGTGCAATGTTAGGTATCTTTATCGTTGCGACGGAGCCGCTGGCCCCGAGCAGGATGTGGTGTTTTCCATCGTTCACATGCGGTGCTGCAGAGAAGCGATCGGAGATGGTTATGGACGTCATTTTTGGAATCTCAGCAAAGCGATGGTGTTCAGATCCAAACCTTTGTCCGCATTCAAAGGTACAAGATGAGACGACCGCTCATTAATATAGAAGAAAGACTTCCAACGAGATTTCCAATATATGGCGCAGTCTGGGAGTGGCTTCTCTTCCCCCGACAAAACGACGTTCAGTAATTTGTCAACATTTTGACATCGTCCGAACATTTTCCTCCTCCGCAGCTGCTGCATCATCTTCCCTCTACACATTCAACCCACTACTCTCTTTGCTCTTCATACATCCACAATATGCTTCAGCGATCACTTAGAACACCTGTATGATTCCCATACTACCGATTAGAGCACTACCTAGGCTTTGGCTGACATTCCTCTCGCAGGCCCTCCGCGGCGCTCTCGCCGCATTCTCTCCTCGCGCCACCTCTACCACCCTCCTACCTAGAATTTCCGCGTCGCTCAGTCAGACCAGACTACTTTCTCAGGAAGTTCGCAGTGCGATTGATAAGGCCGTCGCATCTGCCCCTGTCGTCCTTTTCATGAAAGGAACCCCAGAGACCCCTCAATGCGGCTTCTCAAGAACATCGATTCAAATACTAGGATTGCAGGGTGTGGATCCCAGAAAGTTCACAGCATTCAATGTCCTTGAGGATGAAGAGCTGCGGAGTGGTATGTGCTAGAGCGATCCTCCCATGTATACTGCGAGAACGAGACGCTATGGAAAGGCCGAACAATTCGCTGATTCATGGACTCTAGGTATCAAGGAATACTCCGACTGGCCCACAATTCCACAGTTATACGTCGACAAAGAATTCGTTGGTGGTTGCGATATCCTGATCAACATGCACAAGGACGGTAGCTTGGCCGACTTGCTCGCCGAGAAGAAGGTCATCATCGAAGACGACACGAACCCCGACACAGATGCCGCTGGCCAGCAGGCACAAGCAACACGGGAGACCACAGAGCAAAGTACCGGAGGACGGTCGAAAGATGCAAAGGGCGAATCATCATGAGGATGCACTGTACGATATGCGAACACTAGGCTCCTATGCCATGTTTCATTCGAAAGAACCCTATATGTACAACCATCATCGTTCAGGCCCAAACAAATCGCCTTCTATGTCATAGCAGCTTCGAGCTAGCGAAAGACCAGCTCACTCTGAATGCATTTTTTTCCATCTGAATCGATGTCTTCTGGCCATGCTAAGTAAGTTTCTATCCGGAAACGCGAAGTCATTTTTATCATATCTACTTTATGAGTGATCAGCCGTTTCCATGCATAACAATTTCTTCCAAAGAACGCCCAATACCAAACAGCTGGTTCTATACGCTAAGTGACGCTTCCCTCCTGCACTCATTACAATTCTTCAACAACAACACCCCATTCATGCTGGATACGTCCATACATGATACTTTTCAATTCGTCCTTGATGCCCATTGCAAACTTTGCTCCTTCTCCTTTACCCAGTGGAAACACGACATCGAGGCCTCTGAAATGCACATCCGACACCGGGGCGATGAAGAAGGCAGTCCCAGCGCCGAATCCTTCGAGCAATCTACCTTGGTCGGCGGCACGTACAACCTCGTCCATTGTGAATTTTCTTTCCACGACCTTGACGTCGCCCCTCGCCCGGACGAGGTCCAACACACTTGCCCTCGTGACGCCCTCGAGGATGGTCCCATCTCCCAGTGGAGCAGTGATGAGCTCCTTCTCGCCGTCCTCGTTGATCCACAACACAAAGAAATTACTTCCGCCGGCCTCGGTGACGAAACACTCGTCTGCAAACAGCCACAGAATTTGATCGTAGCCTCTCGCTCTGGCCTCGCCCTGGGCGATCAAACTCGGCCCATAGTTGGCACCAACTTTGGCGTTCCCGAACCCGCCGGGCCACGCACGGATTATGTCATGCTGCGACGCCAGCAAGCGCATGCCCGTGGACGGCCTCGGGGTTGCGCCTACAGCATGTCCGTTGGCACCGTTCGTGGCAAGCGCAGCGCCAGCAGGAGGCATCCTCCTCGGCTCGTCCAGCCGCGGAAACAGCACGGCGATGATGTACATCAGGGCCTCTTTTGGTTTCTGCACTCCGAGGGCGGGTGCGGTCGCGATCATGGTGGGGCGGAGGTAGACGAACCTCTCGTCGTCCTTTTCGTCGACGGGCAACCACCGCCGGGCCTCGACGCCGACGAACCGTTGGAGACACTTGAGGAACTCGTGGGTCGAGAAGGCCGGGAGGGAGATGCGGGTCGCGCTCTTGAGGAACCTCTTGGCGTTGCGGTCGGGCCGGAACAGGCGCACCTTGCCGTCGGCGCCCCTGTACGCCTTCATCCCCTCGAAGCACTCGGTCGCGTAGTGCAGCACCGAGGCCGTCGGCATGAGGGACAGCGCGCCGTACGGCTTGATCTCGGGGGCCTCCCAACCCCCGGCCTCGGTCCACCTCGCCGTGAGCATGTGGTCGGTCGTGCAAGACTGGGAGAGCACCTCGGCGGAATCCAGAGCCGGGACCGGTTTGAAGGTGGGTGGGTGCGTCACTGTACATTTGGAGGCGTCTAGGTCCGCGACGACGATGTCGTCATTTCCGGTCGTGGTCGTTCCGTTGGATGTCACTTTCGACAACGCGGACTCGGTTCCTGCCTTGGTGAGTTTCGAAGTCGTGTCCAGTGTAGGTGAGGATGTAAAATCCCGGGAGACGGCCGAGGGAGACATCTCTTCTTCTTCTTCTCTTCTTGGGTTTTTCTCAAAGGTCACAAGCAGGTTTCGGTAGTATGGTATGGGTACGACGAGTACGAATAGAAGTGTTGTATGGAGGAGGAGGAAGGAGGAGGAATAGCAAAAGAGATAAAAAAAAAAGGACAATACTATTTACTTATCTGTACTACAGCGCGACTCATATATAGGTAGATGGTCAAATGCCACTGCACGGTAACTCTCGTACGCAGATATTATATCGGCTCGAGTGGAACAAGTACTTTTTATCAACATGGACAACAAAAGCGGCAAAAGCGGAAAAGAAACAAAAATCTTCAGTACGCGGTACTGAGCGGAGCATCCTGCGTCACGCTCACACGCACGTCGATACGAAATAGTGGAACCAGGCTTGCTTCATCTGCAGGTTAATCAACCCCCCGGCAAGGTCAAAGACGGTCCGCGACAAAATTGTATTCTCTGGCCCGGTCAGTGTACTCGTCGGTACGACTTGTTAGACATCTGCAGGGTCTGATTTGAATCTCACCATACAACATTATGTGCGCCTTTCGATGTACATGATCACGATAACCGTGGGACGTGTTGCTGAAATAACAAGCCGTGCACATGAGCGGTTCTTCCACGGCCCGTGTTTCTACAGACAATCTCTATCCCGTTCAACTTAACAAATAACAAACTTGCAAAAAACAATGGTGCCAGAGATAACAATGTTACGCTCCGTATCGTTAGACCAGAGAGGTGCGAGCATCGTACTGTCAATGAGAATCCACCAACTGTGAAAGAAGACTCAGAAACTTCCTCCAAATCCCGGAATCGGTCGGTTATTCGCGGTTGGTTTGGGTACACTGGGTAGGCCCGTTGGCATAAATCTTGTCTTTCACATCCTTTGGTTCTACTCGGAGAACGATCACTGGCCCCGTGCCGGGTCAATGCACACGAACCGGGCACATTCGAAGACCAGCCGAGAGAGAGCGGTGATAACACAGGCTTCGACTGACAGCTATGAGGGCCGTCGCTGCGTCTTACAACGCGGCAAGAAGCTCGATGTGTCGATGTAGACCTTTGAACAACTTGCTCTTCTGTGAATTGTATTGCTGTGGCAGAGTGAGCGACATGGACCGTCGACTGCTTCCAACCACATACTCACCTGCTGCATTTCCACCACGGCCTTCTCAGTCTTGTTTGCGATCCGGCTAATGCTCTCTTGGAAACCTCCCAGATCTTGCTCCAGACCCTCATGATGTTTGCCCTTCTCGTCGAACAGTCTCCGAGCAGCCGTGAGCGTGTTCTGTAGCTTTTCTTTCTGACCGGGCTTCAGGTCCTCGTCTCGCACTTGGGCAAAGGTCAACGCATCTTGACCGAGAACTTCCGCAGCCAGTCCTATGAGCTGAAGTTGTACGTTTTCCCAGTCTTCCCAGAGCTTACGCAACACCTCCTCCTTGTCCTCTCTCAGTTTCCGAAACGCGGAGACTTGGTCCTGTAGCAGAACTTCTCGTGGTTCCTCATGTCCATCTTGGATGATGCTCAATGTCTCGGTATCCAATGAATTCTTGAGGGGCTCCTCGATGCTGGTCAGCTCGCCAATATGGTTGTCGAGGTCGACCGAGAGCTCTTCGAGGCTGGTAAGTAGGTTCTTCTCCACGTTGTCAAAGTCCTCTGTGATCGTGTCGTGAACGGTGTTTCTGTATTGCTCAAGTTGTCCTACGGGTGTTAGTGCGAGAAACGAACGGCTTCATCTGCCCTGCCTGCAAGATTGTCCGCAAGGGCAGAACTGGCACTTGGACTGGTACGACTGTTTTTCACTTTCGAAATTCGATGAGAGTCGTGTTTAGATGAACCACGACCAATCCGAGAGCTTTCGTTACTTGTGGGAGCAAGAGCCTTGGGTTTCGTGGGAGTTCGGATTCTCTCTGCAGAATGGATTGATGGGAATGTGAGTGGTAGGGTGCGACGTCTGACATGTGTGGTGCTCATTTTGCCTCACGTCGAAGGAAAATTGGTTGTTGGTCCAGAGACTGTCAAATGCGATGGGTTGAGGGCAGAGTCGAGTCGATTCAGATGATGGAAGGAAGAACGCAAGTTGTAGCTTTTGGGCGACGCAACTTCGTGTATGATGGTTCGTATGCGCTTCTAATTCTCGACACATCTTACCGTTTCTTATTCTGCTGCACACCTCTCGTCTTGACGTTTCAAGCCTCTTGGGCCACCGTAACGAGTCTCGAACATGTGTCTCTCGTGATGATATCGACAAGATCTCACCGATTGTATGTACTGCAACTTCCAGGGCCATGTTGTGTCCTGGAACTAGTCAACAGCTGCACCGCCACAGGCCAGCATCTCCCATGAAAACATTTCCCTGCATCGAGATCCTGATCGACACGTTGAGTGTGGCACCCAATCAATATTGGACACTGACGAGGATCGAGACAGAATCCCTGTCGGAAACGAAGCTATGCGTCAGCCAAGCTTGACGTCGTGGCGTATCGCAGGGATAATCATTGGTCGATGGCGACGAGATCGCAGCCAGCCTTTCTCGACAAGTATGGGAAAACCTGCTTTCTCCATCTTCTTTAGGCCGAGACCCTGCCTATAGTGCTCTATTCAACGATCCTTCGAACGTGGATGGCCATGCATTCCTCCCCAGAAATGACGTCGATCCGGTCATACAGACGACGATCAAGGGAACTCGTCACTCCCACGGTGAGCAATGGAGAGAATGATAAAGCTGTGCAAGTCCGCCGTTCTCGATGGACCGATTTTCCATTCCCTAATCAATCCACCATTTGCCCCCATTGACAGTTTGCTTAAAGAACATTTCCATATCAACTCCACCTAAAAGAAACCCATCAACATGGTTCTCGGTCTAGGCAAGACACGAAGTCGCCGTCATCCAGGCGGTACTACCGTGACGACCACCACCACAACTACTCACCACCCTGCTGGCACTGGCGCTGGCGGTGTCGCCAGAAAGCCGACTCTCATGCAGCGTTTGAGAGGACGAACGACCCCTCGCAGCACCGCAACCACGGGCCGTGCTCCTCGTCGTACCCGACGAACGCGCGCTGCCCCCGCCACACATCACAAGCGCAAGACCAGCATCGGTGACAAAGTCTCGGGCGCGATGCTCAAGCTGAAGGGCTCGGTCACTCACCGTCCTGGGGAGAAGGCCGCAGGGACGAGACGTATGCATGGAACCGACGGCAAGGGGAGCCGACGCCGATTTTACTAGGCGGCACGACGAAGACCAGTACTCGAATGAGTACCGGCACCGTGCAAGACCACGACTCGGCGACCGAGATTGGTCCGAGTCGCTGCGTTCAACATGGAGAGACAGAGAGCGTCTTCTGAACTTGACATATTTGTTTTAACCAGCCGAAAGAGAGTCTCAAGGAGTCCTAGCCTCCGAGGTGGTTTCGTGATCTTAGGGCGATGTGCGACCTTTACTGTACGATATTACGTTATATGAGATACCACCAGAGTTGTAATGATATGTTGTTGTTGCATGAACAACCTGTTCTCTATTTGACCTCTATCGCTCTTATCTTCTGTGGACTCTGTATAGAAATATGCCCTCGCGCTGATCCCCTTCCCGACCGTCGTACTGAATCTGTTCCGCGGCGAACTTTTTCATCATGGCACGAATGAAGCGCATGTCCGCCTTCCGTCTCTTCTTGAAACAAAAGTAACACGTCGTCGAAGGGCCGATCAAATCTTCCAGCGTACTCAGCAGCAACGGGAATGCAGGTTCAAAGTAGACACAATCCGCCGCCAGCACGATGTCCGGATATTCTCCATGCGCCAGCACACTGGCGGGGGGTGGTGTTCCCCAATCGTACACCTCCGCCCTCACTCGTCCTCGCAGATTGTTCAGCGCAATATTCTTCTGCATCAGTGCAAACATCGGGACCTGGTCGGTGATGTAAATTGGTTTGTCAGAGTCGACTTCGCAACCCAGTGCGACCGCCAGGCCCACGAGACCACCACCCGCGCCGATCTCCACGATGGACTTGCCCGGCAGGCTGCGTGTCTTGTGGTATGTGAGCATGTACTTGGAGAGTACCATGCCCGCGGGCCAGAGTTGGCCTCCGCATCCTTCCTGCAGGTCTTCGTGGAGGAGAAGCGGTGTGGTGCTCGGGAGGAGATTGTCAAAGGTGATGTTCGTCGTCCCTGCGACCTTGTTCTCGCGGGGCGGGATGAGGCTGGTGTCTAGGGAGAAGATGTCATTCTCTGGAGACGAATATCGTGAGGACGCCATGGCTGAATACTCCGTATCGCAAGGGGCGAAGGGGGGAAAGCGAGGTGATTTGGCCCTCTGTCACGTTAATGGAGGTGAGTTGACATTCTGGTTGAGAGCGAGCAAAAACAAAAAAAAAGGCACTTTCAAGGCCGACAACTAGTCATCTTCGTATTCATTGCCTTCGGACTGAGCCCTTCCTAGGCTTTATCTTCTTGACCGCGTGGTCTGGCTTTGGTGGGGAGCCGTGGTAGGAGTGATCTCGAAACAAATGTAGAGGGAGGAAATAATTTGTGCCACGCTAAAACTCAGAAGGCACGTATCTGACTCAGCATTCACCTCGAAGTGCCCCTCCATCTATGAGGGCTTGACCAAGTACCTGTATTTAATTTCATCCACAATCGACAGTCTCACGTTGAAACGGAAGTCAAGATATACCTATTCACATAGTTCATAACTAGAAAGGCAATCCAGTCCAGCCTTGGTGTCCGGTGACACGGAACTTTTTTCCCTTTGAAAAAATAAACATCGGATTCGGCCGGTGAAGTAGATAGGAGCGTTCTGCTTTGGCAGATACTGTAGATTCATCTGTATTCGACAAGGACCCCTACAGCAGGAAACACGCCGCTGGAGAGGGGATGGTCGCAAAGGTACCAGATCCAGAGTCTTTTTGTGCAGTGGTATGTCCCAGCTTGCGGAGGTGTAGAGAGTACGTAAATATTATATTTTATACTCGCATGAAATCTCCGGCAATAACTGAGCGACATGCCCTTGTCACACTTGGACTGTGTACAGTAGGAATAATTCTACGAGCACGAGGTCCTTCATGTTGGTACCATAGAACTAACTATACTAGCATGATCTACGGCATGCGAGGGCCTGATCCTTAGGTGCAGACCAAAGTGTGGATTGTCACTGATAAGACTATTTATCAGGTCAGAGGGACCAACAATGATTGGACGGGATCCACGGAAATCGTTGCCAGGAATCCGGGGCAATAATGGTCTGATTCCACAGTCGTCGATATAGGTTTTTGTTTGTACGGAGTAGAGAGTAGAGTTATATAGTACACACGTCTCAAGCCGATAATCAGAAGGGAGATGCTCCGGGCTTCTCTTCATCGAGGACTTTAAAAAAGCAATGGGCACCAAGCCTCGGGTGCAATTATTCTCTGCCCTATGAAAATTGGTTTGGTTCGTCGCAACGGAGAGTCAGGTGCCACTTTCAAGCCCAGCTTCAGCTTTGTCCATTGTTGGTGACGTCAATCCGGGAAATGGCTCCGTCAGTCAACACTTCGCAGGGCCCATTCACATATGTACTCCGTACAAGGAGTTCTCATGCTCATTCTGTCAGACTGGCCCCAAGCTCTCCACTTCCCCTGTCGTCATTGCAAGTTACTGTGGCGCATGGTGGAAGGAGCAACAAACCGTGATGGGTTGTCGTAACTTCCAGGTTGGCTTGTTTCCCCTGCCTGCATATAAGTCACCCGATTCCCGACTTCTCCTTTCCTTTCCGCTACCCCCAAACTGAACCACAGTCCTTCTAATACCACCCAGATCCTTTTCTGTCTATCAACAACAACAACTTCAAACCCCTCCTCGCAACCACTTTCTCAGTCGCAATGGCCACTCTTCATTGTAAGTTTCGCTTCCCTCATCACAACTTCCCCCCCCCGCGCGAAGCTTCGGTTTGTTGCTCTACGTCACCAAGAGCTCAGTGAACAGCTTTCCCGACATGCCTTCTCGGAACATGCGGTTAACGTAGTTTCCATCTAGACCTCCCTCCTGTCAAGCCTTCGGCCATCGCCCTCGGCGTGGTCTTCAACCAAGTCGCCTCGGCCGGCGTCCTTGCCCCTCTGTTTGGTGACACCTACCACCGGGCCAAGGCCGCAGACAGCAAGGAAGAATTCTTCAAGAGCAGGGAAGCTGCCACCGCCGCCGCAAGCTGGGGTTCGTCCCTCGTAGGCTCGGCCATTCAGACCTATGGTGTCGCTGCCCTGATCAATGCTACCGGCACACTCAGCTATAAGGGTTCCGCTTACCTGGGAAGCTTGATCTTTATGGCCACCTACTCTCCATCGGTAAAGTGCCCCCCCAACACTAACAAGTCCAGACCTCTCAAGAGCCACCCCACCGCTAACTGCTACTTCCATAGCTCATCGCCGCCGTTGTCACCGAGAACCGACCTGTGGAAGTTGTTGCTGTTGGTGTTCTATCTCGCATCGCAGAAACTGTCGGCCTCAGCATGTTCCTTACCTACTGGGGCACCCGAACCAACCCATTCGACTAGATTAGTCCGGCTGGGATTTAGGAACTCCGGAAAAGAAAATATTGGAATGCAAGTCACATAGTTGACCTCATTGAATCTCACCACTATTGCGCGGCGGGAGTAGGGCCTTCACGCTTTGCAAACGTGACCCTGTATGTATTCGTAATAGTACAATTAACGATGCAAAATCAACCAACCATGCAAGCTCTTCTGTTCCAATTGTCATAAACACTGCATTCCTGAAAACTCTCCATTTGTGACTTCCATGTTCAAGAGCTTTTCTCTGTGCAGATATAACTAATCACACACTCGTAGGTTGTGGTTCCTGGTTCGAAGAGTAATTTCTCACAAGAGCATTCGAGCAATGTTCCCATCCAGGCAACAAGGCTGTCCATCCGATCATCCAATTTCCATTGCTCACGTGAAATGTTTTCTTCCCCAACCGCCCTCCTTTCTGATAATCTCCAGTGTCCAACTTTGGTTCGTATGTGGTTATGTTTGTTTTATCATGAATGTGCAAAAGATTTGAGCCGGGCAAAAAGGTCCAATCTTTTCATGTATTGCATCACCCAACGAATCCTCATCTCACAGACGAGGTTCCCAAGTCAAGTTCAACTTTTGTCATGTTGTCACTGTGACTGTGTTGTGATTGAGCCGGGCAAGAAGTCCAATCTCTTCTGTATGTATGCATCACGCAATCTTCATCTCACCTGCGTTTCGCGCCACATGTTCGATTTCGAATGCTTTTGCTGTCTTTCTTTTGAATGTGCAAGAGATTTGACCCGGTCAATAGGTACAATCTTTTTTGTGTTGCATCATCCAATCCTCATTTCATATGGGAGGTCATATGTGAGGTTCTCATGTCAAATGAACTTCGTATGTTATTCTGTTTGTGCAGTGATTGAGCCGGGCAAAAAGGTCCAATCTTCTTATGTACGCATCATGTACTCTTCATCTCACATGTGTTTCGCGCCACGCGTGTGATTTCTAATGCTGTTGCTGTTTTGAATGTGCAAACATTTGAGCCGTGGAAAAAGGTACAATCATTTTTGTATCGCATCATTCAATCTTCTTCTCAAATGCGAGGTTCCAGCACCGAATTGATTTCGTATGGTTTCAATTCTGAATGTGCAGACTGAGCCGGGCAAAAAGGTCCAATCTTGAATATGGTTGCATCATCCAATCTTCATCTCAAATGCGAAGTTCTCACCACGAGTGTGTTTTCGCGTGCTGTTGCTGTTCTGAAAATGCAAAGATTGAGCCGGGCAAAAAGGACCAATCTTGTATGTTTGTATGCATCGCCCAATCCTCATTCTCAGTTTTTGGGTCTCCATGCCAAGTTCGTTCTCATAGTATTCCAGATTCCGCCTTGGTTGGTATTCTGTTGAGGTTGTAATGTGCGTGCATTTCGAGGAGGACGTTGAACAAGAACGAAATCCTAATCCGTTTCGTTCGCCTCCTTTTCAACAGCGGCTTCTAAATTGCCAAGTAAGTCGACTTCGCCTTCTTTTGGTTCATCGTCGCTTTTGTCTGTGGGTTTGGTTGTGTCTGTCGTTTCAAGAACTGGGAGTGGGTTTTCAGGTTGATCAGTAGCTTCAGCTTCAGATTCAGTACCAGCAACATGTTCAGATTGAGGTTCAAGTTGAGGTTCAGGATGAGCTTCTGTTTGTACGTCGATTTGAGCTTCTGCTTGAACTTCGGGTTGAGCTTCTGTTTGAACTTCTGTTTGAACATCGGGCTCAGGTTCAGGTTCAGGTTCAGGGTCTTCTGGAGTGAGTGGTTCGACGACAGGTTGAGCAACAGGATTGAATCTGGGTTCGAAAGCGGGTTCGGTGACAGGATTGGTGATATCGTCGGTGACAGTTTCAGCAGTAGTTTCAACGATAGGCTCAGGCACAGGCTCAGGTTCAGGTTCAAGTTCCGTAATCTTTTCAACAGGAGGCTCGACGATAGTCTCAGTTTCGATGACAGCTGTTTCAACGGCTTCAGTTGTGAGAGGAGCTAGAGTAACAACGTCCGAAGGGTTGATCTCGTTAACTGTGGACTCTTCAGTGGCGCCGATATCGGTTGTGGTAGTCATGGCGTTGACTACATCTGTTGTAATTTCAGTTGAAACTTTAGCATCAGCTTCGGTTGTAGGCTGTGGTTCAGGTTCTGGTTCAGGTTCAGGTTCAGGTTCTGGTTCAGGTGCCGTCACTGAAGGTTCCTCAACCGTTGCCTCTGGTGCAGTTTGACTGTCGGTTTGCGTATCAACTTCGAGTTCGGACTGAGGTTCGATTTGAGTAGTTGAGGCATCAACATCCATGACTTCTCCCTCTTCGCTGCCGTCACCCTCACTATCACCTTCTTGTTCTTGTTCTTGTTCGACTGTTGGTGTATGTGTCGTTGTTTCATTTTCATTCTCTGTGACCGCGCTTTCTTCGACAGGGGCATCAATAGGCACCGCCTTGCGTCTACCAGGCCCGCCCTTGCGTTTCTTGCTCTTTCTGATGGGAGGCATGTTTCGTCGCGGAGTGGGCGTTGCAGGCTGTCCAGATCCGGATAGCACACCTGTCGCATTTCCCAGCCCAGCTCCATCACCCAAGTCATAGCCAGGCCCATTTGAATAGCCAGCTGCGGGCATCGGCCCAAGGGTTCCATAACCATTTGTCGCTTTGTAGACACTCGTGTTGCCATATAGGCTGGGCATCCCTGGTCGTCGGTCTGCAAGGTATTTCGGTTCAGACATCTTTTCAGCAACAGCAGCTGGAATCGGTACCCATTTCTTGATTTCAAAAAAGCGACCCTCGGTCGCGGCGCCAGTCCTCCGTCGCTTCTCTGGTAGGCCGTCTGCATCCAGGAGGTCGTCCTCCTCGTCCTCCTGGTTGTCATTCTCGTCGGCGGGGTCGACTTGTCGACCCGCGCCGCGAGAATCAGAGGCGTCGGGCCTCACCCACTCCTTCTTCTTCCAGTCCCAGACGGCTGGTTTGACCACCCGAGTGGCCATGCGTGCCGCTCGGACCAGCCTCTAATGAATGCTCAGTGTCTGCACGAAAACAAGATCAGACGCACATTGGAACGTACCTGGTTCAGCTCCGGGAGCTGACTGAAGTAATGGGGTAGGGGGAGTTCCTGCGCGAACAGGTCCTCCTCCCTGCCCATCTCCTCCCGGCCGGGGTCGAGTGGGTCTAAGTAAGCGTCTTGATTGACGCGGACGCTTTCTAGCCGGTACTTCTTCACCGGCAGACCCTCCGTCGGGTCGAAGTCGTTTGCTCCTCTTCTCGCCACCGAGTGATCTTGGTGACGAGTTGTCCTCGAGGACCGCAGCTGGCAGACCACGACGAGTCAGCTCGTTGTCCCTGGAAGTCTCCCAAGGGAAAAGGGGAGGGGGGTAGGCGTATGTGGCCGGGGGGGAGGGCGACCGCAAAGCCGGAGGAGAGGCCAAGGGGGAGACGGCGGAGCGAGCTGCCGGTATCCACGACGGGAACTTGAACGAAGACAGAGGCCGGGACAAGACCTCTTCAACATATTGTTGAAGAGGCTCAGGAGCCTCTGCTCCAAGAGCCAATGGCTCGGCGGCGGACACTGCCTCAGAGGACAGCTCGGCCAAAAGGGGCACAGCGGGCGGCGACGGAGGGAGAGGAGGGGGAGAAGGATGAGTGAGTGGTGGTGGTGGTGGGAGCGGGCGCGACAACGGGACAGGAACAGCCCTTGGGGCCGAGGGGGAAGAGAAGGCCAACGCCCACGACGGGTCGCTGCCGGTGCAATCGTGCTGATCCCGGCAATGCCGGTAAAGAGAGGTCACGACCGCATAGGGCCGGTCGCAAAAGGCACAACGAAACTTGAAATCGGGCATTTTGTTGTCGCTGGATGGAGGGAGAAAGAATCCAAAACAATTGAGGCAGAGGTGCTCGAATAAGATAGCAAGGTGGTGAGCGTCCGTTGTGCCAAGGAGTGCAAACACGCCGTCCACTTTCCATATTGGGCCGCACGTCGGCAGAAAAAAGGTGGCGAGAGTGATGCAGCAGAAAAAAAAGAAGTCCCCTTGCGCGCCCTCATTGAAAAGGAGAATGGGAAACGTACCGGAGCCATGATCACGATGTTACTGCTTGCGCAGTCACTATCCTACCCAATAAAGGTTTCAAAAGGGTCAAAAGAGGGTCGCAAAGATCACACAAACTGTCAAACGAAAGGAAAAGGTATGCGCCAAAGAGTTGTGGTGATGGTGTTGATGATATGACAATGAGTTCAAGTGAGAAGACGCGAATGAAAGATGAGCGATGCTTTCATATGAACCATGTAAGGCAAGTCTAGCGAGATATACAATATGCCAAGCGGCATGCTAAACCCAGCGGGAGCAGCCGAAGAACCGGATACAAGATGATCCGATCCCGATGAGCCTTTACGAGTACGATTAGTTGGATGTGAAGTTGTTGGCCAGAGGATCAAGATCAAGACAAGGACAAAAGGACTCTGGTGGAAAGGGAAGAGGTGACTACATGGGCCATTTCACGTCATTGGCTTGGGAAGAGAATAGAGCCTACTGCACAGCTGAGGACATCACGAAGAAACAGCTTAAATGCCCGTCATTGTCTGTATGGAATCAGGATGATAGGAGTTGAAGAACGAGGATAGCAGAAAGGAGCAAGCAAGGAAGGAAGTCCAGGCATCGATGATGGATGATGTGGGAGCATGAGATAGGTATTTTATTGACTTCACAAGAGCCACCTGCTCGCAGGATGTCTAGAAGACTCTTGCTCAAGATGTGGATAGCAGATACTGTACAATGTGTCAGGATGGAACAGGAGGTCTAGAGATATCAATCCCATCTAGAAATATTAGCACGAGGACAGATGACAACATCTGAAAGAACATGCTTACCCTGTATCTTTCTGTCGCACAATTCCTCCATGATTGCCGCTTTCTTCGCCCTGGTCAACGAAATCAGCAGACAAACACACAGAATCTGGTTGAAGGTTAAACATACCGTCTTGCCACCTTCCACGACTAATCTGTCCAGTTGATAAAACTGTGATACTATTGTCTGTCGCTGCACCAAACAGTTAGTCTCGGTCTATCCAAGGAAGAGATACCCAAATGGTCGACACACGCCGATCTTCCAGCAATGTGACCGACATGTTCATGCGCGGAACAATGCTTTCAAAAACCGACTCCGCAGAACATAATGCAATGGCAAGGGTTTTTCTGGAGAAGCAAAAACACACCTTCATCATCTGCAGATCCTTCAACCCTTTCTGCACCAGTTCCTGTATCCTTCTCGAATCCGACTCGTTCTGATGTTCGTGGAAAGCATCTCTCGTCCTGCGCCTGGCGTACATTCTGAAATTATAATTCGCAAACTGATTCGACTGCCTCAGCAGCGACCGGTACAGACTGCGTACACTGAAAGCCGAGGTGTCGGCCGCGGTGGCCAGGGCCTGCGAGGCCATCTTTTTTCTTTATTCGAGAGCCGGGGAAAAGATTCCGGGGAGCCGCAGCTATTGGCTTTCACGTGGAGCGGTCCGATCAGATTCGCAGGGCGTGGGGAGAGCAAATCGGCGAGCTAAGCAAAGGGCGGATGAATCGCAAGGTGGTATGTTTGGGCCCTCGAGAGGTGGTGTGATAGGTAAGGTAAGAAGACGGATGGGCAGATGATACCACGACCAAATAGATGCCGCGGGCGGAATTTTATCTGGCCAGCGCGTCCCCCCCAAAAAAGGCACCTGAGGAATCGGCACACGCAAGGGTGGAAAGATTGACAAGTATAAGGTCGACAAATTCCGCTCAGGCTTCAAGATGTACCTTCATTAAAATAGAGATTTAAAAAAATAACAGAGTACATACGGAAATGATTACAACGATCCCACAGCTTTTCAGATCTTGTTCGCAGGCGGCGACACGAGTTCTGACTATTGCGTCAATCACCGCCGCCGTCGGCGCAGCCGCAACCAAACCCCGATACGACCGACCCCGAATTCCACAGCAGCCATCATCCTCACGGCCTGGACGAGATGGGCACACACATTCGTTCCACGAAGCCGCACTTGAAGCCAGCAACTATGCGAGGCCAATAGTCGGATCGACGCCCTCTGACCAAAACCTCTTCTCGAGGCTTGTGTTTTACGAGCTGTCTCTCTAAAACCCTGTCTTTTCGTTCCTCCGTACGAAAGCGACATGAATACTACTACTACTACTACACACCTCCCTTCCCCTCCGACCTCGAGGCCAACGTCCCCAACACCATTGAGCAAAGATGCAAGGGTTGATACTCGCGTGGAAGAGGAGGGGAAAGAGGACGGAAGGGCATTGTCGGAGCGCCTGGACGATCTGCTCGCATCTTACCTGACTCTACTCGACACCTACACCAATCTCCGAACGCAACTGTCCAAGGAGTTCTCGTTCGGATTCTATGCCCTGGCGCAAGCAAACCGAAACACAAACCTCGGCCCAGGTCGACGCTACGGGGAAGAAGGTTACGATGAACGCATGAAGGCTTTGAAAACGGTACATATCATGCAAAATGCCGCATCCAAGTCACATTGTTCCACCGCTACGGGCCAGGAAGCGGGAGAGAACGATGAAACTACTACCACACCACCCAAAGGTTCATCACCGACACAAATCGGAGTCCCCTCCTCCAGAGAAGAAGAAGAAGAAGGGCATTCCAAACTTCCAGCACCCAAATCCATGCACAACCAAGACGCCAGCGAAGACGATCAAGGAAGTCTAAAACAATCCGTCCCTCCCTCGACGTCTCCATCATATCCCGTACACGCCACGTCTCATCCAGCTCCCTGCTGCTACACGTATTCCGTCGAGAGCGACACCACCACCATCACCACCACCAACAAAGACCGCCCTTCCTCAACCTCTTCCTCATCGCCAGCCTCACCATCTCCTTTGTCCTCCGATGAGACCTCAGTCTCTGACACCCAAGATAAAGCCAAGACCAAAGTCAAAGTCAAAGCCATCTCAAAGGATCCGTTAAAGTGGTATGGTATCCTCGTCCCTCCGGCTTTGCGTCAGTGTCAGTCCCATTTCCATGGCTCGATGTCATCCACAATCCCTGAGCTCCTTGGCATCATGTCAGCCTTACAACGATTCGAAGTCAATATCTGGGAGACTCGTCGCGCTCTCGGTATGGCCGAGGAGTACGAACATGAGTGGGATGAATCTTCAGCAAAGACTTAGGAACCTAAACTAAGGTAACAAGGATGCGGGAGCCGAGATAGATGGCGAATTTTCGACGTCGGTCTCGAGTCCGGAACCAGGGGCACAATGAAAGCAGGTCTCAGCCTGCATCAAAGTCCCCATCGCTACTGTCTCCGTCGTCACCTGTAAGCCGATCGGAACCATGGTCTCGAGTACTAAAACTCGACTAATCCGTCCAGGCGCATGAGGTCATGGTGATGCACATGGCAAACAGAGTACACATGTCAATAGGGCTCATCTCGGGAAAAAGTGCATTCAGTTGAAGACCTCAAGCTGAGATGTAAATAACTATAGTGTATCTTCGACGTAGCCAGCGTCCGCGATCCCCATTCCAGTCAATATTCCGGAAACTTAACCATGCATCTACTATTTGGTCATGTGGGTGGTGTCTGTCTCCTCGCTCGCCTCCATGCATGATTACTCTCAGCCTTCCATGGCAATGTCGCCTTGATGATCGGTTTTCTTCTGAACACGCATTGGGTTTCCTTCGACGTTTCCGAGGCCGGTTTCGTTTTCCTCGACGAGAGGGTCTTGAAGACAATCGATTTCCCCTTTTTGCGATCTGATGTCGTCCGTCTTAATAGGAGAGCTAACAACATGCCTGGCTGCCGGACTTCGTACGACCTCCTCAAGATCTCCATCCCAGTAGCTTGGTCGTCGCTTCCTCCGGCTCTCTGGAGGTCGATTACCCTTCCTCCATTGCATCACGTTGGGACTGAGGTCTTTGAGGCCTCTGCCAACATCACTACTACCTGAATCAAGTGCGGACCTACCATACAGACTCATTCGAACTGCGGCTCTTGTCTCCTCGTCGAGTTCAATGATCTCCTCGCCATCTTCAAGTTTCAATCTGGGATCCATTGATGCCGACTCAATCGCCACGCCTTCTGTGGCTTCGATCATAGAACTTTCAAGCTCTCGTGATCGTTTTCTAAATTGAGCTGGATGGAGCGGCGCCGAATGAGTCGACTTTGGAGGACTGCTTCGAAACCTCATTTCATCGGGTAGACGCGACCTGTTTGAGCGCTGTTGACGGAGAGCCGGCCTCGGCCCATAGGACCGCCCATAATATTTGTTTACGCCTCTGGCATTTGCGAGCGCTGCGACTCCGTGCTTTCTGAACCTGCTCGGAGGCCTAGCTAACGGTGTCAGAGTGTCGGTTCTGTACGAATCACGAATCATCGAGTCCGGAGCAGCATCATGTCCAGAAACTTTTCCAGCTGCTGTGGAAAAGGAGTAAATTGCAGTGCCGGGTTCTCTGGAAAAATCTGGACTATCTCTGGCATAATACCAGCCTGGCTGGAAATGTTCGGCCGCCCCAGACATGTAGTCGCGGTTTGGAGGTACATACGGACGATGTGGGTGTCTCGGTGGTTGAAGGAGAGCAGAGCTGGGGTTGATGTTATCATGATAAGGTCGTCTTGGTCCTGCTGATGCTATTGTTGCTGGTTTCATCCTCAGCATGGGCATGGGGCTCCCTGTTGCAGTGGTACGATTGAACGACATAGGTGGTTGAGAGACCAAGTGGTTCTGATGATGACGATGAGGGTTCTGATGCTCATAACTCTTTGGATTCGACTGGTGACCGGGGGATTCTGGCGTGGAATTGAAATGCAAAGCAGGATCAGGACAAAGCACTATCGGGCTCCTTTCATGTAGCGAAATATCAGGACATGGTGTCACGGCGCTTCTGCTCGAGGTTGGTGAGGACATATCATTATCACTTCCCTTTTTACGCGCAGGTTTGTGGAATAGGCTGCTGAGCATTCCACGCCTGAGCCTGGCTGAGTCTGCAGCAGCCTTCGCTGAAGGAGGCAACTTGATTGATTCGGTCGAGTCCGTCGAAGATTCCATAGTGACTTGTGCATCTGCTGATTTCCTCTTCAAGTGACAAACAGTGGGTGATACTTCTGCACCATCCATGTCCATTTCGTGGTCGCTACTGACCTTGAGGTGTGTCATTGGTCGTTCCAGGTCATCTGCGGACGAGTACTCCTCGGGTGAGGTGCAAGGGTCACCACCATCACTTCGATCAGTATCTGCATCGGGCGAACACAGAGCCATAGCATCCTTATTCTGCACGGTATTCCCGGCCGGCGAAGTGAAGCCACTACTTAATGGTTCCATTACCACTGGTTTCGATTGATGTAAATCTGCCGAGCGCAATGCTGGTAGTTGTGGGGAGCCTTCTGGGAACGGCTCTCGCACGTCGAGGTCGAATTCTGCGAGCAACTTCGGTGCTGTAGAGTATCTCCAATCCGTTTTTGGTATCTCTGTGGATGCCTTGTCCGATTGTGATGGAGATTCGATCGCAAGATCGCCTGCCTCGGGACTCGTGGGAAGCCTCGAGTCAATCGAGCCAATAGGTGAAGCTGCAAAGCGGACGTCAAATCGCAAAGATGCTTTTGCTGTCTGGAAGAGCCGCTGCATTTGGGCAACATGGCCTGGCATGGCTACCGAACGCGTTCGAGGAGATGCTATTCTCTTACGACCAATGTTAGGACCCGGCATTTTGATTTCTTGCTTGCTGTTGGCTCTTGTCGAATTCGACCCGGGGGTTTTAGGGGAACTCGCATGCTGCAATACCTTGGAGAAGAAGAGGGAAGACCGTCTTCGAGGAGGATCGAAAGGTGCTAGACACATCAAAGAATTAGTACGTAGGTCTCTTGCGACATCTGTAAAGACACCACGTTTCACTTCCACGTACGTTTTGGTGTTCCGGGAATTCGACTAGAGTGAGAGGACTTGCTGGAAGAGTCTGCAGACGGGTTGGAGGCTGGTGAGGACTGCATGTCGATGGTGAGGTAATTTCGAAGAGACGCGAACAGCGAATGAATCAAAAGTGAACTGCAGACTGAAAACAGGTCATGAAGTAATGAGTGGACGTCTGCATCACTGCGCAGACACGATATGAAAAATGTTCCAGATGGTAAGTGATGAAACCCACAGACGAGAAGGCATTTCCCTTTGCTCAAAAGAAGCCGGAAGGTCCTCCCAGAGAGAGGATTCATGAGAAATCAGCGGCGGCATGATGGTAGGTACGACTGAACATTGCAACGACAGCAAGAGCGACAACGATGTCCTTCTTGACTGTTTGGCTGGGCCATAGAGAGGCGGAGAGAGTAGTACATTGTAGTCGACATTCCGTGCTACTCGAGTGCTGTCTCCTAGAAGAGGCTCGAAGAACATAATTCAAACCTCTATTCTTCATGGAGGTTGCGATATGGTTGAATCTGGCACCGCAAAATCATCGAACACCTACCTGTCTATCTGACTGACCTGGGCTGGAGCAGGCAAGGTGAGGTTACAAAACCTTTCCAGAACATGAAGCGAGAGTCGACAATCTTCCACGTGTAGACACCCTGTCTGGTGCTTCTCGGAGCTCGTGCCGAGGACTCCAGATATTGTAATTGAGCGACGCGATGTGTCCACATTGACATTACGTGCATCGCGGGAATTGTTTTGTTTGAGTCTTGATCGCAATCTTAAGCGCGTGCTTAGGGAGCCGGAAGTCAAAAAGATCTGATGGGCTTCGATGAGATTGATGTGATCTTCATGAAGTGGTAGAGGGTGGAGAAAATGGCATTGGGTGGCTTGAACTACCAGGCAAGTGAGCGGAGGCAGTTTGAACATCCAGGTACAGAGTACGGATACCTTAGATACTGTGTGTAGCCTGTGCAAAGTACCCCGTAGAGTCAGTTCCTTAGGTGACTTTAGGGATGTCGTACTCCATAGGGCGTTCAGGAACACAGTCACTGCTAAAATTAACACTTGGATCCCGGAATGTTAGGCTCGTTACGTGGTTCTGTTAGGCTCTTCTTGGCTTAAAGCCACCAGAGGACAATCCACAACACACAGTACAAAAACTCCATGCTGTACAGTATCTGGTCGATCTGAACAGTGTTTTGGATAATGGATGATTCGTGTGCAACAAAGGCCATTATCAGCATGGGACTGGAGACTTGGAGTCAGTTGTAGAACTGTTCATTACTTGGTTGATTGCTTGTTATCCTGTCACTGTCTCTGATCATCGTGGCCACCCGGGCCTCCTGTCAGCCAGCCGGGCTCGGCCGTCTAGTTGGCCACTGTTGGCATCATCACAGACCACTCTGGGGAAGAGGGAGAAGGACCCTTTTGTTTCTTTCTAATGGGGATTTAAGGTAGACAAGACATGCGGCTTGTGGTCATTGCTCAAGATCTGAAGGCGACGATCGCATACTTGAACAATTTTATTCTCTGTACGTGGTATCTGTATTCCTACCAACGCATCGACATTAGACATGATTTCCACACCTGTTCTACTTTGCACTTTTCTTCGCGTGCCAGCAAGGAATAGCGCGTGTCTGCGTGCATGAGCATAAAAAAAGGGTGGTGTTAGTGGCTGTTTCAGAGTCTCAGGCTGGCCCTTGTCTAGCCCGTTGAAAGGAAGCTAAAGGACGGGTTTTGTATGCAAGCGAGTGTGTCAAGGCCTCAAGTCCCTGTTATCGGAGGCCAATGATGCGACGCCTGTTCCTGAGCAAACGTGGGCCTCCCCGGCTGTGGGAATCCGACATCCAGGTAAACGGAGGCCTCGCACACAGCCATCGCACTCCTTGACATCTTTGTTACACCACACTACCTTCTTCCTTGCCACTTGGTTTCCGTTCTTCTCTTCTTCGGCTGCCGTATGGTTGCGCTTCCATTCCTTTTCAATTTCTTCCCAATTCCTCTCGTCGTCTAAGGACGCTGGACTGATCGCCATCTCATCGTTGGATACGATACCTTGTTCCCCCAACTTCGAATCATTGCAGAGCAATTGACTAGACATTCGCTACCGAATGACATTCATTTCGCATACCTCACCCTGCAGTTGAATTTGCAACACAGACATCGGTCGCTCCTTCAAACCTACCTTGACCTGCTTGAAGCTGGAGTCATTTCTCTGGGGGAGAGAAAGTTGGGAAAAGTACCGAGGCTCATCGCGGCGTCAGGATAATGCTCACACCTTCATAACCGGTAACGGACCAGTGCGGCCAATTCCAAGCAGCGCAAACTGAGAGCTTGCAACGCTGTTGAGCAGCTGAATCCTATTCTCCAGACACAATGTCCCACGCTCGACTGCCTAGCCAGTCGAACCGATTCCACTATCCACAATACGCAAATCAACAACAGCAACAACCAGCAGCTGATTATGCTCACCCTTCCCAGTATCAACAAAATCAGCAAGAATTCCCTCCTCATCCCTCGATAAGACTACCAGCAAATGCCAAACTCAATGTCCGCCAGGTACCATTGGGAGTGGGAGTTTCTCCGCCGCCAGTAAGATTTGCAAGTCCCCAGCGGCCACCGCAGAGACCAGAAGGATCCGGGGTATTGGTTCAGGATTTTAAATTTCCGACGGCACCTCCGGTTCCTGAGAGTTCGACAGGAAACACAAAGCAAGATGCTTCCCAATCCCCGGGCAGAAGGTATAACGTCCACGAGTCTTACATGTCGTCTGTGCTTGATGACTTTGTTACCCCTGGCACTACTCCTGGTTCTCGATCCAGAGGCTTTCCTACACCTAAGAGATACTCGGGTTCGGTGTACGCAGAAAGTGAAGCTTTGGGAGTCGACGAACGATACGATCAGGGCATCACCAGCCAAAATAGTAGCAGATCAACCTCACCAGAAAACAGTCCTCAGATTGTACGTCAAGCGAGTGTTGGAAAACGAGCCAAGCCTGCGATGACCACAATCAAGAATAGAAACAGCCACATGGGTCATGAGATACCAGAAGAAGGCGCAGGTAATGTTACTTCCACGACCCGAGCTGCAGCCATGAATGCACTCAGTGCTGCCGTTGCTGCAGGAATAACCACCAAGCCACCACACTTCCAACCTGAATCCTCTGAATCGCGCAGTTACACCCCAGTCAGAATGCCTTTCGATACCTCCCCACCAGCCTCTCCTTCTGCTGACAGAGAATACCTGCAAACTCCCAAATCATTAAGCACCATAGCCACCACCAAACTCTTCGAGCCCACCCCCAGCTCATCGCACTCTCGCAAGTCAACCAACCCCCTCCTCGGTCTAGGCATTGAACAACCTTCGATGAGTGATAAGATCCCTCCCAACCGAAGGCCTCCGAGGCTGGATATGGACGCAGTCAAGGAAGCTGAACAACGTGGCAGCACCACCAGTCTCTCGGACCTCATTAGAAGAGCCACAAGACTAGCTGCGAATCTGGACCGAGGAAAGACTGCAAGCAGACTAGGTATGCTGGACATGTGGGGAAGTTCTGATAAGCTCAGCAACGCCAACCGGCACTCGACGATGTCGGACATGATCTCAGCTTTCCCTGCTCCCGCTGCTGGCGGTACTCCCACAAATCGAAAGGATGGAGGCTGGCCCCTGACTGAAAAGGGTGAAGTCTACGCCTCAACCACGGATTTGTCGAAAGACCCATCTCGAACGAAACGGCGGAAGTGCTGTGGTCTACGATTACCTGTTTTCTTCATTGTCCTCGTGGTCGGCATTATTGTGGTCGCCGCTGCTGTGTTAATTCCTATTTTCCTAATTATTGTACCGAGACAACACTCAAAAGACAACTCCTGCGCATCCATTCATCCTTGCGAGAATGGTGGCACAAGTATATCTAGTCAAGATACTTGCGTTTGTGTCTGTTCTAATCGCTTTACCGGAAGCCAGTGCGAAACTCCTGGAGATGTTCAAGACTGCACGACCACTACTTTAAGCGAAGGCTCCAACCAGTACAAGAACGCCACCATGGGATCTTCGGTGATGCCTTCACTTTTGCAAGCCCAGAGTCAGTTCAACATCTCGCTGAATTCATCAACCATTCTATCCCTCTTTTCATCCAACAATTTGTCATGTACCAGTGAGAATTCTCTCATGAATTTCAATTCGACTTCACAATCAACCAAAACAAGGAGATTCATCATGGTACCTGGTCTGGAACCACAAAGCAATCGACTTGCCTCAATCGATGATAGCCCTGCCCAACCTGTGGTTAGTAAGCGCGTTGAAGATCCCAGAGGATTTCAATTCGAACGAAGAGACGACAGTGTTACGGTGGGCACCTCCAATGGTATCGTCTTTCAAGCCACGTCAGCTACTGATATTGGTGCCGTGCCAACACCTTCGTCATCAGATGATAGGGGCGTGTCTACCGTCACCAGCGTGGCAGAATCCAGCAGCCCAACAGCTGCCGCATCTTCAAGATCTGAGTCCAGCAGTCCAAGCGCCACAAGTAGTGGCAGCGCATCCAAACCAACGTCTACTGTGACGGACAAAGAAGTCGACTTTGCTCGCGTTGTAGTGTTGTTTGTGTTGCAACAGTCACGCACGCTAGACGTGGCAGTTCATGCCCAGCAGAAGATGGAGGACTTTTTCCAACAACAAACACAAGGCAATTCGTCTACAACGGTTGATGTCGGGGAAGGGAATCAACGATTCTCGGCAGACTTTGATGCATTCAGTATCAAACTAGGCAATGGTTTAGTTGTTGGCGGAACGAATGCAGACTGAATCGTTCTGGACTTGGCAACTGCCATGTTCTCAGAGGCAATGTGCCGATTTTTGAATGTTTTATTAAAAAAATCAGGCAATGAACCGCTTATGGGGACACCTTTTGCAGGCTTGGATGGCACTTTGCATAAGCAGAACGTTCTGGATATGCAGAAAACATTGGTTTTCTATTTCACCTTGTTCACCACATTTTTCGACGAAGAAGCAGAAAAGGAGGGCGGAGGGGAAGGTCAATCTCTCTTTTTCACTTCGAAATCTCCTTAATTTCAACAGCCCAACCATGTGCTGTCTTTGTTTCGTTGGGCTTGTTGGCCGAGGCCAAAATGGCGCTGAGGGATTAGCACGTCCTCTCTGTATTGTACTTTTATCCTCCATGTATGCGAATATCTTTTTTAGCGAGCGAGCGAGCAAGCAAGGCAAAAGGCAAGCGAAGCCCAAAAATTCCAAGCTGAGATTCATTTTATGCTACTAGCTTCTTTTTTTCATCAAGAAAATCATACGGATAAAAAATGAACAAAGTCAATCTCATCGAATTGTTTTCTCTACCTTGGTGGCTTGTCCTACGGATGCAGTCGTGAGAACTCACAACTACCGTGACAATACTGGTTACGTAGTCTCCATAAGAGCAGTAGAAGTGTTGTTGAATGGCTTTCTTTATTCGTGTGCATGTAACCCATACACCACTATCTCAGAAGAGACCCAATGTCGACTTCTACAGGTATTGTCGTTTCCGGTCTGACAAGTACTGCTCTACCTAAGGTGTACTCTCCCGGAAAAAGAATACGGGGCGCCAGGGCCGTCGATACTCAGTGATCAGATTGGATCTGCTTGCTCGCTGGCGCGTTCGTGTACGTATATTCCCACGCGATTTCATGCCTGTCGTTATACGCCAGCCCTCTACTTCCTCCCAGTACGCGTACCGGTGTGAAAAACAGTGATCGTGAAGACCCATATGGTCAGTACCCGAATGCATGAAGTCTCACTCGGAGGCGTCACTCCCAAGCACTTCCAACTACCTAGGAGTCTGAGTCTAAGAAGCGTTCAGTAACTCTTGGATTTCGTGCTCCGTCAAGCCTAAGAGGTACACCAGGTCAAGCATGCTCTTCCCAATGTTCAAGCGCGCCGGCGCCTCCATTTGGACTTTGCTCTTTGCGTTCCACGCGACGCCCAACCCGGCAGTCTTGAGCATGGGGATGTCGTTAGCTCCATCTCCGACGGCCATGGTCTGCGCGAGCGGAATGTCCTTGGTGCTCGCCAAACTGATCAGCAGGTTCCGCTTGTGCTGCGCGTCGACGATTGGGTAGTCTGGGTTGAGCTCGCCCGTCAGCGTGTTACTCGCGTGGTCCACGACAAGGTGATTGGCAAAGGCATGGTCCAGGCCGAGTTCGTGGGCGAGCCAGTCTGCGAGAGGCTGAAAACCACCACTTAGCACGGCGAGTGTAAAACCGAGCCGCTTGAGACATTTGCAGAGTTCTCTGGCGCCCGGCGTGATGACAATCTTGGGCTTCAGATGCTCAAAGACGTCGGCAGGTACACCCTTGAGGAGGGCAACGCGGGCTTTGAGAGAGGCAGAGAAATCGAGTTCACCATTCATCGCGCGTTCGGTGATGGCGGCGACGGCTTTCTTGACACCAATGAACGCAGCAATCTCGTCGATGACCTCTTGTTGAATCAGGGTCGAGTCCATGTCGAAAACGCAAAGGCGCTTGTGGCGGCGGAAAACCGTCGACGGTTGGAGAATGACTTCACAATTCCATTCCCGTTCGAATTTATAGATGGATTCGTGTTTGGTGATTAGGTCGAACGGGAGATACTCTGGATTTGGAGGTGGACTGAAGGTGACCTCGACAACTCGGGGTTTTGCTGGGTCAGGCGACAGGCACCGGTGCGAAGAGGTCAACCTTCGTTCCTCCGGCTTGTTGTGGATGAGGAGCGAATCCAGAGTTGACAAGAAATGCGTCAAGCATAGTTGTGAGACGTATGCACCGTAGATGTGATCGAGGGGCTCAGGCTCAGGTGCAGGCGGTTCCAGCGGGTATTCCGATATGCTGGTTGTTGGAGCAGAACCTTCGGCGATTTCTGGCATTGGCATGGGATCCGTAGGCTTTGCGGGAGGTGACTGATCGGGGTGGACGTGTGGGTGTCGCGGAGACTTTGAGTTGTAGAAGATAGTCGCAACAATCCTGGCGGGATCGCCCAGTTCGGCTATGCAATTGGTATGCGACATTGTATACACAGTTCCACTCTCTTGAGACACAATGGGCGAAGGTGCGATTGCACTGACCGATCTCCTAGACGCCAGGGATGCGCTTGATATGGTGTTACGAGGACTCCGAGTAGGCTGGCGATCGAGAACTCCATCGATACTCGTCGTTGGGCCGCTTTGATGTGACCTGTATTCGAGATGGTCATCCAGATAGCTGTTGCTTCTCCCCAAAGAGTTTTTTCCCAAGCTAGGCCTGTTAGACCGGCCTGGTGAAGACGGGGAGGCCATCACGACTGCGGCGAGGGTGTAGCACCGGGGATCCTGCGCACGAGGCTCTCCGCCTGGACTACGGTGAAGCTTGGGAAATGGCAGGCGGCGGTAAGCAAGCACGCGAGGAGGGGAGAGGAAGTCGAGATGAAGCTGCAAGGCTACGTCATCTGGGGAGGGCCCAATGCAGGAACAGCGTTTGGGGGGTTCAACTCGAACAAGGGAAGATGAGCATTGTATTGGTACAGATTGAGGAGATCGGCACAGACGTTGGCTTCCTTGTTCTCCCCCGAAAACTTCGCCTCGCCTGGCCTCGTGCCCAAGGATGATATCATTCAGACCTGCACTGGCTTAAGTCATCAGAGCCTTACACGTGACTGCGGTCACGAGGGAGAGAGAGCCTGAGCTTCGTCTGGATGAGAGCTGACTAATATTGGCTGCTCCAACGGCCCTCCTCACTCTAGAGCAATTTCTAGCTACAACATCCTTAATTCCAACTTCGCCTTCTGATCACGACATTCACAAGCATGATAACACAATCCCCATGGTAAGTTCAGTTCCTGGAGCAAAACAAGAAGAGTCTGGAGATTGTATTTGTCGGAGCAAAGCTCGTCAGTCTTGGCCAAATGAGGTGCTCGGCCCAAAACGTCAATCATGATGCGTGCAGGAACTCAACATCGAGTCTGAAGGCGGCGGACCAACCCCTGTGTCAGCGAAAGAATCCACGCAGTGATGTATGCGAGATACGCTCTGACAGTCCTGCGAATGAGCGGTGGTTGAAGTCTCTCACTGCCTGCTCTCTTGCCGACAGCCCACTCACAGCAATTGGGCTGCGATCACGCCATCGCACGTGACTCCCGCGTCGATGACTTTTTTTCATTTTTCTCTTCCGGCAACGAGGCTCTCGACCTCCTAGTGTGCTCCACAGCTGAATTGCGTGCTCGACGATGATATTGCGAGCAACGCGGATGATTTGTAAAATGAAGGTGGGTGTTCCAGTGCTTTCAGCGCTCCTGTATGCGTGCTTTCATATTCGTGCCTCCCTCTCTCCTACTCATCAGCTTCCTTAAACGCCACTGTCTCCCTGCCTCTCCCTTGAAAGAAACAAACCCTTAGCACAATCGTCTTCATCATGTCTGCCACCAGATCCCAGTCTCCCTACAGTAGCGGCGAGAGAAGCCCCTCATTGAGGGGGGCTGATTCTGGCTATGCCAGTGCCAACAACAGTGAATGTGGCATGCCAGAGGTATACTTCACCAAACCACACCTGCAGTTCTTGAACCGGCAGCTGCAGTTTCTTGAGCCTCAAGAAATTCTGAGATGGTGTATCACATCAATACCACACCTTTTCCAGACCACGGCCTTTGGCTTGACGGGCTTGGTCACGCTAGACATGCTTTCCAAGTTGAAAATCCCTCGTCCTCAGATGGTTGACCTCATCTTCCTTGACACCCTACATCACTTCCCCGAGACTTTGGAGCTGCTGGACCGTGTTCGGGCAAAATACCCTTTGATCAATATTCATGTCTACAAGCCAGAAGGCGTTGAGACGACGCAGGAATTTGCCGAAAAGTATGGCGACAAACTTTGGGAGAGCGATGACAACAGATACGACTACCTTGCCAAGGTCGAGCCTGCCGCCAGAGCCTACCGTGAGCTTCAAGCGTACGCTGTCTTGACTGGCAGAAGGAGGAGTCAAGGAGGTCAGCGGGGTGACCTTGACATTATTGAAGTCGACGAGGCAGGCCTGATCAAGATCAATCCAATGGCCAACTGGTCCTTCCAGCAGATTCAGCAATATATCAAGGAAAATGACGTACCCTACAATGCTCTCTTGGATCGAGGTTACAAGAGCATAGGTGACTGGCACTCTACCAGCCCCGTCAAGGAGGGCGAAGATGAGCGGGCTGGTAGATGGAAGGGCCAACAGAAAACTGAATGCGGCATCCACAATCCACGGTCGAAGTACGCACAGTTCCTGCTGGAACAAGAGAAGAAGCGGGAGCGAGAAGCCCTGGAACAAGCCTTACAACAAGTCACCTTGGAGGCATGATTGTTCTGTTGTTAGGGGTCTCGTTTAGTTCAGCATAGCGTCGGCGTTCGGGAATCAGCATCAGCGATGGCTTGAGTAATCCTACATGGGGAGTGCATGGCATGACATGGAAGTTAACGTGATATGATATGAACCTTTTGTTCATACCTTGGACTATTGGATCCGGGAGGGCGACACCATCCGCCGTAGTCGTAGACACTTGATTACGGCGAGTGTTTGGTGTGACAGCTTATCTAGACGATAGAACGAAAATCAAAAGACTACTCATGATACCCTTGTTCAGCTCGAATATGTATCTTGACCAGATTTACAAAAGCCCCCCCAGTCGGTCGAAACTTAGCCCCATTGCTATCTTGACCGCTTTTCTGTTGGTCTTCTCATCCGCTCGTACGCTCTTCGGAGGTGTGTTGACCAGCATACAAGAGTAGTACAATGGTCACTGCCACTCCGGAGTGTCTTGGGCGGAGTCGGTTCCAACCTGGAGAATGCATAGCCTCTCTGTCCTACTCGTACAGCTTACGAAGGACCTCAGCAGAGAGAATCTGAGACTGCAAGCCTGGAGATCGGCAGTTTTGGCGAGTGACTGGCAGGGATCATCTGGATCGTTCTCAATAATGAAACCCTCAGGCACTGGCTCGCTGCGGCTCTGCCGAGAGTGTCATGCTGCATTGGTGCACAAGGCCAGCCCGGACACCACTGCTAATAAATTGAGGACGGAAATGTGTCCCCTGGCCACGCTGGCGACGCGAACCATGACCCCTGGAAGCCGACGTGCCATTACTGTACGTTGTCCAGCCTAAGGAGCAAATCATTGACCGAGTGGGTTAAGCACGCCATCCTTTTTCTCACGAAAATTTGTAACCGGGCTACGTATTGCGGGGACTGCGATAGAGTACGAGATGGATTTCTCCTTGGCCATGTCCTTTGCTGTAACCACTTGGGTGTCCCATATAACTTTAGAAGACACCCAGCCTAGGATACGCCTTTCTTCTCCTTCTCTTCGTGTACAGCTCTCCTTGCATACGAGCCTCTCGGAAGTGCTCGACTTAATTTCTCACGAAAGACGCAACTGCAAACATGGCCAACCCACCCCACGGAGGGGTCCTCAAGGACCTCCTTGCTCGAGACGCTCCTCGCCATGATAAGCTTGCTGAAGAAGCAGAGACGTTGCCCGCAGTCATCCTCACTGAACGCCAGCTGTGCGATCTCGAGCTCATCCTCAATGGCGGCTTCTCCCCACTCGAAGGGTTCATGAACGAGAAAGACTACAACGGTGTTGTTGAGAACCTCAGATTAGCGGATGGCGCTCTCTTCAGTATGCCCATCTGCCTGGATGTGGATCAGCAGACGGTCGAGCGTATGAAGATCAAGCCTGGCGCTAGAATCACCCTGCGAGATTTCCGAGACGACCGTAACCTCGCCATCCTCACCGTCGACGATGTCTACAAGCCGGACAAGAAGAAGGAGGCTCAAGAGGTGTTTGGAGGAGACCCGGAGCACCCGGCCATCAAGTTCTTGTTCAACTCCACAAAGGAGCTATATGTTGGTGGGAAGATCCAGGCAGTCAACAGACTCAACCACTACGACTATGTTGCGCTCAGATACACGCCTGCGGAGCTGCGGACACACTTCGAGAAGCTGGGTTGGCAACGTGTGGTGGCTTTCCAGACCCGAAACCCCATGCACAGAGCCCACCGTGAGTTGACAGTTCGCGCTGCTCGTGCCCGACAAGCGAACGTCCTCATTCACCCTGTCGTTGGTTTGACCAAGCCTGGAGACATTGACCACTTTACTCGCGTTCGTGTCTACCAGGCTCTCATGCCGAGATATCCCAACGGGATGGCTGTGCTCGGTCTTCTCGGTTTGGCTATGCGTATGGGTGGTCCGCGTGAGGCCATCTGGCACGCCATCATCCGAAAGAACCACGGTGCCACCCACTTCATCATTGGCAGAGATCATGCTGGTCCTGGCAAGAACAGTGCAGGAAAGGACTTCTATGGTCCATATGATGCTCAGCACGCGGTCGAAAAGTACAAGAGCGAACTCGGAATTGAAGTCGTGGAATTCCAGATGATGACCTACCTCCCAGACACCGACGAGTACCGACCCAAGGACCAAGTCCCGGCTGGTGTCAAGACTCTTGATATTTCTGGTACCGAACTTCGCAGGCGCCTGAAGGTCGGCGCCCCTATCCCTGAGTGGTTTTCATACCCAGAAGTCGTCAAGGTTCTGCGAGAGTCAAATCCTCCCCGTGCTACACAAGGGTTCACGATCTTCCTGACCGGATTTCAAAACTCCGGCAAGGATGCTATTGCCCGTGCTCTACAAGTCACCTTCAATGAACAAGGTGGCCGCCCTGTCTCACTCCTATTGGGTGAAACTGTCCGCCATGAGCTTTCTGCAGAACTCGGCTTCACGAGGGAAGATCGCGACACTAATATTGCTCGCATCGCCTTTGTCGCCGCCGAGTTGACCAAGGCAGGCTCTGCTGTCATTGCTGCACCAATTGCGCCTTTCGATGAGGCGCGAAAGGACGCCAGAGAAACTGTCGAGAAATTTGGTAGCTTCTTCTTGGTTCATGTGGCCACGCCTCTGGAATACTGCGAGAAGACGGATAAGCGGGGAGTATATGCAAGAGCACGAAGGAACTCGATCAAAAACTTCACTGGCGTTAACGATCCTTATGAAAACCCAGATGATGCTGATCTGACCGTGGATTGCTCTAAACAATCTGTACGAAGTATCGTCCACGAGATTGTCTTGATGCTCGAAAGCCAGGGTTTCTTGGGCACGTCATAAAAAAGATTTCCCAGGCTTATGTAGGCTAGACTATGAGGGTTATCCTGGAAGAAAAGTCATGGTTTGATGATTGGATGTAATAGATAGATGGATTTCAGCGCTTATATTAAGGGCTCCCAAATAGAATCGGGTTCTTGGCCAAATGCCTCGCATTGAACTTCTGATCCTCATATTCTTGAAAACTCAAAGGTCAATACTGTAACGGGGCTCTGCGCAAGGCTGAAAGTGACGAGGCTGTCCAACCAGGCGCCAAGGACGCGTCAAGCCTGGAGCGTTTGTACTACCTCCATTGAGCTCAGGGCCATCGCATACATTTGACCATACACTCTATCTCAACTCCTTCTGCTCCATCTTTAAGACGTGGGCTCACTGTTTCACTGGTTCTAATTCTTAGGCATATCCTCGAAAGCTCGCTACCATGTCTGACGGCGCACTCTTCAAGCCGGACAAGGACTTCAGCAAGGATGCGGACACTATTCTGCCAGATGCAGAGTCATTAGCAAAGGTACCGCGGATCGTCCTGCATTTAGTCGCTGAATCTAATGTCTGAGTAGAAAGACCTCCAGAAAGGAATCGATAAAGTTCTCGGTCTCGAGAAACAAGCCAGACAGGTAAACTTCACTCATCGCAGGCGTATTATCGGCCTTTCTAATACGAAGCACAGGCGTCAGATCTCGCTACAACCTCAAGATGTTTAGTCGCCATCGTCACACTATGCAAACAGGCTGGGGATTGGAGTCAGATGAATGAGCAAGTTCTCTTACTGTCAAAGAAACATGGACAACTCAAACAAGCCATCACCAACATGGTGCAGGTGGTTATGGGTTTCCTGGATGACACTCCTAATATGGATACAAAACTTGGTGTGATTGAGGCATTACGGACGGTTACCGAGGGCAAGGTTAGTGAGAGACACGCAAAAGTGCGAATGTAAGATTGACCAGGCCCAGATCTTCGTTGAAGTTGAACGAGCCCGGATCACCCGAATTCTATCGGACATCAAGAAAGAGCAAGGCGACATCAAAGCAGCCCGCGATATTCTTTGCGAATTACAAGTTGAGACTTTCGGATCGATGACTAGAAGAGAAAAGACAGAGTTCATTCTGGAACAAGTCGCACTATGTATCCAAAACGACGACTGGACACAAGCAACAATCCTGAGTCGGAAGATCAGTACGAGATACTTCGCACGAAAGCCCAAGAAGACGCCCGAGCAAATAGAAAAGGAGAAGAAGGCGGCCGAAGAGAGGGAGAAGAAGCGGAAAGCGGGAGAAGATATTCCACCAGAAGAGAAGGAAGATGACGTGACTGATCTGAAGTTGCGGTTCTACGAACAACAAATCACTCTAGCGAAGCACGAAGAAAAGTACCTCGAAGTCTGCAAGCACTACAGGCAGGTTCTCGACACCGAGTCGGTAGAGAACAACCCAGAACAGCTCCGCGCAGTCCTTCAACGGGTAATATACTTTGTTCTCCTGGCCCCGTACGACAACGAGCAGTCTGATCTCCTGCACCGAGTTCACCAAGACAGTCGGAATAGTGAGGTGCCGAAGGATGCCGCCCTGCTGAAACAATTCACCATTCCCGAACTCATGCGCTGGCCCATGGTTGAACAACAATACGGCGAACATCTCTGCTCGACCGACATTTTCTCCAAGACGGCTGATTCGAGTGATCCAAAGGCGCATACACGATACGAAGCTCTGCGACACCGTGTGATCGAGCATAATGTGCGCGTTGTGGCTAAATACTATACCCGCATCACCTTCCCACGGTTGACCGAGTTGCTGGATTTGTCGGAAGAAGAGACGGAGAAGTACATTTCAGACCTCGTGACCAAGAAGACGGTTTATGCACGGATCGATCGACCTGCGCGGGTGGTCAGCTTCGAAGTCAAGCGTGGACCGGACGAGGTGTTGGACGAGTGGTCGGGCAGTATGAAGGGTCTGCTGGGCCTGCTGGAGCGCGTGGGACATCTCATCCAGCGAGAGGAGATGATGGCCAGAATCCAACCCAAGGAGGATTCAGGTGGCAAGAAGGAATCGGGCAGGAAGGTCAAGGCATAGGATGTCTACGACGACAGCTTAGAGGACCTCATTTTCCCGGCATTCCTGCGGCCCTATTTTCCAATCCTCACAAATTCAAGTTCACCGGAAGATTCGCCGGAAAGTTCAGGAGAAGGTTCGCCAGATTGGTTGGACGATTTAGAGTAGAGACCGCGTTGCTTTCGATGGCCAAACTGCACATGCATGGGTTTTGGGTTGGGTGGTCCGAAATGTACCAATATCGATATCCGAGGGAGTGAGGTCAAATCGGTGTGAGTAGAATGCATTAGGTACCTACGGAACCGCCCCTGGTCTCTGTGTTGCTCGTTGCTTTGCTCTACCTTGAAGTGATAAACTAGGATCTTGAGGTGCAGAGCCAAAACAAGATGGAAAGAAGAAACACCGCCCCTCCCCGGGTGGCCCTCGCTGTTGCAACACAGCAAGTGTCTGGGGGAGTTTTTTTGTATCTTAATAATTCTGTATCTGATCAGACCTTAAAAAAAGTCGGACTAGTTTTCACAAGGCATAACCAAACCTTTTGTATTCTACGAATCATGGCTAGCCTAGGTTCATTGTGAATTTCCACTGTCAACGAAAGGGAAGTACTCGTGAAGACTGTAATATGCGATAATATGCTCCTTAAACTGGTATCGTTTTTGTCCCCGTTCACTAGATGACTTATGTGCCTATCAACCTCCCTCGTGACATATCTTTCAGGGTAGGGAAGGACCCGCATGTACTCCCCCGGTTGGTTCAATTCCCCCAAAGTCCCCCCTTTCCCCAGTTCACGACATCGTCACACAAGACGGGAAACAGAAAAAGGCACACGCAGCCAGCCAGCCAGCCGCCAGGCTTCCAGAGTCGAGGCGGGCCTCCAAACGACAAAAGAGACAACAAGCCGAGCACTCTCAGAGGGCGCCACCGGATCCCTTCATGTCAAACCCGACAGTCATCTCTGTGACCTCATCGGCGTCGCCGATGTTTCCCATCCGCCACGCCCGTCGCTGTGCCTTGTACCCGCCGACCAGGACGAGCACGTGCATCGCGTAGGCCAGGCCCGCGAGCCAGCCCAGGGCGATCTTGGCTATGCTGACCTCGTGGATGCCGTACATGAAGTGTCCTCGCACCTGGGGAGGGCAGACGGCCTGGCCCCCCGAGTGGTCGAGCGAGGGGAGCTCGCAGTGCATCCAGAAGGCCAGCGTGGTGATCCAACCCGCGACGGCGAGGGCCGTGAAGGACGTCAAGACCAAAAAGGCCGTCTTGGATCGTAGATAGCGCGGAGTCGCGTGGTGGACGGTGAACTCGAAACACAAGTGCACCAAGGACACGGCGGGGGTGAAGAGGGTGTAGAACAAGAGGGCCACTTCTGATGTGCCTTGTTGTTGGCGAGGTTTCTTTCCAGAAGTTGTTGCCACTCTCGTGGACAGAAGAGCATCAAACCCTAAACTGCCGCCGCTTCTACGGCCGAAAAGTGATCCGTTGGCTTCGGCCGTACTGGATTTGGAGAGCTGGTCGGCAATGTCAGTGTGTGGTTTGGCGACGCAGTAAGCGTATATGGCGTTGAGGATGAGTGTGGTAAAGACCAAGACGAGGAGCACAGGGAGACCGACGGTTCGAAATCTGTGTAGTCTGTGCAGAGCCCGATTGCGAGGACGAGGCGGATGGGACGTCGGTGGTGGAGGGAACGTCAGTTGTTGAAGTTGAAGTTGAGGACGGGAGATGGGAAATCCGGTGCTCACGCGGCGTGTTGTGAACTTCATCGTTGTTTGTGTTTTTTTCTTGTTGATTGAGCAATTAGAGATTATGTATTTCTCGAGAGTAGAGAATTGCCCTTTGTTTGGTAGACTCCAGAGATGCGTGCGAGTGTGTTTGTGTATATTTGCGGGAGTTCGACTGCGAGTAAAAGCGTCCAGCGCTGTCTATCTGGCAGCCAGAAGAGGGATATTACAATGAATGGTGTATACGGGGTAAGTATTGAGGCGAACCTTGGAGTAATGGACTGGAAGGAAAAAAGGAAATGCAGGGAGTCACACTGTCTTGCTTGTATCTTGAGTGATCGAAGACATACGTATGTATATATGCCTGCCTTTGAGCGTAGAAGTATGCCTTGGGGGGAATGGCAACCTACCTTGATTTGCCTAATGGAGGCTGTCCTGCCTGGTCAGCGGCAGATGCCACAGACATGATGGCGTCTCTGCCGCGTCTGTCGATCTATGTTGGAACGAAGGGGGTCCACGATGTCCAGTACATGGCGTGGCCGGGACGATGAATGAGGTCGACGTCGAGGCTTCGCCAGGTCGGATGAGGGTCGATTCTTGCTATTATTACGACGAGGAGAACAAGAAGCATCATCGAGAGCCAATGGATACACCGGCATATGCACAACATTCGACAGGCGCTGGCGTCATGGCGATTGAGTGGGTTGGGCGTCTAAATCGTGGCAGTGAGAAAAAAGTGGTGTTTGATGTTGTGTTTCACAACGCAAATCATTTTGCGCTTTTGTTTTCGACCTGCACCATACGCAACTGAGTACCTAGGTGCTTACTTACTCTGTACGGATACGCACCACTCATTGTGATATAGTGATGGTCAGGTCGCGTGAATAAATATCGACATGACCGACGAAGCACCTCGAATTGAACTTTCCCGACAGTACCTTTCCGACGCACAGGCAAACACCATGCCGCCGGCCCCCGAAAGCTGGAAGAATCAATTGGATTCCTTGCCATGTGATTATGAGCCTGAAGTTTGAAGGAAACTAATCATTCAACAGTCAACATGATCATTTGTAAGCTAGGTCACTGACCCAGCCTCGTCCAGAGTATCGAGTCTCGAGAGAATGGAACGAGTCCGGCATGCTTCGCTCATTTTTACCTCACTGGAGCGACGAGGTCCCCGGCTATTCGGCACCAAAAGTCATCAAGAGAACAGTAAGCGAGTCGGAACTTCTCATTATTCAACACTTTTGCCCCTTGGGAAGAAAGTCGTACATCCCACGAGGACGATCAATGAGTCAAAGAACCGTACAAAACTGCAACACGTACAGGGAGTTCCTCGTAAGGGACTCATGGCTCGTACACTGATACATTTGCCGGGTTGACCTCCCCGCCCATATGTTACTACTGTACAATATGTACGGGGTCCCCTTTGATGCGGCGACAAATAAACGAATACTGGGTCCTTCGTACTCGTTCGTACACAATATCAATGGATGCTCCATACCTAAGTACATACTCCACGCCCAATCTTTCCACGGGGCCTTTTGAAGAGAAGCGAACAAACGTCCACGCATTCCTTTTTCTTTATTGTTACAAATCTCTGCCTTGTGCCTTTTTGTTCACTTTAGCTTCTCACTATTGCTGTGCCATGCCAGCTAGATCAGACCTCAGAAAAACATCCATCTCGGGGCGAACCGTGCTAGGCGATTTGAATCTGTCGATGATTTAAACGTATACCTACCTGAGACACGGTGTGAACATTGACTCATTTTACACAAACACACACACACACACACATACCTCGGCTCAATTTACCAACCAGGGCAAACAAGGGAGAGAGGAGGGACAGCGTGAGGAAGAGCCATGAGCTCTACGACTGGCGACTATGAAGTCGAAAAGGATCTTCAACTCGACAAAAATCTGCATTCCTCCAAAATTCGTCCAAACAATGCTCTAGACAGGACGGAATCCAATATAAGTCGAGCGCTCGACGCCGAAGCCAACATCGACACATTACCACCCGAAGAAAGTGCCGTCGCCATAACGAACGAAAGAAAGGATGAGCCTGGCCCTCCACCCAACGGCGGCTTTCACGCATGGCTTCAAGTCGTAGGATCTTTCTTTTTGTTTTTCAATTGCTGGTTCGTGTTCCCTCTGCTTTTCGTTTTATCTGTTTCTGTTTCAATCTCGGCTTATAAAGATTCCTTCTGACGTCAAATCAAACTGACCAAAACTCTCGTACCTATAGGGGGACGGTCAACACATTTGGCGTTTTCCAAACGTACTACGAAAATAATCCGCTCTGGCACGAATCACCCAGCAACATCTCATGGATCGGCTCGATCCAAGCGTTTCTCCTCCTGCTCGTCGGCGTCATCACCGGCCCTGCGTATGACGCGGGCTACTTTCGCGCCCTCATCACCACGGGTGCGGTCCTCATCCCTTTTGGCTTTATGATGACCTCCCTGTGTAAGGAGTACTGGCAGACCATGCTCGCCCAGGCCTTTTGCATCGGCATCGGCAACGGCTGCCTCTTCATCCCCTCTGTCGCCATTCTGCCGCAGTACTTTTCGACCAAGAAAGCCCTGGCCAACGGCCTGGCCGCGTCGGGTTCGAGCTTCGGCGGTGTCATCTACCCCATCGTGTTTCGCCGGCTGGAACAGCAGATTGGGTTCGGCTGGGCCACGCGCGTCCTGGGGTTCATCTCGTTTGTGACCGTCTGGTTCTCGGTCTTGGTCATGAGGCCTCGAATGATGCCCAAGCAGAAACGTCACCTGGTCGACCTGACCGCCTTCACCGAACTCCCATACGTGTTGTTCTGCGCCGCCATGTTTTTCGGGTTCTTGGGATTCTATGGTCCCGTCTACTACGTCCAAAACTACGCCATCCAAAACCGCATCGTCGACGAAAACCTGGGCTTTTATCTTCTTCCCATGCTCAACGCCGCCAGCATCCCGGGTCGAATCGTACCCAACTTCCTCGCCGACCACGTGGGACCCCTCAACGTGCTGATCCCTTGCTCGATGATGACGGGCATACTGGCCCTGATCTGGATCGGCATCAGCAACCTCGGTGGCATCATCGTCTTCGTCTTGTTCTACGGCTTCTTCTCTGGGGGGTTTGTGTCCATGCCCCCGGTCGCCATCGTCACTCTGACGGCCGACATGCGCAAGATCGGTACGAGGATGGGTCAGTGTTTCTTCATCAGCGCCTTTGGCTTGCTCGTGGGCACCCCCGTGTCCGGAGCCATCTTGGGCGGTGGGGACGATTGGCTGGGCGTCCAACTGTTCAGCGGTGCCGGGATCGTCGTGACGGCCCTGTTGCTGCTGTGGGCTCGGGTTTCTGCCGTGGGTTGGAGCTTGATGAGGAGGGCCTGAAAAAAAAAACAAAGGAAAAGGAACACTTCACACCTGGAAAAAAGGGTTCCTTGATACCCGTGTTTGTAACAATATTGGAAGGTTGTCAAAAGTGAAATCACATACACGCGCGCAGAATCATCCCGGTGACATTTCACTGGAGCGCTGGAATATGGCACCACCCAATCTATACACGCCAACAAGAGATAAATCAGCCTGGACTTGTCTCCGAGCCATGTATGTCTTGGCGATGAAGTACACATGTGCAGTGTCATGAAGAGGTGGTTTGTAAATGGACATGTTTCATAAGGTGGATGATCTCTTGGATGGGACGAGTGACTACCTACGTATGTCTACAGCACGTAGCAGCTTACCACATCCATCCGTACACACTGTCTTCATCATTGCTATCTTATGTGCCTTTTTTTTTTCTCACCAAGTGTCAACATCTTGCATGGCCAACCAGTTCAAGACACCCATGGCCTTGATCAGATTCCCTTTCAGGTCGAGATGTACCCCATCGTATTTCGACGCTTGAATACTCATGTTCCACGTCCCCATGGTCTCGACGCCTCGTTTGCCAGCTTCGACACGGACACTCTCTTCAAACACCATCAGGGCTTTATTTCCCTGACTCACGAGCCACTGGTCGGGTTTCTGTATGCCGGCGGCGTTGGGCGTGACGAACAGTCTTGGCCAGAATGGTGCACCACGCGATCCTTTCTTGTTGGTTCCGCCCACATAATAAGGGGCTTGCTTGACGGTTTCTCCTAGAATGCCGTCCAGCCATTGCATACTCGCCTGGAGGTCGAGGTCGTTCCAGAGGCCGTGCCCAAAGATGAAGGCGTACGGTTTACGTGGTTTCTTGGGAGACAACAGACTTCGGAACCGAGCCAGTTCTTCCGAGTCCAACGGAAACTTGAGCATCATTTCAATGACCAGGTCGACGGGTTGAGTGGTGGGACAAGCCAGACTCGAAGGGTCGTGTTCGAGGACGGAAGAGGTGGAAAAGATCCCCTGGACCGAACACGATTTGACGTCCATTTGGTGGTTGCAGAAGCAGTCTCTCCTGGTAAACTCGGGGTCAGTATCTTATGCTTGTCCATTGGACTCGATTTCACAAGAGACCGCTTTCTTGCAAAGAACCTACAATTCGTCCTCGTTGAAATTCCAATCTGTCACGGCTCCATACCCGAGGTCCTGACGAAGTAGGACGTTCATCGCACCCACGACGTGTCTCATCATACTATCACCAACCACGACCACCTTTTCGTAACGCGACAGAATCTGGCAAACCTCTTCGGTCGAAAACCAGCGCATGTCACAGCCCCGGGGGATGTACGGGCTATCGAATCCGATTCTTCCTCCGCCGGAAAAGGCTTGGAGGAACTCGTCGCGATCTCGACACAAGGCCGTCGTCGAGGGTGAGTGAAGCTCCAGCGAGCTGATTTGGCACGACGTGTGGTTTCTGAATTTGTAGTCGGCAAAGGTGTCAGGAGGAGACGGTGGTGGATGCACGAGGGCAGCAGCAGTATTTGTGGCAACCGAGGGATCAGACAGTAGGCGACAAGATGGAACTGACGGTTCATTGTAGTGGTAGTAGAATGACCCATACCCGCCGATTTGGGAGGGTTTGCTATTGGTAAACTGCGGTGCTTGTGTGGTTAATCTACCTAGGCATAGAACCATTGTAACTCAACCAGAAGACTCACCAGGTCGTGGTTGTGTAGCAACCCGCAGAGTATCAACAGAGTAAAAGGGGCTGCCAACAAGATGTAAGCAGCTGCCCGCTTTAACTGAACACGAGAGGGTCGTCGTCGTCGTCGATGCTCCATCATGGACTCTCCTACCCTGGCAATGTTGGTAATGGTAGACGGAGGACTGAGAGAGCGAAATCAGATTTACCGCGGGCATACTAGCCACGGTGAAGTCAAGTAAAAAGTGACACTGGCAAGAATTGCGAAAGTGAAACAGACAGAGTCCTGGATGGTGTACACAATTATTTTCTTTCATCGTCGTCCGCTCCATCAAGTACCAATGATGTGCTCTCAAAACCATCCTTGAGGCGGTGGCTTTATAGGCTGCGTCAAAGGCAAAGTCTTCTCTTTCCGCAGCTGGATTTGTACATTCTCTTCCTCCCACCTCGCCTTTTCCCTTTGAGCTTCTGCGATTCTTTGCGACTTGCCTATTCCGAGACCGAGCCAGCCGGATCCTTTTTCAGCTTCTTGTGCTTTCCTGGCCGCAAGACGTGCCATTTGTCGCGACATCTCTTTCCAATTAGTCAACCCTGTCTCGAGGCATTCTCGACATCGTTCTCTCCCGTCATCCTCCTTCTTCTCCTCCATCACCCACAGGACTGCTTCAGCAGCTTCGACGCTATCTCTAGTCCAGCTGAGGCCCTTTTCCCGTTCGCTGTCACTGGTGGCAAAGAGGATCTCACCAATATATGTCATCAAGCCAACTTCTTCACAGGCTTCTTTCAACGTGTGATATGGCCTATTGTTGCCACTCGGCGGTGCTTCTGGAAATGGTCGCTCAATGATCAAGTCCTTGAGAGACGAGATATACGGCCATAAGCCTTGATCTTGTGGTGCGGGCCTTTTGCGACCGATTACACCAAAGGGTGATGGTGGCAAATTCTTCCTAGCCCTCAGCACACTAAGGAAGATCGGCAGGGCTTGTTTAACATTTCCAGCTCTGGCATGATGGACAGCATATGCTGTGCACACTCGAAGGACATTCTCGCTGACCTCATCTTCTCTGCCTCTTGCAATCATGCCCGTTTTCGTGTCGATGATATCCGCCGGCCCTCCTGCAAACCCCGCTTGAGCAATATCCATGGCCCAACTGTAGGTGTCCTCGGCCGTCTCAGCCAGCCCTTTAAAATCGCACCAGTCTGCATATGCCATGGCCGCGTCCAGTCGCTGTCTTGTATTGAATCCCTCTGTGGTCAAAATCTTCATGTAAAACACTTCTGGTGATGGGAAGGCATCCTCCACCTCGTCTTGTGTCGGTGGGGTTTCATGGCCTCTTTTCTTATCCCAGGGAAGTGGCTTCGGTCTCGGATTGTCTGGTCCAGGTATACTTTCTCTGGAATACACTCGACCTGCAGGGTCATCCTTCCTCCGGCACATGCCATCTAGATTTTCTGCTGCTCTTCCTGCTCCCATGAGAGCATCATGATATCCTCGCCTCCACTGATCGCTTTTCGCACTGACGTCGAAACCTACTATTCCTAGGCTGTCTGCGTAGGTGCCGGTAGCTTCGGAAGCAAGTAAAAATTTGCCATCATAGTCTTCGCTTTCCAGTCTTTCCAAAACACCTAGGTAGTATCGCCCTGCTTTTGCCCAATCGGTCATTACCTGACTGACCTTAGCACCCTCGCTAAGTTCGGTGAATTTAGCGTTGCGCAAGAGCCATCTACTCCAGAACGACCAGTCTCGGGGTGTAGGAAAATCTCTCTCAAATTTGGTTTGTTGGATACCTATCATTATGATGGTGACGAGGAACACCGACGGCCAGAGGTAGGCATGGAACCTCAGTTGACGCCAGAGCTGGGCTTTCCATCTTTGCTTGCGCTCGGTGGAGATGAACCGCCCGACGTGTGCTTGAACAATGTTTACTCGGGTCGCGGGATGCAGAAACGGTAATTGAGGTCGAGGTATTGGACGGGCGACGAGTAATAGTGAAGGCTTGTGAGCAAAGGATCTGGATCGTGGTAGTTTCGAATAGAAGAAGTCGACAGTGGACCTTCGCGCAATACTTCTCAGTACCCGCCGAGGGATTGCTGGAGGCAGCTGCGCTTGCACCATCCTGATCATCAGCTGCGACAAGCAGCGAGACGTCAAGCCAGCACTAGGCTTAAGAAATATGTACAGGTTTCATGGTCTGAAGATGGCGACCGGACAATGCGGAGAAGCGACTTGAAATCATGTCACGTGGCTCATTAGTAACGCTAGGACTATTGATACGGTGGGCTATTAAGCTACGTATGTACAGAATTGGATGCATACTGCATGAACTCTATGGCTTCTTCGTCCAATCCATGCCCTATCGAGTGGTGTTAGTCGGTCCCAAACAGCAGGATGGAATGGTTTTCTTACCTCGCCTAACACCTGCTGACCCTTTGCTAGCATCCTGGATTGTTCTTCGCCTAGCCACTGAGGCTCGAGACGATCGATACCTTCTTCAATGTCCCAAGCGCGTCCACCTTCAACGTAAAATGCTTTACCATTCAACTCTTGATTGCAAGCAACTCCAGCAACTACCCTAGCAACATCACTTGTTGACTGTATAGGTAAATCGGCAGCTTTCCAGCTTGATACAATGCCTTCAGTCATGGCTGTCGGAACCATCCAGGGACAGATCGCATTGACTCGGATCCCAGTCATCGGGGGTAAATATAGCCTGAGGGATCGCATCAATCCGAGGATACCGTGTTTCGTCGCCTACACCACAGATCAGACTCAATTCAGAGCATCGTATCACTTGTTGAGAGAACGCACCTGGTACACGAACAAGCCTGGACTCTCTTTGAATCCGGCTACCGATGAGAATAAAACCAGGGCTTTGTCGTCTCCATCCTTTCGACCTTGCCGCAGGTATACAGAGGCAATCCTGGCAAAGTAGAGGGACCCCAATAGATTAACATCTAGGACCTTCTGGTTTGGTACCTTGATCACCCTTAGTGTTTGGTTTCGTCAGGCGCAAGATGTCTGCGACTCACCTGGCGAATTGTCTCTAGATCCAAGTTCGGATCAAACCAGTTACCGATCTCGATAATACCAGCACAGGATACAGCCGAATCGACCCTCCTGTACGTCTGGAAACAGAGGTCGAACAATTCAAGCATTGACTGATACTGAGTTACATCTGTAACTTTGAAGCACGCCACAGGGCTTCCACTGCTCGTCTTGTTGACTTCGTCAAGCAGCGCTTTTCCAGCAATCGCATCCAAATCACCAAAGCACACTTTGGCGCCTCTTTCGACGCAGAACTTCACCAGTGCTGCGCCGATACCATGTGCTCCGCCTGTTCGAATGAGTATCAGCAATGTCTTGGTGGGCTTCCTTAACTGTACCTGTAAGTAAGACGACTTTGTCCTTCAGGTGGCCCAAGAATGGTTCTGGCTCAAACCGAGACATGGTGATATTCTTTGACTGATTTTCGAATTGATCTGATGTTGTTGTTGTTGGTGCTGTGCTCTGACAACACATTGCAAGAAGTTCGCTTGATAAAGGACCCACGCTGTCCCAATAGCGCGCCCATTACTCACTCTCTGTGTATCCATCCCAACTTCTATCCCACATTTACCCCATGCGATTTCCGAACTTTCATTTGTGGAATTGAGATGATTTTTCTGGACAATTCGGTGAGCTGGGGGGAACAGATCCGGGGGTTAAGTAATACCCTCCACATTCCAGCTGTTCTCCGCAATGACATATATCAGGCCGAGAAGAGGTATTTATATACAGTCCCGCACTACGCCCACGACCGGTCCAGTAAGGATTTCTGCACCCCTGTTGAGAGATGGCTCCCCTGCAGTGTTTCTACCGCCCATCAAGCGAAAAGGGCCTGTCCAGCGTTACTTCTCTGGTCGTCGGCAGCAAGGTTGGGGTTCTCTTCGACCCTCCCTTCTTGATCCCAGATGCAGAAGCAGTGGTCAAGTGGGTGAAGGAGACCACGCCGCTCCCTATCAAGGCTGTCTTCATCACTCATCACCATCCTGACCACTATTTCTCGGCCAATCCGATCCTCGAAGCCTTTCCGGAGGCTGTTCTATACGCAGCTCCCTATGTCTGCGCGGGTATAGACAGGGAATATGATGACAAGATCAAGTACTGGCCCTCAATTTTTGGAAAGGACGTTCCCCTGCAGCCTCGAAAGCCGACGCCGTTCACTTTCAGCTTTTTGCAGCTGGATGGCGATCCGAATTCGCCCATTGTCCTTCTAGGACCTTTGCAGGGCGATTCTGTCGACCACACCTTGTTCTGGTTACCCCAAGAAAAGGTCGTCATCTGTGGTGACTCTGTATATGCGCGAAGCACGCATGTTTGGTAGGTAAAGATGTAAAGAGCCCTGGACAAGTGCTGATAATTATCACTAGGGTTGAAGAAATCGAGACCCCGCAGATTCTAGAAGCATGGCAGAAGACCCTGGACGTCATTGAGAGCCTTCAGCCTGTCAAGATCATCCCAGGTCATCTCGAAGCAGGGTGGGAGCTCAACGCCAAAGAGGACATGGCACATATGCGAAAGTATCTGAACTTGTTCTCAGAGAAAATCACCCATGCACCCAGGAAGCCACAGGTCAAGGATCTGTACACAACGTTCAAGGAGGCATTCCCTCAGGCAGACAAGAATCTCGATTTCTTCTTGGGCCATTTGTCAAATCAGTTCGGAGAAGGCGGCGAGGTGTGGGAGGAGAACAGGCACCACAATGTTGGTGCGCGGACCAAGACAGACCTACTGGGTTTCCTGCTGGCCTAAAAGGGGCCGACATAGCTTGCAGATTGTATATGTTAAGGGTGCTATGCAGGTGTAAATAATGTCAATGCAACGTCTTGCCCTGAATCTTGCGAACCCAGGACCATGGTAGGCTGATGCACAAGGATTACTAAGTCCCTCTTGTGACGGAGAGAACTCGTCCCCGTAAAAACAAGTTCGTAGATCAAACTTCGTCGCCTTGGCGCCCTGTCTCTTTTTGATCGGTTCATCTGGATTACGAAGCATGCCTGGCGTTCGGATAGCGATGGGATGGTAGAATACGAGCTGCTCCCCGCCTCGAAGGAAAAGTGTCAGCTGTGGCGACGGGGACCGAATCATCGAGGTTGGTGGTGATGGTCCCCTAGAGTTGACGCTTTTCCTTATTCCGCAAGGTCTTCCAGCGTCCCCGGGCACTGAGCAAAAGGGCCAACAGGGCAAGTATTACGGAGTAAGTTCCCCACGTCTGGGCGATGATCCCCTTGCATGGTGGTAACAACGATCTTATTTCAGCCTGACCACTTCATCCCAACAAAGACACATCCATCGCCACGAACAATGCGGCTGACATCTCGTCGCACATTGTCTCGAACCTCATTCATGTAGCACATACATTATCTCGATATTCGTTCGCGTTACGTATATCTTTTGAGTGTGCCAAAATGCCCACGACAGATCCTGACCGACGGCGCCGGCAAAATTGTGAGAATCAGAAAAGATGGCGACAACGACAGCTCGACAAGCTCCATGTTCTCGCAGACGAACTGGAACGCACCCAGACTCGTATGCGCGAATTGGAACTTGAATCATCCAATCTGCGCATTCAGCTTCGTGACTCTGAGGCAAAGGCGGAAGCGCTTCAAGCGTCGAACGTCAGACTCGAAGCGCAAGTTCTTGCGTCTGTACATCCAAGGTCATCAATCGGAAGTGAAATGGACATGAATCTATCCCCAAACCTGGGCTCGAACCATTTCCCGTCGGCTTCGCCATCTACAGGCCTGTCTAATGTGCCTGCCGCCCCAAGCAGCGCTGACGGCACATATCAAGGTACTACCACTACAGATGAACCGGGTTGGCATTTTCTCACTGACCGTATTTTTTGCAGCGACAAAATCTAAACCAGAACTCGGCAATCCCACAAATATCACTCCTGAGCCTTCCGAAGAAGACTGGGCGAGTATTGTTATCACTGGAAGTGAAGAGGGCAATGTAATCCAGCCACCTCTTTCAAGCGAACAACCCGGCTTCACATCAAATCCGAAGAACGTCTCAACCTACGATCAACAGTTTGATCCGACCTTCTGGGTCGATGGCATTCCACCAGACGACATATCCGAGACCTTCACCCTCTCTGCCAAACCCAATGCTATAGGATCAATTGTCCAGGCAGGACGTCGTGTAGCAGCAGGCCTCAATTCGATGCAGAACCCCAATTTAACGATTCGGGATCGATCACACTACTGGCTTCCTTGGGATTATCAGGACGAAAAGTACCAAGATGAGCGACTGACGAACTCTGAGGATGCCAGGGCTCGCGCCTCGTACACAAACGACATCTACTTCAATTGGCCCATGTATTCCATCCTCGGAGGTGCAAGCTCCATTTGGCGGAACATGGTGAACTTCCCCGACACCACACATATCTCCCAGCATATTCTGGCTGTACAGAAAGTTCTCCACGATGCTTTCCGTCACCTGCTTACCAAGTAAGTCATAAAAAAAATACGCCACGCTGTTACTTACATGTCGTAGACCCACGGATGTGCGGGAAAAGGTGGTGGCAGAGGCCTTTTCCTGGCTGATCGAATCCGCCTGGCCGTCCAGTGAGAGTTGCTTCAAGATGATGGTAGGGATCACTCTTCTTTTCCACCTGGACTGTCATTGTCAAATGCTGACCTCTCCCAAGACCGTGTACCGTCACATCTTCAGCTTTGAACTGTTCCGCATTTTCCCTTGCCCGACTACTTTGGAAAGAATTCACCCGCTCTACCGACCTACGGAACTTCAATCCATGGTTCCTCATTCCCCCGCCATCGACTGGCTGCCTTGGCCCGACATGCGTGAGAAAGCCATCAAGATGCAAGACAAGGTCAACGTGGATCAACTATGCCAGATGTGCCTGGAACATACGATAGTCGAGCCAGCCACGTATGGTGCCAGCGGCAGAAATCAGGCCCTCCCGCCCGGATCGTCCTTCCGGATTTGGGACATGTACCTTCTTGAAAAGGCCGGAGGTGGGAGGAGGTTCTTCATCCCAAAATCGTCCATGACTTATGATCCAGCCTCGCAAGACTTGTTGGCCCTGGTCCAGCGACACAGCCTGCCTCTACAAAACATCGAGCATCTACGCATCGATTCACCATTTTACGAGTGCTTTCCCGATTTTATAATCGGGGGATGTGCATCGAAATATCAAACAGTGCCGCTCCCTGTACCGGGTGAAGAGAGGCTGGGATATCCGTCAAGGTTCAAGCCCGAGTCACTGTCGAAGCTGCAAGGCCGAGTGAACGCTTTGTTGGAGGAAGGCAATTTCCAGCCTGAGTTCGGCTGAACTTGAAAAGTCGTTCGTTCACAGTCTCATGCTTGCCAATACCACGTCATCGAGTAGCGAGGCGGGCAGGGCAGTTGACCTTTCGAGGTCCAAAATTTTGGGGGTACTTGACAGCCTATGGGCCGTGCTGTATGGGGCACTTCCCTATTGAAAAACTCCGGGCGGTACAAAATGCGTACCTCGTGCAGATTCTAAATGACCCTTTTCCCACCTTTTCGCATTTTGGAAGACACAAATTGCCAATCGAAAGGAAGGGCCCAAAAGAAGAGCCTGCCTTTGGGTTGGGAAAACGTTTGGTGCTGAGTCAGGAGTCAAATGCACCGAGCGACAGGGTGGGGGTTTGTTTCAAATTGCCCATCACTGTACAGTAGGCTCTCGCGAGGTCGTATTCCGCCCTGGAGACAGTACCTGACCGACTGATTTCTGACGATTACTCCGTCCGGCGGGAGTATGAATTCAGGCAACCAACAAGGATTGTCGGCGTCGAAACACACCGTCCGTCTCCGCAATAATGCGAGGCGAAAAGCCTGAAACAGGTTCGCCAACCGATCCTTCGTCGGCGGAGTCGCCTTGGAAAAGTAACCCGGTCGCAGTTCTCCCCAATCGTTGACAGGCTGTGTCTGGAAAAAGGTCTTCGGAGGACACAAGTCGATTGATCAATCTTGTTCGACCAAGTGTCGGTTAGTACGAGGACGAGGCTGAACAAATACCAGGCAACGGGCAGAGGCAAGGGGTCATGTTCGGGATATCTCTAATCTTGAGCATTCATTCCCACCGGACCATACACTCCGTGTACTCTGTGTTTCGATGAAACAACATTTACTCCATAGTTGGCAGGGCTACTGATGGTCGCTGTAATGATTTGTTCACCCCGTACGTTGGAAGCGAATTTGGAGGGGGTATCAAATCTGATTCTTTTTGAAAAGTTCTTTTGTATTTGAAGGATCGAAATTTCAGATAGATTCTTCGATCATGTCTTGTACTTATCCCTCTCGGAATAGGGATACTCGACCTATACGGAGTACGTTTCCAAAGATATATCGTCTGGCCTCGAGCCAAAAATGAACGAAGCGACCGTCAAAATTTCCTCGGTCGTTTACGAATTGAGTACGTACTCGGTGTGGCGTACGGAACCTTGTCCTTCTTTTTTTTCCTTGGTCCAATTCGAGAATAATGGCTTCATCCCAACGGCACGTCGTCTCTCGAGTACATTTGTACGACGTACATCTTAAACATTCCCCGGTCATGTTCACAACCCTTTGATCACCACAGGATGGATCGATGGATGTCGAATGAATGTGTACCTCGTACGGAACTGCTCGACCTTGATATTTTTGCCTTTTTATCCTTGCAAAAAGGCCCTTCTTTTCAAAAGTTGGCTGGCTCGTGACAGTTTGTCGACTTCTCACCGACGGGACCGGAGAACCTCCCAAAGACCTCGAACTCCAGTGATTAATGATCGGATTTTAGAGGCCTTGGAGGAAATGACGATGTATGCATGATGCACGACGAAGTTTCCCTCCTCTTCTCTCCTGGTTCTGTTTTCCGACAAATTGATCCATTGTTGTGTTGATATCGCGCTAGTATGATGTATCTTGCTTGTCTGGATTCTTTTATTTTTCTTTTTTTTTGGGTCAACCGAGAACGTTCATGTCGTGGGGTACAAATTGATTTCGTCGTCAATGACAGAGTATCAGTGTCAAAAGTTGTGATGTGAGATGTGAAAATCGTGCAAAGACAGCAAGGTAGAGAGAGAGAGAGAGAGAGAAAATAGTGTAGATGAATCAAAACCCCCATTCATTCAGTTGCTGCCATCATACCAGTCCAGACAAAACAACCACCAGACTTGTCGTGACGAAATTAAACGACAACGACCACATCACCGAACTCGATCGACCCGATCGGCCGGACGCGGCATCGGAAGATTGACTAGTGGACAGACCATTTCCACTGGATGAGCCACCACCGGACACACTATCATCGACCACCTTGAGACAAGACATGTACGCCTTTGCGTTTGATGAAGCACTGGTAGATCCAGTGGTATAAAAAACACTGACGACTGGAGTGATGGAGTAGAAGAACGGTGCGTGGTCACTCGAAACCTCCTCGGATGAAACGGTCTGTGACTCGATCAGTGCCACGTTGTAATTTTTGCCCCCCAAGGTAGGATGACATTCCGAACCTTGTGCTGTCGTCGTCGTCGTCGTCGTCTGTGGTGGTGATAATGGAGCGTTTGGGCCGGTCAGATCTACGACAACTCCTGTTAGTCTTGAGTGTTCCGAAATTCACCATGCACACGTAGAGACCACCAGAGACGTCACAGGTTCAGTTGATATGGTGACATACCTTTTGCGACGACACTCCCCCACGTGACGGTCGCCAACGACCTACAACTTTGAGGTGGATTTCTCTCGAGTGTGTCTTGTAGTTTTGAACAAGCGTCGTCGCCTTCTTTCCCCCCTTGCATCGAGGTCTGGATCTGCTTCTCGGCCTGGTCTAGCAAGTCACTCGCGCAGGCGTCACCGAGGGCCGCGCCGCACGTCATGCTCCCGTACTCGGTGCCGTTCAGGGATATGCTCCGGGCTATCCCCTCGAAGAAGAGTGCGCATCCCGCAAAGGCGCTCGTACCGCTCAGGTCCAGCGTGGGAGGGTACCCGAGGTAAAAGTTCTTGGTGAACTGAGTATCCGAGGCTGACGACGAGGAAGAGGAAGACAAGGCGCCGACCGTCCAGGTCAACTCGACCGATTGGGAGTTTGAGTCGGACCGAGACGAGGGAGGCAAGGTGGCGTTGAACGTGGTGGCACCCAGGAAAATGTTGGTGGCGTTGCCGACCGTGCACCCCGTGTCGGACGAACAACCTGGGATCGAGGTACATCCCACCAGGGTGTGATCGGATGGTTGTGACTGGGCGGTCGAGAATGACACCGAAGAGGAGAGGGTGACGACGAGGACGAAGAAGCTCCTGAGGAGGAGTGGTGATGATGATGATGATGATGATCTCGTCGGGGACGTCATTGATCCCAACCGTGTGGTATGCATATTGTTTGTCGTCGTTTGTGCGTCAGGGGAAAAAAAGAAGTCGATGTAGGCTTCAAAGTTCTTTCTTGTTCGAACCGCCGTGCAACAGCACACCTTTGGAAACCCACGTCGATGATGCACACGAGACAACGACAACAAACAAAAAGGGTGGAGGCAAGGCAGAAGTAGAGAGAGCGAGGAGGAGAGCGTGTCGATAGAAAGGAAGTGTGTATGTCAAGTCGTCGACATGCATACCCTGTACAGCAGGTAGTATTGTAAAGCGCCCTCATCCACCTTTGATCCGTTCCACCCACATTCGATAAGGCCAAAGGCAACTCAGTAAAGAATGCCAGAATTTAAAATAGTATCACGAATCTCTTCGCTTGTTTTCTCTATTGACGCAAGATGAACCGGTTGGGCTCGACCCTGCACCAGTCCAATCCATTCATTGCTTAAGCACCTTGGGTATCTCTCGCCCAAGGGGGAAAAATGGAGCTCGGATACTCTTACCGTGTGGTCTCATGATGGACATCCAATTGAACTGAAAAGAAAAAAGAAGGGCGGCTGTCGATGAAAGGGCAAAAAATACCTTTCCCATAGGCAAAGCTGTATGAATCGATGGTACTGTATTATTAGTAGCAAAAAAAAGAAAGGCCGCCAATGCATGTAATTGCAGTAGCGTCGAGTCGGTAAACGCCTGGACTTTTTCATGGTCGACCAATTCGCATGCGAATAACGGTCAACTGGGCCTATCGATATGGATGACGGAGGTGGATTGGACTCTAGAAGACCACCACAACAGAAAGAACAACAAGGGTCACTGAATTGGTAGGGTTCTTTCTGGATGTCCATTTGCTCGCTTGACAAGCGCCCAGCTGAGGAGAGAACTAAAAAAAAGAAACTAAAGATAACCATCGACGTGCGTTTGGCTCATCTACAATACTGACTTCACTTTACCGAGCGCTTAGAGAGGATCCGTTCGTTTCTACGCGGGCCAATCCTCGCGCAATGCTCGCTGCACCTCGACCTGCACGTGAGAAAGATGAAACACTTCCGAACACTCCCTACAAGCACTCGTACCTCCGGGGTGGGATGTGGGATGTGGGACAACGGGAGCAAAAAGACCCTGGCTGGAACGGACTAGTGAGTCGTGTGCTATACAGAGTAGAATCAATGGTGACAGGAATTATGCCTCGGCGGTTCGCCTTTTGAAGTCAACCTCCAGATAAATAGACACAAACACAGACACAGAATACGAATACATCAATTTGCTGATAATGCTGCACACTCGCTCAGGATGCTAACCTCTAAAGCTAGACAAACAAGGGCTGCTGTCCCCATTGCTGACCACCAAAGTGAAACCTCATGGCTATTGGAAAATCCGTACCATGAAGGTAGTAAAGTCGATACCAAGAAGAAAAAGCCTGGTTTCGTCTTGCTTACCCACACTTCCGTTTTGAAACTCCACGCTTGCTTGAAGATTCTCTTTCGATAATGAAAAATGATGCTGTAATCGACTATTCTCCTTCCAGACCAAAAACCCAGATGATTCCCATGCCAATCCGTGCGGCTTTTGAGTCGTGTCAAGACACCCTATTGAATCATCACCAATGCTTCACGCCCCAATTAAATACTTGTACTACCGTCCCATCAGCATATATGTCGTTCTCTTCATTGAGTCATTGTCACGTCTTGATCGACGTTCTCTGTCGGTGCTTGCTCCCGAGGTTCGACTGGGAGCTCTGTACTTGAATCCATCGGCGTTACCGGAGTCATCACGACACGCTCCATCATTTCAGGGGGCAACAATGGCAGTTCAGTTGGATGGTCCGTATCGATCCGAGGAATCTCAGGCCCGAGTTGCTGAGCGGCATCTGCCTCGGCCAGGGCTTGTAACATGGCTTCTCTGTGTGCTTCCTCTCTTAACCGGGATCTCTCGCGACTCCGTGCCGCTCTACTAGTACGGCCACCTGAATCTGTCTGACTAGGTGGTGTCGATGCATAACTCCGTGGTGGAACTAGCAAGTTGCCTAGTCTTGATCGACTATTGACACGCGACACTTGAGGGCTATTGGACCTTGATGCATGTCGACTACCAGAGCGGCTTCCAGGGATTGTCGACATGATCGCTTCGTGGTTGGCATCAAAGGCACTGAAACCCGGTTCAGGTCGGAGGTATGAAACTCGCACGTCGCTAGGGTTTCTGAGAGCTGCTCCAGGCATCGGCCTCCTGGAACCTTCTGATGCGAAAAGGTGTTCGTTGGGGTATCCTTGTTGCGTTCGAGAATCCTCCACACCAAAATAACTCGCTCTTCGATCAGGCGCATAACGGCCACTCCCTATGTCCACTGGTCTTGAGCTGCCTTCACCAAAACCGTGCATCGGCACAGGCGGGGGGCCAAACAAGCCATCAGAGGATTCGAGAGTATGTCGCCTAGACGGTGTCCGCGATGAACTTCTTGGACGGTCGCCATAATGTACAGGGACAAACAGCGGAGATGCTGCCGGACTTCTAGGTCGACGTTCAAAGCCATCTTGCTGGAAAAGATGCGCCGTGTTCATCAGATTAAGGTGAGCCGGGGCGAGGTTTGTGCGATCCTCGTGCCCAAATGCTACTCCTGGTGTCCATGGTCCTACTTGTTCCGAGGGTACGAAAGGCATCTCGATGTGATAGCTCGGAAGCTCGTGCAGGCTCCGAGGACGTTGTTGCCGTGACCGTGGTGTGGTCGTAAAGGGGGCTCCATGACGATGTGGATTCAGAACCGGGTCCATTAATTGGTCGTTTCCGTCAATTGTTCCATCATCCGAAACCGTATCTGCACCAGGACTGTCCACTCCATCGAGGAGACTGTCATCAATAGCCTGACGGCCTTCTCGCTCAATCTCGTCCATAGCCATTCGCAGCAAATAGTCTCGAAGTCGCTGAACACCTTCCCCAGAAAAGACGCAAAAGACATCGCGCTGTGGATGGGTAAACTCGGCCGGGGCGTCTCGACAAAATCGAGTCAAGTCTTCCCGAAGGAAAGCTTGTACACCCGTCAAGGAAAGATGAGTGAGTCGAGGACAATTGTGAAGCAGTGCAGTGATGCCCTATCATCTATTAGCAGATTTCAAGCCGAATTTCGTCTGTAACATACCTTGAGAGTGAGATTGACACAATAACTGAGATGAACCCGTTCAAGGGACACGAACTGCTGAGGGACGCCAAGTTTGCCAGTAGGACTAAACAAAACCGGACCGTGAGCCAGAGCCATGATGCTGGAGTCCGTCAGATTTTGGCACTTGACCAGACCAATTCTGCGTAATTTTGGTAGTTGTGCCAGATGACGGACACTCGCGTCGGTGAGGCGTGAACAACAAGCCAGGTCAATGTACCTGATTCTATTGCAGGCTTTGACCAGCTGGATGACCGCATTGTCGGTCAGGTTGACGCAATGTCCCAGGTGGATGTAGTGCAAGTTTTTGGTCAATTTGCATATAGATGCTACCGCACGATCCGTGATATGCCGGCATTTGGCCAGGACCAAGTTTCGCAACCGTGGTGCTGCTGGAATGATTCTCGCGATTGCATCATCCCGTACATGTTCGCATGCCGTAAGATCCAATATCCTCAGGGCGTCGAATGACAGTCTCGGCGAGAGATTGGTGAAGGCAGAATCGTTGATATCGGTGCAATGCGCCAACCGTAGTTCCCTCAGATGGGACAAATTGGACAAGAGGGCTGTAACAGATTCAGAACTGATAGAATGACAGCCAGCCAAGTCAATTTCCAGGATCGATCGGCAGTTCCTCGCGACTGCAGTGATGGAGGCGTCTGTTGCTCGCACCACGCCATTGAGTTTCAGTCGTTTGAGTTGACGACAATGTTCTGCGATCTCCATCAGAGACTCGTCAGTGATATTTGAACAGTTGGTGATGTTGAGGCCTTGCAGTTTGGCACAGTTCTCAGCCACCACATGCAGCGTCCGGTCCGTCAAAGCATCAATGTCTGTTACATCCAGCGCTTGCAGTTTTTTACTTCCGTCGACGAGTCCGGCCACACCAAAATCGGTCAATTTGGAGCAATTCGTCAGCGTGAGACGTTCAACAGCCTTGCAATTCATAAAAGGCTGAACCGTTCCATCATTGATTTTATCCGCGATTGCTGAAAGATTGAGTCTCTTGACCATCTCATGATATGGGAAATAGCTTCTTTCGCCCTGTCCCAGCGCCGAAACCACGCTTAATAGGTTTGACCATTTGCTGCATAATGGCCTATGCCAAAGAATGCCCACGGAATACAATGCCCAATGGTAAGAAACCAACATGCAGTTTCTTAGGTCGGCCGTACTCGTCAATTTGGCCAGAATGGCCATCAGGATTTCCGGGGGCAGTTTCGAGATCGGTGAAAGGCGATGGATCTGCTCGAGATCAATGTCATCGTCACAGTCTCGAATAGCGGTAACTGCGCCCAGGGAAGATTGAGAATCATTGGGATGAGCCATGAAGTAGTCGGTGTCTTCGTCGTCCCCAGGGCAGGGAGAACTATCCGAACTGTCGGATTCGACGGTGACAGTACTCATATTTCGGGTGTGGAGTGGTGATATTCGAAAACGTATATCGTCTGCCATTGTGGAGTGGTTGGCCGCGCTTGACGGATTGTTCGCGGTAGAGGTTTGATGGGATTATTTGATCAATAAAGAGATGTGTTTTGTCTTGCGGAGATGGCATCCAAGGCCAACGGTTCAGTGAAGAGGATCGAACACAACAATCGACGTGAAGACAGTCATGGCGCGGTAGTCAACACGTGTTTCCTGTGCTTCAAGGTGCAGGTTGCGGACGGTTGGAAGCTTCGGCCAGAACAAGGACGGTCTCGTCGATGCAGCCACAAATCGAACAAGGCGCGGGCTAGAAGAAGCGAGACTTTGAGTTGTTTTGTTTTCGTGGGGGTAACAATACGTGAGGACAAGAGGGCAGGAGAAGAGGGAGGGGGCGGTAGTGACGAGGGAGGCAATCGGCCGTGAGTCGGAGGAGGTTTGTATCGGACAGGAAAGGGAATCTAGAGTTGTCGAAGAGGGAGAACGGTGAGTGTCGTTTAGGATTCGACTGCAGGTAAGTAGAGGATGAGAAATGGTGGAAGATCAGCAGGCGCAAATGCAGTATGAGTCGAGTTGCGCTGGTGTTGTTGGTGGTCGAGGCAGCCTGAGTAATGGAAGGAGGCGCATTGAGAACGAGGGATGCGCAGGTGCCAAGGTCAGTGATATTTACAGTGGTTGTTATGGTTGGCGGGCAGGAGAGAACACGAGGCCCGTGCTATTTATTAATGGCCTTACAGTAGGTAATGTTGGCCACTGCCTAAGGAGTACAATAGCGAGGTTAGTTTGGTCTTCTGTGGGCAGAAAATACAGTAGTAGACGGTACCTAACTTCACCAGGTCTAGGTAAGGTTTAAGGGCTGCTATGGAGACTACTCTTTGGGATCTTGGGGGATGGTTGCGCCTACAGTACATACATTCCAAGCCACCCGCGCTCTGGAAGGGAGTGACGTCCTGAAGCCCGCCACATTATCGAATGTCAATCTTCCGAAATACTACAATCTCGTTTTTGGCCCGAGCCGCAGCCTCTGGAAGGATTGGACTGCGCATCATTTGGCTTGCTATTTTGTCCTCATCTACTCCGTACGCTCTATACACGTACATTCCCCGTACGAGAAGACTCAATTGGTGCCCCCGCGGCCTTCATATTCGAGCGAGATACCGACAGCACTCGCCTGGGCTCTCCAACCGAGGGCTGATGTGGCATCATTGGGAGATCCAAAGCCGCCCAACACCCCTGATCAACCCACAATGCACACGACATAGTTGGACAGGCTATCGAATTAATGGGAAACGGTGAATAAGAATGCAGTCTCCCAACTTCTGTTGTGCATACTGTCCGGATGAAAGATCCCCATTCCCATAAGAAGGTGGATCTGAAAGTGGTCCTTCGTTCAGACCCATTCACCTACATACAGTTGGAAGCCGTTACCACTCCATATAATCCGTAACTACAATAGTATCTAGGTATCGATGCAGTAGTGCGAGGGAGCCCCATAGATTGGGAGATATTGTTCATCGTTGTACTCCGTAGGTGACTCATGTACGAGTGCTCATTGGGCTCTCCGGCAAGCTGATGGCCTGCCTAGACTTGTGATGTTTGTAAGCTGCTCATGTTCTTGCCTACAGGTAGATTACTGCGGTCGAGACTTTGACCGGGGGGTTTCGAGTTGTTGGTCAATGATGCCAGCTCACAATACCACATTGCCACATGTCTGGTAAGCCTTGGACGACGCCACTCCTTCCGGCGGCGACTTTGCCTCGCTAATTAGTACTCCGTACAATATTGTATGAGGATCAATAGTGCTCGCGGTGACTCGTGCCTATCTCGGTGTAATGACGTACTTAACAGGGCATGGACCATTTGGATTTCCACTAGTTGGCGGCGTTGGAAAGGGCCGGATCGCCGACGCAGTGCTCGCTCAACATGAGAAGTGGGCAAATCATAAGATAGCACCATATCATCATTGTAGCACCTTCATGCTCACCGCAGCTCGATCAACCTTGGTGACGGTGGGCGCAGGGAGCGTTGTGCCCATGCTGCCAGGCTTTGTCGAAATCTTCAAGTGACGCCAAACGTCCTACAATAGTCGTACACAACTCTCGACTGCGTGGTGCCGACGAGATCTGTGCGCGTTGACCGTTCAACAGCCAATTCGAGCCAAATGCAGTTAGATCCAAATTGATGAGGTCGATCGACCTGGCAGAGGAACTACTGTAGCAACAGTGGCCGACCAAGTTGCTGAGTCAAGGCTCGTTTTCTAAGGGTACGTAGTTGTACGGTGCAGTGGCAAGCGCATATGCGATATGAAGCTGGGTAAAGCTGGACAAGGCCATCAGAGACTGAGATGATGAAGCCGACCAGTATGATGTCTCTACTCATGCAGAAGACATGGCCTTGTCACTTGAACTGACCTGAGGTGTTTGAATAACGCCGGAAGCCTTCTGCTGTCATGTTCTACAATCGAGATGATTGCCATTTTCGGGCCTTAACACCAATCGGCTTGGAATGTCGCATTGGTTAGGGAGCGACAGTGTGGTAAGACAACAACAGATGGGAAGAGTTCTCGGAAGACAATCTATTACCGAGAGCGTCTTCTTATTGATCAAGAATATCCCACAGCCATCTCGACCACTTGCACAACGCTGGAACTGCCGATCGAGCCGTCTTGTGTTCATAACTCGTGTCTTTTCCTAACTGTTCGAACCGAGTTCACAGAATCTGCAGTCTAGTTCCAGATCGAAAAGAGCTCGTTTCGTGTATCCCAGTCATCCCTTCTTCATCATGTACTGAGAGATTGAAGGCAGAATATTGTCATTCTGAAGGCACCACTATGACCGTTGGATGTGAATATTCTTAATCAGTTTTTCAAGATGAAAGTACTTCAACCACAAGGCAAGGAAGGAGGACAATACCTCCATCAAAGCTCGTGGACCCGTTGCCCGGAGAATATGATTCGAAACCCAGATCATGACACCCATCTGACGTGTCTACACCCGCTAGATAACCGCACATCGTCCCAAGATTTGACCCTAGGAAGGATATCGTACATGAAAGCTCATGGAGAGTGAGCCGTAGCTCTACTCTCCTCCCCTTTTTGCGCCCTTCGCCCAGTCTCTTAATATGTTTTTGCGGATTTTTCCGGTACTCGTCTTTGGAAGCTCAGGTACAATCTCGACCTCGCGTGGAACCATGAATCTACTGATACCAGGATGATTTCGTGACCATTGGATCACATCTTCGCCTGTCGTCTTCGAGCCCGGCTTAATCGTGACGAAAGCTTTTGGCCTCTCCCCCCAGTGACTGTCACTCACTGCAGCTACACCACATTCGAGGATGTCAGGATGAGTGACGAGGAGAGATTCCAAAGCAACAGATGAGATATTTTCACCGCCTAAAACATGTTAGAGATCAGAGTCGCACCTGCATTTGAACTCAACTCACCCGAAATGATAATGTCTTTGGCTCTGTCAAGAATCTGGATGGCACCATCCTCATGCCAAACAGCTAAATCACCTGAATGTAAGACACCATCTTGGAACAGCTTCCTGGTTGCCGCTTCGTCCTTGTAATATCCTCTGGCGCAAATATTGCCGATGAAGACAATTTCACCAATTTCTTTGCCATTCTTTTCGACATCAACGACAGTGCCTTCAGGAACCTCGGTCTTGATTACTCGGCAAGGCAGAGATGTGATGAAGCCATGGCCTTGACGGGCCATTTTGGCGTATTTGTCTTTGACGTTAGAGTATTTGTGCCATTCAGGCATGATGTAACCTTTGGTAATTGGTCCGTATGTCTCCGTCATGCCATACACATGCACTGGTTGAAGATTCAAATTGGTCATCTGCTCGAACAGATGTGCTGTAGGTGGACTAGCCGCTACAGTGACGCGCACTGGCTTTGGAAGGGGCGCTGCATTGGGATCGGCGCAAAGCAGGGTGTTGACGGTTGGGGCAGCGCAATAATGGGTGATGCCTTCATCTTTCAGTAGCCTCCATATTTCGGGGTAATCGATCTTTCGGAGACAATAGTGTGTCCCTCTCGCCGCGGTCACAGCCCATGGGAATGTCCAGCCCATAGCGTGGAACATGGGTAACGTCCAGAGATATTTGCAGCGCTCTCCGTCATGATAGGAGAGGCCCGACTCGATGACATTGCCCAGTGCCCCCAGATAGCAACCACGGTGGGTGTATTCAACACCCTTGGGCCTAGCGGTCGTTCCAGATGTATAAGCCAACGCATTGACTGAGAGTTCGTCTGGAGCATGTGCCTCCAACCCATCCCATCCGTGAGCACCCAGCTCTTGGTCATATCGGAGCCCTTCCAGCACGGCTTCATCGAATGGCCCACATAATTGTCCTTCAACCGCGTCCGTGTCTGTGTCGATGATTATGGGTACGGTGGGATGTTTCTGCCTGTAATCGTCGAGGAGCTCTACGAATTCGGCGTCGACAAGGATTGCGTCGGCATCAGCATGGTCGAATATGTACGCAATGTCGTCCTTTTTGAGGCGATAGTTGATGGCAATGTTGATCGAACCTGCGCCGCCAATGCCAAATATAGCCTCGAGGAAGGCTGGCGTATTTGTCGCTAGTATTCCCACTCTCTTGTAACCCTTCTTTTTCACGTAGTATGCAAATCCTCTGGCACGATCTGCAAATTCGATATATGTGCGCCGGAGGATCTGGTTGTTCGCTGTCCGATGATAAATGGCTTCTGCGTTGGGCTCAATGGCTGCAGCGCGGGGGAGAAAGAAGCAAGGAGAGAGTGTATGGTTGTTGTACCAAGAGGAGGTCCCGACCTTCCGGTTATCGACCACGAGATTGTCAATGGGCTGACCCTGTGAAGGTGTTGAGGAAGGGAGGAAGTGTCCGACCAAATTGGCCAGGCGGGATTTCGGGGCAGACATGGTGGTTGACAAGCTACAGACACAAGATCATGTCAGGTCTTGGGGGAACTGCTGTACCAGGTACTCCGTACAAACAATCGATCAGAGGCCACGGCCAGCGAAAGGCATGAGACGGAACTATATAATCTCTCCCTCAAGGTAGAGGAGGAACTTATTAAGCCACACTGACGCCAGTAAGGGCTCGTACCATCACTAAGAGCTCCACGAAGTGCCACCAGAATGCGCACCACCGCTGAACCGAGGCTACTTTTGTCTGGGGAAAAGTTGGGAACAGCGAAATGGAGGGAGTGACAGGGGGTTGAATGGTTCTCCGGGGCCCTAAATAGCCCAGCCAGGCCAGTAATAATCGCAGCTTACAGGGGTAGCCTCGCCCGCCTGATAGGGTGCCTCCGCTCACCTGATCTCCCTTAACTCGGGGTCCGGTCAAAAGGGCGTCTAACTCGTACCTAAATCCAACAAGTCCTTACGGTTCCGATAATTACTCAAATATCTGTCTCGGTCGCAGCTCGGAGACGAACATTGGACTTCACGGACACCATACCGCCAGCGTCGCCTTATGCTTTTGTTTGTTTCAGCACAAGTACGTGTACCTATTGATACTTGATACTACTTGCCTTTCTCTATAAGCCACCGAATATTCCGTCCTTGGACCGGCTGAGGTGAAGCGGAAGAAGAATTCCCCGACCCAGATTGGTCTCTCGAGCCTCTTGAGGTCGACAGATGATGGGCTCAGGGTCGGTCCAGGCTCGGTACCTTGGCAGATCTTCACCAACTTCCTATTATGTCGATATGCACAGACAATTCGACAGAATGTCTTCTTCGAGCTCTTGTTTCTGAAGTCAATGCTACTCGGGCCTTGTTGCAAGATGTTCTTGACTCTACGTCTGACTTCAACTGGGATCCCCTGAACTTTGCATTTACTGCTGCCATTGGCGCCTTGGCCTTGATTATTGCTTGCATCACCGTCTTTCAAAGTCTTCTTGCGGCTGGTCCTGGACGGATCAAGGCAAGTAAACTTGCCATCGGCCCGTATGCAAAGAGCTCAAAATCTCGTTTTGACTACACTGAGCTTTCGGTAAGTTCAAGAACTCACCCAGTCCAGATGTGTTATTTACACCATCAACAGCTACGCACCGTGGTTTACGTCCCTTCGATCAATCACTTCAACAAGATCTATCATGTGGATAAAGACTTCCCCGACCACGCTTGCTGCAGCAAGTTTGACCCATCTGCGGGCAAGAGTGAATCCTCGGCGTCATGGCTCAGGCTCCTTGTCGATTTGGGTCTCTCAGATCCACGCCTATGGACAGTAGTTGCCCGCCAAACTGACATTCTCCCCGCAGACATATCAGCAGCGCCTGCTGCAGGTTCTGTTCGCTTTCTCGCCCATTTGGCCGCCATCGCGGACGACAGTTGCACCATCGAGCAGCATCCCAAAGGTCGTTTCGTCACAGTCATCGGGCAAGCATCGCAGCTCACCTTCCGTGACCATCCCGTGTTAGGATCGGTAGCCATGTACGAGACCTATCGGGAAAGCCCGAGCTATTCCCGACATCAAGCCAAGAAGATAATGGTAGATTATCGACCCGTTACCGGGATTCGTGGCCTACACAGTATTGGAATCATGGAAACAGCTGGTATGCTCAATCTCTCGCACGGGCTTGTGAAATGCCGTCACCAGGGGTATGCCGTTACCGAAGGATTAATTCAACTCAGCTTTGGACTGTTGCTGCAAAGACTAACATCCCATTGCACACACCGACATCTGAACGACAACGCGTCCTCCATTCTCTTTGGCAGTCGAGGTTCATATGGTGCAAGACGAGCCCAAGGCTACATTTACTTTTTGCTCTTCTTCACCTCCGTGCCGTCTCTGGTCCGCGCATTCCCTTCGAGTCTCCTCAAACTCCGACCTGCGATTCGTGACATCAGTCACCTTAGCCCAGCCTGGGCCACTTCGTCGAACGACGTCATATGCGAGATTGGTAATGTTGTTCGCACCTATGGAGGTAAATTCCAAGAGATACCGATGGCGGCCTATACTTTCTACATCCTTGGTGCCCGGGCGCGCCACTATTCGAGCTCCGCATGGCTTGAGGATCCTCCAGGCGCCGGGTGGTGTACCAATAGTATGCACAGTGACTTTCGCAAAGATGAAGATGACCTCGTGTACGGCGAAGAAGTCATACAGCTATGTTTCCAATGGGTCAGCGACATCAACGTGAAGAACAAGAGCTTGAAAGACTTCCTGTCAGAAGATCCCAAATATGTTAAAGAAAAGCTTCTGGCATCTTTGTATCTCGTCGATGACTGGCTCCGACGTCGTAGCAAGAATGACATTATCTGTGCGGCGTTGTTTCTGATACAGAGCACTACAGTGGAACGGGACCTCTCGTCCTCTCAGGCATCATCTGCTACCATTGGCTCAAAATCTTCTCAAGACTTGCAGAATGACGTCGTGGAACGAGGAGATGTATCAAGATTGCGTCCCATGCAGGTCATGTTGACATATCGGGCAGTCCTACTAGGAGCCCTTCTCGAACTTAGTACGGATACCAGCTGTATCGTGGAGGAAAGTTTTCAAGATACAATTGTCAAAATTCTTTAACTTGAAAGGACATCTGCGTCATTTATATCGGAATATGAAACATTTATGCGTATCCTAGCGACCAAAACGTCTCGATGTTCTTTCCAGTATCCTCGTCCACGTATGGAGGCGGCTGGCTTAATGTCACGTTGTTGCCGTGGATCTCAGCAACTTGTCCGGTCAACGAGGGAGTTGACACCAGCTGTTGAACACCCCTGGTCAGCGTCGACATGGGAGTAATGATCATCGGCTTGAAGAGGTCTTTGCTGGGAGCGATGTTGGTTTCTGTGCAGGCTAGGTCAGCTACGCCCATCTCTAGGCTTTGATTGGATGAGACATCGAGACATACCTAGCACAGCCGGGGCCAATGCGTTGATTTGGATCGCGTGCCTCTCGAGAGGTCTCGCTAGCGCTCTCACCAGACCGATCACGCCCGACTTGGACGCGGCGTATATGGGGGCGACGGGGAAAGGATAGATGCCGGCGTTCGAGGCTGTGCAGATGATGGATCCCTTGGATGCAGGCGTCGCGCCGTTCACGGTGGCGTTCTTTCTGATATAATGGATTCCCAGTTTAACGGCTTTTTTGGGGGGGGGCCGAGTCAGTACAAATCGTACTTGTCAGGAGCATGAGATAGACACTCACTGTAGATGGTGCCGGTCAGATTGACGTCCAGTGTCGGAAGGGTTGGCTTGGAAGGAGCCTCTTCGTCGAGGATGAGTGATTGTTCCCTGGAAATTCCGGCATTGGCCATGACCACGTCAATCCGGCCCTGGTCTCTGTAGATCTGCTCGAATGCCGCCGCCAACTCCTCCCACTTGGAAATGTCGACCTTGTGGAATGAGAAGCTTGCTCCGGAGAATTCCGTGGAGAGATTCTTGATGATGTTGGTGCCGTCCGTGTTCACGTCCAGGACGGAAATGTGAGCCCCTTGTTCGGCAAACGAACGAGTGATTCCCAGGCCGATTCCACTCGCACCACCTACATATGCAACGATACATGTTAGGAGGTTTTTGTTATGTATCTCTGGACGTGCGAGTAGTATATGGGACGTTGATTAAATGTAAACGTACCTGTCACTACGATACTCTTTCTCTGGGCCATCTTTGTTTGATAAATGAAGGGGAACGGTTGAGTGGGACACTCGATTGTTAGAGGATGTAAGGATGTCGGTGATGTATCAAGAGACTGGGAAAGAGATCGTCTGAAGGTTGGAGATGGATCAAGTCACCACTACACGAGACTCCCTTGCTTTCCCTTTATGCCTGTTCAGTACCCAAAAAACAGATCGTTGGACAATTCTCTCGACCTTTTCGGCTGCTCGACCGTGAAAATGAATCAAACAACGACAACGGACAAAGTGACCGGAATTGCCCCACGTTCTCGAACCCATTTCTTGAACCCATCAAGTCAACCATCTCCGTCTCAGTTCATCCATCCGCATCGTGGGGCAAAGAACCCACAGCCTCGCCTTTTTTCCCCATCATCTTTCGACCGAGTACCAATCACCAAATGGATTTCTTGATTGCCGAGAGACTTTGCGGAAAAGTTATGTACAAGTACTCCGTAACTAGGGGGGAATCCCCCTCATCGGAAGTCGTACCGCTGTTCTTGTGTTGAAACCACATGTCGGTTGTCGTGGTCTGGAACAGACAAAGGCGAGAACGGTACTCTCTGCGGGAGGAAATAATTCTGGGCCTGTTCTCTTTTCGTATCCACATTATTTGGTCTTCTTTCAGTGGGGGATGTGCCGATGGAACTGAACTGATGAGTGAGGTTGATTCCGTTGTTGTCTGTACTCCGTACTCCTTACGAAAATCATCACTTCCATATTATTTTGTGAACACTTTTCTGTCGTCGTCGACTCCTTGAGGGAAGGAAAAAAACCGTACACAACCATTTTCTAGAGTCCCAAGGAAGACAAGCTCAAGAGTAGTAAATCGAATCAACAAAGAAAAAGACTCTTAAGAGAATCACCTTGACCCACGGTTTCTCTCGTACACTTGATTTCACCATGGCAGAAATCATCATTGATCAAGCTACACTCGACTCCGTCAAGGGTAAAGTCGTGGTGTTGGCAGGTATGTTGGACTCATTTCGACCGTTTTATCTTTTCGGATTTTACAGTTCAAGTCTTGGTCGCCTCTAACATGGTCGTCTCCATAGGTGGTGCCCAAGGTATCGGTGCAGCGACCGTCAGTCAATTGTATGAATCAGGAGCGCACGTCTTTTTCGGAGATTGGGATGACAAGAGAGGTTCCAAACTCGCCGAGGATTTGACGACCACGTCGTCATCATCATCATCGTCATCTGGCAGTGTCACCTACTTGAAAGTCAACGTTCGAGAGTATCAGTCATTGCTGTCACTCTTTGATACTGCCTACGACAAACACGGTCAAGTCGACATGGCCATCTGTTGTGCAGCAGTCACAGAGAGACCTGGATATTGGGAACCAAACAAGTTGAACCTGGAGAGTGTGAGGGAGGTACGTTTAGGAGTCCCTAGTTCTTTCGAGCCGTATTTCCTTGCCCTGAGACTGACAACAAAAAGACCCCCACAGGCATCACGGACGTGATTGACATCAACCTGAACGGTACCTTATATTTCGCCCGTCTCGCCGTCGCTTACCTGAAAGAGAAACACAACTTTGACACCCAAAACACGACGGCCGATAACATCAAGTCGTCCAAATGCATCACTCTGGTGGCTTCGGTCGCTGGGTTCAAGGAGTCTCCCGGTTTGTTTGCATACTCGGCCGCCAAACACGGAGTGGTGGGGTTGATGAGGGCTTTGAGAGGTTTCATTTCTCAACTGTACGGGTTGAGAGTTAATGCCATCTGTACGATTTTGCCTGTCCTTGGGTCTTTCTCATTCTTTTTGAATCCTTTTTCGTTGACTCACATGTCGTGTCTAGGTCCTTGGGCGACTGATACCCAACTCCTCTCTGGCGTCCGTGACGAGTGGACAAAGAATAATATGCCAATGAACACCCCTAGTGACGTGGCCAAGTACATTATCCAAGTCACCGCCGATCAGACGGCCCACGGAAAGGCATTGTTTGTGACCGGTGGAAATGCGGTCGACATCGAAGAAGGTCTCAACAGGACTGAACCTCAGTGGCTAGGGGAGAAGAACAGTCGTGAATTGAATGAGGGTCAAGTCATTTTGGGATTGGTAAGTCGACAAAAATTCACATTCTTTGCATCTTCGAAAGAACGATGGAATTGCGATCGTTGTCCGGTTGTTCAAACACTACGAGCATCTCCTCTCTGTGTGTTTGTGTGAGTGTATGACTTTGTGCTGACGTTGTGTGTGCGTCTAGGGTATGGATTGGGGTCATAACAAATGAACACGGTCATCATGCAGGAGAATCTCCGCTTGTCATACAAATAGCAAAAAGACGAAGGTGCCGCTCTTGTATACTCGGATCCTGGTACATTTCGAGCGCAATGGGCGTGTCGAAAATGGATTCTCGTACAGATTCAGCCAACATCAAGTGCCGTGGGAGACTGGGAAGGGATTCAGAATGGGACGAGATCAACAAGGGAGAAGCGAAAAAGCCCACCGTCTTTGGCGAAAACATCGTTTCCCAATACAGATCGGTCATGATTTTTTCGACTTTTGTCTATCTGCATAGGTATGACTTCCCATCGGGGTTCTATATACCGTCTAAGCATCCACCTGATATCGCTATGGTTGTTCGTATGTACATTCGTGGAGAGAAATTCCGAATTTTCCATCTAAAACGAAACGCCGTTGCTAAGACATGTCAAGCATCACACATCACAAATCACAAATCACAATCACTTTTCTTCGTCTCTCTTCGCCTCTTCAATCGTAACGGGCGTCGGGGGCTCACTCGCCTCTCCGTCTCTCTTACCTTGTAACACCGCGACAGGCACCTGCTCACCTGCCTCTTCGTCCCTCATCGGCTCCGCCACGGCGATAGGCATCGGCCCACTCGTGGCCTCGGCGAGGTTCTTCTTCCTCACGTTCCATCCCCCCTTCCACCCGATCCAGCCGGGCTCGTAGGGTCCCCTGGCGAGACAGATCAAAAAGGTCAGGCCTATAAAGGCCACGCTCAGGCTGCCGCTCGCGACCCAGCCTCCCCTCTCGTACAGTTTCGCCCCCGCGCTCGTGCCCGTCAACTGGCCCGTGAAGGTGAGGAGCATGAAGGCGGTGTTGACGCGGTTCCTCGCGTTGGGTTCGATGGCGGAGATGGCGGCGCGGTTGGCGACCTGGGTGATTTGCAGGCCCATGTCGAGCGTGAAAGCCTGGATGATGGGCCCCGCGACGCTGTGCTCGCCCGAGTACGTGCCGACGACGATGCCCGTGAGGTTCGCCGTCAGGCCCACGAGGCAACTGAACATGGGCGCGAACGGCTGGATGATGTACTTGGCGTACAACGGACCCAACCCGATACCGGCGATGCCGATCAAACCAAAAAGTCCAATCACGACGGGCGTGTAGTGGTAAGGGGCGTCGGCGAGGAGGAAAGTCAACGTGGTCCAGTAGGACGTGAAGCAGGCCGAGACGCAGTAAGACACCAAACCTGCTTGGACGAGCACGGCATGTTTCTTGTACAGTAATATAATCCCGCCGATCATCTTGAAGTAGTTGAGCCCGTCCGGGTTGGAGGACGGGTAGTCGGGCATGAAGAGCCAGAGAGCCCCAAAGACACAGTACTGCAGGGCCAGCGCAACCCAGTATATGTTGCGCCACGATGTGTAGTTGGTCACGACTCCGGAAAGGATGCGCGCCGTCACGATCCCCAACAGGTTGCCCGACGTGACTATGCTAAGAGCCATGGCCCGTTGCGTGGGCGGTGCGAGCTCGGCCACGAGTGGGAGCATGACTTGTGGGATGACGGTGGTGATGGCGCAGATGTAACTTATTGCGCAAAACGCGGCGAAGGAATGCGTTAGACATAGTCCGATCCTGTGGAACGAGGCAGAGACTCGTGTCAGTATTCTCTGACCGTTGTTGTTACTGTTGTATGTTTGGGGGAAGATTTGTGGAGGGATCTCGGAGATAGGGGAAGCTTCGGGTACGTAGTAAGACGAGCAATAGTCGAGTAAGAGTAAAACCAGTACAGACAGAACTTACCACAACGTTGCTGTGAAAAACACAAGACCCAACGTCAATGGTCGTCGTTTCAGCAAGTCACCCAGTGGACAGACAAACAGTAAACCCGTCGCGTAACCGGCTTGCATCAACGTCGGGATCCGCGACACCGTGACATAACTCACGTCGAAATCGCGAGCCAGGACGTTCAGGATGGGATGATTGTAGTAGAGGTTGCCGACGGTGAAGGCACCGGCGAAGGCGAAGAGAACATTATGCCAGACTGAAAAGGTCGGTGGTTCGTCTGGATTCCACCGACACCATGTTGGGGTGTAAGTGAGGACGGCGACGATTTTGTCCCGCGACGACTTGTTCTGTGACGATGGAGCTTTTGTTATTATTTCGTCGTCGTTGTGGCTAGCAGCAGGAGACCATGCTGGTTGCTCGATGGCCGTCTTCTCGTTCACCATAACCCTCCCCCAAAGATAATAATTGCCAATGTATTGTGGCCTTCTTTGGGCGGAAAATATTTGTTTAGATTTGGTGGAAAAAAGGTTGAGGGGAAAACAACAAGTCGATTTATCAAGTATGGAGTATTCGGATTTCTAAAGGATAGTCAATTGTTCGAGCCGGTGGAAGTCGGTATACCGGTTATCGGGGGCAATCTAAGGGACCTGGCATGGAGTCAATAACAGGAGTCGATAAGGGCCCTGTTGGTGAATCTTCAGGTCCCACCGTTTGGAGGTTGTTGATTAATATCCTTATCGTCCTCCAGACATGAAAGCTGCGAAATGACTTTGAAGATGATTCCGTATTGTGAAAGTTTTGCTTAATACCTGATCTATAAGACCATCATTACTTCACTTTGGAGATCCATTTTGTCGTGAAACCAGAGCAAACATTGCGATTGTTGAAACTGTCCCACATTATGCCCGTGGCCGATGCTTAGATACTGTACCTGAAGCATTATAGCTAAACTGGAGTGCCGATTTAGCCGAAGATTTGGGGGCTGTTCACGCTCTTGAACTCGTTCTGTTCTCATTATCTCTAACTTACCTCGTGGTCATTGCCATATTGCCGCAAGAACATCGATTTTCATGATCCATACATCTACCTAGGTAGGTAAGTCAGTCTCTTTTGATATGCAGAAGTAACGTTGAGTCAAGTTGGACAATGTCGCACCCGCTGCTTTTGCGCAGTTTAGACAACCCAGTAATAGATGAGCTTAGGGTTGGCAAGGGCGGCATTGCCCTGTTTCCCGAACTGGCCCGAGCCGCGAACATTCAACTGTCAGGTTGGAAATTCTTCGCATGCACGAGGCCAATAACAAAACTTGCATACAGTAGAGCCAGGACGTCTGACACATAGGATGGGTGAGTCCAGGTCAACTAGTGTAATAAAATAACCCCGAGTACAGCGTTGCCACGCACTTGGAGAATTACGCATAGCATTGTTCCGACTTCCATATCTGAGCAAGCAGCAATGACTCATATCGATTGATATATTGCAGCTGCATCAAGAGAATCCAGATTCGATACTTCCAACTTCGCATACCATCATGGACACAAGTGGAAAGGACAAGACGCTCGTGCGGGAAGGATATAATCAGATTGCGCAAACTTACTTGCAATGGACATCAGATATCGACAAAGACTCGTTACGCGTAAAGTTCCTTGAGAAGCTCCTCTCCTACATCAAAAACCCGTCCACTGGCAATGTACTTGAACTGGGATGTGGTGCGGGTATACCGTCAACAAAAATCCTGGCAGAACGATGTCAAGAAGTCTTCGCTGTCGACATCTCCGACGCTCAAATCGACATGGCCAAAGCGAATGTGGTAAAGGACAACGTCAAGTTTATCCGAGAAGATATGACCGAGCTCAAATTTGGTGATGGGTCCCTCTCTGCTGTCGCGGCATTCTACTCCATACTCCATTTGCCCCGGGAGGAGCAGGTCAAGATGTTCAAGCAAATATGGAATTGGCTGGAGCCCGGAGGCTTCCTGTTGTGCAATCTTGGTGTTGAGGACAACCCTGGTAAAACAGAGGATTGGCTCGGTACGCGCATGTATTGGAGCGGTTTTGATGAGAAGACCAATACTGCGAACATAAAGGACGCTGGCTTCACCATTGTCGAATCCGAGATCCTATCAGATAACGAAGACGGAAGGTTGGTGCCATTCCAGTGGGTGATAGCAACCAAGAGTGGTTCCGATACAGGACCAACCTGAGAATTTACTGTGATATATGTCCAACACGTCGATGTACACAACTCATCTGCATGCTTCAAGTTGTTGCTTGCTGACTCAGCAGGAAATCCATCTACATATCTACTTCACCAAAGGCGTGTTTTTCTTGCCACCAAATACTTCTGCGAGCACTGACTTCACGCATTTGACCACCTTCCCCAGTGAGAAATTGTTGATGAGATTACGGAGTGTGTGTACGCGAAAGAATGATTCCGGCCACCCACCGCTATCTTTTAGCCTCGCAGATCACCGCGGAGTCGTTTGAACCTTGGAACTACTCATATCAGGAGGATTTACTGACGGCTGCAGGATCGTCCTACTTACCACATGCGTCTGATCTTCGGATTTGCAAGACCCATAGCAAGACTTTTTAAGCTATCACCTTCTAAACATGGCTAATCACTCCAAGAAATGCTCGTCACCATTCCAGACTTTTCACGATAAGCTGCTTTTGTCTACTCGTCGGGGAGGACATCTCCCTCTGGAACGTCAAAGGCTATGGCAAAAACTACTTCCGAGACACCAAGACCTTCGATACCTCGTACGGGGGTTGTCAAGCTTGACATTGGTGACATGGTTTTGTAACCGGGGTGGTTGCCGCCGTTATCGCCCATCGCTATCTGATGACGAGGTATGTTCTCCTGCGAGTACAAATACGCGACCTGTCGTCTCACCTTCTGAACTCGTCCGCTGCATTCTTCCTTCACGGCTTGCTCGCCAGTTCTTGCGTTGTGTTGGTCTTTGACATGTCAACCGTTTCTACAATCCTGCCCGAAGGGGCCGGGTATGGTGTCGTCGTAGGTATCGGGTTCTTCTTCACGGCTGTCATGTGTGGGATATCAATGCTGCAGGTACGTCGACGGTTGCACTGCCCATATATCCGTTCAATTGCCTAACTCGAGCAGAATAAATATACCAATTTCTCCACAAAGACCAGCGAGGAGTTTAACACAGCGAGCAGGAGTATCAAGCCTGGTCTTATAGCCGCAGGTATTGTGTCGGCATGGACTTGGGCAGCGACACTACTGCAAAGTAGCACCGTTGCATATACCTATGGTGTTGCAGGGCCTTTCTGGGTAGGGCACAATGGTCACGCTGCATGATATTTCCTACTAACGTCGTACAGTATGCCGCTGGAGCCACGGTGCAAATATTGATGTTCTCCATTCTCGCCTGCAAGACCAAAATGAACGCTCCGCGATGCCATACATTTCTCGAAATCATCCAAGTGAGGTACGGTACCTTGGCTCACTGTGTCTTCATCTTCTTTGCCTTGGTCACCAATATCCTTGTTGGTTCTCAACTCTTGCTCGGAGGCTCTGCGGTCGTCACAACACTCACCGGCATGAACGTATATGCCGCCATATTTTTGATCCCGTTGGGTGTGGTGGCTTATGTACTGATGGGTGGGCTTCGCGCGACATTCCTCTGTAAGTTCCATCTCGCCCGACTTTGTGTACGACCTCTACTGATTTCTTGTAGGTGATTACTCACACACGCTCATCTTGATGGTCATTATTCTATACTTCATGTTCCAGGTGTATGTAGAAAACAGCCTCATCGGCTCTCCCACCGAGATGTTCAAGCTCTTGAAAAAGGCAGCGAATCTTCGACCGGTCGACGGCAACCAGGACGGCTCATATTTGACGTTGAAGTCCAACAATGCTCTCATCTTCGGTGTCATCCAGCTTTGTTCCGGCAGCGGTACCGTGTTCCTCGACCAGGCGTACTGGCAGAGAGCAATTGCTTCTCGTCCCACCACTGCTGTGCGAGCATACATCCTGGGCGGCCTGGCTTGGTTCGCCATTCCATTTGGCTTCGCCACCACATTGGGTCTCGCCGCGGTTGCATTGACGGACAACCCTGCGTTTCCCACCTATCCTGATCCCCCCACGTCGGACCAAATATCTGCCGGTCTCGCCGCGGCGTTCTCTTCCAGTACCCTCCTCGGCAAGAATGGTGCCGTGGCGCTTTTGATCACTCTCTTCATGGCGGTCACTTCGTGTGCATCCGCAGAACTCATTGCCGTCTCGTCGATTCTCACCTTCGACATCTACAAGACTTACATCAAGCCGGCGGCGACTCCTCAGAACCTGATCTTCATGGCCCACGTCAACGTGGCTGTCTTCGGGCTGACCATGGCCATTTTCGCCATCATCTGGCACGTCATCGGCATCGATCTGGGCTGGTTGTTCTTGGTCATGGGCCTGTTGATAGGTGGCGCCGTATTCCCGGCCGCGTTCGCCATCACGTGGAAGAAACAAAGCCGAGCGGGAGCCATCGCTGGTGCATTGTCCGGTCTCGCCGCGGGTCTGACAGCGTGGCTCGCGGAAGCGCAGGTGTACTATGGCGAGTTGACACTGGCCTCCACGGGATCCAACTATGCCACGCTCTCCGGGAACCTCGCAGCCGTCATGACCGGCCTGATCGTCTCGGTCGTCGTGTCCCTGATAAAACCCGACGATTACGACTGGAGCACGACCCGGGCCATCAACATCGAACACGCTTCCTTCCACGGGGGCGTCGAGCCGAAGGATGCTCATACTCGCGATGTTGTGACGGAAAAGACAGGTACGACTGGGGCTGATGGCAAACAAGCCACTAAGCAATCCAGCGACGACGAATCCCCCCCGCCTGCTTCTCCCGTCATTGAACCCGCCACGACCGACGAGAAATACATCTCCTCCAGCCGAGACCGCCGAGACTCGATCCGCATCGACGAGGAACGTCAAATGTCCCTCGACGCCGCGCTAGAAGAGGACCCCAGCCGGTTGAGGTCCGCCTTCAAACTCGCCTGCTGGGCGTCGTTCGTCCTCCCGTTCATCATGGACTTTTTGATCCCCATACCAATGTTCCTGAGTCACTATGTGTTTTCGGTACACTTTTTCACCGCCTGGGTGGTGATTAGTTTCATCTGGGTGTTTAGTTCGGCCTTTATCTCTGTCGCATTGCCGATATGGGAGACCAGAACCTTTTTCAAACAATTGTCCACCGAGATTATGGCGGATATCAGGGGAAGGAGATGAAGTTGAAGACGTTTGGAAGTTTTTGTCGACGCGTCAAAGTCTGAGACTAGTTGCTAGTATCGCTGTGGGTGAAGGGGAAAGAAGAAAGCAAGTCATGGCTTCAAAGGAGGATCGTTGACGACAGAGAAATTCCTAGGGTGGTAGAATATGCTGCTGGGATAGAATAGATGGGAACCATAGATGATAAAACTATTACCTACCTAGTATATACTATTAGATCACTCGGTAGCACTCCGTGTAGTATTACACAATCACTTCCGACATGGTCCATCGTATAGTACACGATGTCCTGGGATCTTTCCGTCTTTGAAAGGGACCTGTAAAGCCACAGTTTCGATGTCACTAGGGTAAAAGGTCAAATGTCCAGGTGATCGAGTATCGGTGTCGACGGCGATGATGAGTGGATTGACTCCAGTTACGACATACAATGATTCTGTTGGTTCTTTGTAGTTGTTGTCGTTGTCGTCGTCGCTTCGGTTCTCTTGTTTTTCTTGTGGTGGTGAGGGTTGTGACGTGAGAGTCGAGGTCGGAGGATACGTCTTGACATGAGCTAGACCAGAGAGCAAGACGAAGAACCTAACTAGTTGAAACATTCGGGGACATGGTGAGAAATGAACAATGAGACAAGAAAGAAAAAGGATCGAGGACAAAGTTTTGAAGTGTCAAAGTCTATACTCACATTGGACTAGGCGGTCGATGCCAACCTTCACCACCACGAGGAGGCAGCACGACATAAGTCGCGTTGGCAGTGTCTCCCAAACTCAACGCCTGCCCGGTGGTGGGATAAGAGACGAATGAAGGGGACAGTTCCCAACATTGTACGATGGCGTTGAAAGGAGGATCGGATTCGTTGAGGACGGCCGATAGGTGTAATTTCTTCCCCTTTTCCTTCTCGTCGCTGTGACCCAGACCATGATCACGTCCATATTCATATCCTACATCATCTTCAAGAACCCTTTGATGTTTAGACACTCCGGCTTCGTTTGGGTTTTGGGGAATGTTGAAACCTTCAGTTGTAGCGAAGATCGAAACAAAAAGTGATATGACTGAGATGGCGTGAGAAATACGCATGGTATATTCGAGACCGGAATCACAAATTTTGAAAGCAGTTTTTAATTCGAACGAGGCCAGGAATTCTTCTTCTTTACAAAAAGAACTCTGTGACCACCCAACGGCTTTTCTTATTAGTCGACGTTGGACCATGGAAATTGTTTCGACGTTGATATCCGTCTCGCTATTACTACTCGTATTTGCCGCCCGACCACAAATACCAGATTTGTATTGTCCATGACGCCGCTTTTTGTTTCTCCCGTTATATCAACAAGTGCCGAGGATCGAAACGTAACAAACGGGGGGGCTGCTGGGGGACGGACTCATCACGAAGCCAGAGAAAAAGGAAACAAGCTCTTCGACCAACAAAGTACAGTACAAGCTATTGATGTGTCTCGGACTTTTTCAAAAGCTTCGTCCCTAGTTTTGGGTCTGATCGAAGCCGTCTCTCCTTTGAATGAACGTGGCCCGCCGTTCATAACGTTTTCACCGACAGGCAAAAGTCGGATTGACAACTGTTGAGGATCTCTCTATGCTGCCGGCCCTGGAGTTCTCTTTTGATATGGTTGTTCCGCCCGAAAAGGGTGGACATCCTTCGCCAGTACTTACTTCCTCGGCCTTTATTTGGTATTCCTATCGCCCCGAGCTTTGATCATCATTGAAAAACAGCTCGCAGAGGCATATGCAGGAAGGCAGGAAGGGACAAGTACACTGTAGGTAGTGAGGTGGCCGAAAACGGGAACTCCAGCCGCTTCGTAGGCAGTACAACTAAACACCAGGTGTCGAGCATCGTATCATCACCGAGGAACAAGCAAGGGTACAAAGTACGAGTCGTAGCAGCACAAGATCCCATGATCTACAAGATCGATCGACCGACATGGATTCACTTTCTTGTAGCTTGGTAACTTGTATTACTCTGGTCGATCTTGTCGATCTTGTCGATCAAATGAAAGCACAAATGGAACGACTCTCGTATAAGAATAATTTTCAATGTTTTTTCTCATTCTCTCTCTATCTTCAACTTTTCGACTTTTTCAATCGCCTTCATCAGCCCCGGCAATAGCACCCATAGATCCGCCCTCATTGTGTCTAAAGCCAATCGACTGCGCTACATACATGTTACTTAACTCTCGCGAGCCCAGAAAACCTTGATGCATGTAGCCGCCATGTACAAGAACAGACAATACTCTGCCTTGAGTGTAATAATCAATAGAAGAACAATCGGTGACAAACCAATAGGTTGGTCTTTTCAAAAGAGTGTGTATCGTCACTTCGCTGTGCTGAAGTCGCAAGTCATAAGATCATCTAGAATCACAGATCCCGATGAAAGGAATGTCGTAAATATCGTAGTAGTAATCATAGCAATGTCGTTGAACCGAGAGCTGGAATTCGCTTTTTTAGGCCGGTAACCCTTGAGTTCCATAGTATGTCATCGCTTTTCCCGGCCAAGAGGTCGCCCTTTTTCTATATTCTCGATAACGCCAAAAATCCGTGGCTCTGGTGCCGTGTATCCGAAGAAATGTGTACAAGGAGGAAATGTTTTTTGTACATCAGAAGTCTTCGGGACTATACAGTTTATTTGTGAAATATGTCGATTAGGACTTTGATGAGGTTGCGTCTTTGTGGTGAAGGAGGTGGGCTGTGTGAGTAGCTTCCGCGGCCTGGACCCGTCAAGGCTCGAGGACGAGCAACCGACATGGGCCCCACTATCTCGCCGTCGCCAATCTCGGGGAATTTGCCGCTCTTGTCGTCAATGATAGGAAGGACCACCTTGCTGGCTGGGGTTTCCAGAACCACACTGGATGTCGTAGAATCCTGCATCTCAGAATCGCCGTCACTGAGACGAGCAAAGATGGGCGCGAGGGCAGTTCTCATGAGATCGTGCTGTCTCCTCCAAGTTTCATCAATAGATGCCCATTTTTCCTCGGTCAGTCTGAAGACCTTGGACGTCGACCCATAGTGTTCTGCAGTGCGGGCGACATGCTTTGCATAGTTGGTGCGAGCATGGTCCCAATTGCTGCGATACTCCGTATACGAGTCAAGATCAATGGCCTCGGGGGTATATGGTTCGGGATAAATGTTGAAATTGGCATGGCCGAGTCGGACCAGCCATGGGTCCGGGTCCGAGAGTTGCAAAGTTGGAATGTCTGGAATGATGCTACCCGTCATTGTGTTGGTACGAGAACGGTTGTGCATTGACACCATTGATGGTCGGGTAGACAGAGGAGGGGAGGGCAAACACGATTGGGACATGTCCATGGAAGTGCGAGAGCTCATGATAGCCGAGGTTGGTGCAATGGAGGGAGACTGCAGAGGAGACTGGATGGGTTCTTCCTTTTTGCACATCTCGAGGAGCACAGGGGGTAATAATGGCGTAGTGGCTTGTCGCTGCTCCTCTTCTCCTTCCTCGTGCTTCTGCTCAATGGGCGCTGGCTCGGTAGGTAGCTCGAGCGAGGTTTGACTAGTAAGCGCCGTGCCCGGAGAAGTAGGAAGGAGACTCTCATGCTTGGAAATTGCACTTGACGCCGGACTGAGGATTTGCGATGAATTGAGTGAGCCGGAGCGAGAAGCTGGATTCTGAGGATGTGTGATGATCGACAACCGCGGTTCAACCGCCGATCTGTTTTTCCAACGTCTTTTCATCGATCCCAGTTTGCTGCTCAAACGATGTGGATTGGTGGTGGGAAGGGGAGCAGGTTGTCCCATGGATCGGCGTCGTTTGGGCGACTGGGAATTCTGAGCAGTCCAGGGCCAGTCATCGTCGTCTCTCAAGGTCCATTCAGGTTGTACAGGAGAGCCTGGTGGAGACGGCCTGGAATGGAAATCTGAGAATGCTTTTTCGTAGTCTGGAAAATCGTAGGCTCTGCTGTCGTTGACCAGAGTATAGCCCTCAAACTCGTCTTTTTCAGGCGGCTCCTCTGTCACATCTTCCAATCTCTTGGGTCCTACATACATGTCGAGCGATTCTCGAGGTATCGGCGAGGAAGTGATCGAAGACGCCGAGCCAGAAGACGAATGTCCCTTTGAGAACGTGGACGCGGTGGGCGAGGAGAGATGTACTGAAGAGGTGGCCGATCGAACAACGGCTAGCGCAGTCGCGTCTGCAGTATATGGGGTTGAATCGTCCATGTTCATCTTTCGGGGCAGATCGTATTGTATTATTCTTAGGTTTGTAACTTGAGCGAACGTCCGGGGTGTGAATTAACCCCAAGGTGAATGCAAGAATCGAAGGACTGGGAGGGGTCGGCCCAGAACAGTCACAGGCGGACAGCAGCGCGCATGATGGCTGGTGACATTTCTAGAGACGATGGTGGTGAATGGTGTATACGGGGAATGTTTGTACGTGTTCTTTGAGGCCCAAGCTGGGTGGACATGGACGACAGGCCAACAGCTGGTCCTAGATTGTGCGGTCTCTAGCTGAGGCCAGTCAGGGAAGAAACTGGGTGTAGGTCAGTGTTCCATCAGTTGAGCGCCATGTGTACGAGTAAGAAAGGGAGACAAGTGAAGAAGCGACTAGGTCTAGCCAGATAGAAAAGAAACTGGCAAGGTGCGAGAGAAGTGATGGTGTTGATGGGGTCTGAGTGGCTCAGAAGTGAAAACTTGTGTGCCGTGGATCTGGTTGAGGATTCTTTTTGCCCATGGACAAGCCCCATTAGTGCCACTGGCCCCGGTAGCCCAAAAGCGCCTAGAGCGATAGAGGCTAGACACGCCCCCAAGCCTATCCGTAGTGCGTATAGCGCCTATGGTTACACCAGTTGCGACTGTACATGTAAGCTATCCCCCCGGCATCCCTGCACCGCTCATCCCCACCGACTTCACCTCGCCCACCTCGCTCCCGCGTACCAACCACATCTCAGACCTCCGGTGCTACCCTGGTGTATTCCGTCCTACAGACACCATGGGCCTTCTTCCTGCATGGCCCTCCCCGCGAGCCGATAGTCACACATTTAGTCCGGACGAGAGCCCGAACACTACGGAGAAACCAGAGCGCCACTCACAGCACGACACCACACTTGCTTTTCCTCTTCTCGCTGTCCTCCGAAGACGACCGCTTGTCCATTGCTCGAATGCCCCATCACACGATCTTGTAATGGTGGATCTATGACCCTGACTCGAAGAGAAAATGGTTAACCTCACTATCTGGTCTCAAACCAGTTGGCTCTCATAGCCGAAACACACATCATTGAGTATGAAAGAGAGCCGGCTAGTTTTACGACATGTCTGGCAGCTATGCGAGCCACTCCCTGCGCTTTGAGACACCAGGGTGCCTGCAAGGGTATGGTCCATTATGACCGTGGTGGCTTGAAGTTCTGGCACTGCTGACCCATGTCAAGTGGCTGCCATGACTGCCGGCATAGCGGTGCACACCAGCAAAAGCAAAGCGATGCCATCCTGTATACAGTATTTGCGATGCCTACTCTACTCGTACGGCGGCTTATCGCATCTGCCCTATTCTGCTTTCCAAGTCGCCCCTGCTCTCTAGCCTCTTAGTGGCAGACCATCAACCTCGCGGCGTGTTCCACTGCAGACCAAAAACCTAACGGTACAGATTTGCAATCCGGAGTTGCTATCGTATCTCAATGCTCTAAAGCGAGCCAATGTCGTGCCACGGCACTTGTGCCATCTTCCGTGCCGCTTTGATGCTTCCGCCCGGCCATCAGAGTGCTAGCCTTAATGCAAGGAACCCAAGCGAACCTGTCAAGTCTCTGCAGGAACGGTATCAAATATACTGTGGCGGGTTTCAAGCGATTCTACCATTTTTCGACCTGGCTGATGTTACTTTTTGCCAACCGCCTCGGTATTCCTGTCCAGGAGCATGGATGAGTGATCTTGGGTGGGATTTTAGCGAAGAAAGCTGTACACAAAGTCATCTGTACAACGAGTGAAAGAAGAAAATTCGCGCTGTGCTCTAGTGGCTCTACCTGGTGAATCTGCCATTAATATTATCTTCTTGACTACGAACGAGCGTATCCCGCGCGGAAAAAGGCTGTTTGACTACCTGTCATTTTGGGTGTCAATGCCAAAACATCGTTCGATATTCAATACGGATCTCGTAAAGGAGAATACCAGGTGGCTTGGGAGCGTTGGCGTCAGCTTTATAACGTCACTGTCATGGGTGATCTGCATGGCTTGTTTGGCCCTTCCAGACAAGACCTTTGATGCTGTTTGGTCTGTTCGACTTCCAACATACATTATTTACCTCGCTAAACACATTTGCAAGGCTTGTCGTGGAAATTGTATCCATTCCCACACGAGTACGGAGTACTATTTTGTTCAGTCATCTGGCTTGGTCTCAGCAGACCACACCCACAATTTGCCAATATTCGCACTGCCAATCCGCAACGGCCGCCATCAAGCAAACTCGATGGATCTTTGTGCCCAGCAGAGCTGTCGAAATGGTATCTACATATGTCACTACTTGCTGTGCTCTTTTAGAACTAATGATTCCCTCGGCAAGCCTCAACTTTGTTCTTATCTACAATAGGTCTCTTATCGTCGGAGACTTCGCGCGGCCTCGGGAAAGACGCTACAAGTCGATAGTTCTGAAGGCCGAAAGCCTAAAGACTTCTCCACCAACCTACTCTTCTCATCCATTCTGTCCCTACATTATGTGTTGACCGGAGAAATATGCTACAAGTCCTCCCTTCGAGATGAGACTACTGCATGAATGACCGCATCATCAGCAATGCAAGAGACAAAAGGTGTGGTTTCAATATCCTCCCTCCATGGGCGACGATGGCCAATTGCAGTGCCCGGAACAATGTACCCTCGTTCCCATACCCGCCCGTGGCAGTGCTCGAGTATGAGCATGGTTTTAAAAACGCCAATGGCAACCGCACTTGGCTCATATGAATTATGCCTCGACGCAGGAACAATGTGAAATGGTGGCTTGTACAAGCTTCCGAGGATTCAGTAAACGACAGGGTCTACTGCACTCAAGCTTGTGAATCTCTCTCCACGTTTTGCTTCGAGCAAGCTCAGACTATCGACGACTACGGACTTTAAGCCGAACGTTCCCGGTTTAGTGACACTTGATCGATATACTTTCTCTGGGTCGAGCAACGTGGGCGCCCTGTACCGTGCTTATCTTTACCAAGAAAGGCAGGCCAACGGCTCGGGGGCATGCGTACCCCAGCGTCCTGTAATGGGTTGAGGCAGTGTTTCGTAGTATCAAGCTACTGACACAACGTTCATGCTTTTCCATCGTCGTCAAGAGGTACCGAGTGTACTGTGGCAAGATCACTATGACCAGGTATTTCATCGTGTGCTTTGTTTTACAACATTTTTTTCTTTCTGCTTCTTTTGATGTCATTCAGGGTTCGTGCATTGACCAAGGACAGAGCTTTGGGCAGCCCTGTGCGGCCACATGGTACCAACAAAACCCGAATGTCTGGTTCTGATCGTGTGCACACACCACTAGACCGTCATTGCTCGGAATCGAAAATTTTCAGTTTTGACACACTCTCGACCCCTTAAGAATTTGAGTTGTATGGGGTCTTTTCTTTTCGCTTGACGTGATTTCCGACAATGATGACGGTATTTGGGACGACGAGCAACCAGCAAAACATACATTTTTGTGATTGGAGCGCAGATTGGTTTTTATTTTGTTCTAGTTCTGGCGAAAATACATTTGGTACGGATTTTCTCGCCAAATAGCCCCATAGTCCACCGCATCAAGTATGTAGCTACATACCTAGGTCTTGAGAAGGACGAGTACCCCAACAACTAGTGCAGTATTAAATAATCTTACTGTCTGTTGCATTCCTACGCACATGTACGGCAATGTTGGTTTTGATTTGATTTTTCGGGTTGACCATTGGCCATTTTTAAATTCCAAGCGTGGTGCGGCTCGCCATCGCCCGGGGATTACTGTGGGTGTGTGTGCGTGCTGTTGTTTTTTTTTGGCCCGGGGGGCTTTTTTTCCCCTTGTCTACACGAGTCATGTACATGGTTATCGAAATATCGAGGTCTGGGAAGCAGTGGTGGGTGCGCCAAGTCTCTTGCGGTGCTGCGGAGGGAGGCAAGTTCTTTGTGGTTGGATACTACCTGACCTACAATATGCGGTTGCAGTAGAGTAATAGTACGTGAGCTACGTCCAGGTGCCTAGGTAGATGGGTAGGCGTACAAACAAGTACGTAGTATCATCTATGGAGTACTCGTCACACCAACACACACATACACCAGCGATGGTCGTTGTACCTGTCCACTTGCGCCACATGCTTGTCCACGTGTACCGTTTTAAATGCTACTTACCTGGGTACATAGGTAGGCAGTGACCAGGGGAGGGGCAAAGGGGAGGGGAGGAGTTTGAGGAGTCCCGGCACCAAATTTCATATTGGTCGAATCAGCTCCATCCGACTGTTGTGAGACATTCGACCACGCAGAAACACCAAACTCGCAAAGTGCAGCAGCGATGGGGGTCCCCTCCCCTCGGCTTTGTGGTGGTTTTGGGGGAATGGTCCGAAACAGATTAGGGTCCCCGGGTGTGCACGGACGACAGACAAGTGGTCCATCTGTTATGGTATGTGGCATACGCTGATGGTTGGCACCTAAGTAGACCGTCAAGACGTGTCTAGAGAGGGGAGGTGTTTTTTTTTGTGGTTTGGATCAAGGGAGATGCCGATGTCGGGTTGTTCAACTTGGTTGATGATATGGACTTATCAGAGTGCCGATCGGGAGACAGGTACTTTGGGTATGTACAGGTCATTGGTGAAGTCATACGCAGTAATAAAGGATACTGTTATGTGATGAATGGATTGATGTCGACAAGAGGCAGTGATTTTGCACTTGGTGAGGTGCAGAAAATTCCAGACATCGCCACCGTTGTTTCCTGTCATGTAGTCCTCTCATCCGAGCATCTTGTTCTGAAACGTAGTCGTATTGCCGTGGAATGACTTTCATCAAGCAATCTTTTCACCTGGCCGCCGGAACCTCTTTCAATCCTGCCGAGTAGATTTGGTAATGGCAGAATCGTTCTGAAACAGCGTAGCAAGGCTCATATCAAGTACAGTTATGAGGTCAAGGATGCGAGATTAAAGAGTGAGTGACGACTGTTGTTTGGGAGGAATTGATGGAGGTGTCATGTCGAGTACTTCGATACCCAGTATCGTGACCAGACCTTCTTCTGCTCTTCGCTACCTTTGAACTGTTAGGTTTGAGGTCAGCACACGTGTCTCAACGTAAATTTCCTGGGGCATTCGCTTTACGTACCTCAAAATCAACCTCGTAAATCTCCTCGAAACCTTCCTTTAATGTAGGCTCCTGGAACCTCTGCACAAATGATTTGAATGCAATTCCAGGAAGCATGTCACGTTTTTCGGGGTTCATCTAGTGTTTGGACAACAATCATTAGGCATTTAGTGAATACAACGCTTGCCAGAATGGACGGACACGTGTTGCTCGAAGAAGATGTTGCTGTATGCCAAGGCAGGAGAAATATACACATACCGTATCTGGATTCAATGCTCTCACGGCAGCGTTGTGCTCTGCTAGACGAGATGAAGCCGTGAAGCGCACACATCGTATGGGGATATTGTACTCGTGGGCAAGATTTATCCAGTGTTTTCGGGTCTCGACATCGGCGTTGGTGTTATCTGTCATTTGTACGCAGTTTTAGCGAGAAATCCATCATGATAGAAATAGCATGAGCTTGCGGTCTGGTGTGACATGCACCGGCGGGGCATGCAGCCTGTGTCACGACTGTCCCTCGAATGACGGAACACAGGACATATGCACGTACGTTTGGCATGCCGGGGAAAGGGAGGGCGGGGAAATGGAACATGATGCAGGCCTGATATTGTGCAGCATATGACACGACCGGGCGGCCGATTCGGGGAAGAGGCATGACAGAGGGCAAGATTTAGGCCTGGTCCATCTTCGAACGGTGACACAGCTGATAGGATGGATGGGTGCGATATTAATGTCGACCAAGACCGAGGAACGTGTCTCGATCAAATACCGATGGTACGTACCTACAGCCACCGACATCCCTGCACCCAACAGGTCTCTTGCTTTCTTTATGCACTTGTCGCGCTGTGTGGAAAAAAAAGTCTCAGCCTGAAACCAGTCTTCAAATGACAAGGGGGCAATGGCGTCGACCCAATGATGATTAACACACCCCGGCATATCGAACAGGGTATACGAGCACATACCGTTTTGAGGATGTCTTGGTTGACCCTTTCAAATCCTAGTGGTTGTAGCACGTCCCAGTAGAAGGTGCTCTTGCCAGCTCCAGGTGAGCCGCAGAAGATGACCAATTCTTGAGTGCCCTGTTTGGTGAAAGGAGAGGTCACAAAGTCCTTTTTCGTGCCATTGGCAGAAGATGCGTCATCGAGAAATTTTGCTGGCTCAAAGACGTGTTCGTACTCTTCGGTCGATTCATTACGGAAGAATTCTTCAGGAGTCCAGAATTTGATGCCAATGTTTGCCGCAAGGTCTCTTGAAGGTAGACGTTAGTTACCTATGATTCCCATTCTCATATTGACGCCGACATACCTGTCTGAGGTAGCATGGTCTTTCCGACGCTTATCAGTCTTTTCACGTCCCGCAGCATCGCCGACATAGAACGAGCTTGCCATATCAACTGCGCCCTCTGCCAACAGTTCGTAGTCTTCGAGCAGTTCCTGCCACATCCCTACTCTTGGCTTTCGATATCTATCTTGGTCTGTCGCAGCATAGATGGTGAGGGGAAAGTCTAGCTGTCGAAAGATTGACCCAATTTGTTGCTTGAGGTTGTTGAGGCTAGCAGTGTCTCTCTGCAGGGACTTCGAGTTATCCTTGAGGCTGATGTTCCCTTGGTTGCTGATGACCACCACAAGATAACCATCTTCATACAGTTGCTTCAAGCGTCCGGGCACAGATGAATCCCACCATTTCCAACTGGTAGCTGAACGAGCCCACTTACTCCCGGTATTTGGGACGATGATGGTATCGTCTAGGTCGAACGCCGCAACCTTGACAGGAAGTGTTCTCGTCTGTGGCGGCACGTTTGGTACATTATATCGGCCCACAATCAAACTATTGTTGACAGTCCGCCAAATCAATTTCTCTGGTTCTTTTTGAGATGTCGGCTTGAAAAAGCTCGCTACAGCTTTGTCTGTGACCCGTTAGCAGTCTGAAATGAATGTTTCTCAAGCCTCCATACTGGTCGTGGTTGACTCGACCTTGCGTTTGACTGGAGGAGGCGAGATCGAAGCATTTGTGGGAGGAGCTGATCGTTTCATTTTGATGAATCTGGGGCGATACGGTCCAATACCGCGAAGATCACGAGGGTGGTAGGACCTGGACAGAAAGCCCAGTGAGCGCAGACATACAGACAAAGCCAGGGTCAACAATGACTCAAGCAGGTATGAGTACTGCTCGTCAGCATTTGTAAGAGACTTACAAAGATCCAGGCGTAAGTGGTTGCAGAAATTAATGAGAATCTGGGGTTGAACGCGGTGCACGCGTTTCGAGACACTAAATTGATGGTCACGTGAGAATGATGAGTCAGCGACTAAGATGGGCCTCAGACGAGTGTCTATCTACGCCCCGTCACAGGCACACGAGAGTCCAAGGCCAATCTATCGCCTGGTGTCAAGTCTACTGCCTGCTTCAATGCTTCCTTGTGTGCCAACAACTGCCTGGTGCCCCTCTCTTTGAGTTCAGGGTTGTTACCATCAATCACCTCAATGCTGGCCTGCATCAGGTAACCACCAGATTTATCGACATCTGTCAGCTTCGAAATATCCGAGAGAAATGCCGTGTCATTAACTGCATTCTCTGAAGTCGTTTGAGGGAGCATGACCACTTTGTGCACGGAAAGGGTAGTGTCCAGATCGTAAAAGTTCGAGCCCACCACCAGATATCGGGAGACATAACTTAGAAATGGTCAGCGTCAAATAATCGTCACGAGGATCGGGGCACATACTCATAGCCAAAAGCATTCAGAAACTGCATGAAGTTTCCATGTTCGAAAGGTACTCTGTGAATTAGTCTGGTGCTGACTGCCTGCTTTCCTGGTTCCGGGGTGTCTTTGAACTCGAATGTCCATTTGATTTCAGATTCGCTAGGGGTAGAGTTACCATTCTCACTAGCTGTCATGGTCACATCGCCATCAGGTTGACTCTTGGTAGCGTCCAGCGTTACCTCACCGACCAATTGAACATAGTAGAGGCTCCCATTGAGCATAGCCCTGATCTTCTGGACCTCTGGTTGCATAATGCCCTGCGATCCACCAGCCGATGGGATGTTATCCAGCCCCGGTGGTGAACGAGCTTTGAAAACCAAGTGGATCTCTACAACACTCTGTGGCTGCATGCGTGTATAGCCAGCAAGCTGTTGGAGTACTTGGTGGTAAGCATCTTTGCTGACCTGGCCATATAGGGCAAATTCGTGCATGATACCGTATTTTTGCCCGAGATTGGAGATTTAGTTCGTGGCTGTTGTCGGTGGGCGGCACATCAATGATCTCTAGTGTGTCCGAGTGTCTCGACTCGGGTCGGCAAGTGAGACTTAGGTATCAAGCTTGTCGTGTGAGTGACAGGCTGCATCATCTGCGTGGTGTGTAGGCGAAGATCTCTGGTTACGGGGTGTCCCCTCGCGGGGCAGGATCTGTGTGAAACAAAGTCGAAGATCATGCACAGTTGCTAATATTTCAGGCGAAAGGAGTGTTGCTTGTCAGGTGTAATTTGGCACTCGTCTTATCAGTCACGCCACCAGGCTGTGGTCAAGTGTTGATACTGTATATCTGATACGCGTAATGCAAGGGCCGAAGGAAATTGTCGTCCGAGGTACTTGGATGCCGTATGAGGAAAATTGTTCAAAGTGTGGTACAGCCTGCGGCTACGGTACCTGGGTGTGTGCGGCTCGAACTCATCCGCATCGCCGAAGTCCGGACAGCAGCTCCAACTCCAGTTCCAGCTGTTCATTGATTTTGTTCGCTCACAGCTTCCTCTCTTGCGCCTTTCAACACGCTTATTAGTATCCGTGCCTTACTACTGCAAAGCCCGATGCCTCAGTGAATTTGGAGCAAAACAAAACCGCCCGCCCGGCCACACAATTTTAATATTCCTACACGATCTCCCGGAACCCAAGACACAACGTCCTCTTCGTCCCTTTCTCTCCTCACACTTCGTTCGGACTCGCGCTTAAAAGCTCCACCATCCGCGCCAATCGAGCCCACTTGCGCAGAAGGCACATGTAGATATCTGCGCGAGGGAGAGACAAGACATTCTGCATAGGTAGCAAGCTTGCTTTCTCAGCAGATCTACACCCACACATTCTATAGCTTTTACCTCAACATTCAGGCGCTCGAAGAGTACTACGAAGCACCTATAGCCCGTACAAGAACACCGGATACACATATTAATACACGGCCGCACGATACCTTTCGTCACCACACCACCCTCTTTGCCAACCTCACAATATGCGGCCGTCCCTCATGCTTCGAGCAACCCAGCACAGGGTCCCCTTGATCAAATTCCTTGGGAAGCGGACACCACCAAGTAAGGAACCCAGATGGCAGGCTTCACTGGACCAGATGCTGACCTGTCATAGAATCAGTAGACCACACTCCCCACGCCCATCCAGCTTCGCCAACCCATTCTCTACCCGATAGTTTCGTTCAGTATCGATCCAAAGCTCAACAACACGGTCCTCTGCGTAGAGATAACGGTAATGCGCCCATTTCCTCGACTTCTTTTGCTGCTGCATCCTCGAGCTCAATGACATACGGTGCTATAGGTGGGGCGCCGGGCGGATCACTGGGCTCTGTCCAGCCCAAAGATGGAGAATACTTTGACAGAAATGACCTGCCCAAGAGATTCTGGCGAACCCAATGGTCAGAAGAGGAGATTGAGGCAGTGAGCAGCGGCGGAGCAAGCATGTTTGCTTGAAATTTATGAGACAGAATTGAACCCCGACAAGACCTTGAATCGGCACTCTCAGGTCGATATCAGGAGATCGTTTGGTCGCCAGGAATGAGCGTGACTGAAATGATTTCACAGGACTACCGAATCGTCGCCCTAGCTCGACCGGCTGACACTTCAAAGGCTGTCTTGCAGACTCTCACCAGCTCATTGCTTCTGCCCAGTGCTGTGGCTGGCCGGTGTCGTCGTAGCAGGGACGGGAAGACCTCTTGACAAAGTTCTGACATCACCGGCGTCGCAGCAACAGTGGGAGGCCCTTTTCAATCAGACTGTACATACAAGCGAGTGGGTTGGAGAGATGAGTGTTAAACCCGTTGGACTATTCCCTCTCCTCGCCCACCTTCCCTTCGCCTTCTTTGAACATTGGCCTAGAAATCTACACTCATACAAATCATGCAAGCGCCGTGTGATCAGTATGTTACATATAGCAAGACCAGTATTTACACCTCAAACCTAGCATGCATCTCCGGAGATCCTCAATTTCGTGGCTCTTCCGCGCGTGATATTGATATCGTCTCTTCCCAAAATGCCATGGAATCAAAGAAATTGGTGTCATGTTGAACTGTTTGATCATGAGTCGAATCCTCTACAATTTTGTAATATGATTCGATTGTCAATACAGATAGAATGTCGACGGACGCGGTGATATTGGGCAGCCAATACAGAGTACCCAGGTACATATTATAGTACAGCTGTCCCTGGACTAAACCATATTGGGATAGCGCCCTCGCTCTTTCCCAAAGTTGGCGTGTCCTAAGAACAACCAGAATTATAGGGGGTCGCAGTCACAGTCGTTCACCTTCATCCGGGGAAATTTCACATCACAGTCTTGTTTGCAATTGTCTTTATTTTCTTTCGCATTGCATCACAGCTTGTTCTTTTCTCCCCTCTCCAATTTCTCTTGCTACTCAGATAACCATGGCTATGGCAATGCCGCAGGGTAATGCCATCTTTCCTCGCTCGCATGTCGGCTTTGATTCAATCACCCAACAGATAGAGAAGAAGTTGCTCAAAAGAGGTAAACACCAAGGATCGCTCCTCGCCTCTACTTTCCAACTGACTCAAGCATGCAGGGTTCCAATTCAATGTCATCTGTGTTGGACAATCTGGTCTCGGAAAGTCGACCCTCATCAACACCATCTTCGCTTCCCATCTGCTGGAATCAAAAGGACGTTTGCGACCAGATGAGCCGATTCGTTCCACCACTGAAATTCAAACCGTCTCCCATGGTGAGTAGCTTTCTGAGCAAAATGCCACCGAGATAACCACTAATGGACATGGCAGTGATCGAAGAGAACGGCGTCCGCCTGCGACTGAACATTGTTGATACCCCTGGCTACGGAGATCTGGTGAACAATGATCGATGCTGGGACCCGATTGTCAAATACATCAAGGACCAACACAGCGCCTATCTCAGAAAGGAGCTCACTGCGCAAAGAGAGAGATACATTCAAGATACCCGAGTGCACTGCTGCTTGTTTTTCATCCAACCATCTGGTCATGCTCTCAAGCCAATTGACATTGTTGTCTTGAAGAAGCTGTCAGACGTGGTCAACGTTGTGCCGGTGATCGCAAAAGCCGATTCTCTTACCCTGGAAGAGCGTCGAGCATTCAAAGAGCGCATCAAGGAGGAGTTTGCGTTCCACAACCTCAAGATGTATCCATACGACAATGAGGAGTTGGACGACGAAGAGAGGGCTACCAATGCCACCATCAAGGACATTATCCCATTTGCGATTGTCGGCAGCGAGAAGTCGATCATTGTTAATGGCAAGCAGGTCAGAGGCCGACAAAACAAATGGGGTATCATCAATGTCGAAGACGAGAATCACTGCGAGTTTGTTTATCTTCGAAACTTCCTGACACGAACCCATCTGCAAGATCTGATCGAAACGACAAGCCAGATTCACTACGAGACATTCCGGGCGAAGCAATTGTTGGCTCTCAAGGAAAGCAGCGCAGCAAGCGGCATGGCTGGAAGCAGGCCCATCAGTCCCGCGGCGGATCGCGAGTTGAGCAGAAGCTCCCAGCGCATGACGATGAATGGCTACTGAAGTCTAGTCCTGGGGATTGGAGATATGGGTCGGCGAGATTCTGCACGGTGATTGATGCTTGTTTTGTAATTGGAGCCTCTTCTAATGTAGCGTCTATTGAGAGCGGGATTCTCTTCTTTGAATCTGGGGTATAATTGATCCTCATGATATCTCGATCTATTACTCTACCGAATTTTCCCACTTTTGTTTTCGTAAAGCAAGCCCATGCTGTCTATTGCGCTGTAACCAAAACTTCAAGTCGAACGTTCAAGCAGAAATGCCCTTCATTACCCACTCGTCCAGCTCGTTAAACGTTCGGTCGAGGTCGTCATTGATGATGACCTTGTCATTCTTGCCTTCCTGTTTGCAGTATTCCATCTCATTCTTCGCCTGGGCCAATCTTCTCTGGATGGCATCCTCTGCTGTGTCGCCTCTGCCGCGTAGCCGCTGCTCCAGAATTTCCATGCTGGGAGGCTGAATGAAGCATATCCTAGGATTTAATGTGCTCTTCTTCAGCTGCTTGACACCTTCCATCTCGATGTCAAAAATGCAGATTCTCTTTCCTGACACGGTGGTCCCATCGATACTCTTGCCTTTTCCATCTGCAACATCCTGCACCGCTTTCTTGGATGATCCATAATAGTTGCCCCCAAATTTAGCATGCTCCTCGAAGGCATTTTCCGCAATCATCTTTTCGAAATCCTCCACCGTAGTGAAGTGGTAATGTACGCCATCTTCCTCTCCATTGCGAGGTTTACGGGTAGTGTGGGAGACGCTGAAGCCGAAGAGGTCTGGGTGGTTTTGGAAGAGTCGCTTGATCAAAGTTGACTTTCCCGTGCCTGAAGGGCCTGAGAAGACAATCGGTCGGGAGTTAGAAGGGGCAGGTACCATGTTGACGTTGCGACGTAGGATCAGAGGGAGGGATGAGGGACTAGGTGAGAGGGTGAAGTGGTGTCTCGCTGCTTGGTGGAATAACCGCTGTACCATGCTCTGAATGTCCCCCTTGAGCCCCTCGATACCGACAACAAAATCCTACTCGTAGTGTAAAGAGATGGGAGCGGTGGGGGGAATTCACCAATGACGGGACTGGAACAGATCTGGCTTGGCAGGGGTCGACTTTGCGCGTATCAATCTTACCCTAATCAGCTGCGAGATGCCTCTAATTGATATCGACACCTCCTTTACACTCGTCAGATGGAGGAGCCAGAGGCCTCGAGCGTGTCAAATGCGACACCTACGCAACTGCCGACGATAGAGAATGATGTTCAGGATGAAAATAGAGCAGCCGAGCCCGCGCCAATGAAACCGAAGCGGCATAGAGGTCGCCAGGCAAAGGATCCTTTAGGACAGACCGTTCAGTTCAAATGCAATAAAGTCGAAGATTTAGAAGAACAGCTACGGAACTATCTTGCTAATCCCACTGGTGAACATGCACATACCACTCTGGCGTTCTCGTTTCCGGTCACGACGGCATTTCTCATAGCACTGCGAGAGAAAAAAGGAAACAGGCCTTTGCACGACAAGACCCCCTATTCGTACAGCCATTTCAACAAGACGGCTGTCACGGTCATCGACGCGTTACAGAACATCCAGGACCCCAAAGAACAAATGTTTACTCAGAAAGGCATCTCTAAAACTCTGGTTGACGCGGTCCAGGAGGCCGACGGTTATCATTACAGCTTTCACAACCACTGGATCAGCCGAGAGGACCAAGCAAGCAGGTTTTCTTACTTCTGTAATGACTCGGTCTTGAACAAAGGTCGGGCTGCCAGTGAAGGATTGTCCAAGGTCAAAGCAGGTATTGTAGGGAAGAAACAGGTTTGGGAGTGCGAGGGAGTGCTGGCCATCAAGTTCTCCTTGACGAAGATGAGCCTGGAATTGCACTACAAGCACATCCCACTCCATCCAACGTTTGATGAACGAGCTCCACTGCCTCGAGCCGGCAGTAAACGTCGGAAACTGATGGAAATCTTCCACCCCGAGAAATTAGAGCACCTCAGTCGAGGCCGGCCAAAAACATATCGACCACGTGCAAAAAATGGCCGTCCCCAGGACCAAAATATTCCGGAACCTTTGCCTCAGCCCGCAAACGAGAACGAGACAGCTACAGAAGGTGGACGTGACCACAGCCTGCAACCGCTTTTCGATTTTCTTGGCTCCGCAGAGCAATCAGTTGGTGCTTCCCCTGGGTCGGTCGGCGATCGAGCTGAGCATGATGCTGAAACAACACCAACAACGACAACAACACCTCAAGCCGACAACTGTAATGATGCTGGAATTGTGGCAACCTCTGGAGAAGTAGAGGTAGCTTCGAGCAGTCAAGGCCGATTCCCTGGCATGGTGCCAGGTGTCATGTCCGGTGTCGAGGACATCAACCGGGGTCGCATTTCAGGAGACTCAAATAAAAAGAAAAGGAAGAAAAATGCTCCCGCAAGCGCAAATACGGAGCTAGAAGCGTTGAAAGCGAAATTACTGGAAGCGGAGCAAAAGATCCAGTATCTGGAGGCCGAGAGAAATCGTGCAGCAGCGCCTCTGACCTGGATCAGATCATCTCATTCGCCTTCGACACTTTTCCCGGATTCAGCAGCACCGCCGCCGCCACAGCAACCACAGTATCCGCAGGGGCTGCCTCCTCATTCTCTTCATCAATGGCAATCTCAACCCAATTCCTCTGATTTATCAGCCACACCACAGAGTGATTCTTTTCCACATCGCTCACTGCCACCACAAAATCCAGAGCCCACCGGGCCATCACCTTCTTATGATCCCCCTCCTCCTCCGACTCTTCGGACACATCCAGACAATATCCCGTTTTATGGCTTCGTCCCAGTCATTCGAAATCCGAATGATCCGCCACCTCCACGAAGGCTGGAGCCGAAACTCTTGCCTGCCGGACAACTCCCGATCCAGGGAGAGAGTTCTCCTCCTCAGTTCCACGTGGCGACGCAAACTTCAATGGCAGAACAATCTCGCAGTGGCTAGCGCCGCTCACAAGATGGTTCGTTGGTCATTTTTGCATGCTTGAAGCATCATTGAGTTGTTGGCTGTGCAATACTCGAGATTTGGAAGACTCGGAAGGCCTACACAATTAAATGGCGCACAAACTTTTTCCTTCTTCGTGTAAGATCACTGGTATTCTACACAGATGTATATTTTACCATTATCTCTAAATGCTGTTACGACGGCTTTGGAGAACCATTCCACTATTAGTTTGATCTGCAAAGCTCACTCAGTGTGGTGATGAAGAGGCAAGCTTCGAGACAGATCAACATGTTTTACAAGTCAACCAAGGGATTTTAATCTCTTACATTGTCTCTGGGCGCAACTACCCGCCCTTAAGCAGGCATCCCCCCTCCAACCTGAACACACGACGATGGCAGGTTCTTTTCCTACTCGGCGACTCTTCCGCACCATAGCATTGGCAGTGTACAGGAAGCACAATGCATCTATCGACCGATTGATGCTGTTGATTCCGACGGGAAATGCATTGTGATGGGCGTGGAATCCACTCTTGGATTGGCGAGGATAGTTTCATGGTTCTCCCCGATTTGACATTTCTCTATGTTTTAAATTTTCCATGTAGCCTTTTACGAGATGATGAATCATGGTGATTTGCAAATGTCGGTTAGATGCTAAAATGAATGATGACAACTCGTCCTAGGGCCAGGTTCAAAACATGATCAGAACCTATTCCAACTCAGGAACAGAATGTCCAACCTAGAAAATCAGAATAATTGCTCTTCTTGCTCCTTTTCTTCTGGAAGCATCGGCATTGAAAGTCGTTGGAACAGAAGCAGGTCGGTGCCAACCAGACAAGCCTGCCAAACAGCGCCGCATCGTCGCTGAGTCTCAGAGTTGATTGAACCTATTGCCCATTCCCCCCGATAACCTTTCACACTTACAACACCGGTGGTGCGTCGAAGTTACCCTTCTTGAGTTGCAGTACAGATCGATCCTTCTCGGAAGTGCGAGCAAGTTCTATTCTGCCACTCGAGCGACTCAGCCGCCTCAGGACTCCCTGCAACTGTTCCAGCAGCTGTTCCAAGCCAGCTCGATAATTCAACAAACGACCGAAGGAGAGTGTTCTTTTGGGCCTTCTGGGTGTCGTCTCAGTGTCTGCGCAGCTGCACCTCAGCTTGTTTGAGCTTATCTCGGACCTCCAAAACGGGAAGTTTGATGGTGGTGTTCGAACGGATTTTGCGTACGATGGAAAAGAGCTGGATCGGGTTCATGACTCCTGAAAACCTCGTGTTTCCGCTGTAGTAGCTCGTCGACTTCGTGACGACCTTTCTTGGCGTCGACCTCTGTCTCCAAACTCGCCTGCGAAGCTTGTTCGAGAACGCCTGCACAGTTGCCAATTCCAGCAAGTAGTCCGACGAGCTGGTCGTCAAGCTCGTTTAGTAACATGTCAAGAACATCGCCGATCCGGTGGGTCTCCGTTTCTGAGGATTGCCACCAGTAGGTAGAATCTGCGATGCGTCGTAATTTGAACTCAACATGGCGTACATGGACCATCATTACCTCGAGCAAGCGATTGGTCGTAAGGGGAATCTGATACATACAGCGGCCACTGCCATGGAGCGCTTCGCTCCACTGTGCCATATTCCTAACGAGGCGATCCCTGGACGGGAATTGAGCTTGGCTGAGCTCGATATGACCGTACTGCTCGTTGATAGGAATCGACATGAGCTGGAAAGTACTGGAATGCGGAAGGAGGCTTGCTCAGTCTAGCCCACCATACGCATATTGTCATTGACACAAGCATTCTTGTGAGATAATTTGCATTCCAGTGTTGATCTGTGCAGCAAGCCTAAAATGTAAATAACAATGAGGCCATCAAGACCACACGACCAAGAAGACGCGACAAGAGCTTCGGCCTACCTGGGATGAATAGTGTCGCGGCGACATATCAAAAAAAACATCCTTAGAACTGTTCAATGATACAGGTATACAATAACAACAAATTCAAACATGTTAATATTGGTTGGAAGGACAAAAACAAAAAAGAAATGCCTCCATTCAGAGTCGAACTGAAGACCTCGGCATCACATAATAGTGATTACTAGTGCCGCGCTCTACCAACTGGGCTATAGAGGCCAGAGCTACCATGAATAACCGATGCGGGGACTCGTGGCTAGTTCTTGAGGAAATTGCCAGTTTTTTAACCTAATAAGATGTTTTTGAATCTGCTTGACGTTATTACCTTCTAGTGGCCTTGGCATCTTGGCAATGGGTTCTCGAGCTTCTACGGGTATGGAGGACTTGCTGAGTCTAGTACGGAGTACTTGATCTTACATCGGTCCTCGCCTATTCCTTGTCCTTCTGGAAGATATCTCAACCTTCCGTTCCGTTTCCAATTGATTCGACTACAAAACTTGTATGATTCAACATTTGCGAGTCGCGATTCATCAACCTTCGTCAGTCAGCATCTGCGCTCTTGCCTATCAATTTGTGCCCGATGTGCAGCCTCGAACCCAACACTTGCCACCTGATGCTCCAAGGCTCTGCGTACTATCTTTCCAATTGACAATGGTATCATAAATGCTCTGACTGCTTTGCCGTGTTCTGTCGGGTTAGATCAAGCTTGTAATTGCTGTGATGTGTCCCGGGATCTTAGCCTCCATCGATGCCGTCTTCTCTCGGGACTCGACTCTGAGTTGTGCGACCCATCGTGCTCGTAGGTTCTGGTCCTTGATCTGGGCACATGTTGTCTGAAACACCACTGAGCCGTCTTGTTGAAGAGTGATCTCTTCATCCGAAAAATGGATGGTCACCGGGTTTGGAGACTTGGACACTTCTCTTTGCAGTGGCCTTCCCCCTCTTAATTCAAGACTTTCCTGGTCTTCAGACAGAAAGATCTTGAAAGTGCCTTTTTGGGTCACAGAAACACGCTGTCCATCCCAGATTAGTTTGTTCTCATAGCCATACCGTGCAGCGGGTCCTTTCCGACCTATCTGGACTGCATCAAAGCCATTCGACTTCTTCGTACTGCTGATTTGGTTCCCTATTTTGCGTCTGATAGATTGTGCCAACGAATCACCTCGACTCAAAACACTGACAGGAGACTCGAGCAGGTAGGTCGTCGCCCAACTCAAGAATGCGGGCTTATACTCGTCTAGAATAAGATTTCTGCCGAGGTTTAACTCTCGCGCCACATAGCCATACAGCTCTCCCAAGGGTGCTGCACTGCGAACTCCTGGACTTATCAAAGATAGAGTCTCGATGAAGTTATTCGAGTTACCGTCTCGATGATGAAGCCAGAGAATGAAATTAATGCTCGCATCCAGAACTGTCCCGACATTGTAGGCTGATGATGGCTTGAAAAAGGCCGATGACGGATGAGGTACGTATATCACTATGCGCCTAAGGCTGGTTCCATGGAAGTTCAGGTCAATTTCAAGATTGACGGCGTCGGCCAGCTGTATAGTCAGCTGCTTAGAGCAACCAGATAGAGTCCGACGGTAGCTGTCTTTTGCGCAACCTCCGCCAATCACCACCCACGGCAAGGGAAGAAGCTCTAGGAGTCCACTTGAAAACCGATCGTGGAGAGAACGTAAGCCCTTTGGCCAGCGTCTCGTAGGGCAAGATGATTGGTCAGCCCGTCGCATGGACTCTTCAGCACGCCAGTGCCAGTCGAAACCATATATGAACTCGGGGCTGAGGCCTTTCTCGATAAGAAGCTGTATCGTCCTGTTTTCGGGATCCCAGAACTCCCCAACGTGACCTTTAGTAGACTGACAGTGAAGTATGACACCAAATTCCGCATCCTCGGACCCTGAAGGATACGCAAGTCTTTCTCGCGACCCTCCACTCATTGCTATTTCATCCTCATGGAAGGCGTCAATCTTTGCGCGAATGAGTTGTCTTGAAGGTCCCTGATCCTTGACACAAGGCTTCTTCAAGAAGTGGATAAGATACTCAACTTCCTTCGAATTCAGGGCATACGCTGCAGACCTTGAGAACGCGTTGGCGATTTGATCCGGCGAGAATCGTGGGATCCGCATACCCGAAGATACTTGCTCGTCTGTCGCTTCAACATCGTAGCATATTCCAGAATCGGGCAAAACATGAGGCATGATGGAAGTTGAAGTTGCCTGTGTCTGCATGACGTTTGGAACAACACCACCGCTAAAGGCATGTGTCGGCAAAGCACTTTGGCTTAGACTTTGTGACAGTAGGTCTGCTTTTACTCTTTCTGTGTGAATGGGATTGGGTATTAAAGGCTTCCGTCCTGTCCGGTATTCCAACAAAGCGTGGTATATGCTGGAGTGGCGAGAATTCTCATCTGTCTCATCTGATTCATCTGCATTGAAGGCTTTTCCGGTGAGGGCCACCTGCCTAGCCTGCATGGCGGTAGACTGTGACAAGACAATTCTAAACGGCATCAACCAAATTGTCAGTTTAATACAATGACATTTCGATAATTAAAACTGGGTGCTTACAGGGACGGGCCATTATCGACTCCTGTCGAGCGATTCGCGCGTTCCATGAGGTAAAGGGTGCTCAGATGGTTTCTAACGAGCTTTTTCCCTGAGGCAGGAGAGCTAAAACAGACCCCAAAGTACTGCAATTCTGGCCAGCTCTCGGCCCCAGAGTAGAAACGTAAAATGTACCATGATAAAAAGGAATTGAAGAGCTGCAACACACCTGTATATTCTACTGCCAAGGCAAGCAAGTGCTTTTGTCAACTTGAAGAAGTGAATAGCAACACCCTTCACGCGGATAGAAGCAATCTGTCACTACCTTAGTATCGCTAAACCGCTGAGGGCATCTGCAGCTAAGATTCAGCTCAGATTAATATACTTCGGGAAGCACTGTGAGACATGCTATTGCAAAAGGAAATGAGGAGCTCCGTAGCTGAGGATCTCTACTGTCCTTCCAACCTTTGAAGTTTTGAGATCGATGCACCAAGGAACAATAATATTCCGTTCGCGTAACATCTGTTGATGAGGGGACATCATGTTCATTCGTGCGTCGGACGTAGGGGAATCTCGGGTGCTAAGAAGACTTCTGATATACCCATGTACATATCTTGATACCTGGGTATGTGCTGCATCATAGCGTGTAGGGCCCGGAGTATCGAAACCATAGTCCATCGCGGTACCGCAGTAAATGGTGATGAAACACAAATCAAATCACACGTTGTTAAGGTGCCTTGACGGGAGTGAAGGGGAGTAATTCTTTCGAGCCGGCTGACACAATACCTACCTGCCATCATTATGGAAATGAAGGGTGTGAGTTTGCCCAACATCAACATGATAGGAAGTACTCCGTAAGGGGGAAAGATTGTAATCCGGAATAAATGCGGAGGATAGATGTATTTAACCAGTGTGCTAACTTTGCTTGGTTTTCTACCGCGCGCCCCACTTGGAAAAAAAAGATTCGACCCTGTCCAAGAATACTTGGCCGACTGGACTCTTCAACCAAACCGCAGTTTGCGGTGAAATCATGTTCAGGATGGCTGGGACCAAAAGAGCAAGTGAATCTGTGGATTCGAAGTCGTCCAAAAAGTTGAAGCCTATTAAAGATTTCCCAAACAAGGCCAAATCTGCAGACGATTCTGAAGACCTCGCAGCGTTCGACGAAGAGCCTCAGCAAGATGGATCGAACAAGAATAAGCACATCAAGAGACACGACTCGGACGCCCGTGAGGGACGAACAGACACAAGGAACCAAGAAACCTTCTTGAATGGTAAGTCTGACTACGTTTTCCTCCTCTTCTTTCCCGTGATAGATCATGCGGCATCATGCTAACAAGTATCGCTGCAGGAACTTCGTCGCGGGAAGCCCATGCCAAACAAAAGGCCCTCGCCCAAGACCGCAAAGCGGCCAAACCGAACGCCGACTCTATTGCTCGCAGTAAAAAGATTTGGGAAAGACTTCGCCGCAAATCTCATGTTCCTAAGACAGAGCGGGAGCAACTAGTCAAGGAGCTCTTCGATATCATATCTGGTCGAGTCAAGGATTTCGTTTTCAAACACGACGCCGTGCGGGTTATACAATGCGCACTAAAATACGCAACGCCCGCACAGCGCAGGCAAATTACGCAAGAGCTGAAAGGACACTACCGCGAACTTGCGGAGAGCAAGTACGCAAAGTTTCTCATTGCCAAAATGGTTGTGGGCGACGAGGAGAGTCGCGATGCTGTCGTAACCGAATTTTACGGGCACGTCAAGAGGCTTGTTCGACATCCCGAAGCGAGTTGGATTCTCGACGACATCTACCGGACGATTGCAACGAAATCCCAAAGGTCAATTCTCTTGAGGGAATGGTACGGGGCAGAATTCGTCGTCTTCTCAAAGAACAATACCACCCAACAAGATGGGGAAGAAGTCACTGCCGATTTGAGTGAAATCTTGAAAGTACACCCGGAGAAACGAGGACCAATTATGCAACACCTCAAGGAGATGACGAATCAGCTTGTGCAGAAGAAGACGACAGGCTTTACAATACTACATGATGCATTGCTGCAATATTTCCTAAACGTCAAACCCGGAAGCCCTGAACAGACGGAATTCCTTGAGATGTTGCGAGACGATGAAGAGGGCGATTGCTACAAGAACCTTGCGTTCACACGATCTGGGTCGAGGCTCGTCTGCTTAGCGCTTGCGTATGGTAACTCGAAAGATCGAAGGACAATACTCAAGTTCTTCAAGACGCATATGAAGCTGCTTGCAGGTGATGTTTACGGACATACAATCCTGCTCACTGCATATGAGGTCATCGACGATACGGTGATGACGGCCAAAGCGATCTTCCTGGAGATACTGGTTAAGGATCTCGATCGTGACGCACGAGAACAGGAGCTCATGTCCCAAATCGAGCACCTCAATGCGCGGATACCACTTCTGTACTTGATGTCGCCGGAACCGCCGAAATGGTTAATCCCAAAAGGTACAGACACCGAGAGCATTATCACTGAAGTCAGGGAGCTCCGAACTGGCACTTCGAAGAAAGATCCCGAGACAAGACGAGTGGAATTGCTCAAAGCTATATCTCAGCCTTTACTGGATTTGATAGCCTCGCGGGGCGCATTCCTCGCCCAATCAATGCTGGGATGCCAATTTGTCACGGAGGTGTTGTTCGGAGCAGTTGGTGACAAACAAGCCGCTCTCGACGCTGTCGCTGATTTTGCGGCTGGTGATGAGGCATCAGAAGAGAACAAAGAGATCATCACGATGCCAGCAGTTGGACGTATGTTGAAGTCGCTGGTTCAAGGTGGACGGTTCGATAAAGCCTCGAACAAGGTGGTCCCAGTTGACCCGCCCCTAAAATTTGGCGACTTGTTGTTCAGCAAGATCAATGCCAGCTCGGGAGCTGAAGCATTGATTAATTGGGCCAACGGGCCGAATTCATTTGTTGTACTGGCGATGCTGGAAGCCGAGGACTTCAGTCACAAAGACGAACTACTTGGTGTGTTGAAGATGCATGCTTCTTCGTTGGATAAGGAGAACCAGGGTGCAAAGATCATTTCCGAAAAGCTCGGAGTTGGAAACAAAGGGGACAATAGTACCAAAGACTCCAACAGCAAGGGCAAGACGAAGAAAGACAGGAAGTCGAGGTAGTAGCTGGCTTCTAGCTCACGACAGTCTCATAATACGTGGGATACGATGGTGTAGTTTACGAACAGATGGTTCTTCAAGAATGGCTATTTATTTACCCTCCCACGTTTGGTAGTGTCAGTTGAGGTTCCCGTTCTTCACCTGTCCAAGGCCGATCTAATGCGGGTGAATGACACCATCTTGCTTGAAGTCTTGGGTTTTTTGTTGTCATGTGCAAAAATATGGAAATTGTAGGATCCTGGTGTGAGATGGTCGGCTGTAGGTATAGTACCCAGTCAATGAAAATTGCGGAGGGTTACCGTGCCTCCCGAAACCACCCTCTCCAGGCACCGAGAATGCCCAATCAATAGTGCCTGGAGCCCTCTACCAGCTCCCCTAAATGGCCACCTTGCAGCCCCTTGGAGCCCTTTAGCAGTTCCTACGAGGCACCAGCCTGGCCATTCAGCCTTCACCATAGCAAGACCCTCCCCCTTTGCCAAGGCCAACAATGGCTCCCCCCTTGACGTGGCTTCGACTTTGCATCCCCATCCGATCTGCCGCGTTTTCTCCAACTTCACACATGTGATTTACCAACTGTTTGTTGCATTCCCGCTCTTTTAACCCGCTCTCTGTCTGGCAATTCCCAGCTGAAAGACGTCTTCAATCTTGTTTCTGTTGAGTACAATCGACCATCAAGTATCTCATCATCTACCTTGCACTTTGTCCACCATTCTTTTGTCTTCTGCCAATGGTGTGCCATGGGAGAACACCTTGATGCTCGTCCTGCAAATGGACATGAACACTCTGCTTCGTCCCAGCTTCGGTACCTCGATCTCACCTTTGACAGTAAAGATCTCGATCAGTCTGCACTCTCTTTAGCCTACAGAATCCAGCCAAAATGGCGAGAAGGACCAGGCAAGATCGAAATCACCAAGTTCACTGAAGGTATCACCAACACGGTATGCCTCTCTACAGCTTTTGCGGGGACACGTGCTCAAACTGACTCTGCGTTACAGCTTCTCAAACTGACCAAACATGTCCCTGGCTACTCTCAAAGCCAGCTAGATCAGGACTCCATCCTCCTGCGTGCCTACGGTAACAACACCGAGATCCTCATCGACCGAGACCGAGAAGCAAGCACACATGCTTTGTGTGCCGACCGTAAATTGGCGCCGCCTTTGCTAGCAAGGTTTAGGAATGGCCTGCTCTACAGATACATCCCTGGCCAAGTGTGTACTCCCCAAGATCTCATCCGGGAGCCCATATGGCGCGCAGTCGCTGGGAGGTTGGGCCGGTGGCATGCACAGTTGCCCGTCAGTAAGGTGAAGAACGCTCCACATGATATCAATGGTCAAAGTCAAAAGGAGAATGGCATTCCTACCGAGCATACACAAGCTCTTTGCAATCCTGCTTCGCAATTGCCTGCCCCAAACATTTGGTCAGTCATGCAAAAATGGATTCACGCTCTGCCACACGATTCCCCAAAGCACAAGGCCCGCAAAGAGCTCCTCCAGCATGAACTGGATCGATCATTTAACGATCTGCAAAATGACCAAGGCCCGGGGTCGAGTGGACTCGTCTTTGGTCATTGTGATCTGTTGAGTGCCAACGTTATCATGCTGCCCAAGGCCCCCAATAGTGACGCAGGCGACAAACTCGAGGTGTTCTTCATCGACTATGAATATGCAGTACCATGCCCGGCGGCCTTCGACATTGCCAACCATTTCGCCGAATGGGGTGGTTATGATTGTGATTATAACATGCTGCCTACCAAGTCCGTTCGACGCCAGTTCCTGCAAGACTATCTCGACTCGTTCAAAGCCCACAGCGACAATCCTGTGTCAGAAAACATGCTTGAATTTTTGTGTGCCGAGGTCGATAGATACCGTGGTATGCCTGGTTTCTACTGGGGTGTATGGGCCTTAATCCAGGCTACAATCTCGCAAATTGATTTTGATTATGCCTCGTACGCCGAGGTCCGACTTGGCGAATATTTTGCTTGGAGGGCAGAAGAGAGTGGTGGTCGTACTGAGAAGAATGGAGAGATGCCTCTTCGTGAGAAGAGGTGGCAGGAGCCTTGACTGCGGTTATCAAAGTAACTCGCTTTACATTACATGTACGAGGACAGCCACAATTTCGTTGAGAACAGACGAGCAAGACATTGTGTAATGAGATGTGAGACTATAAACAGCAGACAAGAAAAAGGGGCTGCCATCACTACCCCGATAAGAATACAGACAATGTCAATGAAAAGTGTTTTGAAACAGAGCTCGTAATCTCTCATCTAGAATCCTAATATATGTTCAGCAAAGTGTTCAGTCTCACAATAAAGTCTTTGTAAAGTTCTGGGAAATCTTCTGGTTGTAGAGTTTATATTTCATCTAGGATTTTTAATATGCTCGTCCGTCATGGCCCTGACATTGTATTATTACATAGATGTATTCATGATACATCACCACTGCTATTGCCGTTGAACTATTGCAGTTGTCATCAATCTTTCTTGTCAACTGTTGCTGTTGATGTCGTCACTAACGCTCACGGTGGGTGGACATGGCCATCTGCAGGCGGAGAAGGTTTCGATAGGCCTCGATCCCGAATCACGATGGTGCTGAGTAGACAGACACCTATGAAGGGAACCCAAGATGTGAAGACGGCTCTGGAAGCTTCCATGTACGCGGAGAGGAGGATTTTGACCTGTTCGTCGGTGAAGAGGGAAAGGTCCGGGACGACGTACACGGATAAGGAGATGTCGACAGCGGGTCCCGTGGTGGTCGTTGTAGCGCTGGACAAAAGTCGCGAATATCGACGGTAAGTGTTGGAATAAATGGCCGCCGAACTGGCGAGACCGGTGGCACCACCCAGGAGACGGACAAAGTTGCGTATACCTATTATGATGGCGCGGTCGGCCGGGTCACCGTGAGCGTGGGCTGCTATGAGAGCTGCGATGGAAGAGAATCAGTCAGTCAGTGCGTAGAGTATACGCATGTATACCTGTGAAGTGACAAATTGGAACTCGTGGTATCCAGTCGTAATTCATCTCGAGACCCAAGGACAGACTCACTAGGCTGAAAAGTACACCCTATACCTGCTCCTTCGATCAACAAGATGAATACTATGACCACGGGTGAAGTGTGTCGGCCGAAAAAGGCACAACGTAACCCGGCTGCGAGGGTCCACAAGGTGTATCCGAACCATAACACCTCGCCGTACCGTTTCCTGCGGGAAATGTATTGTCCAGACAGGACCGACGTGACGCTTTGACCGATGACGATGGGTACGAGGAGAGCGGCCGACTCGAGTTCCGACCACCGTCGTACGTTTTGGTAGTACATGGGTAGGTAGTAGAAGCTGGCGTAGTAGACAAAACCGAACAGAAAGTTTTGGGACAAGACAACGCTGACGGCGAGGGATCTGAACAGATGAGCTAAATGAAGTACCTCAGAAGAGAGGGTTCGTCAACTTGTGTGATGTTTTTGATGACATAGGGCCGTAAGGGAGGTGGGATGAGATAGGAGTGTGGATGAGTGAGTGGGGAGAGATGTAGATATACATACGTGGTATCATGGGCAAAGCCGAGACTTTGTATTCAACCAAAATGAAACAAGCGGCACAGATCACTCCAAACACGAGCAAACAAATGACCGTCGGACTCGACCAGGGGAACCGTGTGCCGCCGTCTGATATGGGTATCAAGAGAAAAACGACCATGGCGGAACTGAGTAGGCCACCTAGAAGGTCGATCTTTTTCAGTTTCGTCACGGTGTCGTCCTTGAGTTTTTTGGAGGGTAGGACAAAATATACCAGTCCACTGCTGACGAGAGCGAGTCCAGCCAGGACGAAGAAGAATGAACGCCACGAAGCCGTCTCGACGAAGCCGGCTGCGAAAAATGGTCCGATGGTACTTCCTACTCCGACACAGCATCCGATAATACCTTGGTACCTATAGGTGGGAGAGGATGTGGAAGTCAGTCAGGTGTTTAAGAACATTCAGCCAAACAGGAACAAAAATTGTTCTTTCAGTAAGAGGGATATTTCGAGTTGGATCAAAGTGGGGCCAGAAAAGACACAAGACTAGTAGAATACGCACTTTCCTCGATCCTCCAAGGTGACAATGTCAGAGACGATGATCATGGCAAGGGCATTGATGCCTCCATTCCCGACTCCTGCAATGGCTCTGAAGACGTAGAGTTGTGGTCCCGTGCTCGCCAGTCCGCACGCGAGATCTCCTATGGCCAACGAGGCCAACGAGGCGAATAGTACAACATTCCTCCCGAAAATATCGGAAACCCGACCGTAGAAGACTTGGAATACCGTGTTGGCGATCAAAGATGACGTGCCTGCCCATTGAATCGTGTCGATGCTGGAGAGGTCTCTTCCTATCTTGGGTAGAATGACGGTGATGCTGTTCTGGTCGATGTAGCTGATCAGTAAAGAGATGGCCAGACTGGTGATGATGATCAGGACTTGTCGTTTCGGTAGGATGTTGGCGTGGTCATCGTCTTCGACCGTGACTTGGATGTCGTCGGGTCGAGCCATGTTGAAATGAAGCTTTGATTGACTTCGATTTTCCATCAACCCAGGAGCTGGTCGTTGACTCGTGCACACCGTGCCAGAATCGACAATTCAGCACTGCTGGGACCCTGTTCGGTCAACGCCAGAGGTATAAAGAAACAAAGAGAAAAAACAAGGTCCAAAGGATAGAAGGAAAGATAGCTCAGATTTCTTCTGTGACAACCATGACTCTATCAACGTTCAACATCCTCTCCGGTACTTGTTCTGAGGTCGCCGAGGTGAGCATCTTTGAAGATAAATGTGAGCGTGGAGAGCAAGGAACGTAAGGCTAGGAACGTAGGGTGTACCGCTTACCCCCTAAATCAGGACCCGACGGTGGATGTCCGAGAATCCATTCTGCACACCAATGGGTAAAACCAAACTTGTTCTTTGCCTCTTTTCATTTGAGGTACCTGTACACTCCATGATATGGTAGTTCTGTGGGTACTCTAACAATCGAACCATGAAGAAGACACCTTATTGGTCGGGTTCTGTAAAGCCAGGAACCGTGATATATCTGGGATCGGAATAACCACCACGTACGTGTCGGAGATTGACCTCCTTCCTGAATTTTGACAGTCCTTGTTATCGCGCAAGGATTTGCACGTGTCATCAAGATAGTGATGGAGGCGTTAAGGTCAAAGAAATTTCCATGGGTCGGACGGCGGCCTTATCAGATATCGATCGGGGTGGGTGTCGGCGTGGTCACTTCTGTATCCACTTTCACTCCGAAGGGGGTTCCAAAGGCACGAGACAACGCCCATACACCTATCGCTACAGAGGACCGAGTATCAGCTATACCATATGATCAATGGATACTGAAAACCCGGTGGACCCGATATAATAAGATCGGGGTGGATTCTGTAGTGCTTGGGTTATCTCTTGCATGATTTTGGATGCGTGTCGAAAATCTCCCGTTCAGGTATACTACAACAAGTCTGAGCACAACCTCCCGAGTTTCCAAGAGTTTTTGCTTACTGGAAGGTTCATCGAAGATTCAATAAGACCCGCACGCACCGTATCATGCCCTGGATTAATCAGGTGAGGTATTCGAGACCGTCTTCTATCTCACGGCCACCAATAGTCCTGGGGAGTCGGATTGTTGAGTTGCTCGAACTCTCCATAACCACCCAGCGAGCCACCGTACGGCCAGAACTGTCGCGTTATGTCTTCCTCTGCGTTGGTCATCTGGCTCAACATCTGCAGTGCAGCGTCGCCACCTTCACAGAACGACGAAAGAGTATTCGGACTTATTTGAATAGGTGCCAAGGGCATGGCAGGAACATTCGAGTGTCCCGTGAGAAGCTCATCCTGGCTGCTTCCTGCTCCCGCTTGTACGGTGCCGGCAATACGGTCCATGGTGGCGTTTATCAATTCGTCCATGGCATTTCTGTATCCGCGAGCACTGGGTGCTCTCTCTGCTATTATGCAGAGTACGGACGAACAAGCACGAAGGTCGTTGGCCGTCTGTAAGCTCCATAGTCCCGGTGATATCCACAGACAATAGCTTTTCACGCGCACAGTCAGTCAAGTGTGTTCTCCCCGGCCTGGAAATCATGCGTCAAAAGGGACTCGTTGGGAACTTACCACATGGTCAATCCGGCAATAAAGATCGAATGTAAGGCAATGAAGGAATGCCCATATAGATGGTTGGAATGTAGACGCTTGAAGATCTGACATATTTGGCCTGATGCTTCCAAGCAAAGTGACGTCCGAGGGTCGTTGGGGGGGATGATGGACAAGAACGGTTGAAGCAATAAGCGAACGGCCTTGTGGTATTGAATCATCGGATAATCGGTCTCTACTGGTGACAACCGGGGCAGACGCTCTTTCCAATCACGGAGAAGTTGTAGCAATGGTTCAATTTTATGCACGAGATCGGCTCGATTGCGATCTGCGCGGTAGATCTTGTGATGGATCTTGGAGTCGAGTTGTTTCAGTTGGAACATGTGAAGGCCCATTGTCAAGGACGTGGTATGCGATGCGTCTGGTTGATTTTTGGCTTGAGCTATCAATATTGGGTCTCGGATATCGTCGTTGATGTTGAGTGGTAGCTTGAATGACTATCATTAGTTCATTGTATTACCATTCATACATAAGGAAACAAGGCCAGGCGAGGCGTGGCTACTTACCCGAGCGTCAATTACTCGATCATTGATGCTAAAGGGTCGGCCGAAAGATATGGAAATGTGTCTCTCCAATGAATAGACTGTCCAAAACAGCCTTCTATTCAGTTCCTGCTGAAATATGTCTCCATCTGTGTAGAATGCTTCGCGGTGAAGGCCAAGCTCAATCTTTTTTTGTTTTGGAGTTAGTGACTCACTTCGCCGTGACCAAGGAAAACATAATTGCTTACACAAGTTCTCATTGCCATTCCGATCAAAGACCAGATCCCAGAGTTGGAAGGTGAGCGAAGGTGGTATATAACCAATAAAGCCATCGCTTCCACATTCTTGGTTGAATGTTCCCGCGCCGCTGACACATGTCGAAAGGCAGTGATGAAGAATTTCTACATCGCAAGAAGTCAGACATCTACTTCACTCAAATGAATGTTTTCGTTGTCGACGTACCTCAGGAGAAGTATACTCGTACGCCTCTGTCATTTTGAGCAATTGTGCTCCAATGGCGTACACCATGTATAGCTTGAACGTCCAGAATTTGTCATCGACAGAATCCGAAGGAGCGTCGAACCTGATCGAGTGGTG